CATCTGTTTAAGCTTTCTAACTAAGTTTGGAATACTCAGATGCTGACTTTCGAGGCGTACAAACTCCGTCAAAGCAGTACAGAACGAGTTTCTTTTTTGATGTACTTTCGCTAACTACTGCCCATGCTCCATACGAATCATATAAGGCAACGACAGCAACATAACTCCAATTGAAGTGTGTAACCAAGTCAACCATTACTTTTGCAAGAAACTCGTCCGAGGGCACTGTTCGATATAAATGTTTATAGGTAAGGGAGCTAAGTTCAGCACTAGTAGCTGATCCACTTATGCACGAAACATTGAGCATCCGAAGAAATCCACCGATGAATAGAGCTGTACTAGATTCGTCTGGGCCTATTAAAGAAATGAGAACTTTCTTTCTTAGGGCATTTTGGCTTAAATTGACACAGGAATCAACGGTCAGAAGTTTGTAAACAAGTTTTGCAGCTTTTGAGAGGTTTCCACTATAATCCCTTGTGTCATATCCAAGGGAAATGTTAGAAAGAAGACTCGTGTTGTTAATTATTCATTCGATTGCGAAGATCATGGCCTGCATGCGACCAAGTCCTCTCAAATGTATCTCTCCACATCGGCTCCCTAAGTGGTCCGGCTGCTGGTGCACGCCGAGAAGTCCTCGCAACACGATATCGCCATCTCTGTATGGAGCCTGAACAGCAACATAGAAGCACAAGAAAAGAAACAACTGGTAGTGCAACGAACTCATAGGAATACTCGTCTTTTCTCCGCTTACTTGTTGGTGAATCCAGCGGATAGACATTAATTATTTGTACGTAGGTGTATTTTGCGGATATGGTGATGATCAGTAACTTTTTATGTGAATTTCAATTCAAAATCAAATTTTACGCTATAAACAGCAGCCAATTGTTAACACTTGTGAGCTTCTAGCTCGCTGGACTAATTCATAAACTTTAAAGTCATGGTGACCATATGTTGAGTGTTTGAATTTAAAACGATCTCGGACTTTGTAATGCAAGCTTTATGGCAAACAAATTAAAACCATCGCTCTTAATTTTTCATTTTCTCTTGTTTTTTTTTTCTCTATCTCTCTCTAAATTTCTTTAACAAGTCATCATATTGGAAAGAGCGAAAGAAAAACAGAATCATGGCTTTGTTTGCTTTTCTAGCCTAAATGGAGCTGTTGCGTGGCGAATAAAGAGAAAAAAGATAATGTATCTCTATAAAACGTACTTCTTCAATAGCCTAGTTTCGAACTGTTTGTGCGAGAAAGTCTGCTAACTAGTTTTTAGCTTCAAGTCGAAACTGAGGGGAATAGGAGTCGTCTCAACATGGCAGCAAATGGTGCCTTCACAAATATAAAAGTTCCAGAGCTACGGAAATTTTTAAAGGAAAGGGATATTCATATTTCCGTACACGGTAAAAGTAGGCAAGGGGTAGAACTGCTTGAGCTTTGCAAGAACGCGGCTGAAATAGTAGGCCAAAAACTTGAAAAGGAAACAGTGCAACGCGACGAGTTGATAAATTCCGAGATAACATTGGCAGGAGGAAAATTACTTCCCCATCCACTTTCGCTTAAGTTTTGGACTCATGACTTCACCGGTATTCCAGACCTCAGGTTTCCCGATGTTAACCATTGTCTGGTTGGAAAAGATGGCTACGATGAAGACTGTTTACGGTCGTATAAAAGTCTTGAGGGTTTTCGCTTATTTACTGACGGGCATGCGGATGACCTGAAGTACCACGGCATAATTGATTGATGATGGCATTATACTGGCCAAAGTTGGAAATGCCGTGAAGAATTTCATCGATTCGTCATTTTTCAGTACATCATCCATGAAAAGTTTCCGTTTCAATACTGGCTTGTTATTAAATTCGTTTCGAATTGCTTTGTTAGCAGCACTTTTTTCATATCATCCACTTGTTGAAGGTCAATGTCTGTTTGACAATAAACAGTCACTTTGAACTTTGTTTTCCTTAAGGAAGTAGTCTTGGTCTTTCAGAGAAATATCAGTAGAAACGCGGAAAATTTTGGTGGCAAGTTCGTCTATGCTGTCACTGCTAGCGTCTTGTTTTCTCCCCTCATTCGACCTTTTTCGCGTTGATTTGGACTTCTTCGGACTGTATGCTTATTAAATATTGTTGGAACCGTGCCACGTGCTGGCCTTTTAATTCCAGAAAGCGTCTTCAGGATTTGTTTAGTCTCGTAGTGTTTGGATCATACATCCAAGTTCTTGATGGACGTGAACTCCTTATCAGCGCGACGACCGAAGGCACTCCATTTCTTTCTTAGTCTCTCTTCGCCTGGAAACTGAAAAAAGTTGAGGTCCGGCCTTGTTTAGAGTTATTTTTGCGCACAGGGATGACACAAAACTTCATATTCAACTTACAGTTACTCCGATCTTGCTTTAATTTCAAGATAAGCGCATATTCCCCGCGGCCTCGGCTTGGTGCTGATAATTAGTTACCAGACTATCTTGCACAGACAATTCGAAACTAGCCTATTACGACGCAATTTTTTACAGATAATCACGCTTTAAATATTTTCAAATGCAAAAACCACTCCAACTGAGTAGAACTTCTCTTTCTGAACTTGACAATAATTTGCATATTAATTCAAACGTACCTTCCTACCAAGAGGGTCTCAATTGGGTACCGTTAGCCGTAAAACGGCCAAACAATTTAGCCGTCAGGCGTAAAAACTGGCAAATTCTAACAGTTAGTCATAAAAAACGTTTACTGTAAAAAATACGTCTGGTGGAAACAATGAAAAAGTGTTAACTGTTAGCCATAAATTTGCCAAAACTTAAACCGTCAGCCGTAAAGCATCACCCCATTAAGACCCTATACCGACAGGGTAAAAGTAACTTCCGATAAAATAAATAAATATTTCACTAACTTATAAGACAGGAAGTTAATTAGAAAATCACTCTGCCCAGATGTTACCTTATGTTTTTCGAAACAATGTTTTCATATTTTGCCATCGGAGAAGCTAGCTAGCTAGACCTCTACTGAACAAGGAGATAGTTATTTCTTAGCTTGTATGAGGGAAGTGAAATTGTCTAACGCAGTTTCTGAAGACTTCCTGTGTATGTTGTCATAGAGGAAGATTAAAAATACAAAGAGTCACTGATTCGCTCCTTTGATTGAATTGGCTACTTTAATTTGAAGTAGATTTTTATTTTCAGTTGAACTGATTTTCGCGCACATGGAATTTATTTTGCACTCGTAACAGAAGTAGTCAACTGAAAAATAAACTAATATTACAAAGAAGGTTATTACACACGTCAATTTCAGTTGAAGCGACGGGCAAATATTATACTTACAATTTGTGTTCCATATGCGGCTAGTAAGCTTCGATGTACGATCGGTGGTGACACTTTTGAAATGTTAGTTGCGTAACGGACTTCTCGGTTTTTAAATAACTAGTCGCCTGATCTATTTTTGGCAAGTTGCGCCAAAATAATTAAATATTCACACAAAAAAATGACAAACGGCTTGAAAAATGCAAATCAGTCACTCTATTATTCAGCGCACACTGGCCATTTGTCTTCCTCAACCGCAAAGCTTCCTTTCTTAGCCATCGGGGAGCATAACCTATTACCAAATAAGCCATCCTGCAAACATAGCATGGAACGATCCATACTAGTATTTCTTGGTGATTTTCATCAAAAGTCAAGTAATAAATGTATTTGCAAGATAGTGTCAGTTAATAAAATGAATTTTCTCCATCATAGATTCCATTTTTTATTTACGTGCATGTAAAAGTCTTCACACACTCAAAATAACAAAATTATTTGAAGAAAGCTCATTGTAAGATTCAGCTTCCTGATTAGAACTATCAAAGGCAGGGTTTACGCGTACACAAATTGAATGAACTAAACGAGAGCTGAGTGACTTCTTGTCTGATGCTATTCGCATCCTTCATCTCCCTCGCAAATCATGCACAAAAAGTTCTTTTTTTTTTTTTTTTTTTTTTTTTTTTTTTAAGTAGCTAGTGTTCATAGCACCGAAGATCGCTCTCATCTCACGCAGTTTAATTATCTAAGCATCTGCCCAAAGGCTTGGCTAAACTTGGAAACATCATTGCGGAGACAAAGTGTTTCCTAAGTAGTCATGCAAGAAGCATACGTTGCGGAAATAAGTTTGCTCATTGTAAGATTCAGCTTCCTGATTAGAACTTTCAAAGGCAGGGTTTACGCGTACACAAATTGAATGAACTAAACGAGAGCTGAGTGACTTCTTGTCTGATGCTATTCGCATCCTTCATCTCCCTCGCAAATCATGCACAAAAAGTCTTCCTTTTTTTCCTTGTTTTTTTACGTAGCTAGTGTTCATAGCACCGAAGATCGCTCTCATCTCATGCAGTTTAATTATCTAAGCATCTGCCCAAAGGCTTGGCTAAACTTGGAAACATCATTGCGGAGACAAAGTGTTTCCTAAGTAATCATGCAAGAAGCATACGTTGCGGAAATAAGTTTTGCTGCTAAGAGACAAGACACGGTTTTTGCCTCAAGTCACAAATTCTCTTTGCCTCCAGTCCCGAAATAGGAAATGAAATGGATGGACGAGGGTATTAAAAGACTCTTTGCCTTGTGTGAGGGCAGGACTAATATGTGGAAAGGAGTCCATGAATAGGGATAACAAAGAATAGGCTTAAAGTCCAATCCCAGCACAGGTGCCAAAGAAATAGTCAATCATGAGGGAAGATTAAAGATGCAAAATGGCAGTTTAATATTCCGCGCTTTCGTTGCCCTTTGTTTTCTTAAATAATGTTTCTTTCTTCGCCATCAAGGAAGCAAATTTAAAATTCCCGATAACTAAGCCATCCTAAAACATAAAAAGAAACAATCCATGGAAACTTTAAGTGTTTTTATGGCTTGAAGCCTATATTTGTAATGCAGTGCTAATTAAAATGTACAATTTTCTTTAATATTGGGTTCACATTTCATTTACTTAAAGGTCTATGGCACACGTGAACAAAATTACCGATCTTAAGAAAGCTTATTGTACAATTCAGCTCGCTAATTTGAACTATCAAAAGTACGGTTTACACGTACACAACCTGAACTAAACGAGAACTGAGTGACTTCTTGTCTTATGCCATTCGCATCGTTCATCTCCCGCCTGAAGAACAGAATATACATTTTGGGCAAAAATAGACAACAAAGGAAACCATAGGCGCTCAACAGAGTTGTTACACAGTCCACAACCGTTACATACCATCCATTCAAGGACAATTCTACCGGGTGATAACAAAGCAACGAGAAAAAACATATGTACATGGAAAAGGCGATTCGTTTGGCCTCGCTGAAATTTTCAGGAATCTTCCTAACCTTAAAGGCACAGACCGAGGACACCAGCATTTGGAAGAAGATATAAAAGCATGTTGCCAGGAATAGAGACTTTCCAACTGAGCTGGAGTATGCCTTGCATTCGTCAAAGGTGTAACGTTTCGGATAGATATGTTGAAAGTTGAAGGGTGGATCCAAAAGCAACCATGGCATCAACACCGACAACAGTGGAGCTAGAAATGCTATAAAAATCCCAACCTGTGCTTTGTTTGGAAGAGAAGTGAGTTCCAAACTGGTCATAATGGGAACCCGAAAAGCACAAGAAATAAGCAACACCTTTACCAATAATGTGGAGAGACAGATGTTATAGGTCAAATAACGTAACGGGTATATGATCATGCAAATTGTATTTGTGGTTTTAAAGACATCAATATATACCAGAGAGAATGATGCAAGAATTGTAAATAAAAGGGAAAGGCTAAGCTCCCTATTAGATGCCTTGACGATGGGACTATTCCAGAATTTGCAGAGGGCAGCCAGACAAAACAATGTGACAACTACTCCGAGGCTGCCAAACGTTAGAATCACAATTCCGGTTATATTCGTATAGCTTATGTGAGCAGAGGGTAAGGCGACACACTCTGTATTCGCTGGGTTAGATATTGTTCCTTTGGGACATTCTCTGCAGCTTTCAGAACCAGCAGATGAGCTGATGGTTTCACCAAGGCACGGAAGGCACTGCCAACAACAAGGTGAGGTAGAAGATTTCCTTGTTCCAGCAGGACACTGTTCTGAACATTCCGATTTCGGAGGGCGACCAGATTTAGTCGTCCAATTCAGGGCTTCATGAAAAATCAAGCGAGTTTCGTTCCTCTTTGAATTTTTCCATTCTCCTATCAGCACCATTTTTACACTCTCCACATCTCCATTGGGTACATTTTTAAAGCTAAAAATGTCGTAATACGCCGAGCTCCTGTCGCCAAATCGATCAAACTTGATTTTTCCAGTTAGTCCGTCAAAACTGACGCGGCCAAGAAGCTTCTGCACGTCAAAACTGTTGGCTATCTGCAATTTCGCCCGATCTTTGGTCTCGTCATAGCTAAAATTTCGATTGAAAATATCTAGTGCGTGTGCCACGGCATATACGGCGTCAATGATGTACGGAACATAGGAGCTGTACATTTCTTTAATCAACTCGTTAGAGCACTGCTCAATTTGGCGATGAACACACTTCATGTTCTTCAAGAACTTCCATTTTTCGCTTGTAATGTGGTTCCATTCAGAAAAACTTCTATCGTCTCTCTCCTTGACCAATATATCTTTTAAATATTCCTTGAAGCCAGAGTCGCTGAATTTATGGAATTGAAATCCTAAAGAGCTCTCGAGAATACCTTTTACTGGCAGTGTAGAAGTTAAATGAATCTCGCTCAAAATCCACACACGTCCAGTTAGGTTTTGCCTCTGAACCTCTGCCAAAAACTTCGTTTGGTAATTCTCGTATAACCATAAGATCACAACTTTGACATTGTCCATCTGTTTAAGCTTTTGAACTATGTTCCGAACACTCAGATGCGGACTTTCGAGGCGTATAAACTCCGTTAAAGCAATACAGAACGAGCTCTTCCTTGACGAACTTTCGCTAACCACTGCCCATGCTCCACTTCTTCCATACGAATCATCTTGTCCAACGACAGCAACATAGCCCCAGTTAAAGTGCGTAATTAAGTCAACAATCGCTTTTGCAAGAAACTTGTCCGAAGGCACCGTTCGATATAAATGTTTATAGGTAAAAGAGCTAAGCTCCGTACTGGTTGCTGTTCCAGTTATGCTCGAAACATTGAGCATCCGAAGAAATCCACCAATGAATAGTGCTGTTCGAGATTCGTTTGGGCCTATTAAAGAAATGATGGCTTTCTTTCTTGGGGCATTTTGGCTTAAATTGACGCAAGAATCAACGGTCAGTAGTTTGTAAATGAGTCCCGCAGCTTTTGAGAGGTTTCCACCGTAATCCCTTATGTCATATCCTAGGGAAATGTTCGAAAGAAGACTTGTGTCATTGTTTACTCGTTCGATTGCGAAGATCATGGCCTGCATGCGACCAAGTCCTCTCAAATATATCTCTTCAAATCGCGACCCTGGCCAGTCTGGCGCCTGGTGCACGCTAAAAAGTCCGCCCAACATGATATCGCCTTCACTGTATGGAGCCTGAACAGCAGCATAGAAGCACAGGAATAGAAACAAATGATGGTGCAACGAACTCATAGCAATACTCTTATTTTCTCCGTTTACTTGTTGGTGAACCAAACGCAGAAACAGTTATTTGTACGTTGGTGTATTTTGCACATACGATAATGATAAGTTTGACAGTTTGACGCAATTGTTAAATGCAGCTGCTGCGTGGCGAATAAAAAGAAAAAACAATAATATATCTATATAGAACGTTCTTCTTCAATACAACGCAAAGTTTTACAGATTAACACGCATTAAAAACTTTCAAATGCAATTACCACTTCAACTAAGTAGTACTTATTTTTCTGACCTTGACAATAATTTGCATATAATTTAAAACGTATCTTCTTATCAATAGTCTACAAATAACTTCCAATAGAATTAACATTTCATTAAATTATAAGATAAGAAGTTAATAAGAGTATTGTTCTTCCCAGATGTGAACTTATGTTTTTCGAAACAATGTCTTTCTTAATTTGCCATCGGAAAAGCTATCTAGACCTTCCGCTGATCAAACCATCCCGGAAACATAAAAAAAATAAACCAATCCATAGCACGTTAGACGAATGAATTTTCTTCAATAATAGATTAAATTTTGTTTAAACACGTAGAAATTAGCAATATTAACCGACGTTTCGGAGTTTTCATGATGCCATTGCCAAGGTAAATGTTGGGATAATGAATTCTGTGTGTATTATTAACCACAATGAAGGTACATGATGAAGAATGTGAGATTACATTGCAGAAATATTTTAACACGGATCGAGGCGGATTGTACGTTCAGAATTAGTTTTAGTTCTCTGATGAATAACATCTCATGCAAGAAGCAATCGAATTTATTTTCCCATTTTTATAGAACACCGAAGCCCCTCAGTAGGTCTTCATGGACCTTGTCATGTTTGTCTTTGTAGTGTTTATATAAAGAAGATGACCGTTGTTTATGTTCGTCCACACGTACGTGTAAGTGTCCGCGCGTATAGCCCACACGAAGTACTCCACTACAAAGGACTGCGATGATGCTGGGAACGAAAAATACAAAAAAAAAATTTCTTGTTATCATAATATCTCGGAATCAATGCAATAAACATCATACGAGAGACTTTCAGATCTTGACGCAGCCAATCTTTTTTCCGGCAGAATCGACTAGACCAATCTACTCAGGGTTATTCTACTGTTATTGCGATATATGGCACTGTGGTCCATATTGCACTGTGCCTTATATTGTACCATGTTTGCATTGTGCTACCTTTCAAAGGCGCACTGTGATGCACAAACGCTTCAAATTACGAGGACCTTATTTTCTTTGCAAAATGCCATCTATTTTATCAGTATGGTTGTATTTTAAAGGTTTTTTTTAATTACGTTGGGGGATAGTTAGAAAAAGAGGGATTTGTGGCCAACACCTACGAAAAATATCTTTTACCACGAGATCACTCAACTGAAGGATAACTGAGTTCCCCTTATCATATCTATTTCCCTTTTATTAAGATCATACGTGACGACTCAATCCGTTTGATCGGATCTCTTTATTTTTCAGAGTTTTACGGAAATTAAATTTCACTCGAACAAAGGCTTGTCGTGACACTTTTTACGACTCTAATTTAAGACAGCTTTGGAGGACAATTTACAAAAAACTACGGAATTGAGCAAAAAACAAATACCACAGCCATGTAGATTAGCTCTATCTTATCCATCGAGGTGACTTTCGTGAACATCGCATTTCAATCAAGTAAACAGGAAGACTTGAATGACACCTTATCGGTTCACCTAAGTCAAAGACGCGAAAACCGATCAAATGCAAGGTAAATTTTTGAAAAAGTGAGGCGTTCTTAACTGATCTAACTACCATAGCTAGGAAGTAGGTGCCATAGAAAAGGTAACTATGGAAAAAACTTTGCCGCCCGATCTTTACGAAAACTTTACAACTCCGTGAACTTACTTAATTTTCGGCAATCTCCAAGTTTGGCCGCCATTTTGAGGGAATTTTCAACATGAAGCGTAGCAGATATAAATCAAGCAGGTAGAACTAAAACCATCAGAAATACGTACGAAAGCAATTCAAATGAACTTTACTATCAATTCAAGCGGCAAAATTTGAAATTGTTCGTTAAACTTACCATTCCTTCATCTCCATGCGACCATTTCTTCCAAAATTTCAAACACTACAACTAGTGTTCGAATTCCCCTTGTCGATTCCACCGTAAGAAATGATCTGTGCCACCCAAGCTTCGACTCCAATGTTAAGTACGAATCAAATAACATAACTGCTTCATCTTCGAGGCAATATCACACTGGTATTTTGATTTTCGGATCGATAAGAACGGTGATCAGGAAGCGATCGCCACGTTTACCTCATAAACGTAACCGCTGACCAGCCACTGTTTGAAAACAGTACGGTTCGGTGGTGAGGGGCGGGGTGAGGGGTGGGTGTGGGCAGATTATCAGAAGATTTTTGGGAACATTCGAACATATCCATTAAATTATCATAATAAGCATTAGGGCTCTCAGTCTTAATGCAAAGTCAAGCTTCGTGTTGCAGACAACTTTTGTTTTGCTTAGTATTCTTTTTTTCTTTCAAGTACATTTCGTTCCAAATAGGACTGGCATCAATTCATAGATTTATGAACAAATCTTTACCACGTAAATAAATGTGTTTAGATAATCGAGATATCCACTGAACCTCTTGTATCGCATCAGAAGTAACGTGTCTTGTCTTTGCCCAACTCTGAGAGCGTGGAGTGGCAAAGAAGCGAGACACGAGTCTCGCGTGGAGCGGCTTCTCTATGCTCACAGGATACGCGTGACCCCATTATCTTTAAGAAAAATAAGAGACTGCTCGGAGTCTGTATTCCGTTCAACTATTTCATAAGAATGACGCGAGTCTTTTCAATTGAGTGAAAAAGTCACAAACCCATTCTTTACCTCACCAGCGTAACCACTGACAACTCACGAACTACAGTAGGCTTCTCCTTTGGCCTGGAAAATGAAATCGTATCGAGTATACAAAGTTTAGCGAGTTCCTTTAGATCTCCCGAACTTGTATCGCGTTAGAAACAATTACAAGTACAGGAAGACGTCGTTCGCTAGCGAGACGTTCATTATGTCTCAGGACTGCTTTTTAAATAGCAAAGATGGAAAAAACTTTGGTTTGCTTGGTTGATAATCAATAATGTTTTTGTAGAAGATCAAATTACCTGACAACGCAATACACTTATTCATGCGTACGGTTCACAATTATTTACGGTCAGTTTTCCTCTGTTTATTTGATTCTTATTAACCAGTATGATTAAATTTGCAGACCAAAACACCCCTTATTTGATTAAGAATAATACAAGTAAACAGTGCATGTCGGTTTTCAATTCTTGATGGATGCTACTGGGCTTCACTTTCACTGAGAAATTTGCAATCGCTTACTTCAGTTCTCTGTGTCCCATGCCGTAAGAAGCACAAGAAAAAAGTGAAAGTGAGTCTTGACTGAGACAAGAAGGATCAGAGAAGAATCTACGGTCCCCAGAAACGCCACTTTTACAAGAGACAACTAAGGCAAACTGAATTCAGTGGTATTTGTTTTATTGAAAACTATTGTTCAGATTATAAGATATGCGAATTACTCTCCCACTGATTTTTTCTTACATTCTGTTAATCAAAAATTTTCGTAATTATTAAGGCTTTCTTGTTGATCATCTTAATAGTTACAGTTTCCAGGATCCAAGGGGAGCAAAGAGAGAATAATTTTCTGTGTAGTTAAGTAAGGCAACGTGCCGGATTTATACTTCTTCCGGCGTGATAACGATAGTGATGACAACAATGGGTAAAAAGCACAGTCCGCTAATAATGACGATTATCATAGTTATAAACAAATCTCAGTTATAGTCCTGAAAAAAATCTTAGGGGGTCCTTTGAACCATCCACTTCATCTCGCCAGAAGTCAAAGTTGCCTACACTCATTCTAAGGTTCGTGCGATTTTACGGCGAGTTTTCAATTCCGGTGTGTTGCACGCGCACGACTTTAGATAGAAAAAACCTGCACGGGCCTTAACTTAAAAGAACGTGTCAGCTGAGTGAATCAAATCTCTATCATTTCGCGTATATTCTTGGGAACAGCAAAAATAACCTAGAACAAACATTCTAAGTATAGTGTTCATTCCGTGCAATGGGGCATACATAAAAGGTTCTTGTAGAAAAGATATCTTATTTTATACCACTGATGACAAGCAAAAAGGTCCCCGGTTAAAAATATATTGATAACTCTATTAATTAATACCAGTTCTAATTTCAAGGAGAATATTATGAAAAAAAATAATAAAAGTTGTCTGTACCACGAAGCATGCCTTCACTGTTTAGACTGGGAGTCCTAAAGCTTTTTAAGCATGTATTCGAATATCTTATGACGATAAGCCCGCCACTCACCCCACCCCGCGCTACACTGTTTTCACTCAGCGGCTGGTCAGCGGTTATGTTTATGAGATAAAAATGGCGATTGCTTCCTGATCAACAAGCGACTAAATACAGGAATGGCTCCGACCTGTAATTGGATGATAAAAATAGTAAAAGTTAATAAGTTATATCTTAACTCTTTACCCGTGAGTATTGTTAACCGCGTGTCTCAAAGCGGAACAATGAAATATCAATGCGAGTGAAAACACCGATCTGTAAAAAAAGAAATGATTACTTACGTAGCGAAGGGAAGGCAGCCTTTCTTATTCAGCGAGGTCGTTCAGCGATATTCCAGCTATGAAAAAGTCATCGGCTAACAAGCTCCGCTGACAAAACTCATTTGGTCAGTTCAGGCGGACGACCAGAGACTGGAGCCATTCCTGTATTTCACCGCTAACAGGAATAGCTCCGACTCAAACGTTTATTAATTTTTTTTCAATAACTTTTTAGTAATTTTTAAAAAAAAAATTTAAAAAATTTAAAACTAAAATGGTGAGCAGTGCTGTACGAACAGTAGTTGTAAAACTTCTTTATTCTCTGACGCGTTTCGTCTAACTCTCGTAACTTCTTCGTGGAGTTTTACGAGGTAACACTAAACGCGTATAGTTATAAACCATTGTTAGCAGCTATGACCAGTGACCATAAGGGCTTACCTGGACCTACGAGCAGGAATAGGCAAAGTTGTGAAAATTTGAAAATTTGAAAATTTCTTTTGAAAATTTATTAGGCAAGATGAGAAATATTTTTTGGGAGCCGCGGTTTTAGCTGAAAATTTTCAAATTTGAAAAATTGAAGAGGTTTTTTACAGATGATGCCTGGAAAGCAGTTGGCAAATTAGGTTAGGATGGCTCGTACAGAAAATGTAGTTTATGGTCCACTCATTCTTTCTTAAATTTAAGTGGTATAAATACCTTGTCTAAAACAGTAGTGTGATACGATAACTAATGAGATATACTCGTTCCAATACTATGTCATGTGATGAACAGCCTTCATTAATTTTGGAACATGTTTTATAAAATCATTTTACTCTTTCTTGTTATAGCCAAAAACTGTTCGAAGATTGGTTGTGCTATCACTGCAAACAGTTAAGGTACTTCGATATGATTCAGTGCGAGGGCTACTGCCACTGGTTTAACTGGTAAGACACTTTTTTTGTTTTGTTTTGTTTTTTTCCTTTTTTAGGTCTAGTGGAGTTGTTAGAAATTACCAAGCAAAATTAATCCGCGACTTTCTTCCTTTGGGTGTTGTGCAAAAATGGATCAAGAACCCGATGAATGGGTTTGTCCTTCATGTGAACAATTACCTAGAAAATCCGTTTCCACGAAAAAAATTCCCTCGATTGCGGGCAAGCCATACTTCTCCAGTAGAGCATACTGTAAATTAAAAAAATCGGTGGCAGCGTCATGCAACCTTGCGTGATCTTTCAAACATGGTATGCAGTTGCTGCATTATTTTAAAACTTAGAAACTACATGGCCCTGTAGAAATAAAAGAGGGCTTCATTTGCAAGCACTGTAGACTTCAACATAAGAAGAACCTAATAAATAGCTCTTTCACTTTTTATCTGTATATAAATTATTTAGCCAGAACCAAAAAATTAATATACGCATGAGTTGGAGCCATTCCAGTCAGCGGTGAAATACAGGAATGGCTCCAGTCTCTGATCGTCCGCCTAGATAGACTAAATTAGTTTTGTCAGCGGAAATTGGCAACGGATGACTTTTTCATCGCCGGAATATCGCTGAACGACCTAGCTGAAGAAGATAGACTCTGCCTTATCTTCGCTATGTAAGTAGCCATTTCTTGTTTGACACGTCGGTGTTTTCGCATCGATATTTCATTGTTCCGCTTCGGTACACGCGGTTAACAATACTCACGTGCAAGGAGTTAAGATATAACTTATGAACTTTTACTATTTTTATCATCCAATCACAGGTCGGAGCCATTCCTGTATTTAGTCGCTTGTTCCTGATCACCGTTCTTGTCGATCCGAAAATCAAAATACCAGTGTGATATTGCCTCGAAGATGAAGCAGTTATGTTATTTGATTCGTACTTCACATTGGAGTCGAAGCTTGGGTGGCACAGATTATTTCTTACGGTGGAATCGACGAGGGGAATTCGAACACTAGTTGTAGTGTTTGAATTGTTGGAAGAAATGGTCGCATGGGGATGTAGGAATGGTAAGTTTAACGAACAATTTCAATTACCTGCTTGATTTATATCTGCTACGCTTCATGTTGACAAGTCCCTCAAAATGGCGGCCAAACTTAGAGAAGTGAGTTATCGAAGTTTTCGTAAAGGTCGGGCCGCAAAGTTTTTCTTTGTAGTTATCTTTTCTATGGCACCTACTTCCTATGCTATGTTAGTTAGATCAGTTAAGAACGCCTCACTTTTTCAAAAATTTACCTTGCATTTGATCGGTTTTCGCGTGTGTGACTTAAGTGAATCGATAAGGTGTCATTCAAGTCTTCCTGTTTCTTTGATTGAAACGTGACGTTCACGAAAGTCACCTCGATGGATAAGATAGAGTTAATCTACATGGCTGTGGTTTTTTTTTTCCTGAGTTTCCTAGGTACACGAATGTCTTACAACACACAAGAAATGAGCGAAATCCGTGTCTCAAGCAAAATCGACCGGACCGCTCTTACAGAGACACTCTCTTAAGATAGAAAAAAAATTGCGCATCAGAATTCCCCAATAGAATATTAAGAGAGGACTAAAGAAACTTCACGGTGAAAGAGCAAGGACCTCTTGAATAATGTAGAACCTTGTTGAGAGATCAGGTAAATTTTACAGTGACACAACAAAACTACTTCAAGACGATGATAAATAATATCCGGCCTTGAGGCTAATACAGTTCAATCATCTACGCATCTACCCAAAAGCCTGATTAAATAAATGTCTTAATTAGCCAGGCGAGAAACATGTGTTGCGGGAACAAGTTTAACTGCTGAGTAACAAGACGACGCTTTTTCCTTGCATGACGCAGATTAAGCTTTCTAAAAATGTTTTTTGTGGCTTTGCCACAACGGAATAAATGTTGACTAGTTTCCATCGCTGCTCATCAGAAATGTTTCTTAAGAACTAGGACTGTCAACAATGGCCGGCAGCAAAGTCGAAAAAGGAGAGACTTAAGAAGGTCTCAAAAAAGGAGAGGGAAAAAAAAGAGAGGGAATTTATTGGACGAGGAGATAAAGTTATTTCTTAGCTTTTTTGAGCCCAGGAAAGTTTGTCTAATACAGTTTTTGGAGACTACCTGGTGTATTGTCATCAAGGAAGATTAAAAATGCACATGAAAAATGCAAAGAGTCACTTTATTATTCAGCGCACACGTGGCCATTTGTCTTCTGCAACCGCAATGCTTCCTTGCTTAGCCATCGGGAAAGCAAAACCTCCTACCAAATAAGCCATCCTGCAAACATAACAAGGATCGATCCATAGCAGTATTTCTTTATGATTTTAATCGTTGTGGAAAGCCTTTTAAGTTATAGATATTTTTGCAATACAGTGTCAGTTAATAACATGAATATTCCTCGAACATAGAGGAATAGCTTATGTTGGCAGAGGGTAAGGCAACACACTCTGTATTCGCTGGGTTAGGCATTGTTCCGATGGAGCATTCTGGGCAGCTTTCAGAACCAGCAGATGAGCTGATGATTCCATAAAGACACGGAAGGCACTGCCAGCAACAAGCTGAGGTAGAAGATTTCCTTGTTCCAGGAGGACACTGTTCCGAGCATTCAGATTTCGGGGGCGAACAGATGGAGTCTTCCAATAAAGTCTCTATAAAAATCTATGTTTGTTTTATTTTCATTTGAAATGATCCACTCTCCTTCCAGAACCTTTTTAACGCTCTTAATATCTCCCTCAGGTCCTTCTCTTAAGCTGACAATGTCATAGTGCGCCGAGCCTCTGTCACCAAATTGATCGAACTTGATCTTTCCGGTTAGTCTGTCAAAACTGACTCTGAAGGAGCCTCTGCATGCCAAAACTATTTACTATACGCGATTTGTCCCGATTACTTGTATTGCTTGAGATGAAATTTCCAGTTGATATATCTGTTGCATGGGCCAGAGCATATATGGCGTCGAGAGTATATGGAATAAAGGAACTATAGATTTCTTTAATCAAGTCGTTGGAGCAATGCTCGATTTGATCATGAACGCACTTCTTCCTCTTCAAAAGCTTCCATACTTAGCTTTTACTGTAGCTCCATTCATGGAAACTACTATTGTCTATCTCCCTGACCAATATATCTTTTAAATATTCCTTGAAGCCAGAGTCGTTGAGTTCATGGTGTACAAATTCTAAAGAGCTCTCGAGAGTATCTTTTACTGGCGGTGTGGAAATTAAATGAGCCTGGCTCAAAATCCACACACGTCCAGTTAGGTTTTGCCTCTGAACCTCAGCCAAAAAATTCGTTCGGTAATTGTTGTATTACCGCAAGATCACAACTTTGACATTGTTCATCTGTTTAAGCTTTCTAACTAAGTTTCGAATACTCAGATGCTGACTTTCGAGGCGTACAAACTCCGTCAAAGCAGTACAGAACGAGTTTCTTTTTTGATGTACTTTCGCTAACTACTGCCCATGCTCCATACGAATCATATAATGCAACGACAGCAACATAACTCCAATTGAAGTGTGTAACCAAGTCAACCATTACTTTTGCAAGAAACTCGTCCGAGGGCACTGTTCGATATAAATGTTTATAGGTAAGGGAGCTAAGTTCAGCACTAGTAGCTGATCCACTTATGCTCGAAACATTGAGCATCCGAAGAAATCCACCGATGAGTAGAGCTGTGCTAGATTCGTCTGGGCCTATTAAAGAAATGATAACTTTCTTTCTTAGGGCATTTTGGCTTAAATTGACACAGGAATCAACGGTCAGAAGTTTGTAAACAAGTTTTGCAGCTTTTGAGAGGTTTCCACTATAATCCCTTATGTCATATCTAAGGGAAATGTTAGAAAGAAGACTTGTGTTATTAATTATTCGTTCGATTGCGAAGATCATGGCCTGCATGCGACCAAGTCCTCTCAAATGTATCTCTCTACATCGGCTCCCTAAGTGGTCCGGCTGCTGGTGCACGCTGAAAAGTCCTCGCAACACGACATCGCCATCTCTGTATGGAGCCTGAACAGCAACATAGAAGCACAAGAAAAGAAACAACTGGTAGTGCAACGAACTCATAGGAATACTCGTCTTTTCTCCCCTTACTTGTTGGTGAATCCAGCGGATAGACATTAATTATTTGTACGTAGGTGTTTTTTGCGGATATGGTGGTGATCAGTAACTTTTTATGTTAATTTCAATTCAAAATCAAATTTTACGCTATAAACAGCAGCCAATTGTTATCACTTGTGAGCTTCTAGCTCGCTGGACTAATTCATAAACTTTAAATTCATGGTGACCATATGTTGGGAGTGTTTGAATTTAAAACGATCTCGGACTTTGTAATGCAAGCTTTATGGCAAACAAATTAAAATCATCGCTCTTAATTTTTCATTTTCTCTTGTTTTTTTTTTCTCTATCTCTCTCTCAATTTTCAAGTCACCATATTGGAAAGAGCGAAAGAAAAACAGAATCATGGCTTTGTTTGCTTTTCTAGCCTAACAGTTTGACGCAGTTGTTAAATGGAGCTGTTGCGTGGCGAATAAAGAGAAAAAAGATAATGTATCTCTATAAAACGTACTTCTTCAATAGCCTAGTTTTCGAACTGTTTGTGCGAGAAAGTCTGCTAACTAGTTTTTAGCATCAAGTCGAGACTGAGGGGAATAAGAGTCGTCTCAACATGGCAGCAAATGGTGCCTTCACAAATATGAAAGTTCCAGAGCTACGGAAATTTTTAAAGGAAAGGGATATTCATATTTCTGTAAACGGTAAAAGTAGGCAAGGGGCAGAACTGTTGCGCTTTGCAAGAACGCGGCTGAAATAGTAGGCCCAAAACTTGAAAAGGAAACAGTGCAACGCGACGAGTTGATAAATTCCGAGATAACATTGGCAGGAGGAAAATTACTTCCCCATCCACTTTCGCTTAAGTTTTGGACTCATGACTTCACCGGTATTCCAGACCTCAGGTTTCCCGATGTTAACCATTGTCTGGTTGGAAAAGATGGCTACGATGAAGACTGTTTACGGTCGTATAAAAGTCTTGAGGGTTCTCGCTTGTTTACTGACGGGCATGCGGATGACCTGAAGTACCACGGCATAATTGATGATGGCATTATACTGGCCAAAGTTGGAAATGCCGTGAAGAATTTCATCAATTCATCATTTTTCAGTACATCATCCATGAAAAGTTTCCGTTTCAATACTGGCTTGTTATTAAATTCGTTTCGAATTGCTTTGTTAGCAGCACTTTTTTCATATCATCCACTTGTTGAAGGTCAATGTCTGTTTGACAAGAAAAAGTCACTTTGAACTTTGTTTTCCTTAAGGAAGTAGTCGTGGTCTTTCAGAGAAATATCAGTAGAAACGCAGAAAATTTTGGTGGCAAGTTCATCTATGCTGTCATCGCTAGCGTCTTGTTTTCTCCCCTCATTAGACCTTTTTCGCGTTGATTTGGACTTCTTCGGACTGTATGCTGATTAAATATTGTTGGAACCGTGCCACGTGCTGGCCTTTTAATTCCAGAAAGTGTCTTCAGGATTTGTTTAGTCTCGTAGTGTTTGGAGCATACATGCAAGTTCTTGATGGACGTGAACTCCTTATCAGCGCGACGACCGAAGGCACTCCATTTCTTTCTTAGTCTCTCTTCGCCTGGAAACTAGAAAAAGTTGAGGTCCGGCCTTGTTTAGAGTTATTTTTGCGCACAGGGATGACACAAAACTTCATATTCGACTTACAGTTACTCCGATCTTGCTTTAATTTCAAAATAAGCGCATATTCCCCTCTGCCTCGGCTTGGTGCTGATAATTAGTTACCAGACTATCTTGCACAGACAATTCGAAACTAGCCTATTACAACGCAATTTTTTACAGATAATCACGCTTTAAAAATTTTCAAATGTAAATACCACTCCAAATGAGTAGAACTTCTCTTTCTGAACTTGACAATAACTTGCATATTAATTCAAACGAACCTTCTTACCAAGAGGGTCTCAATTGGGTCACCCGTTAGTCGTAAAACGGCCAAAAATTTAGCCGTCAGGCGTAAAAACTGGCAAATTGAATAAGGAGATAGTTACTTCTTAGCTTCTATGAGAGAAGAGGAATTTTCTAACGCAGTTTCTGAAGACTTCCTGTGTATGTTGTCATAGAGGAAGATTAAAAATACAAAGAGTCACTGATTCGCTCCTTTGATTGAATTGGCTACTTTAATTTGAAGTAGATTTTTATTTTCAGTTGAACTGATTTTCGCGCACATGGAATTTATTTTGCACTCGTAACAGAAGTAGTCAACTGAAAAATAAACTAATATTACAAAGAAGGTTATTACACATGTCAATTTCAGTTGAAGCGACGGGCAAATATTATACTTACAATTTGTATTCCATATGCGGCTAGTAAGCTTCGATGTACGATCGGTGGTGACACTTTTGAAATGTAAGTTGCGTAACGAACTTCTCGATTTTTAAATAACTAGTCGCCTGATCTATATTTGGCAAGTTGCGCTAAAGTAATTAAATATTCACACACAAAAATGACAAACGGCTTGAAAAATGCAAATCAGTCACTCTATTATTCAGCGCACACCGGCCATTTGTCTTCCGCAACTGCAATGCTTCTTTCTTAGCCATCGGGGAAGCAAAACTTCCTATTAAATAAGCCATTCTGCAAGCATAAAAAGGGACGATCCATACTAGTATTTCCTGATGATTTTTATCAAAAGTCAAGTAATAAACATATTTGCAATACAGTGTCAGTTAATAACATGAATTTTCCTCCTTCATAGGTTCCATTTTTTTTATTTACGTGCATGTAGAAGTCTTTCACACACTTAAAATAACACAATTATTTTAAGAAAGCTAATTGTAAGATTCGGCTTTCTGATTAGAACTATCAAAAGCAGGGTTTATGCGTAAACAAATTGAATGAACTAAACGAGAACTGAGTGACTTCTTGTCTGATGCTATTCGCATCCTTCATCTGCTTCTCAAATCATGCACAAAAAGTCTTCCTTTTTTTTTTTCCAGACTTTATTTTCGTTACTGCTTAAGTAGCTAGTGTTCATAGCAGCGAAGATCACTCTCATCTCATGCAGTTTAATTATCTAAGCATCTGCCTAAAGGCTTGGCTAAACTTGGAAACATCATTGCGGAGACAAAGTGTTTCCTAATTAGCCATGCAAGAAGCATATGTTGCGGAAATACGTTTTTGCTGCTAAGAAAAAAGACAAGGCTTTTGCCTCAGGTCATAAATGCTCTTTGCTTCCAGTTCCGAAATAGGAAAGGAAATGGATGGACGAGGATATAAAAGGACTCTTTGCCTTGTTTAAGGGCAGGGCTAATATGTGGAAAGGAGTCCATGAATAGGGATAACAAAGAATAGGCTTAATGTCCAATCCAAGCTCAGATGGCAAAGAAATATTCAACCATGAGGGAAGATTAAAAATGCAAATGAAAAATGCAAAATGTCAGTTTAATATTCCACGCTTTCGAAGCCATTTGTTTTCTTGAATAATGTTTCCTTCCTTGCCATCAAGGAAGTAAATATAAACTTCCCGATAACTAAGCCATCCTAAAACATAAAAAGAAACAATCCATGGCAACTTTAAGTGTTTTTATGGTTTGAAGCCTATATTTGAAATGCAGTGCTAATTAAAAGCTGAAATTTTCTTCAATAATAGATTCACATTTCATTTTCTTAGAGGTCTATGGCAGACTCGAACAAAATTACCGATCTTAAGAAAGCTTATTGTACAATTCAGCTCGCTAATTTGAACTATCAAAAGCAGGATTTACGCGTACACAACCTGAACTAAACGAGAACTGAGCGACTTCTTGTTTGATGCCATTCGCATCGTTCATCTCCTGCCTAAAGAACAGAATATACATTTTGGGCAAAAATAGACAACAAAGGAAACCATACGAGCTCAACAGAGTTGTTACACAATCCACAACAGTTACATACCATCCATCTATGGACAATTCTACCGGGTGATAACAAAGCAACGAGAACAAAAATATATACATGGAAAAGGCGATTAGTTTGGCCTCGCTGAAATTTTCAGGAACTTTCCTAATCTTAAAGGCACAGAATGACGACAGAAGCATTTAGAAGAAAATATAAAAGCATGTTGCCAAGAATAGAGATTTTCCAACTGAGCCGGAGTATGCCTTGCATTCGTCAAAGGTGTAACGTTTCGGATAGGTATGTTGCATGTTAAAGGGTGGATCCAGAAGCAACCATGGCATCAACACCGACAACAGTGGAACTAGAGATGCTATAACAATCCGAACTTGTGCTTTGTTAGAAAGAGAAGCGAATTCCAAACTGGTGATAATGGGAACCTGAAAAGCACTGGAAATAAGCAATATCTTAACCAATAAGATGGAGAGACAGAAGTTATAGGTCAGATAACGTAACGGGTATATGATCTTGCAAATTACACTCGTGGATATAAAGACATTTATAAATGCCAAAGACAATAAGGACAGAATTGCGAGTAAAAGAACAACGCTTAGTTCTCGATTGGAAGCCTTGACAATGGGACTATTCCAGAATTTATAGAGGGCTGCCAGACAAAGCAATGTAACAACTACACCGAGTGTAGCAAAGGAAAGAATTAAAATTCCACTCGCACTACCATAACTTATGTTGACGGAGGGTAAAGCGACACACTCTGTCTTAGCCTGGTTGGACATTGTTCCGATGGGGCATTCACTGCAGCTTTTAGAACCAGCAGATGGGCTGATGGTTCCACCAAGACACGGAAGGCACTGCCAACAACAAGGTGAGGTAAAAGATTTCCTTGTTCCGGGAGGACACTGTTCCGAGCAGTCAGATTTCGGAGGGCGACCGGAAGTAGTCGTCCAACTCAGGGCTTCATGAAATATCAAGGGAGTTTCGTTCCTCTTTGAATTTTTCCATTCTCCTATCAGCACCATTTTTACACTCTCCACATCTCCATTGGGTACTTTTTTAAAGCTGAAAATGTCGTAATACGCTAAACCCCTGTTACCAAATCGATCGAACTTGATTTTTCCAGTCAGTCCGTCAAAATTTACTCTGCCAAAAAGCTTCTGCACCTCAAAACTATTGGCTATCTGCAATTTCGCCCGATCTTTGGTCTCGTTATTGCTAAAGTTTCGATTGAAAATATCTACCGCATGTGCCACGGCATATACGGCGTCGATGATGTACGGAACAAAGGAGCTGTAGATTTCTTTAATCAAGTTGTTAGAGCACTGCTCAATTTGGCGATGAACACACTTCTTGCTCTTCAAAAGCTTCCATATTTCGCTTGTACTGTAGTTCCATTCAGAAAAACTTCTATTGTCTCTCTCCTTGACCAATATATCATTTGAATATTCCTTGAAGACAGAGTCGCTGAATTCATGGAATAGAAATCCCAAAGAGTTCTCGAGAATACCTTCTACTGGCAGTGTGGAAGTTGAAGGAGCATTGCTCAAAATCCACACACGTCCAGTTAGGTTTTGTCTTTGAATCTCTGCCAAAAACTTTGTTAAGTAATTTTTGTATAACCATAAGATCACAACTTTGACATTGTCCATCTGTTTAAGCTTTCTAACTATGTTCGAAATACTTAGATTCAGACTTTCGTGGCGTATAAACTCCGTCAAAGCAATACAGAACGAGTTTTTTCTTGACCTACTTTCGCTAACTACTGCCCATGCTCCATTTCGTCCATACGAATCATCTAGTCCAACGACAGCAACATAACTCCAATTGAAGTGTGTAACCAAGTCAACCATCGCCTTTGCAAGAAAAGTATCCGAAGGCACTGTTCGAAAGAAATGGTCATAGGTAAGGGAGCTAAGTTCAGCACTAGTAGCTGATCCACTTATGCTCGAAACATTGAGCATTCGAAGAAATCCACCGATGAATAGCGCTGTGCTAGATTCGTACGGGCCTATTAACGAAATGATGGCTTTCTTTCTTGTAGCATTTTGGCTTAAATTGACGCAAGAATCAACAGTGAAAAGTTTGTAAACAAGTCCTGCAGCTTTTGAGAGGTTTCCACAGTAATCCCTTATGTCATATCCTAGGGAAATATTTGAAAGAAGACTTGTGTCGTTGTTTATTCGTTCGATTGCGAAGATCATGGCCTGCATGTGACCAAGTCCTTTCAAATGTATCTCTCCGCATTGGCTCCCTGGCTGGTCTGCCGGCTGGTGCACATTGAAAAGTCCGCCCAACATAATATCGCCTTCTCTGTATGGAGCCTGAACAGCAGTATAGAAGCAGAAGAAAAGAAACAACTGGTAGTGCAACGAACTCATAGCAGTACACGTCTCTTCCTTTTTTACTTGTTGGTGAGCCCAACGCATAAACATTTGTATGTTGATGTATTTTGCACATATGGTAGTGATCAGTAACTTTTTATGTTGATTTCAATTCAGAAACCAAATTTTACTCCACAATGGTGACCATATGTAGGAAGTGTCTAAATTTAAAACATCTCGGACATTGTAATGCTAGCTTTATGACAGTTTGACGCAGTTGTTCAATGGAGCTGTTGCGTAGGGAATAAAAAGAGAAAATTCTAATATATCTATAGAACTTACTTCAATTACAACGCAATTTTTTACAGATTAACACGCATTGAAAACTTTCAAATGTAAATACCACTCCAACTAGTTAGAACGTATTTTTATGAACTTGAGAATAATTGCATATTAATCCAAATGTACCTTCTTACCAACAGTGTTCAAATAACTTCCAGTAGAATATACATTTCTCTAAATTATACCACAGGAAGTTAATTGGAGTATTACTCTGCCCAGATGAGACCATATGTTTTTCGAAACAATGTTTTCTAATTTTATCGGAGAAGCTAGCTAGACCTTCCGCTGATCAAACCATCCCAGAAACATAACAAAAAAACAATCCGTAGCACGTTGGACGAATGAATTTTCCTCAATAACAGATTAAATTTTATTTAAACACAACAGCGACAGCGGCAATCCTTTTGATTGCCAGCTACTGATATTCCTAAATGTGAATAAAAGATCTAGAAAAATATGTAAATTATCCATGAAACAAAAAGAGAGTCAGTTTCAGTATCCATCAGACTTCTCCCCTTAACATATCCATTTACCTTTTTACTAAGATCACACGTTACGAATCGGCATTTGCTAACTTATATAATGATCGCAATCTTCAAGCGTTTAACGCAGTCGACACCATTTCTTTGTGCACCGCAACGCAACGCAATCCCAAAAAGGCCGTGACCTACACGCGGTAAAATCAGATACTAAGATAAAAAGAAAAACTGACTCCTTCAAGTTGGTTGGTCGCCTACATTGTAAGGTAATATGTGGGACACAGATGACGCCTCTACGGCTTGGCTTAGCACATTTCAAGTCATTGAGAATTTAACATACATTTAATAAAAAACTCAATTCATATCCTTGTGTCAACTGCTGATGACAGTTAACTGCTAACTGTCACGGACTGGATGAGCAGTGCGTTGTTCGGCTTCTTCCTGAACAGTGACTGTGTACGAATAAAGTACTCCACTACAAAGGACTGCGATGATGCTGGGAACGAAAAATACCATAAAAAATTTCTTGTTATTATAATATCTCAGAATCAATGCGATAAACATCATGCGAGAGACTTTCACATCTTGACGCAGTCAATCATCTTTCCGGCAGAATTGACTGACCAGACCGATCTACTCGGGGTTATTCTACTGTTATTGCGATATATGGCACTGTGGTCCATATTGCACTATGCCTCATATTGTACCGTGCTTGCATTGTGCTACCTTTCAAGGACATACTGTGGTGCACAAACGCTTAAAATTACGAGGACCTTAATTTTTTTGGCAGGATGCCATCTATTTTATCAGTATGGTTGTAATTTTAAAAGTTCTGTTTTTGAAAAAAAAACGTCTAGGCGGAAAAATTAGAGAAAGAGGCATTCGTTGCCTACAAGCACTTAAAAAAAACGTTTTAACTCGAGATCACTGAGGCCAGCATTTTTTTGCCGAATGTCGTTCGGCTTTGTTATGAAAAAAAGTGTTCCTTTTGAAATTAAATTACAATACTCTCGTTTGGTTCCTGTGGCAAAAACGTCAAAGCGTGCTTCCTGTTCCTGCAAAACGTGGCGTGAACCGAAGCCATGAACATGTCACTCACAGGTACCGTTGTAAGGATTTAATACATAAGTTCAACCAGCTGCGTCTCAAAGACGAGCTTTAAAACCTGTTTACACTAGTCCTAATCTCAAAACACTTCCTTAGCTACACGGCTTTACTAATTAATGATAAATACTAGATCAGAAAAAATACATAATAAAATGAAAAGGAATCATCCATTTTACCTCACAGCCATGTTACTGTCAAGGGTGACATCGAAAATAAACAGTGACAGAAACGATATGGCAACCTGTGGAGTAGTAGAGTTATCCAAGTCCTAACTATCACCGATCAATTGTTTCAACGAAACAATCGTGCACCGATCAATTCTGAAGGTTCAACATCCACCCCCCGGGCGATCTACGGGCATTTGACTATTGTCTTTACCCGTGGGGTGGGGAATTTAAACCTTGCCCGGCTGGGGTGGAGAATTTGAACCGGAAGTGTTAAGTCTTCCCAGCGGGATACAAGTGTTTTATCTTTAAATAAGGAGGTGATTAAAGGTATAAATTCACCTTCGTGAGCGAATGGCTCGGCAGAAGAAAAGGTCTACAAGGTCTAGGTTTTAAGGATTAGTCCGTGCGTAGAAAGCCATGATTTCTGAGTTTGCCTATTACAAAAAAAATGAACATCACATCCAGCTCCTGGAGAGGTTGGGGCAAGAATTGCACAGACCAGCCTTCAAAAGTTCAAATGCCCATGCAGGTTGTCTGGGAGGAGGGGCGGGGGATGGGGGTTGAAGTTTCAAATTTTATTGACAAATTTTTTTTAACAAATTATTCATAGGCGTTTTCTAGAAGGAAGGGGTGAGGAGCAGAATTAATCGTATTGGGGGAAGGGGGGGGATGTATCCGCTTAACTTGGATCAGTATACTTAGTTCCAAGTCCACAGAGAAGAGTGGCAAGTGACGAAACCCAAAAGATTCTGAAAATACTCTCAGTTATTCCTCAAACGATAACCAACCCTTGTACCGAAGTAATGCGAAATTCGTGACGCTGCTTGGATTTTCCTGTTGGTGCATGAAAAGCAAATAGGTCACGAACAAAAACTTCAAGCCACTTCTGCTCTGAAGTCAAAATATTTGCACTCACGCGAACAAAATGAAGACTTTTTTCCCTCTACCTCCCTAGATCGTTATTTGAAGTTTATCCGAAAAATCATTAAAAACAGTTTATCTTCCTGTTTTCTGTTTACCTCTATCATCACGCCCACAATAATTTTTTTGGCTCAGACGCTAAACCAGGACTAAGTAAAGAATGCCTAGGTATTGGAATCTAAATTGTACTACTGACCTTATTAAGGCTATCAATTATTCCCAATGAATAGGAAACTTCTGTATCTAACAGAGACACTCTTATCAGCCCAAGTGCTGCTCCAAATATACCACTGAAATAAAATAGACGAAGAGGAGAGCTGCAACAGTTATTTTGTTTCAAAAGTGACACTTTAACCCTCTAACTCTCATGAGTGACCAAAACAGAATATCTCCTTACAATATCAATACAATATCAAGCAGACAAGTGATGAGAATGAAAAAATATATATTAAATTAAGGATTATTAGTTAATCCAATACCAAATTCTCCAAACTAACATTGCAAGAACTATATAGCAGACAGTAAAGAGAATTACTAATGAGATCTTGGGAGTTAAAGGGTTAAAGAGTATTAGCTTTCACTTAGATTTTGATAATATAGTCTGATGATCAACACTGTAGCTAGAACTACCTGCATTGCATTTAGGGACTCTATGCAAAAGACTGCTTACCTTCCCATGCACCCAAGGTGAAAGTGTGTGGAATATAGGAAAGGAAACTCAATTATTTTGTAAAGTTCACCTGCACAAAACAAACAAAACAAAACAAAGTCAACTAAAATTAAAAAAAACCCATAAGCTTGCATCATGTTTCTATAATATACTTGTCATCATTGTTTTCTGGGTGATCTGAACAATTTATTTTATTGTGTTACTTGGAAACAGCTCTATGATCAATCAACTGACAGAGGGATGCACTGGCTACATGGAGAGGGTTTAGGTGAAATATGGAGGTACTGGGAGCCACAAAGGCTGCAGGACACAAGTACCATGTACAGAAATCCACAGAACTCCACCCAGAGAAGTACAAATGAAGAGATCATAATTGGCATTAAGTCAAACTTGTCTATACGTTTCAAAGTAAGGCCAGACAAAAGATGATTCCACCATCAAAAAAAGTGTATGTAACATTTAGTATTTATATATATACCTGGAAAGCCTGTGAGAGTGCTCTCATTAGTGTCAGGAAATGAGCATCAAGGTCCCTTGGTTTTGAACCAATAAAAAATGGGGAGCTAGTGTGAGAAGTCCACTCCCCCAATAATTAAGCTCCCTCTAACCAATGCTTTGAATCTTTGGGGGTAAGTTTCTGAAGAAACTGTAATGTTGCATCAGTGGGAAAATATAACAGGGTAATTTAGCTTTGTCAAAGAGTTGTGGAGAGTAAATTGGCCATCATAAAGAGTTTCAAAGCTGGCGATTTGAGCGTTAGCCCTTTGTTGGGCTACTACCCTAACGGATTTGAATGGTTTGCTCAAAGTTATATTCAAAAAGAGTTTCTCTTCTTACCTGTTAAAACACTGATTCCCATCAAAACAATTACACTGTGAAAAAAACACAAAAGAAAAGTATTAATTCAATAATATATCTCAATTGAATACCAGCCCAAGACACAACATCAACAATAACAAGAAAAGTGACAACAACACCAAACTCAAGGTGCATAATTACTGTAGAAGCTTTATTTCCTTAACCCTTTAACTCCCAGATCAAATTTGTAATTTTCCTTTCCATCAACAATACAATTCTTATCATGTTAGTTCAGAGAATTTAGTATTGAATCAACTAATTATCCCCAAATTGATATTTTTCTTAATTCTCATCACTTATCTGGTTGATATTGTATTGATATTGTAAGGAGAAAATTCTTTCTTGGTCACTCACAGGAGTGAAAGGGTTAAAATCATCAGATACTTGATTCTGATCTGCAGATATATAGATGCTAATGCAAGTCCATTACCAGTCACAAATGTAGAACATGACAACATAAAGAGACCATGACACACTGGGAAAGTCACCTTAGACTGTATAGACTGTCAATCATTTTCACAGATCAAAGAAAAATTAGGAAGAACAAGACAAAAGAAACAGGAGCCAAAATAGCGGCAAAGAACAAAAGCATCAATGAAACTTATTAATCAGAATCAAGATTTCCGCTGCATAGAGAAAAACAATCAGCAAAAGACAATAATTAGACAAACCTCACAACAGCATTGTAGAATAATTTATCCAAGTCATTTAATGAATTCTTATTTTGGGATTTTCCATAATATACATAAATGGCTGGAATGAAAGACAGACATGAAATGGTCACCTAACAAGGCAGTTGTAATTTTATTATTATTTATAAATATAAATTACAAAACCATCTGGTAAGTTAATAGAATACTCTTAATATCTTACAAACTTGGAAATTAACTATACTAAATGAATCTATGAAAACAAACTAGATATATTCACTGAATAAATAAAAAAAAAATACAGACCCTTATTTCAACCAAATCAATAATTTGAAACACACATCCTAAATAAAAAAGGATTAATCTCTGTGAAACTTCAATGTTAAATTGTTGGAAAATGGAAAAGTCTTACAGTTAACTCTTTAACTCCCATGGGTGACCAACACAGAATTTCTCTTTACAATAGCAATACAATATCAAGGAGAAAAGCAATGAAAATATAGAAAACTATCAACTTGGGGATAATTAGTTGATCCAATACCAGATTCTCCAAACTAACATCACAAGAATGGTATGGGAGACTGTGAGTAAGGAGAATCACTAATGAGAATTTAAGAGTTAAAGGGTCCATCTAGCCAGGGCTTATTCTAGTTTCAGTGGCATGAGGTGACTTAGAGTACTGATACTCCCACTTGGATTATGCCAGTCCATTGCAGGTTACTCACACCTCCATCCTCTGCCATTTCATCAGGGTTTTCCAACAGCTTTCTAGTACCCATTATAAACCTATTTATTTCTCGGCAATACTTGCCTGAAAGTCCACAGTGAATCATAAGCCATTTGTATCCCATCTGATCAAACTAACATGAAGTGAAGTACAATGAATGAATAAACCCTTGTCTAGGACACACAAACATTTAAGTTCCACACGTAACTAATTAATGTTCTTATCAACATATTTACAAGGGAAATAAGAAAATACACTCAGATATATAAAATTACCTGCACATCAGTTCCTGCAACAGATACTGTTGCAATAGCTGTAAATATCAAACTGTAAAGGAAATAAGATCTGTTTTAGAAACAGCAGAATTTTTATCAAAGTCTTATATATTCCCCAGGCGACCCCCGTAATAGCATTTGAACTAAAGAAGATTGATTTGTTCAAATTCCTGCCCCATGGAAAAAATTATGTACAATAGTAAACTATTTACTACTGGTATTATGCATTTTCCATATTTAACTGTAAATCACTTTTATTCCACTAAAAAAAACTTGACACTCTCTATTTAAATTCTCCATCCCAGCCAGACAAGGTTCAAATTCCCCAACCCTGTATATGGACAAAGGTCAAATATGCCAGGGTTGCCAAGGAAGGGGAGAATGTTGAAGCTTTTACATTTTCAGGATAAATATTTCAAAAATGCAATAAAATATTTGAGACAGAAGCAATGTATTGTTGTATGGATCTGTTTGAAAAGTGGGTCAACAAAGGCCTGAAAGACAATTTATGATCATAACCCCACCTGAATTGTGAATTTGTTGATGGCTCCTGCAGAAACAAAGGTTTTGATTTGATCAACAAATTTCCTCTTTAAAGTCTAAAATACTTTATTTATACAAAAAAAGTATTTGGTTCTCTAGAGCCAAGAACTCCCATTAAAGCAGAAAAGGACTCCCTCCCTCCCCCCAGCCCCGGATAAGATACTACTCTACTGTAGCAGGTTATTACCTCTCAGTATTTGATCGGGATTAGAAATTTGCTGGTACTTCTTTAGTCTGCTGGGTAAAAGAGACAAATGGAGAGTCATGTGTCTTGCTCTAAAACACAACAGAAAGACTCTGCTGAGGCTTGGGCATCTCCCATAACAAACTGGGATCGATTACCTAAGGATCAAATATACCCTACAATGATCAATTATAGCCTGCCCAGGACTTTTGCCATGACCTCTTGATCCAAAGGGGTACAAAGGCCACTGCATCTCCACAGTAATTCAGGAGTTGGAGTTTGGAGGAATTTGGATTTTATTATTATTTTTATTATTATATTATTATTATATATTATTTTTATTTTTTTATTAGTCCTCTTCCTACCACTTTCAAGGAATTTTTACAGTGTAACTCTTTCAACATGTTACTGTTTTATATACCCTACTGGTGCTTCACCTGTCAAGAGGGAATTTCATCAACCAACTTTTTTGCATGGAATTTCATATATCTATGAACATTCATGTGTGAAGTGATCATTAGCTTCAATGTTAACGTCCATGTGTATTTCACTTTAGGTAACTGTTGGAGAGCTATTATAGTGAAAACAGCTGGCAAGTCGGTTGGGATTGGCTTGCAACAAGTTGCTCTCTTAGCGATCACAAACAGTTACCATTACTTAATAATAAATTGTTTAATAATGTTGCTTCTGACTTAAAAACAAGAGCTGCATTGTACATTAGTGTGCACATACAATGTAATAGTTCAAACACTCACCTTTTTAAATATGAAGGATTCTAATAATGCCACCAACAATGTTTTTAAGTAACACATGGTACAGAAAACTGGAACTGGCTGTTTTAGGAAAAGACAGATAGGAAAAAAGAAAGTTTCCCATGTTTGACCACAAAAATGTCTACATAGGAAACTTTTGAGATGTATATATGTAACCATTAACTCTCAAGGTGTCTTCTTTCAACCCTTAGGACCCTAACATCATTATGTATATTCTCCATACTGTTCTCTAGACATTTCCTAAGATGCCAACATGGAGAATTTTTCAAAAATCAAGAGCTTCTTTAGTCAGTGATCAGCTACTTGGGGTGATATGGTAAGGAGAAATTAGATGCCAGTCACTCTTAGCGGTAAAAGGGTTAAGACTCCCATTTAACACTGACAGCAGAAGAAACAAGTCTTGAGAAGGGAAGTCCCTGTGAACTGACACCTACACAGGTGACAGGTAAGAAAGAAATTGCACAAAACAAGGCCTGATACAGCATCAGCCTCATTGAAGTGCAAACTAAGCTTCCCAAATACTAGATAAATTTTAAGTTAGAGACTAGGGATAGGGTCAAGACTGGCTGAAATAAAAAAAAGTTTATAGGGAAATCTTTTAAGGCTTCTAAATTTTGTTAAGAGGAATCTGATCAGTTCATAATTATTTGAGAGGATCAGTTCAATATTTGTTATTGACAGATCAGTATGTGATCATCTCATTTATTTCTGATAAACACTTTGATCACTGACCAGTCTTGACAGAGCAACTGATCCTGAATAAATTATTCCACTATACAGCACTGAAGCAGGCAGCCATGATGCAAGAGTAGTGCTAAAATAATGAAATAAAGAATAAATTTAAGAAGGAAAGCAATGCAAATTTTACAAGTGCATGTACAAAAAACACAGCTTTACACCAAAATGCTAAGGGGATGTGTGAATATATAAATGTAGCAACATAAATAACACCAGTTATTATCAAAATTAACTACAACTCCTCAGATGTACCTTGTGACAGGTAAAAAGGTGATTTCAATGTATCCCAGAGCATTCAAAGAAAGTAGCACCATGGCAACAGTTCCAGTCTGCCAGCTAAAAAAAAAAAAAAGACAAACAGCATTTATTTGTAGTATGTAATATTATTGATTGTCTCTCAGTGGAATCACATATGATGTGAATTATACATCACTGGAGAGGAGGGTGAGAGGCCAGAAACAAGATTATTTCACTGTGAAAATGATTTTTTTTTAATCAGTCTTCCTCTTCTAGGTAAGATGATCATTTCAATTTCCTTATTCTATTTATACTAGGGGTAAGGAAATCATCGGCCACAGGAAGTTACTGGTTATGATTCTCATAAGTGACCAACAAAGAAATATATGTTCAGAGAGTTACTTCTCACTCCAAGATCTCATTAATAATTCTCCTTACTGGCTGACATAAATTGGAATTATTTTGATGGCATAATTAGATCATTTAGTATTGGATCAATTACTGATCCCCTCGTTGATAATTTTCTTTATTCTTATCCCTTGCTTGCTTGATTTTGTGTTAATGCTGTAGGAAGACACTGTATCTTGGTCTCTCTTTGGAGTTAAAAGGTACAGAACGTACATGACATGTATGTGATGAGGGTTTTTAAGGCTCACCTTTGAAAAACTGTTGGATAAGTAAACCTCAGGTCTGATAAAACGTGCTGCGGATTACAAACGGACGGAAAAGTGTCAATACGGTTTAGCTGATTTTATTCTGTGATCGATCCTTTGTTGACGAATCTTTAGGGAAAAAGCGAAGACAACCAGTCCTAAGTGCATGTAGCACTGACGTTTTACTTGAAACATTGAGATAACAATCGAATTTATATCAAATATAAAATACATTCCAAACAACAAAAATCGGTAACCTTGTTCACTAAAGTGGTTATGATTGAAAAAACACAAAGTCCTATTATAAGACTTTGCTTCCGCCATGTTGTTGCCGTCATTTTGGAGAGTATCCGCTGCTCAAAAATATCAGGGAAGATCTCTTATAATTTTCCCGGCGATGAAATCCATAGCATATACAATAATATTTCCTAAAGATTCCTTTAAAAACGTATTTCTTTGGCATACGAGATAAGAGGTGGGTAGTTGTAACCAGGAACTTGTGTGACGTATTCTAGACACCAGTACTAATCGAGCTGCTGAACAGGAAGCTAGAGGTTATTGAAGTGTTACATCGGTCGACTTTTGCTGAAGCATCAAAATGAAACACGTAACAAGAACAACTGTACGTTAACTATCAGGTAAGATGTTATGAACAACGTTGCACATTTTGCATGCTTTTTACGAAACGAATTGAGAAGCACAGTTTTGCGATATTGACGCGGCAGTGAAGAGAATTGAGCTTTGATAGACAATTGCGTCTGTCACTGACACCAGAAGTGGTATGCTAATTCACCAAGTCTTAAATCTTCTATTCCTCTGTATACTTTCAGATAGAAATACTTTCATATTTCAATGTCAGTCATCAACTTTTGCGTTCTTGTAACCAACTGTTGTCCGTCAAACACGTCGCAGTTGTTAAAATATTGGCGAGTGGTTGAAATGTTTACTTATATTGCTGCTTGACAAATAGCTCATCCACCAACCGAAGCAATCTTTGTATATTCTGATGGTAATCAAGACTTTCTTTCACGGCGAGGTTTTCGCGATAGGATTCGAAGCTAACGTAAGGCTGCGCTTTTCGAAGTGTTGATCGCTCTTCAGTTGACGAAGCGCATCATCACGAAAGTTATAAATATCGTGCTTCGGAATGTTTAAACACAATGACGGTGAAGGACTTAATTAACTTGAATTACATTTTTTAAAAAAAGAATTAAATCGAAAGACGATCCACAAAGAGACGAATTACTTAGATTCTAAATCAAATGGAGGTCGAAATGAATTTAGTCTGTCTTCCTTCTAAAGCTACGTGTAGAATGGATATGTATGTCTGTGTTACGGTTGACTGATCATTTGCTTTTAATCCCAAATGCGGAGCTACAACGAGATAACATTATTTTAGGATCTGTCAATGGCGCCCCCTCACATCTGCTTTTTTTCACTCAACGAGCTTAAGTGCCATTTACCCGAGGGGGATCACATGCTTTTCAGGTGGTATGGAGGGGGCATCAGCTGTCGACAATCGAGTATTAATTAACTCTTTAACTCCCAAGATCTGATTGTTAATTCTCCCCTCTAGCTGCTAAACATTTCCTTGTAAATCAGTTAGGAGAATTCAGTGTTAAATGAAGATAACAACCTCTACCTGATAAGTTAGAGTTTTCTCAATGCCTGTTTGTAGGATAATGTATGAGTATCATAAGGAGAAGTTCCATGTTGATCACTTCTGGGACTAAAAGGGTTAAGGAAGGACTAAAGAAAATTGACTTCTAATCTGCCAAAGAGGGGGGTGGAGTAATAAGAATTTTATAAAACAGGGGATTCAATGTGACACAAACAAAATCCTTCCATAAATATTCACTGGTCCCTGAGACCATATGGTACTGTCTTTGTAATTTGGAGGCAAAAAGTAACAGGCGAGGGAGACTGCGAGAGAGATCAATCAGGAAAGGTTTTCGTGAATGTACAGCAAATATGCGGAAGGATGAATGCATATCTACTATTTTTAGGAAGACACCAGTCCCCCCTCCCCTCCCTTCCCTCCTACTTGCTTGCATAGCTGGTGGTTTTGTGTACGCTTCACGGTTTTCCGCAAAGCGATGAGCAGCGAATCCACAAGAGGAAAAAACTATCTTCGGTCCCAAGCCTCATTGCGTACAGTGTAAGCGCACACAAAACTGCTAACTGCACCACAGGCGGCTTGAGCTCCAGCTGTGAGATGATCATCTTGCAAAGTACCAGTCATGGCGAAATAATAAGGGAAAGGAACCCATTTCAGCGAGTTCTCCATTTTGAGGTTTTCTACGCAATAAGAAAAGCCCGCTTATTCCTTAGAGTGGTCGTAAATATTCCCATACAAACTCTTATAATTCCGCCATGACTGTTATTTCGCAAGATGATCATCTCACAGCTGGAGCTTAGGCCTCCTGTGGCTGCACAAGTTGCTCATCCCCATTGCCCCGTGTCTTTCATTATATGTTCTGTGATTTCAACTCTTTTTCTACCGAACTTTAATTTGAAACCATTGTCAAAGATTAATTAGGAAATTAATTGTGTTTTAAACCCGCCCAGTGTTTCCTTCTCAACACAGACGTAAAGTGCAGCGCGGTAATCTTTCACAAAGATGAAGTCACGGATAGCGGGAATCGTATGCCTGTATCTCCTGGAGATTGGTTTCCTGACTAATGCGCAAGGTACAGTACACCGCTTCGTCAGACAAAAGCAGCAAAACAAGACAAAAACAACAAGAAAATAATATTCAAAAAGAAAAAAGCCACAAAAACTACAATCAAAACAATAGGAAAAAAACAAGCAAAACAATCACATCAACAACCATGAAACAAATAAACAAGCAGACTCCAAGCGTTTAGTTTGGGTTGCCTGTTGTCCAATGTTTAGTCATCGACAGTAGTTCTTTGATTCACAATGACTTTGGTTTTCTTGGATCACTGATCTTCGTCCATCATTTAGAAGAGTCGCGCACTCACTTACATGGTCTATAAGTTAAATGGAGATTATTCCATGAAAAGTGCGCGCGAGCGATTTTTATCCATGAGTTCCGATGCATCGGAAAAAAAGGGAACGAGTTGATGGTACATCTCAGTGTAAATCTCAGTGTGTTCTCCAAGCCTCGTTTGCATTAAATGTTCTTGAATCTTTGTCACTTCCTAGTTATTTTTTGTGAGGTTTCTTGTTTGTGTTTTAGATTTCAGTGTTTTTGGGAATACTCTCATAAAAATTCACTAGTCTTCATCATGTAAGCGAGGCCTGAAGTTGAAAATTTGGTATTCTGACGTAAGCATGCATGAGACCTTTCGCCACGAATCTGTGAGGATCATTTTATCAAAAACACTAAATTAATTTGATATATTATTTTGAAGGGGTTCCTGGTTTGACGGCCCACTTCATAAATGAAACCGCCGTTAATGTGAGTTGGAATGCTCCCTCTAGCAATGAAAAGGTCGCCAGCTATAAAGTCATTATTTTAGAGGGAAATGCTGAGCTGAACAATATAACTGTGGACAATAGCACACTTTCTGTTATTATTTCTTCTCTGGATTATTGTAAATCATACACGGTGCAAGTGGTCGGAATCTTGAAGAACGGGTCAGTGATAACAACTCCAGCACCCGGGAACGTTACCACTTATCAATATAACACTCGTTGCGGTAAGAATAAGTTTACTTTTTATTCATTTCTGGGGAAGGGAAATGAGATCACATGGTTTTATTTCAGGGCGAGCGGAGAGGAAATCAGTCGTCGCTAATAGAGTATAAAGCGGGGGATTATAGAGAATTGACTGCTAATAAAGGAGGGAGGGGGTCGTTAGTATACTTCAGAGCCTTAGGGGGATCAGGTAAATTTTATTGTGATACAACCAAACCCTTCCGCTCCCCTTTCCCCGGCGGCAAATAATGACCATAATACAGTCCCCCACTAATTTTTGGTCTAAGTCAGTAAACTAGCGTACCAGAGTGTCTCAATGGAAACATGCATTGTGTTACGTATTTCCAAGGAAGATCTTATCCCGAGTGGAGTCCCGACTTGGTGTGTTAACTATTTGTTTTGATGAAACAACGCAATTGAAACTAAGGTCATCTATTCAATCGACGAGAAACTCTTCTCACGCAGAGTCTAAGTCTCTTCTGAGTCGGCAAAGGGGCCATCAACCTTCATTACTAACTTATGTTCTCGACCCACATACTCACAGTTCCAAGGTACAGTGGGTAAGGTCATTGATCCATAACGTTTGTGTAATATCCATTGATTGGTAATATTCGCTTATTTTCTCTTCGTAGCCGCACCCTCTATAGCGCCCAAGACGCAGAAGGTGTACGTGCGCCGTGGCCATCCAGTAACTTTGAAATGCAACTACTCAGGGATTCCAACACCGTCTCTATATTGGAGAGTGGATGGCCCTAGTGCGAATAAAGATGTCAGGCAGGGAAATCCAGTGAAATTAATCAACCATAATGATCCCATGAGGTCAGAAGTTCAGACGCTGACTGTAAAAAACGGAAACTTGCAAATCTCAAAAGTTGACGATCTGGACAAAGAGAGAGTTTATAAGTGCGTGGTTGAGAATCGTCTGGGAAAAGCCTCAAGCAATGTTACGTTAACTTTGGTCGGAGGTATGGGGTTTACTTCTAGCACAGTTTTATATATATAGATATATATCTATCTATCTATCTATCTATCTATCTATCTATCTATCTATCTATCTATCTATCTATCTATCTATCTATCTATCTTAAAGGACTAACACCTTAAGTAATAAATTATCAACTTGGCTGTGGAATGTTAGCGGTCGACGTGATAATGACCCATAATCGTTTTCAGACAATAATTATTTGGATTGACTGTCTTCATTTTGACAACAACAACAACAAAACCAACAATTATGAAGACAAGTTCTGGATGTGGAAGATACTTTGAAGTCCCTACATCTTCCTGAACTGAAAATACTCCTCAATATGGACTGATCGGTTTTTTTCGACAAAGTATTGTAAGTAAAACCATAAAAACACCGATAAAGGGGTAAGTGTCTAAGGAGACTGTGGTGCTACGTCGGTGGAAGAGTATAACAGGGTAATGTAGTATTATGAACTGAGTTGATAACGTAGATTAGCCTCCGTGAAGAGTTTCGAAGCAGACGTTTCGAGAGTTAGCCCTTCGCCATTCGCTCAGACGAAGGGCTAACACTCGAAGCGTCAGCTTCGAAACTCTTTACGGTGGCCAATTTACGTGATCAATTCGGTTGATCCTACTAAATTACCCATAAAAACACTGAACTTTACATGCATTTGTTCCAGTTCACGTATTTTTCAGTTATGTTCAATGTAAGTATCAAAAAAAGTTTTCGCCTGCTTCTTTATTTTATTTTCTCTCTTTTTCTTCTGTAAGGTTGTAACTTGCTTAATCCGTAAAGAAATCTTGCAAACATTGACTTATGATTGTTCACAGGCAACAGCCAACCATAGAGCGCGTACAGTAGATTTTAATTCATTGCACACTTCCTATGAATTATGTTAACAGACTACCCTGAGCGGTACTACATTAACTATCAGTTGCTCAGTACTTGCTGAATCCTGACGTCGCTTGGTTTTCTCGCTAAAACCTAATTGGTTGCTTTCTTCGATTCATGTGAGCGTGTTATTTAAATGTTGGGCTAATATTCACGCTTTGTATTACTTTATCGGCAGTTTATGAGACGGTAGAAATGAACATTAAAGTGGAATGGACCTCAGAAGTCCAAAAGCATTACCAAAACAATGCTACGCTCAACAGCTTCCTTGGTCAGCAGATTAAATCAGAGGTTAGATCTTATCTAGATGGTAAACATTGCAATATGTTCTAAATTGTGAGTGATGAAGTGATTCTCAGATGAGAAATATAAGCACCTTATTCGATGGACATTTTGCGAGCTGCCCATTATTTTTCCGAGCCTTGTAGGGGCGAGGAAAAATATGAGCAATGAGCTCGTATTGTATGTTAAACCATCAAATAAGGGATTTATTATTCCACTATTGTTTCAGTTTTTACTGTCTTGATTTTTCTTTAGTATGCGAAATACATTGTACGGCCTTATCTCTGCATCGTATCGATTGCATAAGGAGTACGTGAAAGACGAAAACAACACGAACAAAACCATTACAGTGTTCTTAGTTACCAACGAAAAAAATCTCTCGTGCTTTTAAGTCCCTTTCTTTAAAAGTGGAGCCTAAAAAACGAATTAAAAATCAAAATTTAGATCGCTCAGTGCAGCCATTTTGTTGCTCCGGATTTTTGGTCTGTTCTACAGTGTAATACCGCCGCATATTTTGCGCGTTCTCATGACCTTATTTGGTAAAATTATATTGAAATGAAGTGATGAATATTTATATATGATATTCTTGTAGGTGGGAAACTTTTCCTCAAAACTACAGGATATGAGAGTGTCAGTTATTCGCACAGTTTTGAAAGTGGATGTTGAGTGAGTATTCAAGAGATTTTTGGTGAATTGAATGTACATTTACTACTTTTTTTTTACATACACTCTCGCCGTTCGGGTTAGAAGATTTTCTTTTTCCCAAACCGACGCAAGGGACTGAATCAGTCAAAATAATTTGGTTTTATTAACTGAGTTGATAATGTAACTTGACCACCGTAGAGAGATTTTAAGGCTGACGTTTCGAGCACTATTATAATTATTTTTAATATTGTTATTATTAATATCATTGTTATCATTATTATTATTTATTACTAAGTTAAACCCGTTGTCATAGAAAACTAGAGGACCGTGGTTCGCTCTGACGAAAGGCTAACTTTAAATTCGAAGCGTCAGCTTTAAAATCTCTCTATGGTGGCCAATTCAGTTGATAAAACCAAATCATCTTGTTCTACCCCCACTGACCTGACACGAAAATTTGTTTAGACACATTACCCCCTTAATTCATTATTATTTAGTCAGTCTGGTAAGCATAAATTTGGCTAAGGTCGTCGATACGTCAATCAATTCCATTGACAAGAAACCTTTCTACTCTCAACAGTAAGATTACAATACAAGATCCTTCAACTGTTACTTCTAAATTTAAACTATCAAATTTATCTTTGATTTGCTATTCAATAATTTCAAACTCGGCCAGTGTAGTACGCTTACCACGCCATCCATGGCACCTATGGAAACAACTCAATATTAATTGCGCTTTCGTTCTTTAGGATCATTATGAATCTTTTTATCAATGCGACGACGACAGAAGGAGATCCTTCAGATGAAATAGAAAAAGGAATCCTGAGAATGGTAGACTCAAAAAAGTTTGGTGTGCTTCCTATTAAAAGCGTCACTATTTCAGGTATGCCTTTTACTTCCTCTTTTTACAGTGATATCATGAACATGGAATACAAAGTTTCTTCACGCCTCTCGCACAAATCACCTACGGCCGGTTATTTAAACAGATTTTAGCTGTTGTTTACCAAAACCGCGTTCCAAGCCATCTTCAATTTAACCCAACCATTTATCTGAACATTGATTTTTGTGAACAGAGTCAACCCTCTGATAGTGAATCTCTGAGGATTTGGGTTACACCTTGTGTAAATAACCGGCCCTCATAGTTTGATGATGAGGTCAAAGAAGTAAAGTCTGCACCCTGACGAAACTGCCCTTCTACCTGGAACTTATCCTGGTTTTCGTTGCGGGAAGAGACTAGATAGAATGCAAGTCCATTACAGCCCCCCCCCCCCTCCCTTCCCCAGTCCACCGTCAGGACTCCTTGAAAGTTTGCTGATACCCATCTATACTCCTGGGTGGAGAGAGGCATGGTGAAGAGTAAAGTGTCTTGCCTTATAATACAACACGATAAGACGGCCGGGACTTGAACCCGAACTTCTCAACTCAGACTTCAGCACGCAAACCGTCAATCCAGCGCGGATTGCGAAGTCTAACAGACAGATAAAATGACAAAACTATTTCTAATTATGCCGCAGATTTACGTCCGCCACCTCCGACAAACTTGAGACTTGATGACATCCAAGCTAAAGAAGCCACCATCACGTGGCAGCCACCACATCACCCTGAAGTGTACGAAGTCAGTGGGTTCACTGTGCAGATGAAAAAGGTTCTAGGTGGAACTGGATATGTCACTGAAATGTCTGTGGGCGCTGATCTCACCAAAGCACAACTGACTGAGCTCGAACCTGATACCGAGTACCTGGTACAAGTTACGGCACATAGGGATAAAAGTGGAAAAACCGGGTTGTCGCAGCCATTAGAAATGACTACCGAGAAAGGTGCGTATTTAAGGGTTTGTATCGAGCTTTTGATTTAACATTGTTAATCGTTGTTACTGTTGTTATTGTTGTGGTCGTTCTTATACGAGTTTTTTTTTTCTTACACTTAGCCATACTGCTGCCACACTTCTAATCCCCTTTCTGAAACATTCCTAGCTCAGCTACTGGGTTCCCACAGTGTCAGGAGTATTTTTCTTTCAATAAATGCAAGAAATACTTCACTCTCTCTCTTCTGAGGTGCCTCTTGAAATAATTTCATAGATCAATTAATTCCCGGTTGAATTCTTTTTTGACTCTACTGCTTTGCCCGCCTTGCAGGCACACAAGTTGTCGCCATAGTCGTTGGTATACTTGCAGCAGTTCTTGTGTTAGTCGCGGTGGTGGTTGCTGTTGTGTTTTACCGTAAACGTCAATTTCCCCCTCGAGACGAAGAAAGAAGGTTTACCTTAGATGAGGTTTGTGTGCCTCTATTTTTAACGTCTGTAATACTTGTATTCCTTGCGTCTAAATCTGCAAATCTTGTGTTAAGCCTTTGACGAGAAATTTCTTAATTTCGTTAATTGCATGAAATTGGACAATTGTTTCCAATGAAGTAAAATCTACGGAAACTCAAAACGTTAACTCTACAGAAACATCTAAAAAAGCTTCTGGGATGTCATTTTCGTTCTTTGTTTGTGTGTGTGTTTGTGTTTTCTCTTTTGGTCATACTCCTCTATTTCCCTTGATTTCATGAGTCTGACATAGTCACTATAGTCCCTGCTCTGTTAATAATGTTTTTAACTTGTTTAGTTACAACTAAGGCAAGGGAGAAGAACCTACGGTCCTGCTGGTGACACAAACCCTTACGAGTTTAATGCGCAACACCTCCACTTGGTTCCAGAGAACTTCCATCGAAATTGGCCTGAAATCCCGCGGGATTATCTCAAGATTGGGGACGAACTTGGCGCTGGGGCTTTTGGTGTCGTAAAGAAAGGATTTCTAATGCGAAACAATAAAGTCATTGAATGCGCTGTAAAGATGTTAAAAAGTAAGTTCTTTATATAAGGTTACGTCTACAATATAAGGCTTTTTGTAAATATATCACTTTGACTACTGCGTGAACAAAAAAATGGCCGCATGTAAGCTGATGTGAAATAATTTTTTACACATTTTTAATGAAAATGCTTTTCTATTTACGCAAAAACAAAAACAGTAAAGTCTGGATTGTTTCTCTTCAAACTTGCTGAAGAGAAATTCGTTTCAAAGCTATTTTGATGTCGAACTCCCCATACTAATAAACCCTTCTCTCCCAAGATCTCATCAGTAATTCTCCTTACTATCTATCATACAATTCTTATGATGTTAGTTCTGAGAATTTGATATTGGATAAGCTAATTGATGTTTCTCTTTTTTTCTTACTTTTTGTCTGCTTGATATTGTATTGGCACTGTGAGGAGAAATTCTGTCTTGGTCACTCACGGTAGTTAAAGGGTTAACTTATTTTAATTATTCCGCCAGAACACGGAACTGAACTAGAGTTACGAGATTTGTTCAACGAGCTTAACATCATGGGTTCTGTCGGAAATCATCCGAACGTGGTGAGCTTGATTGGAGCATGCTCAGACGATGGTAAGAATCATCGCTTCGCAAGATTACATCACCTACCCTCCCTAACTCAACAACAGTTAATTGACAACAAGTTAAGGTTAATGTTGGGTTAGGGGGGGTAGGTGGGCAGCTGCCCAGATACTGATATTGATCCACGCGTCCAGGGTTTAATGTGGTATGCTCCAGAAAGAATATTACTATGAGCTGTATTATACACACATTTTGATTCGTTATTATTTAACATCTAGTTGAGGGCAGACGAATAGATGTTGTCACCATTAACAACATTTTGTTTTTTTTTATCATATTAAACAAATAGATTTCACTTTACCTTGGGTCTGTAATAGATTAATAATAATTAATAATTCTGTAATAGATTAATAATAATTAATAATTCTGTAATAGATCACAGAAGACATTAAAATGTGGCAAGAATATCAGTGACACACACTGCTGCACCACGTGTGCCCCTTTTTATTGTTCTAACCACATTTTGACACCATCTGTGATCTTTTACCTAACAACATGGAATCTGATTGTCAGGTAACACCCCCATCGACACTTGTAGTCAAATAATATACCAAAGTGCCTGAATAGTGGTAGTAGATCCCAATATGGTGCTTATATAACGACAACATTTCGGTGTACATACCAGCGAAAAGACAATGATACTCTATTTCAATGCTCCCTAACGCCATCATCCTGTCGTTTGGCTATGGTTCGCTATATATGGAAGCAAAGAGAGAAAGTAGGTTTGTGATGGAAGCTCCTCTAAGACCAAAAAAAAAGGCCGTTGGGTAGAACCTTTTTTGCGCAATCGGTCAAGGGGTAAACGTAATCCTCACTTCCGGATGTCGCATCGTTTGTTTCTTCCACAGGTCCTCTGTGGGTCGTAGTTAAGTTTGCTGAAAACGGCTGCTTGCTGGATTACCTTCGGAAGCACAGAGAAGAGAACTACAAAGACCCTAATTACGTCAACGTAAAAAACAAGGATACTGAGCAGGAGGAGTCCAAAGGAATAACCAATGCTGAAAAAACTCGCTTCGCGTACGGCATTGCGAAGGGAATGAATCACTTGGCAAAAATGAAGGTAGGAAAACCACCATGATAAGATTCGTTAGCATTCCATTTGAGTCACAAAGTTTTATCAGTTGGTAATTTATTTGGTGTATTTTTGAAGCCTTTTTTAAGAGGGGGAGGCGAATTTAAGAGTGGTCTGGCAATTTCTCTTTTCTTTACCCCTTCTGTAGATTTTTTAAGGCTTTTCTCTGGCTACAATAAAGTTCTGCTACAGAAACGACAACATAGATTCAGGGAAGAAAAGAATGCAAATAGATACGGGTCCACCATGGATTCCTAACGTTTTTTCTGCAAAAAAAATTAATTTCCCCAAACAAATGTCCTCAATGTAACCTCTTCGAGTCAACCGCTCTGAGGAATTGCGGTAATAGGTTAATCACTCTTCGTAAAGCAAGTGATAAAGACGTCCTAGCTTCAAAACCAAGGCTCGTTGAAGTTGAAATTATGAAGTTGTATGTTGAACCTGTTAGTCTTTCAGGATTCCTCTTTCTACATTTTCCTGGTACAAGGAGTGTCATCTTCTCGGGGCTCAATGAAAATAAAACTCGAAAATTTTCGTAGATAAAAGATATCCTTTGAATTTTCTCTTTAGTGTATACATCGGGACCTTGCCTGCAGAAACGTGCTTTTAGGAAAGAACCGCATACCGATGGTGGCAGACTTCGGACTCGCTCGTGATATCTATGAAAGTGGGATGTACGAAACTACAACCGGGGTAAGACCCGATGTTCATTCATCTCCAAATATGACCTCCATGCATCTTACTTACTAAACTGATGTTGTCTAATCTTGCAGTTGTATTTTACAATATACACTAAACATATGGTCCAGAGGGAAACGGTTGGTTTTGTTTTCCCGAGAGTCCTGATGTTTCCCGAGACGAAACATCAGGACAAAATAAAAATAACATAAATAATACCAAAACATAAATAACTAGTTAGTTTCCCGAGAGATCATACCTTAAGTGCTTTGTTATATATTTAGACTTTCCCTTAAACAATCATATAGCAAAAACATGCTGTTGTATTCGGCGCGCGGGCAACAACTGTCCCAGTCGGGATACCTTTGAATTATTTGATCAGGGGCACGTGACCAAGAATAAATTAATCGCAGTGCTCGTTTTGCTGAGTAAAAGTCTAGGTACATAACAATGTGTGATAAAAGTAAATGAATTTATCAACTGCTTTGATTTGTAGACCTTGGCATGTAACTGGTGCGAGTTAATTCCGCACACAGGTATTCTGTGTCCTAAAAGAGTTGAATGTAGTTTCAAGTTATTTTAGAATTATCTTTTACCTAATGCAGGGTAAACTTCCGGTCAGGTGGATGGCTTTGGAATCACTGCAAGACTACTCCTATACTTCTGAGAGTGATGTGTAAGTATTTTATGGCTAAAAGCTATACAGACTGCTATCTTCCTGAGAGATAAAACTTCGTTCATTTTTCACAAGCGAGGCACAGAAAAAAAAAATGAATCTGCCAAGAGACATAGAACATCACGCTTACGGATTTCGCAATGCAATGCTCTACCATTGTGCTAAAGTGAGTGGTAAGCTAAGTGGTACTTCACGCAGTAATTCCATGTGTAACACTGACCGACAATAATTTGAAAAGTGTCGTGTTTGTGTAAACCAATAACGACGTTTGATAAACTATTTATTTGTTTTTTTCTTAAACCAGATGGGCATACGGTGTTGTTTTGTGGGAGATTGAAACTGGTGGTGAGTTGCATTGGCTTCTTGATTATGGCTAACCCTTTACACCATAATATCAGTATGCATTTTCTCCACACTTTTCTTTTTACATTTCCTGAGATGCTGACAAGGAGAATTTGTTTGCCAATCAAAAGGTTCCTTCCCTGGTGATCATTTCCTCTTTCCTCACGACCTTAATGTGTGATTCAGAAAGTGATATTGTAGGGAGAAATTAGATACTAGTCACTCTTAGGGTTAAAAGTTTTTTTTATCTTTTTCTTGTCAATTGTTGCATTGGCTTTCTAAGTTTTTTATGTTTTTTTGTTTTGATTTTGTTTTGTTTTTTATTTGTTTGTTTGTTTTAAATATCAGTCTCTCAAATTTACTCTCAGTACTTATAAAGATACCTCAAAACAAATTTAAAATCTTCTTTTTTTTTTGCCTTTTGTCTGTCTCTTTTGAAGCCAATGTCCCGTATGCTGCTTTGGGAGGACAGGAGATTGTTGAAGCTTTGAGAAGAGGAGAAAGGTTGTCAAGACCTGAGAGATGCACTGATGAAATGTACGTGAAATAACATTTGTGAGGAATTCTGCTGTTTTCTTTTAACTCACTCCAATATAAACTGGAATCGCTGAAAACTAGACCTTAATAGTTAAATAACTAAAGGACGCAAAGGTGTCATCACCTGTGGTGACCGCTGGATGGTTAGTCTGCCTCCAGCCTCTCTTTAGCGCTGCGGCACGCGCGGCCAAGCCAGCCAGAATTGATTGGGTGAGTGAAACGAGTGTACGATGAGTCTGTTAGCAGTCTGGCACTAAAATTGAGTATAAGACTCTCACGCGTTCGCATCTTTTGCCAGCTCGTACCTGCGTGCTTCACAGCTTCTGTCCCAGGCCCATTTAGAGTCTGGTTGCAGGCTCCTTGCCGGTCAGCTGGCTGGCTGACTGAGTAGACTACCAAGACTAAGAGAGATTTTTTTCTCGTCGGACTTAGTCAGCCTGGCTGTCCATGGCTGCTAACTGCTAACTTAATGGGCCAGTTAACACTTATTCTTAGAGGAGGCTAGTGACTTGAGAGCATGCTTTTTCCTGTAATATTCCTGGGTAGCTGACGTCACCTTTCCTGTAATCGTTAAATCTTAATAGTAGGAATATTAAAGAAAATTATATTTTCATAATAATGGGAGAGTTGTAATGGTTCATTTTCTCCCGGCTAATCTCAAACTCTTGATGTAACTGAGTGTTATTAAGTTATTAGGCACAATTTGAGGTTGTGATTGGCATCTCTGGTGTGACTGTCACAAAATCGAATGAAGATCGATTCTGTTTTTTTCAGGCTTACGTCTATGCTTTTCGTTCATTTTAAAATAAGTTGAACTTATTTCAATCGCTTTTCAGATATGAAATCATGACAAATTGCTGGCACGCTGACCCAAAGGAAAGGCCAACTTTCGAAGATATTGTTAAGCTCACCGAAAGAATGTTATTGGAGGATTCTGTAAGTCATAATTATAGAGCATGCGCACGTATGAGCGTATGAACTTGAAAAGTTACTCAATTTATGAGCAACTTTTCAGGTAAAAATGTTTGACCTTGATTTTGAAATTACGTCACTAATAGCTGAAATTTGGCAGCGGCAAACTTAGAGATTAATTGTAATGAGTACTTATCCCATTTCAATATCCGCGCTATTTCATCGATTTGGTTGTTTATGAGTAACAGTTAGTTATCGTATCATAGCTATCAAGACCATTTCGTGTTACTGCCTTTTTTTGTTGTTGTTGGTTTTTTTTTCGTTTGTAGAACGTTGCCTGTTCAACACCTCATTGCCTGTTGTTATTGTTTCGTAGGACTACTTGGAGCTCGAAGACGAAATGGCAGAGGAAGGAGACGAAGAAGAAGACGACACTCCTTATGACGAAACATCCTTCCGTCGAATACCAGAAGAATTTTTGTCCGATCCTGAAACAGCAACACAGAGCTCACAACCAGTCCTGGAGCCCGCGAGTCCCGTCCAGTTTGACCGACAACTTCCTTTAGACAATGACCAGGAAGGGAAGGATGAAGGAAAAGGAGATAAAAATACACATTTTTAATCTAATCACGTATGGCTTGATAGCACAGTGTGGGGGTTAACATCCTAACTCCCTGGACTCATTATCACATTAGTTGTCATAATAATAGAAATATATTATCTAGCCAGCAGTTTGCGAGAATTGGCAATCTAATAAGTTCAGTAGATGGTGTTTCCTTTATAAAACACCTTATTCTCTTAACAAAATCTCTGAGGAAGTCTGTAACAACCAGGAGAGAAAACTAAGGACCAGGTCAAGGAAGTGTAAGGCTAAGAGTTATCGTCACATGACCCGCAAGGCCCCGCATACGCTCCATGTAAAAACACAATGTAAACATCCCCGTATGAGGGCCGAAGGCGATGGCGCGAGCAAGACCAGGAAAACCTTCCCGCCCTGTGTATCCAAATCTTAGGAAGGTGGACCAAGGGGAAGATATGGAAAAATGCTTACTGACTGATTCAGGTCGGGCCGGACGGGAAAATATCTGGTTCCAAGGTTCTCCTTTGCGATGATAGGACTTGTCGTTTTGACAATATGGGCTTCTATGATGACCTTGTCTCACGCACTCGAAACATCGAATACCGCAACGACAACAGTCCCTTTTGAGGACTACTTTCACACGGACGATCAGCCAACACGTCCAAAGCACTGTTATCGAGAGAGAAATTACCAGATCATTTTCAACCCGATGGTTTAAATGTTGGAAAAGGGTTAATATTCCCTCTGTTACGCTTCAGCGCCTTGATAATTTTGTTTTCAGGAAACATTTCTTTCTCATCAGCTTCCTCACAACTTTCCATGTTTAGCTTAAATTGCCGCCGAAGTCTTAACCAGTATTTTAATAGTAAAATCCAATAATGAAAAATAGCGGAGAAATGTTCTTTCTCGAAGGATTTGTTTGCTGACGTCATGAACGTGCATAATAGGAATTTATATAATAAGCTCGGTTATGCACGCATTCTGATTGGTTCTCACCTATGATCTATTGGAGGACAGACGCATACATGACGTCATCATTAACACTTTTTAATTCTTTATTATATAAAGCAAATAGATTCCAAGTTGCCGTGCGCCTGTTCAGTAATAGATCACACAGGACGTCAAAATGTGGTAAGAACATCAATATATCATAGACATCATCGGCAAATTGGAATCTGTTAAATGAAGCACGCTCACGCAATTGAATTTGATTAGAAAAATTTACGCACTGTGTTATAAATAACAATATGATTTTAATAAAGCTTATTGTACGATTCAGCTGCCTAATTAATACTGTCAAAAGCACGGTTTACACGTACTCAACTCAAACTAAACGTGAGCTGAGGGACTTCTTGTCTGATACTATTCGCATCGTAAAATAAGCAACAAAGGAAACTATACACACCCAATAGAGTAGTTGAGTTTGTCCTCGTTCTCCCTTAATTGGTCTTTCTCTTTCGAAACAGCGAAATTAATCAGAATCATGTCTCGTTTGCTTTTCTGATCAAAATATAAGCTTGCTGTTTGATGCAGGCTTTTTAATTTCAGCTATTGCGTAGCAAAAAAGTCATTTCGTAAAAAAATTAATAGTTCCAGTCTGCCAGCTAAAAAAAAAAGAAAAAGAAACAATATTCACTGTAGTGAAATACAAGAAAATCTAATGTGTATTGATTGTCTCACAATGGAATCACATCTGCTTTGTGAATTAAACATCACTGAAGAGGTGAGTAAAAGGGTACGGACAAGACTCATTTCATGATGGAAATGATTACATTTGGAATTAGTCTTTCTCTCGCAAGTGAGATCATTATCTCAATTTCTTTACACTGGTGATACCAAAAGTAAGGAACTCATCAACTACAGTAAGTCATTGTTTATGATTCAGAACAAGCTTCTCATAAGTAAACTGACAAAGAGACGTATGCTAGGAAAGTTAGCTTTAACCTTTTCACACCAAGATCTCAGTAGTAATTCTCCTTAATGGCTGACTTACAATGTAATTCTTGTGATGGTATAATTAGTTTAGAGAATTTTGTATTAGATCAACTAATGATTCCTTATTGATAATCTCTTTTTCCTTACGCCTTGCCTGCTTGTTACTGTTTAAATGTTGTAGAGAGAAATTGTGTCTTGGTCACCCTCAGGGGTTAAGGGTACAGAAGATGTACAACATGTATTTGGTGGGGATTTTAAGGCTCGCCTTTGAAAAACTGTTGGATAAGTAAACCTCCCTTCCCCCACGCAGGCATTAAATATTCATTCGTCTCTGAGACTATATCGTACTGTCTTTGTAATCTGGACACAAAAAGTAACAGGCGAGGGAGAGTGCAAGGGAGATCAATTTGGAAGGGTTTTCGTGAATGTACAGCAAATACGCGGAAGAATGAATGCATATCCACTATTTCTAGAAAGAACACCCCCGTGCATCGCTTGCTATCTGACGTTTACTACGTTGAAGAGAACCCACGTTAGTGAGTTATCCTTTACGAGGTTTTCTACGTACATCAGAAAGCCCTTTAGAAAACTTCGAAATTGATAACTCGCTAACATGGGTTCCCTTCAACGTAGTCAGATAACAAGCGATGCACTGTGGAAGTAAGGTGAAGTATTTTTGTCGAGAATTTGACGTATTTTTTTATTTCTAAGAGCGGTCGTAAATATTCCCATACGAACTCTTATAATTCGGCCATGACTGTTACTTCGCAAGATGATCATCATCACCCTTCGCCATTCGCTCTAACGAAGGGCTAACGCTCGAAACGTCAGCCTCCAAACTCATTACGGTGACCAATTTACGTCATCTACTCGGTTGATCATACTAAATTACACATAAAAACACTGACCTATGCGTACATTTGTTCCAGTTTACGTATTTTTCAAGTATTTTCAATGTAAGTATCAAAAACGGTTTCGCCTGCTTCTTCCAATCTGCCAATCTTGTGTTAAGCCTTAAACTTCTTTTAACGTGACGGTTGATCTTCCATCGCCGTTTAAGACATGAAATTGACAATTATTTCCAGTAAAGTGCAATCTACGGAAATTCAAAACGTCGACCGTCACAAAAACATCTGCTTTGTGTGTGTGTGTGTGTGTGTGTGAGACTTGTAAATAAACGAAAGTTAATTTATTATTGAGGAAAATTCATTTTTCTAACGGACACTACATTGCAAATATATTTAAAGCTAAACCGTTGAAACCTTTGAGTAAGAAACGAGGTCTCAAAACATTAGATAGTGCTACGGATTGTTTTTTTGTTATGTTTCTGAGAAGGTTTGACCAGCGGAAGGTCTAGATAGCTTCTCCAATGGCAAAATAAGAAAACGTTGTTTTGAAAAGCATATGGTGACATCCGGGCAGAGTGATGTTCTAATTAACTTCCTGTCTTCTAATTTAGTGAAATATTTATTTATTTTATTGGAAGTTATTTTAACACTGTTGGTAAGAAGGTGCGTTTGAATTAATATGCAAATTATTGTCAAGTTCAGAAAAATTAATCTTTAAAAAAATTGTGTCGTAATTTAGAAAGTAGGTTCTAGATAGATATATTATTATTTTTGTCTCTTTATTCGCCGCGCAACAGCTCCATTTAACAACTGCGTCAAACTGTTAGGCTAGTTTTTAATTAGAAAAGCAAACAAAGGTATGCTTCTGTTTTTCTTCCGTTCTCTCCAATATGGTAACTTCTTGAAAAAATTGAGAGGGAGAGCGAAAAAAAACAAGACAAAATGAAAAGTTAGGAGCGATGGTTTTAATTTGTTTTGCATAAAGATAGCATTACAATCTCCGAGATCGTTTTAATTTTTAACCACCCCCTACATGTGGTTACCATTGATTTATTATATATAGATAAACCAGCGAGCTAGACGCTCACAAGTGATAACAATTGGCTGTTGTTTGTAGAGTAAAACTTCAGGTTTCTGAATTGAAATTAACATAAAAAGTCACTGATCACTACCTTATGTCCAAAATACACCTACGTACAAATAATTAATGTCTATGCGTTGGGTTCACCAACAAGTAAAAAAGGAAAAGACGTGTATTGCTATGAGTTCATTGCACTATCAATTGTTTCTTTTCTTCTGCTTCTATGTTGCTGTTCAGGCTCCATACAGAGACGGCGATATCATGTTGGGCGGACTTTTCAACGTACACCAGCCGCCAGACCAGCCAGGGAGACAATGTGGAGAGATATATTTGACAGGACTTGGTGCCATGCAGGCTATGATCTTCGCAATCGAACGAATAAACAACGACACAAGTCTTCTTTCGAATATTTCCCTAGGATATGACATAAGGGATTACTGTGGAAACCTCTCAAAAGCTGCAGGACTTGTTTACAAACTTTTAACTGTTAATTCTTGTGTCAATTTAAGCCAAAATGCCACAAGAAAGAAAGCCATCGTTTCTTTAATAGGCCCAAAGGAATCTAGCACAGCGCTATTCATTGCTGGATTTCTACGGATGCTCAATGTTTCGAGCATAAGTGGATTAGCTACTAGTGCTGAACTTAGCTCACTTACCTATGACCATTTATTTCGAACAGTGCCTTCGGACACTTTTCTTGCAAAAGCGATGGTTGACTTGGTTACACACTTCAATTGGAGTCATGTTGCTGTCGTTGCACTAGATGATTCGTATGGACGAAATGGAGCATGGGCAGTAGTTAGCGAAAGTACGTCAAGAAAAAGCTCGTTCTGCATTGCCTTGACGCAGTTTGTACGCCACGAAAGTCTGAATTCGAGTATTTCGAACATAGTTAGAAAGCTTAAACAGATGGACAATGTCAAAGTTGTGATCTTATGGTTATACAAAAATTATCAAACGAAGTTTTTAGTAGAGGTTCAGAAGCAAAACCTAACTGGACGTGTGTGGATTTTCAGCAGTGCTCCTCTAACTTCCACACTGCCAATAGAAGGTATTCTCGAGAGCTCTTTGGGATTTCTATTCCATGAATTCAGCGACTTTGGCTTCAAGGAATATTTAAAAGATATATTGGTCAGAGAGAGAGACAATAGAAGTTTTTCTGCATGGAACGACAGTACAAGCGAAATGTGGAAGCTTTTGAGGAGCAAGAAGTGTGTTCATCGCCAAATTGAGCAGTGCTCTAAAGACTTGATTACAGAAAGCTACAGCTCTCATGTTCCGTACATCATCGACGCCGTATATGCCGTGGCACATGCGGTAGATATTTTCAATCGAAACTTTAGCAATAACGAGACCAAAGATCGGGCGAAATTGCAGATAGCCAATAGTTTTGAGGTGCAGAAGCTTCTTGGCAGAGTAAATTTTGACGGACTGACTGGAAAAATCAAGTTCGATCGATTTGGTAACAGGGGTTCGGCGTATTACGACATTTTCAGCTTTAAAAAAGTACCCAATGGAGATGTCGAGAGCGTAAAAATGGTGCTGATAGGAGAATGGAAAAATTCAAAGAGGAATGAAACTCGCTTGATTTTTCATGAAGCCTTGGATTGGACGACTACATCCGGTCGCCCCCCTAAATCTGAATGCTCGGAGCAGTGTCCTCCTGGAACAAGGAAATCTTTTACTTCTCCTTGTTGTTGGCAGTGCCTTCCGTGTCTTGGTGGAACCATCAGCCCATCTGCTGGTTCTGAAAGCTGCAGTGAATGCCCCATCGGAAAAATATCTAACCAGGCTAAAACAGAGTGTGTCGCCTTACCCTCCGCTAATATAAGTTATGGTGGTGCAAGTGGAATTTTAATTCTTACCTTTGCTACGCTCGGTGTAGTGGTTACATTGCTTTGTCTGGCAGCCCTCTATAAATTCTGGAATAGTCCCATTGTCAAGGCTTCCAATCGAGAACTAAACCTTGTTCTTTTACTCACAATTCTGTCCTTATTGTCTTTAGTATTCATTAATATCTTTATATCCACGAATCCAAATTGCATGATCATATACCCGTTACGTTATCTGACCTATAACTTCTGCCTCTCAGTCTTATTGGTTAAGGTATTGCGTATTTCCAGTGCTTTTCAGGTTCCAATTATGACCAGTTTGGAATTCACTTCTCTTCCAAACAAAGCTCAAGTTGGGATTGTTATAGTATTTCTAGCTCCACTGTTGTCGGTGTTGATGCCATGGTTGCTTTTGGATCCACCCTTTAACATGCAACATATCTATCCAAAACGTTACACCTTTAACGAATGCAAGGCATACTCCAGCTCACTTGGAAAATCTCTATTCTTAGTAACATGTTTTTACATTTTCTTCCAAATGCTTTTGTCCACATTCTGTGCCTTTAAGATTAGGAACATTCCTGAAAATTTCAGCGAGGCCAAACGAATCGCCTTTTCCATGTACATCTTTTTGTTCTCATTGCTTTGCTATCACCCGGTAGAATTATCCTTGGATGGATGGTATGTAACTGTTGTGGACTGTGTAACAACTTTGTTGAGCGCCTATGGTTTCCTTTGTTGTCTATTTTTGCCCAAAATGTATATTCTGTTCTTTAGGCAGGGGATGAACGATGTGAATGGGATCAGACAAGAAGTAACTCAGTTCTCGTTTAGTTCAGGTTGTGAACGCGTAAACCGTGCTTTTGATAGCTCTAATTAGGAAGCTGAATCGTACTATAAGCTTTCTTAAGATCAGTAATTTTGTTTCAGTGTGCCATAGACTTCTTAGTAAGTGAAATGTAAATCCATCCTTAAAGAAAATTTAATTAGCACTGTATTACAAATATAGGCTTCAAGGCATAAAAACACTTAATATTGCCATGGATTTTTTCTTCTTATTTTCCAGGATGGCTTAATTCTCTTCAACTGACTTCGCCATCAACTATTGTTGAGCCTTCGCCGTTCAAATACGACACATTATTGATTAACAACGCTGGAAACTAGTCTACGTTGCTTTCATTTTGGCTAACCCGGGTAAAATTTTTTTACGAGACCGTAATTTGTGGCTTGGAAGCAAAAACCATTTATGACCTGAGGCAAAAGCCTTGTCTTATTTCTTAGCAGCAAAACTGATTTCCACAACGTATGCTTCTTGCGTAGCTAATTAGGAAACATTTTGTCTCTGCAATGATGTTTCCAAGTTTAGCTAGGCCTTTGGGCAGATGCTTAGATCATTAAACTGCATGGGGATGAGTGCGATATTCGCTGCTATAAACACTACTTGAGCAGTAACGAAAATAAGACTTTCTGATCATGAATTGGGAAGGAGATAAACCGGCGATGCGAATGGCATCAGACAAGAAGTCAATCAGTTCCCGTTTACTTCATACAAGTTGTGTTCGCGTAAACCCTGCTTTTGATAGTTCCAATTAGGAAGCTGAGTCGTATAATAGGCTTTCATAAGATTATTTTGTTATTTTGAGCGTGTCAGAGACTTCTATATGTTCGTAAATAAAAAAATTGAATCTATGATTGAGGAAAATTCATGTTATTAATTGACACTATATTGCAAAAGTATCTATAACTTGACCTTTGAGTAGGCATGTAGTAATGGTTAAGCAAGGAAGAATCGCACTTCCGGAAGACAAATAGCCAGGTGTGCGTTGAATAATAGGGTGACTCTACATTTTCATTTGTATTTTTAATCTTCCTTTACGACATCATACCAGGAACTCCTCAAAAACTGCATTAGACAAACTTTCCTACCTTCACACAAGCTAAGAAGTAACTTTATCACCTCGTCCAATAAACTCCCTCTCCTATTTTGGGACCTGCTTAAGTCTCTTCTATTTTGAGTTTGCCGTCGGCCATTGTTGCCAGTTCTTAAGACACATTAATCAGGAGCGACGGAGACTAGTCAACATTTATTTCATAGTGGCAAAGCCGTAAAAAAAATTTTCAGGAGGCTTAATTTGCGTCATGCAAGGAAGAGCATTGTCAAGTTTCTTAGCAGCTAAACTTGTTTCCGCAGCATATGTTTCTGGCCTGGCTAATTAAAAGACATGGGCTTTTGGGAAGATGCGTAGATAGTTGAACTGTATAAGCCTTAGTGGAGGGGGAGTTTGAAGTAGTTTGGTTGTGTCGTTAAAAAATGTACTTGATCTCTCCACAAGGTTCTACATTATTCGAAGCGTCCTTGCTCTTTCACCGTGAATTTATACAGCGGTGTTCTTGAGACGTGGCATTTACAAATTGTGATGAATTTGCCGCCAGCCTTAAGATACCTGATCCAATTAAGAGAACATTCTGCTCAGCAGAGTTAATTTGGCGAATAACTTTCGGAAAGTTGTCCACAAGACTCTGCGGCATATGTTTTACTACATGAGGGAAGATAACTACATGGTCAAGGATACACAATTGCCATTGGACCAGTTTTCTGGTTTCTTAAGGATAAAACATGTAAGTATGGAACATCTCTCGTTTACATCAGCGAAGTATTCTGGTTTCCATTCTATATTATTCAAAAATAAAACCTCTTATGCTGTTAATGACCCAATTAAATCCACAGTCAAATGAACACTACATAATAAATTGAGCCTAAATGTCTAAACATGAACTCTTTTGGTTGCCCTTCGAAATTCTCTAGAGGATGATTTTCACATAATGCATACTTTCAGCAGCAGTTGGCACAAGGATATGAATTTAGTTTTTTATTAACTGTATCTTAAATCCTCAATGACATGAAATGTGCCAGGCCAAGCCGTGGACGCGTCGTCTTTGTCCCACATATTACCTTACAATGTAGGCGACCAACCAACTCGACACCATTTCTTTTTGTAACGCAATCCCCCCAAAAAACGCCACCTACCCACCTACTTTATATCTTTTATCTTAATATATTATTTTATACTGGGTAGGTGGCGTTTTTGGGGGGGATTGCGTTACAAAAAGAAATGGTGTCGAGTGCGTGAAATGCTTGAAGATTACAATCACATTATATAAGTTAGGAGATGCCAACTCGTCACGTGTGATCTTAATAAAAGGGAAATGGATATGTTAAGGCGAGAAGTCTGATGGATACTAACACTGATTCTCTGTGTGTTTGGTGCATAACGTATATTTTTCGCGATCTTTTTTTCACATTCAGAAATATCAGCAGTTGGCAATCTAGAGCATTTGCTCCTATTGCTGCTCTTCGTTATCAAAGAATACTACTAATTCTTATTTATTGATATGTTTTATATCATGTAAATTATTTCTATGATCATTTTGCGTTACTAGCCTGAATAGGGTAGGATACAACGAAGATGGAAATGAACTGAAAAATTCTCATGGAAACACGTCGTGTTTTTAAAATTTCTGCTTCCAGGTGTGCTTCACGTTTGTGGTTTAGTTCGATATTGCTTTTAAACATAAGATCAGTTGATTCCTGTAACCCTGTAGCCCTGCCTGGTGGTTTTACGTGTCTTGTTTTTGAATGTTGGTTCGCTTTTTAGTCCATGTTTGTCTCGTTTCGTTTGCGTTGTTTTGTTTATGGACGAAATGGAATATGGATTTTAGTTAACAAGACTACGTCAAGAAAAAGTTAATTCTGTATTGCTATGACGGACCTTACACTCCGTGGAAGTCTACATCACAGCAATTCCAAAGTGGTTATAAAACTAAAGCAGATGCACAAAATCAAAGTTGTAATGTCGCGGTGCAACGCGCATTACCAAACGAAGTTTTTTGAAGAGGTGCACAGGAAAAACCTAACTGTCTGTGTGTGTTTGTGTGTCATTTTTCTAACGGACACTTAATTGCAAATATATTTATAACTAAAACGTTGAAACCTTCGAGTAGGAATCGAGGTCTCAAAACACTAGATAGTGCAACGGATTGTTTTTGTTATGTTTCTGGGATGGTTTGACCAGCGGAAGGTCTAGTTAGCTTGTCCGATGGCAAAATAAGAAAATATAGTTTTGAAAAACATATGGTGACATCCGGACGGAGTGATGTTCTAATTAACCTCCTGTGTTATAATTTAGTGAAATGTTTAATTATTTTATTGAAGTTATTTTAACACTGTTGATAAGAAGGTACCTTTCAATTAACATGCAAATTATTATCAAGTTCAGAAAAATTAATCTATAAAAAAATTGCGTTGTAATTGAAGAAGTATGTCCATTTAACAACTGCGTCAAACTGTTAAGCTATTTTTTTTGTTAGAAAGGCAGACAAAGGCATGGTTTTGTTTTTCTCTCGCTATTTCAATATATATGGTAACTTGTTAAAAAAAATTGAGAGGGAGAGAGAGAAAAAAATAACAAGAGAAATAAGAAATTAAGAGAGATGTTTTTAATTTGTCTTGTCATAAAGCTGGCGTTACAAAGTCCGAGATCGTTTTAAATTTAAACACTCCCAACGTATGGTCACCATTAATTTATAACATATAGAAAAAAACCAGAAAGCTAGAGGCTCACAAGTGATAACAATTGGCTGTTTTTTGTAGAGTAAGACTTCAGGTTTCTGAATTGAAATTAACATAAAAAGTCACTAATCACTACCTTATGTGCGAAATACACGTAAGTACAAAAAACTAATGTCTATGCGTTGGGTTCACCAACAAGGAAAAATAGGAAAGAAGAGTATTGCTATGAGTTCGTTGCACTACCAGTTGTTTCTTTTCTTCTGCTTCTATGCTGCTGTTCAGGCTCCATACAGAGAAGGCGATATTATGCTGGGTGGACTTTTCAGCATGCACCAGCCGGGGAGCAGATTTGAAGAGGTACATTTGAGAGGAATTGGTCGCATGCAGGCCATGATCTTCGCAATCGAACGAATAAACAACGACACAAGTATTCTTTCGAATATTTCCCTTGGATACGACATAAGGGATTACTGTGGAAAACTCTCAAAAGCTGCAAGACATGTTTACAAACTTTTAACAGTTGATTCTTGCGTCAATTTAAGCCAAAATGCCACAAGAAAGAAAGCCATCGTTTCTTTAATAGGCCCGTACGAATCTAGTACAGCGCTATTCATTGGTGGATTTCTCCGGATGCTCAATGTTTCGAGCATAAGTGGATCAGCTTCTAGTGCTGAACTTAGCTCGCTTACCTATGACCATATATTTCGAACAGTGCCTTCGCACACTTTTCTTGCAGAGGCGATGGTTGACTTGGTTACACACTTCAATTGGAGTTATGTTGCTGTCGTTGCACTAGATGATTCGTATGGAAAAAATGGAGCATGGGCAGTAGTTAGCGAAAGTACGTGGAGAAAAAGCTCGTTCTGTATTGCTTTGACGGAGTTTATACGCCTTGAAAGTCTGAATCTGAGTATTCGTAACATAGTTAAAAAGCTTAAACAGATGGACAATGTCAAAGTTGTGATCCTATGGTTATACGAGAATTACCAAACGAAGTTTTTCGCAGAGGTTCAGAGGCAAAACCTAACTGGACGTGTGTGGATTTTGAGCGAGGCTCATTTAACTTCTACACTGCCACTAAAAGATATTCTCGAGAGCTCTTTAGGATTTCAGTTGCATGAATTCAGCGACTCTGGCTTCAAGGAATATTTAAAAGATATATTGGTCAGGGAGAGAGACAATAGAAGTTTTCTTGGATGGAACGACAGTACAAGCGAAATATGGAAGCTTTTGAGGAGCAAGAAGTGTATTCATCATCAAATTGAGCAGTGCTCTAAAGACTTGATTAAAGAAATCTATAGTTCCGTTATTCCATACACCATCGACGCCGTATATGCCCTGGCCCATGCAATAGATATATCATCTCGAGATTTTACCTCAAGCAATACAGGTACTCTAGACAAATCGCCCATCGTAAATAGTTTGGGCATGCAGAAGCTCCTTCAGAGAGTCAGTTTTGACGGACTAACAGGAAAGATCAAGTTCGATCAATTTGGTGACAGAGGCTCGGCACATTATGACATTTTCAGCTTTAAAGAAGGACCTGTGGGAGATATTAAGAGCATTGAAAAGGTGCTGGTAGGAGAGTGGATAATTTCAAATGAAAATAAAACAAAGTTAGATTTTCATGGAGACTTTCATTGGAAGACTCCGTTTGGTCGCCCTCCGAAATCTGAATGCTCGGAACAGTGTCCTCCTGGAACAAGGAAATCTTCTACCTCACCTTGTTGTTGGCAGTGCCTTCCGTGTCTTGGTGGAACCATCAGCTCATCTGTTGGTTCTAAAAGCTGCAGTGAATGTCCCATCGAAACAATGTCTAACCCAGCGAATACAGAGTGTGTCGCCTTACCCTCTGCCAACATAAGCTATGCAAATGTGACCGGAATTGTGATTCTAACGTTTAGCACGTTCGGAGTAGTTATTACATTGTTTTGTCTGACTGCCATCTGCAAATTCTGGAATAGTCCCCTCGTCAAGGCATCCAACAGGGTGCTTAGCCTTTCTCTTTTACTTACAATTCTTGCATCATTCTCTCTGGTATATATTGATGTCTTTAAAACCACAGATGCAATTTGCATGATCATATACCCGTTACGTTATCTGACCTATAACTTCTGCCTCTCCATCTTATTGGTTAAGGTGTTGCTTATTTCCAGCGCTTTTCAGGTTCCCATTGTGACCAGTTTGGAATTCACTTCTTTTCCAAACAAAGCTCAAGTTGGGATTGTTATAGCATCTCTAGCTCCACTGTTGTCGGTGTTGATGCCATGGTTGCTTTTGGATCCACCCTTTAACATGCAACATATCTATCCAAAACAATACACCTTTAACGAATGCAAGGCATACTCCAGCTCACTTGGAAAATCTCTATTCTTGGCAACATGCTGTTATATTTTCTTGCAAATGCTTGTGTCCTCGGTCTGTGCCTTTAAGATTAGGAACATTCCTGAAAATTTTAGCGAGGCCAAACGAATCGCTTTTTCAATGTACATATTTTTTTTCTCATTGCTTTGTTATCACCCGGTAGAATTGTCCTTGGATGGATGGTATGTAACTGTTGTGGACTGTGTAACAACTCTGTTGAGCGCCTATGGTTTCCTTTGTTGTCTATTTTTGCCCAAAATGTATATTCTGTTCTTTAGGCAGGAGATAAACGATGTGAATGGCATCAGACAAGAAGTAACTCAGTTCTCGTTTAGTTCAAGTTGTGTACACGTAAACCGTGCTTTTGATAGTTCTAATTAGGAAGCTGAATCGTACTATAAGCTTTCTTAAGATCAGTAATTTTGTTCAAGTGTACCGTAGACCACTAAGTAAATGAAATGTGAATTCATTATTGAAGAAAATTTAGGCTTTTAATTAGCACTTCATTAGAAATAAAGGCTTCAAGGCATAAAAACATTTAATATTGCCATGGATTGTTTCTTCTTATGTTTCAGGATGGCTTAATTCTCTTCAACTGATTACGCCATCAACCATTGTTGAACCTTTGCCGTTGGAATACGACACTGAAGAACTTGAACCAGTTTTCTGGTTTTTAAAGGATAAAACATTCGAGTATGGAAGATCTTTCGCTTACATTAGAGCTACTGATTCTGGTTTCCATCTCATATTTATGTACCAAATGTTTCAGTTTCATGAAAATTAGGTATTTGTATTGCAACCTCAAAAGTAAAAACCCCTTATGCTGTTAATGACCCAATTAAATCCACAGTCAAATGAATACTACATAATCAATGACGCCTAATTGTCTAAACATGAACTCTCTTAGTTGCCCTTCTCTAGAGGATGATTTTCACATAGTGCAAACTTTCAGCAGCAGTTCACACAAGGATACGAATTGAGTTATTTATTAATGTTTGTTAAATTCTCAATGACATTAACTGTGCCAAGCCAAGCCGTAGGCGCGTCGTCTATGTCCCACACATTTCTTACAATGTAGGCGACCAACCAACTTGAAGGAGTTATTTTTTTCTATCTTAATATCTTATTTTAGGGGTAGGTGTCGGCTTTTTCTGGGATTGCGTTGCAGAAAGAAATGGTGTCGAATGCGTGAAATGCTTGTAGATTACAATCACATTATACAAGTTAGAAGATGCCGAGTCGTCACGTGTGATCTTCGTAAAAGGGAAATGGCTATGTTAAGGCGAGAAGTATGATGGATACTGACACTGACTCTCTGTTTGTTTGATGGATAATTTATTGCTTTTTCTCGATCTTTTATTCACATTTAGGAATATCAGCAACTAGCAATCTCGAGGATTGCCTCTGTTTCTGCACTTTGTTATCAATGAATACTACTAATTCTTATTTATTGATATCCATGTAAAATATTTCTATGATCATTTTTTGTTACTAGCCTAAATAGCGTAGGATACGACGAAGATGGAGATGTACTGAAATATTCTCATCGGAGCACGTCTTGTTTTTAAAATTCCTGTTTCCAGGTGTGCTTCATGTTTGTGGTTCAGTTCGATATTGCTTTTTGAGCATAAGAGCGGTTGATTCCTGTAACCCTATATCCTGCTTGGTGGTTTTGTGTGTCTTGTTTTTGAATGGTGGTTCGCTTTTTAGTCCATTTTTGTCTTGTTTCGTTTTGTGTTGTTTTGTTTAGAGACGAAATGAAATATGGGCGATAGTTAACAAGACTACGTCAAGAAAAGATTCATACTGTATTGCTACGACGGAGCTCATACTCCATGAAAGTTTGCATCGCAGCATTTCTAAAGTGGTTATAAAACTAAAGCAACGTGCATGGCCAAACGAAGGTTTTTTGAAGAGGTACACAAGCAAAACCTAACTGCTTATGTGTGTGTGCGTGTGTGCGTGCGTGCGTATGTGTGTTTGTCAGAGACTTGTAAATAAACTAAAGTTAATCTATTATTGAGGAAGATTCATTCTTCTAACGGACACCACATTGCAAATATATTTATAGCTAAACCGTTGAAACCTTTGAGTAGGAAAAGAGGTCTTAAAACACTGTCGTGATAATCTTGTAAGCGTATCGAGTGACACTTTATTTTCTAATTCAGTAATTAAGCTAAGGGTTTGATGACAGTTGGATTATTGAAGATTTAGGTGTATAATTGAGCGTAGCACGGTAATGGCAGACTTGTAGTAAGAATGTTGGTGCCATAGAAAATCAATGATGGTCTAAAATAATTAGATAAGGAATTGCTTAGGATAATTGTGCGTGCACGTTTGCGTTAAAACATCCTGTGACGTTGCGTGTCATTTGTGCAGCAAACAGTGCGTGCGTGCGGTTGTAAATTACAGAAGTATTGATCGGCGTATAATGGGAAACAGCTTTTAAAATCAAATTGACAGGAAATAGCTTGGGATTTTAGTAAATCACGAGTAAATAATGTCAGTCCTGGTTTTACGAAGTTTAGGCGTGTATTTCCGTTATAATAGCAGATTAATAGAAGTGCTATCTTGTAACAGAAGACTTGAGAATTAAGATCGTTTGAATGTAGAAAGTTCGGGTATTTCGGGGTTGGAAGCTAAATAATGGTACCTCGATTATTCGTTATTCATTATTCTTCGGATTTTTTTTCGAATTATTCATTATTGTTTTTTAAATTTTGTTTGGTATTCATTCTTCCCTATTCCTTGAACGTAAGCAAGATTTCTCCATGTTAGACTCGAAATACAAACATTTGATTATAAGTATCCCTCTGTCGCACCATAGTACACGGTACTGCCACACCGTGCTACACATGGTGACCTTTTTGTCAAACTAAGCTGGTGTTGTATTTTTCGGTGCTATGGTTGTTATCATTATCACAATGTATTTTTCGCTTTAACGGCAGCTAGTCTTTTCCGCAGGCAACTCCATCGTCGCGCATACCTTTCTTGCTCCAGTTATTGGTGACAAATCTATACAAACGTAACCTGAATAATGTTTGGAAAAACCACAATATAGGCAAAAGCTAAAAGACATCTGTATGGAGCTTTTACATGATGAAGTGGGACTTGGTAGGTAAAAAAATAAAAGACTTGTCTCGATCAACAAGCATAATGCTTGCATTTGTGTTCACTCGTTTATAGCTCAAGCTGATACTAAGTTAAAGGAAAACTGTTTATTACAAGATACCAAATAAATTTTCTCTTTCTTACATTCGTAGCTCCAAATGCATTGCCACTGGCTGTTTTGCAAACTTAGGTTGAGCCCAAACTTGCAAGCACGTAGATTGCAAAATCTGTGAAAAGACGACAAAAAATAACTATGATGCCTATCTTGACAGGTAAAATGGGCTGCCACACAATTCGAAGTAATGTAACAGTACAGCAAATGGTTTGAACCTGGGGGTAACATTTAATAGTGTAGCTTGATCGTCCGGGTGAGTGTAGTCGGACCGTTGTCGGTAATGGTGACTGACGTTTCGACAACCTGAGCGGAAGTCATCATCAGAGTCAAGTGAAAGGTTGTTGTCAGTCGAATGTACTTAGTCCGGTTTGTATGAAATGATTGGTCAGTTTTGCCGCGATGTTATTGGCTGTAAGACTCAAGTGGCGTAGGTCAGTCGTGATTGGTCGGTTTGGATCCGTTAGTGAAGGTAGGTCGTTCTGTTCGGTTCGACTACACTCACCCGGACGATCAAACCACACTGTTAATATAACAATCACGAGCAGGTCACAAATAACCTGAAACATTTCAACAACAGCTCAAAACGTCAAAAGAACGTCAGAAAAAAAGGTAAAAGCCGCAAAAAAAACAGGTTTTAAAAAAAAAGGAGATCAAAGCGGACTGTTATCGAAGATAAATCTAACGAACACTGGACCAATGTTAGTCACGTTGGTATCAATTAGTACGATCATGAAATTTACAAAGCTTTAAAGCCTGATTTCGGCAATGTGATTGCTACATTTCCAGTTGCATTTTAAGAGTTCATAATAACTGATAGGAAATACGTGACCCGGCCCGTTTATCCGGTCTACCCATTTTGAATTAGAAAAGAGGATCCTCAGCATGTCTGGTTATAAATCAAAACAGCTGTAAGTGTGTTGCTGAACACCCCGACCTGGTGCTGACAAACATACGTTTAGGAGGTTCATAAGACGCATCCTCATCGGACAATTTTTCAGGTTCGACGAGTTCGGCGTCACAGTCAATGTCACTGTTATCGCCACCTCTCAACAGTCATTCGATTCTATTCGCTTCCTCTTGAGGGAGCTTGTAAGATCTTAATCCGGAAGCATCAGTAATGATCTCGTCAATACGCACACGGTCTATAATGGTGTACGGTGAGTTCCTATCGTCTCCGTAAGCCTCAGAGAAAACGAACTTGTCGCCAGTGTCACTGTTGTCGAGCCACAAAACGTGCTTGACGTTGTCAGTAAACATTAGTTGATTTCCCCTTCTCTCCTTAACGAGGAGATCCTTTAAAAGCAGGGCGAGCAAAAACCCCTACTGTTTGGCATAAGGAAGATGGCAAGTGTCTTCTTTGCCCTTGTCCCTTACAGAATTTTGTCTAACACTTCTCCCTGGAGATGTTGCAAATTCCCTCCTCTCTCTTGTTTCTTTAAGGATCATTCTCGCTATTCCTTCTTCAATCAACGTTACAGGTGGCTTGGGAGGAGGAGAGGAATCCACGACTTTGTTCGGTTAATAGCTCTAAGGGCCGTTCTCTTCTAAACTTTTGGAGCTAATTTTTAAAAAAAAATCCTTGAAAATCAATTTCTCCAAATGTCTTTTACTATTATCTGATCATAATCGATCTACATGGGAACTGCTTCGCAGCGTTTGTAATCGTTAACTTGATCTGGACGTAGTAGTTTCCCAATGACGATGCACGCCACTTTATTATCATGATGCGAGGAAATGTCTTACTGGAATTCTCCGATTATTTCGTCGAAATACGCACATAGCATAGAAATCCGTACGTCAATTTATCCTTCCGGCGTCTTTTAGGCGATCGCGACCTGGATAGGGAGAAAGAAAAAAAGGAGGAATGGTCAAAAAAATTTTGTGCTCATGTCATGAAGAAGTTTATTTGAAGTTTCTGATTGACTATTCATTATCGTCATCATCGTATCACAAATCGATCTCAAAATCTGTTTGGTACTGATCTGCTGGTTGACCGCCTTGAACGGTGCCGTCTTTCAGGTGAGAAGGAACGTTTGCTGAGGGAAAAATGTTTATCATATCCAAAGCATAAAAAAGATAGATTCTAAAAGACTTGAAATCGGCGCATGTTTGAAACAAACAAAATAGATATAAAAATTGCCTTACTGTTGGTCGTGACTTCCTTTTTTCTCGTTCTTGCTTTTACCCATTATTACCCTTGCGAAACTGACCCGACACGACCTCTACAAAGATAATCACCAAGCAACTTCTACGCGAATCAAACAGAAAACCTGTCAAGCTGTCAAACTGTCAAGCTGTGAAGTTGTCTTACAACTCGAAACACATCCGGCCGGGAGACTTTTTGCGTCTCTTGTAGTTTTACTTTGCACATTATTGATTTCACTTTTAAAAAAAACTTCTCAAGATACATCAGAAAATACATAACCAAGACAATCGAATAAGAAAGCGGTATTTATTTTTCCATTGGCACGACTACGTTATTCATTATTCCGAGGTTTCCAAACCCAATAATTCTTTATTTAATTTTAACTTAAACCCGTTATTCATTATTCATTATTCAGCATCCACTCATAAGGATATTGTATGGATCGTAAAATAAACGCAAGAAAGCTGAAAGATACAGTCCTATTGATTGTCGAAGCAGCGCTCCGCAGAGATCGGATTGTTTTTTGTTATGTTTCTGCGATGGTTTGATCTCCGATGGCAATATATGAAAATAAAGTTTCGAAAAACATATGGTCACATCTGGGCAGAGTGATAATTTAGTGAAATATTTAATTATTTTATTGGTAAGAAGGTAAGTTTGAATTAATATGCAAATTATTGTCGAATTCAGAAAAATAAGTCCTATTTAGTTGGGGTGGTATTTGCATTTGAAAATTTTTAATGCGAGTTAATCTGTAAAAAATTGCGTTGTAATTAAAGAAGTTTTATACAGATATATTATTGTTTTTTCTCTTTATTCACCACGCAACAGCTCCATTTAACAACTGCGTCAAACTATCAGGTTAGTTTTCAATTATAAAAGCCGACAAAGGCATGGTTCTGTTTTTTTTTTTTTTTTTTTCGCTCTTTCCATTATATACGGTAACTTGTTTGAAAAATTGAGAGGGAGAGAGAGAAAAAAAGAAGAGAAAATTAAAACTTAAGAGCGATGGTTTTAATTTGTTTTAAGATAAAGCTAGCATTACAATGTCCGAGATCGTTTTAAACTCATACACTCGTAACATATGGTCACCATCTATTTGTAGTTTATAAATTAAACCAGCGAGCTAGAGGCTCACAAGTCATAATAATTGGCTGTTTTTTGTGGAGTAAAATTTAGTTTCTGAATTGAAATTAACATGAAAGGTACCGATCACTACCTTATGTGCAAAACACACTTACGTGTGGAGTAAAATTTGGTTTCTGAATTGAAATTAACATTAAAGGTACCGATCACTACCTTATGTGCAAAACACACTTACGCACAAATAACTAATGTCTATCCGCTGGATTCACCAACAAGTAAACGGAGAAAAGACGAGTATTGCTATGAGTTCGTTGCACTACCAGTTGTTTCTTTTCTTCTGCTTCTATGTTGCTGTTCAAGCTCCATACAAAGAAGGCGATATCATGTTGGGCGGACTTTTCAGCGTGCTCAAGCCGCCAAACAACCCAGGGAGCCGATGTGGAGAGTTACATTTGAGAGAACTTGGTCGCATGCAGGCCATGATCTTCGCAATCGAACGAATAAATAATGACACAAGTCTTCTCTCGAACATTTCCCTAGGATATGACATAAGGGATTACTGTGGAAACCTCTCAAAAGCTGCAAGACTTGTTTACAAACTTTTAACTGTTGATACTTGTGTAAATGTATGTCAAAATGCCACAAGAAAGAAAGCCATCATTTCTTTAATAGGCCCGTACGAATCTAGCACAGCGCTATTCATTGGTGGAATTCTTCGTATGCTCAATTTTTCGAGCATTAGCGGATCAGCTACTAGTGCTGAACTTAGCTCACTTGCCTATGACCATATATTTCGAACAGCGCCCTCGGACCAGTTTCTTGCAAAAGCGATGGTTGACTTGGTCACACACTTCAATTGGAGTTATGTTGCTGTCGTTGGACTAGATAATTCGTATGGACGAAATGGAGCATGGGCAGTAGTTAGCGAAAGTACGTCAAGAAAAAGCTCGTTCTGCATTGCTTTGACACAGTTTGTACGCCACGAAAGTCTGAATCGGAGTATTTCGAATATAGTTAGACAGCTTAAACAGATGGACAATGTCAAAGTTGTGATCTTATGGTTATACGGAAATTACCAATCGAAGTTTTTGGCAGAGGTTAAGAGGCAAAATCTAACTGGACGTGTATGGATTTTGAGCGAAGCTCCTTTAACTTCCACACTGACAGTAGAAGGTATTCTCGAGAGCTCTTTAGGATTCGCACTCCATGAATTCAGCGACTCCGGCTTCAAGGAATATTTAAAAGATAGATTGGTCAAGGAGAAAGACAATAGAAGTTTTCCTGAATGGAGCTACAGTACAAGCGAAATATGGGAGCTTTTGAGGAGCAAGAAGTGTGTTCATCGCCAAATTAAGCAGTGCTCTAACGACTTAATTAAAAAAATCTACAACGCCAATGTTCCGTGCATCATCGACGCCGTATATGCCGTGGCACATGCACTAGATATTTTCTCTCGAAATTTTAGCCATAACGAGACCAAAGATCGGAGGAAATTGCAGATAGCCTCTAGTTCTGACGTGCAGAAGCTTCTTGGCAGAGTCAGTTTTCACGGACTAACTGGAAAAATCAAGTTCGATCGATTTGGTGACAGGGCCTCGGCGTATTATGACATTTTCAGCTTTGAAAAAGTATCTAATGGAGATGTTGAGAGCATAAAAATGGTGCGAAAAGGAGAATGGAACAATTCAAAGAGGAACGAAACTAGCTTGATATTTCATGAAGCTCTGAATTGGACGACTACATCTGGTCGCCCCCCGAAATCTGAATGCTCGGAGCAGTGTCCTCCTGGAACAAGGAAATCTTTTACCTCTCCTTGTTGTTGGCAGTGCCTTCCGTGTCTTGGTGGAACCATCAGCCCATCCGCTGGTTCTGAAAGCTGCAGTGAATGCCCTTCCGGAACAATGTCCAACCAGGCTAAAACAGAGTGTGTCCCTTTACCTTCCGCCAACATAAGTTATAGTAGTGCGAGTGGAATTGTAATTCTTACCTTTGCTACGCTCGGTGTAGTTGTTACCTTGCTTTGTCTGGCTGCCCTCCATAAATTCTGGAATAGTCCCATTGTCAAGGCTTCAAATCGAGAACTAAGCCTTGTTCTTCTACTCGCAATTCTGTCCTTATTGTCTTTGGCATTCATAGATGTCTTTGTGTCCACGAATACAATTTGCATGATCATATACCCGCTACGTTATCTGACCTATAACTTCTGTCTCTCCATCTTACTGGTAAAGGCGTTGCTTATTTCCAGTGCTTTTCGGGTTCCCATTTTGACCAGTTTGGAATTCACATCTCTTCCAAACAAAGCACAAGTTGGGATCGTTATAGCATCTCTAACTCCACTGCTGTCGGTGTTGCTACCGTGGATACTTTTGGATCCACCTTCTAAAAAGGAACACATCTATCCAAAACGTTACACCTTTAACGAATGCAAGGCATACTCCAGCTCAGTTGGAAAATCTCTATTCTTGGTAACATGCTTTTATATTTTCTTCCAAATGCTTCTGTCCTCGTTCTGTGCCTTTAAGATTAGGAACATTCCTGAAAATTTCAGTGAGGCCAAACGAATCGCTTTTTCCACCTACATATTTTTGTTCTCATTGCTTTGTTATCACCCAGTAGAATTGTGCTTGGATGGATGGTATGTAACGGTTGTGGATTGTGTAGCAACTCTGTTGAGCGCGTATGGTTTCCTTTGTTGTCTGTTTTTGCCCAAAATGTATATTCTGTTCTTTAGGCAGGAGATGAACGATGTGAATGCCATCAGACAACAAGTCACTCAGTTCTCGGTTAGATCAGGTTTTGTACGTGCAAACCGTGCTTTTGATAGTTTTAATTAGCGAGCATAATCGTACAATAAGCTTTCTTAAGATCGGTGATTTTGTACCAGTGTGCCATATACTTCTTAATAAACAAAATGTGAATCCATTATTGAAGAAAATATAAGCTTTTAATGAGCACTGCATTACAAATATAGGCTTCAAGGCATAAAAACACTTATAGTTGCCATGGATTGTTTCTTTTTATGTTCTCAGGATGGCTTAGTCATCGGGAATTTTAAATTTGCTTCCCTGATGGCATGGAAGGAAATATTATTTAAGAATACAAATGGCTACGAAAGCACGAAATAATAAACAGACATTTTGCATTTTTCATTTGCATTTTTAATCTTCTCTCTTGATCGAATATTTCTTTGGCATCTGTGCTTGGATTCGACTTTAAGCCTATTCCTTATTTATGGACTAATTTCCACATATTAGTCCTTCCCTCACACAAGGTAAAGAGTCCTTTTATATCCTCGTCCATCCATTTCCTTTCCTATTTCGGGACTGAAGGAAAAAGCATCTATGACCTGAGCCAAAAGCCTCGTCTTGTTTTTTAGCAGCAAAACTTATTTCCGCAACAAATGCTGCTTGCATGACTAATTAGGAGACACTTTGCCTCCGCAATGATGTTTCCAAGTTTAGCCAAGCCTTTGGGCAGATGCTTAGATAATTAAACTGCATGAGGATGAGAGTGATCTTCGCTGCTATGAACACTAGCTACTTAAGCAGTAACTAAATAAAGTGTGAAAAAAAAAGGAAAAAAAAGAGATGACTTTCTGTGCATGAATTGGGAAGGAAATGAATGATGCGAATAGCATCAGACGAGAAGTCACTCAGTTCTCGTTGAGTTCATTTAAGTTGTGTAGACGTAAACCCTGCTTTTGATAGCTCTAATTAGGAAGCTGAATCTTCCAACTGCTTTCTTAAAATCATTTTGTTATTTTGAGTTGTGTCAATGGAGGAAAATTCATTTTATTAACTAACACTGTATTGTAAATATATATATTACTTGACTTTTGATAAAAATCACCAGAAATACTAGTAAAGATCGTCCCTTGTTATGTTTGCAGGATGGCTTATCTGGTTGGAGGTTTTGCTTCACCGATGGCTAAGAAAGGAAGCATTGCGGTTGAGGAAGACAAATGGTCACGTGTGCGCTGAGTAATGGAGTGACTCTTTGCATTTTTAATCTTCCTTTATGACAACATACCAGGGAGTCTTCAGAAACTGCATTAGACAAATTTTTCTTCCCTTATACAAGCTAAGAAGTAACTATCTCCTCTTTCAATAAAGGTCTAGCTAGCTTCTCCGATGGCAAAATATGAAAACATTGTTTTCAAAAACATAAGGTCGCATCTGGGCAGAATGATGTTTCTATTAACTTTCTGTTTTACAATTATGTGAAATATTTATTTATTTTATTGGAAGATATTTATACACTGTTGGTACAGGGTCTCAGTGGGGTGATGGCTTTTACGGCTACCGGTTAAAATTTTGGCCAATTTACGGTAAACGGTTAACACCTTTCCATTGTTTCCACCATACATATTTTTTACAGTTAACTTTTTTTACGACTTAAAAATTTGTCAATTTTTTGGCTGTATTACGGTTAACGATTAACCCAGTGGAGACCCTCTTGGTAAGAAGGTACGTTTGAAAAATATTGTCAAGTTCAGAAAAATAATTTCTAATTAGTTGGAGTGGTATTTGCATTCGAAAATTTTTTATGCGTGATAATCTGTAAAAAGTTGCTTTGTGCTAGTCTAGTTTCGAATTGTTTGTGCGAGATAGTCTGGTAACTAATTATCAGCACCAACCCGAGGCTGAGTGGAATACGCGCTTATTTTGAAAGCAAGATTGGAGTGACTGTAAGTCGAATATGAAGATTTTGTCCGATCCTGAAACAGCAACACAAGGCTCACAACCAGTCCTGGAGCCCGCGAGTCCATTCCAGTTTGACGGACAACTTGCTGTAGACAATGAATGGGAAGGGAAGGATGAAGGAAAAGGAGATAAAAATACACATTTTTAATCTTATCATGTATGGCTTGATAGCAGAGTGTGGGGGTTAACATCCTAACTCCCTGGAAACATTATCACATTAGTTGTTATAACAATAGAAATATCTTATCCAGCCAGCAGTTCGCGAGAATTGACAATCTAATAAGCTCAGTAGATGGTGTTTCCTTCATAAAACACATTATTCTCTTCACAAATCTCCGAGGAAGTCTGTAACAGCAAGGAGAGAAAATTAAGGACTAGGTCAAGGAAGTGTAAGGCTAAGAGATATCGTCATATGACCCGCAAGGCCCGGCATACGCTCCATGTAAAAACTTAATGTAAACATCCCCGTAAGAGGGCCGAGGGCAACGGCGCGAGCAAAACCAGGAAAACCTTGTGTATCCAAATCTTAGGAAGGCGGACCAAGGGGAAGATATGGAAAAATGCTTATTGACTGATTCAGGTCGGGCCGGACGGGAAAATATCTGGTTCCAAGGTTCTCCTTTGCGATGACAGGACTTGTCGTTTTGACAATATGGGCTTCTATGATGACCTTCTTTCACACTCTCGAAACATCGAATACTGTCAACGACAATAGTCCCTTTTAAGGACTACTCTCACAAGGACGATCACTTAACGAATCCAAAGCGCTATTATCGAGAGAGAAATTACCAGATCACCATCGAGGTTAACGAAATTTTGGTAGAATACACTTTGGCCTGGTCAATTTTATGATGCTGCACATGTAGTTTGTAAAGGAGAGTTACATTAATGTTTCTTTTTAATAATCTTCCTTTTAATGCGAGTCTCTGGAATATTCTCAATATTTTACTTTTAGAATGAATTAAACGTTTCATAAACTCCACCAGTTCTCCATGAACCTTCGTGGGCGCACTAAGCGGATCCTTTCACTAAGAAAAGTAGTCTCCACAATAGGCCATTTCCGAATTACCTTTTGCCTCCTTTTCAAAACGAAGCCTGGTGCTCAACTATTCGCATGAAAAAGACATCAATTTGTCTGTGAATGAAAATTTAAAATCACATGAAAGGATGAGCACCAGGTCTCGCTTTGAAAATGAGGCCGACGGTGATTCGGAAATGGCCTATTATATTTTTTACATTTTGAAGTGTTCCCCTCGCTTGTAATTTGATGAAGACATATGCATTGTGTTTTTTACTTCGTTAAATAATATGGCATTTATTTACCAACTGACAGTGCCCTTGAAGTAAGAGAAGCGCATCCGAGAAGGCAAATTTGAGGATTTATGCTGCTGAGGATCGAAGAAAAGGAAAGGCAAAAAGCTCGCGGAAGAGATTTACCAATGATGTTTCTATAACAGTAAGATAATTACATTTCCTTCTCTCTTTTAAAAAGATGTTAATTTATTGTGATTTTCTAATGTAAATAGCGAAGTCTTTTTGGCAGGTGTAAAGGCTATTGCAACTCTTAGATAAGGGCTGTGAAAACTGAAAACTTTCTTACACCAATCAACCGGAATGCTTGATAAAAATTGATAGAAAAATTTCACATCCAGTGGGATTGTAATAAGAAATGAAGAAGCGAAGGAGAATTGCTTTCGATTTTATCAGTTTTTTGTAGCTGACACACGGCTTCGATCTAATTTAACCAAACTTCCGAGATAAATCCGGTAGTCGTCTTTAATTGGTTTTTAAAGCCTTGGTTTTCATGTTCTCGTTTTGATGTTGTGTTAGCAGATCAACTTCAAAGGTAGCTGTCAAAATTAATTGATGTCATTAACTCTAAAATTAAGGATAGCCGTAGCCTGGAGAAGTGACAATAAAGAAGACAAAATTCTTAAAACTATCCTAAACACCTATCTGGCGCAGTCTTTTTATCATCGCAATGGGAAATTACTTCTCGAACTTGACCAATTTTTTGGTCATTAATTTGACGGATAAAATTACCTTAAAACCAGATCGGCGTTCAGCATGACATAAAGCGCTAAATTAGATGAGTTCTCATTTATTATCATATTTCTTGATTTACTTTTCTTTGCAAAGGAAATCCTAAAAAAAAAAAACTCACAAATGAACCAACAGCTGAAGGTTGCGTCAAAAGGGGACAGTGTTATGTGTGTTCTTTTTAGTTGGTTACAAATCTGTCTTTGTTAACGTCGCTCGCTGAATAAATACGAAAGATTCGCCGGCTTTCAAATTAAAAGATTTACTGTCTATATTTGCTTATTGACGATCAAAATTGACGATGAGGTGAGGTGAGCCGTAAAGCCGTAAAGCCGTAAGCCATTCTTTAATTAGTGCTTCAACTCTAACAATATTACATGGGCAGTTTGTATGATGACACTTCTGTCAAAATGACTCTTTTGTCATCTCGTTTTCGTTTTGCAAGAGGACATGCTGTCAAACCTTCAGAGAGCTTTTCGCCAGCACCTGCGTCTTAGACATACAGAGAGGAAAAACTACAAAGGAATCAGCAGTTGCGCGCAAGAACTGGCAAAGTTTGCTTAAAATTCTTACTTGGAAGAACAGCATTCACACCAACACATATGCCGTTCAAATATGGTACCTTTCCGCGGCAGAAACGCTAAGTGGTAACGAAATTTTAAAATCAAGGAAAATTTTCACCCGAGAGGACTTAATCCAGTTCTTCTTGACAAGAAAGGTTACAGCACTGATCTTCTCTCTCAAGCCGGCTGAAGCACTGACAAAACCCAAAAGCTATAATCGTTCAGTTGTTGTAGATCAGAAGCATGAGCGTCGCATATAGAAAGAACAACATGGAAAATGACACAAAGTCTGAAATGGCTGATCTTGGCCCAGCAGTTACAATCGTCGAAACCTGTGTTTGTCTGCTCTTGAACATCATATCGCTAAACGGGAACTTTTTGGTGTGTTTAGCCGTTTATAAAAACTCGCGCTTGCGAACCACGACCAACATTTACATTATCGGACTGGCGTTAACCGACTTACTTTCAGCTACGTTTGTGATGCCATTCACTTCTGGTGTCCTTATAACCCGAAAATGGCCGTATGGAAATCTCTACTGCAGCATACAAGCGTTTCTGGTCAACTTTGGACTATTCACCTCTACTTCGATCATGGGACTCACAGCCTTCAACAGATACGTAAGAATTGTTCATACAAACAGATACAATACTATATTTTCGAGATTTAAATCTCGTATTACACTAGCGTCGTTGTGCGTGATCATAGCCTCGTACATCGCAATACCAGGCTTGACTGGATTGCAAAATTTTGAATTTGTTCCTGAGTATGCCACCTGCCATATAACACATGCAAGTGAAGAAGTTATGATAGTTCATTACTGCGTTGTCGTATTTTTCTTTCTGGTTTTTCCTTTCAGTTTGGCAACATTCTGTTACGTCAAAGTGTTTAGGACTATTACGCAGCATAATCTCGAAGTGGCCCCAAATTTACAATCGAGAATTCGCGACGCTCAGATCACTACCCAAGAGATAAAAATTTCAAAATCTCTTTTCGTGGTAGTGTTAGGATTCGGAATGTGTTGGATACCCGCATGGATTCTAGCTTTGATAATGCGCTTTAGCGCTTTTCCATCTTTGCCTAGAGAATTTTTTCTCATTCACACCGCCTTAGTTTTCCTAAGCAGCTCTACTAATGTATTCATTTATGCAGGAATGAACAACTCGTTCAAAGCAGAATTTCGACGTTTGCTATCTTGTGAAATTCGCGTCAAATTATCTGCCAAGGTTTCTCCGAATTTCGGCGGACGAAGACCCATCGAACTACGCTTTCCGCGTAAATTCAGTGGATAACCCTGCGTTTGTGATTTAGTCAGTTGGGTGAGAATCGTATGATTTCAAGAAGGCTAGAAATTTAAAATTTGAAGCAGTGACCGGCACTAGTCAAACAGATGATATCTCCAGATATTTTGTGGCTAAATGAAGGTAGAAACTTAGTTGTCATGCTAATGACTAATGTAACTGGTGCCTTTATCGGCTCTGTTCACACAGTCAAATGAGAAAGGTCCTCAGGAACCATTTCATTATTAGAGTTTAAAAGATTTAAGTTATTAAGTCTGTTATAAATTTTATGATCCTATGTTTAAATTTTTAAAATGAAAAATATGAAATTAGAAGAACGCACTGAAATATTTGTTTTCTAACTCGCCTTGCTCTCAGTTTACTGCCAAATTAGACAAGTATATTTACCGATCGGTCTTGCTGTCCAAAGATCCATGGTCTAAGTTGTAAGAAAAAGGAAAATTAATTTTCAAAAAAAGAGACGTGTATGGAAATAAACAAAAACGATGTCACGCGTATAAACTTTTCTTTTGATTTCTTAAAGCTAAAAACTAACTGTATTTTATTTGTAATTTTTATTGTATGTACGGGCAGACTTTCCACTGTAAAATGACAATATTTAGAAAAGACTTTGAATTAACCCTTTGATTGCTAGCTTGAAGTGCGAAAGAGATAAATCTATCCTAAGTTAGCACCTAAATTATTATCATATGTTAGATCCATGGAAACCGCAGTAATAACAATGATAAATTGAACGATAATTACTTGTCAAAGTAAGCTCTCTTATGAAAACATATATGATATCAGAATCAAAAATTTTCTTAACAGGAAATGCTTGTGTATCACTCATCTACTAAAGTTCTCCATGTTTTTCTGTAAAAATTGATTTTTTTTTTGTCATTTTTGTTACATAATTATAACCTCAGGTCTAATATGTCTTTCAGACACGCTGTGAAGAAGCGTGGTTTGGTGTACCAACTGAGTTTAATGCCTCGGTGCGTTGACATATTTACCTAGGCCTGTTATATGTGCATTAGGAAAAACTGGAAATGAACAATCAAAAGATAAAAGATTGTACCTAAAGCTAAATGGAATATCCATTTCTCTTGTACTAAAAGACATTCAGACAATCAGAAAAAGTTTTGACAAACGAATAAAAGGCCTTGTGAAAGCCGTTTTAGTACTCTTTCAGAGAAACAATATTAACCCTTTAGGTTCCTTTCGTATTAGACGTAAATTAATTTAACCATCTCGTTTCCAGCGCAGAAAAGAGGGACGAAAATCGAGAGCAATATTGGAAGCTGAATGGTATCAAAAATAGTACTGGTACTTGTAATAGCCGGACAGCGTTTATTAGTGTAATGTTAGTAGGATTGTGCGGAGTGCCAGATCGGTCTGTATTCATTCTAGTTATTAAAAAAATCAAACGACAACAGCAACTTGTGTTTACGATTTATGATAGTTACGGCTCAAATTAACATACAGATATGACCAAATACGCATTTCCGCAAAATGGTTCAGCGAACAAAAATAACCATGATGAAAAATGAAGGCTGAATATTGGAAACCGAAGACCCTTTTTCCTCTCTACATTTAAAGCTTATCGTTACGTACAATTTCAAGTTATTTATCAATGATGATATACACCACTCCTTCTTTAATTCAGCGATAACCGTTCAAATACACGGACATCTGTAGGATCAAACCCCTAATCAAATCTGGAAGACAGCTGGGTTACTTCTTGATGATAGAGAAAATTTCTCTTTGTTGCGCTGCGAACTTGAGGCGTTGAAGTCCCGTCGAAGCATTATAATTTTTAATAAAAAATTAAACTTAAATACCCTTCTAAACTTTCTCGACTTTAATTTCTGCTAAATCACTATTTCTACGGATTTACACTTACATTTAACTGAATTAAGCATCTTTGCCCAGTAGAATATCGTGCAATTTTTAAATTCAATATCAATCTTTCCTTTCTGTGACTTTCAGAAACGGTAGAGCAAGAATAGCTACTCCCTTAAATTTCCAAGAATCCATTGGCCAATTTCTGCTAAACTTTGAGCCAATCTGTTTAAAATGGGAAGAAACATTTACCCTAAATTTGCAGTAATAAATAAAGCATTTGCTTAAGATCAAGTTAGCCACTTTCATCCGAAAAGAGACTTCACAGAATGATCATGTAATTGGAAAACTTTTTGCTTCTTTCCTGTATATCCTAAAGTTGAGGAAATATCGTTAGGCATTAATCATCTAAATTTCATCCAGCATTCCGCTTTATCTTTAATCAGTGACTGAGATAAATTGAATTAGTTTCAATTTCTTGTTTTAGTATTTCTCGTTCAATGTTTCTATAATTTTATGTTGTTGCTGATACTAAGTCTGGAGATGTAACGAAACAACGTCTGAAAACAGAAAATATAGATGAGAGCAAAGTGACAATACGGTGAATTCGAGGATACACCGTGGAGAATATTACAAGAATATACGGAGACTGTACTAAAAGCCAGCGGTTGTTTGATTTATAGAAAAGGAATTAAGTTCACACAATGATACACCATATCTAACAATCGGTCCGCCATCTTTAATAAGACGCATGCTCTCCCCAGACTCCTATGGCCGTGCTAACACCACGAAAATTGTATTCTGAATCCCCACAGTATTCATTTCCTTGCCTTGGATATTCACGAGTTAAAACAATGAGTGATATTTTGGTCAAATGAGAATAACGCGTCAAATCTCTCAAACTAGCAAGCGCCCGGTCATGAGAGGACCACAATTTCACCACCATGATCGCACCTGAAAATACTGATACATTATTTATGAATTTAGACGACACTTTTTGTTCGATTAATAAAGACTTCCATAATTATTTTAATCAGTTTAGTGACAGGGATTGAAATAAAACGAAATATAACACAATTGAAGAGTTCATTGATTTATTTTGATATTGCACCACACTGATCTGTGTATCATTATCTTTTTTAGAGAAAATTAGAACCACAGAAGGGAACAAATACAAAAAGTTATATTTTGGTGGAAATGACAAAAACTGTCATTCTTCCTCAAATTAAAAAACCGAACTGTATATTGTCACAAGGCGGAGTACAATTCCACCACCAAACCAAACCTGAAAAGTTGGATATAGAGAGACAGTTTCCATGATGTTCGAAAGACACGTTTTACACGATCAGCCATGAGTACTTGTTTCTCCTTATCAACAGCGAAGAAGAAAAATATTTGGCAGTTGAGTTTTTTTTTTTAATTTATTTTGTTCCTTTTTCCTACATCTTTGATATTTTGGACCTTTTTTAAGCACTAGACTAACATTAAGACAACCTTCCTTAGAATATCGCTATGGCAATCTGAGAATATTTTTTTTACCCAGTACTTCCCTTTCAGCCTTAGTTCTAAAATTTTTAGAGACAAATTAAACTTATTTCAAGAAGTAGAAGATATTATCCCTTTGCGCATGATAGTAACTGTGCAAATCATTTTTAGTGTGGAAGCTATTTTCAAGAGTGATTTTCTAAAACCCAACCGCAAGGTAAATAGTAGATTAAACTTTACTCTGAAAGAATCGTTTTTAATTTTGTAAATTTGTCAACAGGAACCACTATGCATTTCGAAGAACTATACCGTGTAGAACACGGCCTAGTAGACACATTATTCATTATTTTCCTGTTCCATTTATCTTTTTTTTTTTTTGCGCTGGTAGAGCACAGCTAGCTTATTAGACACTTGCATGTGAGCGAGGCAACTCTTACCCGTAGAGGAATCTGTTCTCAATTTTCAATGATACAGTCGAACCTGTTGTAATCGGTCACCAACAGGGAATGGCGAGTTGACCGCTTGATAAAGGTTCCACAGATTAGAGGTATTGCGAAAAACGACCCACAAAGCCAAGCCACTTTATTCCATAATTGACCACTTCATACACTAAATCTCGCTCAAAAATATTACTGTTAATTTGGAAGAGAAACATGGATTAAAAACTACTTGAAAGATTATTCTTATTTTCATTTGAGTGGTTCGACTTTAAGTGATATTTCATACAGGTGGAAGATGATACAAACAGGCCATTATGACTTAGTAAAGGATGATCGCTCAATATAGGTGACCGTTTAATAGAGGTGAAAATTACAGTGATAGTTTTGGACCTTTGGCAACCGATTGCTTGACACGGGTGCCGCTTAATACAGGTTCGACTGTTTAAATTTTATTTGACCCGCGGATGAAATCAAGTAAAGAAATGATTTTGGCTGTTGGACTGTATTAAGCAATATTCTGAGATAACTGAGACATATTTTGGCGTAAAGTGGACAAAGTGTCATTTACCTTTAAGTAATAAAGTCACCTGGAAACCCACCCTCTTTTCACGGAGGCTACAATTTCGACCTCCACAAAAGATGATGAAATATCCCTGAAAATACTGGAACATTATTCATGCATCAGTTAGCAAATCTTGTATTACCCAACTATTACAGCTTATGAACAGCTTTGAAATAAACCAAACAATTTGTGCGGATAAATTGTCTTATTGTGTGACAATGGCACTTTGATCTTCGGTAAAGAACTTACACAAAGTGTCGTTGACAGTGAAATAATGTATGGTTCATTTTCGGCGCCAGGCTCAAACTTTTTAAGGAAAAAAATGATGTTTTACCTTAGTTTATTTTGAAATTTTTTTAATTCCATAAAAATCTCATAAGACGAAAGAAAAGGAATATAGCTAAAGTAATAAAACTATAAGTAATAATTAATGAAACAAACTATCAAGGGAACTGGTGCCTCTGTAGCAATATAGCTAAAGTAATAAAACTATAAGTAATTATTAATCAAACAAACTATCAAGAGAACTGGTGCCTCAGTAGCAAGCCATAGGCTGTGGAATTCATAACAATTATGTCACCATAGACTTCACCTTATTAAACGTACATAAACAGCTGAGAACCATTCGATTGCCGTTCATCATTGTTCCCTGGAGCACATCAGTGTCAGACGAACGACGTTACAAAGGAAACGTGTTTCCTCTTACACTATGACCCTTTGGATGATCATTGTCTTTAGTGCTACTTTAGTGGCACCCTTTGATACAGCAACAGAAGAAGACAGCGGAGGTTAGTCGTATTTTCCACTACTGATACAATGTAATCAAATATGTAGTTCAGCTATCTTTACGAAAGAAATATTAGCTTATTTTATCGCCAGATAGAATAAAGATTCCTGTTTGAAAGCAGATTTGACCATGGCTTTACTTCTTGAAAACAGGCTAATTTAGTATTATCAACTGAGTTGATAGCGTAAATTGGCCATCGTAGAGAGTTTCTAAGCTGACGTTTCGAACGCTATCCCTTCGCCTATTGCCAAGAAACGGCTCTCAAGAGATTTTGAAGTCATTAAATATAGACTACCATGTGCGAGCCATAATCCTTTAACTCCCATGGGTGACAAAGACAGAATTTCTCCCTATAATATCGATACAATTTCAAGCAGACAAAGGACGAGAATAAAGATAAATATCTATCAGAGGATAATCCATTGATCCAATACCAAATTCTCGACATCGACATCATAAGAATCGTATGAGTAATGAGGATTCCTGACGAGATCTTTGGAATAAAAGGGTTAACGTTGCGAATATAGGCAACGGTTAAGAAGTGGGGTAACGAAAATAATATATATATATTTATAATAAAATATGTCAAAAATACTGATGTATTACGAAAGGATTTAAGGTTCAGCTGCCAATAAAAGACTAGTGTTAATCCGACTGAATTGATAAAATTTTGGAAAATTTCCGAAATCGTTTTTAAAAAAAAAAAATGAAGAAAATAATAAATAAAAAATATGTTTATTCATTGAGTCCTTTTCCTGGGTGCATTTATCCGAATCTTGTGCGAGGAATATAAAATAATATGCTAATCTTCGCCATATATCATCCCATGCTTGTCACAAGAGGAAATTATCTTGAATTACCCCCCTTCTCCACTAACACAGCACCACAGTTTCTTTAGCAACTCATTCCCTCTTTTTTTTTTTTTTTGAATACCGTTGTCGTGAAATACATGGTGAAATACTTCAGTTTACCCCTATAATATTCTTTTAGAACGCGGATGCAAGACTATCAAAAAAGGCGATGAGTCCTACAGTAAAAGTATCAACATTCCTAAGATGAAATGGACTGAAACACCGGCTGTTATTACTAAAGGAAAACGTAATGTTGCTATCCATAGCTGCTCGTTGTACTTTTGAAATAATGAAATAATTCACAATTATTTACCAAAATGGAGATGAATTGAGGTGGATATTTTACCGAGCCACGAAACAGCATAATAAATATCCACTACTTTTACCGAGACAGAATGAATATACCACAAAGAAATTAAGAGAAAATAGTTTATTTCTATTAATAACCAAGATAAAAAATGATCGAAATTAAATTGTTGACGCGCAAATTTATCTCCTCGGCCGCTCGGAGGTGAACAGTACTTGCTAGTCACTTCCAAACCAACCAATCAGCGTGCGCGAATACCACTATTCATCAAATGTTATAGCATGCCAACGTTACATGATTGGTTAAAAGGTTCCACTTTTATCGAATCATTGCAAGTTTCGCATTCTAGAAGAGATTCCACCAGGTGTGATTTCCAAGTTTAAGCCATGCTAAAGACCTACTGTAAATCCAGAGCACACTGAAATTCGTAAATTACGCATCCATTGCTGATTGAAAATTCTCTTGTAACTCCCAAATGAACATTATGAAAATGAAGTGGTTTAAATTTTTCATTTTCGTCTTTGTTTTACATCAACTTACTTTGGTTTATTTCATTCTACATTATGTATCTACTTCTCGTTTAATCTTATGGCTCTCCTATTTCTAACAGGTAACTATCAGGTTATAGGGCGAGTTGTTCATATGAACTATCTGCAAGAATATTTTGCTGCAAAGAAGAGTATGAAGTTTGGAAACATCCAGAGGAAACCTAATCGTCTTCAACTTGAAGTCCTGGCCGATACTGTGTACATTGAGGTTTGTATACAAAAAAAAGTATGAATGTAACAACAGAGGAACTTTCATCTAAGAACCATTTACTTTTAGCAACGTGCGAGTTGGCCTTAGGCATAGTTACGTCACAATACCTAATTTACCACCCTCATGTGTCGCTTTCAAATGTGGACTGGTGAATTATGATAGGAAAGTATTCCTGAAACGTTGAAATCAAAGGAAACCCCACGTGAATTCGAAAATAAAGTGAAAGAGACAAAATATCCGTGATATATACATATATTTTTACACACGAGGCTTAGGGTAAATTTTTAGTAAATGACATAATCCTGCATATATAAGAATTATTTTTGTTGTTATGACGTAAAGACAATTACGTTCTAACGATGCTTCACTCCTTGCTCCTTACAAGAGTAAATCACTCTTTACGCTCAGCCATAGTTCCTTTCACGTGGCCACCCTGAAAACTGCATGTGGAGATATCTTCCGTGTTTCAAAAATATTGTATACCAAAGATTTTTAAATCTAGATATATTTTATGTTTCTAGATTCCTCAGTCAGTCAATTTTTAGTCAATATTATCTTATCTTAGCTTAAATATTGAGGTATGGTTTGATTATATTCTTTAACAGGCTTAAATCCCAACATTCACGTGTCAGAAAGAATCAATACAAATCCTACCCCAAGAGAAATTGCACAACTATGCTCGAGTAAATTTGATTGGAGAGGCCAACAGCACTCGCGTGAACCACTTATGACAACGATATACGGCATAAAGACCCTTTTTTCACTTTGTCTTTATCAATTGAGTTAATACAGTAAACTGGCCACCCAAAAAAATACGAAAAACTAATGAATACTCAAATCAATGTTCTTTAATTAGGGCGCTGTCACGATGCGAGGTATCAAAAAACTCACAGTTTATAGCCGCAAAGTTGTTTCCGGGAAAGATAGTAAGCTGGATGTCAGAGCTCCTACTTTGAGGCAGGTATTTAGTGATTTGGCTCCTGGCACTCCTGGAGTAAGAGGGGAAAGTGGCGTAGCAGGACCTAAAGGTACTGGAATAAAGGAAAAAAGGGACCATATTTACTACGGAGGGGAGGGTGGAGGATTTTGGGAAGGATCACATAATTTTCAGGGGAAACGAAGGGATACCAGTCGCCATCAACAAAGTATAGGTGTGGGGACTAAAGAAAATTGACTGCCAGTCAACTGTATGTATGCTATTTATCAACTAATTTTGTTGCCCGTTGTGGATCGGGAAGTTCGAGCAACACGGTCAACAAACCGTTTTCTTGATTGAATTAGATTATTCGAGATGATGAGGTCAAAAACGATTTCCTTTGATGATAATAATAATAATAATAATGGTGATATTTTTACAAGCTGCGATCTCACAATGAGTGGTTTTAAGTACAGCCCTGTAGAGAAAAGGACAACAACAAAAATACATTTAATTGTAAAAAAAAAAATGACGGTAATAACAATACTAATAGCAATGATAAAAATATGAAAAAATGAAAATGATAATAACACCAATAATAATGGAGGAATAAGAAGTATGAGGATAACTAACAATTAACAATTTTATGCACTGACAATGAGGTAAATACCTGTTTATATCACGATATAGATATACCACGCAGAAACCAAAAAAACTAGTTTCTTTCTGTCAATGGACTAAAAACTGGGTCGGAAATTTAATTGGTGACCCGCGATTTTATCTTTTCGATTGCTCGAAGTTGAATAGTACTTGCTAATCACTTCCGAACCAGCCAATCGGCACGCTCGAAAAGTAATATTCACCTGTGTGGTATACTTTAATGACGTTTCTGATAACAATGATGATGTTTATAACGAAAATAGCGACGAAAACAAGAATGTATTTGTTTTTATACTTATGTGCATGTCCTAGAATTCTGATCTAAAAAACAACGCCCAAGTTATCATATAGTCACATCCAAATGAAAATAAAAGCTATACGAGGTCTTGCATTGAATCCTATACATTACTTTGATCTATTAAAAGTGGAGGTGTATACCCAATTATCAGAAGGCCACATGTTTATAGCGAGCAATGGTGGAAATGGAAATCAAGGGCAAAAGGGTGCTGATGGCAAAAATGGGACTGACAGGATTGACTCGGTATGGTAACGTTATAGTGATAGTTGTTTGATAATATTCACTTATCAGAAAAACTGATATACCTTTACAAAAGAAAGATACCATGCATGTTCTCCACGGTCTGCTGAGACGATACTGTTAGAACACGGTTGTGACGAACTAAATTCTCCTGCGTACTTTAGTTATATCTTATGAGACATGCAAGAAAGCTGGCCAAAAATAGTAAATGATTTTCGTGCTGAAATGAACATCTTTAACGATTCTTTTGATCATAAGCTCATGCCAACGGACTCCAGAAAATCATTTCTTCTCGCATTAGACTCTTTACTACCGAATTAGACAACATCATAGCCACTATGCAATGCACCATGCATGCAATGAGGTGCATGGTGGCAGTGCATGGTGACAGAAGGAGGGCTAACTTTTTTAACTGTGACCCTCCTTTGTACAGCTGTTTCGAGCAAGGTTGTAGGAAAGTGATAAAAAGGCTCAAAAGTGCACGCGACAACCCCAAGAGGTATTGCGGGTAACTGTAAGATCACGGCTCCTTGACTTCTTAATTTTAGAGAAATCGGAGAAAACATCTCAGTGAGGACAAGACATCACGGGTTTCGTGAATTTACCTTTCGAGATTGTCGCGTGCACTTTCGTCCTTTTTCCAGAAGAATTTTCTCGAAAAAGCTGTTGATTTACTTGGTCCGAGGAAAGATGTTATTACTTGCGAAATTTGCCATATGGCCTGCAATTTTTCACATAATGTATGGCAAGTAAGCAGCATATGACCGTGTTTAATTGCGACTTTTCGTAGAAACCACCCAGGACATTCGCCGAGTGTGAGAAAAATGACTGCAAAACCGTCTGGGGATATGCAGGAGAAAAAGGAAATCCCGGCAAAGATGGTGGAAATCCTGGAGAATCGGGTACAGAACATATCTTAACTTAAATGTATTTTCAATAAGACTACCACATGTGCAGCATTTTGATAAAAAAAAAACCTATTATATTTCGGATTGCAGGTAATTTAGTGTTAACAACTGGGTTGAAAACGTAAATTAGCCACCGTAAAAGGTAAAAAAGCTAAAGCGGCTAAGATTCACTCATTGTCTAGCTCTATAAAAATTTTAAGCTTTTTTACCCTTTACGGTGGCTAATTTACGTTTTCAACCCATTTTAATAAAACCTAAAAAAGCACCACAGTTTCTTTAGAAACTTACCCCTTTATTCATATTTCGGATTGCGCTATGTAAAGATTTCGCCTAAGCAAATAAATGAACAACAGGTTTCAGCACCTTTATCAGACGAGGAACTATGTTCTCGTGGCAGTATAATCATTGGTTAGAAACCCAAAAGCTCTAAAAACCTGAAAACTTTATAGAGCTAGACACTGAGTGAATCTTAGCCGCTTCATTACATATATAGAGTAATATTGATCAATCAAAATCGTTTCCATTGGTCACAACGAATAAAGGGGAGAGGGAGAAGACAGGAGAATTAACCAGGACACGTTGGGCACAATAAGGTTGATTTCAACTTTATATCGTGAAAGAAGTCTGTTTCCTTGTTTGGTCACACACAATTTCACTCTTCCAATTAACTGTAATATAATCATCATTTCTTAATGACTTAACGACTAGTCCCGAGGGAAGAAGGTCATTTTTCTTTCCGAGAATAACAACAAATTCAACATTATATTCAAGGGAAACAACCTTTAATTTATCCTGAAGGACAAGTCGTTAATTGATTTGCTGTATAGCATATAGAAGAAATTAGAAGACGCTATGTGAAAAAATAATAATAATAATTGATAAGTTACATCTATGCACATACAATTCAGAACAAAGTTAACGCTCGCCGGTGATATTAGACCGTTACCCCTTGACGTCATAGATTTGCAATGTTATCCACTCAAAATCTGTTAACGAAAAACAATCTTTTTTTGAACGGCAAGTGACTTAACCCTTTAACTCCCAAGATCTTTTTAGTAATTGTCCTTACTGTCTGCAGTACAATTCTTCCGATGTTATTTCTGAGAATTTGGTATTGGATCAACTATTAATCCCTTAATTGATACTTTTCTTGGTTCTCATCTCTTGTCTTCTTGATTTTGTATTGATATTGTAAGGAGAAATTCTGTCTTGGTCACTCATAGGAGTGAAAAAGTTAAAGCAACCAATGAAAGCGCGCGCTGTTGGGGCAAAGTTTCACTTTATAATGATAGTAATTACTTCCATATATGTATTTTATAAATAGGAGACGGAGGCGAAGCTGGAAAACAAAGACTATATGTGAATGAAATAAAAGGAAGTATCAAGCTAAAAACATGTCCTGGCCGAGGAGGTGCAGCGCCGGTAAAAGGAAAAGGTGGAATAGGTATGGACTTCAAGATTAGCAGGCAGATAGGGGGTTGTAACGTAACATACCTATCATATGAGGGGGAGTCAGATGAATGTGGGAGAGGAGGGAAGGGGCATTGAAAAAATCAGCACACATAAGTACATAAGGCCTCTAATAAAAAAAGAACCCTCGGACATTCCCTTTATTTGTGATAAAATGTATGTTTGTTTAAATCTATTTCGCTCCTGGAGCACAGTTTTGTTTCCTTTTTGCTTTCGTTCTGTTTTGCACTACTGTTTTCTTTTTTATTTATTTTTTAGAGTGACTCATTTTTCTTTGCTCAAGAAAAGGAAAATAACAGTTTTCTTTATTTGACCATGGTAGTAAACATTATAAATTCTCCATCCTTATTCATCTACGCGCTCGACTCTTTTCACAAGTGGTCCCAGTGTAACACCAACTTCAACTAACAGTTCCCTCCTTGGCCCGTAAGTCTGATGGTCCAAGATTTGATTTCTCGAGGGAGATTCTTGGGGGATTCTGGGGGAATTGTCTCACCTAGTGACAGATAACTGACATTTCCATCATTTCTTATCATTCCTGAATATGCCAGGAGCAATTAACGTGGGGAATCAGTATGCAAATTTTAATTGCGTAAGCACGGCGCTAAGAATCTGGGAGAGCTTGCTTCATCTTAAAGATGGCGGATCAATTGAGGTCGGAAGGACCCTGGAAGGATGATGGCTCTATTCTGTTTCTATAAATTAGCTTTTCGTTCAATGCCAGTGTATTCTAATTATATTCTTCACATCATATCTATGACTTCACCATCGTTTCAATTTCATCTTCTCCTCAGGGGGTCTCGGAAGTTTTGGAGGAACAGGGTTTCGATGTGCAATGAGGGAGTCATGTATACCTAATCTGTTTGACCCTATGAATCCCTCCTGTCACACTTCGTGTGAAAATGATGGTGCCACGGGTAGAGCAAGTAGAGGAGGAAGAGGAGATAATGGAAAAGACGGAAAAAGTTGAGTATACATGAGCCACGCTACGAGGAGGACTCTTTTGTAAATGTTAGACTTTATTGCTCTTCTTTTTCACAACAAGTTAAAAAGCAATAGATTTCTTACCCAAGAGCGAGGCCAGGAAGACTCATTTGCATGCCTATTAAGAATCAAGAATAATCACGCCATAAAGCGATTGGCTGGCAAATGATTTACCGATGCCAAGAAAGTATAATAAGAGTAAATCCGAATACTTCTTGGTTTTTACTTTCGTCGTTCATAAAATTCTCGATTAATGGAATCATAATGTGATACAACGTCTTTTAACGTATGTTAAACTCAACGTGTAAGTGGGTTGTTCTGAGAGCCAAATAATATCGCATGAAGGCCTTTTTGCACGTGTTCCGTATTGAACGTTCAGCGTGCCGTTTAACGCGCACTGACTGAAACACGCTGATAAAAGTTTGTTTGCCCCTGCGTTCACTTAGAGTACGTTTTTCTGTGGAGCGTCACAAATGTTCGAGCTAATCCAAAATTGCCAATTTACGCCCATGGCATAGTAGAGAAAGTTTGCGAGTCAGAGGGACAATTCTGACGCTGGATTTCAATTTCAATATAGAGTTTAGGCGGAATGCTATATCACCCGGCATATATTTCGTCAGGTCTCCGTTATAGATCTAACCCTATAGGCTACCAAGATACCAAAATTTTGTCTTCCAATGTAACTATATGTTAATATTTTCTTTCAGCTGAAGATCCCGGCGCCCCCGGCATAATAGATGATACTTATCTTCGTTTATCTGGCCTCTCTAATAATGCAAATAGCAAATACCCCCTGGCATTGCTGAAAATGATGAAAAGATATGCCGAGGATCGCATTTGGGCAAATGATATCGAGGAAGGCAAAAGTGTGCTGAAGTTCTTAATTACTCTAATGGAAGGAAGAAAGGGTATAAAAGCTATGAAAAAAGGTGAGTTTTCTAAAGGGGCTACTTAACCTTTCTTACATTTACCAAGAGTTTCCTACTCGTTATCTTGAAGGCACAGTCTCCTTGCCGGCCTCTGCAGCAAGAACGAAGTTCTCTGACTTCATGTTGGCATGGTTCAATATGGATGCTGGAGCACATTTCTCATTCGAGAGGATTGCAATTTGTAATTCGAAGGATTGCACGGCGGTTATTGGCAAAAAATTGATCAAGACTTCAGTGACCCTCCCTCATTTCTCCTCCATTCCTCCCCCATTCCTCCCCCATTCCTTCCCTATCCCTTCCTCAAAAGTTAACCCGCTACCGCTCTTTCTCTGATGCATATTGAAGAAAGTAAATATCCAAATGATTTAACAAAACGGTACTAATGCTACTTATATTCCTGTAGATTCAAAAAGAAAGCTAGGTTTTCTAGGCAAAGAAGGATTCGACAGATTTGGCAATAATAAACTGTTTGCCCCACTGATGAAATGGGAACGCTTAAAGGAAAACGCTGAAATCATCGAAAAATACGCCAAGGAATACCAAGACGCTTTTAACAGCGTTACAGGTTCTATTAGACAGAAGGAGGAAATTACTGACATACTGAAGAAGTTAATCCCAAAGGCAACCAGAATACAAGTTAGCAATCAAATCAAACGACAGAAAGCGGCAAGAGCAGTGGATGAAAGCCAAAAGAGGCTTTACGTCGATGTAAGTTGACGGTAAATGAAACTGAGTTTTCAATTCTGTTTGCGTTTGCTTTGGTTTTAGGCCATGAAAACGTAAACATTTGGACTGACTAAGAGGAATTACTTCGTAGATAACTGTCCTTTTTTGAGATGTACCTTTTTCAATATAATATTATTATTTCTTTCATCGCAAACTGACATTCTATTCATTTATTCATACCTTTATTTACTTACTCATTTAGTCATTTAATCATTTACCTTCTCATCCACCATCCATCACTCATCCATTAATCTATTTATTTGTTCATTTATTCAATAGTTTATTATTTAGTTACTTCTTCATTTTTCGTATATTTCTTTAATTGATATTCATCAACCATTATTTCAATAGCTATGACGAAGAGCTAACGCTCGAAACGTCAGCTTTTAAACTCTTTAGGTGGCCAATTTACGTTATCGACTCAGTTGATAGTACTCAATTACTCCATTATTTTGGTAGTTTCAATTGATGCTGAATGCGTTCTAATCTTATTTTTTACCCGTTTAGATCATCGCTCAAGTAGAATTACGCCTTGTAGGTACTATGGAGACGATTAAGGCACTACTGGTTGATTTACAAGCACAAAAAAACATGCAGCATCTCTTTGCAATGCTCCAGGGATTAATAGGCTTCGTGAGTGCGGTTGGAGGAAAAGATCCAATGGGTGTACTTAGTTCCAGCTTCAGCCTCATTGAGAATGAGGCTCTGAGGTGCAATAGAGGAACACTTCAACAGAACAAGGCAAAAATAAAAAAATGGTTGAAATTTGGAAAGGCGTACGAAGCTCTGGAAGATTCTAGTGACTTGAATTTTGACAAAATGGACATACGATCTGTTCCAGATATGATGAAGGTAAAATAATGCATATAGCTTTTATTTTAATTAAAATGTTTTAAGCAAAGACTTAGAGAATCACTTCCATTGTCGCTTAATTGTGCATGTTTTCTAAAACTGCCGTCACTCAATCAACACAACCACATTCCATGAGGGTACCATGATTAATTGTTCTATCGTTTATCGGTGGAACTCAAAGCTGGCATGTTGGTGATCCAATGGAGATGAAGCTAAATCAAACACTGACTTATAAGCGTACCGATTTAAACTTACAAGTACCATCACGCTTATGACCACATTCGTGCTTTATCGCTCTCCACCAACACAGGCAGATCTGGAAATAAACAAGGAAGGGCTTCTAGCAGACCTGGTTTGTTTGCTGGATGTTGATCTATCACCTCACGTGACGGCAACTTTTAAGAGCGAAATCGAGAAATTCTTCATCGATGGTGGAACAAGGATTGATCTCATTGCACAGGTCATGGAGTTAGACAACAACATTGGCACATATAATTACGACATCGCCAATTTAAAAGAAACTCAAAAGCAAATTCAAGCTGTCAATAAAGCAAAGGGTAAGAATTCTGTTCTTAAGAAACTTAAGAAGTGGATCCCGGAGATCTTTTGTTTTCCGACGTTATGCGCGTAAGGGGAGCTCTATACGTAAGAAATTAATGATATCGGTGTGGCAATCTTCACTGTTGCCTTAGCATAATAACACTGCGTTGCTAAGACCTACAATAAGTCTTAAATAGGAAATTATATCTGACCCTAACGCGTACAGGCTGAGTGACAACTTCACTGACGTTCAAGGAATGGAAGGTTGATAGACCTCCCCTAAGAATTCCGTCTTCTTTCCATATTCCTCAGTGGGTGGCAAGTTATTCAGTGTTCAGGTTGAGATAACGATGGGTATTAAAGTATATATTCGAAGCAATAGAGGCTTGTGACGTAGACATTTTTTTATCATTATAACTTTTATGAACACCTCTCTTGACTATTTTTCAGATACCCCAATAGCTGACAGCATACGACAGGAGTTTCTTGATAACCTTTTGAATATCTATGAAGAACTAGAGACCAGTTTTTCCAGGCAGCTGTATTTGTTCTACAAGGGTTTTGAGTTCCGGTCCTTGTGGAACATGGACGAAAACATGGCAAGGTTTCAACGTCGCGCAGCAACCCTTGCAAAAGGCACCGGATATCTTCGAGGAGTTAACTCACTGACTCGTGCTTTACTGGAAATAACAAATATTGAAATGGCAGCTAGAAGTTGCTTTACCAGTAAAAAGCCCAAAATTGGTATATACAAATGGTCCTTTGACAAAACGAAAGATCCAACGGTATGTGTTTCAAGCTTTACTCCTACCTAAACTTATTGCGCCCTACTACAACTCACACAGGTGCAGCTAACCTGTCAAACAGGCCTTTTTACAGTAAAAAATAACCAACTTTCTAAATATCTGTACAATGTAGCGGAATATTTAAACGCTTAATTTCTACTCTACTTAGTGCAGTTGGATGATAAGAGTCAGTTCCTGCAAAATATCGATATTCCGTGAATTCTCTTAACTGCGGTGTACTGCAGTCAATATTTATCTCTGGGAGAGAGGTGGGAGGATTTTGGTTGTGTCACAATATGATTTACCTGATCCGGCCCATAAGACTATGTAATATTCTTCGGAACAATTCATCTTTCACCCTTCCCACCCTCAAGGCGAATAATATGCACTGATCCTCTATTCCTCGCGTTTTTTAACACGCTGTCTTTCCTTTGATAATCAATATTTATCCCCACAGTGTTAATGTTTAGCACTACTTATTAGCTACGAAGTATTGTTGTGCTTGATTCGCTCATATCCTTTACCTAGATGTTCAAGGAGTTGTACGAAAGCTACACGACCTTTACCTTGGATATGGATCAGGCCTGTAGAGATTGCTACAATGTGCGCCTCCTAAAGGTACATAAACACAGAAATGTTAAAGGAAGGTGGCAAAATTAAGAAATTTCTATACAACAAGTTGCATCCACATTGATATATACACTCTTATGCTGATAATTTTGCAAAACAAAACAAAATATAACTGATCGCACGATGGAAGGCCGAAGAGTATTTGATTTAAACAATCCCTATTTCCCAACAAAAAGACTGTTAGCGTTTCACTCTAAGTTTATAACTTTATTTTCTAATCAGATTCGATAGTATATATGGTTTTTCCATTGCCTTACAATTTAACAGTTAGATTTTTACACTAAGATTTTTATTGCGTGATGGTAGAAGAGTGTAAGTTTGAATCAACTTCCGTGCATGGAAATCGAGAAGCAATAATCTAATCGTTTAGTTTAAATCTACTAATCGTCAAAAACTTGATTATAAGACAGGCTCATGCACACGCTTTTATTGAATAATGATAAAAATAGCTCACAGCATGTGCCACTCACGTTACACACCATCTACTTAATTAGATTGGTTCTTACAGATGTCCTTACCACATTTTACATGTTCTGTGATCTATTTTTGTTCAGACTCACAGAAACGTAGAATCTATTTGTTTTGTATGATAAAAAAAACACATGGTGACATCATCTATGCGTCTATCTCCCAATAGATCATAAGAAAGAACCAATCAAAATGCATGTATGAACGAGCTTATCATATGAAACGGAATAGACAGCGGGTAGCGCAACCAATCATACTACTGCTGATATAAGCAAAGTATGAAGTAAATGTAAATGACTCGCTAAAGTGAGTTTTAGGCGTTAACCACGAGCAAATGGAAATTTTGACAGCAATGATCAAAAATAGAAGGATACACAGGACGATGATTCAAAAACTGAACTTCCCTTCACAGTGTTCACATTTCTTATCTTTCAAAGATGTATGTGGAGCTATACGGTAAAGCCCAAGATCAGAGCGTCCCTGACAAAGTTCGTCTGAAGCTCAAACCACTGAGCAGGTCCTACTTTAGAATTGGCGATCAGATTAAAGACTTTCATCAACCGATAGCCTCTTGGAAGTACTTACATTTCGACCGTTTCAAGATAACTAATAAAGACAAGTGTAGACAGGAAAAAGAATATGGACGGGGTGAGTGGCTGGATATATTTTGAATTGTTATATTAGTGATGGTGATCCAGACGACAGAAAATGTCCCTGGAATAATGTCTATCGTATTCAATCATTTGACCTTGCGTGATGGGTAAAGAATCTAGCGCACCGCGAGCTGGTGTTTGTGGGAAAGGAAGTAAGTTCCTCCTTAAGAACACTTGCGCATGCGTTACTAAGATTTCATATAAAGCCCTCATTATCTAAAATCAGGCGTTAAATATAGGTCACTTGAATAATCATATGCCTCACCTCTTTCAAACTTAGATGGCGGTTTTTACTGTATGGCAAAACACGACACGCGCCTCACAGAAATGTGCTGTCACCCGCTCATCAGCGCACCTTGTGATGATGCTTTGACGGGAGAGGAAGAATGTCGCAGTGTATTTGGGACGTACAACATTTCCATACCAATCGATCAGACACTGGATTGCAGACGACAAATCACTTACAAAAACTGCAAAAGCCTGAAAGTAAGCCTCCACATCTGGCTCCAGCTGTTTGAAGGGTGGATAACGCTATCCAATGGATGGCGAAAAACGTCTTGTGAACAATAATCTAGCGGGAACTCCTACTGAATGGTTGGGACCTGGTAAAGAGAGAAGGGAGAGGAGTTGGGATAGTATGAGGGGGTCTAAGTACGATTATTCAGGGAGGAGAGGGACCAGTTATTTTTTATCGCCTGGGAGGGGAGGATCCGAGGATTATTAGGAGGATCACAAGGTTTCCAGAGGGTGATGGAGAGGGGAAGGGCGATCACTAGCAGAGTATAAAGTAGGGACTGTAGAAAATTGGCACTCAGTGGGTAAGGTCATGAAAATAACAGAGCCAAATGCTTCGACTCCCCCACCCCTTCCCCTCGCCTTCCCGTTGTAATTTTGACCATTTAACGCCTGCAGCTTTTTTTTTGTTTTTTTTTTTTCGTTCATTTTCCGCTCGACGCTCCGAGAAAGAAGTATTTTAGGGAAGTTCACAAAGTAAAGTTTCATTATTTTTTCGTAACAAATGGCGTTCGGGAAGCTGGAAAGTAATTGAAGTTTCATTATCCGTAAGATTTAAATCTGACTGTTATTTCGGTAAATTTTCAATTTATGTTTAATGTTGCTGAATTCAGAATTCGGACAAGATTTGCTAGTTATCCACGATCCATCGCAAATTAAAATTCTGCAATCGTGTAGATATCAGTCATTAATTTTTTTCCTTATCTCTTTAATGTCCGTAATTGAAAATCTATGCCTTTATATCTACTATTTCTCAATATACAATTGTTCCATTAATTTAATTATCTTTTGACAATTAATAACAGTACAGATATGTCTCGCTAAATTACGACTCATTTGTGTGTCGAGGCGAAATATATGTATATATTTTTTTTTCTGCGGTGAAGATTACATACCTTATACCGATTCAAAAAATATAGAACTATTTCATTTCTTATCTTTTTTTTTTTTTTTTTTTTAATTCTTTCTTTTTTTCAGCGAGAACTATTCACCCACATGAATGTTTGGACAACCTTTATGTACTGGCCTGAAACATACCCACAGACACCGGAGGATTGTGGGATTCAAAAGCGCAACGTGACAGTCAAGGCTGATGTTGAAGAGCTCGATTCTCCACTTGTCTTGAAACGTGACGCCGATATTAATTAAAACAAAGGCAAATAAGTTCAAGAGATGATCCCTTAATCGTCCTTAAAAGGAAAAGGATGCATTTCCAGCCGAATAAATAAACAGACAAATTCAAAGATAACTGTTGTATTTTTATTTGTATTTCGTTTGCTTGATTTACAGTCTGACTAATGAAGCCATCCTTCATGTTGTAATCCTTTTCTCAAGGAATCAATGTGTTATATTAATTTCTACGATGAAGCTGGTAGATAAGGATCCCTTTTGCTCAACTCTTTATAGATAAAAGAAAAACACCACATGGATACATTGGCGGAAACAGTACAAGGTACCATTCTTCCTCAATTAACAACCAAACTGTATACTCTCACCAGGTGGACTACAATTCCTTGTGTAGTATCAGTAGCAATTTTTTGGATCCCTAAATTAAGATGACAAAATTTCATAAAACAGGAGTTAGGCTAAAGCGATCTAAATATAATGATTCATTGATCAGTGATGACGCTCCGATAAAAGAAGAATGTCGAACTGTATTTGGAATGAACGCCATTTTCATGCCGATAGACCAGCTTTACTCATCATACCAACGATGTTGAGACAAGCTTAAGATTTTTGGCATTTAATTGTTTTATTTTGTGACAAAAGCACTTTCATCTTTGGTATAGAACTTAGAATATTGTTCACTCAATGAAAGAATGTTTTTTTGTGTGGTGGTTCACTTTCGGCGCCAGGTTTAAAATTGTAAAGGAAAAAATAAATTAATTCCCGAAGTGGTTTTACTTTGAAATTTGTTTTTACTCCCAAAGAGAGTAAAAAAAAAATTTTTTTGCAAGTTATGAAACTGTTAAGTAATAATTTATCAAACAAACAATAACGGGAACAGATGTCTCTTTAGGGAGCCATGGGCTGGGAAATTTAGTAACAATTATGTCACCTTAAACTTCATCTCTTTAAACGTTCATATACAAGTTAGAACCATTCGATTATTGTTCATTATTAAATTGTTCCCTTGATCACATCAGCGTCAGAAGAACGTTTTCATAAGGGAGAAGTTTCTTCTCTAACACGATGAACCTTTGGATAATTGTGTTAACTTTTGTTTTATTAGCAGCCGGTAAGTCTTATCATCCGTCTCCTACTTTTAACACATGTCCAACAACCGAGATTATTTTTTACAAAGGAAATATTAGACTAACCCATTTCCCAATGAAATAACGGCCCCTTTTTGATGTTAGGTGAAAAAATGGGAAGTCAAACCTAATCTTCAATTTTGAACTGCAGTAAACTAAGGAAAGTGTGGATCAATATTTGACAGAAGTTGCCCCTAAACTATGAAGGACATCCAAAAAAAAGGCCAAAATCGCTTGCAAGAGAAAAATACAGAAAAGAAAGAAAACAAGTTACTTTACAGGTGTGCTTTGTGAATTAATCGAAGTCTGAAAAAGTCCTTAACTCACGTTACGGAAAAACCGGTGGGGCAAGCAGTCATACCTGGCAACTTCAAGAGAAGATATAATAGAAGCCCATAAGTTCTGACATATTGTTTTACTGACTCACTGTGCTAACGTGTATACACTTCAATCATCACTGTTCAATGATGTCTTTTCATCGTGAAAATTGTCTTTTCTCTTCTCTTTCTTCTATGTAAAATAATTTATAAACTACTATTTACACAGGTTCATTTGAACTTTTTTTTCATTTAAAAATAAAGTATTCCTCGGTACATTTTCAACTATAAAAAGAAATAAATAATTCAAATAATCGATTCAAAGCCGAAAATATTAATTTATATTGACAACAATAGAGATAAAAAATGAGAATTTATAAAAACTGAAAGTAAGGATTGAAAAGAAAAGGCTATGCTATAGCAGCACAATATTTAAAGCAACGTTAATATAATTAGCAGAATGAAGGATTCTTTTCGAATTCATGTATAATACGTTTTTTACCTAATATAGTAAAGTTCTTTTGTCTCAACTGAAGGATGCCTATTCTGGCCTGCGTAGCAGACGCGCAAAGGAGAAGGTGATAAGGAAAACAAAGTGTGGATAGGATCTGGCGTGAGGGGGAGAGAGAGGAAATGCCAAATCCCAGGAGTCGTTCGTCACTCTTTTTTCTCCCTTTCAACTTATTTTTCTTTTCGCAAGTTCTTCGTCCTTTGCAGTTCAATTTGACTTTCTTCTCTTCTTCACTTTGCATTTTAGCGACGCACGCAGAGAAAGTCGTTTAATTTTAACCGGCAAGTGTCTTTTTACTTTTGATGAAGCAAGTTCTACTTCACCAAATGTCTACCCCTCTTTGGTCGTGCAAATATTTTGATCTCTGTATCTTATTGTGAGAAGATTGCACACCCTTTCGACTGAGACCTTTTAACTTTTACAATCGCTTTAATTATATTAAGAAACTAAACTTCTCTCTTTTGGTGGAACATTAGTTCGGTAAACAAGATTAAGTTCTCGTTCACATAACTAAAACTCCTACTCGTAAGTCACAACATAAACCATCCTTTCCTTACTTTTTTAGCTCGGGATCCACTTTTCTCGTACAATTTTCTGAGCGCTGCTCTGCAACAAATCTCGTCATCATCCACTTCTCTTCTTATGGCATCGATTATACGTTTCTTGATTTTTAATTTCTTAGCAAGTTTCCTCCAAAAAGACCATTCTCAAAGCTTCTCAAAAACTTCGCAACGTAAGCTTTTATTGGTAAGTTATTAGGCATCTTTTGCGGCTAAGGAAATTAAAAGAAAAATGTAGATTGTGTAAAAGCAAGCTGGAATCACTTCTAAGAAGTACACAAATGGGTGTCAGCAAATTTTCCGCGGCATTTCTTAATTAAAAACTCGAATGCTACAATTTAAAGAATAAAGTACCGTGGAAAGGCCGGGGAAAAAAGGCCTTCATCTGGATATAACACAAACCGGAAAACACATAAAACAGAAAAGAAAAAGAGTGCGCTAGTGTGGTGGAAAGCTACATGTGCGTGAGTTTAGAGAAAACGCAGATGGATTCAGCAACAAACCAAAGAATAAATGAGGTTTATTTTAAAAATGATTGCCTTTTTTGTGGCAGATATGTCGACTGTAGCGTGCAAAAACAAAGTCGACGGATACAACACAAAAAACTGAGAATGGCATGAGTCATGCCGAACATGTCTTTTAAAAGTTTTCCGTGAGTTTGAACTTTCTTTTGATTCCATAATCATCACGAAGCTACGGAAGTATTATAAATGATAAATTACTGATATATGAATGGGAAAAAAACAGTTAATTGCTTTACATACTTACCATGAATAAGACGTTCTTCGATGTGTACAAAGCCTTCGAAACCGGATTGTCTGCGCTCCTTCAGAAATCCAATGATTGCATCATGGCACTTTCGTTGATGCTCTACGGGTAAGCTCGCAAGAGCTCGGTAGAAACTACATTTTTTCTGACGTTTATCGAGGTCGCTTCCCAAATGACTTTCATGAATATCCGACCGGCCTATTTCCTCTAACACTCCCTTACATGCTGGCAGGATTTCGATCAAAGGAGCTTCGTGAAGTATTCTGTCATCTACGGGAATGCCTAGAAACTTCACAGGAGTACTCTGCAAGTCAAACATTTCACACTTCAACAGTCACCTTACCTAGTAGTAGCTCAGAATGTTTTCTTTATTATTGAAACACTTTTTTTAACAAATCAAAGCTACCATATTTTTTCATCTGTTCCCCAGACAATTTTGTGAAAAGAATGTCCAATTATTTCTCAGCATGCTAGTCGCAGCCCTTTATGTGCTTTAAAAGTTAAAAACGAATTGCAACCAACATATCAACAACCACCTTTCTGTTAAGTTAAATAAAAAAGTATGTACCAATGGCTCTGATCCACCCATATATTTAAAAATTAAAGTGGCTCTGAACTGTTTGTACAATTTGTAGAGAGATTTGTGTGAGGTCTAAGTTTGTTCCAGAGAGTGGCAAGGGGTGGAGTTAGGGACAGCTATTACCAACAAATGAAATGATATTATACTGCGCCGACTAAAGATATTCACCTCAAGGTCCAGCGCGGGAGGCAGTTCCATATCCAGTATACCTATCTTATTTTCCTCACTCTGATCTTTACTTTTGTAGAACTCTATTGTTAGGGAGCCTTTGTTTACCACGCGTACCGGTAGATGTCTAAAAGTAGAAGCCTCTCTATCAAACCTGTGGAAATAGCAACATTCAAAGACAAGATCAGTGGAAATAGTCGACAATTTTCGCTTCATTTTCTCCATCAGTCTTTTACGAAAGAAATTCCTTTATTGGACTCTAATTAGATAATTAACAACTAGTATATACTACAAAGATAAACAATGCTTTTCGCGCGCGCTGATTGGCTGATTTGGAGGTGATTAGCAAGTACTATCTACCTCTGAGCAGCTGAAAAGACAAAATCTCGAGTGAGGAGTTTTATTTCCGACCACGTTTTGGTGTATTTAAAGAACTAAATTAGCTTAACTATGAGGGTATTTAGTTATTCCTCGTCCTAAAACGACACTTTCATGATTCTCGACGGTAATCGGTAACTTGGACACTACATCCACAACACTAGGCTGGGAAGATTAAATAACTTCATTTGATTTGTGTCGCCAACCCAAACTAGGGAGCGTGAAAAGCAGTGTTTACCTGAGTGGAATATAATAAAATCATACGTGCTAGAAAATGATACCAATTGAAAATTATCTCTATCTCAGAGAGAGATCCTGTGAATGAAGACAATCTCTTTTATAGTTAGGACTTAACAAGGCGGAGATTTCTTGGAAAGCCATTCATTCCTTGGCGTGATGTCTGTCTCTTTCTATATAAGCACTTAACAGACACTCAGCAAACCTATTTTAAATTTACCTGAGAAAAAAATTCTTCAGTCGATCCTTTTTGACTACTTGCGCTGCATCCCCTGAAAAGAAGACATAAGCTTGATCACCAGTGACCATGCCGTACCATTCACTTTCTTCTACCAACCAAACCATCTTCACATCATCAATGTGTTCTCTTTTCATGTCATGTGGACTGCAGTACAAAAGCAGATCTACATCGGTGTTAAGTCTAGTATGCACTGGAACAGTAGCTGTGAAAACGACTGAATGCCGTACACTCTCCGTGTTCCATACACGAGCAATTTGGTTTAATGATGATGCGAGCCAGGTCCAAAATCTTTCGAGAAAAAAGGGGAAAGGAACACAGTCCAATGTCAATACACGTTCCTCAAAATTGTACAATCAAGATTTCTTATGACATTCTACCAAATAAACGAAAACGCAAACCAAAAACGAAAGCATACACAACGGGAAAACGAAAAAAAATTGAAAAACAGTAAGGATTTAAAAAGAGGACGAGAATCTCAACACTGCTAATATGACTTAATATAATTTTCAATCTGTTCATTCACGTGAAATGTTTTGTAGTTGATTCATATTTAACAGCATCGGCTACCAAATAGGTTTAATTTCCCCAAATATGCTTATAAATGAAAAATGTGAAAAGGTACCACTTAGAGTGAGACAGGTGTGGTAAGCAAAAAGTAAAGAAGTAAAGAGATGCACTGACGTACACTGAGAAGTGTCTCACGTTGAATTTGATAACAAACCCATCTAGCCACGGAGGAGAATCGAGAAGATCTGTGATTTCAGTCCATTCTTTCTGTGTACCATTGGATGGTTGAAACAAGACTCGAGCACGGACTAAGGACAAATCAGAAATACCCAATGATTCAGCGTCCTGCTCAGTGTCTCTCAAGGACAACGGTAGCTGGACGGTGACAGCTTCGTGAAACTTAAACTCCTTGTTGCAAGATATTCTTATGATGGGGCCAGCCAGCGTTTCCTTGTCTTTCAATTCCTTGCAAAGATATTCTTGTACCTAAGAGTTGCATGAACTAAACAATTAATCACTCAGTCGATGGTAAACATTAATAACATTACATTTATTAAACACAACTGTAACAATAATTACTGACGAGATGATTCACCACAGATAAAAGACCATTCACACGATGAACATATTGAGCTAATGAAACCGCATCGTCGAATTTGTTTCTTCCTTACATAAGAGTACTTACTCTTACACTGATTTCTTCAGTGGACGAGACCGAATTAGGTGGAAAATGAATCTTCACCAACGGGAAATCAGGCAAAGAGATGGTAGACGGTTCTGAGGTTATCGTAAAAATGTAGGACTTGAGACGGCAAACCACAGCAAAGGTAGAACACTGGATAATCTTCGTCTCAGCAACGGGAAGAAGATAGTCAGGAATATTATTGTGATAGACTTTCTGAAGATCTGCAAAAAAAATTATTTTTAGGCAATAAATTAACAAATCGTGAATACGAGATATCCTTTTGTCACATGTATATTAAAAACTGCTTATGTATATTAAAAACTGCTCACATCGTTCTCTAACCAGCTTTCTCCTTCCTCCAATGGGACCCCCCAGCAAACAATATCATAAGCAGCCACCATTTGCCACAAGAACCTGTTTGGCGAACCAACAACCACAGGATCTAACAGATTGATAGAATATTTTTTGTTGCTCTCCCTGAGAGATTTTGCAGTTTACAGGCAAATGTCCTCTAACACCTTCATACATTTAAGAATCGCCCTGGGAGAATCAATGTACATACTCTTGCGTTTGTTTGTTTGCTGTTTGTTTTACAGCCAGTTCGTTCCCTACAAAAACAAAAAATTGCAGGGCAAGGTTTCCTTTCAAACAGTGATATGCACTTGAACACAGTGTGGGGGTAGGTATTCTTGTCAAACTTTCTGAAATAAGAAGCAAATTATAAAAGAAAAAGTAAAAAAAAAAAAAAACACCGACATAAACGGAGAACATTGACAAAACTATTAAAAGTCGACACGCTTTGAGAAGTTGACTTTTGAAAAATTTTTAAGAGAGGCCACTTTTTGCTTGAACACGAGTTACCGATTGTTTAATTCACGATAACGTTCAGTGCTTACCTGACAGCGATTTATAATCAACTGTTTGCTCGACGTCCCTCCATTCATTTCTCTTTCTGTCTACCAAGGTCTTAATCACCACTTCATATCCTTTAAGGTCCAGCGCACTGTGCGAAATTCCAAGTGTGACTTCTTTATTGAATAGAAGACTTTCAGTAGTGTCCGCCGATAATTCAAGAACATTGCTGACTATGGCTTCATTTGGCTGAAGAGGAGGAGAACACAGTGAGGATTTCCATCGAAAAAGAGTGAACATAGTGTCTTCAGCAACAAAACCACGTGGAAATACCAAGTGAGTTGCTGCCTTCCTCGCGTCCCATCGGCCACCTTGTACTGTCACAGTGTCTCTGTGAGATACAAGATAATAAATAAATAATTTCTGGTAATCTTGTGACTGAATTTGATTAACATCATCTTGATAGAATAGATGATGACACTTCCGTTAAAAAAATACTTTTCATCATGCAGTGGGAGAATCAAGAATGACGTCAAGTAATAAAAACTGAACTGACGATCAATCGTTAAACAATTCTTCGTAAAGGATGACAGGAAAAAAGTGAGTGTTCCTCTGAAAACAATTACAGTGTCATGAATGAGAACGGAATCTAGATAGATGGAAACTAGATAGGAAAGAGAAATTTTCAACTGAATTGTAATGCACAGTGTCATCAACACCGCCTCCATTTTGCTTCATTTTTTCCATCAAAATTCCTGGATTGCAAACTGACTGCCAGGCTCAGGTCCAGTATATCTAAACCAGCAAAATTCGGAAAAACTATTTCCTCAGTACACTCTTTAAACCTTTAACTCCCATGAGTGACCAAAACAGAATTTCTCGTTACAATATCAATACAATATCAAGCATACAAAGGATGAGAGGATTATTAATGAGATTTTGCCGTCCGCCGGCAGTACGCGGTTTGGCATGACATGTAACTGCCGATCTTTCCCTTTCTTATTTTCTTCATTTAGTTCACATCTGGGGCGGACATACAGCTTTCACAGGCCCTGCCCCTGAAATTTCCCTCATACAATTACTTTTTCATACGTCTTCTTTTTTTTTTTTTAATGATAACGCACAGGGCCACATAGGTCATTTTTTGTCAGTGATCGGATCCTTGTGTTTGCGCAACGATTTCTGGGATCGCCACGGGCCAAATTGCAATTCGCTAGAAAGATTATTGGCAACTCATTCATTTTCACTTACTCGTGTATCTTTATCCTATCTGGTTCTTGTTCCTGCTCACTTTCTAACTCTTCGCCATCTTCTTCCTGAATTGTTAGTTGTTGCACTTGCCCACTGGCCTCTGGAATCTCTTCGCTACCACTGCTACTATCGAGATCATCATCATCATCATCATCGGAAGGAATGTCAACTTCATCGTTATCGTCATCGTCATCGTCCTCACTAGACAGCTGTTCAGCTTCTAAAATAGCATAGTTTTTTGTTTTGAAAAAGATTTAAGCAATGAAAAGCAAATCCTGCATTTGAAAAACATTAACAGAAAATCATTGTACGCCCACGCCCCGTGGAATGACGAACCTTACAAAACATCAACCATGCTCATGAATAACGAAAGACACTCGTGTTCTCTCGGACATATCAGTTAAAAACGCCTTCGGGTGCGCTTATTTAAAAAATGTATTTAACCACGTTTTTTTATATGCGTAATTGAAGGCGTTTGTAACTAATAGAGAGAACGCTTGCGTCTTTCGTTATTTAAAATATGCACGACTTCTGGTCAAAGTATTCCCTCACCAAATACCTTTTGCTCCAAAAGAAAGGAATCCTTTCACAGTTCCCATCAAAGTTCCGCTCTGTTTGGCTTTCTGAGTGAGCATTAAAATGCGAAAAAGTTCAGAGAATCGCCATTAATCCAAATCTAAGTAACGTAAAAGGGCTAATAAAAAAGGAAAATATGTTGTGCCACCAAGGATAATGTAGGATGCTTGGGCAATGTAAAGACAACGGCTTTGGTAAGTCAGGGATACATTTGTTCCACAAGAAGACTAGCTGGGTAGATTTCGCGAGGTTGCTCGGTTCAACCAATTGTAAAGTGTAAAACTAATGAAAGTTAACGATCGTTCGAGATCGTACTATCTTACATACTAAACTAAAACCCTTAAGAACTTCGTAATAGACCTCGCTCACGGTAGAGTCTCTATGGCTCGGAATCCGAAGGTCTGAGGTTCGATTCCTCATAGGGATTCATAATTTCTTTCTTTGTCCCACCCTCGTAACAAGACAAATAACATCTTTCTCTAAACTAAACCCCATTCAAGTTGATGTCATCCATTGATAGATCAAAGAGCTTTGTCATACCTTTAACAAACTCTTATACTTTTGTTTCTTCTTCTCTTTCGCCTGTGTTGAAGCCATGTCTACAAGAGTGATGAGAATGTCGATTCTATCGCGCTTTGACATTCCGACCTTGTTTTTTTTCCACTTCTTTTCATAAAATCGAAAGGCTTCGTTACTGTACTTTTCGACCTTACTTTTCTCGGAAAGCTGTTTACAGAGCCTACAGAGAGTTTGCAGAATTTCCTCTCTGACGGTGTCTGGTAACTTTCTCGCGTCGGGTGAATTCCACGCGCCTTCATAAAACCATAGAGCTTCTTTTTGGTATCTCTCCTGTGTTTGACGGTCGCCAAATTCACCAAGCCTTTCGTTTATTGAATCAATAACTGTCTTATTGGCGAGAGAAAATTCAAACCCTTCGAAGGCTCTTTCTTCGTCCCAGTAGCGTAGAAAAAAGTCGAATACTTCTTGTCGAAACTGATCTTTCCTCTCTCCTTCAAGAAAGAACCCTTCGGAGCTCTCAACGATTCTGACCATGACTTCGCTGTGGTTTCCTTGGCCCAGAGACTTCTCAATCTCCCATGCTTCCTCATAAAACTCTTTCGCTGCGTCAGAGTCCTCCGAGTATCGACAAATTTGCGCCATTTGGAAAGCACTTCGAGCAGTGTCAGGGTGCCTTCCCAAAATGGCCTTCCGGATCTCGTAAGCATTCTTTGCAGGTTGGTAGGCGTCTTTAAAGTTTTGCAACCAACAGTACGCATTAGCAATGTTTCGATTGTACTGGGCAGTGTTCACCATGCCTGGAATTTTTAGTTCCTTAGCGAGCTCTAAGGCTTCTTTGTAGTATTCGATTGCCTTTTCAAATTGTTTCTTTCCTTCATAAACCGTCCCGATCTGTCCTTTGAAGAAGGGCATGTCAAAATGTTTCACTGAGCCAGAGAGCTGTTGTCTCATATCGTATGCTCTCATGTAGTACTTTATGGCCTCGTCATACTCTCCTAGCTTGTTGTGGCAGTTTCCAATGCCGTTTAAGCACCTTGAAGTGCTTGTATGGCTGTGAAGTTCATTTTCCATTATCTTCAGCGCCTTGTGCAAAATCCTCAGTGACTTTGACATATTCCCTGCTCTGTAATATACTTCACCCCAAGAGAACAGGTAGGAACTCTTGGTCAACCTAAAGGAATCTGTGCTCTTAGTTTCCTTCTGCACTTTGCTAAGCGACTCTTTCGCTCTCCTCGCGACCGTCAATGCTCTCTGCCATCCTTCAAGTTTAAGAACCAACAACGTTTCGCGGCATTTTAGTTCTGCTCGAAGCAAGGAACCTAAAGAAACAACAAGGGAAATAAGTTTTTCTCTCTCTCTAAGTTTTAGGCATATTTTTAACCAGAGAACGTTTTTATTTCTTATTAGAATGTCAACGAGGGTTAACTTAAGGAATGTTTAAGGAAAGTTTGGGAAGGGACGCATCTGCATCTTCAAACCCTGACTCAAATTAGGAAGTTACCCTCTACAAGATTAAAAAAGATGCGAATATTGCGACAAACGACCTTGTCAGGCCTGGTCAACAAAACTGAGAAACAATGTACCGAATCTTATTACATATACCCTGTATAGCTTCATCGTGAAAGATTCTTTGGGCGTTTGAACAGATTCGGACAAAATGAGAAGGCGGTAAGCTCCTTACCGAAAGGATCAGATTACACTCAATAGCTTTGATCGTGTAGTCTGATCGTTCGGGTGAGTGAAGTCCTGAGAAGGACTGTTGTCGGCAGTGATGACTGGAGTTTCGACAACCTGAGTTAAAGTCACGACTAGCTCTTCGTGTTCAAGCCCTGAGGCCGATCGTGCAAAATTGCACGATGACGTTGACCTTTTCGGAAATGCTCGGATTACATCCGATCGCTCTGAAATTCCGGCTGTAGCTAGTAAATATTCTAAGCCAATCACATGGTGAGTTTTAGCTCCGAACTATCAAACGTGACCTCGGGAGCCCGATCCGAAAATCACTTGTGTACGATTTCAATCTGAGGTGATGGCGTCCGATGCGAAACGCGAGAGATACAGCGTAGCTAAGGCTTTAGAGATGATTTTTGACGATGGAAGTATGCATGGTGGTATCTTATATGAATAACTAGCAAATCTTGTCCGAATTCTGAATTCTGAATTCTTATGTGGTGTTGAAACATTTACTTTTACTTTAGCGCACGAATCCTTGTTTTTTGCCTTGAAACAAACCTGTAAATGTATATTTGTGAATGAAAAGCAATATATTTTGTGATCAAACATGATTTCAAGCGACAGAGAAAATAATCTTCGGTGGAATGTTAGAACGCAACGGCCTAAATTATCAGCCGATGACAGATCGAATGACGCAGTGTGCGTCCGAACTAAATCAAATAAAATCTTTTATTTTTAAAACGATAGTTGTATATATATCGACCTGTACATTATCTTACATGTTTTGTATGTTTTTTAGATGTGGTTCTACTTGAGTGGAATGATATAAAACGACAGTTTCCGGTTTCACTTCTGAATTGTTTTATTCTTGAAAAATACTGATGGTGCATTGCAAGTTAAAGGCTCTCGATATATGTTGCGCTTTATGTATTTTGAGGTTGATTATCTCATTTGTCCCTGTTTCAAGGCAAAATTTCAGAAGTCAAACAAAGAAATATAGTTCCAATGGTTGCACTGTAGATTCTGCTATAAAGAGCTAGAGTCGAGTAAATTGTTGTTGTCAGTCGAGTTTAGTCAGTGTTATCTGTTAGTTTTTCCATCAGGTCGACGGCTAACTTACACTACCGAGGTATCCAGAAAAATTTCCTACGTAAACTAAGACTTTTTTCCAGAACACAATAAAACCTTACCTTCCTTTCCATCATCCTCGACCTTTTCGGCCCAGCAATTAAAAATGTTCTTTCTTGCTTTTTCGTCAAGCATGGCCTCGAAGAGATAAAAGATCATAACACTTTCGCGATGCTCTTTTGGGATAAGAAGATGGTCTGACTTGAAAGAAATATCCAAAGCAAGTTCAAAGTTTGGTTTGTCAAGATCAAAATTATCGAAGGCATTCATGTAGTCTTTGTCCAAAAGCCTTGAAATGTCTATCATTTTGGACATGAAATATGTATGAAACCTGCCTTTTGCCTTCTCGTAAACTTTGACAAACATCTTTTGGTTACTACCAATGCTTCTCAGAAATGTTCGCACTAGAGGGTGGATGTCATAGGTGAGTTCTTTCACGTCAAGGTCTACCGTTAGCACTTCACTATTCCTGAGACCTTCTAGTTGTATAACCGCTTCTGACGAGTCCACTCCAAGGACTTCGGCTGCTGCTTCGACAGAGAAAGAGCGACAGAACAGTGACATCGAAATGGCAGAATCTTTTAACTGTTTACTAGGCAAGAAGAAAAACATTTTTCTTAAACAGCTTTCTTGCTCTTTATCAATGCCTTCCTTTTCGGAGTCAAATACGTCTCTCTCTCGACTCTCCTCTGCTGCTGGTATTCCCGACTCTGGTGGCTCGGCTTCTAGTGGCTGCTCAATCGTTTCCAAAATCCTGGTGTCATCGGTTATTTGTTGCCTCAAGATTGCTGCCATTCCCCTGATGATGAGGGGATTCCCTTGGCAAATCTGCAGCAGTTTCTCCATTTGATCCTCTCGAACGCTGCCAATTCCCTGATTTTGGAATAAGACACTTGATGAAATTTTCTCTAAAGCCATAACTTCGTAATTGTCAAAGTTGGCCAACTTTGCGTGACGAAGCGTTGATCTTGATGTCAACAAAATCTTCAGTTTCGATTTCCCCGGATAATCCTTTGGACCTAGAAGTCCTTGCAGAAACTTCACAAAATTGGCATTAAGGAAGGTGGAAGCTTCATCATCTCCTCCTGCAAATTTATCGACGTTATCAAGGAGCAGCAATATGTCACTGTTTTGCTCTGCTTGCCTAAACTGTTGCATTAATTCCACTACTAGATTTGCTTCGAAGCTTATGTTCGTTTTGTCTGGTGCTAAAGCGTTTAAAACGTGAAAATGAACGTCTTTCATCTCAGTGATTTCTCTAAAATCGGCCTTGAATTTCCTCCCCGGCCACTTTGAAACAATTTCTATTGCCAATTTAGTCTTGCCTACTCCACTAATTCCATGCAAATTGACAACACGCGAACTTCCTGTTGTCAACATTGCCATAACTTTCTCTAGGTCACGTTCCCTACCGGTCAAACCTGGTTCTTCCTTTCCAGAACTGACCTCTTGTTGGCGGTTTTCCTTAAATTGTTGAATTTTTTCCTTTAGCGACTTTTTCTTGGACGCTTTCGGGCTTAAAAACCCCTCCAACAAAGTCAGATTGTCCTCCGATACAAGACCTTGCTTAGCAAATAATTGGAGGCATGAGTACAAATCTTGTTCTCCTTGATCTTCAAACTTGCCCCTAAAATTAGTTTTTATGGACGATACGGCATGCCTTAGTTCTTCGGGACTGAGTTCATCGGACACTCCTCGAAGAAGCTTTTGGAAACGCGGAGAAATTTCTTCAGACGTCGAGATTATCTCGACGGACGCCATCTTCGTTTAGCGTCGGTTGACTCAATGTGTGACATGTGGCCAGCGTAATTTATGCAGGAGACTGATGTGATTTGTGACTGACAAAAGCAATTTTAATCACGCCACCCACGAATTGACCTTTAGTAACCGATCTCAGTCGATATGATACAAAGCAGTTCAGTTGAGAAGCCGCTGTTATAAACTTTTTTGCACGATTAAGTCAGACAATAGTTAAGTCAATCACGTATAACCGACCGCCTACTACAGGTTCGATTGTCTTCGTCTTAACACAACCTTAGAACAGAGAAAAGAAATATGATTCTCTCACAAGGAATCGAACCCCAGACCTTTAGATTCTGTGCTGTGATGGTGTACTACTGAGCTACATGAAGAGAAACGAATCTTACGAGTTAAGCCGTTACTTAAATGTTTCTACGTGACAGGCGCCCTACGTACTGCTAAGATCAGCAATGTTTGGGGAGATAATGTGAGGAGATGATTATGAGTTTTCTTTCGTGAAACATTGATTTTTTTTCTCGTTGCACTCTTGTAAAATAAACGCACAGACACCCCTTTACGGTGGTCATTTTAACTTAGTTGATAATAGCAAATTACCCTGTTACACTCTCCCACCGACGCAGCACCACAGCTTTTTTAGAAACTTACCCCCGTTCAGCTACTTGCGTTGATGTCGTCATTTACCGTCTATGTTGAGGGTTTTGCAAAGCAATCCAAGATCATTACTAATGGAAGGCTAAATAGGATTTGTCTTACACAAGCCTCACTTTCCTTCAAAAGAACGGATAAATCTTGTACTGAACAGCCAAAATCCTTCGACCCCCCCCCCCCGCCTTCCCGTTGTAATATCGACCATTCAACGCCTGAAGCTTTTTTTGTTTTGTTTTTTTTGTTCATTTTCCGATCGGAGCTCCGAGAAAGATGTATTTTAGGGAAGTTCACAAAATAATATTTTATTACTTTCTTGTAACAAATGGCGTCCAGGAAGCTGGAAAGTAATCAAAATTACATTATCCATAAGATTTTGATCCTGATTGTTATGTCGGTAAATTTTTTAATGTATGTTTAGTGTTGTTGAATTCAGAATTCGGACAAGATTTGCTAGTTATTCACGATCCATCGCAAATTGAAATTCTGCAATCGCACATTAGTTATTTTCCTCATATCTTGTCCTTAATTGGTAATCTATGCCTTCATATCTACTGTTTTTCAATATATAACTGGTCCATTAATTTAAAAATCTTTTGAAAATTAAGAACAGTACAGATGTGTCTCACTAACTTACAACTCGTTAGTGTGTCGACGCCTGTCATCTAAATAAGTAGACAAATTCAAAGATACCTGATGTATCTACATTTTTTCCGTTTTGTACATCTTTGATTTATAGTCTGACTAATGAAGTCATCCTTTATGTTGTAATCCTTTTCTCAAGGAATCAATGTGTTATATTAATTTCTGCGTTAACAATCCCTTTTGCTCAACTCTATGGGTAGAAAACATAAATGTCTAAAAACACCCTCAGGATATCTTGGCGGAAACTGTACAAGATATCATTCTTCCTTAATTAACAAACCAAACTGAAAACTCTCACCAGGTGGACTACAATTCCGTACGTAGTATCAGTAGCAATTTCTTGGATCCCTAAATTAAGATGACAAAATTTCATAAAACAGGAGTTAGACTAAAGCGATCTAAATATAATTAATGATTGATCAGTGATGACGCTCAGATGAAAAAAAAATGTCGAACTGTATTTGGACCGAACACCATTTTCATACTGATAGACCAGCTTTACTCATCATACCAACGATGTTGAGACAAGCGTAAGACTTTTAGCATTTGATTGTTTTATTTTGTGACAAAAGCACTCTTATCTTTGGTAAAGAACTTTGAATATTGTTCGCTCGATGAAACAATGTGTTTTGTGTGGTGGTTCACTTTCGGCGCCAGGTTTAAAATTGTCAAGGTAAAAATAACTAATTCCCGACGTAGTTTTATTTTGAAATTTGTTGACTCCCAAAGAGATTAAAAAAAAAAGAATCTTTCGTAAGTAATGAAACTGTTAAGTAATAATTGATGAAAGAAACAATAACGGGAACAGGTGCCTTTGTAGGAAGCCATGGTCTGGGAAATTTAGAAACAATTATGTCACCTTAAACTTCACCTCTTTAAACGTTCATATACAGGTGAGAACCATTCGATTTTTTTTCATTAGGGTTTACCGGAGCACATCAGCGTCAGAAGAATATTTTTATGAAGGAGAAGTGTCTACTCTTACGCGATGAGCCTTAGGATAATTGTGTTGAGTGTTGTTTTGCTGTCAGCCTTGAATATGGTATTAGGAGCAGGTAAGTTTTATCATCCGCCTCCTACTTGTCACACATGTCTAACTATCAAGAATTTTTATACAAAGGAAATATTAGACTAATTTACTTCCAAATGATATAAAGATTCCTGTTTGATGTTGGTTGAAAAAAGGGAAATCTAAAACGAATCCTCAATTTTGAGGTGCAGTAAACTAAGGAAAGTGTGGATCAATATTTTGACCAAAGTTGCTCCTAAATTATGAATGAAATCCAAAAAAAAAAGGCAAAATCGCTTGCAAGAGAAAAATACAGAAAAGAAATAAACACATTGCTTTACAAGTATGTGGGAGTCAATAAATGTAAGGTACCATTTGGAAGGCCCAGCGTTGTGAGGATAGGTGTTAGCCGTTACAAAGTGAGGTGGCATAGTTTGACATTTGTGATGAAATATTTCAAAAATACTATAGTATCGCGAGCAATTGGGTTATGGTCGCTGAGACAATAACATAAAAAAACCGGTCTTATTTCAATAATTCCCCTCCCTCAATAAAAGGCAAGCGTTTTTTAAATCCTACTGAAATTAAAATATTTTTTTGAAAGTTGATAATATCATTTTTTTGAAAAAGAAAAACCATCATTTTGGAAGAGGAATATCAAGTTTTTTGCTTCTCCTCGCCACGTAACGCTCCGCGACTTTGTCTAGACAGTCCTTTTTCGAATTCTTGTGAGCATGGGGGGTGAAAATTAAAATTGTGAATTCTTCAGGATGACTTATTCAGATAATTAACTCAGATGCCTACTACATAATAGATTCGTGTACGACAAAAGTCCTACGAACTTAGAGGATCAGCGATGTTGAAAAACGTCTTGGGTGTAATTAAATAAAGAAACATGGTAACTCGCGAACCCACCCGCCAAACAAAGGAAGGCTACATCCTACAAGAGTTTATGCGGTAGGGTTTAAATGATACACTGTGTCTCTTAGCAATATAGCCTGATCTAAAAAAACTTATGGCAATACCCTACTAAGCTAGTCAATATTATTATTTTCGTGAAATGCAAGGAGAAGTTTTTCGATTTCCCTCTATCAGATATTTCAGGACGTGGATGCAAGACTGTCAAAAAAGGCGATGAGTCTTACAGTGAAAGTATCAACATCCCTAAGATGAAATGGACTGAAACACCGGCTGTTATTTCCAAAGGAAAACGTAAGTAAAGTCACTTCCCAGATTTGAACGACTAGATTCCATGTTGCCATTCGTCCACTCAGTAATATATCACAGATAACCTCAAAATTGTGATAAGAACAAAAAGAGTGGCACATGACGCGCAGCTGAGTGTGTCACAGACGTCCTTCTAACATTTTGACGTCACCAGTGAGGTATTAGCGAGAGCACAGTGGCAACATTCAATTTAGTTGTCTTAGTTAGTTGTCTGTATCATAAAAAAGCAAAATTTTGTGACGCTGACGTCATCTGCGCTTTATCCTTCTTCTAACAGATGATAAGTGAAAACAAATCAAAATGTCCGTGTATAATTCAAGAATATAGTAATAATAAGAAATAGAACCACTAAAAACGAAATGGTTTCAATTTTTTTTTTCTTCATCGATTTTTCATTAATTCGTCAAATTCTATCTTCTTCTCGAATCATTTCACGGCCCTTCAAACTCTCATAGGCGAATACCGGGTGATTGGAAGAGTTGTACATATGGACTATGTACAAGAATATCTTGCTACAAAAGAGAATATGAAGTTAGGAAACGTCCAGGGGAAACCTAATCGTGTCCAACTTGAAGTCCTGGCCGATACTGTGTACATCGAGGTGTGTAAAAGAGTAGTTTGAATAGCGAAACTTTCATATAGGAACTTCTTGATTTTCAGCAACCCGCGGGAAGGGTTTGAGTCAAAAAGTTCACGATTTACTTATTATAGAGTTAATGATAACTTTATTACAATCTCTGGACTTATCAATTTACATCATCAACTCAGTTGATAAAACCGAATTATTTGTTGTACCCCAACTGATGCAGCCCCGCAGTTGCTTTACAAACTTGTCCCCTTGTCTCTTTTTGGCTCTTAGGAATACGAAATACAAATAAATACTGAAACAAATGTTTTTTATCAGGGCGTGATCAGGATGCGAGGTATTAAAAAACTCACAGTTTATAGCCGCAAAGTTGTTTCCGGGAAGGACAGTCAGCTGGATGTCAGAGCTCCTACTTTGAGTCCGCAATATGATACTAGTTTGTCACTGGCTCCTGGCACTCCTGGGGTACCAGGACAGAACGGAGTGGCTGGACCTAAAGGTACTGGGGTAAAGAGAAATAGAGAATTCTATGCATTGGTGCAAAGGCATTAGAGCAGTGTTGAATTGAGTGTCAAAAAAAAATCATCATCATCATAACGGCCAATCAGAGATCTACATTTTTTATTAACCAATGAGAATTCAAGGCAAAAAAACTGTTTGAAGCGTGGGAAAACGCGAGTGACCAAATCGCACTTGGTTTTAGTTTTTGCTTTCATTGGTTTAAATCTGGCACAGGTTTTCTCGACTTAACACGGAGGGAAATAAACCCAAAAAAATGCAAGCCAGGATTACTTTAGATACTCTCTAAGACGCTGTTGGGAACAAAAATTGTCAACACATTACCACTGAAATCGCAATATTTAACAATAGAATTATGAGTTCGAGAATTCTTTCATTCATAGAGATAGAGAGCGAGTTATATGATTGTTTTAGTTTATATCTACTAATTGTTAAAAACTTAAGAACAAGACAATCATCTTTTCACTGTATTTTGTAGACAAACATACAACAATAGATTAGTCACTTTAACCACTGTCTATCGTGAAATAGTCAGCAAGTAGACGAGCCAATCAGTTTACATCACTTGTGTTAGAGTGTTAGCACATTTGTACTAATCTGAAATAGCGTATTAATTTCATCCCTGATATCCTTACTTTTATCCTCCAGTCCAAAAATTTTATCTTTGTTTTCTGTGATCGTACACCATCAAATGAGGGGAGCAAAATATTATAGAGAACTGACGTTCAATTTAAACTTTTGTCATTTTTAAATAATGCCTTAGTCGTGAATAATTGGATGATATTTGCCAATTAGCACTTTTTCGAAGATTTTGGATCGGCGAACTTTAGCGAAGCGCTCAACATACTATATTTTTGGTTGAATCAGTTGGATGGCCGCAAAGAGTCAAAAACGACTTCCTAATGATAACAATACATTACAACAATAATGATAACAACACAACAAATTATAATAAAAATCATAATCACAATGATGATTGTTATGATAAGAATTATAATTATGATAACTTTCATTAAAAATGATGATAACAAGAGTAATGGAAGGATAATGATGGTGAGGATGACAATGGTGATGTAGGTTAAGACCAAAGATATGAGAACAGGAATAGTTACAGTAAATTTGTACAGGTAAGCGCCTATCTTTGAACTTTGAACTTCACCCCCCCACCCAAAAAAAAGGAAAAGAAAAAAAGAAAAAGAAAAAATTTAATCAAGTTTTCATTATCTCATTCGACTGAAAAAAAAGCGCAGGGCCTTGCACTGAGTCCTACACATTGCTTTGATCTATTTTTAAAGTGGAGGTTTACGCCCAACTATCAGAAGGCCACATGTTTATTACAAACAATGGTGGAAATGGAAATCAAGGACAAGCAGGTGCTGACGGCAAAAACGGAGAGGACAGGCTTGACGCGGTACGGTGATGTAAAAGTGATAATTGTTTAGCTAGGTGTAATCATGGATTAGGTAAGTAAGACCGATCTAGCGTTGGAATGGATATTTTTGTCTCGGAATGATATTTCATAAACTAACGTAGGTCCTTTATCGTTTTCTCAAAATTAATTGCAACTACATCTCGGGTTTGCATAACTCTCTCGTTTTTTCCCAGTTCTCCGTGTGTTAAAGATATGTAGACCCGTTAAACGTCTTCCATTGTTTCAGAGCTTTTTATCGTGAACTAAGATAGAGAAAAGTTGTTGTTGTTGCAGTTTTCAGATGGAAATGGGGTAGTTTTTGTGACTCAATTACCCTCCAGAGTGTATATTCCACACCATCATTAACTTGGTCTGAGGAAAATGTCAACAATTGGCAACTTGCCACATCATATATGATAAGTAACATGGCTATGTTTAACTACAAATATTCGTAGAAACCATCACGTACATTTGCTCAGTGTAAGGCTAACGGCTGCAAGACAGTCTGGGGACGGCAAGGAGATAAAGGAAACCCTGGCAAAAATGGTGGAAATGCGGGAACATCAGGTACGGTACATATTGCCAGGTAAACTTTCGTGACGCTAAGAATAATTTTTCTAAAGATTTTGAGTTGAACGGACAGTGGGCTGACACTGAAATCAAAAAAGCACTTATCTAAGGGTTGAGGTCCGAAACTCATTCTTGAAGCTAGAGCTCCTATCCGCTTTTCATCATGAAAAATGGAAGCGCCTCAAGGAAACCTTTCATCTCTTTACCTCCCATGAGTGACCAAGAAAGAATTTCTCCTTACAATATCAATACAGTATCAATACAATATCAAGTATAGAAGTGATGAAAATAAAGTAAATTATCAATTAGGGGATTGATAGTTGATCCAATAACAAATTCTCCAAATTGATATCATAAGAATTGTATGTCAGACAGTAAAGAGAATTACTAATGAGATCTTGGGGGTTGAAGGGTAAAAGAGCCTCCTTTGGTGTTCGTCAAGGTGACAAGACTTGAGACTTCTCAACTCCATAGATAAAAATTTTGAAAGCACGTATGTTTCGCAAAGACATCCACACCAATACTTACTTTATGCTGATCTGCGGGGAGATTTGTGTCTGTCAACACTCGCAAATGACATTGCACTGCTCCCCTTCGCCGTCAAAGATTTTGCAATGTTGCTCTCTAAGAATCTTATAACGAGAAACAGTTTCATTTTGGGATATCATGTGTCCCAAAGCAACCAATGAGATTGCATACTAATGTAAAAATATTCCAAATAACATTGATTACTTATATACATGATGCATAATGATTACTTGTATACATATACATAAACAGGAGACGGTGGCGAAGCTGGAAAACAAAGACTACATGTGAACCAAATAGTAGGAAGTATCAAGCTTAAAACATGTCCTGGCCAGGGAGGTACAGCACCGATAAATGGAAAGGGAGGAAAAGGTATGGATTAAAAGATTGAGATGCAGCTTACGTTTGGATTATGACGTAACATTCTCATCATAGAAGAGGGTCAGTTTCAGGGGTTGGGGGAGGGGCACTAACATATTCGGGTGAAGGAATGTCCCCGTTAAGTTCAACCCTAACCTGTAAGCCGAACAAAATCCGTCCATTTAAGCACGTAAGGCCACAAATGAAAAAAAGCCCTAATATTCCATTTATTTGACCTTAGAAGCTTTGTTTGTTGATTTGCATTTCGCTTCAAGTATACTGTTTTGTTTTTCCTCTTCCATTGGTTTGTTTGTTTGTTTTTTTCGCTATTTTTTTCTTAAAGGCCCCTTCTCCTTCGCTCAATAACAGTTTTCTTCATACGACCATGTTTCTAAAGATTAACAATCTTCCTTCCTCACCTATCTACGCGCTAGACTCTTTTCACTCAGTTGATCCACAGAGTTTTTCACATGTGGATCCCGTGTAACACCAACTTGTACTTCAACTAACAGTTCCCTTCAAATGATCCGAGATTTGATTTCTCGGGGGGAGCTCAAACGTTTTCTGTGTACCAACTCGTGACAAAGGACTTACATTTTCTGTTAATTCATGTCAGTCGTGGATCTGTGAGGCGATGGAACGAGTTATGTGGGGAATCGATGTACAAAATTTCGTGGCCTCGGGAGTCTGGGAAAGAGCATGCAACTCATTCAAGGAGGAGAACCGATTGTAAATTATAGCGGATCAATTGGGTTCGGAAGGATTATTGATGGAATGACGGATGTATTCTGTTTCTTGAATTCACAGGATCGTTGGCTTTACCACAATCACTGTATATTCTAATTAGATTCCGAAAATAATATTTACGACTTCACAATAGTTTCACTTTGATCTTTTCCTCAGGGGGTCTCGGGAGTTTAGGAGGAAAAGGGTTTAAATGTGCAATGAGGGAGTCATGTTCACCTAATCTGTTCGACCCTATGAATCCCTCCTGTCACACTTCGTGTAGAAACGACGGTGCCACGGGCAGAGCAAGTAGAGGAGCAAGAGGAGATAATGGAAAAGACGGAACAGGTTGAGTATACATGAGCCACCTTGAGAGGACTCTTTTGAAAATGGCAGCACCAATTTCTTATATTTTTTTAAGTAATTTTTTGACTCAAAAGCGAGGCTTAGAAAGCTAGTTTGCATGCTCATATGAAAGAATAATAATCACGCGAGAAAATGTTTGGCAGGGAAATGATTTAACAATGTCGAGAAAGTATAATACGACCAAATTGGAAAACTTACCGGTTTTTACGTTCATCGTCGGTGTCCAGTCTACGCCCATGGTAGAGTAGAGAAGGCTTGCGAGTAAGAGGGACAATTCTGCCGCTGGTTTTCATGGCGTTTAAACGAAATGCCAGTCCATCACGGTGCCCATCACACGGCATACATTTCGGCAGGTTTCCTTTATAGTTCAGCAATAACCATCTGCATTCCTCAGTGGAGAGAAGCCCTGAGTAAATCTCCTGTACAGAAACACAATACAATGACCCAAATAGAGAACTTCCCCGGACCTATCGACCCTGAGTCTAAGAACTAAGTTCTAAGCTACCATATCGTTGCAAATTTCATCTTCATAAGTAACCATGCGTTGATTGATATCTGTACTTTCAGCTCCAACGGATCCTGGCACGGACGGTCAAATAGATGATTCCTATCTACGTACATCCCGCCTCTCTGAAAATGCAAGAAGCAAATACCCCTTAGCATTGTTAAAGTTGATGAAAAGATATGCCGAGGATCGCATTTGGGCAAATGATATCGAGGAAGGCAAGAGTGTCCTGAGATTCTTAATAACTTTAATGGAAGGAAGAAAGGGTATACAAGCCATGAGAAAAGGTGAGTTTTCAAATGGAGCTATTTAACCTTTCTTATATTCCTCAGAGTATTGTTTCAGAGACGAGCTGAAGGAGAACAAAATCTCAATACCACGGCGCTAATGTTTCTTGTATATCTGTAGACGCAGAACGAAGGCTAGGTTTTCTAGACAAAGAAGGATTCGACAGATTTGGAAATAATAAATTGTTTGCCCCGCTGATGAAATGGGAACGCTTAAAAGAGAACGCTGAAGACATCGAAAAGTATGCCAAGGAATACCAAGACGCTTTTAACAGGATTCAAAGATCAATTAATCAACAAGAAGATATTACTGACATACTGAAGGACTTAGCGCCAAATGCAGCCAGAATACAGGTCAGCAATCAAATAAAACGACTAAAAACGGCGAGGGCAGTCGATGAAAGCGAAAAGAGGCTTTATGTAGAGGTAAGGTAATAAGTTTGTGAAACTGACATTTTAAAATCGTATTGCGTAATTTTTGGTTTTTGACCTTGAAACTTGAACATTTACTCGGGGATTACAATTTTTAGATACCTGCTCCTTGGTATTAAAACAGCCTATTTTCAGATTTATTCTAGAACTAATTCCTTTTCTTTTTCCATTTTACCATCCCTATTTGTTTCATTAAAATTGACATTCTCTAGCAACTCATTTATACTTTCGTTAATTAACAATTTTTTTCTTTTTTTGATTCATACATTCATTTCTCCATTCATTTCTCCATTCCTTTGTCCATTCATTCATTCATTCATTTATGCATTTATTCTTTCAATGATGTATTTATTCATTTTGTCCTAAAACATTCTGTTTAATTTATTTTTCCTTTCATTAATTCGTCAATTACTTTATTGATTCATCCAAACTATCGATCAGCAAGTCAATTGATTCATTATTCATTTTCAGTTTTAAATTATCTCCATTTTTTGTATGTTTATTGATTTGATGCTCAACACTCAATTTTTTGGGAGGAGAATTTAAATGTTACTGAACGCATTTTTATCAAGAAGCTTACCTTGCCTTTGTTTACTCTCTCCTGTACCCGATTAGTCCATCGCTCAGGTAGAAAACCGCATGAGCAGCACTTTAGAGACGCTAAAGGCGACACTGGTTGAGTTACAAGCTCAAAAAAATATGGAGCATTTCTTCGCAATACTCCAGGGAGTAACAGGCTTCGTAGGTGCACTTATAGAAAAAGATCCTGGTGCTGCTCTTGGTTCCGCCTTTAGTCTTATTGAGAATGAGGCTCTGAGGTGCAATAGAGGTACGCTTCAACAAAACAAGGCCAAATTAGAAAAATGGGTGAGATTTGGAAAAGCATACAAGGCTCTGGCAGATCCTAGTGACTTGAATTTTGACGAAATGGATATACAATCTGTTCCAGAAATAATGAAGGTAATATAATGCGTATGTTTCTTTTTTAATTTTCCTTTTCTTTTCCATCACTATATCAACACATCCGCATTCCATAGGATGTGGAAGTGGATGTACCACAGGGGTATCACAACGTTATCTTTGTGGCTCTCTATGGATGGAACTCAAAGCTAACTTATTATTGGCGATGTAGTACAGATAAAGTCAAGTCAACTAGAAACTTGATGGGCGTTAGCTGAGCGATTAAATCAGTACTTACATGTAACACCATACCTTTAATTAATTACATCCGTGTTTTATCGTTTTCCATAACCAAAGGCGGATCTGGAAATAAACAAGGAAGCGCTTCTGGCAGACCTGGTTTGTTTGCTGGACGTTGATCTACCACCTCAAGTGACAGCAGAATTCAAGAGCGAAATCGAGAAATTCTTCATCGATGGTGGAACAAGGATTAATCTCATTGCGCAGGTCATGGAGTTAGACAACAACATTGGCACGTATAATTACGACATTGTCAATTTAAGAGAGACAGAAAAGCAAATAAAAGCTGTCAATAAAGCCAAGGGTAAGAATTCTCTTCTTCAAGAAGCTATGTTGTAGCAAGAGAATATAAACTGCTCTTGATTATGGTGGATCCCGGATTTCTTATGTTCGCCGACGTTGTGGCGCTTTTATTAGCATGGTAACTATCAATGCTACCGTAGTAAACTTTCATTGTATTCTTATGACCATCCATATGTCCGCCCTTAAGCACATGTTCGATGAGTTGCATGGCTACGTCTCTGGAAAAGAAACTAGATTTAACCCTTAAGCGCACGAACTAACTGACGACTCAAACGCGGCACGAGGAAAGGAAAATGGAGGAGCCCTCCCTCCCCCCATCCCCGCGATTTTTGTCATGTGTCGATATTCTAAAAAATTGTCATACAATAATGGGTAGCACGATATGCATTAATCAGGTTGAGACAAAAATTATGGGTTTGGGCTATACTACTATCGCATTATTAAGGGTTGGGAATTCATCATTTTCTAATCATCACAACTTTATATTTACCTCAACTGACAACTTTCCAGGGACCCCAATAGCCGACAACGTACGGCAGGAGTTTATTGATAACCTTTTGAATATCTATGAAGAACTGGAGACCAGTTTTTCCAAGCAGCTATACTTGTTCTACAAGGGTTTTGAGTTCCGGTCCCTGTGGAACATGGACAAAAAGATGGCAAGGTTTCAGCGTCGCGCTGCAACCCTCACAAAAGGCTCTGGACATCTTCAAGGAGTTACTTCCTTGACAAAGGCTTTACAAGAAATAAACAACATTGAAATGGCAGCTCGAAGCTGTTTTACGACTAAAAAGCCCAAAATTGGTATATACAAATGGTCTTTTGACAAGACGAAAGATCCAACGGTATGGACATCATTCTTTTCTCTTGTCGACGGTACTGTGGGTTTTGTTCAGTAGTCCACTGAGCTCCGAGTCGGACGACCCGAGTTCTAGTCCTGGCCGGGGCAAGGCGTTGTGCCCTTGAGACGTGCGAGAAAAAAAATGCGAGCTCCGATTTTAGGCTTGGCTAAATCTATATTATTCTTATTTTCCCCCCTTCCCCTTACACACTGTTGGCGACGACTGATCCCTCCTCTGTTTCCCCTGAAAACTCTATGATTTCCACAAAAATCCTCTATTGATAAATAAACAAGCATCCCCGCAATGATATTTTGTAGCACAACTTATTAACAACGCCGAATTCGCCTACTTGATCCTCTCGTTTCATTCATTTAGATGTTCAAGGAGTTATACAAGAGTTACACGACGTTTTCCTTGGACATTGATCAGGGCTGTAAAGATTGCTACAATGTGCGCCTCTTGAAGGTACATAGAAACAGAGCTGTTTAAGTAATGTTGTAAACTTAACAGATTTGAATACAACTGCTTGCATCGACAGGTTACTCTGGTCTTGTCAACTGCGTTGATAACGTGAATTGACCACCATAAAGAGTTTCAAAGCTGACGTTTCGAGCGTTAGCCGTTCGTCATTTGCTCTGACGAAAAGCTAACGCACGAAACGTCAGTTTCGAAACCCCTTTACGGTGGTCATTTTAAGTTAGTTGATAATACCGAATTACCCTGTTACACTCTCCCACCAGCGCAGCACCACAGCTTCTTCATAAATTTACCTCTGTTTAGTTACTTGCATCGACATTGTCATTTACCGTCCTATGTTGAGAGTTTTGCAAAACATTCCAAGATCATTACTGATAGAAGGCTAAATAGGATTTATCTTACACAAGCCTCACTTTCCTTCAAAAGAACTTAAAGCGTTTAAATCGAAGTTTTTTTCACCTAACTTTTTTCGCCTTATAAATTTCGATGTTATTTCTGAATTTTGTCCCTGAAGACCTCATTTAACAGTCGCATTTTGTGCTTAAGATTTCATTGCGTGAAAATAGAAGAGGGCTTAGTTCGAATCAATTATCATCCATGGATATCAAGAACTAATGATCGTGCTTTTATTGAATAATGATAAATATCAGTCACACCTGTCCTCCAATAGATTATATTTAAGAACCAATCAGAATGGGTGTATAACTAAGCCTATCGTATAAAACGGAATAGACTGCGCGTAGCGTAACCGATAAGATTGCCATATCTGGATAGAAAGGTAGTAGTAGTATTCTATTACTGGAAAGTAAATATAAAAAAGTTACTGAGGTGAATTTTTGGCTTTCCCCACTGTAGTGTATTAGGACCCAGACTCCCCCTCAGTGGGGCATGTAACGGCTGACTAGAGTTGTTGTTGAAGACCACTAGTTGGATAGGCAGAACAAAGCCATCGTCAAGTCCAATCCGTTGTAATACTCCTATTTACCGACCAGATCGGAAGAAAAAACCACGAGCATATAGGAATTTAAACAACAATGCATCAAAAAGAAGGATTCCCAGAAAAATGATTTAATAAACTTTAATCATAGTGTAAATACTTTGTTATCTTTAAAAGATGTATGTGGAGCTATATGGTGCAGCCCAAGATCAGAGCGTCCCAGATAAAGTTCATCTAAAGCTCAGACCACTGGGAAGGTCTTACTTTAGGATTGGCGATGAAATCAAAGACTTCCATCAGCCAATGGCCTCTTGGCGATACTTGAACTTCGATCGTTTCAAGGTAACTAATGAGAACAAGTGCAGACAGGAAAAAGAACAAGGGAAGGGTAAGTGGCTAAATATGTTTTAAATATTTAAATAAACCTTCCAAAGTGTTAGTTTTTACAATTTCCTTGTTCACTTATTCACTCGAGTATTTCAATGGAAATGAAAAAAAGAAAATTATAAAAATAAAAATGATATATGGCCATCGATCTGTGAAACAGCAACGTGATGAAATGAACTTGCTTTCCTGAGGATGCTAAAAATGGCAAGTTCTTGATCATTTGACACAATTTGATGAAATGCGAGTTTCTCCTTACCCCTAATTCTCAGGAAAAAAATTACCACAATTTGCAGTAATGTCGCAATCTGATTGGTCAATTTGCTGTTATCGATAAGAGTACAGACAACGCTGCTTGCGTCAGCGTGTCACGCAATGCCTTTATCAGACCTTAAACATGGACGACTTGTACTGAAAGAATCCTTTCAATTGCCTTCGATACTGAGGTAAAAAAATCGACAGTTGCTGCGCCTCTTGAGTTCCACAACATTTTGATCACTGTGATAACAAATATCGTTGTCGATAAGAGTATAGACCACGCTTTATGAAAGTCGATTTGTTAAGTTATCATTTGTCAAATAAGATATTGGATTCCTGATCGGGGGAATTTCATTGAAGCTAAACGGACATGCAAAGCGTACCGATTTCAATGGGCCTTGCCATCTTAGCATAATCTGCTTGGAAAAGAATCTACCCTAGCGCGAGTTGATGTTTGTGGGAAAAATGGTGAGCTCTTATTAAGAGCAACTACGCATGCGTTGTATTAATTTCAAATGGAAGAATTCAACAGTTGAACTTTTTTTAACCCTAGATGGCGGTTTTTATTGTTTGACAAAAGACGACAAGCGCCTGACAGGGATGTGCTGTCATCCGCTCATAGCCGCACCTTGTGATGACGCTTTGGCGGGAGAAGAAGAATGTCGAAGTGTATTTGGAACATACAGCCTTTCCATACCAATTGATCCGACATTGGACTGCAGTGCACAAATAACTTACAAAAACTGCAAAAATCTGAATGTAAGTTTGCCCAACTGGCCTCAGTCGTTCGATGGCTAGATAAAGCTATCCCATAGATGGCCAAGAACGTTTTATTTCTTTTAAACAGTTAACCACTAAATGGCGTTATCCACCCACTGAAAGGTGGGGCCTGGTGAAAAGGGAAGGAATAAAGGGGTTGGTACTGGTGAGAGGAGGATGTTAAATTTGATCATTTAAGGGGGAAGGGGCTAGTAACGGTGATTAAGGCACCAATGCAATCATTGTTCATCTCCTCAGGGGGTCAGAGGACTTTAGGGGGATCATGGTTTTCAGGAGTAATGGATGAGGGATCAGCAGAGTATAAAAAAAGTGACACTCAACGTGGGGGGGGGGAAATTATCAGAATAACAGAGCCTTAGGGGGAGTCAGGTAAATGATATTGTGGCATAACCAAAATCCTCGGAACTAACCTTGTGCCCAGATCTTACTGTATGACTGAAATGTTACTACGCTTGACCGTGGAAGGTCTGGGTCCTTCCTCTGACTCCCCGGTTTACCATAACGATTTTATTTCGTTATCTTTTTTTCATTCATTTATTTCTTCTCAGCGAGAACTTTTCACCCACATGAATGTTTGGACAACTTTCATGTATTGGCCCGAAGCATACCCACAGACACCGGAGGATTGTGGGATTCAAAAGCGCAATGCCACAGTCGAACCGGAAGTCGAATTATTGGATTCTCCTCCTATCCTAAGACGAGACGCTGATGCCGATTTAAACAACAATAAAAGGAAATGAACTCATATACTGCCATTGAAATAAACAGACGAATTTAAAAATGCTTCTTCTCTTCTCACAAAACTTAGCAATAATTGAAACACGATGTCCACAACCTAGAGACTAACAAACGTCAGCGGACCAAAACTGAGTAATCCGTGTATACACCACACCCATTTTATTCACAAACAACTTCAGATGTTATAAAACATACTAAAATACGTTGTGGTAGTCTCAGTAGGATTAACACTCCATGGTCGGGTTCTGCTTAACGGGAACAACCCATTTACAGAATACGTGATACATGTTTGAAATATGAAACTATTGACGACATTCTAAACGCTTTTGATGCATTTGGTGAAGGGCGAACGGCTTTGAAAATTCCTTTTTCGGAAATGTTAAAGTCAAATTGTCAAGCGACTCTTCCAAAATATACCATACAATGATTTTTATATTCATACATGACAAAAAACATGAAGTGTTTTTAATTTTTTTGTGTTTTGTTCATTTGTTTGCCTTTTACCAAAAATTTCATTACAAAGCATAAAAAACAATTCACCTTTACAGCTAAAACGTTTGCTTTTGTAACAAATTGGTTTTTCTTAAAAAAAACCGTACAAACGACTTTGTCGTGCATTTAAAGGTAATCTCAGGACCTCAAATTGCACAAATATCGCTTTTATAGCAAGAGCAAAATCGACTAGGGCTTAGTCAGCGTAAACCGAAAAAGAACGCTTCGAAAGGGACCAAAGGCTTGTGGGATAGCTTCAATACAGCTTTTTGTTTCTCGATCGTATCAGTTCATAAGTGAAATTAGTTTAGAATGACTGTATCACTTTGAGGTTATAAAACTCTCCTAGCTACGCTAACTGAACACCTTTTCGCTGTCATCAACTGGCATCTTGATCGTCATTTTCTTTAATAAGATTCAGTTCCACAGCAGTCTCCAGTGCTCTTTCAGCGCACGCTTTAACCATTGACATGTCAGGATCATTGTCTTTAGAGAAAACCATCAGGATCTCGAGAATTTCACTTTCGATCAGCTGCGATAAACAACAAGAAAAGAAAGATATTTTTAAAAAAATGCAATCTGTCTGTCAGTCAGTCAGTCAGTCAGTCGGTCGGTCAGTCAGTCAGTCAGTCAGTCAGTCAGTCTTTCAGCCAGTCAACAGGTCAGTCAGTCAGCAAGCCAATCAGCTAGTCAGTCCGTCAGCCAGTCAATCTGTCTGTCAGTCAGTCAGTCAGTCAGTCTGTCAACTAGTCAATCTGTCAGTCAGTCAGTCATTCAGTCTGTCAGCTAGTCAATCTGCCGGTAAGTCAGTCAATCAGTAAGTCAGTTTGAGTCAGTGTGTCTGTTTGTCAGTCAGTTCGTCCTTCCTCCCTTCACTCGTCTGTCTGCAAGTTCGCCCGCAAGCAAGTGCATCAGTCACTTTAATTGCGGTGAAATGTGCCTTGAGTCAGTTAATTTTTAAGTCGGTTTTGCTGTCCATTTTTCATACGAGAGAAACTTTTATTCGACTATCATTCAGCTCGCCGTAAATCGGCCCTGCGAATGGTGATTGAATCAGCCCAAAAAATTCAGGCAATCGATCAAGCAAATCCTACCTTAGTAGCTATGTCCTTGTTCGCAGATATCATGTTGGCTGCAATATGAGCTCCTCTATAAAAGAGAATGGTGACACCATTTGCGTTAACTTCGTGTAAAGTCCGAAAAGAAATTATCATTCTCGGAGAGTCAGCGCTTGAAGAGAAAAGTCCAACGTTACCTGTGCCTGAGCTCTTTCTTCTCGGAAACCAACAGCTGCTTCTGGATATCCATGTAAGATGAGACCTGCAAAGTAACGTAAAATTATTGAGACCAAATTAAGGTATAAGGTTACAACAAGAGAGAAAACGTGTAAACACAAGATACACTAGCTGCCATACCTTTATAATCTGTTTGCATACTTTCTCGCTCGAGGAGAGGACTGCTAATGCACCAGAAGCCGCCCTACATAGAATTTAGAAACAAAGATGGCTTATAAAATTGGCTAAAATTATAGCCCTTGTTTGCTCGCACCTTGATACCCTACGAAAATTACCATCCGTCATTAGTCTGCGTTTATTATTTGCTTTCTTCACGTTAATTTTTAGTATTTCCCCTACACCGCCATGAGGTTAGCAAAAAAAAAGGCTATGCTCTCAGAGAACTTTCAGCAAAGTTAAGTAGAAAACGAAAAAGGACATAGCTGCGTTACATATCGTGGAATTTTTTTTCGACGAATCTGTTTGAAGTGGAAAGTAACAAAGGTCAATCATACCGACACAATAATCCAAGAAAAAGCCAAATCTGCCACACAAGGAACTTCATGCCTTCCCTTTTGCAATAAGTTAACGAGTTCGTTAAAATCCACGGGGAACTTTGGTAGAGACTCAGACTTAGTTTGATGGCAGCACAATGTCCTCTGTTATCTTAAGATTCTGAAAGTTAGTCTGGTCTGCGGCTCCACTTACGCTCTCCCAATTGAACCACTCCTGCAGCAGTTGCCCTTCGCTTACCGTCTAACATCACAGCGAGCAAATATCAGGGTAATTTTCAGAAACACGCACCACTGAAATACAATGAGCAGATATGAATATCTCACCGTGAAAGTTCAAAGTCTTCTTCGCCTGACAACAGAGTCAAAAGCTTCACTCTTTCTGTAGGGGCGTCTTCTTTTTCGTACATTTTGAATACCTGTAGCAAAGCAAAAAAAAAAAAAAGGAGGGAACAGCAAAACCAATATACCGTTGACGCAGTAAAGTTCTGGTCGGGGAGCTTATAACTGGGGGCTTATAGCTGAAGGGACTCCATAGATTTTTTTTTTTTTTTTTTTTTTTTTTTTTTTTTTTTTTTTTTGGGGGAAGGGGGGGGGGGGGGGGGGGAATAGGGGGGGAATAGGGGGGGGAAGTGGGGGGGAAGCGGGGGCGGGGGGGAAGCCTTTCGTAACCTTCACACCCTTGGTATTCATATTCTCCACACTGTTCTCTTTATTCATCCTCCAATGCTGCCAAGGAGAATTCGTTTAACAATCAAAAGCTTCCTAAATTGCGATTATTTCTTTTATTCTCATGACTTTAATGTGTGATTTAAGGGTGATATTGTGAGGAGAAATTAGAAGCTAATGAATCTTAGGGGTTAAAGGATTGATCATCACCCAGATTTAATGAACATCGCGTACAGCATACATTTCTTTGTTTGAAAATCTATGATATTTAAAACGAAAACTAAATTTCTCCTCCTACCTCTTCACAAAGCACCATGTTACACATACACTCAGTTGCGGCTCTTTTAACCAGATCATGTTCATCAAACATCAGACTTTCGATCAATGAAAAGCCTTGCTCCTTCACAATATGCCGCCTACAATCACAAACAGAAAATCTGATGAAAAAAACACCACAGCAGTAGCTCCTTTTGTAAGTGTTAAAGGACTAGGAAAAGATACGGTACATTATTATAGCGTTACGATAAAGAGCCGGATAAAATCAGAAGTCTGGAATCTTTCCCTCTGAGCTAAAGTGGTCTTGCGAACTGTCTAGGTGTTGCAGTTGTTTCGAGAAAGATGAATCTTGACAATTTGTTTTTCTTGATGGAAGTTCTTGCTGGTTTCTGGGGCGCACTATCTTCCAGAAAAGGTGCATTCATAGGTTCTCGCACCCGGTGGTTAGGATGGATCTTTCTTTGCTACTTTTACTAATTCTCACGAAATAATGTGAGAGAGCGGAAAAGAAGGCGTTTAACTCTCGTGGTTTTATTTCTCTCTTGTCTCACCTGACTTCGTCGTTCATTTGTGCCAGGTTTGTCAGAGCCATAAGTGATTCAAATTGTTGCAAGGCCTGCAAGATTAACAAAAGTATAGTAATCAGAAATCTTTAAAAATATCCAAGAAAATACCATATTTCAAGCGAGGAAGAAAGTGTCTCACCGTTTTAGAGGGATGTAGTAACTTCAGCAGAGGACGAACCAAGCCGAAAGACTGTCAAGAAACGAAACAAATCATTAGATAATAAAAATACATTTATTGCCATAAAGCTTTCTTAGTTAAAACAAAGGTAGGGAATTTTCGCGAAAGTGAACATGGAGTTAGGAAGGTAAGACTGCTAATTCTTCTATTTGGGAAAGGAACTTTAATTAGCCCTGCAAATACCAACGCAAGCGTAGTTGGGGACTCTTCTGCAAAGGTCACTCTGTCAAAAACTTGAATTTGCGACAGAACTCTGACGCAACGATCAACGATGGGTCTCTTAGCCCATACGAAACACCACGTCACACCACGAACTATTTCCAAACGTGATCACGAATTATCAAGCATATCCCTTACTCTTTGTCCAGGAAATGCGACTTCCGGGTTCATAGTAATAGCAATTTTAGCCACAGATTGTGCAGCAAAGTCTGCTCCTTTCTCAGTGTTTTGGGCAGCAAGAGAGATCAATGCCTAGAAAAAAAGACGAAACAGTTAGCATCATGTGGCATATATAAGCATACTGAATGAGAGGATAATAAAACTTGCTTCATGCAAGACGAAAATGCTCATTTCTCGACAAGGTAACGATATTTTTATTCGTTTTTGGTGTCTTTGAAAATTGTTTGTCATGAGCAGATTAAACTTTGAGTCAGCAATTCACTGAGAAAGACAAAATTTTTCTGGATTCGAACAACAAAAGATAGAACACCCATGCTTAAGTTTAAGGCTGAAATAAGAGAACACCTTATTTAAAAGCACCCTCCCCTCCCTTCTCTTACCTTAACTCCACCTTGCTGCACAGTAACACCTCTGTGTTCTTGCTCATTTGTTATCCCCATAAAAACTCTGAGGAAAAACAATAAAAAGTTATAGCAATTGATTCTACTTACACTATCGTTAAGATCCTAGTCACAACTCACATCAGGTAATTATTTAATCATTTAACTTCCATGAGTGACGATAAAAACCTGAATCTAGAATGGGAAGAAACGCACCTTGATATCATTTCTCTACTGGTATTACTCTCTGTATCAGTCAGGTTAACAAGCGCTGATAGTATACCTTCCTGTTGACAAGGAAAGTGCAATCACTGATGAATCTCATTATTATGGAAATAGAAATTATTCCACGGAAATGCAAATGATTTTTATTCATGAGTTGCGATGCATTAAAAAAAACGAACGAGTGAGTTTCTTTAATGCATCGCATGAATAAAAGTCGTTCAAGCACTTTCCATGGTATGATTTTTTTATATGATACAAACTTACATTTTTTCAATTCAAAGATTGGAGCGGACGACTGTGAAAATACATCGTTTGTCCAATCGAAGACGAACGACGATACTTGACAGTATAAATCTCAGTATGTATGAAATAACATTTTCTTCATAAACTTGTATATAACTACACCTGCGTTAAACTAGAAATGAACAATTATTGAATTTGGTTTTCGAATAATAATACGTATGAGGAAAATTATCATCTCACCTCGACAAGTTTCTTGATTCTCTTTTTGACGTATTCCTCGCCATCCTACAAAAAAGTCAATCGACTGATCTCTTGATGAATTGAGATAAAAAGTAACTTTAAAGGTTGGGGTAATTTTTTTGCAATTAAAAGAGTGCAACAGAGCAATCAGACTGTCAAGCTTTTTTGAAGAAGTTACACGCACAATAGAGCTACCATTCATTTTTCACGAGCTGGGGCCAAAGGAAACAAATCTAAGTTCTCAAGGCCCACACGTTCACTTTGGAATTCGCCGTTCAATTTAGCGAGTAAAGCCAAAGTAATCTCGAATGCTCGTTGAGATAATAAGTTCATAGCACTATTGGAGGCAACAGCAACGTCTTCTTGCTGTGGTCGAGTTCACAGACTTCAAGGAATCAGATTATTAACGGCACAAAAAATAACCCCATAGGGGAGACCACAGAGTACAAAATGTAGAAAATCGTTACCAAAAACTCGATTAAATCGAACCTCTAGTCAGCTCGAGTATTAACCAGTTTCCTTTAAAGAGAACTTTGCTGTTATTAAATGTCAATCAGAGCTCGAATCTGTCATTCATTTTCCTTGAAATTCGAGTTATCGGGATTCTAATTTCCTCACGCCGCCTTCGAAACTCTCCAACAGGATTTTATGCTCACCTTTTCGGAGAATTTCGGCAACTTAACTTTGGCAAATTCACCAAGCTGTTTCATTTCATCCGGAATTTCTGGTTTGTCAAACGTGTTTGTAAGGTTGACCAGCGTTTGACAAACTCCGTATAACAGTGAGCCATCTTTAGCCTGAGATAAAATATATGCGTAACACATTACTGTTTAGGTCACCACTCTGTCTCTCACGTACACAAAAGCGTCTGCCTCAACAAAATTTTTCGATACCGGAAGAACATTTCCTTAAGTTTCCTTACAGGCCTCTTCCGTGTATCAAAACGCGCATTTTCAGTGTTTAGACATGTAAAGTATTTCAGTTTTATCTTTTACCTTTGCTAGTTCCATGAGTGACCTGAGGGCCTGCTGATCTTCAAGGAAGGTCTCCTGCAATTGAAAAAAAGGAAAAATTATACGGTTTCTTAGGGGTTCAAAGAATATTTGTACACGAAATTTAAGAATATCGAGGTTTGACGGATAGTGATGATCTTGATGACTTGTGTCCGATTTTGGATATAAGTGTCCGATTTAAGACATAAGAGTCGATCTTAGACACCACTGTCTGATTTTGGACACTATTTTCCGATTTTAGACACTAGTGTCCGATTTTGGACACAAGTGTCCCATTTTAGACACTTGGTTCCGAATTCAAACATTAGTGTCATATTTTAGACTTAAGTGTCGATCTTAAAAACTGGTTTTCGATTTTAGACACTACTGTCCGATTTTAAAAAGGTCCAAATTCGGACATTAGTGTCCGATTTTGGACGAAGACTCAACATTACCTCACCTTAACATCAGCGTCCATAGTAAGGAAGGACAATCCCTCAGCTGCCCATTTACGCAGCTCTAAATCTTTCTTAGATTTTGTCAGGAAACTGAAAAAGGAAACAAACCAGAAGACGTCGCCATACTCATTGTCGCTTAACGAATCATTCATCTAGGTGCGTTCGGGCTGAACGACCTACTCACAGATCCGAACTGACTTTTTACTGCCTTTTAAGAGTCTTTATCCTTTCTTTTTTCCCTTTTGTATTATATTTTTGTTAACTATTTTCTTTCCTGTGGAGACGCGGTGGACTGAGGTTAGTGCGCGTGCGCTGGACTCTAAATGCGCCTTTCTCTACCCAGGAGTAAAAATGAACACCAGATAATTGTCAGGGAAGCCTGATGAAATGCGAGGGGAGGGGAGGGGAAGGGTTACCCCCAGTCTCTTCATTCTAAGAAAACCGGTATAAGCTACAACTGGGAGGGCCACTCGGCCCGAGCACATATTTTGCCATATCTACCTTCCTGACCTGTGACAAGCCATAGAGTACTGATATATACGATACTTATTTACCACACTCACCTACGCACTGATTTGTACAACTTTAATGTGGCTCCCTCTACGAATGTCTGATCATTCACAGTCCCTCCTCCCGTGGTACCAAGTTTACAAAGACCCTAAAGAGAAACAAGACCTCGCACTCAAACAACAGTCGCCTTCAAGCCTACACAGTGAAATAAATAAACTCACCACCAAGGCTCTGACTCTTATACTGTCATCCTTTAAATGATACAAGTCCTTCAAAACAGGTAACGCCTGTTAAGAAAAATCACAAGTCTGTTTAAACCTGAAACCACTTAGTTGAATATCAACTCCAAGTTGGCTTCTCGCAGGTGAATAACGCTTGCTAATCACTTCCGAACTAGTCAATCTTTTTGCGCGTTTCCTACTGCCCATACACGCTCTAATTTTTATCTGACGCCTGCTCCGTAGGCAAGCTAAGCTTTCCTACGAGGCTATGCACTAAAGAACTTCATAACCGTTTACCTTTGTGTTCAGTACTGTGCTTAATTTCTTTTCAGATGCTCCTAAGGCTAATGTTTCAGATGCAACAATCTGTCAAATAAACGAACAAATAAATAAACAAAAAATTACACGCATAAGTAAATGAAATCTTGATGCCGGAAATACAGCAGCAGAACTCGACTGAAATGGTTCACTGTTTCAGATGGCAGGAAGTTCGAGCGAGATGATGAGACTGAGAAAAGTCTTAAAATTCGAGTTTTAAATATTAAGTTTGCGTCAGAGACGTTCTGTCATACAAAACAAAATGTGTTACGAAAGAAGGCTTTCTTCATCTTTTTTTTTTCTTCGTCCCTATCTTTCCTCTAAATTGAGGCATGCAACACTCATTATCATTACCAAATAAAATTATTTTAAATCATAACACAATGTTTACCTAAAAAAAAAAAGAATTAAAGGAAAAAGTTCAAACCTGAGACACGCGGTCTTCCCTTTCCGCAAGTGCGACCATTTTACCCAAAAATTCTTCATTGCCAAGAACAGTGGCTGCCGCTTCCTGTACTCCCTAAAAAGATGGGATGATCATACAAAGGAATGAATTTCCTCTAGAACTAGTTTATGGTTCGTTGACCAGCTCTACTAACCTCTTTGCTCTGAGGAAATCAATTTTAATTCATTGCGGAAAAAATTAGGAAAACTTGGTGTTAAATCAATGTAACACACTCTTGCTTAAGATTACAAGTCTCGTCACTAGTACCTCTCCAAAACCAGGAGTATGGTACTGGTATCAGTAAACGTTCATGGAAACGAGACGAATTAGTGATGGAAGGGGAGAAGACCTACGGTGGACTAGTATTTCGTCCACTGGGTAGCAATACTCCTTGTCACTTTCTGCTGATGAAACCGACATACGCTCCGCGCATAGAAAACATGCGTAGATAGCCAGTAAGATTCCAGACTTTCGGCCAACTAACGCACGAAGTCTGAAGGAAATATTGTTTACAATGACGCGCGTTGCCACGATTAGATAAAATTATGTTGATGCTGTTTGTCTCACTGCTGTAGACCAGTGCTTCTCAACCTTACTAGTGTCCTAGTTTAATTTTTATTATATGAAGCTAACAGAGTATCTGCACGAGTATCAGACCTGGAAAAGACAACTTAATGCTGTTGCTCCTTTGATGTGCGCTTCCGGGCTGCTTTGATTGAGATACTGGCTGTAAAATAAAGTCACACTCAGTTAAAATGCACTGAACATCTCGTGTGAACAACAGAAGTGCATTTAAAAGACAAATAGAGAAAGTTTTATCGTCACATGCACCGTGCACTCTAATCTCACCACCTCCCTCTGACGCAACGCGTTCGATCTCTTAGGGAGAAAAATAAAAAGCGCTGCGTGAGGAGACCGAGCGATGGCTGCGACGAACAATGAAACAGTTTCCAGCTGAGCGTTGAAAAACCAAAAAACAATTTGAATTATTTCAAAAACCAATCAAAACAAAGGTTGACGTCATCATTAACCAATGAGAACTCAAAGTAAAAGCAGGCAACCTACTTGAAGCGCGGGAAAGCGCGAGTGACTAAGTTGAGATTGGTTTAACTGTCGTTTGCGCGGGCAATTAGTAACTGTACCTGATAGCTGCCGTTGCATCTTCCATAAGAGGTTCTTTTTCCTTTTCATGATAGCTGAAAGAATGGTTCAATAATTAAAGATTCTCATGAAGGAAGTGGAGGCAAAGAAAGTTGTGTTATCATCAAAATACAGTTCTGAGGAGAAGCTCTGGTAAGCAGAAACACCCCTATTTGTATCATATGAATGGGTATAATGTATGCCTTGCTTTTCTCCTTCCTGAAGAGTTTTCAGCCGATTTAGATTTTACTACCAGACAGGTGTATTTTTAAAACCCCCCAACTAGGTCCGTACAGATCTGTACGAGAATAACAGATGTCTAAAAGATACATTACTGTATGTTGCTAGACAGAACACGAGGTAAAAAAGAGGTTAAAACTTACCCAAAAGAATCCACCATCTTTGCCAGAGCAACAGAAATGTGCATTCGAGTATTGTTAGACACTGCAAGGGCTTCCTTCCCTTGAGACTCCAAAGGAGCAGTACTGGCTGCGATAACCATCAGCTTACGAATACCTACAGAAAGAAAGGACAGTTCTATGAGTTATGTCATAAAAAATCGTTCATTATAATATTGTCCAGAGATGGGCAAGGGAAAATCATTAGAACAAAAATTTCCCAGCACTTGTGAAAAGGTGGTGACTGACTGGAATGCTTCTGATGACGGTAAATGTGGATGACCGCACAAAGTATTCAAGGGAACATGATTTGACAAAGTGTGAGTAAGCATGTTCTACAGTAATGCATACATGATCAAAGCCAATGAAAAAATGAGTTAAACAAGCATGTACATGTCAAATCATTATCACTTGTGTCACCTTATTCAACACTTTACCTCCAATTTTCACAAGTAGTTCAACAGCCAGTTTGTTTTTTGGAACAACTTTGATAAAAACATCAATCACTGCATCACGACTCTCAGCACCAACTCTACCATATATCAAAAGTTAAAACAAAACACAAATTAAAACAAATTAAAATAATTTTTTTCTGTATTCCTCTGCATTCTTGCAGGCATATATATATATATATATGTTCTCAAGGGGTGGGGGGGAGGAGGGAGGAGAGCCAACCTATGGTCCTGAGACACCTAGCATTTTTTTTCCACCCACTTGACTCCTATAATATAATTCTTGCAAATTTTGACACAAAAATTTAACTTTCTTAAGGTACGGGCCTACAACAAGTCAAAAGCTGGCCACACCTCTGCACATTTCTATACCTTTACTCTCCTAAGTCAACTGAAGAGTCTATTTCCTCAACACCTGCTTAAAAAAAACCCTGGCAATGACAGACACAAATAGTTACATGATAACTGTACATGTATTTATGAAAATGTTCATGAATTTGTAACTAGATTAATCTTGAGTAGTCTCGCAAGTCAAATATTTGTACAATTTTCATAATTATTTACTATCAACATAATCATATCTTAAGTTGCCAGATATAAACTGTTGTGTCCCACTTACTTTTCACTCATCACAGTATCCATGAGCAATGTTAGAAGACCTTGAATTTCTTCCTTATTTTCTAAAATATTTAAATATGAAAAAAAAGTTAATAATGACACAACACTATATATCATAACCATGCCTCAATTTCTGCCAGATTGTAAATATATACATAACACATGTCAGAAACATTGTGCCCTTATCAAAAACAATGTGCACTAAAAACCTTTACCAGATGAGGGTAAATTTTATCTGAATGGACCAATCATAGCACTTTGTTCCCTTCCCATTGCATGTCATGTTACAAATCCAAAAAGAAGGTACACATGTATAGACTGACAGATAAATTCATTCTAGTGTGTACAAGACAATGCCAACTTTACAATTGAGTAATTTGCTGTGTACCTAATTCTTGTGGTGGTTGTCCATCTTTCATTTCCTTTTTGTCTGGTGGCAATGGAACAAGTGACTCCAGGGCTTGTTGTGGGACTAAAACTGCTGTTGTTGAAACTTCAGTCACTGGCTGAAGATTAAAATATATGTTGTTAGATCTTGTGTCAAGTTGTTATCAAAACAACTTGACATGAGATCTAACAAGTCAAAGTCTATATCTGCAAGCTCCATAGATATGACTATGACATTTGCTTTATCATTGCATGTCCAAGAATTTACATTTAGGAAAATGATAATACCTCCATAGAATATATCAACCTAATAAACAAATACTTACTGATTCAATCAGAGTTAACAGCCTTGACAAAGAAACTTCCTTTAAAACAGATAATGTCTAAAACAAAACAAGCAAGGGTGAATTGGGTCAGAATATTTAATAATACTTTCTGTGAGATAACTCACTGAAAAACTTGTGAATGAGTGGATAGCTAACTATGGAACATGCCAACTGAAACACGACACAAATGAAATACATATGTAGCGATAGATCAGCCTGAACAAATAGAAAGACATCCTTGGATTTTTCTCTCATAGATGTATCCAATAAATGCCCTGACAAATTAATTTAATGCATTATTTGGGAATGAAATGTTAGTGTTTAATATGTTGACTAAAAAGTATCTTGCCTATTGCAGTTGACATCCTCATGGTTCGTAATTTTCTGATTCACATGTAGTTAAAAAAATGCTTCACTTAATTTCAAGTTACCCTCAATTTAGAGTTGGTGCACAATCCTTTAAGGACTTTCAGCATTGCCACAGTCTGTTCATCAGATCCACTGTTCAGCAAGGAAACCACTCTTGGTAATTCACCTAAAAAAAAATTATATTATGTCCTTATTAACCAGGTGGAAGGGCAGGGAATTTGACATGGTGGAAAAAAAACATGGATTCATAGTTTAAGTAACAGACATAGATTACAAAGTTGGTTAGGTAGCCAGCTTAATTGTGGCTGTAAGTTTTGCACCATTTCAATTCACATGGAAGGACTTTAGTGACTGAAATGCATATTAAAACCAGTCAGTTAAGATGTTTTTTCAGACAAAATTTGAACTTATCAATTGGCCAAATATGTTAAAAGCTTAAATAAAAGCACACTGTTGGGAATGACCACTGATTAAAACTAATGTAATCTGGAGTGCATTGTAATTGATAGAAAAAATTATACCAAAAACTGACCTCCTCTAAATATCCTTTGAGCTCCTGGTTCATCATTAGCTAAAATCACAAGATTCTTAATGGCCTAGGATTATAGAAAAAACCAAACCATGAAAGTAATCATTCTGATCTAAGAAAAGTATAAATAATTCTTGCAGTCACTGCTTCAAAAAAGAGGACTAGCCTCCAATCATTTAACAAATTTGGATGTCCATGCTAGAGAGACATGGGCAACACAAAACCATGTAAATGATTATTTCAAAATAACTGAAATAGTGCAACCACCCTGGTTGGTCAAAAATCTAACATTTATTGCACCAATGGATTCACAGAAAATATTTGGTTCTCAGGAAATAATTATTTAGTCTATGACTTTTTGGAATATAAACCATACTGAATTTCTATGACTTCTCAGGCCTGAAACACATTCAATGTTGTCAGTAACATTTAACTCCTTAACTCCCCAGATCTCATTAGTTATTCTCCTTACTGTCTGCCCTGACATAGTTGTTGTGATGTTAGTTTGGAGAATTTGGTATTGGATCAACAAATAATCACCTAGTCCATATTTTCCTTTACTCTCATCACTTGTCTGCTTGATATGGTATTGATATTGTAAGGAGAAATTCTGTATTGATCACTCATGGGAGTTAGGTTAAGGCATTAGCCCTTACTTGCTTTCTTTTCTCTTCACTTTCTTCCTTACTGAAAAGGGAAGTAAACATCTCCCCCACAAGACCATCAGTGGTGCGGCATCGATCAGTCTATAAATGAAGAATATCAAGGTCTAGAAGGCACATGGTCAATTTGAAAGTTTTTGAGTTAAGTGAATCAACAATCCATGAATCACGAGTCAAACAGTTACTGTTGGTACCTTTGCTTGTAACTGTGTTCCAAGTCTCTTAAGAGTCTCCTGAACAGTGGTATTCTGGAACATGAATTATTCAGTTAGTATTATTTAATGGAAGCAACTTTAAAATAAATGAATAAAGGGGGGTAAGTTTCTTAAGAGACTGTGGTGCTGCATTGGTGGGAGAGTATAGCAGGTAATTTAGTATTATCAATTGAGTTGATTAAATAAATTGGCTACTGTTAAGGGTTTCAAAGCTAACATTTCAAGCAATAGCCCTTCGTCATTTGCTCTGACAAAGGACTAACACTCAAAACAACAGCTTTGAAACTCGTTACAGTGATAATTTACATTTTCCACTTCTCTTGATAATTCAAAATTACCAACTCTAAAACAGTTCTGGTATTAGTATGGTTTGTATGTAAGGAATCTGATATCATACACTGTACCTTTGGTTCAATATGGATGAGAGTCCTTGCATCTCGGAATGCAGCCTCAAGTCTTCCAAGTTTTTCTTGTCCCTGGCATCTCCTAAAGAGGGCTTTTGTATCATTTGGTAATGCCACCAGTGCTACCAGAAAAAAAAACAAAAACAAAACAAACAAATTTACTAGTCAATTAATTTAAAACATTTCAATGTTAAAATTTACAATTTCAGTTAGCACATATCTTAAAAATAGTTCTTTAATTGTCACCTTGATTAATTACAAGAACAAGATCAGAAAAGAAAAAGTGTAGAAGTCTTGTCCTAAAGAAATGACATAACATTATGAAATCAAATTATGTTATAACAATAAATTGCATATCAATTTTTTATGACAATCTTTCCTTAGACTTCAAATAATTAACCTACCCTCAGTTGCATCAGTTACAGCTTCTTCATACTTCTCCTGAAATTGAAAATATTAATATATAATCAATACACGGAGAGGAGTGTTTTGCTCCACCACAGTGTTGAGTTGAATTATACATGTTTTGTCTTTACTTGGCCTCAATCATTTTAAGCTCTCGCAAGGGACTGAAAATCAATTTTCTGATTCAGTCAAACCCAGTAGAAAAGTGAAAAAAAAAATGTGGAAACTAGCTATGTGTTCTTGGTCAACTTTTTAAGTCATGGATCCATGTTTTGTTCCCTTTGATTTATAGCCAAGCTCATTGAGGTTCAGTGGGCCACAAATCAAAGAAAAAAAAACTGGGTCTGCAATTTTACCAACTCTGATGTTGACCTTGGTTAGTAGAAATCTACATATGTGATAAAAACCAGACCCGTTAAAACGGCATGTATAATACTCACAAGTTTCAAATAACAAGCTGCCCTGTTCTTCAGAATCACTCCTCTATCTTTCAGTTTTCCTTTGTCCTTTTCTTCTGGTGTAAATAATTTGAGAGCTTGAGTGTAACAGGATGCTGCTAATTCATATTTCTCTTCCTTGAAATACTGATTTCCCTCTGTCTTGAGGTCAAGAGCACCTTGGTGTTCGGAATCCTTTGGATAAAAAGATTCTCAGGTAAGGATTCAGTCTGCATATGAGACTAATTAGCATGACTGGAAGAACTTGTCCTGTTTCTGTTGCTTAAAGCAACTGTAATAGTATTACTTATTACACTCCTGTTATCTATAGAATACTACTGATAATAATTGTAGGTTATCCTAGAGTATTTTCAATAGATCTCCCTCACAGTTCTCAGTTACATATCCCCCTCTACACTCCTGGGTGAAATAGTGAGGATCTTCCTGTTTGAAAAATTTAGTCTCATGTATGGCCCTCAATCACAGCATGATGACCTTGCTATTCCTCAGACCTGGCCTTTTCTAACACCAGACCAGGTTCCAGTCTATTTTTAAGTTAGAGATTTATCTAGCAGATAGTATTACCCACCCTTTAAACTAAAGTTATCTTTTCAGATGTTCTCCCAACATCCAAATAACAAAATGGCATTTCACTGATAAACTGCATGTAGATATTTCTATCAAACTAAATCTATAGAAGAGGGTAAGTTTTGAAAGAAACTGTAGTGCTGCATCAGTAGGGAAGTATAACAAGACAATTTTGGTTTTATCAATCATGATCATGATGTAAAATGGCAACTGTAAAGAGTTTCAAAGCTTATATTGCAAGCACTAACCCTTCATCAGAGCAAAACAAAGGGCTAATACTGGAAACATCAGCTTAGAAACTCTTTACAGTGGCCAATTTAAATTTATCAACTCAGTTGATAAAACCAAAATTATCTTAATCTAAAGAAGGGTGCTATTTTCAGGAGGTGTGGTACTGGTGTCCTTTAGGGTGTGTTGTATTCAAAAAATGAAACTTCTTCCCCATTACATGAACACAATGCCATTTTTGTTGGTCGAGATTCCAACACTGCAACCCTGGAATCTCACTTAAGTGATATTCTCTCGTGTATTCACGTTCACTTCGTCTGCTCGACAAAAGAAATAGTTCCCTTAAACCGATATTCTTACTGAAAACGATCAGAGAACTTACAAATGGTGAGATTCTGACCCGTAACAAATGCTCTGGGAAGGGCTGCTGATGCTGGTTTACAGTATGACATTGGTGTTATATTTGATCATCACAAACAGCATATCATGTATTTTTAATAATAGGACTAAACCTCAATTAACTTATGTAGTGTCGATCTCCATATTTGACTACACGTGAAACCGACCTCATATCTGTTTTATCTTCACACTCCATGTTTTCCTGCTAAAATATAAGATCACGCATATTACCTTCTCCATTACGATATTGTGTACTTGCTACGCTTCCTTGGCCACATTTTCAGACAAATCTGTTTTTAAATCAATTAATTTCGTTAACTTCCACAAAAAAGTTGTCAAGTTTCAGTATCGCATCGGTCACTGCAGAGCCGACGACTAGAATACTTGTGTACAGCGGTATTCTTTATATAATTTATACAAGGTGTTTGTTTACATCAAATCAAGATGGCTGACGAAGTGGTAACCGAAACGGAAACTCCCCTCTCTTCAAAACGCGCTGAACATCGAAGTTCGGCGTCGTTTCTCAGTTCGCCAATACCTTCCTCGAATGAAATTACACGAGTCCCTCTTCATCGTATACGATGCGGGACACTTGACATAAAAAACGAGGAACGGTGGCTGGAGTACGAACCGCTCTCTAAACATTTAAGATTCCTCCACAAAGACCGGAAACACCTGGACCACGAGCACTGCACTCTCCTAGATTGTCGAAACATCTCCGCGGCTGATCTGCGAGTCAGTGCAAAGTTTGGTTACCTCGATGCAATGAAGGGAATTCTTACTGTTGAATGTCAAAAACTCATACAAGTCGACAGTCCACACTGCGATGCGAGAATTGCGTCATGTAGTTACGTTGTGGAGGTGACCTTTCACGTCAACCACACGGGGCAAGTGAGGGATGTTCTTCGTTCATTGCGGAACGCAAAGCAACTGGATTCTTCTTTTGATGGTGAAACGCCGTCACGGGAAGGAGAAAGTGAAGGAGTGGCCATGGTTTACCGCGAGAGGAAGTTGAGGGAAGGTCTTCCTGATTGGACACCATATATTCCTCATCGAATCTACTCACCAGCTGTGCGCGGGTTAATCGAATCAGTGATCACGCTTTATACAATTTTTTCCATCTTGTGGGCGTTGTGGCAACTTCACCGGCATGTCGACTTCATACGAGCTCATGTCCAGCCCATTATTGATGCGTTAAAGTATCATGTGCAACTCATGGACGAATGTATTCACTTTTTGAACGGTTTGTTTGAAGAGGTGACGGAACAGTGGCTGGCGTATGTCAAACCAGGATATGTCATACTCTCTTCCTTCGCGTCACCCCTGATTGCTGTTGGACACGAAATATGGTTTGCAGTTTTAAGCTTTTCAACTGCTCTTGCAGTGATCTTTCGACCCTTGTATCTCTTGTTTGAGCCGCTTTTCAAACTAATCAACATGGTGTTTATAAAGACTCCTTATGCTGTCTTCCAGCCATTTTTTTCTTTTACATCAAAATGCTGGTCATTGTTTTACAACACTGTGTTGTGTCGTCTAGTTTTAACACAGATATCTAACATTAAACAAATGTTCAGTTGGTTGGTGGAAATCCTTGAAAAGAGCATGAAACTCGATCCTTTCAAAGCGCAGCTAGTATTAATGAGATCCACCGTCATAAACAGCGGTAAAGCTCTGAGCCTTGGTCTGGTGTATTTATTCAAAGGCATTGAACGCAGAGTTTGGTTGATGATTGCAAGGCCTGCTGAGGACAAGGATGAGTAATAAGGGGGTGGCAGTCTGTAGAACACCATTATTTACAGGTCTAACATTGAATTCCAATATATATGAAATTAAATTGATGATATATTTACCACTGATGCTGATATCAATTACTGAATTACTTAAAAATTGTTGTGTTGCATCTCTCATCATTTGAGAATTGTTAATTGGTTTGAGAAAATCAATTTATCAAAATACAGTGGGAGTTGAAATTAATAGCTAGTATATGACAAATGTTAAAATTTATCTTAGATGATCAAAGTTTATATATTGTTTACTTTAAAGAAAATCTTGAGAGAATTTCATAAGTATACCTAGATTTCAAGAAAAGTTCAAATGAAAATGAATCTCTTCTGTGATAGAACTTTTAGCAAATAGTAACTATCAGTTCAAACACAAACACTGTATAAATGTGATTTAAAGTGAAAAATTCCCTCGACATAGCACTAGTAGGGAGATCTCAGGCTAAATTTATAGATGTTAGATCAGAACTGACCTAAATATATATTATGATTATGAATGTCTGTACAAACATGTAAAAAAATAGTCACTTCCTCCAGTGGCACTAGTGTCTGCATTATCTACATGGTAAAAGAAGTTATGGTGAAAAGTCACAATACTATCTAAGACATTATTATAGATAATCTATATGTTATTGATAATTTATACTATGATACCCAATGGAATCCATTTCTGTTATATTTATATGGTTCTTTAAATGGTCTGAAATGACCCTCCATTAATTCAAAATGGCCCATCTAATGTCCTGCACGGTAACTGGAGAAAAAAAAAAAATTTTGGATGTTGATATTTATTACAAACATGCATGGTACTATTTATTTCTTGAAATTGTCAGAAAACCATTTTAAAATTTATTAAACAAAATTTTAAAATGTTGTAGAGGTCTTATTACAATTCTCATAATATTTTCAAATGAAGCAATGATATTTGTTGGTGGAAGCTTGTGTTGAAAATGATTTCTAACTTCAAAGGAGAATAAAACTATGGTTGATACTTGCTGTGATTATAATGGGACTGGAAAAATCAGTGAAAATAAATATTGTGTAACCTGATTATTGTTTAGTAGAGTTTAAAGGTTTTTTCAAATGAACACCTACCAGTAGTGGACAACTACAGTTGAAGCTGTATTAAGCAGCCGGTATTAAGCATACACCCTGTATTAGGTGTTCAGTTGTCAAAGCTCTGAAATGATTTCTCCTTAAACACTATCATTTTGACCTCTATTCAGCCATTGTGGTTACGCTGAATCCCAAAGACCTGTTTGTATTGTCATCCACCAGAATTGACTGGTCACTTAAAGTGGAACCACTCAAAAAATTAAGAAAAGCTGTCAAGTAAATTTAACCCATGTTTATCTCCCAAAATCCATGCTTGTAGTGAGTTTTCTATATGAACAATCAATCAAGGCATAAAATGTCATTTTTATCGTTTTATATAATTATCATTTACTGAGGAATCTGTTTTAAGCAGTCAACCTGTACTGAGTAGTCAGCCAACCATTACCCTTGGGTGACAACTAACAGGTTCAGCTGTACTCTTCATGGATCAATCATCCAGTAATTAATAGAAGGAATCTTTTGCTCTGTTTTATTCCTAACTCTGAGTTGAGGTTGCTGCCCTTCTACAAAATCTGTAGTCAGTTCCAGAGATGAAAAATACACAACCTTAAATTTTCGTCGCATGGCCCTTCACCTCACCCCACCCCACCCTGCTGCATTCCTTGCTCCCACGGCTCCCGGATTCCAGTTCCTTTCAGGTCTCTCTCCCAAACTCCTCTCGTCCTATTCCATCCACCAAAACCACCTCGGTCGAGAGGGACTGAGATGGAATATTTAATGACTTGCAAAAACATAACCAAGATTCTCGGAAATCCAATTCCGAAGCTGTAAATCCCATGATTCTTGAGGAACAAACAGAAACAGCAGATTTTAAGTCCCCATTGATTATTAATTTAGAATTTCTGTTGATGAGGCAGGTTTGAAACTTGACGATGACGAAGTTTTCTCTCCCAAAATTCTCACTAGTTTATCTCCTAACAATTGGGAATCATTCGGCCAAATGTCCTAGATATAATAATTTCTTTATATCCTCAACCTTTGTGTTTCTGTCAACTATGGCTTGCTAATTCAAAAGGTCAAATACCCTCAGTTATTTTAGAAGTTAACAATTATAAGAACTTTTCACTAATTCAAAGGAGAAAATATATGCAATTCTGCATTTTTGCTTTCTATCAAGGTTTCTCCAAAAAAATCCAACATCCAATTTAATAAATCAGATATGCGCGGAGGTCCAAAAATTAAGCATTAGGGTTCTTATTTATAACATATTGATTATTGTATACTGATATCTAGAAATTAAGGTTGCAAGTTTTCAAGTCCATTCAAATTTAGAGTAACCTTGTCTTGAGTTTTAGAAAATTGAGGAGCTCAAAAAAATTTATTTATAGAGACTTTTGAAGGAATTTTGATTTTGAACTGTATGTAGTTAACAACAGTACTCACCCTAGAAAAATTTTCCCAGAATAAATCATATTACGATTCTCTTTGTGACCGGCTCAACCGTCCGTCAAGAGTAGGGTTTACATAATTTACATTCATTTTATTTCCAAGGTGCTTTGAGGTGTCTTGAGAGAATACACAGCTGTCAAAGGTCTTTAACACAGGAATTAAATTATTTTCATTCATCCGGTAAGTAATTTTCGTTTCGAAATCTGGAATAAATTTTGGAGAAGCTTGATAGGGCCCTCAACCTTGAGAATGGCAGAAAACCATAAAAAGACCTTCCTCACACATAAAAATTCTTTCAACCAGTCTAGCTAAGCGAGCTCATATGACCACTCCTAATGCCTCATCAAAATGTCAATGTGTTCAAAAAGTCTTAAATGCAGAAAAATTATACACCTGGCCTAAAAATTTCTCATAATTAGAACTTGAGTCCTCTTACAGTGACAATACGTTAAAGATCGCACTTTATTCATCAATTTATTTTCACTGAGACCATACATTTCACAGCCCTTTTGTCCAAAGCAAGAACAAGAAGTCAATGGAGGAAAGACAGAGCACCAGCACTTACCAAGGTAATGGTAATATATATATTATGCATGTATGGTGATTGTATATAGAAAGTCTTTGTATGAGATACTTGTAAACCTATATGTAGTTTGTTACATTATGCTTAAAGGGTTAATTACAAATCACTTGACATTTTTTGTGTAGAGAATGTTTTTACAACCTCATGGGTGGAACTCAATTACTCCAAGTAAATACAGTCAAACCTGTTTTTAGGGGTCACCCACAGGGAATGGCATGGTGGCTGCCTAACCCCTAAATCCCAAGATTTGATTTTTGATTCTCCCTTCTAGCTGCTACACAATTTCTTGTTAATAAGTTATGATAATTTGGTGTTAGATCAAGATGACAATTTCAACCTGATAGGTTTGAGTATTCTTATTACCTGTTTACTGAATATCGCTTGGATATATTAAGGAGAAGTTGCATGTTAATCATGTCTGTGAGTTGAAGGGTTAATACAGGTTGAACACTAAATACAGGTTCCACAGAATTGGAGAATTACAAAAAATACCATTTATGCCATAATTGATCACTTAATGTACAAAAAATAGCTCAAAAATACTTCAAAAATTGATTTTGGGAGAGAAATGTGGACCAAATTTTACTTGAAATATTATGTGTAGTTTTATTTGTGTAGCAAGTGACCATTTAGTACAGGTGGAAGACAATCGAAAAAGGCTGTTGGGACTCACTCTAAGGTGACCGCGACAGCTTAATAGAGGTGACTGCTTAATAAAGAGGAAATTTGGGACTTTGACAATAGACCTCTTAATACAGGGTGACTGCTTAATATGGTTCCACTTAATACAGGTTCAACTGTATGCTGAAGCAAATTTTGCCCTTAAAGCATTTTCTTTCCCTTCAGCTCAAGCCAAATGAACCTGAGGAAACTGAACAAAGAAAAGCCTATGGTGGCCACAAAAAGATCAAAGCCATACAAGTAAACCGTGGAATCTATGCATGGAATTCTCTAGGTATCATGTTATAATAACACTATTGTTACAAGGGTAACTTAAATATAAATTGATTACACTCATTCTAGGAAATAAACAATTATTCTGTCTAGTTAAAATGTCTCAATAAGTTCATAAGACCAAACCAAGCCAAAAAAATTTCACAAAGAAGTTAGGGTGACTTTTGATGCATTTACTGTCAGTAGTTGTATTGTCCACCAAAATGAACATTACAAAGGGGTCCCTGCACCTAATTCATGTTTTGCTGTAAAACAACAATTGAAAACTCATTGTGTAGAGCCTCACATCTTCAAATTGTTATAATTTACATTAAACCCTTTCACATTCAGGAATTTCTCCCCTCTCCCCCCCCCCCCCCCTCCCCCCCCAACCCCCTTGCACTTTTTATTTTTTTGGCTGAATTGCTCAGCTCCTTAAAGTGCATTTTGTTTTGTTTATCTTTGTAGATGTAGAGTTTGAATGTCGTATCATAAGTGTGGTTCATAACACAGCTCATAAAGACTTCAACCAAGAAGGTGTGATGGTCAAAGGGACCATTGTTGAAGTGGACCCAAGTCCTTTTAAAACCTGGTAAACTGTTAATGTTGTGTTTTGATTAGTATTCATGATCTCCACACTGCTCTCTTTACATTTCCTATGGTACTGACACAGAGAATTTATGTGGCAATCAAGAGCTTCTCTCGTCAGTGATCATTTCCTATATTCTCTTCCATTTTGTGAACATGCTAGCTTTTGGAAAATTGACTATTACTTCAAAGAGAAATTACATTTAAATCATTTTCTGAGATTTTTTGTCTTTTTTTGTCTACTGTTAATTCCAGGTACATAACCCATTACCAAAAAGAAGACTCTTCACAAGAGGTTGGTAGTGTTTAATTTGAATTGATGATAGTCAGTAGACTAACAGTATGTTGGTAAGATTCCTTTGTGGCTTTAGAATTTTTGTAATAAGCTCTGATAATTTGGTTTTTATTACCAGTAATCAATATCCTCTATTTTTTTAATATTTTTTGTTTCCTCATATCACCTTTCTGGAAGGGAAAATGTCTCAAACATCTGGATTATTCTTGTTCTCATTCAGTTTCAAGTGTGATTTTCTTATTTCCACAGGCTAATTCTTCACTTGAACATCTCATGCCATACCCGAACAAGGGAAAACTTTATGGTGAGCCCACAAAAGATTTGGTTTCTGAGACTTGTTGGTCTTGAAAGAGTTTGTTTTTTTGTTCACCACCATGATCTTGGGTCAGGTTGGCCTGCATATAGCCACCGTCTCATTGGAGGAGAGGGGTAACTGTACACAGTCTCAAAGAGGGTGTGGTTATCAGGGGAACGACAAGAGCGTATCGACGTATCGCTCCGTGTGTACCTAGGTTTTCGAGGTTTTCAAATTTCTGACTTTAGTTATCATAAAAACTTATTTAGATTATAGATTACGTATTTTAGAGGCCAGCTGGCAGGTCTGAATACAGGTGTGGAAAAATAGTACGTTTTGGTCTGAAATTGGGCCAAGATTTAGAGCACCGGTGGACAAAACCGGCCATTTTCCCTCACCTTTTTTTCCCTTATTCACTGTCACTGGTTGGAAAGAGGCGTTATGACTCAGCTTTGCCTAAGAAAATATTTGAATAACCACAGAACATCCGCCCTGACTAGAAATCGACTAACAGCCCTTGGGTCTCCAAGGGTGCTCTATGTCAGGCACGACTTTTAACTGCCTGCCACTATCTTGAATCGATCTTATGTGAAAGTACTTTCCAGAGAGTAAAGCAGAAATTCATTGGAAATGAACCCAAGAGAGTGTCTGATATTTTGTTTGTATTGCAGCTAAAATAACATCACGGCCAGGTCAAATTGGATTTTGTAATGGGTACATCCTTGAGGGAGATGAGTTGGAGACTTTGTTCAGCACGCGTGAAGACTTAAGGCCGTCATCGGACAAAAGCGCGCAAGGACGATGATCATACCATGGATTATCCCGTCATCCATGGGAAAAACTTCTAAATTTTGTGCAATCCTTCCTCCCAATCTTTTGGTCCTTCAGCCTTCATTTGATAGCGGGTGCAGGGGAAGGAATTGTTGTTAACGCTTTACAGACTGTAAATAGTTAATAAAGGTGGGAAACATAAACTCGGGCTTAGTCCCTCGATTTCTGCATGCGAGCAGCGCGAGTGCGTGAGAGGTCCGCGAGGGTTTTCGTTTTTGATGACAGACCCTCTCAGACCCTCAGTACGCTCCCCTCCCTTGCTAGCTGGATTCCTGCGCGCTTCGCCGCAATTTTGGTTGCGGGTGTGATCGGATGTGGTCCTATGGGTTTGATTTTCTCTGTATTTTTGGATCTCGATCTTTGGACCATTCCACGAACAACGGCTAGTGATCGGCCCCAATGGTCTCGGGGTTTTTTCTCAACCGATAAAACTTGATGTATTAACATCGTGATCAAGATTTCACAAAAACTCGTGCATCGTCGTACAAACCAGTAAATTTTTTATTAACATTATTTCCGAAGTTTGCATCACTTCTTCACGGAAACAGCTGGAAAACCAAACTGTCTTTATAAAATTATAGTCGAACTGTACATTATTTAACTCAATTTAATTGTAATATAAAGTCGATCTGATTAACAACAACTGGAAGTTTACCAACCTTATTATTCGTGCTGAAAAAATATAAATTTTCTATAGCATTAATATACAGCATAACCTTCATGAAACCCTCAATTTAGCCAAAAATAGTTGATAAATTGTCAGTCCTTTAGTAAGAGTACACTGCTCAAACCTTACTTTTTCAAAGAAGGCATTGCGCTCATACTCGTACTGAAATACATAAGCTTTGAACAATCATCGAGACACGTCTAAAAATTTGTGACCTCGTATTCTTTCGATCTACTCATAATACCCACTAGTACACAATGAGTATGAAAATTAAGAGAGGCCGTTGTTTCACACTGCGAAAACGACATAGATATCTAGAACGCAGTTTGTGTAAGAAATGACGACACAAGTTGACAAAATTCAAACTACTAGTAAAAAGAGGGGTTTATTGAGGTAACATCCTCAAACAGACTTGATGTGTTACATTAACTCCACATGTTTAATTTTTTCGGCTCTCCTGATTTTACTATTTTTTTTATATTCCAATATATTGTAAAATCTGAAAATGTTAATAAAATATACTATTTGTATGTTTGTTTGCCTCCGTTTGAAGTTTTCTCCTGTAGCTTTTCCTCTCAAAACAATATTTTTATGAGCATTTGTAGGTTAAGTCAAGTAAAGTTGCAAAATTTTCTTTTTCTTACGGACACGAGGCGCTAGATTTAATTTAGCGAAGGAGTCACGCTGGAAGACTGATCTCTCGTGCGTAGCAAGATGAGTTTATTAGATTATGCTTCTTCTTTAAAAAGACATACTGAATCTCTGAAATAATTCCATAACTTACCAACATGGCGGTACACAAAGGAAACGCGGCACAAACCCTTGGGGGCCGCATAACAGTTTACGAAGAAGTGCCATATTGAGCAAATAAAGCAAAAAATAAAATTTCGCGAAATTGGCACGATCAAGGATAAAAGGCGCGAAATCCCGAGGAACGCCTGCGGAGAACAACACGAAATATCGAACAGGTTGTACACATGAAAAGTTTGAAATGGTGTAAGATCTAGAATAGTTCGAAAATATAAGACGAAACCTACTGATAAGGCAAAACAACCAAATTATGTTTTTGGGTCGATTCATCGTAAAAGCAAACTCACCTGGCACTTCTCTTAAATTTACCACATATCAGAAATAGACAACTTATTCATAATGAAAAACATGAGTCCTAACGGTCGTGCGTTCAGTGGATACGAGTATGTCTTAAGCGCTGTCTTTTACGAACTGTGCAGAAAGAACGGTGGCTCAGTTGGTCAAAAACGCGTTCCGAGCTCAGTTGAACGTTTTTATAACAGACACAATGCAACGTCGGCAAATTGCGCAAACACGTTCGTCGGCACGCATCTGCAATGCGCACTGGTAGCAGAACCTATGACCGCAAATCAACGCGGCGTCTTTAGGCCTGTCCATGCAGATATCGCATGTGGTAGAGACTTCCACCTTTTCCGGCTCCTCACCGCGATCTGAAGTGCTCTCTTTAATAAACGGGCTAAAGTTGAAAGAGTTAAACCGTTCAACATGGACGGCTTTACCTCCCACTTCGCTAGTGTCAAACGAATTCTCGTCATCTTCAAGAGTGCATTCAACTTGCTCGTTATAATAGCCCTGCTCGTTTAGTTCCTGATCTTGATTAGCTGGATACAAATAATCGTCATCGTTAAAATCGTTAAACTCAGCGTACTCGTCTACCTGTAACGTTTCAGCAATGAGCTGGTCACTGACAATCTGTGCTTGACCACTCATGGACCCTTCAACAGCTGGTTCCGTGTGACACACAATCTTCGGTTCATTTTGAACGGTACTCTTGAACTTCCGTGATTTGGAAGCCTCCCCATTCCCTGGGGAGCCGAGCGCCGGCCATTCGTCCTCGAAGTTTCCCTCGCTCGAACCTTCTTTAGAAAGAGCAATGTTGACGAAATCAGCGTTTGCGGGAGACTTAGTCTTCTCCAGGATGGCGGCGTAAGATCTGGAGTTTTGCGGCTTGGGTTCTACCTGTACCGGCTCAGGTTTTGCAGCAGGACTCGGCGCCGCGCGCTCTAGATACCTGTAGGACGGATGGCGGAGCTCGCATCGTTCCCCGCGGTGGCATGTTCCCCAGATCATAAAAGTAGGACAGTCGCGGATGAAAACAACTGATTCATTCTCGAAATTGCGATCTTGTTCAGCGAACTCCTTTTCCTGTCTTCTATCCATCATTTCCTCCCATTTGCGACCGAATAATCCGTTTACTCGAGACACGTTCCGCCCTGGAGTGTAATTCAGATAATCTCGTCGGCTGGGATCGTTCAGGTCTAAGTTGTCCAGCGGTCTGTCTGGCACACGCACTGGATATTTTGGATGGGCAATTCTACCTCGTAGCTCGGGATCGATCACGAAATGCCTTTCAGAGGTGATCCGCAGGTCTTGCCGACTCGATGAGGAACCAAATTGGACCCGTCTCATCGGCGATTCCATCTCTTTTTCTGTTTGCGAGAAGATTTTTATCTGCGTTTCCGGCTGAGTATCAGATTTGTCCCCAAAAACGGCGCCTTGTTCGAATTCTCTGTTATCCCCACTTGGATCCATCGCTTGAAGGCCGTGATCTTCTGCAAATGGAGAAGCGAACAAAATTTAGCAACGGCGATGCAAAATGCGGATGTTGATGTTTTAGGAACAATATCGCGTGATTATTTTGGGGGTAAAAGTTAAGGTTGGCAATTGAAGTGGTTAAACGCTTACTTTAAAAAAAATTAAAACAATTTTCAAATCGAGTTTTTCCAGTCCAAGGAATTTGAACCCTGACAATTTAGTCAATTAGAGAGGCACTAGCACTCAAGGACAACCCGCATTTGCAGAAGTACACTATAATGTAAAATTGTGGAAGCAGGGCCTGCGTGCAGGCAGCCCGGAGCAGTAATCTCAATAACCCTTCGCGTTTCAACTCAAATGTTCGCCCCCTTCACAAATTCAGAATTTGTCACAACCAACTCTTCAGGATATTTATCTTTACTTTTTTTCGAATTTCAACCGAAAAAAAATTTATATAGGAACGAAAGATCATAGATCTTCACCTGAGAAGCGTTCTTCTTTTCTGCCGAAAATGTGACCGCTATGTCGCCTTGCCGGGTAAACGTCCACATTTCTTTCTGGATCATCTTTCAGAGTGTTTCCGGTTCCTCTTCTTCCTCCGTTGTATGGTCCGTTATTTTCTTTTCCATTTGTCGTCCTATGCCGATCTGCAAATCATGAACAACGTTACAGAAGGCAGCGAAGATTATGTACTTACAAACCAAATTTTATAACCGATAGCCAAAGAAATTCAAGCAAGAGAAAATTGCGCATACAAAGAAAAAACATACGCGATAGTGGCCCTTTCCCCTCCTTCAAAGAAAAAAAATGCAGGCAGTGGCTTTCTGAATATTTTACCTCGACTGAAAAAGGTTAAGAGAATGAGCCCAAAGGAAAAATTCCTGTGCTTAAGACGCTATTTCAGAATTCCCGTCCTTCCATTGGCTTTCGAATGAATCTTTGACCACACAACTCCAGGCATTCGTGCTATTTTCGATATTTGGATCAACATCAGTATCTGGGCAACTGCCCGCCTACCCCTCCCCTAACCCAACATTAACCCTAAGTTGTTATCAATTGACTGTTGTTGAGTTAGGGGAGGGGTAGGTGGGCAGTTGCCCAATCAGAATTCTCACCTTTGCATACATTCCCCGTCCACACCCTCTTTGCCTCGCTATCGAGTAATGTTTGCTTCTGCACCTCATCCAAGTGCTCAGTTTCTTTCGCAGCATGTTTAATTAAGTCTTTCTCAACGAAATCCTCTCTGTCGTGAGCCTGAAGTAGTCTATGCGTATTTCCCGGCAACTTATTCCCTCTTCTGGTAGTTTTGTCATGGACTACGCAGACCGAACCAATGGCGTTTTCAAAAAGCTTCGACGAAAATAATTTCACCGAGCTCTTGACCTCACGAATTTCTTTCACAGCGTCTACGTTTTCTAAATTGTCAGAAGCCCTTCTTGGAGTAACAACACCGTTGTGCTTTTTAACATATTTCTCCTCTTCAACCTGGGTCGTATCACCATTTACTCCACGTTCCCTCTTATCCTTAGAAACAGTTTTATCACTGGGATTATCAATATCTCTTACCCCATCGACCACCCCGGATTTTTCAGAATCCTTCCTGCTCTCGTCAACATGTTTTGAGTTAAAATGTTTGTTACGCCTTTTGACGTCTTTATCTTGCTCCACGGCTTTCTTAGAAGCGGTATCTTCCTTCTTCTTTTCAGTGTGTTTCATGACACCACCATCTTGATCAGCACCATCACTTACGACAAACTTGTTACGTCTTTTAACATACTTCTTGTCACGCTCAGCAGGTCGAGAAACTTGGGGAATTTCAGAGTCATTAGCACCTCGCTTGCAAGCGCTCTCTAGCTTGGGACCTCCTCTTTGCGGGGTTTTCTTACGTCTTCTACCGCACTTTGCTTGTTCCACTGGAGTAGATGAGTCAGGAATTTCACAACCATGGTCACGTCCCGAAGGTCTCCTCTCCAAATCTTCCTTGTCTCTTCGGGGTGTTTTGTTTTGCCTTTTGACGAAAGGAGCTTCATCATCAACACAGTTCTCGGGGGCTCTCTCTCTTTCTTTACTTATGTCTTTTGACAATTCACCATTTTCATGATTTTGTTTTCGCGGCTTCTTTTTACGAACCCTTCTCTTTTTTATCTCTTCTTCTTCTGCTGTATGCAAGGATTTTCCGGGCACATTTCCCTCTCTTGTCCTCGAATCTGTGTGTTTATTATAATTATTTCAGACAAAGATTGAATCAGACAGAACACATGGTCTCCTATATTAAGAACAATAATAATAACAATGTGACTGATTATGATAACAATATCAATAACACTGATAATATAAGGCTATTACCATGTTCTATTTTATTAATAATTCTTAAAATAATAATATTAATAATGATTTTAATATATGGCATTGGTACTAAGAGCTATTTTTAATAATAATTAAAATAATAATAAAATATAGGATATACTATTAATAATTAATCATTAATAATGATTTTAATGTATGGCATTGGTACTAAGAGCTATTTTAAATAATAATTAAAATAATAATAAAATATAGGATATACTAAAACAGTGGATAGCAGTGAAGGCACACTCTGATTGGCTATTCATTTCCAAATATCCTTTACTGTTTACCTTCAAGCAACTCACACGGGATTTGCACCCGAAAATGTTCCCCTATTTGCAGAAAAAAATTAGTTTGAATCATCCTTTTGTTTTACACCAATTCAAATCTTCACCTCAATGTCGGTGTCTAGTGGGGAAGGAGGAGATGAGGGGTTAACCATTTAACTCCTAGAAATGATTAACATGCAGCTTCTCCCTACAATATCCATATATAATCCAGCAAACAGGTAACAAGAATACCCAAACTTAACAGGAAGAAGTTATTTCCTTGATCTAATATCAAATTCTTGTAACTTGTTTTAAAGGAAATGTATATCAGCTAGAGGGGAGAATTAACAAGCAGATCTTGGAAGTTTAAGAGTTAAACAAGATTCCTCACCATTAGTTTTGTTAAAATGTCTCTGTTCATGGTGGATTTTTCTGCGCATCTGTTGACAAGTATACATCACCAACAATAAAACACAGGTGACAAAAATTAGCTTTAAAGAGGAAGGAGGGTCTTGAATGTCATACTCACTGTGAAAAAAAAAAAAAAAAAAAAAAATGTAAGGAGGTGTTGAAAATAAATGAATTATAATGTCCAAGAATGTAAATATCAGGGATTTGCTAGAGAAGGTGGACAAGACACTCTACAAAAAAAAGATCAAATGACCCCAAATGCCCGTTCTTCCAGTTTTTACCTAAGGAAAAGAACATGAGGTACAATCTTAGAAATAAGTCAGTCTCTGTCCCTAGAATCTACACTGACAGGTTTAAGAACATTTGTAGTAACAGAATAATTTTTATGTAATATGTAAATAGTTTTTTTTTTTAGTTTATATTGTAACTTAGGATATGTGATTTCATCTTAAGAAATAAAGATTATTATTATTATTATTATTATTATTAATAAACAAGATGATCATATTAAATTCTTGTGACATAGGACTTTCTTCAAAATTTATTTTAAATGTCTTATTTCTAAATCTGGACTGAAAGGCCAAAGTTGTTCTCAATCACATTTAACTGTCACCCCAACGAAAGAGGCTCTTGATTGTTAAACAAATTCCCCTCACCAGCATCTTAGGAAATGTGTAGAGCACAGTATGAAGAATATGCATGTTGATGCAAAGGTATCAAGGGTGAAGTGTTTATTATTTATCAAAAAGAAAACCCTTCATTTTTTAAGCTAATTTAAGTGCACTATGGTACCCTGAATGCCTTTGATGGTGCCTCACAAAAAAAAAAGGAGATGTTACTGTCTACATTCATGTACGACAGAGAGTGGCACACCCAGAGTGACCTTTGTAAGGGGAAGTAACCAATAATTCTTTATAATCAGAGCAGTGTATGTCAGCAGCATGGATTTCAAGAAAATTAATTATGTGGACATCACTGTACTCAGATCTAATAATATGCTTTGCAATTCTGCATTTCAGAGTTCTTTCAAAAAGCCACACTACTCCAGCAAATACAAGCAAAATCCTTGACCATGCTTTGAAATTCTACGGCCCCAGCCAACTTCTCCAAAGAGCAAGGAATGTAACTTATAAAAGACAGTGCAGAAATACAGAGTTTGTCAAAAAAACCAAAGTGGGTATTCACATTCCATGGTATTAAAATCTTCCACTATCAAGCTTCTTGAACAAATTCTCTTTGAACCAGACAGCTTGGAGCCCACAAGAGCGACAAGTTTGAACTTAAACTGAGAAAGGTTTGCTTCTGTAGTTAAAAAAAAATAAAGAGGACCCACATCTCTGATTATAGTATTTTTTATATGCTTGTGAGAAAGGTGATATGTTATGGAACAGCCTTTCCCATGCACTCTGATCAAAAGTTTCTTTAAGCAAATATAAACGTAAACTGCATCATTACAGCCTTGAATGAGATATGGCATCATTGAAAAGCAGCTTTGGTGATAAACGCGTTTCACCTTCTTGTTTATCATATCCCCTTCCCTTCCCTCCCCTCCCCCCTCTTTTTATTATATTTCCTCCCACTCAGTGCAAAATGCAGACTGCAGATTGCAGACTGCAAACAAGGTACAAAATGCAGACTGCAGATTGCAGACTGCAAACAAGGTACAAAATGCAGACTGCAGATTGCAGACTGCAAACAAGGTACAAAATGCAGACTGCAAACTGCAGACTGGGTACAAAATGCAGACTGAGAATCTAAACTGTTTTTTCATCGGATACATAATAACAAGTAATCTTACAATTTACCGAGCGTCACTCAATCGCTTTTCTGCGATCATCGTTCACGATGATTTGCACTATTGTGGAATATTCCTTGCCTGTTTCTTGATCACAATCGTTCTTGATATAATTTCAAGCCTTCATATAGTCTTCTAACTTTGCGCGCGAGTTGGTTGGTGTGATCTCTGTACAAATTTTACCAACTTAATAAAAGTAGATGTAGATATAGATGTAAATGAGATTCCAGTATTGAATATTTAACGCCCGCAATATTCGAGAAAAAATTGAGAGCTTTGCACGTGGTCCGTACTTTTTAATTTTTTTAACCGATATGTGTTCATTCTGTCGACAAAAATGCTGACCGAGACCAAAACTGTTTACTTTTTTGGTAGTTGTATCTCTTACCTGTTTGGTGACTACGCAAAGATTGATGGTTCTGACTGAATGCCCGGCAGTCAAAAATTTTCACGCAACTTCTACCGCAAGGTTCTTTTAAGAACTGCTATGAGATTCACCTTTCTTGAAAAAGATTTTCACGTAATTCAGAGAATACTTCCGACTGCCGGTTATTAAGGACCTTAAGCAGTTAGGACGGCTACGCCAAGGAAGACTTCGATTAAAAAATGAATTTCTGCCTTTAATTAGAATTTCAAAAATGGCTGCATTTGTTTACCGTCTCATACGGTGCCACACCTCAACTTCAACATAACGTATGAAAGAAGCGTTGAATTCCAAATGGAAATTAAAATAATTTGCCGTCGCGGGTACTGTTGGCAGACGACGCAAATTGTGATTTTACGTTGTTGTTTTGAATGGGACGCGAAATGTACAAAGTTTTAAAACGCACGTGCTGAGCTACTGTTCTGCCAATTAGATCTTTTGTTTTTCCATGTCCTCGTTGCCGTCGCCACGTGATTTGCTCAAGGTCCCTATTTAGTCCATTTAAGACCGTGCACGACAGTCTGTTCTAGAGTCGACAAATCGAGCGATTTTGTAATTCGATCAGCTCGGAAAATTTGTCCATTAAATAACTTTAGGATCACAAGGGAAATCTAAACAAACATCGAATACTGTATTACCAATAGGTTTATTTGAGGTCTTTTGTACTGTTTCTCGCTAATTTTTACAGAACCTGAAGGTGTTCTGATGTACCGACCCTAGGTGTCACGCCAGAGTTGTCACGAAGACAAACCATGATTATGTGGTTCAAGCTTGATCACTGAAAAATCAACGCAATTTTTAGTATCGCTTGACATTTCTGAGCAAATATCTGATACTCGGAGAATTTGTCCACTAAAAAACTAAATAAATTTTTGGAACCGCTTGACATTCCTTAACAAACATTTGATACTCTTAAGAAGTTTGAAAGAACCTTTCAGCGCAAATTGCGTGAAAATTTTTGATTGCCGGGCATTTAGTCTACTTGAGACGGTGCCCGGCTGCCGGGCATTCAGCCATTGCGAATATCAATATGTGAAAATCAGACCATATGAAGGCTTGAAATTCTATTAAGAACGATTTTGGCCGCTTTGTTAAAAACCAAATGCAATAGCTGCTTTGTCAGAGATAAAGGTAAAATTTCCGCACAGCCCCATACTATTGTAAAGTAAATCTGTTTTCCCAATGGCAATGTATTGCTTTTTTTATTGTCTTCTCTATCCAAGAACTGAATACATAATGAAGTATGGGGCTGTGCGGAAATTTTACCGCGATAAAAGATATCAAGAAACGGGCAAGGAATATTTCACAATAGTGCAAATGATCGTGAAAGATGATCACGAAAAAGCGATTGCGTGACGCTCGGTAAGTCGTAAGATGACTTGTTCTCAAGACGAAAAAACAGTTAAGATTATCAGTCTGCGTTTTGTACCCAGTCTGCAGTTTACGGTCTGCAGTCTGCAGTCTACATTCTGTTGCTAGTCAGCATTTTGTACCCGGTCTGCAGTCTGCATTTTGTATTAACTGTATTCCCTCCCCTCCCCTCCCCCTCACCGACTGCAAAAGTAAGCTCTTGGAGTTGTGAGTAATGTCTTCGGCGGCAAAAATAAACTCGAAGCAAAAAAATGAATGTGAGGGTGGAGGATTCAATATTGGAGAAAACCTTTCCACAGGAGTTTAAATAATAAAGAGCTGCGCGAATTTGTTAAATAAATTACACTTACAACAAACATCAATTCGGCCACCAGTCGCTGATCGTAGCTTTGCAGCTAAGAATCGAAAACAATATCCACGTTTACCTCTAGTTCAAAACACAAATAAAGCTTTTCATGCAATAGCGTCAGAATTCTTAAACTTGTCTGACCTCAAAGTCTCAAAACATTTCGAAAAAATAGCCTTGAACAGCACTTCAGCGAAAATGAACAACGGCAAAGTTCTTTACAACGGACATTGTATTCTGTCAATAGCCCGGAAAGTTTTTGAGTAACTGTAATAAAAACATGTGCTCAAATCGAAATTTTCTTACCTGTTTATAATCAGCGATGGCAAATTTATGATATGAGCAACCTCTAAGACTTGCAAGTAAATTACTTTGCGAACATAGACCACTACAGCCGTCACTTCGGGATCTGCCAAACGACGGTTCCCCAGAAGTTCCCAGTCCCTCGCAACGCGCTATTTTTATTAGTACAATGCTTCCTCGCTTCCTGTGCTTTGAAGTTCTTTTCGTTTTAGTTTCGTTATTTGGGTTTTTCTTTTTCCAAATGCTTTTACTCAAACGTCACCAACTGTATCCGGTTAAAAACTCTCTAAAAATCTTAGGGTAATAAATATTTTAAAGGGGTTATCTTCGGGATACGGGATAATCGAGGAAAAAATTCTAGGATATGGGATACTCAAAAAGGAACAGCTCGTAAACGCGATCCCACAAATGTTAGCACATCTAAGGAGTGATCGAAAACTTTTGTGTTCCACAACTAATCGCCTACATCACAATCAGCAAATGAATGTTTTCTGTTCACAAACAGCGAAACTCGATACCACTGGCTGCACTTCTGTTCGAGAAGAAAATTCCAGACACCCTTCCTGTTATGATCCTCATTTTGAGATCTGATCATTCAGAAAAACTCTCAACTTACTGCCGTTGTAATGATGTGTGAAGATCACGTTACCGTAATCCATCTGATAGGACGTTCTATTTGATGTTAAAATTCTATCGAAGTCACGGATCATCGCTACAACATCCGATCCACGATCATGAAAGGCGTTGAGCAGCTTTAACTTTCCAGTGTTTACTACTAAAACTTTTCACTATTCGCATATAAGATTTTACCACTCATAATGGACTATTTAATGCGATCTACAAACGTTCATACCTTCCATTGGTCCCAATAAAAAATAGTGTGGACATTGTTCCTCTGCGAAGTTAAATAGATTTGCATAGAGCACACATTAAAACGTGTCAATTATCATATCTTGATTGTTACTTAGTCTTGCGTTACTGACCGAAGACAAAAGAATACATAATCCCGTCACGTTTTATGCATAGTACACGCTATGTGTATTGCACATGACTAGTTTTTGCCATTATTTTGCCATTATACGCTTGTTGGTTGCTAATACAATCAATTTACCTTTGCTTTGCTGTGTTATTGCTTTATTATTCTTTGCTGGCCACACCTGTAATTTAGTTCTTTACACTGCAAGAGGTCTACATAAACAAAACACAACCATCATGACCTGCCGAAGATGAAGACTTGAGTAAAATGTCACATACATGCAATCTAAACAGATACATATCTACAAAGTTCATTCAAGACGCAGTAAACTCAAACTATGCAGGTAAAAACTAAGTTTAAAGACATCTTGGAAAGGATGTTAGCTTTACGTAAAAACTCACCTTCCCCCCCCCCCACCCCAAGAAAAAAATGTAAAAACATATACATACATATATACGTACATAGTAAAGATTAAAATCTGTCTGATGATCGCGTAAGTTATGTCTTATTGATTTGTCTAACTTTCAGATATACATACATATATATATATAGAATATGCCTCAAAAAATAAGTTAACTAAAAACATCACTGGTAAAATTCCTAATTCTATGTATTTAAGTAATTAAGATGTAAAAATGTGACACTGAAGTTTGGATTTAAAAGCTAGAGAACATCGGCTTGTATTAGTAAATTAATCGGTAAGTCATTCCAAACTCTGATTATGCGGATAACAAAGGGTGTAGTAGTAACAATTTTCTCTTACAAGATTGACATAAAGTTGTTTGTAGGAATGATTGGCTTTTGTGCACTTAACTGACGCAAATTTAAAAAAGTCTTCAAATTTCAAGTGATATGAGTCAAACAAGCAATATTCAATTTGATATTTAATGGATTTTATGTGATACGGTTTCAAGTCACGCGTCAGAAAAGCGTTAGTGTTCAGAGTAACAAAGCAATCCGTGCGTGTCTTCGCAGTTATAATATAAAACAAGGAAGTTTACATTGAAATTCATTTGTGAGGGAAACGTACCGATCTATATATAGTTATCAAAAAATCAGAAAAGTTGAGTCATCAAGGAAACTATTAAAAAAAAAATTGCAAGATAAAGGAAGATTTTCACCCATCAAGTGCTTACAGAGGAATTTCTTTCGAAGCAATTGCAGATTTCTTTTCAAACTCCGATATAAGTCAACCCAGAATTCATTTCTCCTTTGTTTCGTTTCTAATATCAGGTTTTTGCATTTCACTGAAAGCGACAAGATGCATTAGTACCCGCCAACTATGTGGAAATTTTGTTTTGATGCCATTTTACCCTGGTACAGGTTGGCTGAATCCCAGCGTCCATTCTGACTCCAGTATTGGCAAAGTCGGTTTTTTTATAGAAATATCACTGACTTTTTGTGTTGTTTACGTCACCTGCAAGCGTCATTTACTGATAGACAGAGAATCATGGATAAGTTTTAACATTCTTACCAGAAATGGAGAAGCCAAAACATCAAATTTATTTTAGTGGGAATAACAAATCCCTTATTCGATGGTTTCACAAATGATACGAGCGAACATTTTGCACATTACCTTCGGGGCTCGGAAAAATACTACGCAACTTGCAAAATATCCGCACGGCGTGCGTATGATATGTTATACCATCGAATAAGATATATGTATTCCCCTTAAGTCAATAATACCTCGTGTGCGTTACTGACCACCTGCAAAATACCTGTAAAATCTTTCAAAAGATGAATTTTAAAAATTTCTGAATTAAATATGCAGTTTTCTGATAGCACAAACGCGCAACGTTCTATGTTGGAGGGGATATTTAACTGTCTCCATTATGGAATACTCCTAAAAGATGTTTTGTAAAGACAATCCCTGATTCATGAAAAATGTCGTTACTCACTTGTCTGATTATCTTATTTTCCGGATTTTGTGGGCAAGGTAAGATTAACTAACTCTTAACAGCTTACAGCCAGCAACTTAAAAACTTCCCTACATGCTGCTTTTACACTCTCTTAGTTTTCCTTTCGTGAGCTCTAAGATTATTACAGAAACAGACAAGCCTTTATATACGAAAAAATTTGTTTTCCCTCTGTGTTAGATCTGAGATAAAACAAAATTTTGATGATTTCCAACAGGCCGATTATGCTGGCTAATAAACAAAAAACCGCCACCATGGAGTTAAGAGAATTTTTAATAAGTGATGCCTATGTCGTGACTGCACAGATTCTGAGTTTTATTAGTTTTGGCGAGGCGCATTTTTGTTTATTTGTGTTTCGAATTTGTATTTGTTTCTTTCGTTTTTTCGTTTCTTGCGAAAATGAATCACCAGTTTGCCATTTTCATATCCAGTTTATCTGTGATAAATAAATGGAAGATTAAACAATTTAAAGACAATTTTTTTTATCACCTTAGAGCACTGCGATTTGATTCAACACACGCGAGGGTGATCAAAAACTCTATTCGAATACAGATGTAAATAAAATGTAAAATAAACAAGATTTCCTTAACGATTCTCTTGCAAACTGATTTCAGATAGGATACTGTGGTCCTCCATAAATGACAATTTGAAAATTTTCCCATGACCCCCCTTGTAATTGACAAAGTTACGATATTTTTAAAAGAAGGAAATTCTTGATGTGATTAGCTGCAAGCACAATTAACAATAAAAGTTTTCATTTAAGTTTTCTAGTTAAAGTGATTTCATATTTTATTTAACAGCATTGGCACTTCACGAGAGAGTTCTTGTCGAGAAGTTACTAGAGCATTATCATACGGGATTACGGCCAGTGGTCAAAAATAGTTCCCAACCGACACATGTCAACATAAGTTTGAGACTGGTGCAGATTTTTGAGATGGTAGGAGAAAGCATGAAAATATATGTAGGCACGTTTAGCGTGCAGGCGTTTAGCTTCGATTCAATTCATATGCATGTAATTGAACAATATGAGTGCCGCTATCACGTCTAAAACAAGAAAAAACACAGCTTTATCTTCAGTCTTCTCATTTGAATCGTCTAGGATGTCAAGAAACAAGTTATTATCACAAGTGTCTGGCTTAAACAGGTTAGTTTGAGCGCTCGTCAACACTTTGGGCTTATTGAAATTATTTCTCTATTCTGTGCTCGGTAATAACATAGCGCGGTGCGATCATCTTAAAGAAGGTAATCCCGAAAATAATTAATGTCGATGAAATTGATTGACGCTTCCTTAACCTTTCATGGATTCCTAATCAGAGTTTAGTTACGTGTAGTTTGACAATGGGATTTTAACACCCCGGTCAGTGAAAACCAAGATAACTTAATATTCTCTTGTAAAAAGTGATTGGCGACGGTCTTTGCGTGATGTTACCAAAGTTGCTTACGGAGTCTTCAAGCCAGTAACACAGCATGCAAATACATAACAACCAATCATTTTATCTCAAAGAAAATTTTTTTAAAAAAAACCCCATTCCCCGTTTCAATTTGTAAAACTAAAAAAAATGTAATCCTTCGTTACATGAACTATGTGTCAGCAGTGCACGGTGCGGAAAGAGAATTTGAAATGTACAGCGGGAAAACTTTATCCATCCTTGTGATCAAGGCTTTGGATTTTAACTTCACATGCCACTGAGTGCTTTATACTCTACAGGCTTGGTTTGATCCCGAGTTAAGATGGAACAAATCTCATTACGGTTGGATCGATGAGATCAGTTTGTTTCCTAATGATGTTTGGGTACCGGATACCGTCCTATTAAACAAGTAAGCTCACTGAGCATGCATATCAAACGATTATCCTTTATAATTATCCAACTGCACTTAGTACAAATATAGCACGAATAGAGTACAAATATCGTGCGATATTTTACGATTATTTTACGATTATTTGCGTTACGCTTCTCTATCCGCTTTCCTGTTCCCGCCTTATGAGAAATCAACAGAAAGACTTAGCAGGAAAAAATGCAGTTGGATAATAAATAACTTATTAGACGTTTTGATGTGTTATATCGCCCAGCATTTTTACTCCTTTGTATTTCGGACTCGCGCAACGGGCTAGTCAAAATACGGCACAACTCGTAAAAATACTCAACGATACTACACACCAAGACGTTTTATAAGAAATATTTTTTTAACCAACTGCACTTGGCAGGGTACAAATAACGCGCGAACTGAACAAAAATACCACGCGATATTGGAAGGTTGATTGTTTTGTCTTGCAAAAAAATTTGTCTATCCGGTCGGCTGCGCGTGCTACGCTTCTCTTTCTGCTTCACTTTTCCCGTCTTACAAGATATGCGCTTAAAATAAAGCAATTGGATAATAAATAACTTCTTAAACGTTTTGGTGTGTAGTATCGCTAAGAATCTCCACTCTTTGTTTGCGTTTTGACTCGCCTCACGGGCAAGTCAAAATACAGTACAACTAGCTCGTAAAAATACTCAGCGATACTTCACACTGAAACTTCTTATTAAATATATATTCATATTTTAGCTTAAATATCAGAAATTCACAATTTACGTTATTCGTGTGTGTTCAAAACTTGGTGGAAAACTGGTCGATAGGTTCTGTAAATATCAGGGAAGAAGCAATATCTGCTAAAAGGATATGTAAAACACTTGAAATTCAACTTAAAAATACCTTAGTAGCCCTTTGACCTTTTATAAAAATATCACCTCTTTCAGTGCTGATACCTACAAAGTGGGCAAACCATTAGGTACGCACAATCCCTTGCTGGTAACCTCTCAGGGTACAGTCCGCTGGCTTGCGCCGGTCATCCTCAAGAGCACGTGCAAGTTAAGAGTGAGGTATTTCCCATTTGACGAACAGTTCTGCAAGCTCAAGTTTGTTTCCTGGACGTATAGTAAAAGCGCATTAGCTCTGGAACCCGAGGACACAGAGATATTACAAAACTATACAGGTAATTTTATTTATCTTTCATTGCGTTTTTCCACCTCTCATATTAGGTCTCTTTTTTTTCGCCCACTAGCTAGGATGCAAATAACCGTGGACAGACGCAGCGGCAAAATGAGTGCATGCGCCATCACTTTTGCCGCTCTTTCCCGCCGACAAACAATATACGCACTAACTGTGTTTCAGGCCGCCGAAAAAGCTTTTTTTGCTTTGATAATGATTTGTACTCTTCTTTGGACGTTTTTCTATTTTCAGCTGAAAAGCTCGTTGACTTAAAATAAAAAATGCGTGCTTAGTGCCTGAAGGGGGTGAAAGGTTAATCTCGTACGTAGATCCTGCCGTATAACAGAAATGCTTGGCCGTGGATGGTCCAGGTACGAGACTGGGTGAAGGGACGCCTACACTGCGGGAACAGTCTCTCTTATTCCGTGGATTTTTCGTAAATGGAGGCTACGTAGAGTCGATCCACAAAGGCTTAATCCTGCCGGATAGATAGATAAATTAATAAATGCATATGTTCAGGGGAATATAATTATTTCATGAATGCCATTCTTTTTTATTGAAGTTAATTTCCGTTTATCTCATTTGATTTGTTTTGTCCTCTTTCTACCAAACAGTGCTATTATGAAAGCATTTTATCTTGTTTTACTTATAGAAAGTGGAGAATGGTACTTAAAGCGTGTGTACGCGCTAAGATCATCAAGCAAGCCTACTCATACCAACCAAGAGAACAAATCAGCAGTGACGTACATTATTCACATTAGACGCAAGTTCTTTTACTACTTCGTGTACCTCATCGCACCTTGCATGATGATATCATTCATGACGTTGATCTTATTCACCCTCCCCCCTGAGAGTGGCGAAAGAATGGTAGTGGGCGTGACCATTCTGTTGTCACTCACTGTGTTCTATTTGTTGGCTTCTACCCATATCCCTGAGACATCAGAAGTGGTACCACTGATTCTAAGGTAAGTTGAGAATGATTTCCGCTAATCACTTAGTTGATTAATTCATTTATAGTTTAAGAGATAAGAACAAGAAGAGCTTCTTAAGACACGAACAAAATCGCGCAAGTACTTCGCCGTACGTATCCACGAGTCTAAAAAAAAATTTACGTTCTCACAAAGACGTAGTTCAGTTCTATCACGATTCACAAAACTCTTTTTCCAATAATCTCGATGCATGGACCTAAAATGGCGCATCACAAAATCATAGTCACCAATAGTCTTCCCCCCCCTTACATACACACACACACGCACTCCGCCATTTTGAGCGGATAATCGCTATGCATGCATTGCACATGATAGTGTGAGGGTGTTTTTTTTTTGTTTTTTTTTTTTGCAGATACTACGTGTTGACTATCATTGAGATTTCAAGCGCTTTGGCTTTAACCTGCTGGGTTTTAAGGTTCCATCATTACAACACATCTATTGGAAGGATCCCAAACTGGGTCAGGGTATGACTTCTCCCTAATCAGTAGATACAGTATATTCCTTTGCTTGCTCATCAGGAATATGTGGTTCTCCTGAGTTCGATGCATTGACCCAAACTGGGTCAGGGTATGACTTCTCCTTATTCAGTAGATACAGTATATTCCTTTGCTTGCTCATCAGGAATATGTGGTTCACCTTAGTTCGATGCATTGAGCCTGTCTCTGTTGTTTTAAGGTATGCATATTCGGTTACGTTGCCAAAGCAGTGCTATACAAAGTTCCAGAAGGAATCTCCATGGCAACCGAATCAGTGGAAGAACAAGGTGGGATTCGAAACTAAAGATTATAAAAAAAAAGGTCTAACTTAACTTGTAACAAGAGGTATTATAATTTATGGTTTGTTTCTCTTCCGAGGAGCACTTGAGTCAGCGGCAGCTGCTACACTTTTGTGCTCACCAGAAACAAAAGAGAGATTAAAAATTTATTTATTTCAGGATCTACAGGGGGAGGGGGGGGGAGAGTTTTGAGAGGATCACATAGTTTTCAGGAGAAACGGAGGGGAAGTATATAATAACCTGTCTCTGAGGAAATTGCCTGAATTAAATGTTTGACAAATGAGGAACCCTTTGATTTCAAAATCATAAAAAGCCAGCAAGTCGAAATCTCAACCCAGCCCTTTCCTCCACTCTCTTGATGATTTGTCGCTGATTTATCACCAAACCGTTTGTAAGCATAACTTTTTTTCCAGAAAACAGAGACATCATTGACAGAGAAATCAACGGTAGCTCCTTGGCTCGTCGACGCCTTCCCAAGGAGCCTAGCGGTATTACGATGATGGCCGAACGGGAGCTGAAGAAACAAGAAGAAGGGAACATACAGGAAGAATGGCAGCTTGCCGCGCGCATCATCAATCGGCTTTTCCTTGTTGGCTATTTGATTGCCGTTATCTTATCCATATTTGGTATTTTCTTACAAGTTCCGGGAGTTTTCGTCTCTAGGCCCTCGCCGCCAACTTCTGACGAGGAGTAGCTGTGGTTGAATTTCTTCGTGTAAGTCAAACGGTGAACAAACACAACATTTAGTAAGTAGATCAACTGAGCCGTTCAGTATTTCAGCCAGTCAGTACGCTGGTCAACAAATCTGCATTTCAGTAAGCGATTAATTAAGTCAAAACTTGGTTTGTCAGTCAGTCACAGCCGTTTCGTTCTCAGTAATTAGGGAACCGTTTACGATACTATTACGGCGACGTGTGGTAGAACGTTGCCGAAAAACGCAGTATATTTCCCTCCGAGACTTTTTCTGCCAATTAATAGCTCGATACGTTTAACGTTTCCGAAGGTACGACATCTTCACTTCAGCACAACATGTAAATGTAGTGTTGAGTTTAAAATAATAAAGTGTCTAAATTGCTGTCGAGGTTTCCTCGCTAAGAGGAGGTAAAAGTTGGCGATTTCACGTTTTAGTTCTGTGTGGGACGGCTAAGAAATGTGCAAAGTTTTAAAACGCACGTATTTTTGGCAGTTGTTTTTCTCGTTAGGTCTTTTGTTTCACTAAGATTTAGTTGCCGTCGCCGTCGTGGTTCTCGTTAAGTCCCAGACTTAGTCAGTAAGTCAGTCATTACGTTTGTCATACCGAAAGATAGCTCTTAGTAAGTCACTTAGGCAGTGAGCCTGGCAAACCTTCAAGTAAATGGGCTCCTTGCCATTTCTCCTCTTTACTTAAACATGAATAGAACATCCCGAAGGAGATAAAGATCTAATCGTAAAGTAGAGATCAGGGGATGAAAATAAATGGATTTCTTGTTAAGACATATAATTGAAATAAAAAGATTAGATAGTCTAGAAAAGCCGATTTATTATCTTGTGATAGCTGCTATTCAGAGACACGGGTCACGAAATCTGATGGTCTGGGGTTCGACTTCTCGTGGAAATTACACATTTTTTGTGCCTCGCCTGCAATAAAAATACTTTTTAATCATATCATGACTATGTAATAGATATGATCTCGATGCGCTTGCACCTTAAGTTAAACTGTGAAATCCAATTCCCATTGGTGCATAAACATACGAAAAAAAGGTTCCTTATGATGGACGCTTGATTCTCACGATTGAATCATTTTTGACTAAAATCGCATCGAGCTCAAATCAGCTGAAGATTTCCCCAGGATCTTATATGAAAAAGTCTTGGAAGTTCTAAAGGGGAAATTATCACAGAATTTTCTCGATATCAACCCCTTATTTCACCATGAGAACTTTGACTTCGATTCATGTTCTCAGTCTTGAGCAGTCTACAAAAATGGTATTTCTGACGAATGAGTCTGCGAATAAGGCAGAAATAAATATTTTGTCGGCACGAGATACGACAAGGCCTGGGCCTTAGGCCCGAGCATCATGGGTAATGATGTAGTGGTATATAACGGAAAGTATAGCACGTGGTGTCCATCTAGGCCTCAGAACCAACCGTTCACCTCTGGCTGATGACAAATTTATTTTAGTTTGAAAACATATTTTCTTTAGCTGTGAAGCCTCGTAGGATGGGCTGCCAACTGCTCTGAGTTTGGGTCATGGTTCCTACCCAGATTTCCTGTCATGTTTTTTCCCCAAAGGGAGTTTTTTCTGGCAGGTTTTTTCTGGCCTCTGTATAACCGTAGTTATGTCCTTGTAAGCGGTTGCCCATCTCTGTTAATCCAGACTTGGTGAAGTTTGCATGTTAGTAATGTATACCTTTTTTTTTAATGTGTAAGGAATTGACTGTATATCAGGATTGTATATGGTATATCAGTTGCGAATATATGTATGTATGCATTCCCCGGACTATATATGCCTCGGGTTGGTTCTCGGCAGGCTTCCCTAAATAAACTTATTTGGTGTACACTACTGTGTTATTTGTTGTGTAGTGGAGACAAAATTAGAACTTTGAGGGTGTTTTTAAATACTGCCGCGCAGAAATAAGAACGTTGGAAAATTTTACCAATTGGGAAATAGCTAAAAATGACCGTGGCTTTCAACGGATCGCAAACAAAAACTGACTTAAGATTACGTTAGCCTGAAGGAAACGTGCACGAAAACAAAAAACAAAAGTGGCTAAACCACCTCGCACATCGGACATTTGATTAAATAGGAACTCGGCCACATTCAAAACGTTCCAGGGGGGCCTGGTTTACGTAAGTCCACATTTGGTTAAGTAACAACCCACGCTTTCCGTGCATTTTTTTCTTTTTTGAAAGAATTTCAGGAACATTCAGATCGTGGTATCCATGGAGGCAAATGAACGTAATAAATTTGACTGACAGATTCACCTTATTACCCTTGAAAAATTATCATACTGACCACTTCACTTTTAGTTACAGTATTTCAACTGCAGAAGTGATATTCATTTAAATCCGGCCAAACTCACAATTTGCATTTCAATCCATTAAATAAATATAAATATTGATATGCACTTTTTCGCACTTTGAATCTCATATTCCGATGTAGACCGGTAGCTTTCCCGGATTTAAATGATCTGCATTCATTCAGTCAAAAATCTAGATAAGTAAACGTTCTTTCAGTCACTACGTTTTATTATTATACCTTTTAAACGTTGGATGCGGTATGACATTATTGAAAAGCGTAAAGAAATTCATTAAGTGTAACATAAACTGTGGTGTCTGTGCAATTGTTAAGCGATACGCCAATAGGATTCAAAGTGATTCGATACGTAGCTAAGGAATCTTTGAACACTCCGGCCTCCGGATGAGAGTGCAGAGGGTCAAGACATCGAAACACATTGATATGCGAGAGTTGTGCTTATTTCACGTTACGCTTCAGAGGTAGCGCGCTCCAGCTGGTTTACCTGTACGCACAAGAAACTAATCGACGCTATAATTTTCTAGTGGGCAAACTCGTGATTGACGTGTTTTTTCGCAGATCAACATATTTGTCTTCCTGAAGTTGAAAATTCATCGTTGGCGCTGAACCGTCGATTAAATTTAAACCAGCAAAGAGTCAAGGAATATTATTACACCTTCGCACTTTGCAGCAGCGGGTTACTGAATGCCTGTTAAGACGTGGACGTTCACAATTTATGTTTCCGCTCAAGAAGACTGCGAAACAGACGATTGCATCTTTGTTGTTTCTCGAATTATTGTGATTAGAACGTCACTTGGTCCAATATATGCACTGACAAAAAAAAAAAACAACTGACCCATATCTGTCTCAGAAGCAAACGACCTGCTGAAAACAACAACAATTCTGTTATGACGGTACGAAGGTAAATTTGATCAAACGCAAACTCGTTGTTTACATCAGCAAGATCTCAGGAGAGAAATAACAATGGAAAGACCTCGTCAAAGATCATTGCAAAAGGAAATTTTGATTCAAGTTTCAGAGTTTCCTTCGAGATCGAATGCCCCTTTACTCAGACAGCGGTCACGATCGTTAGGAGAAGGGGAGAGCTTGAATCCTATCATAAATAAGAAAGGTAAGTCGAATATTATCACTCAATGAAAACTTTCAAAATTTAACGGGGCTAGAGTAGAATTCGGACATCTGAGGGGGCAGAATAAATAGATTTGCTCGCGATTACGAACATGAATAATTTTTTTCGCCGCTTTGTCTTACATACATAGCTGTTTTATTGTTTGTCTGGTCACATCAATCCATTGGTATATTTGCATCTGTTTGACATGCACTCATCTTGAAATTAAATGTGCAAGATGTTTATAATATTAACATTCAACTGCAATGCTTAACATGAGCTTGTAACAGGAGGCGTTTTTTAAATAGTTTATAACACTAGGATTCTGGTGCACGCAGCGCCTAAATCGCTTTACAAACTTAAAATTATGAACCGCAAATATTTGTCTGCGTATTACTCGCCGTAAGAGACTTTTCTGGCTTTAATTGCAGAGGAACCCAATATTTGTTTTCACGCGGCAGTAACCCTTCAAATTACGTTTGATTCAAATGCACAATCGACAGACATAAAAATAACCTTTTCTTCTATTATTCCGATGATTCAAACCTTTTTTATTTTTTCTCTTCAAGGTTCAGGCTATAATTAGTCGACAAGAAAGGAATTTTTTTATGTTGAGGCATAAATTTAAGCTAGGGCCCGTTTCTCTCACAAGCTCATGTAACTTTACGATCGCGAACTTTTAGGATTAGTTTTGCGAGTCCAGTCTATTTTATTCAGTTTTGCACTTTTTCACTCTTCTTTTTATATATTTTTTCTTTAAAATCAATTCGATTTTCAATGTTAACCTGGCAAACAAGTTTTTCGGGCCCAGATTCCTTACATCACGATCCTATGTCTTGATTACTGTTTCTTAGTGATCCATCCGGTTAGACCCACCCCTGTACTGCCCTCTCCCTGGAAAGTAGGAGCAAAGGAAATGGAGCTAATACATACGTGCGTTTTGTATCCGCATAAGGGAATCGTAAATATTATTTCTTCCGGTGATTCAGGGAAGGCCAGGGTCACGGTTAGTTTTTGCCAACATTGTTTACCTTTTTTTCTGATGTAAAATTGACATGGCAAAAGCGTGCTAGCGCCCAAATCGTGTCGACAGAACTAACCAGGATATTGGTGCAACCAAAGCGACGAGTTTTTTAAGGCTTAATTCCACACACACACAACTTCCACATTGTCTCGAAGGAAAATGCGCCTAGCTGATATGGTAAGAGCGCACGAGGAGCGCGCAAGATTTAATAATATCTGAAACACTGAACGAGGAACAATCAGAATAAACAAGAAAGAAACAAGGATGGTTAAAAAATGGGAAGATTGACACGGATTGAAAATGACGAAGCAACCTCGTTCTCACGGTTCTTTCATACCGTACTCGTCTCCCTTTAAGGGACCTTTAGGAGAGAACCCTGGGAACAAAGTTGTAACGAAACGTGAGAAATGAACGTGCAATGACACATTCCTTTAAAATGTACATGATGTTTTGTTTTATGCTCCACGTGACACTGTCAGGTGAGATGTTCTCATAATAAATTGTCCGTTACTTTCGGCGGCTTGCGTGTCTAATGCTTTTCTCTCAGATGTTGGTATAAATTTTAATGGCGAAGCGATCAGAAGATCTTCGTTAATTCAAGTATCGAAGCTCAACATTTTGGTCCACTGGTTGAACTAAAAGGTCAGTAGCATGTCATGATGTGGGACTGACGAGTATATATTTCATTTGCGTCACAGGTCGTCTAAATTTTAGTCCAATTCTGGTAGAAGTTTGAAAAAACATGTCTAAGTTTTTCCTCTAAAGCTATTAAAGTTTTGTACACGTATCCTTTCTTTGATGTACGTCCTCCAAATGCAGCTTTGCCCGGCAATAACCAATCAGATCGAACCTTGTGCAAGATTAACGATAGTGATGACAGAGGCATTTATGCTCGACACGAGATGTCTACTGGAGGACGAACTGCAGCCCAAAAACCACATAAGTACATAAAATATTTCCATGTGTAGAAACAAACTGATATTTTAGGGATTAGTATTATTTTTTTTGAATGATTGGGAACTTACTTTTGCTACCAGGATTCACTTTGATGCGCACCTAAAATTAGAATTATTTTCCTTTTTTTCCGGAGAGGGAGATTCCTCTGGAGTTAAGACATTTGAAGTACTGCGCTGCAACCTAATAAGGATTTGCTTTTTTTATTTCAATGAGTTTTTAATTTATTTATTTATTTTTCGCGGGTTTGTATCAATCAAGAGATCAAAAGCGACCAACATTCTCTGATAAATGATTTTAAAGTCAACTAGCATTTATACGAAATATAGTCCGTGTTGGTAAAAAAATGTTTCCAGAAAGGTATATTGACATTTCCTTTCTTCTCGGGCAGAAGATGGCGTGAATGAAGAGGGGGTGTGTTAAGATTTTGTAAGTTCTCTTTTTCCAATCTGGCCTCGGTAAAATGCTGTTACTTCATTATTCCATTGAAAAACTATCCGTCATTTTATACCTCTTCGGCCCATCACCATTCTTCTGGACTGAGATCGAAAAGAATAGGTCATGGGCAGTTTTGTCGGGCAGGAGGGGATAAGGGAAGGGCTGAGGAGACAGCTTTAACCGTTTTCTACGGATGTTTATTACGTTTTAGGCTCCTATTTCTTACCGTACATCGTTTAAGGACCAGTTGTTATTAATCATCTGAGGAAGGAGGGGTTATCCGCTCTTTGAACAACTGGGCCCAGACTCACCCTTTTACAACATAGAAATGTGGAATTTTTGTGATTCGCACAAAAACGCTTCCTTAAAATCTCGCTCAATCAATAGTTCTTGAACTCAGAAACTCAATTAAACAAAAGAATCAAATCGATGCCTACGTCAGTTTATTTACTTTCATCAGGTCACCAAGGTTTGCAATGTAAACATGTTGGCTTTCCGCTTCGCGAACTTTGACCGGGTATACGTCATGGTAACTTACGTTTACGTCACAATTGTCAAAGCTTGTTTAGCAACAGGAACCGCATTACAATTTAGACATGCTCCGATTGTTTTTGAACACCTCTTTTAAAGGAGTTGAACGCGTTCAGGTTATTGCATATTTTTTTGCGTGTTTTTTTTTCCACATTTTTCAACGGTCGAGACTTTTTCCTCATTTACCGCGCCACTTCCGCTCGATTTGAAAACCCTAATTGCATCATGGGAAGATAAATAAAATTATTTTTGGGACCTTTGCTCAATATTGGTCTGGGAGAGACAGTTTACGAGAATAATGTGACCAGGTCGTCTTGTAATCGGTGACTTCGATGGCTGTAAAACTTTCAGAAGATATACAATATTTCACGAGAGAAGAACTAAAAAGACGCTGCTTACGGTGGCGACAATTTTTCGCAATCGTTCGCTGTGAGCTCGAAAGCTGATGTCGAAACCTCCTGCATCTCCTCGATATCACGTCCGAGGTAAAATTCTCTCATTATACTACTTACGGCTGGAAAAAAAGACTTTTATTCACACCTAACCATTTAGTGCATGTGTTTCTTGAAGGACTGATGACCTCAAAATATGACTTTTTTTGTATGTGTTGGTGCACTTATGTAATTGTTTCGAGTATAAACTCACAGGTTGACCGCGATCCTTACTTAGTTGTTGGCCTTGCTTTCTGTGGCATGGTACAGTTAGGTAACTGACACTTTTTAACTTTGGCTGAGCGCTCGACATTTTTCTTTTGGGTGGGAAGCGGTCATGTTGTCAGCTCTTTATTTTGTTAGTGCTGAGAAGCGAATAACTGCTGGGAGGGCTAATCATCGTTCCATGTTATCGTTGACCTTACTTCTCAAGGTCATACCTAAACGTGTCAATATAAGCTTGAAGAAGCAAGCAGTTTATCGATGCACATCGATTGTCTTTCTGAAGATCATTTCGTCACAAGTTATCATTTATTCATGACCTCAGTTGCTTGGTGGTTCGGCTTTATTTCTACCAATTACATCGTTGTTTACTTTGGAGCGAAGTCCATCGAAATCGTTTTGATAAAGCAATGAACGCCTGTGCTGCCTCCGTTCGTCCGTGAACATCATTCATTGTTTCCTTCGGGGCTCTTGATTTGAGGTAGAACATTTGAATTTTTGTTTCCCTCTTTCCAAAGCTTTCTTTTGGCTCTACAATCAATATAAGATATAACAGTAATGGCCTGCACCTTTATGCTTTCATGCGCGGCCATATTCGTTACGTGTTGTATACTTCGATGTTTGTTCCATAGTTTGAATTGTGTAAATAGAAAAATACTTTACAATAGCTGTAACTTGTTCGTTATTTTCGATCGCTGGACTGTATCGTTTGAACCCGAAATACAAGTTGATCCATCTGATATTGTATCTCTGTATCTCACGAACTACAAGAAACGTCGAATTCTATAATCGTAATTTTTATTATTTTGCTTAAGTGTGTTGTGATTTCTCGTCAATGGAGTTTACATGATGTGTTTATTGCAGTTAATATTTTAAAAAAAATGATATTGATTAATTTCAGCGTTCGCTGAAATAAAAGTTTTCGATTGCATGGCAAGGAAATTTTAGGATTCTTACAGAGTTTGCACGAAAGCCAATAGTCAGATACATGTGCTAACAGCTGAACGGTGTCGCAATTTTATTAAATTATGCAGCTGGTTTTAGTTAATGTTATCTTTTAAATGTAGGAACGTGATTGCATTGCAGCTTATCTGAGTTGAGTATTAAACTGGTTGTTTCCCACCTTGTTTTAAAGAAAATCTTGCATATGGTGCATCCAATATTTAGGGTTTCTTGCTGAATTTGAATTAAGTTTGTCTCAAGAGAATTTTGTAAGGGAAAGATATGTTTAACTTGGCCCACATGTGGACTTTAAATTTCATGGTTTGACAGTTTCAATTTTAATAACTACTTGTCATTTGCTTTTTGTGATTGCTTGCATTTTCATCACTGGATGTTGGAAATTTCTGTGTTACCCCCTAAGAAGTCTTCAAATGATATGTGCCAAAATTGGGGGAAGAAATTTCTGTAAAGCTGTGAAGGTAGTCAGTCTTTTTTATTGAAGTTGTTTCCAAAGTACATTGTAGGTGTCACACTGGTTTATGATTGAATGGAAATCTTCAGTAAACAATGATGTTCATATGTCTAAACAATTAGTCTAACACCATGTGAGTTTTGGCCATCTCAGATAATTTAGTCTACTGTACATGTTTCAAGTTTGTCCCCAGTAAGCCCCCTCGAAAAAAAGTCTCAATCAGTTATTCTATCTTTGTTTGATTCCCTCTTTTTTTTGTCCTAAGTTGACAACTTACATGTTTTTTTAAGGGAAAGATTATGCTTTTCTGTATATAGTAATGGTTGATGTATACACAAAAAATGACACAGATATAGGAAGGTGTTCCAATTGCTAATAACTTCTAGGAGTTGAAAGGTAGAAACTTTTGAAGAGATAGATTTTTGGCAAAATATCAGAGTACATACAACATCTTGATTATTATTTGGAGTCCAATCAAATCCTTCAGTCTTTATTTCAAGATCTTTGTAACTAACTAGTTGGGTATATTTTGAAAATTAAAAGTTTTACCTTTTAGACATTTTCCTCAAGCTTGTTAAAGTGTTTCTTCCATAATGTTGTATACGTGTAGTACACTAACTTCTTACTAATAAGTGTGAGAGTTGTACAGTGGAATATTGGCCTGTTAGGTCTGCACAAAAATGACAGCTCCACTAAAGCTCAAGTAAGCGAGATTAGTGAGTAGTTTATTGAATGGCACTCAGATCAATCTTGATATGAATTTTCTGGCTTTTGCAAACCAAAAAAAGGCTCATGATGGTGATATGGCAAAATCCAGACCACGTAAGAACCAATCAAACAGCAAAGATCTTCCTCGCATTTATTGTACCTTGCCTTATGATAACTGATTGTATTTACTGTGCATTGTGGCACTGTGTCAACGAACTAGTGTTTTTACTATGATCATTGTTTTCATTATTATTACAGTGTGATAAACTATGGGGTTATATATTCATTAAGAATTCAAAATTTGTTTTAAAAGTTACATGTTCTGTAAATAAACTGTAAAGAAGATATTATGGCAATAAATTGTGGTAATATTGCAAAAGCAAAAGATACTTATTTAATACTAACATCTGTTCTTCTGCCCAGGATGAAGTGTCTTTATTATTCGTCAATTGTGCTAGATAAGTCTGATTGTTCTAATTTCTGAATGTTGAAGTCTTGTGTATTACTTAAATTTATTATTCTTGTATGGGATTGAAGTCTGGGGTGCAGCTTATCAGCAAAAATATCCAGACATAATTGACAGGGCCCACAGGTTTGGCCTCACCGCAAAGAAAACAACTATAAATGACTTAACTAAAGATAAGGACTCCTTGGAAGTTTTTTAAGAACATAATCAGTGATGATCATGAACTCCATGATTGGTTACCTCCAAAGAGGAGACTTGTGCTCCGTGGGTGCCAGCATGACTTTGAATTACCAAGAGTTAGAACCAAATGCTTCAAGCATCATTTCCTGAATAGATGCCTCTTGCATTAAACTCACAGCATATAAGGAACTTCTTAATGTTACATAATGTTATCAATGTTGCAATTTTTATATTCTTAATTACACTTATAATTTTCTTATTAACACACTGTAAAGTTACATGATTTATGAAAGATAGAGTATTATTTTATTATTATTACCATTAAATTATTTGATTATGAAATTGATACAATTCAGGTTTGCAGGTATTTAATCCTTCTGGATTTAAGCAGAACTCATTAATTTATGCTGTCTTAAAAAAAGCAAATAGATATTTACTGATAAGAAAGAAGGTGACGCAGGGCTGAAGAGGCATTTTTAGAGTGCCACTTACTTGTGCTGAATGATATGTGTTAATTATTATTTTGATTGAATTGGGACATATGGCAGTTTTCAAAGTACTTTTCCAGATTTTTAGACAAGAAGCCTCTGGTTTGGAGGCATGAGCCCTTGCCTACAAGAAACCAGTGCATTAAATTCTATAATTGTTTTTTACAAACATTTTTTAAATATATATATATGTTCATACATGTTTCTAAGGTACTGGTGTCCTGACTTACAGATGAGATTTTTAAGCTTCAAACATTTATATCTAGTATACAGTACAACTTTGCAGACCAAGTGTAATTGATTACAGAAAACAATTTTTAAGTACAAGGAAAAAGTTTACATTATTTTTTTATATCAAGCTGTGTTTACTGGCCAATCACATCGTGTGATTCTCTGGTTGATGCTCCATGCTTGTATTTCCAGTTTTGATTTGTCTACAGACAGTAGCTTTACATTATTTAAATATGTTATCCTAAATATGAAATTAGCACCTGCACAAATTAAATCTCTATTTTATGGCAAGTGAGTTGCATTTGTTAGAGTAGAAGACTATTTGAAAATTCACATGTAGGAATTCTTTAAGTTGATGTATTCATACACAATAGACAGGGTATTATTGAGAAGTGGAAACTAAAAGGATTCTTAGTCATCCTGACAGGTAGAGGTTTAATGTCAATGTTTTTTTATACCCTGTTCTGTACCTGCAACATAATGTTTCCAAGGCAGTGCCGATCAGATATTTATCCACCCAATCATTGTATAATTCTCAGATTAAATTTCGTTGCTTCTGGTGTGAAGAATGTTCACCTGTGACTAAACAATGATATTAGTCTTCTGTTGTTACATTAGTATATCTCTTTATATAATTTATACAAATTCTTTCTGAATTTGAATATTAAAATTCAGCCCACAATTAGTTTGCTTTAATAGCCCTAACAGTAAAGTAAAAAATGTAATTTAGGTATGTTTAATGTCTTGCTTGGGTGCAAATGACAGACTTGACTGTACATTTTGTGCATTAAATACACATATGTACTCATACTATGAATTGAACCAAATCTTCTTGTTTAATACTTTGAACTTATTACAGATAACTTGAATGTTAACTGAAGTAATTTGTCATACTTTCCTGTAAATTGGAACGGTCACTCTAAACAGGCACTTTGATTATTTGGTTATGGACAAAAGTACTGTAGATCTGAAAGCCTTAACACTTGCCAGCTATTTTTAAAGCTAGCTTTACCTGTTTGAAAAACAGGTTTTAGATGATAAAATTTAGGATTCTTTTTCAAATGAATCTTAAAAGAGTATATATCTTTCAGAATACATAACATGTATTCCGTGTTTGATTAAGTTTTATTATTGAGTTAGTAATCACAACAAGTTTGGGTTTTGGTGATTGTGTTTTGTTGTTCATCAAAATATGCACCAGCTTGATTAGTTTAAATTTGTAAATGAGCATTGTACACTTTACTGAAGATAGTGACCTCTCTTCTGTATAGACATCAATATCTTTTCATATCTATGATCTCACATAATGTTTTAAGTCCACAGGAAATAACTCCCATGTGTGAGATATTGATTCAGAGTTCCGTCAACACAACATGTACTGAATTTGTTCATTCATTAATTTAATTTGTTTTTCTTTGTATTCAAACTTTTTTGAAATGCAGTGCTTAATGTAAAGCTTCCAAAGCAGAGTCCCAGATCACTGAACAACAGTGCAACTTCATTGTCATCACTTGATGCCTCAGCTGGCTCTCACTCTCCCTCGTCTCCTCGAAGCAACAAGACACTAGGTACAGCATCTAATTTCTCCTTACTCTAACCCTAAGCAATTTAAACAGTAAGGTTTTGAGAATAAAGGAAAGGTTCACTAGCTTTTGATTTTCAAATCAGTTCTCCATGTCAGCGACATAGTTTAGGAAGTGTATTGAAGGGTGGTATAGTATATGGTGATGGTGCGTAGTAATGTAAAAGTTTTGAGGGGTAACAATTCAACTGATGAGATTTTGACAAGGTTAAAAAAAATGTAATGTTATGGAGGTTGGAGGTTAAATTAATTTTGAATTTATCAGCCATGAAATCCCAAATGGTTGAACACGTCACCTTCATGAGTTTTTACGTAGTAACTGATACATTTCAAAATATATCAGGGCGTGAAATTGCGCCTAATACAGGCGCCAATGCGACTAAATTTTTCACTTTGGCGACCAAATCCTGAAAGTTAGTCGCCAAATTGGCGACTAGAACGTTTCATCATAACCTTACCAAGAGATATAGTGAATTAAAAAGATTTGCAAAGATAAATCCGCGGCAAACTTCCTCGTTAAGTTTGTTTCCAAAACGTAGCACATGCATCTCGATCGATAACTAGACGCCATCTTGGATTTAGATGAGCTTGAACGTTGTATATCATCCATCCTAGTGTCCACTTTGTAGCACGTTAAAGATCTTTTCCCTAACTTAATTTTGGAGGGTCTATCTAGAACGCTGACAGCTTAAAGAAAGATTTTGTTTGTCTTTGAAAATGGCGACCAACTTTTTTTGAATTGGCTACTACTTTGAAGAATTTAGGAGCCAAGTGGCTCTCAGAAAAAAAAGTTAATTTCACGCCCTGTATATACAAATTTTATGAAGCTTTTTTTCAAAGAGAAATATCTCACTTTGGGGTACATTATTAAATTTTCCATATAAGCACTGATTTTGGAAGGAAGAGCACTGAGTTAGATGTTTATTTGAAATCTTTTGGCTAGTGTTACAACGTGAGCAGGTTCTCTCAATAAGGTTCTAAAATTAAGACTTTGTGCTTTTATCTCAGAAAATAAGGTGCAAATATATACTTTACCTGTGTTTCGAAGAACTACAAGTCAGCATCTTAGGAAGTTGCGAAATATCTGCCTATTACAGGTTTAGAGAAGGTCAAAATGAGAAACATGTTGGTTGTCTGGGTAAATGACAATGACAATCCTACCATTTTTCACCTGCCTGATTCTTGTCTCCACCAATCAAGTGCTTAGCACACATCAGTCTGCGGAACTTGCGTTAGACACACATGTACAGGTGCGAATTAATTTAAATCTTTTTTTTGCCAAAAACAGCAATTCAGAGACTGTTTGGAAGGAGCAAAGAGAATCATGGTGCACATAGTGGAAGGGAAGATTCAGAGGTAATTTTTCAGATACTGTAGAAAATTTAAAAACAACCTCTTCTGGTGGAACAATGTATTGTTAGATTGTCAAAAATGATCTTTAAGTCAACATTTGTTTGCCTAAATCGTGCTTCTACGGACAGAAGTCTCCTGCCAAAATTAACAGTCGCGGTGTTTGACAATCATATCAATATATCAATGAAGTGTTGTAATTTGTATCTTTCACAGAACGAGGATGGCGGCTTCAAGTTAAAGTTGAATGTACCTACAACAAGGCACAAACAGTTCTCTAAAGTCCTGGCTGAACTCAAAGAGAGAACGATGCCGTCCTCGTAAGTAGCACAATTTTTAGTCAACAGTTAATAATCAAGATAAGAGCCTTCAGCAAAAATTTTTATGAAATTGATTTTTTTTCCGTCATCAAGATGGTCAAAGGGAAATTATTGGAAATAGAAGAAAATTATGATTTTTAACCGTTATTTTGTCACTACCGTTACGGTAGTAAACTTTCAAACTCTGCGGAGAGACAACTACTTTTGTACTTGTGCATGTATTTGTAGAAACATCTTTTTTCTTTTTAGCAGCACGAAATGAATTAACGAAATTAAATCAAAATGACAAAACTTTCTATTACTCTTAGGCTGGGCAGGCGCCGCAGCAAAACTCAAGAGTCTTCGACAACAGACTCTCGTAACAGCGCTGATAGCGATGGTGGACAAGGTCGGCCTCGGGGGGCTACTTCAGTTGTGAGCTCTTCCAGCGGTGCTGGGTCAGAGGTTCAAACGAGGGCAAGAAGTGGCACAGGACTGTCCTTTAATGAAGATGACTCTGGCGAAGTAGATTCGGTTCGTACAAAGGCTTTCTTTATTTCTCTCTTTAATGTAATCTGTCTTGTGGTGACTTTTAGAGGAAGAAGTTACTTAAAAGTTATAATAGCAGTTGTGTGCATGTACAGTGTGTATGTACGCGTTACGTTTCTCTTATGTGCTGTAGATGCTGAAATTTTGGTGCTCTCATTTCGAAACTATCTTTACCTCTGCCCCTGTCTCAGCGCTAATGAGAGCCTTCCCACAAGCAATTGTGTGAAATGCTTATTTTTTTTATTGTTAACCTCTGATGAATCCGGCTATCAGGTTCCTATTACGGTTGTCAATAATACCTAATAGTTTGTACTCTTACTGAGACAGAGGTACTGTTGCAATCCAGAACCTTGCCCCAACTAGGGCTAGAACCTAGGCCTTCTAATCCGCTGTATGTCACACTAGGAAAGTTGTATCCAATTAATTTTACTAACAACATTAATCCGTTGATTTTGCAGCTTGATGGAACATTTAGTTCTCAAGATAAGGAATATGATGAAGTTGATGGACAGATAATCGACTCAGAGGTAGCCTGGATTTGTTCTTCATGCTAAACAAACACTGCTAATTTTGTCAGCGTATGAAAACCTACAAATTTCTTTGACATGAGACAGGCTACAAAATATTATTTCAGCTAGATCGAAAAACACAAAAGAGGCAACAGTGAACTAAGAAGGAGCAAGGATGGCTAAGGATGAAAACGATTTACAAGTATTGTGAATGACCATACGTAAAAAACCCAGGAAAGGCAATGATGGTCAAGGAGGAATAAGAGGCAGTGGCTGAAAGAAGATTGAAACAGAATATTTATTAATGACTGTGAATATATGAAAATCATGTATATGTGAACTGCGGTTTAAAAAATGAGCATGGAAGCAATCGTCGCTGTAATAAACACTACTTGAGCAGTAGTGAAAATAAGGCAAAATGGCCCAACCCAAATGGGTTCAAATCAGTTGATAAATCACTGCACCGGTATCGCAGATTTCATAGGTTCAAATCCTATACAGGCCTGAATTTTTTTCAGGCCTTATTTTCACTACTGCTTAATCAGTGTTCATTACTGCAAAGATCACTTTCATGTTCAGAAAGCAGATTATTAAAATCTAAAGTCTACAATAGTAACATTTACACTGCCCTTACGTGACTGAAAAGATTAAGGAAAAACTTAATTTGTTCTTCTGAGTGTCCCACATCATATTTATTGTTTTTGTTGTTTATTTATTGTTGTTGTTTGTTTTAGAAACGAAGACAGCGCGTGGAGCACTTGAATTTCAAGATAAGAAGAACCAAGGAACAGATTCGACAGCTACAAGATGAGAGAGATGGTGAGTGATATTTTTTAACATATGTACTCCTCCTTACTCTCGATTGCGAAGACGTTGACACCTGAAAAGCATGAATCCTTGTACGATGGGACACAAAAGCTTTATGGGTATAGATATGTGATTATCACATTAAGTTGGGCGTGGTGAATGATGGAAGCTATCCAAACAGAATCACTGGGAAAAACTGAAAAAAGTTTGCCATGAACAACGGAAGCAGCAGGTCACTGATCATGCGATTGTTCACATACTGCCAATAAAACTGTTAGGTGTCGCCGTTTTTGGATAATTTTTTCAAATGTCTACCTTGATTTTAGTCGAGTGCATACAACAGAGTAACGTGCACTATCACAACGGCAATTAGCAGGATTTTTGAGAAATTAGCGCGTTAGCTCGATCCTCAGGTAATTTCCCTTTTTTTTTTCGGGCTTCATTTTCAAATGATTATTTTATGCGATAAGTTGTGTATTGAGAGCTCTATCGATGCCTCTGTTCTTTAACATTTTGTGTGCTGGTCTTTCCTCTGGTACGAGTTAATTATTGATTTGATGGTGTGATCTTGAAACACTGTTTCCCTAATATGCTCTAAGAAAGAAAACCACGCGTAGCAAATCATCGCTAAGTGCAGATGGGCCTTTCCCTAAGAAATTTGTGTAATTATACAGCGGGTCTTATTTCTCTCTACAGAATATGTGAAAGAGTACCTGGAATCGACAGAGGGCGGCTCGCAAAAATCTAAGTAAGTGCTAACCAGGGTCCTTCCCTGAATCAGTCTCTCGTAATTTTTGCCCCTTGCTCGAGGACGTGACGTTTCCGAAAAGAACCCGATTATTATCGAGAAACGTCAAGGCTCTCAGAAGACTCTGCCTTAAAGTAATCAGCCAAACACAAGTGAGTTAAGAAAGAAGCAAGCAAGAATCTGCTAAAATATCTTGAAAACATCGAGAGCACTAAGGGCCTTTGCGTGCAGATTCATGCCTCGACAATTGATTCAAGATGCCGAAGAGATGAGGCTGTTGGGTCGCTTCGGATAGCTTACGATAGCTCACGATAACTCACAATTGTCGATGTTAAACAGCTTTGCACAAAGTGTTATGTGCAGTGTAAATTTTTAGGAAAATTTGAAATCGCGAAAGTCGAAACAGTGAAAATAGCATTCCTGGTTGGTGGTAAGTCATCTTTTCCGTACAAGCTTGTTAATTTTAGGACATTCAAGAATTCCGCTCAATTTTTGCTAAGAAAATTTCATGAAGAGAAAAGACAAACCGAACAAGTTAAGCCGCCAAAAGTAACTTCTTTTGCTCGTGTTTGTTTGATAATTTTCCCCAAAAATTTTGCCGACTTGATGCACTCGAACCAGTATTTTTTGGCTCACATCCAAAGATTTCGAACAAGTGCAATTCATGTGAGGTATGTTACCCTGACGCGTGACGCGTTGCGCTAGCGACCTATTTAATATTCACTGCTGGGACGGTATCACTCTTTGCGATCAAGTGTTCGATACGATGTACTTTGCGGAACTTAATTAACGTCCTTTCCCTTTCAGGGCTGTCTTCGAGAAGAAAAACCAGAAGACAAATTCGGCAGTGGCTCAACAGCAGAAAAAGCTCGAGAAATATCATAATGAACTGATGGTGAGTATTTATTACTTACACATGGGGAATCATGTTATGTTTACGTCGTATGACCTGATCACAAGTCTTTCCTTTGAAACACTCAGAATCTTAGAATTTGTAGCATTGCATTTAGGATTTCGTGGTGAAAAGCGCAGTTTTGTAGGGTTATGATAGGGGTTGATTTTACGAGCACAAAACATGGATCAATCTTTTTGGAGATAGTTTCCCTCGAGTGCTTGTGTCTTCAAAATATTCGACATATTTTTTCCTAATGCGGTTTCAACAAGGTTTGTGATTGTCTGTATTTTGTTATTAATTTAATTATAATTATCATGCGCGTGGCTGTTCAACTTTGGTCAACACTCAGACAAAACTGACGTGCGGACATTTTTGCCGTCTTGTTTCTAAGGTTGTTCATGAAACATTGTATGTTTTCAATAAAGATGGTCAAAAAAGTGCCCCCAATATGGGCAAAACAAATATCTGTGCCCTGTATGACGATTAAAGCTTCATCGTCTTCACTTTTCGCGGTCGAATCCACTATTGTGTGAGCTGTAGAGAACTGAGTGACGCGGTAAACTATATGTTAGGTTCATAAGTGTCAAGCGTCCTCTATACTCTAAGGATCGGCAATGTAGACCCTTCACTTTTTAATGTGATTACTGATTTAACTTCATTACAGGGACTGGAAATGAATGGTGCAGCCCCAAGTGGACACATTGCTAAAGAAGTATTCAAGTAGGTCAAAAATCTACCATTTTTTTCGGTTAAATCTCTGCTAGTCTAGAACTAAGTTGTTATCGTCGCTACCAGTTTGACTTTTAAGCGTCCCTTTTTTTTAACAAACTGCATTCCTTAGGTTTGTCTAATTTTAAGAGGCACTCGAGTGTCAGCTTGTGGATTTTGCCTCACAAGCTTACATCTTTCAGACTGTGAAAAGCGCTGATCGATTTTCATGTCTTCGTATGTGAATTCCAGCAATTTCCTGTCGATGAGAACATACACACAAAATCGATAAGGATCATTTGTATGGGAGTTACGATCTTCAGTGAAAAAGAACTTTTTTCCAAGTTATCCTTTTCCATCTCTCTTCTTTTATATTTTCTTCGCGTTTGTCGAGACATCCTAGATAGCGTTGTTAAGACGACAGATTACATACCAGCAAGGACGGTGTCAATAACCGTAAATATTTTAGCATGAAAATTTCCTCCGAGAAAGCTAATGGAATTTGCTATCGATGTCATTTTCGTGAAAAGAGGTTACAGTACGTATGGACCACATAAGAATTTCGACTAGCGTTTTATTTTAAGAGATTAATCGGTAAACAAATTTTTTCCTCAAGGGTAACGCTTCCTTCCCCAACATTCCAAAGTTCTACTCCCCTTCCCTATCCTCCCCCCTCTCTTTCCCCTCCCCCCCCTCCCCTCTCCCTATCGGCAATCCTCATTTAAATCCCGCGGGGAAAAATAACCACGGTTTGTTTTCGTGGAGGTCTGCTATCTATTGATAATCAAATCTGACATGTCAGCCCTCTATTTTTAAAAATTCTTCAAGTAATAAAATATTCCAAGGGTTTCTAAGGGGATTTCTCCCCTCTCTTAAATTTCTTCGACTTTCCTTACAAAGTAGCATTGAAATGTTGGGAAAGCATCTAAGATCAAAACTGTTGTAGTAGTATCAGTGCAAAGACATTCTAAAAAAAACATGAAACTTTGCCCAAATGATATTTTCGAAGGAAAATTAAAAACTTCTTTTGAATATAGGTATAGCAAATTTCAACAAAATATCACTGTTGCGAGAATGCATTCTGTACAAAGTGCTGTTTGATAGATGCTACAAAACGGCTGTCATTTTGGAAAATTGACTTATCGCGTCCTTCGTCTACAAGTATCGCCCGAGGAATGAATAATGTTTTACTTCTTTAGCGTCTTTTGTTTTCGTGTCACTCTCGCACGCCAAAACTGTTTACACTTATTTAATAAAGGCTTTCGAGCTAACGCTCAAAAAAAAATTATTAGTTGCGAAAACACCTGTAAGGTTTTTTGGGCACTTTGTTAATGTGGAAATTTAGTTTTTCCTTTTGTCCCTTCGGGGGTCGCTTTTACCGTGAAAATTTTAATTTCAAAACAAAAACATCATGGTATGAGCTGTTTTTAGCCTAAGAGCTTTTCGTTTTCTCTTGTGCGAAAGTATTCTCTTCCCTTGATAATTTATAATTTCTTATGATTAGTTACTGTTTGTTTACTGCTCAAGCTATCCAAACCGAGTTAATCTTTATTAGACAAAAGTATGAAAGGATGGTTGTTTTACGCAACGGCGGCCCGCAGTATGCAAATTCACCACCGTGAAAACGTGATGAATATTGAATATATTATCAGAATTAGTAATTTCTTGTATTTTGAAGTTCGGAAAGTGAGAGGAGGAATTCGGAATTTTACACCTTTTTTCGGCTTCACTTTTTAAAGTGGACGGAGTGCTTATGTCATCGTCTTTCATTTCATGGCAACTGTGAAGCCTTCGCGGTCTCTCCCGAAGATCGCTGTGAATGAATCTTCCGGCCGCGAGATTGTTCAGCCGGTGTTTCTTTCGCCTAAGTGCGGTAGAAATCTGCGGACAACCCTTCATAAACACAGGTCGTGTCTTTGGCCGTAAGTCATTCACAACTGTGCAGAATTATGTGTTGCCTCGCACAAAGCTGTACAATTTTCTAGCCAAAGTATTGTATTTATTGATTTACATGTGTATGGTTTATTCATTTACGACAAACGTGTAGCAGCCCTTAAACGATCTTTTCACAAAGGAAAGGGATGAAAATTACTCTAATTACAATGTAAGCTAGGCTTTCTAAAACGCAGATTATGTTTCAGATATGTCATTTAAGTGATAATTATCATTTTTTCGTGAGCATGTAGTTTAAATGCAAAATCTTTTAGTTTCAGACGTCCTGACCTCTTTGAATATCGATTCTGCTCTCCCCACGACAGTAGTTTTGTGGCTGCCTGTGTTTATTTCATTCAAACCTATGTTTTTAAAACCAAACATTAGTATTTAGAAGTGTAGAATTTTTTTGTGATAATTTAAAATAACGAGAGTTTTCTTTAGAATTTCGTGTTTGCTCGGTTTACTGATTTTATTTCCACTTATTATTCCTTCAACACCTTCGCATTTTGTTTACACGAAATGACTTATCAGTGTTTACAAATACGTCCTGTGGTAATACAACTTGGCTTAAAAAGACTGAAGCAGCTTTTCTTTACTCCAAACTTCATAACCAAACAGAAAAATTATCATCATTCACGGTACTGTGTTACATCAAACATTTTCAGCTTTCATATTTGTGAGTTTTTTAGCCACGATCAAAGTTCCCGAAGTGGGAAAAATATTCTGCAAAATAAAACGCCGAGAAACATTCCCTTCACTTATTCAACAGTCTTCGTATTGGGATTCATTCGAAAAATCCATATATGAATCAGCTTCCATGCAGACCTAAAATTTGAATAGATTTCGCTTCCTTACGGGCCAACGTTGCGCAGCTTGAACAGAAAATCGTACGATCCTCCACAAAACGAGACCTTTGCCTTATGTATATTTTATTGACGAGACACGGTTCTGGAACTGTTTTTGAACTTTCTATTCAGTACACAGTTGAGGCGACACTTTTGCGGCGTTTTTAGACTGTGGCGCGACAGGGTCTCCATATTGTTTTAATAAATCATGGGTCTTACTTATTTTTTTATATTTTTGTTTCAGGGGGGTCAGAGACGGAGTGAAGGGGTAAGAGAACGTCTTTTATAGCCATGTTCTTACGGTACTCTGTAGTAAGGAAAAACAATTAAAATCGAACCTCGTTCTATGTGAAGAAGTCATAATCTGGGATTAAGGGTTCCTCTTAAATAGAACTGCAGGCTTAGAGGATTATATGGTCTCAAAGAATTCATGTCATTTTCTTCTTATAATTTTTAAACAAAGTATTTCATTTAAAATTTGTGTTTTTGTAGGGCGGTTACCAGGCCTCTTGAGATTATCAAGCATCGGAGATTTGGCAGCGCGGAGAATGTGAGCACAACAACGTCAAGTCCCGGATCAAGTATGTGTTATGTCTGGTTTGTCTTTTATTTCTTTTTGTTTTGTTAGTTTTGTTTTCAACCATGTTGTTTGTTTGCTGTTTGGCTGACTGACGGACCCATGGACACTCCAACTTTTAGCCACTGACCCACTAACCAACAGACCGTCTAAATGACTGACTGACTGATTGACCGACCGATTGACTGGCTGTCTGACTGACTGGCTGTGACAGACCGACTGTTTGACTCACTGAGTGAGTGAGTGACTGACTGACTGACAGGCCTCACTGAGTGAGTGACTGACTGACTGACTGACAGGCTGGTTGTCTGACTGACCTACTATGCCAATTCCCGTCAATCTTATCAACGCTGATAGAGAAACTAAAGAAGAAACATTGTTTAGTGTAAACTACTTTACCAACCATTTTTTAAGAGTTGTTTAGACAATGAATCGGTGTTTGTCCTTATTTTAGAGATCGATGGCCTTGAAGAGGAACCGAACAGCCCTCTTGGTGAAGAGGGTTATGTGGCAGATTCCAACCTAAGGTAAGCGTCAGCGCCGTCGTTCGCTTACGTTTTGGCTCGTCATGCAATACTTTCTGTGATTGCGTGACAGTGACGTACGTCTCTACTGATATCCACCATTTATTCGGAAGAACACGATCTGGAAACTCGCAATTGAGGTTCACGGCCATTACTGTGTAGTACCGTTGATTGACATTGCGTTTTAGTGTCAACAGAAGTATGTGTCGCCTACTCATGGCGGTTAAGTCCATGGTGATCTCTGAGCATGTTTTGTATTGAAATATTAAATAATTGTAATTCAAACTATTATATTTTTGTTTCAGTGCGGCGAGATACAACAGCGACGATGATTCGTCGAGTGTAGCGTCAGCTACACATATTGGGTAAGTCCGGCAAACTTGAATAGTGATGGTGTAAAACTTAGTTTCCCTCACCCCACCCCTCAAGGTTGCTTTTCTTCAAGTGACTCTATCATTTACGGTACCTAATATGTGAGAAATACGTCACGATGTTTCCGAACGGAAATTCGTTCTATAACTGGCTTACTCGCCGTGAAGGGTCTTTATCATCTCTAATGGTTGTTTGTTAGCGTCCTTCTCAGTAGCAGTTCGTGATTTTACGTGTCAAATGAAACCAACCTTTAAAAAAAATCAGTTGCAACAAATTCATTTCAAGCATATCTATGTCGTTGTTAGGGTCCCAACCCACAGTAACAGCCCACGTCACAGCCTCCCTCCCAGTCCTCCCACGTCTTACGATCAGGATATAGGCGAACTTCGGGAGGTCAATGCCAGGCTGCACGAACAAATAGAGGGCTTAAAGGTGAGTTTCTTGCTTCCTTACAGTACTGTCGGTGATTAGGAAATTATTTCCTTCAGGCAAAGTGGGGAGATTTCTTTGAACGTACTTTTGAAAATTACCTTCAGTTCACAAAGAAAAAATATTACAACAGTGGAGACCAAGAACCTCAGCTATTAAAATTCAACGTGAATTCAGCTGGACGGGCGTTTGAGCAATTTAAGTGAAGGATTTAAGTATAATTTAGCTAATTTAAGCCAAGCGCTATTTAAGAAGTAAGGAAGACAAAAATGATGCTTTTTAACAGCGCCATCTTAAAGAATCGAGTAGCTATTCAATAATGGTTGGTTATTAACTATTTAGCAAATAGCTGCCGGATGTCTGTTCTATGATTGATCACGCATGTCGTCAAAACCGTCAAACCACTTATTTTGAGTCTGATTCTGTGTGAAAAATCCTGCGTAGATGGTTTTGAAAAATTCTGAAGCAAGCTTCTAGAATGTTTACCGTGAAAATGCTTTTATTTTTCAGCGTCAGTTAAATATTATGGCCGAATCACTTCACGAAGAGAGATGCAATTCCGAGGTTTGTTTGTGTTCTTCACATTTCAACTGTTGAAGGATTTCTTATTATTGCCTTTTTCTAACTTAGTGACTAATATCTGTTATCATTATTAAGGTTGATTGACTTTTACGTGGTAAATGCCATACCTTTCCTATCGAAATTCCGCACTTACAGATTTTCCTGAGCCCGCAGTTTCATCAATTAGTCCTTGTTCCTAAGCAACGTGTTGTATTCTGTTGATGCATTCGCATTATGAAGGCGAACCCCAAGTCCTCGTGTTTATTACGCTGTGTGCTCTTGTGCTAAACACTCAACAATCCAATTTCGAACAGAAAAATAAATTAATTTTAAAAGAGAATGGACAAAGTAAACAAGTCCCTTTAAACCATACGTGCGCATGTTCTGTTGGCTCAAATTTCCAAATACTTGTTTTACAATAATGCAATGGAGTTTATGTTCGCGAACATAAATATGTTTTGGGATCGACGGAGAGTCATTTTAACCCGAGCCGTTAGGTGCAGGTGAAAATGACCCTTAAAAAAATGACAACAAAACAGTCGGAACAATCACGTGAGCGTGCCAGCAATTTAGTCTGCCGAAATCTCCATTTTATCTCACAAAATGCGCCACAATCTCCGACAAGTGATTATAGTTGTTGTTATACTCAAGTTATTTTTAGTACTAGCCATCTTTACTTGTTCTGAAATAATAAAACTTACTTCCATTTACTTTAGCAATTGCGAGACTTACTGAATAACATAACAACGGAGTGGAATGACGTGTCAGAACTACGTCAGAACGAGGTTAGTTGGGTATTACAGTAATTTCGAGGGAGGTGGGGAGAGTAAGGGATGACACTTACTGGCTTGACTGCGGGTAAAAAAGTCACGGAGACTTTCAAACAGCAAGATGATTGATTTCCTCAGGCGTCTAAACCTGCAATTGTATTGGCCTGAGCTCAAGACGCCACGTTTCTTCAAGAGTTCGGGAATTGATCTGCCGTGTTTCTGAGCAGCCAGTGATTCTTTCTTTTTTCCTTTCTTTAAACTTCGAAAAATAAGATAGAAGCGTACTACATTTAAAGAGCGTTAATAGACCGACGCAACAAGAAAGATACTTAACATGGATATATCCAAGCAGTGTTGACGGTTGCCTCGTATGGAGGTTCAATCCCGATTGGCGGTTTGTGGACGCTGGCTAGACTCATGGAAGTCTTTGGCTACGCAGTCATCCACTTTCTGTTTAAGCGAGGAAGTGGTTAAATGTCAGTTTCTCCTTTTCTCAACAGATGATAACCGTAAAACAAGAGCTTGAAAGAGCCGAGGAGCGCATTGAACGAATTGAATACCGGTCTGCAGAACGAGCCAACGAGATCGAGGAAGCGCTGGAGTCTTACGTCACAAGGGTAACCGCGCGTTTTTTAAGTTACTATCGGGCGGATGGTAGCTTGGGAACGAGGTTGCCTCTGGTCTTTCTAAAACTTCACGCGTTGGGATATAGAATTTTGGGAGAAACTGTTATTGGGGGATAATGGAACGTAAAGCGGAGACTAGGAATTGGAATTTGCATTTGTGGAAGTGAGGGCTTTTTGGTCAGTCTAGTGCTATAAGTCTTTTCTGTGAAAAATAAATTATTGAAGTCAGTTCTGCTGAGGTGTTGAAGGCGTTTAAGGTTTAGTATTCAGGACGCATGCCACATATGAACCTAGTAATGGCGCCGACGTTACTACAGAATTTTCTTTTGCTTAGTGGAAGAGTGTTGGAGCGCGAAATCCGGAGGTCTGGTACCCAGGTTTTTTTCTATGTCCTACGCGCATGACAAACAACAAAACATCTTCCTTTAACTCCTCTCTTAACTCTGTGATGAAACCGAGACAAACCACGGCAATTGCAATGGTTCTTCTGGCTTGTAGGCTGAATTAACCATGTTGTTGTTGTAGTTGTTTTTTTGTTTTTGTTTTGTTTTTTTTGCAGGTTTTAAAAATTGAAGCATTTCAACAGCAGAGCCAACAGATGATGGGGCTGGATGATTACTTTGATCAGAGCGCGCAGGCCAAAGCGCTTTTATCAAAATTTCTAACAGTGGTGCTAGCCATTTTACAAATTGTACTTATTATATGCACGACGTTAGCCAGAATAGTTATTCCCTTCACAAGAACAAGGTAAGATGGTTGCTTGTTGATCAATTAATCTATTTTGTTTCTAGTGTTCTTCGCAGCCGTTGTTTGGGATGTCAGGAGACGCCCCCCCTTACGAGAATCTTTCTACTCTACCTTGCTCTTTGTTTTGTAGAAAAATTTTTTCTTGCAGTAAGATAAATGCCAGGTTTCTTTGTTATTGATACTTTTTGATAACTTGTGTATTAATGCTCTACGAGGAGGATTTTGGTTGTGTCAATTCAGGCGATAGATGACAACTGGTCCCTAATATCTGTTGCTTCGTTTTTCAGGGTTCGTATTGCAATAACAAGTGTGGTTATTTTAACCGTGGCCATATTATGGAGATATCAAGAGAGCGACAATGTGCGGTTCGTTATGGATAGCGTCACAGGACAGTTCACAATGATTAGCGAAAGACTCGCATCTCTCGTATGTCCCCTTGTAAACTTCGTGAGAAAGATATATCAGAGAGACAATTCATGACAAAGATTTGTTTGACGTTACCGGTAGAAGTAATAGATGACTGGAACTTAATACTTAGACAGGATGAATGCACAATTTATTCAGTTTTAATTGATAGTTTTGTGGTTTTTGTGGAGCCTTTTTATCTGTTGGAAGAAAATCAAGAAGGATTTGATAAACAGTTTAACCTTCACGGTCAGTGGCACTTCTGTGGCAGAGTAAAACAGGCCGCTTACCATTTTTAGTGTGTAGAGGATTTTGGCAGTTTCCTTGTTTTATACTGTATTTCATATTTTACACTCACTCACGCTGCGCTCAAAGAAATTCCCAGTAACTTGGTTAGACTGATCAACAGTTACGGGTTTCAGAACTATTTTCTTGGCTTTTTAGTGGCTGTTGTCGGGTCACTCCTCATCGAAAACGTGCACACACAAAAAGCAATAATTGTAATTAATCTAATTTATTTTTCTCGCTGGTCCGAAGAACAAAATCATGACTTGATTTTTACTATGAGAGGGTGAATCTATTTATTTATATGAACGAGAAATTTAATTGCTTCGCTATTAAGCATTATATGGAGCCGGAATCGAAAATTGAATTAAATCTAAACCGCAAAGGAAATTTCAATGACGTTTAAGACCATAAGCACTCAGTTTATTGTCTCTCCTAAGGCTTGACACGTAGGTAGCGCGAGAAATCTTCACCTGGAAAAATTTTACCGCGTGCGGACACATGGACGCCCAAAAGGTAACTAAACTTAGGAGAGACACTGTTCTTTAGAGCGAACTTGAAGTTCCAAACAGCTCTTGGTGACTACCAGTGCTTTGAACACAACACAACTGAATAAATTATATGTACCCTTCAGGAAGGGGGATTATCGAATGTCTTGTGTTGATGGTTTCTTAGTTTTCTTGTTTATTCATCTACTATCACAGTGTTTAACCCAGGCCCCGTAACGAGAACACCAGTTCCAGCTCCCCCTCCTCACCCCCTAGACCCTCGCAAACTTTGAAAGGTGCTAGTACACGGTTCACATGACTGGTACCGACAATCTTTTGCAGCTGTAACTTTATCAAGGGCTCATCGTGGTCGATATGCCACAACTGACAGATTATTGTTGGATCTCTCACAGAGTTACAATGCCGTAAACTCTTGTCGTTTTTCATTTTGTTTATTTATCGATCTATTGTTTCGGTTCCCATATCAAACCCATCCACCTCACCTACCCCACTTTGCATTTCTGGCCAGCGGATTGGTAATGAAATCTGCGCATTCATGTACCTCGCTACTATGTGTCTCCTTTGGCGCGTTAAACTTGAAAGATGGCAGACTACCCGTCAGACACGAAGAAAGATCTTTCTCAAATTGTGAGAGGCTCTTCAGAAGCAGTAGAACATTCTCAACCTCGTTTTAGAAGAAAATCTAAATACGCTGGACCAAACGAAGAGTTTCTAAAGGCTTTGATGAACTTAGGGATCTCGCGAAATGCAGCTGAGAAGGTGAGTCGACTTGACTGTGCACGTGTCAGTCGGCTGAGTGTCCCTTCTGCGAATTAGAGAAACTTCTACGATTGAAAACAAGACTCCAATTTTTATATTTAGCTTATTCCTTCTGAAAAGTGTCAATGATCAAGTCCAACTTAAATAAACCAATGCGTTAATCAGAAATTCTAGCTTGTGCAAACTATTTTTTTTTTGTACAATCTTCCATTCAAGTCTAAAGTACACATATCCGAAATCGGCCCGGCAAGGACTGCCGTGTAACAAAGCAAATAAATTTGCAGATATTTAGTGCTGATCGTCCATTCATATTTTCATCGTGTCTGTGCAATTATTTATTTATATGAGCTTAATTCGACGGATGGAGATTTTCGTTAAACAAATGATTCACTTCCTCTGTAAAGTTATCAGAGACTTGGACATTGTGTTGAAGGTTATGCAGGGTTTGTTAGTGTCGTTAAATGACGAAGATAATTGTCAAAATTAATGAAAATGTCACAAATTTATGATTAACCCTTTGACACCTTAGAGTGACCAGCATCTAATTTCTCCTTACAATATCAATCCTGAATCACACAGGGATGATGATGTTGGTGATATTCTAAGGAGAAATTAGAAACTGGTCACTCCAAGGCTGAATAGGAATTTCAACGGAGTAAATGAGGGAAACATTGGCCAAACTTGACTAGGTCAGGTTCATTTTAAATTAAATGAAAGTGTCATATAAAATGTTAGAAGGAAATTTTTCTGTGATTGTTTAGCTGGCCGTGGTCTTTCTGACAAGGGACTAATACCTGCAATCTTGCCAATTAGAGGTTGCAGAAATTACCTGAATAATTTATACTATTTGTGAAGTATCGTCACTTACTGTGACCCTTGTTTTCTGTGACTTACTGATAAATAACTCATTTATTCCAGGGTCTTTACATGACTGATAATAGTACCGTTGATGCAGCTGCCAGTTGGGTCCTGGACAATCAAGATATGCCAAATCTAGATGAGCCATTTAAGGTGCAGTGGATCACATTGTCTTTTGAACCTTAACATCAGTATGCATATTCTCCATACTGTTCTTTATACATTTCCAAAGGAGGTGACAAGGAGAGTTTGTTTAACAATCAATAACTTCTTTAGTTGGTGATCATTTCCCTTATTCTCATGACCTTTATGTTAGATTCAAGGGTGGTATTGTTGGGAGAATTTGGATGCAAGTTACTCTTAGGAGTTAAAGGGTTAATAGGTGCTATTCTTGAATGCACATTGGACATTGAAGAAATGTAAAATGGTTTCCGTGTTTACATAGCCTGAAATAAACACGCAGGAGGTTGGGAGAACATGAGATAAGCATAGGAAACCACGACGCGAAGTGGAGTGGTTTCCAGCTTATGGAGTGTTCTCCCAACCTCCCAAGTGTTTATATCAGGCTATGTAAACATGGAAACCATTTTACATTTCTTTTATAAAATGACTTATGAAAGAGGAACAAAAACCGTGTTTACATACGCTCATGTAAAATGGTTTTATGGCCAATCAGAGCGCGCGTACTATTTGAATTATTTTATAAAACTATTTGTGCAATTGATTTACATAATCATTGATTAATACCTACATGATTTACACACAGTCAGTATTGCTGATCTTGTTTGCTCTGTTTGTTGAAGTTGCCACATTTACTTGTCATCGCTATCATCACATGTGCGTATTAGAAAGTGTCCTTCTCTAATATTTCATGCCAATGTTTATCTCACCTTAAACCAGCAAAAAGGCTGCCCGATTTTTTTTAACAATCACTATGGCAACTAGCTTGTTTACTCCCCTCCTCCACTTACTTACTTACAAACTGCCCATCTTGCCACTCCACTGGTGCATGGGCAGTGACAAATTCACTCCATTCTTTTCTTTCGTGGGCCCTCTTCTGGATTGTCCCCTACGTCTGGTGTATGGCTTTCATTTCCGCTTTGTCCAGTCTGCCACCAAGTTTTAGGTCAGCCTCTCTTTCTCTTTCTTTCTGGTGTCCAACGGGGGGCCACAATCCTTAATAAAATTGGGAAAGGGGCAAACTCTAAGCACTGGCCATGTGGTAACTAAAATGGTTGTAACTTGGAGTGCTGCACTTACTAGGAGATGGCTGACTGGGCCAGCTATGGCCTTTTCTGACTTAGTATCAGTTGAAACAGAAAGTTTGTTTTGTGTAATAAATAATTTTTATGTATGAAATAGAATTGAGTGCTGATTTTCCTACTCCACAGGACTTTACACCAGCCCTTGAGGCTCTCCCTTTTGAAAAAGAATATCCTCTAGATGAAAAAACATTGAGCAGTCCATACAAAATGGTCTTTGTGGTAAACACAGAACTCAACATGGGTGTTGGTAAGATTGCAGCTCAAGTTGGCCATGCAGCTATTGGTCTCTATAAGATAATGGCATCCCAGCCCCAAAAATATGACCACATGTTATCACAGTGGGATGATTTTGGGTGAGTAGAATTTAACCTATACTTAAGTTAATATATAAATTGTTCAGTCATACCATTACATCCAAACTGATTGAAGTCACTTATGAGCTCATCTTATCGGTGAATAAATATCTGGTAGGTGATATCAGAAATGACACAACAGAACACACACAAAAAAAGGTTATGGTATATCTGATTGATTTAGTTTGTAAGTTGTAATCTGTGTCAACCTCCCCTGCAGACAGCTACACATTTCCTCGTTAGTTAGGAAGCAGAGTTTTGTTACATCAAGATAACACCCACAAGCTGATCAATTGTGTGTTCTCATATTCGAACTTAATATTATCCAAAACATTTTTGGATTATAAGCTAAATTTTGTTAATTATAAACTGTTTTGGTCTACCTTTAGGGCAACAAAGATAGTGTTGCAAGGTGAAAGTACAGCCCACCTGTTTGATATAGAGGAGCTGGCTAAAAAGGCTCATATTCCACATTACCTTGTCCATGATGCTGGAAAAACACAGGTATGCAACCTATTTTGTTCCATTCCACCAACAGAATGCCTGGAACAGGTTACTTCCCTGATATGTGTTTGGTGAAGGCCAAGTTCGCATTACTTGCTGATGGCTGTGAAACTCTTTTTCTTTACAGGTGTCATCTGGTGCATTGACTGTGATTGGTTTATTTGGTTCATCATCAGAAGTGGGAACACTCACAGGGTTATTACTACTATTACAGAGTATTTGATTGTCTGTATTTTGTACTTCAGGATAGGACTGACTGAGGTCAAGCTATAAAAGTGTTCAATATTATTAATTATCACTAATTATGAATTAATACTGCTCTTTGGTGGTTAGAGAAGGGATTATTAAAATGCAAATCATCAATTTCAAGATTGAGCTTGATTACCTATGTCAACCCAGCGACCCAAGTGTTTTTTTGTGTCTAAGCACAAGTTAAGAGATATAACTTCTATGGCGTTTCCTCTTGCGATTACACTCATTTTGTTCGTGGTTAGTTTTAACTGACCAACCTTTACCACATTTTCCAAATCAGTCATATCATTGATAAAGACATTCTGTTTCGTCAACCATAAGAAACGTTTAGAGAGGGGTGCCATATTTAAAATATACACTTAATGTTTTGAGAGAGACCATAAAGGAGATCGTATAAAGGGAGGCTAACTGATTTCAGTGGTCAAATATAGAAGAGTTTTTAAACTATGACCTCTGAGGAGAATATTAATTAAAAAATACATCAAAAGTTGGAACAGTTGCCTTTTCTTTCATCTCATTCCATAATTGTATACCAACTATTTCCTACCAACACAAATGACAAGGGCAATGTTTCTCGTAGATGTGCCTTGATGCATATGAAGGTATTGAGTTACAGCCTTCGGAGTACATAACACAGGAGGGAGATATCCAGGGTCTATATAAAATAGTACATTAAAGATCAAAGGGCTCTTGGCGCCAGCTCATTTATGTTATGGCTTAAGTTTGTATTGATTTCTTGGACTTGTTGAATATAGGTACAGTTGAATTCGATTTATGTGAACTTTCAAGACTTATGGGATAAAAATTTGTCTTATTTTCAAGAAGTTGTGTGATAAGAAAACTTGTGCGTTCGTCATGATGAGAATTGGAAAAAGGTTGTGTGGGGGCTTGAGGTAGGATGGGAAGAAGTCATTAGGCAGACAGTGTCCTTTTTGTTGGTGTGTTTGTGTGTTTGTGGGGCGGAGGGTGAGCGGAGGGTGGGCAGTCGTTCTTAGTACAATTTCAAGCCTTCATATGGTCTGATTTCCACATATTAATATTTGCGTCGTCACCCAACAGATGAGAGATGAACCACCAGAAAAGTAAACAAATGGCCAGTCACGAAAGCAACTCTTCGCTTTCCCCTGTAAAAATTCGCTGGTTTCTCACGTACTAAGCTAATAACAATATAGGGCACATATGGAAAAATCAGTGTGTGTACACCCCTGAACGTTGAAAATATATCAAGTCGAAGGAACAATTTTGGTCTCGGTCCACATTTTTGTCGACAAAATGAACACATGTCGGTTAAAACGATGAAACGTACGTATCACGTGCAAAGCTGTTAATTGTTTCTCGAATATTGCGCGTGTCAAATATTCAATAGTGATATCTCAGTTATATCTACATCGACATCTACTTTTATTAAGTGGTTAAATTCTGTACCGACATCGCACCAACCAACTCGTGCTCAAAGTGAGAAGACTATATGAAGGCTTGAAATTATTTTAAGAACGTCTGTGATCAGGAAACGGGCAAGGAATATTCCACAATATTGCAAATAATCGTGAAAGATGATCGCTAAAAAGCGATTGCGTGACGCTCGGTAAGTTGTAAGATGACATGTTATCACGTATCAGACGAAAAATCAGTATAAATTCTTAGTCTGCATTTTGTACCCGGTCTGCAGTCTGCATTTTGCACTGACCGGACTGGTATTGCTGTTTTTGTTCGAGTGAGCCTGAAGTCCGAACAGAAATATTGGAGCTCTACAAAAATTCTAGTGAGACTATCTTGGCCGCTATGATTGATGTGTGGACTGAATATTGAAAAGCTCACGAGGAAAAGTACAATGATAGAACAATGATTACTTTATACCAACTGAAGACGGACGCAAACGTGCGGCTTGCCAGTATGGCTTGCCAGTATGGCTTGCCAGTATGGCCACCTCTAATGCTCTTTCGCGTAGTCACAACGTCACGGTTGAAATGAACCCGCTACGGGTCCCCAAGGTGTGAACATTTCGGCTTCTCGATTTGAGCTGTATTTTCAGAAGTTCGAAAATGTGATGAGGTTATTATTTTTATTGAACCTTACAAACATTTTTTTTCTTTCCACGTGAGTTTCTGAGCTTCATCGAAATTAATTTTGACTTTCACTAAGTGGGGAGGGGTAGCATGCGAGACTACTTCCGTTTACGGTCCACAATGCAACGTCCGTCCACGGAATACAACTTCCGTCCACGGTCAACAACTTCCGTCAACATCTGCTCCATCACGATAACTCATTCATTGCTTTCAGCATGAATGAGCTAAAAATGATACAGAGAGTCCATGGGGGTCTAGAACGTTTCTCCCTTAGGTGGTAGAAAGGGAGGTGATTACTACGATAGCCCTCCTTTACATAGTACGCCATTTTCAGCGTCTGTTGTGTAAATGAAGGAGTCTACACGACAGGAAGTTGTCCACTCACTAGCTGAATTTCTTTATCTTATCTTCTATTAGTCTACTTTTGAGCCATACAAGCAACAAGTCATGACAGTCAAGCCAGAGAGGCAAACTCACTTGCACTGAAATAACTACCAGAGCCCCTGCTTCCAGGCTAATTGTAAGATGATATGTGCAGGTACATTACAAATTAAGTTTAGTAAAAGTGTCCTTCCCACACCCCTCTGAATGTTGCCTCTGGTTATCATAATTGACATGGCCATAATTGGAGTTCTCAGAAAATTTAAAAAAAGGTGGCTCCTGCTGATGTTGATCTGTGCTATACAAGGCCTACATACTGTCCTACCTGGAATACTACAGCCCACTTTAACAGGGGATAGATAACAGGGCTCGAAATTAGCACTCGCAAACTCGCGAAATGCGAGTGGTTTTTCGAAGTTGCGAGTCTAAAAAATATCCTCTAGCAAACATTTGCGAGTACCAGTATTTTTCCAGTAGAATTTCGATTAAAAAATTAACGCTGAAAATGGCTGCATTGAAAAGTTGCTAGTTAGGTTCCTTCTTTTGCTAGTAAAAAAAATCTTACTAGCAAAACTTTGCTAGTAGACAAAAAAGTTAAGTTCGAGCCCTGGATAACATATTGAATAATAAACTAAAATCTGCTGACTTTTCCTGAAGTGAATATACTGCACATGTAAAAGCCTGCATCTATAGGCTTGTGTTAAATCAATTACAAACACCTCAAAAAGTGTCGTGGACACTGCTCAATATCATTGTGGTAAAGCTAGAATGCAAAGCCTTCCCATTCTTAAGAAAAAATAAGAGCCCCCTTAAAGGCTTGTTTTGAACAACTAACACACACTTTTGTGAAGTTGTATAAAAGTGCTATTGTACACCTCTCTGGGGGTTGGCAATGGACATGGCTTAATATCATTGTAGTAAAGCAAATCCTACTCATTCTTACAAAAAAATAACAGCCTGCTTCAAGGCTTGTGTTTTATAACTAGCACACACCTTTATGAAGTTATATTAAAGTCCCATTTATACACCTCTCTGGGTGTGCCCTCACTGGGTGTGCCCTCACTGGGTGTGCCCTCACTGGGTGTGACCTTTGTACACCTCACTGGGTGTGCTTAGAGCTTCCCATAGTACTCAGTTATTAAGCAGAGGTACTACATCTATATCCTTAAATTTCATGCATATGCTTTACAATAACAAAGGAATACATAATTGTTTATTCCACACCTTCTCATGCTGGTTATAAGTGTGTTTGATCTTGTTTGGCTGCAGAGACATAAAAAAACAGAACTATAATTAATTAATTAATTAATTAATTAATTAATTGGACAATTGGAATTACAGTGAAGTATCAGAAAGTAAAATTTACCAGCACTCCACTGAAGTCACTCCAAGGAGTGACTGAAAGGAATTTCTCTCAACAAAATCACAACATTTTAAGGCAGAGATATGTCAAGGGAGAGCCAAATGGATGGAATCATTTATTAGAGGTTAACAATTTTATCACTAGGTTAACCTAACAATACATTTTAGTAATATCAAAAGAAATGATTTACTACCTAAGTGATGCATTCACTCAAATTCCAAGTTACTGAGTCTTGTCTTGTTGAGCTGCAAAGAAACAAAAAAGACAAAAGGAGACAGAGGAGTGGGAATTTGAGATGAATATGGGCTACCATATCTGTATGAAATTTTACTCTACTTCAGAGTTATTTGTCATGCATTATCAGGCCACAACAGTATTCACGTCAACTGCAGTGACCATGTACATTGCTTTACTTTGACAACTGCTATAATATGACTTTGTATAATCAACACATGCAAATCGCATAAAAGAAATTCATACCAGAAGCCATCTTCAGCATCTCCTCGACAAGATCTCCACACTCTTTCTTCCAACTGTACATCTCATTATAATGTTACTGCAGTAAATCAGCCTCTTCAAGCCATACTTTCCTACCCTTGTCCCTAACTTTCCTAATTGCCTTAGACCACTCACTGACATCCTCTGATACCACAATGGATGATGAACCACTCATGACATGTGTCACAGCTTCACTGAGTCCAGATGCACTCTGTACCAGGATAGGAAGGCCGGATGACAAGGCTGCAAGACCAAACATTCCAAATTCTTGTTCACCTGAGGGCATGATGGCAAGATCTGCTTCAAAGAGCCACCTTTTCAGCTCTTCTTCATCTTTTGGAGGGCTACAAATGATCACCTGATGTTTGGGCACACCACATTCATGAAATTTCTCAAGAAATCCTTTTTGTTCTCCTAATTAGCAGCACCAACAGAAATAATCTCATAGGATCCATCCTTCAACCCAGCAACTGCTTTAGCAACAATTTCAAGTTTTTCTTTGTAAAAATACCGGGGGTGGTCATGTCCTGTGACCAGGATACAAAACTTTTTCCTATCACCTGGTTTACGTGTGACATCAGCAAATTCACGGAGTATAACTGGAGTTAACTTAAAAACTTCTTCCTTCTGACAAGAGAGGGAAAGAGGGAAACAGAAAGTCTGTCAGCCATCTTTGGTCCAACAGAAACTGGAAGATCAGCCATTTCCATGATAGGCTGAACATTGCTTCTTCCTTGGCATACAGCATCCATCTCAGCCAGGATATCTCTTAGTTCGCTGTCTCTAGAGAGGCCTTCTACAAAAGAATCACAACCAACAAAAATACTTTAAATTTGCAGTGGTGAAGTTTCTTACATATTTGTGCCATTTCGCAAAGTCTCTCACTTACACCAATTACAATGTCTTTAGTGAGGCTTTTTGGTAGAAAGTAAAGCCAGTCATAGGGATCTTCCACTTTCCGCACCTCTTCTTGTGAAGTTCATCACATGAACCTTCAGGGACCAGGACAGAGACTTTCACATGAGGGAATTTTGCAAATTGTGTGGACAACTCTGTTGTGAGGATTTATTCGTTTCCCCAAAATCTCAACCTGCACCCCCGTTCATTTGTTAGGATGGTAACTCCGACTGGATTGCTGGACGACCAACTTCCATGACATGGCACCTGATTAATTACTTGTTGGACATAATTCTCTGCTTGGATACATTGACTCTGAAAAAGAGGAAAAAATATGTTTTAAAAGTGATAATTATTACTGTCACTGACTGGAAGATCTCTCCACTGTTTGTAAATGTAAAAGCATTGTGCCTTTCGTTTAAGTTTAACACTTTACATTGTATTATTTATGGCTAAAAATCATGCCATGATGTCACTTGGTAAAGGTACATCGGAATTTACACAGCTTTTACCAGTATGCACTGCTTCATGCCAAATTTTTTCTTTCAGAATTTCCCAGATTAAAACATAGATTCTGGTTTGCTAATTGTTGGACAAAACTTTCTGCACAAACTCTGCTACCACAAAAGGGAAATATGTTTCAAAACTGATGACAAGTCAGCCTGAGAGATTTCTTTCATGTTTGCATATGTAAATGCACATATATTTAACAATCATGTAAGCACATTCTGAAATTAATCCACTACAGCTCTTAACGGTAAAACATACGTCTACATGTAAATGACATCATGGAGCATTAAAATCTCATTTTCTTTCATACAATCATGTATATCCCAAAAGAGTTATCCTTCTGCAGGGACATTAGCTCACTTGATACTTCCTAATTTATGTTTTTCAATCAGTTTTAAAGATTGCTTAAAATCATTACACATTTCATAGTTTCCATTAGATTGTTCGTTACCGCACTTAAAACTTTCAGATTTTACCATAGAGGATTGAAAAAATGCAATAAATGGTAAAATTATGTAACCATTTAACTTACCTCCTCAAGCTGCGTACAGAGCCTGTGCTGAAATGCAATCAAACAGGGACATTAGCTCACTTGATACTTCCTAATTTATGTTTTTCAATCAGTTTTAAAGATTGCTTAAAATCATTACACATTTCATAGTTTCCATTAGATTGTTCGTTACCGCATTTAAAACTTTGAGATTTTTCCATAGAGGATTGAAAAAATGCAATAAATGGTAAAATTATGTAACCAACTAACTTAACTCCTCAAGCTGCGTACAGAGCCTGTGCTGGAATGCAATGAAACCAAACTTAGTTGTCACTTGGCTATGCTTTAATCAAACTTCATCACAGAGAAATAGGAAGCCACTTTGCTTCTCGCCACAGAGGTAAGTGGCATGTGTGAAAGCACTTAGTCTACTTATTTTACGTGAAGTAAATTACACGTATTACGCTATACCCTTAACCTCTTACGGAAAATACGAGATGCAGCTTCTCTTTTAAGGCCCGAAAAATAATTTCTGCACACATTATTGAAAATCTTTCAAGAATACTCTATATCATAAGTCACTGATAACAATATGTAGTACGACAGTTCGTTCAAGATTCCAAGGTCTTGCCTGAGACCTTCAAGTCCGTTTTCGAAAACGGTGTCTTATGGATCAGTAAGAATTTAAGCTTTAATACTGCCAAGACCTCACATCATTTTCGCTACGAAATGAATCTCAAACGAATACGTTCGCACAACGCTGGAGAAACTGCTAGTGGTGTTAGTCAAGAAATCTAAACTAAGTGATATCCCAAAATTTCAAAATTTCGTTACCCCTACTTCGGATAATGAATCATCCAGCCGAAGAAATTTAGGAGGACTGCACTCCTTCTCGCTCATATTTTCCAAACTCATCCGATTGATTTATCTTTACATGTGGCTCTCAAAGACATCTCTTTATCACTGTGATTAGCTGCCCTCTCTCGATTCTGTGATTCTTCCGTCGGTTCACCTGAGGTTTGCAAATCTTCTTCACACTGATATTCAAGCCGCAGTCTAATCTAGTTTGTTTTGGAAACCACTTTTCATTTACGTCCTCTTCCAGCCTCGATCCCAGGCAAGGCTTCAAGCTTCCAAAAGTTTCACTGAGCCAAAATCCTTGTAAACATAATGGTCTGTACTAGACTACATCATTGACCTAAAAACCGGCGGTAAAAGAAGAAGCCATTGACAAAATGAATGAGATTAATTTGGTCTCAACAAATATCAAAACATGTCATGCGCTAAGACGAGCAAACAAGCGAATAAATACACAAACAAAGACAAAAATCCCAGGGAAACGAACTTAAAAAATATGATAAGTTTCGACAGTCTTTGCTGTAACCCAGTCCTGCTGTGGACTGTACTAAGAACGTTTCCCCGCAAGGGCTGCATGTCAATAGCTCGCCTTCGAAACAAGAAACATAGAATCAGGAGCATGTAACCTAAATATGTTATAAGCTTCTTGTCAAATTGATGGTTCCTAGTAAAACACCATTTCTGTCATATCAGTGCCCAGTATAACGTCCCATTTTGCTGAAATTTTTACTTTATCATTCACAGAAACTTTACGTAAGATCTAGCTTAAGTGAACAACTCATATCATAGTGGAGCCAACCGCAAAAGATTGGTTCCTAGCCGCGATTCTCTCGGCATTCGCTTCGCTGAACGGCAGACCAGTCGTCAAATTGTGAACGTTGATGAAATCGCTTTCAGAAATACAACCGAAGAGTAGCTTTGCTAAGATTAAAAAACTCGTCTTCATGGAATCGACGATACCAAAGATGTATTAGGTAGGTTATCAAAGGGCGTCTAATTATACGCAGTTTCATGCTTTAAAGGGCATGTAAACCCAAAAAACGTTCATTTTCTTTTCACATAGATGTTTAGTAAATATATCAAGTACACCAAAGGTACCATTCGTTTTTTCTCACAAGTCCATTTTCACTTTGTAAAAGCTCTTCCAAATTCGAAACACTCGCCATCTTGAATGGCGCCATCTTTCCTGTGACGTCACGGGTGGACCCTACAAAGTCTTGTTTAATAATCGCGTGAGGCACGAAGGAGTCTTTTCTACAGCCGTTGTTCGCCGGTCTCGTCATGATTTTTTTTTTTTACAGTTTGCTTCAATATATTCAATTTTTTTTCGTAATGGTAAAGCGTTGTGTCGTCCAGTTTTGTACTGATTTAAACAAAACTGGGCATACAATGCAAATATTTCCAAATGACGCAAATTTGAAGCGACAATTTGTGAAATTTGTACAAGTGAAAATAGCCGATTTTGTCGGCTCGACGAAATCGGCTATTTTCACTTGGACAAATTTGACAAATTGTTTGTAGCAGTAATTTTTCTTCCTGGTGCTGTACCGAAGATTCAGGCCTTACTAGAAGCAAATTATTCGGAAGTATAAAAACGACCCATACAGTCGGTAGACGACGAGGATTCGGAAGTGGCCGACCGAACTGAGAAAGAAGTTGAGCTCTTCAAAAGTTAGAGGTCAACGGAGACAGTACAAAATCGATTTACATGAAGACGTTTCGTTAATTAAACAACGATAGCTTTATTGGTTCTCAAAAAACATCTTTTTCTCATCTAATGAAAGATTATGGGGAAGCCAGTTGTTCGGGAGCCAGCGCTGAGCCCATAAAAGACACTGACTCCTCTGATCCTTTGCCTGAATTCGAAACACGTATCAAAGAAAGAGAATTCGTTGATGTCAGTGTGTAATAACGTGATCTGGAATTTTGTTGGTTCGATGCAAAGAATTCTATACAGGATCCCATAATCAACCCTTATGTTCTATAAGAAAATCCATGCCAGCCCCACTTGGTTCTTCCTTTGAGAAACTCAGCAGAGAAACAGCAGAAGAATTTGTGTCACGATTTTCACAGCAGTGAAAATACATTCAAAGGTCAGTAGGACAATATTCATCATTTTGAGTACAACTTAAAAGATCCTGATTTCAGCTTGCAAAACTATCTTTTCAGTATTTCAAATCGAAGCAAACACAAACAGGGTTGGATAATTATGAAGGCCTCACAAGGAAATGTATATGGTACAACTTGTTTATCGATGGAAATGCTTCGGAGATGAAGGAAAGCAATACATAGATATCTCATAAAGAACGGGCATAACCTCCAGTGCTGTAAGACATAAATAACTAAGATCTGCATTAACATATACCTTTGTTTCTCTCAAAGGTTTGGCGGTTTTAATCCAGTGTAAGGCGATCCAAAATCCGCTGGAAAAATGTTTCGGATATTGTTTAACGCACAAGATGGCACAGCGACCCTGAAGTGTTTGCCGAGATATTCCCAACACCAACGAACAAGCTATCTGTAGGCAATTTAGCGAAATTTCCTGCCAGGAAAGAAGCGAAAAACAACTAGCTCTAGTATTGTATTGTTAAGTCAATGGCAAAAACAACCCAAGCAAATCGATCTCAAAATGTAACAAAACAGATGAAACAGAAAACATTTAGCTTACTCGTTTCCGGTGTGATTATCTGTGCCTTGCTGCTGCCTGTACGCGGAATTGGCCGTCTCCAGCACCCAGAAATCAAGGCAAATTGACTGAAAACCTGGATGCTCAGTGATACAACTTATCTGGGTTTCAGGCCCTTGCTATTCTACTTTTTGCCACAATTGCCCGATTTCTGTACAACAAACACTTTCATGAGTTGTCGGCATTGGTTGACAAGTTCCACACTCGCACCTTTGATAATTTTATATAAAACACTCTCAGAAGCTCGTTTAAAAAATTTCTCTTGCATTCTTTTAGATTGTACCCTCGCTTTATTGGATTTTCATGTCAAATACAAATAAATCACACAGTAAATTAAATACCAGTCCGAATTTGCGAGACGGTCGCATCGCTGTCGACATGTTCTGTACTGTCTTCGTGCGGATCGCTTCGGTGAACCCTACGCGGCTCATATTGTTAAGAACGTGGCCCAGACTCTCCTGAAGATTCTGGATTATCCCCATCGCTGTCATGTACTAAGCTTAAGGCATTCGAGTCGCTATCTTCTGAAAAAATATCTTCCAAACTACCGCTACTTACACGAACTCCCACACCAGTTCTATTGGGGAATATGTGTTGCGCAATATTTTAGTTCCACCGCTTACGTCACGACTTCTCGCTATTGTTTTTACCGGAAATGGAATTTCAGTTGAAAATGCCGATTTTCTCCTAAAAATAAGTCGAATTGGACAAAACGAATTTCAAATTCGTTTTCTACGCCACTTTTTACACAGTATAAGAAAAACATGTATTTTTGGGTTTACATGCCCTTTAAGAACAACAAATCAAATCAGTTATTTTAATTAAAGGTGCTCATGGACTTGGTGATTGACCTAACTATTGTCCGACTTAATCTTTCATAAAAGTTTATAACAACAGCTACTCAACTGCTTTGTATAATATAAACTGAGATCGGTTACTAAAGGTCAATTCCTGGGTGGCGTAATTAAAATTGCTTTTGTCAGTCACGAATCATATCAGTCTCCTGCATAAATTTGCAGACATTACGCCGGCCACATGTCACGCGACATCGCCTCAACCGATGCTAAACGAAGATGGCGTCCGTCGAGACAATCTCGGCTTCTGGAGAAATTTCTCCTCGTTTCGAAAAACTTCTTCGAGGAGTGTCCGATGAACTCAGCCCCGAAGAACTAAGGCATGCCGTATCGTCCATAAAAACTAATTTTAGGGGCAAGTTTGCGGATCAAGGAGAACAAGATTTGTACTCATGCCTCCAATTATTCGCTATCCAGGGTCTTGTATCGGAGGACAATCTGACTTTGTTGGAGGGGTTTTTGAGCCCGAAAGCGTCCAAGAAAAATTCGCTAAAGGAAAAAATTCAACAATTTAAGGAAAACCGCCAACAAGAGGTCAGTTCTGGAAAGGAAGAACCAGGTTTGACCGGTAGGGAACGTGACCTAGAGAAAGTTATGTCAATGTTGATAAAGGGAAGTTCGCGTGTTGTCAATTTGCATGGAATTAGTGGAGTAGGCAAGACGAAATTGGCAATGGAAATTGTTTCAAAGTGGCCAGGGAGGAAATTCAAAGCCGATTTTAGAGAAATCACAGAAATGAAAGACGTTCATTTTCATGTTTTAAACGCTTTAGCACCAGACAAAACGATCATAAGCTTCGAAGAAAATCCAGTAGTTGAATTAATGAAACAGTTAAGGCAAGCAGAGCAACACAGTGACATATTACTGCTCCTTGATAACGTCGATAAATTTGCAGGAGGAGATGACGAAGCTTCCACCTCCCTTAATGCCAATTTTGTGATGTTTCTGCAAGGACTTCTAGGTCCAAAGGATTATCCGGGGAAATCGAAATTGAAGATCTTGTTGACATCAAGATCAACACTTCGTCACGCAAAGTTAACCAACGTCGATAATTACGAAGTTATGGCCTTAGAGAAAGCTTCATCAAGTGCTCTATTCCAAAATCAGAGAATTGGCAGTGTTCGAGAGAGTCAAATGGAGAAACTGTTGCAGATGTGCCAGGGGAATCCCCTCATTATTAAGGGAATGGCAGCTATCTTGAGGCAACAAATAGCCGATGACACCAGGATTCTGGAAACGATTGCGCAGCCACTAGCGGCCGAGCCACCAGAGTCGGGAATACCAGCAGCAGAGGAGAGTCGAGAGAGAGACGTATTTGACTCTGAAAAGGAAGGCATTGATAAAAAGCAAGAAAGCTGTTTAAGGAAAATGTTTTTCTACTTGCCGAGTAAACAGTTAAAAGATTCTGCCATTTCAATGTCACTGTTCTGTCGCTCTTTCTCTGTCGAAGCAGCAGCCGAAGTCCTTGGAGTGGACTCGTCAGAAGCTGTTATACAACTAGAAGGCCTCAGGAATAGTGAAGTACTAACGATAGACCCTGACGTGAAAGAACTCACCTATGACATTCACCCTTTGTTGCGAACATTTCTGAGAAGCATTGGTAGTAACCAAAAAATGTTCGTCAAAGTTTACGAGAAGGCAAAAGGCAGGTTTCATACATATTTCATGTCCAAAATGGTAGACATTTCCAGGCTTTTGGACAAAGACTACATGAATGCCTTCGATAATTTTGATCTTGACAAACCGAACTTTGAACTTGCTTTGGATATTTCTTTCAAGTCAGACCATCTTCTTATCCCAAAAGAGCATCGTGGAAGTGTTATGATCTTCTATCTCTTCGAGGCCATGCTTGACGAAAAAGCAAGAAAGAACATTTTTAATTGCTGGGCCGAAAAGGTCGAAGAAGATGGAAAGGAAGGTAAACTTGTATCATTTACTAGAAAAAAGTCTTAGTTTACGTGGGGGGGTTTTTCTAGAGACTTTGGTAGTGTAAGTTAGCCGTCGACCTGATGGAAAAACTAACAGATAAAACTGACTAAACTCGACTGAGAAAAACAATTTAATTGACTCTAGCTGACTTTAGCTCAGATTGTCGAAACTTCAGTCACCACTGCCGACAACAGTCCTTCTCAGGACTTCACTCACCCGGACGATTAGACTACACGATTAAAGGTACTTAGTGAAATCTGATCCTTTCGGTAAGGAGCCTATAACCCTCTCATTTTGTCCGAATCTGTTTAAACTCCCAAAGAATCTTTCACGGTAACGTTATACAGGGTATAAGAACTAAGATTCAGTATGTTTTTTCTCAGTTTTGTTAACGAAGCTCGACAAGGTCGTTTGTCGCAATATGCGCATCTTTTTATCTTGCAAAAGGTAACTTCCCGAATTGGGTCAAGATGCATCCCTACCCAGACTTTCCTTAAACGCTGCTTAAGTTTACCATCATTGACATTCTAATGAGAAATAAAAATGCTCTCTGGTTAAAAACGTGCACAAAACTTAGAGGGAGAGAAAAGCTTTTTTCCCTTGTTGTCTTTCTAGGTTCCTTGCTTCGAGCAGAACTAAAATGCCGCGAAACTTTGACGGTTCTTAACCTTGAAGGATGGCAGAGAGCATTGACAGTTGCGAGGAGAGCAAAAGAGTCGCTTAGCAAAGTGCAGAGGGAAAGTAAGAGCACAGATTCATTTAAGTTGACCAAGAGTTCCTACCTGTACGCTAAGGGTGAAGTGTATCACAGAGCAGGAAATATGGCAAAGTCACTGAGGATTTTGCACAAGGCGCTGAAGATAATGGAAAATGAACTTCAAGGCCACACAAGCACTTCAAGGTGTTTAAACGCCATTGGAAACTGTCACAACAAGCTAGGAGAACATGACGAAGCCATAAGTTACTACACGAGAGCATACGATATGAGACAGCAGCTCTCTGGCTCAATGAAACATTTTGACATGCCCTTCTTCAAAGGACAGATCGGAACGGTTTATGAAGGAAAGAAACAATTTGAAAAGGCAATCGAATACTACAAAGAGGCCTTAGAGCTCGCTAAGGAACTAAAAATCCCAGGCATGGTGAACACCGCGCTGTACAATCGAAACATTGCTAACGCGTACTGTTGGTTGAGAAACTTTGACGACGCCTACCAACCCGCAAAGAACGGTTACGAGATCCGGAAGGTCGTTTTGGGAAGGCACCCTTGGACTGCACGAAGTGCTTTCCAAATGGCGGAGATTTGTCGAAGCTTGGAGGACTTTGACGAAGCGGAAGAGTTTTATGAGCAAGCATGGGAGATTGAGAAGTCTCTGGGCCAAGGAAACCACAGCGAGGTCATGGTCAGAATCATTGAGAGCTACGAAGCGATGCTTCTCAAAGGGAAGAGGAAAGATCAGTTTCGACAAGAAGTATTCGACTTTTATCTACGCTACTGGAACGAAGAAAGGGCCTTCGAAGGTTTTGAGTTTTCTCCCGCCAACAAGCGAGTTATTGATTCAATAAATGAAAGGCTTGATGAATTTGGCGACCTGCAAACAAAGAAGAGATACCAGAAAGAAGCTCTATGGTTTTATGAAGGCGCGTGGAATTCACCCGACACGAGAAGGTTACCAGACACCGCCAGAGAGGAAGTTCTGCAAACTCTCTGCGGTCTCTGTAAACAGCTTCGCGAGAAAAATATGGCCGAAAAGTACAATAACCAAGCCTTTCGATTTTATGAAAAGAAGTGGAAAAGGGACAAGGAAGGGATGTCAGAGCGCGACAGAATCGACATTCTTACCACTCTTGTAGACATGGCTACATCACAGATGAAAGAGAAGAAGAAACAGAAGTATGAGAGTTTGTTAAAGGTATGACAAAGTTCTTTAACCGATCAATGCATTACATTAAATTGAACGGGTTTTAGTTTAGAGATATATGTTTTTCATCTTGTCACGAGCGTGGGACAAAGGAGGGACATGAGGAATCGAACCTCAAACCTTCAGATTCCGCGCTCCAATGCTCTACCATTAAGCCATAGAGACTGTACGGTGAGCGAGATCTATTACGAAGTTCTTGTGAGTTTGGTTTGGTAAGTATGATAGTACGATCATTAACTTTCATTTGTATTTCGCTCTATTATTTGTTGAACCGAGCAACCTCGCGAAATCTACCCAGCCAGTCTCCTTGTGGAACAGATGCATCCCTGACTTGCCAAAGGCGTTGTCCTTATATTGCCCAGGCATGCTACATTATCCTTGGTGGCTCAACATACTTTGCTTTTTAGTAGCGCTTTTACGTTACTTAGATTTGGACTAATGGCGATTCTTTGAACTTTTTCCCGTTTTAACACTCACTCAGGAAGCCAAACAGAGCGGAACTTTGATGGGAACTGTGAAAGGATTCCTTTCTTTAGGAGCAAAAGGTATTTGATGAGGAAATACTTTGACCATAAGTTGCGCTTATATTAAATAACGAAAGACACACGCGTTCTATCGGAAACATTAGTTAAAAACGCTTGCAATTACGCTTATAAAAAACGTGGTTAACCAGGTTTTTTTTAATAAGCGTACTTGCTGGCGTTTTTAACCAATATGTTTTAGAGAACATGAGTGTCTTTCGTTATTTATGAGCATGGTTGATGTTATGTAAGGTTCGTCATTCCACGGGGCGTGGGCAAACAAAGCTTTATTGTTATTGTTTTTCAAATGCGGGATTTGCTTTTCATTGGTGAAATCTTTTTCGAACAAAAAAACTATTTTAGAAGCTGAACAGGTATCTAGTGAGGACGATGATGATGATAATGAAGTTGACATTCCTTACGATGATGATGATGATGATGATCTCGATAGTAGCAGTGGTAGCGAAGAGATTCCAGAGGCTAGTTGGCAAGTGCAACAACTAACAATTCAGGAAGAAGATGGCGAAGAGTTAGAAAGTGAGCAGGAACAAGAACCAGATAGGACAAAGATACACGAGTAAGTGAAAATGAATGAATTGCCAGGAATCGGATCCATGCGTTTGCGCAAAGATTTAGGATCGCCACGGGGCAAACATAACAAGTTGATGTAAGGAAATATGTGGCCGAAGATTTTTCGACATCCAAAAAACACCATTTTGGAGAGAGATCGATGATTTTTCGTCGCATTTTTATTAAAAATAGATTAGACAGTGTTAATAAGAGGGAACTGTAAGATTTTGTCAGAGTTACCACGAAATCATATGTTATAAAGTATACCGAAGAACTTCTCTCCTTGCGTAAGGTCTATTAAAAAAAGAAACATACAAAATTGATTGTCTGAGGGCCGTAACCAACTCTAGGTGCAAGGCCTTAGAAAGCTTCACGTCCGCTTGAGATGTGGGCTGAAAGAGAAAAATAAGAGAGGGAAAGATCAGCAGTTACGTGTGCTGGCTTAGGTCGCGTCGGACGGCAAAATTGTTGGCTTTTGGGAAAGAAACAAGTTTGGAATCGTAACAAATTGATTTTATTTTTCTTAGTGTATTTAGTTGAAACGGTTACTTTCTTAACCCTTTAATTCCAAGATCTCATCAGTAATTCTCCTAACTGTTTGCTATATACTTCTTGCGATGTTAGTTCGGAGAATTTGGTATTGGATCAACTAATCATCCCCTAATTAATATTTTTCTTTATTCTCATCACTTGTCTGCTTGATATTGTATTGATATTGTAAAGAGAAATCCTGTCTTGTTGACTCATGGGAGTTAAAGGGTTTAAGAGCGATAGATATACGGGACCTGAGCCTGGCAGTCAGCTTGCAATCCAGGAATTATGACAAAAAAACTGAACCAAAATGAAGGCAGTGTTGATGACATTATGGATTACAATTCCAGCGAAAAAAATCTCTTTTCTATCCAGTTGATTTCATTTTCATTCATGGTATTGTGATTATTTTCAGAGGAACACTCACTAGCGAGGACGTGCATTGGAACATCAAGCTAGGGGCTGTACATCTAGCCTTTCCTCGTGATGCTGTATCTGAGCCCACCCTGATAACGGTTCATCGATGGAAACCCACGGTCCTGTCACCGCCTTTACAGGAGCACGAGGCTCTCGTCAGCAACGTGATTGAAATTTCTTCGAACAGTCACGAAGCTTTCAAATTTGAAGCTGAAGTTAAGATGTCATTCACTCACAGTTCTCCCGGCCTACACGGCTACGAGTTGGTGTTGTACAAACGGATTGACAACGAGACTGGTGCATGGGAAGAAGTGACCGATGTGGAAGACTTCAAAACTATCTCAGGTTGGAGGGAAAGCCTTTAAATTTGTTCATGTTAAATTACAGATAAACAAACTTGATGCATCGTTGAGTGTGTTGGTCGAACATGGATGGATCTGCGAGAAAATCTGCCTCCAGGAATGTCTTAACAGAGGGTAGCAAAGGGGTGGGGTAAAGGGGGGGGGGTTTGATCCCATTTCACGCGTCACGTATAATAAGGGAAAACTTCCTATCTTTCTTCTTGTGTACCAAGTTTCAGGGAAATCTTGAGGTTTTCACGAAATGAAAGAAAAACAAAAAAACGGAATACGCGTATTTTAAGAGACAAATCACGCCTCACGTTGGTTCATAATTTCGCGAATCACGCTCGCCTTTTTCTGTGAAATTCAAGTGTTGCATATCAATTTTGTCCCTAAGCACTAGTCACGTTTAAATCCTTTGCCTCCCTCTGAACGTAGCTCATGAGTATGCTAGATGATTTTAAAAAGGTTGCTGGCTGCCACTAGTGAAGCCAAATATTGTTTGACTGGTAACAGTCAAAGTTGGTGTAGTTAGCCCCACGGTGAACACGGAATAAATATTTACGCTCTAAAATATTGTGAAGACATTTTTCAGAGCGACTCTTAATAATGGTGAGCCATTAAGAAAGAATTCGATAGGTAGTTTTCCTTGTATTTCTTGGTCAGGACTCTTCTGAATCGTTGAGCCAGGTTTACACTAAAATTAGCTCCCTGTTAACCTTGTCTAAAGACTAAGGACCGCTTATTTACATGAGGTCTAGCCCAAATAATGGTTTTACGCAATCAGTGGGCCTCAGGTTTTTCTCTATAGGAGGGTTGATTTAGTTAGATAAATGTCTTCCACTGTTGGCTTCCGGCCCTCTTGACACTATTCACAAAAATTAATGCCCAGATAAAAGGTTCAGCTGAGTTAACAATTGCTTAGGACGCGGTTTTGTTGAACTACGGCTAAACTTTGTTTAAATAATAAAACCTTATTGTTCGTACTTGTAAGTCTTTGAGAATTCTTATTAACTCGCCCTCATTTATCCTTTCACTAGATGCCTAAAAATTAACTTAATCTATAATATATTTGTTCTTTGCTTTATTGATATAGATTTTGAAGAAGAATATCAATCTAGCCAAGACATTCCCAATTTACACTTTCCTATTGTGCAAGCGGATATAACAGAATGTGCCACATATGCTGTTGTGAGTCGTCTGCATCTTTCCCCTGAATTCACGATCACATCAAATGGTGGTTCCTTTTTCATGCCTGAATATCCAAGTATAGGTATTACTATCCCGAAAAAGGCTGTTACTTCGAAAACAAGGATTCCTCTTCGAATGAAGGTACAGACTTTTCCTGAAATGTAACAGATGCGAGGGGCATCTAGTGTCATTACAGTAAATGTTCGTGATTGTTTATCTTTAAGAACTGATGGTTGAAGTGTCGAGTCGTTTGACAAGCGAAGTCCTATTGACAAGTTTTGGTAAATCTTGGGACTAAAACGTTTCGTTGTTTTGTTCCCTGAAAATGTACTTTTTACCTTCTTTTTGTTGCTTGAGTCTGTCTTCTACCGTTGGAGATTCATGCAACACTTAAATAATGAATTTAAAAATGAGTGTGGGGAAAATTCTCCCCTTTTCTACTTTACCTTACCGCAACGTAACTTGTTCTTAACCTAACGATTCCTTGGGTTTTCTCTTTTTGACATAATTTTACCTTTAGGTGCAAGAAGTACCAAGTGAAGAGTTTGAGGCTAACGATATACTTATTGGACCTATACTGCGAATAGTTTGCGACGAAACGGTTGAGTTCTTGAAGCCCGTTACCATAACGCTGCCCGTTTCGTTGGGAGACACGCACTATGACTTTCCTGATCCAACGGCATGCCGGGTTAGAATTTTGTTTCTGAGTTCTGATGGTGAACAGAAGGAATGGAAGGAAATCACCGACGATTTGAAAAATCCAGTGACGTTTGACGGGATGACAGTTAATTTTCAAGTGGAACGCTTCTCTGGGTATGTATGTTTATTAATTGCACCAAATGTGGATCGCTGGTTTGCAAATCGTCATTTGCATACCCCCTAATGGGAGTATTTCTGGACGTGGTAATCAAGGAGAAAAACCGCTATTTTCTTATATATTAAAGTTCACACGGCAACCAGGTGGACAATCAAACATTGATGCTACTCTGGCTTACAGATTTAATGAATACAACCGAAGAAGTTACAATTCACAGACCCAACGTTTCGACACTCCTGTTTAGTGCCTTCATCAGGGGTGATCTAAATTCTAAAATTATCACCACTAATCGGCGTTACCACCAGCGCCTTTGTTTGGAAGCTTGGCATATTAACTCCGCCCACGTTCCTTTAAATCGTGACGATGGCGGCTTACTTCCTAACGCCTATTTACACCTCGTCATTAAAAAAGGTAGCTAATTAGTGATCATATGAAAGGACCTCTTGTTGCAGCGTTTAGATCACCCCTAATGAAGGCACTAGACAGGAGTGTCGAAACGTTGGGTCTATGAATTGTAACTTCTTCGGTTACATTCATTAAATCTGTAAACCAGAGTAGCATCAAACTATGTCTGCTATTTTCTTGTTAAAAACTGGAATGTGGTAACCTCAGAACTTTTTCACAAAGAAGTTTTTCGTCAACTTTTAGTCTAGGTTTAGAAAGTATCGAAGTGAAGTTGATTTATTAAGCGAGCACTCGGCTGCGGACATAATAACTGATAGTTAGATAGGAGTTTCAGCATGTATTTGGAAGAGTTCTTCCTATAAATAATTAAGATGCTGAAGCTTCGAACTGAGCTAAGGGATCTGCATTTTTCCCCCTCGAATGCAAAGACGGACAAACGATAGACAAAGCTGGAAAAAACTCTTAGCATCAGACCTACTTTATGAAAGGAAACCCTGTCTCGCGTATTACCATCGTGATACCGTCTTTTGCATCTTTTATATCATTCTTTAAACAAAGAAAAAAGTACACTCTTCCTAACTCAATTTTCTTATTTGCTGTTTCTTGGGGAGACGTCGCTGAAATCCCAAACAACGGCTGATAAGGAGGGGAAAGTACTTGCAGATCAGATCTGGTGCTAAGTTTGCAGTTTACATACAGTTCTTGAACTTTTATTACAGGTACTCGTGTCTTATTGATTGGTGTGCAGAGAGCGTCAGTTATAAAGGCGTTATCGGATATCTATCGAACCTTATTTGGAACCAACCTCAGCTGGCATGGTTCTTCGCTTACTTCCCTCCCGAAGAACGCCCTGATTCTCAAGACATCCTTTTCCTAATTTGCTGCCCGTCTCAACTTAGAGAAAAGGTGCTGGCTGAAATTAAGGATCGAGCTAATGTGCCTACTCCAAGCGATTCAAGCATCGAGATGATTCCTGGGCGTGATAAGGCTTACGTCTCCCTCACAGGAGGGATCAAAGCGATTGAAGAAGATGACATGGAGGAATTTCATCTTCAGTAAGTTTTTAAAAACGCTTTACTGAGAAAAACCACCAGTATGCTATCGACCTGAAGTTTTATACCAGTAGGTTTTTTTTTAAATAATGCCAAGAGGGCCGGAAACATAGGGGATTTTGTTTAATCAAATTCAAAATAGCAATCAGCAGAGAGTTAAGTTGAGTTGTTATTGATAGAATTTAACTCAAACTTTGACTTCATAAATTTGGTTTTTTCTGATGTAAACTGCAGGTGCTACAGAGCCTAGAGAAATAATTAAATTCTAATGCAGATTATCACTGTACACTCGCTCCTAGCTCCCCGTTTCCAGTTCCTCGTTGGGCGTGTACGTAACATCCGTGCTATTTTCTCTGCAGGAAAACGGCAAAGATTCTTGCTAATAAATACATCCTTTTTCGTGCTGATAAGAATTATTTTTAACAGGTTTATAAGTGATGACCTCCATAAAGTTCAAGTTCCAATCCGTGTCATTGATGATAAAGGACTTTCAGGGGTGAAGTTTTTCAAAACACCGAAGTTTGAAAAAGGCACTCTGCTATGTCGATTGAATTTTCGAGTATCGCCTCTCAAGAGAAAGCTGAAGGTAAGAGGTTTATTTGTAGCTTTCTTGGTACAAATTGTCACTGCCTTTTCGATTGCTGTACAGTTTTTGAACGTGTTTTTCATACAATTCCTTTTTGTTCAACGACGGTATTGAGGATGACAGTAGCAAAATTCCGATCAACAGTACGGTAGAGTGTATATCCAAAGCCGACATTTTTCAGGGGACAAATGAATACAGGGGTAAGTTTCTAAAGAAACTGTGGTGCTGCGTCGGTGGGAGAGTATAGCAGGTAATTTAGTGTCAACAACTGAGTTAATTCATACTGACGTTTCGAGCGTTAGCCCTTCGTCAGGGCGATTGAATCGAAGGGCTCTGACGAAGGGCTAACGCTCGAAACGTCAGCTTTTTACCCTTTACGGTGGCTATTTACGTTTTCAACTCAGTTGTTAACACTAAATTACCTGCTATTTTTCAGGGGACAGTTTTGTGTGTGGATGAAATAGAGGAGGAAAATGAAAAAGAGGGAAAAGGAAAGGAAATGCAATACGATCACGTAACATTTCAAATGGATTTTATCATGCATGCATGCAGAGTACATGGCGGAATTCGTAGAAAATAAACATATGCGTCTTGAGAATTAAACATCTACGATCTCATAAAACTAAATAACAACATAGTGCTTTTTATTTATTTTTAGAAAATAGCAGTGGAGTTTTTTGGCATTCCTGTCAATGACGAAATCTTGTCAAATCCGCGTCCTGAGCAGGTTCTGGTGATTGGAAAAAAATTCGTTGGTTCAGGGGTGTATGACGATCTCCTTTCCCGCTTCGACAAAGGCAACATGAATCAGAAGCAGACAATAAAAAGCTTCTATGAGGCTCTTGCGGGATTGAACATCGAGACCCAAGATGAGTGCTTTGAGGCCCTTGTCAAGGAACTGAACGAATACAAAGTATACGGATTTGTGGTGGATCGACTTAAGGAAGGTAACGACATTAAAAGGTCAAACAATTTTAATTTGAGTGTGAAAAGTAATTCAAGACTAGTTTGGTTTTGTTTTACTTCCCTTTGTAATTGGTTCATAAAACAAGTGCCACTTTTTCTAATTCAACCGACCATATTCAAAAGTAAGGGCAATCGTGACTTTGTCGTTTGCGTTTCTCCGGGCTATGAGCAGTTTGCTTGTTCTAACTTTAATAAGCTCCCAGTAATGTTTTCCTTTGATCGGCGGTTGTGATATAAATTTGGTTAAGGTTTCACGACACTCAATTGAATGGAGCTCTGATGGATAATGGGTTCACCCGTTCACAACGCTTGACACATCACCTTTACTCTTAGAAGTTATTAACGCCTGAATTTTCCTCACTGTGTTCATACATTGTCTGGAGTACAAGTGAAGAGAATTGACGAGCTCATCACAAATAATTTTCTCTATATTGCAAGAATATACAATAAAGAGAATTACCCTGATATCCCAAATTCTAAACAGGTTTGACTTAGTATCAATGTTGTTGCAATTTTTGATGTCACGTACCCTGCGGAGCCCCCCTGCGAAATGTTAGTCATTCTTGTAAATGGGGGCACAAGGTTCTACGTTCAACGAAATGTCTCGCGCACTTGTCCTTTTCTGACCGCAGGGCTGAGCCCCGACCAAGTCCTTGGGAAATTAATCTTGCCAAGGTCCGGGCTCAGCCTGGGAACTAGAGGGGAGTTTACGGTAAGTCTCCCTTGATACCATGCAATCATGTCCAGTTTAACAGAGTCGAGATCGCAGAGGGGCTAAGCTTGGTTGATTTGCTCTCGGAAAGGGGTTTGTGATACAAGAAGTTAATCAGTTAGTGGCAGGTTTCTGATCTGATAATAAAGGCAGAATGCACGCAGTCCATTTGGAATTTTTTATCATATTCCTTTTCGCCCTTCTAGGTAAAGATGCTGTTTGCAAATCATTGAAGACAAATGCGGACGTGAAGAAAATTGTATCAGAAAAAGTAGAGTATCATTGGAAAAACCTGGCAAGAGAGCTGGGGCTTGAAGATGGAGGAGTTGATGCGATATCTGTGGAAGAGAAAGATAAATGCGGAGAATGCTGTTATCAAGTTCTACAAAAATGGTGCGAAGAGAACGGCGAAAGGGCGACGATCAGAAGAGTCATGGTGGCTCTGACTAGAGTAGGATTAGCGGACATCAACAACGACATTGTAGATTGTCTTAATTTGAGACGTCAGGATCAAATGGAGTTAGACTCATAGAACTGATAAAATTGGAAGAATTTAGCATTCAATTTGTATCTTCAAGGACGTGTCTTTGGACTTCCTTCAATGCACAATGTACCTTGGTACACACGAGACGAAACGAGCAATCACGTGATGCCAGACATGTTACGGTCAGAATAACATCATGCGAACACTCTTACGGACAATAGAAAATTTGCATGATTTGACCATGTAACTTTGTTATGCACACACATACGCACCCATGTGGCTTTGGATGAAGACTGATGGCAAAAATTGAAAAAAGTTTTGAAAACTTAGTAAAAGTTTGAATTTTTTAAATGTAAATTGAGATCTTTGGACTATTTGAAAGTCTGGTAGTAGGGAGAGTTCGCAATTCAGCTCTCTTTTATCCTCAGAGGCGTCGCTGTATGTAAAACAGAAAAAAGAAAAACATTTTCACGTAAAAGGTCGCTCAATTATCCACCCTTCTAAGTCTAAGAAGGCCTTAAGCATTTGGGCGAAATTACCTATAAATTTTAAGAGTATTAGGCCCAAAGTACATGTTACATCTAAATTTGGCTTACTGGCTAAACTTTATTCCTAGTACATATAAATATGTAGATCAGTATTTGTGCATCCAATTTTAGTAGGGAATGTTGTACCATATGATACGAACACACTGAAAATTTGTTATTCTTTCAAACCCGCGGCTGTAAGTTTTAGAGATGAATTAATTTATAAACTGCATAACAATACTTGTATGCATTTTTTAAAAAACAACTTCTTTGCAAGTAATTTCTGAATCAGAAAGTTGTGGGTATTTTGCTGTTACTAGCAATTTGGACTGAGTTTGGCACACCCAAAATCGCGTATGTTAAGTTCACATTGAATAATTTATTAATAACTTAAGTAAGGCTGCCCTATCTTTTTAGCCCTCAATGGTAATTATGGGCAGCCTGAACTCTCTCCATTTTTCAAGTAATATATATTTTTGTATCATGTAAATTAATGTAGGGTACAAATAAAGCTGTTTTTGTAGTTGAAATGTTTACCTTTCTTTTTTTTCCTTTAAATTTATATTCCTTTTCAAAGGATATGTTAGATATGATCAGAGTAAAACGCACACGTAAGAACGTTTGACGACGTAGCTTTTACGTTTAAAGCGATAACGATGTAGAAATGCAGAGGTGAGACCCTGAAAAAACACCGAACTAAACCCGACAAAACCAAAAGTTTATCCGAAGAAACCCGCTCAGATTCGTTTAGGCTGGTGTCGTGATATTCTGCCATTTTTCGGGGAAATTCTTTTTCCTGAAGAGATGAATGATGTCCAATCCCATCAGATGGCTAAATTTGTTAATGCCGCTAAAGGATCTTCCTTTTTTCTAGAATAACTGGATCCTATTTTGCGACAGGGACGGAAATCTGTTGATGAACACATTGCAAGACTCGCTCTCACTCCAAAGAAATCTTAAGTGGAGGAACATGCCTCAGAGAAGCCATTCGATTTTGAGGAAGATGGAGAAGACATGGATCAGATATCGGTAGTGAGAGAAACATTCGACACACTTTCCACTAAAAGTTTGAAGGTATCTGCAGTAGTGATTTCCTTATTTCATGGGCCTTTCTCTGCAAAAACAGCTGCCAAAGTTGTTTGTGTTGACCAGTCAGAGGCTATTGCTCAGTTAGAGGGTCTTGTAGCCAGCCGTATCATTTTTGTAGTTTATGAAGAAGTAAAAGAAAGAAAGTATGACATTCACCCACTCTTACAGAATTATGCTGATAGTATCAAGAGTCAGGAAAACTTTCTTGCTATTTACCTAGGGGCAAAAGCACGCTCTTATGAACTCTTCAGGTCCAAGATAGAGGAAATTGCCAAATACATAGAGCCAAACTATGTCAGAGCATTCCATTTATTTGAGACAGACAGAGGAAACTATGAGTTTGCTATTGAGATCTCCTTACAACCAGAGTATTTCATTTTTCTTGGTGAATTCCATGAGACTGCTTTGATTGCATCCCTTTTCATTGCAATCCTGAATGAGAAGAAACTAATAATGGTGTTTGATTCCTGGGTTGAGATATGTGAAGATGATGGAAAGACAGGTGTGGTAATTTAACATTGATGGTTTGGTCAATCATAAAACTAAATTAAGAAAATGTGAGAGTGACAATGCTGCAATCAGTTTCCATGTTGTAGTTTATATTAAATTAAAAGAACATGTATGTCACACCTGATTAACAAATGTTAACCCTTTAACCCCTAAGAGTGTCTAACATCTAAATTCTCCTTACAATATCACCCTTGAATCAAACATTAAGGTCATGAGAATAAAGGAAATGATCACCAACTAAAGCAGCCATTGATTATAAAACAAATTCTCTTTGTCAGCATCTTGGGAAATGTATAGTGAATATTATGGAGAATATGGATACTGATGTCAGGGGGTAAAGGGTTAAAAGAAAACATCTGCTGAGGGGCAAACTTTGAATAATCTCAAAATACAACTCTTCAAAAGTGTTAAAATTGTAAAACTTGCCTCAAAATTGGGAATCCTTTCTACTACATTTTGTGTTCTTTTCAGTATTCCTGTCATTTATTATAATTACACACCACCACCATTTCATTTTGTGATTGTGGGGAGATAGCAACACATGTTGTCACTTATGGGGCCTTAAAATGACACAATTCAATTAATGAACATTTCTTTGTCTCCTAAATTTAATTAAATTTAATCTCTCAAATTTAATTATAGTTTTATTATCATAATGTTAAACACTCCTGGTAGGTAGTAATATTTCAGATGAAGAGACACCTGATAAATGTGCTGATATAAAGTTGTTACAATGATCATTATCATTCTTATCAGTATTAATATCATTATCATTTTACTGCATTTGTGGGTTCTCTTGCTCCAACACAATTTAAATGCTGGGAAGCAAAGCAAGTTTTTGATGTCTGTGGAACAGAGAAAGCATTGAAAGTATTCGTGATAGCTTTCCATTCACTGGAGGAAGTCAAATAGAGGAAGTCTGATTATTGAATAGAAGGGAAAAAACATCAAAGAAATTATATAACTTAGTTACATTAAATATTGGCAACTTTAGTACCAATTTTCAAAAAAAAAAAAAGCCAGGCTCTGGGCTAACACAAACAGGCAAAAATTGTCTTGGGTCTGTTCTGATAACCACAAGTGTTGTTTTTTTATTTTCCCATTCTTTTACATGCCTCCACTGACTTGGGGTGTGGAACAGGCTACATCAAAAATGGTTTAGATAGGAATACAAAGTGTGACAATTAATTGCCTCCCTAACTAACTGAAGCATCAACAGGCATTCTATGCCAAAATTTCACAGATTAAACTTGAATGGTAGGATTGTAGTTGTTCCCAAGGTGGCAGAAAGGGAGGTGATTACTGCAATAACCCTCCTTGTGTAAATGAGAGAGTCTACATGATGGGAGGTTGTCAACGTCCTATCTGAAATTATTTATCTATTCATGTATTAGTCTGCCTTTGGCCCATACAAGCAACAAGTTATGATAGTTATGCAGGAGAGGAAACTCACTCTTGCTGAAATAACTATGTGAGTCCCTGCTTCCAAGCTTATTTAAAGATGATAATTAAGTGCAAGTATATTACAAAACAATTTTAGTAAAAGTGTCCTTCCTACACCCCTCTGAGCATTAACTCCAGCCATTATAATTGGCACTGTTTATCAACCTAAAGTACATGTGCTTAGAGCTTCCTATAGTACTCATTTAAACCACAGGTACTACATCTATATCCTCAAATTTCATGCAATTTTTTTTTTGCTTTATGATTTTTTTTATGCTTTATGATAACAAAGGAACACATAATTGTTCACTTCACACCCTCTAATGTTGGATAAGAGTGTTTGGTCTTGTTTGGCTACAGAGAAATAGAAAAAACATAACTAGAATTAATTTATTAAATTACACAGTTTGACGATTGGAATAACATTTAAGTCTCAGAAAGTATAATCTACCAGCACTCCACTGATGTCACTCCAAGGAGTGACTGAAAGGGAATTTCTCCTGACAAAATCACAACATTTCAAGGCAGAAACATGATGAGGGAGAGCAAAATGGGTGGAATCAGTTATGAGTGGCTAACAACTTTATCAATTGGTTAACCTATAAATATTTTGTAGTAATATCAAAAGAAATGATTTTCTACCTAAGTGATGCATTCACTCAGATTCCATGTCACTGAGTCTTGTCTTGTTGAGCTGCAAAGAAACAAAAAAAAAATGAGACAGAAGAATGGGAATTTGACGTGAATGGGCTACCATGTCTGTTTGAAATTTTGTTCTCCTTCAAAGTTATTTGTCATGCATTATCAGGCTACAACAGATGAAACAAAATACAATGATAATCAAAATTATCACTAATTTGACTTAAACAGCTACACTAAAAATAAAATTCAACTGAAGTGAACATGTACATTGCTTTACTTGACTACTGCAATGTGTTTAACCAATATATGCAAGTCACATAAAAGAAATTCATACCAGAAGCCATCTTAAGCATCTCCTTGACAAGATCTCCACACCATTTCTCCCAACTGTAGATCTTATTGTAATCTTTCTGCAGCAAATCAGCCTCTTCAAGCCATACTGCCCTAACCTTGTCCCTGACCATCTTAATTGCCTTGGACCACTCGATGAAATCCTCTGACTCACCAAGTCCTGATGCACCATGTACCAGGATACGGAGGCCAGATGACAAGGCTATAAGACCAAACATTCCAAATTATTGTTCATCTGAGGGCACAATGGCAAAGTCTGCTTCACAGAGCCACCTTTTTATTTCTTCTTCATCTTTTGGAGGGCTTTGAATGATCATCTGATGCTTGGGCACACCACATTCTTGAAATTTCTCAATAAATCACCTGTGTTCTCCTTTAGCAGCACCAACAAAAATAATCTCATAGAATATGAGATTTATTATTAAAATGTAAGCTGTTTTTACAACCTATATTTTTATCTGTAAATAGTTTTTTTTCTTTTTTCTTTTTTCCTAGTAACTTGATATTTCAATATTCATGTATAGCAGAAAAGCCCCCAAGGGGGAGCTATGAAATAAAGTATGTAGTATGTATGTCCCACCTGGAATACAGCAGCCTACTTTAACTAGGGATATATAACAAATTAAACAATAAACTAAAATCTACCAACTTTTTCTGAAGTAAATATACTGTACTTGTAAAAGCCTGCATCTATAGGCTTGTGCTAAGTCAATTGTAAACACCTCAATGAAGTTGAGTGAAAGTGTCCTTTGTAAACCTCTCTGGGTGTTGACAATGGACACTGGTTAATATCATTGTGATAAAGCCAGAATGCAAAGCCCACTCATTCTTAGGAAAAAATAGGAGCCTGCTTCAAGGCTTGTTTCAAGTAACTAACACACACCTTTATGAAGTTATACAAAATGGCCCTTTGCACACCTCTCTAGGTGTTGACAATGGACACAGGTTAATATCATTCTAGTAAAGCCAGAATGCAAAGCTTACTCATTCTTAGAAAATAATAAGAGCCTGCCTTGATGGCTTCTTATTAGTAAATCGCACACCTAAAAAACTTTATATAAAAGTGCCCTCTGTACACCTCTCTAGGTGTTTTCAATTGGCACTGTTTATCAACCTAAAGAACATGTGCGTGGAACTTCCTACAGTACTCATTTAAAACAGAGGTACTACATCTATATCCTTAAATTTCATGCATATATTTTAAGATACAAAGGAATACATAATTGTTCATTTCACACTCCCTCAAGTTATATATAAAAGTGCCCTTTGTAAACCTCTCTGGCTGTTGTCAATAGACACAGGTTAATATCATTCCCTTAAAGCCAGAATGCAAAGCCTACTCATTCTTAGAAAAAAATAAGAGCCTGCTTTGATGGCTTCTTTTACGTAAATTGCACCCCTATAAAATGTTATATAAAAGTGCCCTCTGCACACCTCTCTAGGTGTTTTCAATTGGCATTGTTTATCAACCTAAAGTACATTTGCTTAAAGCTTTCTAGATTACTCATTTAAAACAAAGGTACTATGTCTATATCCTTAAATTTCATGCATATATTTTAAGATAACAAAGGAATACATAATTGTTCATTTTACACCCTCTCATGTTGGATAAAGGTGTTTGGTCTTGTTTGGCTGTAGAGAAATAAGAAAACATAATCAAAATTAATTGATTAAATTAAACAAATTGACAATTGGAATTACATTTAAGTCTCAGAAATTATAATCTACCAGAACTCTACTGAAGTCACTCCAAGGAGTGACTGAAAGGGAATTTCTCCTGACAATATCAAAACATTTTAAGGCAGAAACATGATGAGGGAGAGCAAAATGGGTGGAATCAGTTACGATTGGTTAACAACTTTATCACTTGGTTAACCTATCAATATTTTGTAGTAATATCAAAAGAAATGATTTACTACCTAAGTGATGCATTCACTCAGATTCCATGTTACTGAGTCTTGTCTTGTTGAGCTGCAAAGAAACAAAAAAGACAAAATGAGACAGAGGAATGGGAATTTGAGATGAATGGGATACCATGTCTGTATAATATTTTACTCTACTTCAAAGTTATTTGTCATGCATTATCAGGCAACAACAGATGAAACTAAATACAATGATGATCAGAATTATCACTTACTCAACTTAAACATTTACATTGAAAATAAAATTCTACTGCAGTGAACATGTGCATTTCTTTACTTTGACAACTGCTACATGTTTAAGCAACACATGCAAGTCATATTGAAGAAATTCATACCAGAAGCCATCTTCAGCATCTCCTCAACAAGATCTCCACACTGTTTCTCCCAACTGTACTTCTCATTGTAATGTTTTCGTAGTGAATCAGCCTCTTCAAGCCGTGCTTTCCCTAACTTTGTTCCTGACCTTCTTAATTGCCTTGGACCACACAGTGACATCCTCTGACTCCACAATGGATGACAAACCACCAGGGACATCTGTCAAGGCTTCACCAAGTCCTGATGCACCATGTACCAGGATAGGGAGGCCAGATGACAAGGCTATAAGACCAAACATTCCAAATCCTTGTTCACCTGAGGGCGCAATGGCAAGGTCTGCTTCACAGAGCCACCTTTTCATTTCTTCTTCATCTTTTGGAGGGCTTCGAATGATCAGCTGATGTTTGGGTACACCACATTCATGAAATTTCTCAATAAATCCCCTATGTTCTCCTTTAGCAGCACCAACTAAAATAATCTGATAGGATCTGTCCTTCAACCCAGCAACTGCTTTTGCAACAATTTCAAGTTCTTCTTTGTAAAAATACCTGGGGTGGCCATGACCTGCCATTAGGATACGAAACTTTTCCCTATCACAAAGGGTTTGTGTGACATCAGCAAATTCACTGAGTATACCTGGAGTCAACTTGAAAACTTCTTTTCCTTGACGAGAGAGGGAAACAGAAAGTGTGTCAGCTATCTTTGGTCCAACAGCAACTGGAAGATCAGCCATTTGCATCATAGGCTGAACATTGCTTTTTCCTAGGCATTCATCTTCCATCTTAGCCTGGGCATCTCTTAATTCTGCATCTCTAGAGAAGCTTTCTTCAAAAGAATCACAACCAACAAAAATACTTTTGCAGTGGTGAAGTTCCTTAAATATTTGCGCCATTTTGCAAAGTCTCTCACCCACACCAATGACAATGTCTGTAGTTAGGCCTTTTGGTAAGAAGTACAGCCAGTCATTAGGATTTTGGAATCCATGTAGCTTTTTTGCTTCAACAATGGTAACATTGTGACTTTCAGCATTTCTCTTGTCAAGTTCCTCACATGAACCTTCAGGGACCATGACAGAGACTTTCACATAAGGGAATTTTGCCAGTTGTTGGGACAACTCTTTTGCGAGGATTGAGTTGAATTCCCAAGAACCCCACTCCCATCTCCATTTATTTGCCAGGATGGCAACTTTTCCATTGTATGGCAGCTGATGAATTATTTTTTCAGCATAACTCCTTCCTAAAGCTTCAGCCTCCTAAAGAGGAACAAATGACTATGTTTAAAATAAAAGTGATGATAGTTAAGGTCACTGATTGGATGATCTCTCTGCTCTTTGTACATGTATAAGCATTGTGCCCAACTGTCATGTTTTCGTACTTTACATTGTATTAATTACAGCAACAAATAATACCATGACGTCACAGATATATTTTCATTGGTTATAATGCAACAAAATTTACACAGCTTTTACCAATATGTACTGCTTCATGTCAAATGTTTTCTTTCAGAATGTCCCAGATTAAAACACAGTTTCTGGTTACTTGTTGGGCAAAACTCTCTACACAAACTCTGCCACTACAAAGGGGAAATATGTTTCAAAACTAATGACAAGTCAGCATAAGAGATTTGTTTCATGTTTGCATAATTAAGTAAATACACATATATTTAACAATCATGTAAACACATTTTAAAATTAATCCACTTATACAAGCCAGCCAATCAGCACGTATGAAAAGCACTTAGTCTACTTATTTCACGTGTAGTTAATTACTCATATTACACTGTACCCTTTAACACTTGTTATCTTGACCAAAAAAAAAGATACAGCTTCTCTTTTACAGCCTGAAAAATCTTTGCACACACTATTGAAAATCTTTCAAGAATTCTCTAAATCATAAGTTACAGATAACAATTTGTAGTACAATATTTCGCTCAAGATTCCAAGGTCTTGCTTCAGACCTTCAAGTCTGTTTTCGAAAACGATGTCTTGTGGAACACTAAGAACTTAAATGAAAGAAATATGTTTCAAAACTGATGACAAGTCAGCCAGACAGATTTTTTTCATGTTTGCATATGTAAATGCACATATATTTACCTATTATGTGAGCACATTCTAAAATTAATCCAATTCAGCTCTTAACTGTAAAACATACATCTACATGTAAGTGACATATAGGGCATAAAAATCTCATTTTCTTTTATACAATCATGTGTACCTCCCAAAAAGTTTTTTTTCTAATGCGGGCCTAGGATGCAGAGGTGAAGAGTAGTGGACATTTGTCCTCTTCATATTTCCTAATTTATGTTTTTTAATCAGTTTTAGACATTGCATAAAATCATTACATGTTTCATAGTTTCCATTAGATTGTTCATTACAGTATTCAAAACTTTGATATTTTACCATAAAAGGTTGGAAAATGCAATGAACGGTAAAATTATGTAACCTACTAACATACCTCACCGTAAAGGGGCCACACCTGAAATGCAATCAAACCACACTTAGTTGTCACTTTGTTATGCTTGAATCAAACTTTATTTACCTCTTCATCAGAAAGAAATAGGAACCCACTTTGCTTCTCGCCACAGAGGAATATAGAATTTTAATCATCTAAAAGCCAGCCAATCAGCATGTGTGAAAAGCGCATAGTCTACTTTTTTCACGTGTAGTAAATTACACGTATTACGCTGTACCCTACAACTCTTACTATACTTGAGGAAAATATGGGATGCAGCTTCTCCTTTTACGGCCCGAAAAATGTTTGCGCATATTATTGAAAATCTTTCAAGAATTCTCTAAATTGTAAGTCACTGATAACAATTTTTGGTACGACATTTCGTTCAAGATTCCAAGGTCTTGCCTGAGACCTTCAAGTCTTTTTTCGAAAACGATGTCTAAGGGAACAATATGAATTTAAGCTTTAATACTGCCAAGATCTCACATCATTTTCGCTACGAAGATAAATCTTAAAAGAATTCAGTAGCACAACGCTAGAGAAATAGCTAGTGGTGCTGGTCGAGAAATCTAAACTAAGTGATATCCCAAAATTTCGAAATTCTCTTACCGGTGGTAGTATATCGGAAAATAAATCATCCAACCGAGGCAATTTAGGAGGACTGTACTCCTCCTCGCTCATATTTTCCAAACTCATCCAATGGGTCTATCTTTACATGTAGCTCTCAAATACATCCTTTATCACTGGGATTGGTTGGCCTTTCTCGATCCTATGGTTCAGCCATCGCGTCGGTCCACCCTAAGTTTGCAAATCTCCTTCACATTCTTTCCAGTCTCGATCCCAGGCAAGTTAGGTTCCAAACTTCCACCTTGTAAACATTAGAACAGAATGGACTGGACTGGACTACATCACTGATCTAAAAAGCGGCGGTAAAAGAAGAAGAAAACGTGAAGCCATTGACAAAATGAATTAGATTAATTTGGGCTCAACAAATATTAAAAACATACAAATACATACAAATACATACGCAAACAAAGACAAAACTCCCGGGGAAACGAACCGTAAAAAAAAACACGATATGCTTTGACAGTCTTTTCGAGTCTTTGCTGTAACCCAGTCCTGCAGTGGACTGTACTAAGAACGTTTCCCCGCAAGGGATGCATGTAAGTAGCTCGCCTTCGAAACGAGAAACATAAAATCGGACGCATGTAAAATATGTTGTAAGCTTCTTGTCAAATTGATGGTTTCTAGTAAAACACCATTTCTGTCAATTCAGTGCCAAGTATAACGTCTCAATTTTTGCTTTATCATTACAGAAACTTTACATAAGATCTAGCTCAAGTGAACAACAAACAGCCTCAGAACAGGTCTCCTGCTTACAGAGTGGAACGAGCCGAGAAAGGTTAGTTCCCGGCCCAACTCTCTCGGCATTCGCTTCGTTGAACGGCAGACCAGTCGTCAAGTTTCGAATGTTGATGAAATCGTTTTCAGAAATACAACCGAAGTTAAGCTTTGTTAAGGTTAAAACTTGTGTTAATGGAACCAATGATGCGAAAGACATAATTATTAATGGACCATCAAAGGGCTTTTAATTAGAAGTGGTTTTATGCTTTAAGAATTGCAAATCAAATCAGTCATTTTAATTAAAGGTCCTCTTGTACTTAGTGATAGACCTAACTATTAACCGACTTAAGCGTTTAGAAAAGTTTACAACAACGGCTTCTTGACTGAACTGATTTGTATAATATCAACTGAGATCGGTTACTAAAGGTCAATTCCTGGGTGGCGTAATTAAAATTGCTTTTGTCAGTCACTAATCATATCAGTCTCCTGCATAAAACGCCGTTGTCCCAGCGGATTTAGACCCCCTGGTCCAAATCCGCTAACGGATATGATGAAGAACTGAGGCATGCTGTATCGTCCATAAAAAATAATTTTAGGGGCAAGTTTGAGGATCAAGGAGAACAAGATTTGTACTCATGCCTCCAATCCAATTATTGGCTGAGCAGGGTCTTGTATCGGAGGACAATCTGACTTTGTTGGAAGGGTTTCTGAGCCTGAAAGCGTCCAAGAAAAAGTCGTTAAAAGAAAAAAATTCAACAATTTAAAGAAAACCGCCAACAAGAGGCCAGTCCTGGAAAGGGAGAATCAGGTGTGACCGGCAGGGAACGTGACCTAGAGAAAGTTATGGCAATGTTGATAACGGAAAATTCACGTGTTGTCAATTTGCATGGAATTAGAGGAGTAGGCAAGACGAAATTGGCAATGGAAACTGTTTCAAATTTGCCAGGGAGAAAATTCAAGGAGAACATTTTAGAGAAATCACAGAGATGAAAGACGTTCATTTTCACGTTTTAAACGCTATAGCACCCGACAAAACGAATATAAGCTTAGAAGCAAATCCAAGGACTGTTGTCGGCAGTGGTGACTGAAGTTTCGACAACCTGAGCTTAGGTCATCACCGGAGCCAAGTAAATTGTTGTTGTCAGTCGAGTTTAGTCAGTTTTATCTGTTAGTTTTTCCATTACGTCGACAGTTTACTTACACTACCGAAGTATCCAGAAAAACTTCCTACGTAGACTGAGACTTTTTTCTGGTAAGTAATAAAACTTTACCTTCCTTTACATCATTCTCGACCTTATCGGCCCAGCAATTAAACTTCTCAGGACTTCACCCACCTGGACGATTAGACCACACGATCAAAGCTCCTTAGTGTAATGTGACCTTCTCGGTAAGGAGGTTATAGCCTTCTTATTTTTTCTAATCTGTTTAAACTCCCTAAGAATCTTTCACGATGAAGTTATACAGGGTATGTGAACTAAGATTCAGTATGTTTATTCTCAGCTTTGTTGACGAGACTCGACAAGGTCGTTTGTTGCAATATACGCATATTTTTTATCTTGTAAAGAGTAACTTCCTGAATTGGGTCAAGGTTTGAAGATGCAGATGCGTCCCTATCCAGACTTTCCGGAAAAATTCCTTAAGTTTACCATCACTGACATTCTAAGAAGAAATAAAAATGCTCTTTGGTTAAAAATGTGCATAAAACTTAGAGGGAGAGAAAAATTTGTCTCCCTTGTTGTCTTTCTAGGTTCTCTGCTTCGAGCGGAGCTAAAATGCCGAGAAACTTTGATGGTTCTTAAACTTAAAGGATGGCAGAGAGCATTTACAGTCGCGAGGAGAGCAAAAGAGTCGCTTAAAAAAGCACAGAAGGAACTTAAGAGCACAGATTACTTTAGGTTGGTTAAGAGTTCTTACCTGTACGCCAAGGGTGAAGTGTATTACAGAGCAGGGATTATGGCAAAGTCACTGAGGATTTTGCACAAGGCGCTGAAGATAATGGAAAATGTACTTCACAGCCACACAAGCGCTTCAAGGTTAGGAGACCATGACGAGGCCATAAAGTACTACATGAGAGAATACGAGATGAGAAAACAGCTCTCTGGCTCAATGAAACATTTTGACATGCCCTTCTTCAAAGGACAGATCGGGACGGTTTATGAAGGAAAGAAACGATTTGAAAAGGCAGTCGAATACTACAAAGAGGCCTTAGAGTTCTCTAACTGAAGGAACTAAAAATCCCAGGCATGGTGAACACTGCTCTGTACAATCAAAACATTGCAAACGCGTACTGTTGGTTGCAAAACTTTAACTGAGACGCCTACCAACCTGCAAATAACGGTTACGAGGTCCGGAAGGCCATTTTGGGAAGGCACCCTGACACTGCTCAAAGTGCTTTCCAAATGGCGGAGATTTGTCGAAGATTGAAGGACTTAAACAAAGGGAAAGAGTTTTGTGAGGAAGCATGGAAGATTGAGAAGTTACTGGGCCAACGAAACCACAGGGAGGTGGTGGTCAGAATCGTTGAGAGCTACGAAGCGATGCCCCTCAAAGGAAAGAGGAAAGATCAGTTTCGACAAGAAGCATTTGACTTTTATCTATGCTACTGGGACGAAGAAAGAGCCTTCGAAGGGTTTGAATTTTCTCTCGCCAACAAGAGAGTTATTGATTCAATAAACAAAAGGCTTGATGAATTTGGCGACCAGTAAACAAAGAAGAGATACCATGCCATACCATGATTTTATGAAGGCGCGTGGAATTCACCCGACACGAGAAAGTTACCAGACACCGCCAGAGAGGACATTCTGCAAACTCTCTGCAATCTCTGTGACCAGCTTCGCGAGAAAGGTAAGGCCGAAAAGTACAGTAACGAAGCCTTTCGATTTTATGAAAAGAAATGGAAAAGAAACAAGGACGGGATGTCAGCGCGCGATAGAATCGACATTCTCATCACTTTTGTAGACATGGCTACATCACAGATGAAAGAGAAGAAGAAACAGAAGTATAAGAGTTTGTTAAAGGTATGACAAAGCTCTTTGATCTATCAATTGATGACATAAACTTGAATGGGTTTTAGTTTAGAGAAACATGTTTTTCGTCTTTCGTTTTTTTTCACGAGCGTGGAACAAAGAAAGAATTTTGACGATTCCAATGAGGAATCGAACCTCAGACCTTTGCTTTTCATTGGTGAAATCTTTTTCAAACAAAAAACCATGTTATTTTAGAAGCTGAACAGCTGTCTAGTGAGGACGATGACGATGACGATGACGATGACGATGACGATGACGATGACGATTATAATGAAGTTGACATTCCTTGCGATGATGATGATGATGATCTCGATAGTAGCAGTGGTAGCGAAGAGATTCCAGAGGCCAGTGGGCAAGTGCAACAACTAACAATTTAAGAAGAAGATGGCGAAGAGTTAGAAATTGAGCAGGAACAAGATCCAGATAGGATAAAGATGCACGAGCAAGTGAAAATGAATGAGTCACCAGTAATCTTTCTAGTGAGTTACGATTTGCCCCGTGGCGATCCCAGAAATCTTTGCGCAAACACAAGGATCCGATTACTGACAAAAAGTGACCTATGTGGCTCTGTGCATTATCATTGAAAAAAAAAATAAAAAAAAAACATGAAAATTATTGTATGAGGGTCGTACGCAATTTCAGGTGCAGGGCCTGAGAAAGCTGTACGTCCGCCTTAGAGGTTAGCTGAAAGAAGAAAATAAGAGAGGGAAAGATCGGCAGTTACATGTCATGCCAAACTACATACTGCCGGCTTAGGTCGCGCCGGACGGCAAAATTGTTGGTTCTTGGGAAAGAAACAAGTTTGGACTCGTAACAAATTGATTTTATTTTTCTTAGTGCGTTTTTGCGCTCAGGTCAGATGGCTACTTTCTTAACTCTTTAACCCCCAAGATCTCATTAGTAATTCTCCTTACTGTCTGCCATATAGTTCTTGTGATATTAGTATGGAGAATTTGGTATTGGATCAACTAATAATCCCGTAATTAATATTTTTCTTCATACTCATCACTTGTCTGCTTGATATTGTATTGATATTGTAAGGAGAAATTTTGTCTTGGTCACTCATGGGAGTTAAAGGGTTAAAGAGCGTACTGAGGGAAATTTTTCCCAATTTTGCTGGTTTAGATATACTGGACCTGAGCCTGGCAGTAAGTTTGCAATCCAGGAATTTTGACGGAAAAACTGAACCAAAGAGAAATCGGTGTTGATGACATTATGGATTACAATTCAAGCCAAAATTCTCTTTTCTATCTAGTTGATTCCATTCTCATTCTTGGCATTGTGATTATTTTCAGAGGAACACTCACTAACGAGGACGTGCATTGGAACATCAAGCTAGGGGCTGTACATCTAGCCTTCCCTTGTAGTGCTGTATCTGAGCCCACCCTGATAACGGTTCATCGATGGAAACCCACGGTCCTGTCCCCGCCTTTGCAGGAGCACGAGGCTCTCGTCAGCAACGTGATTGAAATTTCTTCGGACAGTCGGGAAGCTTTCAAATTTGAAGCTGAAGTTAAGATGTCATTCACTCACAGTTCTCCCGGCCTACACGGCTACGAGTTGGTGTTGTACAAAGGGCTTGACAACGAGACCGATGCATGGGAAGAAGTGACCGATGTGGAAGACTTCAAAACTATCTCTGGTTGGAGGAAAAGCCTTCAAATTTGTTAATTTTAAATTACAGATAAAGAAACTTGATACATCCTTGAGTGTGTTGGTCGAACATGGATTGTTACGGGAAAATTTACTGATTTTCCCGTGTGTGTTATTCGGAACATATTTATTCGTAAACTTTCACATTTAACCATTTCAAGTCCTTTCATTTCAATAAATCAAAAAATGCATAAAAACCACAGTAGCTTTTGAATAGATTTTTGTTGTTACTCGCTTTTACTATGCACCTGCTTGTCGGCACTTTTGTCATTTATTACATGGTTTTTTTTAGGTAAATATAAGTGCTAATGGTCTTTCTGGAAACATTGGTTTTCATGGTAGATAGCAGCTGAATTTATACTCGTAAATCTTATTTCTTTTCATGCGATGGTTTCCAAACCAATCTTGTATAAATAAGCAGAAACTTTTAATTGCTTTTTCGTTTTTTTTATTTCCTGAGCTGCGCTACTGCAATTAAGATAAGTTTTGTTTTCTATATCAGAGCTGTAAATTCGCACCTAGGTTTCCTACTTTAATGGCTTAGAGTTTATTGCATCCGTCTTTTTAATTTTGAGATTCTTTCCGTCGTAGAAACAGATGGAATATTTAAGTAGTTTTCGTTTAACTTCAAAGAGATCTTTTTCCGCTCCTTTGTGTCCTTATTCAAATATTGCGATTTGTGTAACAATAGCACTTCGCACCAGTTACTTCTTAAGCAAGTACCTTGTACAGCTTTGATGATTACAAACTAGAGTATGCTAGAGGTCATGTCGCTTGTTGGCCTGACCTAGAATAAAAGTACTGTGGAACCAAAGATTGTCTTATCCTTGACGTCCGTATAAGCTCGCTCGAAGCAGATCTCCGTGTACCAGGAAATCGTGACAAGTTTCCGTTCTCGCTGCCGAGTCGTCTCAACAGAGTTATTTCCCCCAGTTGTTGTTGTTCCGTCCGCGAAGAGTCAGTTTCCCAGTTTGGGGCGAAAACTTTATCGTCACAGGATGGATATGCGAGAAAATCTGCTTCCAGGAATATCTTCACGGATATTCACGTTCAGCTAGGTGTACACATCAAAGGCTTGGCAACTAAGTACATAACTGTAAAATGGCTATTGCACTAAATGTGGCCAGTTTGCAAAGCGTGGCAGGCCCTTGAACATGTGAATCCTTAATGGGGGTATTTCGGACGTGGTAACCGAGCAGATAAAGTGCTATTTTCTTCTTATTAATTGGAATGTGATAACCTCAGAACTTTTTCACAAAGAAGAAGTTTTTCGTCAACTTTTAGTCTAGGTTGGGAAAGTATCGAAGTGAAGATGATTTATCAAGCGAGCACTCGGCTGTGGACGTAATAACTGATAGAGAATAGAAGTTTTAACATGTATTTGAAAGAGTTATTCCATATGAATAAGGTATTGGAGCTTCGAACTGAACTAAGGGATCTGCACTTTTCCCCTCGAATGCAAAGACGGACAAACGATAGACAAAGCTGGACAAAACTCTTAGCATCAGATCTACTTTATGAGAGGAAACCCTGTCTTTCGTATTACCATCGTGATACTGTCTTTTGCATCTTTCATATCATCCTCTAAACAAAGAAAGTCAATTTTCTTATCTGCTGTTTCTTGGGGAGACGTTTCTGAAATCTCAAACAACGGCTGGCAAGGAGAGGAATGTACTTGCAGATCCGATCTGGCGCTAAGATTGCAGTTTACATACAGTTCTTTGACTTTTATTACAGGTATTCGTGTCTTATTGACTGGTGTGCAGAGAGCTTCAGTTGTAAAGGTGTTATCGGATATCTATTGAGCCTTATTTGGAACCAACCTCAGCGCGCAGTGTTCTTCGCCTACTTCCCTCATGAAGAACGCCCTGATTCTCGAGACATCTTGTATCTAATTTGCTGCCCGTCTCAACTTAAAGAGAAGGTGCGGGCTGAAATTACGAATCAGGCTAATGCGCCTACTTCAAGTGATTCAGACTCCCACATCAAGATGATTCCTGGTCGTGATAAGGCATACGTCTCCCTTATTGGAGGGTTCAGAGCGATTGAGGAAGATGACATGGATGAATTTTATCTCCAGTAAGTTTTAGGATACGCTTCACGGAGAAAAACCCTCGGTATGCTATTAACCTGAAGTTTTAAACCAGTAGGTTTTCTTTAAATAATGCCAAGAGGGCCGGAAACGTAGGGGATTTTGTTTAATCGAATTCAAAATAACAATCAGTAGAGAATTAAAGTAGAGTTATTATTGACAGTGTTTAACTCAAACTTTTACTTCATAAATTTAGTTTTTTTCTGATATAAATTGCAGGTGCTATAAAGCCTAGAGAAATAATTAAATTCTAATGCAGATTATCGCTATACATTGGCTCCCCGTTTCCCGTTTCCAGTTCCTCGCTTGACATTTTGGTAGAAAAACGATTAAGATTCTTGCTAATAAATACTTCGTTCTCGTGCTGATAAGAATATTTTTAACAGGTTTATAAGTGATGACCGCCATAAAGTTCAAGTTCCAATCCATTTCATTGATGACAAAGGACCTCCAGGGGTGGTGTTTTTATTAGGATTGTATTTTTGATTATCACCTCCCAGAGAAAGCTGAAGGTAACAGGTTTTCTTGTAACTTCCTTGGTACACTTTGTCACTGCCTTTTCGATCGCTGTATGAGTTTTGAACGTGTTCTTCATATAATTCCTTTTTGTTTAACAATATTAAAGATGACATCAACAAAATTCCGATGAACAGTACGGTAGAGTGTATATCCAAAGCTAACATTTTTCAGGAGACAGTTCTGCGTGTTGATGAAACAGAAGAGAAAAATGAAAAAAAGAGAAAAGGAAAGGAAATGCAATACGATCACGTAACATTTCAAATGGATTTTATCACACATGCATGTAGAATACAAGGCGGGATTCGTAGAAAATAAACACATCCGTCCTGAGAATTAAACGTACATTTTTATGAAGCTAAATAGCAACATGTTACCCCTTATGTATTTGTAGAAAACCCCAGTGGAGTTTTGTGGCATTCCCGTCAATGATGAAATCTTGTCAAATCCGCGTCCTGGGCATGTTCTAGGGATTGGAAAACAATTCGTTGGTTCAGAGGTGTTATGACGATCTCCTTTCCCGCCTCAGCAAAGGCAATATAAATCAGAAGCAGACAATACAAAGCTTCTATGAGGCTCTTGCAGGATTGAAAATCGAGACCCAAGATGAGTGTTTTGAAGCCCTCGTCGAGGAACTGAGCGACTTTAATGTATACGGATTTGTGGTGGATCGACTGAGGGAAGGTAACGACATTTAAAGGTCAAGCAGTAAGTTTCATTTGAGTATAAAAAGTAATCCTACTGCTTAAGTAGTGTTCATAACTGCGACGATCGCTTTAATATTCACGTCTTTATCCGCAGTTCAAATATATGACTTTCATATATTCACAGCCGTTTAATCCAAGATTAGTTTGTAATAGGTTCATAAAACTAGTACCACTTTTTGAGCAGTTTGCGTGTTCTAACCGTAATAAGCTTCTAGTAATATTTTCCTCCGATCGGCGGTTGTGATAAAATGGAGTTCGACTCATAGAACTGATAAAATTGGAAGAATTTAGCAATTTGTATCTTCAACGACGTGTCTTTGGACTTCATTCAATGCACAATGTACCTTGGTACACACGAAACGAAACGAGCAATCACGTGATGCCAAACATGTTATATAATGCATAACAATATTGGTATGCATTTTTTTAAAAAGCAACTTTTTTGCAAGTAATTTCTGAATCAGAAAGTTGTGGGTATTTTGCTGTTACTAGCAATTTGGACTGAGTTTGGCACACCCAAAATCGCGTATGTTAAGTTCACATTGAATAATTTATTAATAACTTAAGTAAGGCTGCCCTATCTTTTTAGCCCTCAATGGTAATTATGGGCAGCCTGAACTCTCTCCATTTTTCAAGTAATATATATTTTTGTATCATGTAAATTAATGTAGGGTACAAATAAAGTTGTTTTTGTAGTTGAAATGTTTACCTTTCTTTTTTTTCCTTTCAATTTATATTCCTTTTCAAAGGATATGTTAGATATGATCAGAGTAAAACGCACTTGTGAGAACGTTTGTCGACGTAGCTTTTACGTTTAAAGCGATAACAATGTAGAAATGCAGAGGTGAGACCCTGAACAAACACCGAACTAAACCTGACAAAACCAAAAGTTTATCCAAAGAAACCCGCTCAGATTCGTTTAAAGATGGCTGGTGTCGTGATATTCTGCCATTTTTCGGGGAAAATTCTTTTTCCTAAAGGGATGAATGATATCCAACCCCATCAAATGGCTAAATTTGTTTATACCAAAGGGTCTCCCTTTTTTCGGGAATAACTGGATCCTATTTTGCGACAGGGACGGAAATCTGTCGTTGAACTCATCGCAAGACTCACTCTCACTCCAAAGAAATCCAAAGTGGAGGAACATGCCTCAGAGAAGCCATTCGATTTTGAGGAAGATGGAGTAGACATGGGTCAGATATCGGTAGTGAGAGAAACATTCGACACACTTCTCACTGAAAGTTTGAAGGTGTCTGTATTAGTGATTTCCTTACTTCATGGGCCTTTCTCTGTGAAAACAGCTGCCAAAGTCGTTTGTAATGACCAGTCAGAGGCTATTGCTCAGTTAGAGGGTCTTGTAGCCAAAATAGAATCATTTTTGTAGTTTATGAAGAAGCAAAAGAAAGAAAGTATGACATTCATCCACTCTTACAAAGTATGCTGACAGTATCAAGAGTCAGGAAAACTTTCTTGCTCTCTACCTAGGGGCAAAAGCACGCTTTTGCGACTCTTCGTGTCCAAGATAGAGGAAATTGCCAAATACATAGTGCCAAGCTATGTCAGAGTATTCCATTTATTTGAGACAGACAGAGGAAAATATGAGTTTGCTATTGAGATCTCCTTACAACCAGAGTATTTCATTTTTCTTGGTGAATTCCATAAGATTGCTTGGATTGCATCCCTTTTCATTGCAATCCTGAATGAGAAGAAACTATTAATGGTGTTTGATTCCTGGGCTGAGATATGTGAAGATGATGGAAAGACAGGTGTGGTAATTAAACATTGGTGGTTTGGTCAATCGTAAAACTAAATTAAGAAAATGTGAGAGTGGCAATGGTGCAATCAGTTTCCATGTTGTAGTTTATATTAAATTAAAAGAACATGTATGTCACACCTGGTTAACAAATGTTGACCCTTTAACCCCTAAGAGTGTCCAGCATCTAAATTCTCCTTACAATATCACCCTGGAATCAAACATTGAGGTCATGAGAATAAAGGAAATAATCATCAACTAAAGCAGCTCTTGATTATTAAACAAATTCTCTTTATCAGCATCATGTGAAATGTATAGTAAATAGTATGGAGAATTTGGATACTGATGTTAGGGGGGGTAAAGGGTTAAAAGAAAACATCTGCTGAGGGGCAAACTATGAATGATCTCAAAATAAAACTCTTCAAAAGTGTTCAAATTGTAAAACTTGCCTCAAAATTGGGAATCTTATCTAATACATTAGTGTTCTTTTCAGTATTCCTGTCATTTATTATAATTACACACCATCACCATTTCATTTTGTGATTGTGGGGAGATAGCAACACATGTTTCATTTATGGGGCCTTAAAATGACTCAATTAATCTGATTAATGACCATTTCTTTATCTCCTAAATTTAATCTCTCAAATTTAATTATAGTTTTATTATCATAATGTTAAACACCCCTGGCAGGTAGTAATATTTCAGATGAAGAGACACCTGATAAATGTGCTGATGTAAAGTTGTAACGATGATCATTATCATTCTTATCAGTATTAATATCATTATTGTTATATATTTAAAGGTTCTCTTGCTTGGGCACAATTTAAATGCTGGGAAGCAAAGCAAGTTTTTGATGTCTATGGAACAGAGAAAGCATTGAAAGTATTCATGATAGCTTTCCATTCACTGGAGGAAGTCAAATACAAATCCAGTGATTCCTTTAAAAGTTTTCTGATTAGAAGGGAAAAAACATCAGAGAAATTATATAACTTAGTTACATTAAATATTGGCAACTTTAGTACCAATTCTCTGTGAAAAAAAAAGCCAGGCTCTGGGCTAACATAAACAAGCAAAAATTGTCTTGGGTCTGTTCTGATAACCACAAGTGTTGTTTGTTATTTGCCCATTCTTTTACAGGCCTCCGCTGACTCTGGATGTGGAACAGGCTAAAACAGAAATGGTTTAGATAGGAATACAAAGTGTGACAATTAATTGCCTCCTAACTAACTGAAGCATCAACAGGCATTCTACGCCAAAATTTCACAGATTAAACTTGAATGGTAGGATTGTAGTTGTTCCCAAGGTGGCAGAAAGGGAGGTGATTACTGCAATAACCCTCCTTGTGTAAATGAGAGAGTCTACATGATGGGAGGTTGTCGACTCCCTATCTGAAATTATTTATCTATTTGTGTATTAGTCTGCCTTTTGGCCCATACAAGCAACAAGTTATGATACTTATGTGGGAGAGGGAAACTCACTCTTGCTGAAATAACTATGAGAGTCCCTGCTTCCAATCTTATTTTAAGATGATAATTAAGTGCAAGTATATTACAAAATAAATTTTAAAGTAAAGTAAAAGTGTCCTTCCTACACCCCTCTGAGCATTAACTCCAGTCATCATAATTGGCACTGTTTATCAAGCCAAAGTACATGTGCTTAGAGCTTCCTATAATGCTCATATAAACCACAGGTACTACATCTATATCCTCAAATTTCACACAATTCCTTTTTTGCTTTATGATTTTTTTTATGCTTTGTGATAACAAAGGAACACATAATTGTTCATTTCACACCCTCTAATGTTGGATAAGGGTGTTTAGTCTTGTTTGGCTGCAGAGAAATAGAAAAAACATAACTAGAATTAATTTATTAAATTATAAAGTTTGAAAATTGGAATTACATTTAAGTCTCAGAAAGTATAATCTACCAGCACTCCACTGATGTCATTCCAAGGAGTGACTGAAAGGGAATTTCTCCTATCAAAATCACAATATTTCAGGGTAGAAACATGATGAGGGAGAGCTAAATGGATGAAATCAGTTATGATTGGTTAACAATTTTATCATTTGGTTAACCTATCAATATTTTGTGGTAATATCAAAAGAAATGATTTTATACCTAAGTGATGCATTCACTCAGATTCCATGTTACTGAGTCTTGTCTTGTTGAGCTGCAAAGGAACAAAAAAGACAAAATGAGACAGAAGAATGGGAATTTGAGGTGAATGGGCTACCCTGTCTGTATAAAATTTTTACTCTACTTCAAAGTTATCTGTCATGCATTATCAGGCTACAACAGATGAAACTAAATACAATGATGATCAGAATTATCACTCACTCACCTAAAGCAGAAAATAATAAAATTCAACTGAAGTGAACATGTACATTACTTTACTTTGACAACTGCTACATGTTTAACCAACACATGCAAGTCACATAAAAGAAATTCATACCAGAAACCATCTTCTGCATCTCCTCAACAAGAGCTCCACACCATTTCTCCCAACTGTACTTCTTATTGTAATCTTTCTGCAGCAAATCAGCCTCTTCAAGCCATACTGCCCTAACCTTGTCCCTGACCATCTTAATTGCCTTGGACCACTCGATGAAATCCTCTGACTCCACAATGGATGCTGAACCACCAGAGACATCTGTCAAGGCTTCGCCAAGTCCTGATGCACTATGATCCAGGTAGGGAGGCCAGATGACAAGGCTATAAGACCAAACATTCCAAATCCTTGTTCACCTGCGGGCACAATGGCAAGGTCTGCTTCACAGAGCCACCTTTTTATTTCTTCTTCATCTTTTGGAGGGCTTTAAATGATCATCTGATGCTTGGGCACACCCCATTCTTGAAATTTCTCAATAAATCACCTGTGTTCTCCTTTAGCAGCACCAACAAAAATAGTCTCATAGAATATGAGATTTATTATTAAAATGTAAGCTGTTCTCATAATCTACATTTTTATCTGTAAATAGTTTTTTTTTCTTTTTTCTTTTTTTCCTAGTAACTTGATATTTCAATATGGCAGAAAAGCCCCCAAGGGGGAGCTATGCAATAAAGTATGTAGTATGTATGTCCCACCTGGAATACAGCAGCCTACTTTAACTAGGGATATATAACACATTAAACAATAAACTAAAATCTACCAACTTTTTCTGAAGTAAATATACTGTACTTGTAAAATCCTGCATCTATAGGCTTGTGTTAAGTAAATTGCAAACACCTCAACAAAGTCGAGTGAAAGTGTTCTTTGTAAACCTCTCTGGGTGTTGACAATGGACACTGGTTAATATCATTGTGATAAAGCCAGAATGCAAAGCCTACTCATTCTCAGAAAAAAATAGGAGCCTGCTTCGATGGCTTGTTTCAAGTAACTAACACACACCTTTATGAAGTTATACAAAATTACCCTTTGTACACCTCTCTGGGTGTTGACAATGGACACTGGTTAATATCATTCAAGTAAAGCCAGAATGCAAAGCCCACTCATTCTTAGAAAAACATAACAGCCTGCCTTGATGGCTTCTTTTTAGTAAATTGCACACTTATGAAATGTCATATAAAAGTGCCCTCTGTACACCTCTCTAGGTGTTTTCAATTGGCACTGTTTATCAACCTAAAGTACATGTGTGTGGAGCTTCCTATATTACTCATTTAAAACAGAGGTACTACATCTATATCCTTAAATTTCATGCATATATTTTAAGATACAAAGGAATACATAATTGTTCATATCACACTCTCTCGAGTTATTTATAAAAGTGCCCTTTGTAAACCTCCCTGGCTGTTGTCAATGGACACAGGTTAATATCATTCTAGTAAAGCCAGAATGCAAAGCCTACTCATTCTTAGAAAAAAATAAGAGCATGAGATTAAGATAAGATTAAGTAACTAACACACACCTTTATGAAGTTATACAAAATTACCCTTTGTACACCTCTCTAGGTGTTTTCAATTGGCATTGTTTATCAACCTAAAGTACATGTGCTTCAAGCTTTCTAGATTACTCATTTAAAACAAAGGTACTATGTCTATATCCTTAAATTTCATGCATATATTTTAAGATAACAAAGGAATACATAATTGTTCATTTTACACCCTCTCATGTTGGATAAGGGTGTTTGGTCTTGTTTGGCTGCAGAGAAATAAGAAAACATAATCAAAATTAATTGATTAAATTAAACAATTTGACACTTGGAATTACATTTAAGTCTCAGAAAGTATAATCTACCAGAACTCTACTGAAGTCACTATAGGGAGTGTCTGAAAAAGAATTTTTCTCACAAAATCACAACATTTTAAGGCAAAAACATGATGAGAGATACCTAATGGGTGTAATCAGTTATTACTGGTTAACAATGTTATCACCTTGTAATATCAAAAGAAACGATTTACTACCTAAGTGATGTATTCAATCAGATTTCATGTTACTGAGTCTTGTCTTGTTGAGCTGCACAAAAACAAAAAAGACAAAATGAGACAGAGGAATGGAAATTTGAGGTGAATGGGCTACTATGTCTGCATAAAATGTTACTCTACTTGAAAGTTATTTATCATGCATTATCAGGCTACAACAGATGAAACTAAATACCATAATAATCAGAATTATCACTAACTCAAATTAAACCTTTACTTGAAAATACAATTCAACAGCAGAGAACATGTGCTTTGCTTTTACTTTGACAACTGCTGTATGTTTAACCAACACATGCAAGTCACATTGAAGAAATTCATACCAGAAGCCATCTTCAGCATCTCCTCAACAAGATCTCCACACTGTTTCTCCCAACTGTACTTCTCATTGTAATGTTTCCGCAGCAAGTCAGCCTCATCCAGCCGTACTGTCCTTTCTAAGTTCCTGACCGTTTTAATTGCCTTGGACCACTTACTGATATCCTCTGACTTCACAATGGATAACCGACCACCATCGACATATCTCAAGGCTTCACCAAGTCCTGATGCACCATGTACCAGGATAGGGAGGCCAGATGACAAGGCTGCAAGACCAAACATTCCAAATTCTTGTTCATCTGAGGGCACAATGGCAAGGTCTGCTTCACAAAGCCAACTTTTCATTTCTTCTTCGTCTTTTGGAGGGCTTCGAATGATCATCTGATGTTTGGGCACACCACATTTACGAAATTTCTTCATAAATCCCCTATGTTCTCCTTCAGCAGCACCAACAAAAATAATCTCATAGGATTCGTCCTTCAACTTAGCAACTGCTTTTGCAACAATTTCAAGTCTTTCTTTGTAAAAATACCTGAGGTAGCCATGTCCTGCGACCAGGATACGAAACTTTTCCCTATCACGACGGGTTTGTGTGATATCAGCAAATTCAGTGAGTATACCTGGAGTTAACTCGAAAACTTCTTTCCCTTGACGAGTGAGGGAATCAGAAAGTCTGCCAGCTATTTTTGGTCCCAAACCAACTGGAAGATCAGCCATTTGCACAATAGGTTGAACATCACATTGGCATACATCTTCCATCTCAGCCAGGACACTTCTTAATTTGGTTTCTCTGGAAAGGCTTTCTTCAAAAGAATTGGAACCAAAAAAAATACTTTTGCAGTGGTGAAGTACCTTAAATATTTGCGCCATTTTGCAAAGTTTATCACCTATACCAATAACAATGTCTGTAGTGAGGCCTTTTGGTAGAAAGTACAGCCAGTCACTGGGATCTTTGAATCCTGGTTGCTTTTTTGCTTCAACAATGGTAACATTAAAAATTTCAGCTGTTTTCTTTTTCAACTCACTACATGAACCTTCAGGCACCAGCATAGAGACTTTCATATAAGGGAATTTTGCCAGTTGTTTGGATAACTCTGTTGTGAGGTATACATTGCTTCCCTGCCAACTCCAATGCCCCCATCCATCTGCCGGGATGGCAACTTTGACAGTAATGTTGGGGGAATATCTTCCATTGCATTGCAACTGATTGTTTATTTGTTCAGCATAACTCCTTGCTGAAGCTTTAGCCTGCAAAAGAGGAACAAATGAATATGTTTAATAAAACTGATGATAGTTAAGGTCACTGATTGGGAGATCTCTCTACTCTTTGTACATGTGTAAGGATTGTGCCCAACTGCCATGTTTAGCACTTCACACTGTATTATTTACAACTACAAATCATGCCATGATGTCACAGTTATATTTTCATTGGTTATTATAAATGAAAATTTACACAGCTTTTACCAGTAAGTACTGCTTCATGCCAAGTGTTTACTTTCAGAATATCCCAGATTAAAACATGGTTTCTGGTTTGCTACTTGTTGGGAAAAAACTAATTCTGCACGAACTCTGCTACTACAAAGGGGAAATATGTTTCAAAACTGATGAAAAAACAACCAGAGAGATTTCTTTCATGTTTGCATACGTAAATGCACATATATTTAACTATCATGTAAGCACATTCTAAAATTAATCCACTTCAGCTCTTAACTGTAAAACATACATCTACATACAAGTCTGTTTTGTAAAATACTGCCAAGATCTCACATCATTTTTGCTACCAAAATAAATCTCAAAAGAATACAGTAACACAACACTGGATAAAACAAACTAGTGGTACTGGTCAAGAAATCTACACCAAGTGATTTCCCAAATTTTGTTGGCAGCTCTTTCCTTAATTTGTATATTTGATGCTCTGGCCAATGTAGATTAGGAGGACTGCACTCCTCTTTGCTCATATTTTCCAAACCCATCCAATTGATCTGTCTTTGCATGTGGCTCTCAAACACACTGTGATTAGTTGCCCTTTCTTCGATAGTGTGCTAAACGGTTCTTGGCTTTTATCAATATGTACTGCTTCATGAATAATTTCTTCTTTTAGAATGTCCCTCATCAAAACATGGTTTCTGGTTCGCTACTTGTTTGGCAAAACTTTCCACACAAACTTTACTGCTACATAGCGGAAATATGTTTCAAAACTGATAACAAGTCAGCCAGAGAGATTTTGTTCATGTTTTCATATGCAAATGCAAGTATATTTAACAATCATGTAAGCACATTCTAAAATTAAACCAACTTCAGCTCTTAACGGTGAAACACATCTACATGCAAGTGACATAAAGGGCATAAAAATTTCATTTTCTTTTATACAATCATGTTTACCCCAGAAAAGAGTCATCCTTTGGCTGGGCTAGGATGCGGAGGTGAAGAGTAGTGGACATCTACCAACTTGATACTTCCTAATTAACATTATTTATAAGTTTTAAACTTTGCATAAAATCATTACACATTTCTTAGTTTCCATTAGAATGCTCATTACAGTATTCAAAACTTTGATATTTTACCATGAAAGGTTAGAAAATGCAATGAATGGGAAAATAATGTAACTAACTAACTTACCTCTTCATACTCTGCTGCAGACTGGAGCTGAAATGCAATCAAACCAAACTTAGTTGTCACTTTGCTATGCTTTAATCAAACTTTATTTATCTCTTCATCGCAGAGAAATAGGAAGCCACTCTGCTCCTCACCACACAGGTAAATAGTATTTTAATCACATACAAGCTGGCCAATCAGCATGTGTGAAAAGCACTTAGTCCACTTATTTCCTGTGTAGTAAATTACACTTATTACGCTGTAACCTTTAACCCTTGCTATACTTGAAGAAAATTAGAGATGCAGCTTCTCTTTTATCTTTCAAGAATTCTCTAAATCACAAGTCACTGATAACAATATGTAGTAAGACATCTCGCTCAGGATTTTAAGGTCTTGTCTGAGACCTTCAAGTCCATTTTTAAAAAACAGTGTCTTATGGAACAGTGCATAGGAATTTAATCTTTAATACTGCCAAGGTCTCACATCATTTTGGCCATGTAAATTCTAATCTAAAATAATGTAACTTACCACTCTCTTTCTACAGGCCATGACCTGAAATGCAATTAAACCAAACTTAGTTGTCACTTTGCTACGCTTTAATCAAACTTTATTTACCTCTTCATCACAGAGAAATAGGAAGCCACTTTGCTTCTCACCACAGAGGTAAATAGAATTTTAATCACATACAAGCTATCCAATCAGCATGTGTGAAAAGAACTTAATCTACTTATTTCACGTGTAGTAAATTAAACTTACTCAGTGCCCTTAAACTCTTACTATACTTGAGGAAAAATAGAGATGCAGCTTCTCTTTTATGTCCTGAATAAAATTTGCACTCATTATTGAATATCTTTCAAGAATTCTCTAAATCATAAGTCACTGATAACAATATGTCGTATGACATTTCGCTCAAGATTCCAAGGTCTTGTCTGAGACCTTCAAGTATGTTTTTGAAAAACTGTATCTTATGGAACAGTGCATAAGAATTTAATCTTTAATACTACCAAGATCTCACATCATTTTGGCCATGTGAATAAATCTCAAAAGAATACAGTATCACCATGCTGGATGAAAATGCTAGTGGTGCAGGCTGACAAATCTAAACTAAGTGATCTCCTAAAATTTTGTTCACAGCTCCTTCCTTAATTCGTATATTTGATGCTCCTGCCAATTTAGATTAGGAGGACTGCACTCCTCCTTGCTCAGATTTTCCAAACTCATCCAATTGATCTGTCTTTGCATGTAGCTCTCAAACACACTGTGATTAGTTGCCCTTTCTTTGCTAGTGCATTAAAAAGTATTTGGCTTTTATCAATATGTACTGCTTCATCAAAAATGTTTTCTTCCAGAATGTCCCACATAAAAACATGCTTTCTGGTTTGCTACTTGTTGGGCAAAACATTCCAAGCAAACTCTGTTGCTGCAAAGGGGAGATATGTTTCAAAATTGATGACAAGTCAGAGATTTCTTTCATGATTGCATAATTATGTAAATGCACATATATTTAACAATCATGTAAGCACATTTTAAAATTAATCCACTTTAGCTCTTAACAATAAAACATAAATCTACATGTACGTGACATAAAGGGCATAAAAATCTACCTTTTTATTCATAATCAGGCATACCCTAAAAGAGTTATCCTTCTGCTGAGCTAGGATGCAGAGGTGAAGAGTTAAGTGGACATTAAGTTGGAAAAATGCAATGAATGGTAAAATTATGCAACTAACTAACTTACCTGAATTTCCTCACACCTTTTCAAATGCTTAAATGCAATCAAACCAATTTGAAACTTAGTTGTCACTTTGCTATGCTTTAATCAAACTTTACCTCTTCATCATAGAGAAATGGGATGCCACTTTGCTTCTCATCACACAGGTAAATAGTCTTTTAATCACAAACAAGCTAACCAATCAGTATGTGTGAAAAGCACTTAGTTTGCTTATTTGACGTGTAGTAAATTAAACTTACACTGTACCCTTAAACTCTTACTATACTTGAGGAAAAATATGAGATGCAGCTTCTCTTTTACAGCCCAAAATATTTTGCACTTATTATTGAATATCTTTCAAGAATTCTCTGAATGATAAGTCTCTGATAAAAATATGTAGTATGACATTTTGCTTAAGATTCCAAGGTCTTGTCTGAGACCTTCAAGTACATTTTTGAAAAACAGCCTTATGGAACAGTGCATAAGAATTTAATCTTTACTACTGTCAAGACCTCAAATCATTTTGGTCATGTAAATAAATCTCAAAAGAATACAATATCACCATGCTGGATGAAACTGCTAGCAGTGCAGGTTGTAAAAACTAAACTAAGTGATCTCCCAAAATTTTGTTAGCAGCTCTTCCCTTAATTTGTATATTTGATGCTCCTGCCAATTTAGATTAGGAGGACTGCACTCCTCTTTGCTCTAATTTTCCACACTCATCCGACTGATCTGTCTTTGCATGTGTGCTTTCTTGGCTTTTATCAATATGTACTGCTTCATCAAAACCATTTTCTTTCAGAATGTTCCAGATTAAACATGGTTTCTGGTTTGTTACTTGTTTGGCAAAACTTTCTTAGCAAACTCTGTTGCTGCAAAGAGGAGATATGTTTCAAAATTGATGACAAGTCAGCCTGAGAGATTTCTTTCATGTTTGCCTAATTATTTAAATGCACATATATTTAACAATCCAATCAGCATGTGTGAAAAGCACTAAGTCTACTTTTTTAACGTGTAGTAAATTAAACTAACACTGTACCCTTAAACTCTTACTATACTTGAGGAAAATATGAGATGCAGCTTCTCTTTTACGGCCAGAATATTTTGCACACATTATTGAATATCTTTCAAGAATTCTCGAAATGATAAGTCGCTGATGACAATATGTAGTATGACATTTTGCCCAAGATTCCAAGGTCTTGTCTGAGACCTTTGAGTCTGTATTTGAAAAAAAGGTGTCTTATGGAACAGTGAGAATTTAAGCTTTAATACTGCCAAGAGCTCACATCATTTTAGCCATGACAATAAATCTCAAAAGAATACAGTATCACCATGCTGGATGAAACTGCTAATGGTCCAGGTTGAAAAATCTAAACTAATTATAAGTGATCTCCCAAAATTTTGTTAGCAGCTCTTTACTTAATTTATATTATATAAATTAAGTAAAGAGCTTTGCCAAAAGAGGTTGCCAACCTTAGTTGTCACTTTGCTATGCTTTAATCAAACTTTACCTCTTCATCACAGAAAAATAAGAAGCCACTTTGTTTTTTGCCACAGAGGTAAATAGTATTTTAATCACACACAAGCTAGCCAATCAGCATGGGTGAAAGCACTTGGTCTACTCATTTGACATGTAGTAAATTAAACTTACACTGTGCCCTTTAACTCTTACTATACTTGAGGAAAATATGAGATGCAGTTTCTCTTTTACGGCCCGAAATATTTTGCACACATTATTGAATATCTTTCAAGAATTCTCTAAATCATAACTCACTGATAACAATATGTAGTACGACATTTCCCTCAAGATTCCAAGGTAACTGATAACAATATATAGTACCTCATTTCACTCAAGATTCCGAGGTCTTGCCTGAGACCTTCGAGTCTTTTTTTGAAAAATGGTGTCTTATGGAACAGTGAGAATTTAAGCTTTAATACTTTCAAGATCTCACATCATTTTGGTCATGAAAAACAAATCTCAAATGAATACAGTATCACCATGCTGGATGAAACAGCTAGTGGTGCAGGTTGAGAAATCTCAACTAAGTGATATGATCCCAAAATTTTGTTAGCAGCGTTAATTCCTATATTTGAAACTCCAGCCGAAGTGGATTAGAAGGACTGCACTCCTCCTTGCTCATATTTTCCACACTCATCCAATTGATCTGTCTTTGCATGTGGCTCTCAAACACACTGTGATTAGTTACCCTTTCTTCGATAGTGCATTAAAAGGTTCTTGGCCTTTATCAGTATGTACTGCTTCAAGAAAAATGTTTTCTTCCAGAATGTCCCTGATCAAAACATGGTTTCTGGCTTGCTACTAGTTATTGTCATTAAACAGCATATGCTTTTGGTTTCGCCATTTGCGAACCATTGACTTGGATATTCCATACTCACGTGCAATTTCCCGATTTTATTTCACTGCCTCTGCTTCCGCTACTATTTTCAAATTTAAGTTCAGATTGTAAGAATGACGTTGCGTACTAGGCATGATTTTTTTTTTGAACTTAGCAATGCTCGCTGAATCACCGTGAATGAAGTTTTACAACTAGCAATTCAACCAGCTGAGACATGCTTATAAAGCTTACACTGGATCAATTAGTATACATAGCTTTAGAAAGTAACACTGTTTCCTAAGAAGGCAGACTGTATTCATGGTGTCTCTATCTCTTTTATAAGAGTGATTTTTTTCGCTTTGTTCACACAAATGTGTGACTTTTTTTCTGTTTGTTAAAAAAAGGTGACATAATTAACTGTAATTAGGAACTTTGAAAACACTATTGCTTTGAAAGTGAAGATAGTGAAAAGGCTCAAAGTTGAGGTTGCGTCTTATAACCGGGTATTTAGGCAAAATTTTCGGTTTAACAACTTGAAAGGAACGAGTTCAAAAATTCAGGGAGCGTCTTATAACCGAAAGTGCTTTAAACCGAAAAATACGGTATATTTAACTATCATGGAAGCACATTCTAAAATTAATCCACTTCAGCTCTTAACTGTAAAACATACATCTACACGGAAGTGATATATAGCGCATAAAAATCTCATTTTCTTTTACACAATCATGTATATCCCAAAAAAGAGTTATCCTTCTGCTGGCCAAGGATGTAGAGGTGAAGAGTAGTGGACATTTGCCCACTTGATACTTCCTAGTTTATGTTTTTTATCGGTTTTAAACATTGCATAAAATCATTAGGTTTCATAGTTTTCCGTTAGATTGCTCATTACAGTATTCAAAACTTTGATATTATGCCACAAAAGGTTGGAAAATGCAAAGAATGGGAAAATAATGTAACTTACCATGACTCTATTTACAAGGGCCTCGACCTGAAATGCAATCAAACCAAACTTAGTTGTCACTTTGCTACGCTTTAATCAAACTTTACCTCTTCATCACAGAGAAATAGGAAGCCACTTTGCTTCTCGCCACACAGGTAAATAGTATTTTACTCACATACAAGCCAGCCAATCAGTCTGTGAGAAAAGCACCAAGCTGTAGTCTACTTATTTCATGTGTAATAAATTATACGTAATACGCTGTACCCTTTAACTCTTACTATACTTGATCTCACATCATTTTAGCCATGAAAATAAATCTCAAAAGAATACAGTATCACCATGCTGGATGAAACTGCTAATGGTCTGGGTTGAAAAATCTAAACTAAGTGATCTCCCAAAATTTTGTTAGCAGCTCTTTCCTTAATTTATATATTTGATGCTCCTAAAAATTTAGATTAGGAGGACTGCACTCCTCCTTGCTCATATTTTCCAAACTTATTTGATTGATGTCTTTGTGTGTGGCTCTCAAACACACTGTGATTAGTTGCCCTTTCTTTGTTAGTGCATTAAACGGTATTTGGCTTTTATCAATATGTACTGCTTTGTGCTACTTTTTGGGCAAAACTTTCTGCACAAATGTTGCTGCTACATAGGGAAAGTATGTTTCAAAACTGACGACAAGTCAGCCTGAGAGATTTCTTTCATGTTTGCATATGTAAATGCACATACATTTTAAGTATCATGTACGCACATTCTAAAATTAATCTACTTCAACTCTTAATAATGAAACACACATCTTCTTGTAAGTTACATATAAGGCATAAAAATCTCTTTTTTTTCATATACAATCATGTACACCCCAAAAAGGAGATATCCTTCTGCTGGCCTAGAATGCAGAGGTGAAGAGTAGTGTACATTTACCCTCTTGATACTTCCTAATTCATGTATATTAATCAGTTTTAAACATTGCATAAAATCATTACATGTTTCTTAGTTTCCATTAGATAGCTCATTACAGTATTCAAAACTTTGATATTTTACCATAAAAGGTTGGAAAATGCAATGAATTAGAAAATAATGTAACTAACAAACTAACTTACCCTCTCACTCTCTGCCAATAACCTCGCCTGAAATGCAATCAAACCAAACTTAGTTGTCACTTTGCTATGCTTTAATCAAACTTTATTTACCTCTTCACCACAGAGAAATAGGAAGCCACTTTGCTTCTCACCACAGAGGTAAATAGTATTTTAATCACAAACAAGCTAACCAATCAGTATGTGTGAAAAGCACTTAGTCTACTTATTTCACGTGTAGTAATTTAAACTTACACTGTGCCCTTAAACTCTTACTATACTTGAGGAAAATTAGAGATGCAGCTTCTCTTTTATGTCCTGAATAAAATTTGCACTCATTATTGAATATCTTTCAAGAATTCTCTAAATCATAAGTTACTGATAACAATATATAGTACCACATTTCACTCAAGATTCCGAGGTCTTGTCTGAGACCTTCAAGTATGTTTTTGAAAAACAGTGTCTTATGGAACAGTGCATAAGAATTTAATCTTTAATACTTCTAAGATCTCACATCATTTTGGCCATGTAAATAAATCTCAAAAGAATACAATATCACCATGCTGGATGAAACTACATGTGAAGTATGTGTGAAAAGCACTTAGTTTACTTATTTGACGTGTAGTAAATTAAACTTACATTGTACCCTTAAACTCTTACTATACTTGAGGAAAATATGAGATGCAGCTTCTCTTTTACAGCCCAAATATTTTGCACTTATTATTGAATATCTTTCAAGAATTCTCTGAATGATAAGTCTCTGATAAAAATGTGTAGTATGACATTTTGCTCAAGATTCCAAGGTCTTGTCTGAGACCTTCAAGTACATTTTTTAAAAACAGTGTCTTATGGAACACTGCATAAGAATTTAATCTTTACTACTGCCAAGACCTCAAATCATTTTGGCCATGAAAATAAATCTCAAAAGAATACAATATCACCATGCTGGATGAAACTACTAGTGGTGCAGGTTGAAAAAACTAAACTAAGTGATCTCCCAAAATTTTGTAAGCAGCTCTTTCCTTAATTTGTATATTTGATGCTCCTGCCAATTTAGATTAGGAGGACTGCACTCCTCCTTGCTCACATTTTCCAAACTTATTTAATTGACACGTCTTTACATGTGGCTCTCAAACACACTGTGATTATTTGCCTTTTTTTTGTTAGTACAATAAAAGGTTCTTGGCTTTTATCAATATGTACTGCTTCATCAAAACCGTTTTCTTGCAGAATGTTCCAGATTAAACATGGTTTCTGGTTTGTTACTTGTTTGGCAAAACTTTCTTAGCAAACTCTGTTGCTGCAAAGAGGAGATATGTTTCAAAATTGATGACAAGTCAGCCTGAGAGATTTCTTTCATGTTTGCCTAATTATTTAAATGCACATATATTTAACAATCCAATCAGCATGTGTGAAAAGCACTAAGTCTACTTTTTTAACAAGTAGTAAATTAAACTAACACTGTACCCTTAAACTCTTACTATACTTAAGGAAAATATGAGATGCAGCTTCCCTTTTACGGCCGGAAATATTTTGCACACATTATTGAATATCTTTCAAGAATTCTCTAAATGATAAGTCGCTGATAACAATATGTAGTATGACATTTTGCCCAAGATTCCAAGGTCTCGTCTGGGACCTTTGAGTCTGTATTTGAAAAATGGTGTCTTATGGAACAGTGAGAATTTAAGCTCTAATTCTGTCAAGATCTCACATCATTTTAGCCATGAAAATAAATCTCAAAAGAATACAGTTTCACCATACTGGATGAAAATGCTAATGGTCCAGGTTGAGAAATCTTAACTAAGTGATCTCCCAAAATTTTGTTAGCAGCTCTTTCCTTAATTTATATATTTTGATGCTCCTAAAAATTTAGATTTGGAGGGCTGCACTCCTCCTTGCTCATATTTTCCAAACTTATTTGATTGATGTCTTTGCATGTGGCTCTCAAACACACTGTGATTAGTTGCCCTTTCTTTGTTAGTGCATTCAAAGGTACTTGGCTTTTATCAATATGTACTGCTTCAAGAAAAATGTTTTCTTCCAGAATGTCCCTGATCAAAACATGGTTTCTGGCTTGCTACTAGTTATTGTCATTAAACAGCATATGCTGTTGGTTTTGCCATTTGTGAACCATTGACTCGGATATTCTGTACTCGCGTGCAATTTCCCGATTGTTTTTCACTGCCTCTGCTTCTGCTACTATTTTCAACTTAAAGTTCAGATTGTAAGAATGACGTTGCGTACTAGGCATGATTTTTGTTTTGAACTTAGCAATGCTCGCTGAATCACCGTGAATGAAGTTTTACAACTAGCAACTTGACCAGCTGAGATAAAGCTTACACTGGATCAATTAGTATACATAGCTTTAGAAAGTAACACTGTTTCCTAAGAAGACAGACTGTATTCACGGTATCTCTGTCTCTTTTATAAGTGTGATTTTTTTGCTTTGTTCACACAAATGTGTGACTTTTTTTCTGTTTGTTAAAAAAAGGTGACATAATTAACTGTAATTAGGAACTTTGAAAACACTATTGCTTTGAAAGTGAAGATAGTGAAAAGGCTCAAAGTTGAGGTTGCGTCTTATAACCGGGTATTTAGGCAAAATTTTCGGTTTAACAACTTGAAAGGAACGAGTTCAAAAATTCAGGGAGCGTCTTATAACCGAGTGCGCCTTATAACCGAGAAAATACGGTATATTTAACTATCATGGAAGCACATTCTAAAATTAATCCACTTCAGCTCTTAACTGTAAAACATACATCTACACGGAAGTGATATATAGCGCATAAAAATCTCATTTTCTTTTATACAATCGTGTATATCCCAAAAAAGAGTTATCCTTCTGCTGGCCTAGGATGCAGAGGTGAAGAGTAGTGGACATTTGCCCACTTCAAACTTCCTAGTTTATGTTTTTTATCGGTTTTAAACATTGCATAAAATCATTAGGTTTCATAGTTTTCCATTAGATTGCTCATTACAGTATTCAAAACCTTGATATTTTGCCACAAAAGGTTGGAAAATGCAAAGAATGGGAAAATAATGTAACTTACCACTCTCTTTCTACGGGCCGCGACCTGAAATGCAATTAAACCAAACTTAGTTGTCACTTTGCTACGCTTTAATCAAACTTTACCTCTTCATCACAGAGAAATAGGAAGCCACTTTGCTTCTCTTCACATACAAGCCAGCCAATCAGTATTTGTGAAAAGCACCAAGCTGTAGTCTACTTATTTCACGTGTAGTAAATTATATGTAATACGCTGTACCCTTCAACTCTTACTATACTTGAGGGAAAAAAAGGGATGCAGCTTCTCTTTTAAAGAACACATTATTGAATGTGGAACAGTGAGAATTTAAGCTTTAATACTGTCAAGATCTCACATCATTTTCGTCATGAAAATAAATCTCAAAAGAATACAGTATCACCTTGCTGGATGAAACCGCTAATGGTCCGGGTTGAGAAATCTAAACTAAGTGATCTCCCAAAATTTTGTTAGCAGCTCTTTCCTTAATTTATATATTTGATGCTCCTGCCAATTTAGATTAGGAGGACTGCACTCCTCCTTGCTCATCTTTTCCAATTGATCTGTCTTTGCATGTAGCTCTCAAACACACTGTGATTAGTTGCCCTTTCTTTGCTAGTGCATTAAAAAGTATTTGGCTTTTATCAATATGTACTGCTTCATCAAAAATGTTTTCTTCCAGAATGTCCCACATAAAAACATGCTTTCTGGTTTGCTACTTGTTGGGCAAAACATTCCAAGCAAACTCTGTTGCTGCAAAGGGGAGATATGTTTCAAAATTGATGACAAGTCAGAGATTTCTTTCATGATTGCATAATTATGTAAATGCACATATATTTAACAATCATGTAAGCACATTTTAAAATTAATCCACTTTAGCTCTTAACAATAAAACATAAATCTACCTGTACGTGACATAAAGGGCATAAAAATCTACCTTTTTATTCATAATCAGGAATACCCCAAAAGAGTTATCCTTCTGCTGTGCTAGGATGCAGAGGTGAAGAGTTAAGTGGACATTAAGTTGGAAAAATGCAATGAATGGTAAAATTATGCAACTAACTAACTTACCTGAATTTCCTCACACCTTTTCAAATGCTTAAATGCAATCAAACCAATTTGAAACTTAGTTGTCACTTTGCTATGCTTTAATCAAACTTTACCTCTTCATCATAGAGAAATGGGATGCCACTTTGCTTCTCATCACACAGGTAAATAGTCTTTTAATCACAAACAAGCTAACCAATCAGTATGTGTGAAAAGCACTTAGTTTGCTTATTTGACGTGTAGTAAATTAAACTTACACTGTACCCTTAAACTCTTACTATACTTGAGGAAAAATATGAGATGCAGCTTCTCTTTTACAGCCCAAAATATTTTGCACTTATTATTGAATATCTTTCAAGAATTCTCTGAATGATAAGTCTCTGATAAAAATATGTAGTATGACATTTTGCTTAAGATTCCAAGGTCTTGTCTGAGACCTTCAAGTACATTTTTGAAAAACAGCGTCTTATGGAACAGTGCATAAGAATTTAATCTTTACTACTGTCAAGACCTCAAATCATTTTGGTCATGTAAATAAATCTCAAAAGAATACAATATCACCATGCTGGATGAAACTGCTAGCAGTGCAGGTTGTAAAAACTAAACTAAGTGATCTCCCAAAATTTTGTTAGCAGCTCTTCCCTTAATTTGTATATTTGATGCTCCTGCCAATTTAGATTAGGAGGACTGCACTCCTCCTTGCTCATATTTTCCAAACTTATTTGATTGACCCGTCTTTACATGTGGCTCTCAAACACACTGTGATTATTTGCCTTTTTTTTGTTAGTGCATTAAAAGGTTCTTGGCTTTTATCAATATGTACTGCTTCATCAAAACCATTTTCTTTCAGAATGTTCCAGATTAAACATGGTTTCTGGTTTGTTACTTGTTTGGCAAAACTTTCTTAGCAAACTCTGTTGCTGCAAAGAGGAGATATGTTTCAAAATTGATGACAAGTCAGCCTGAGAGATTTCTTTCATGTTTGCCTAATTATTTAAATGCACATATATTTAACAATCCAATCAGCATGTGTGAAAAGCACTTAGTCTACTTATTTAACGTGTAGTAAATTAAACTTACACTGTACCCTTAAACTCTTACTATACTTTAGGAAAATATGAGATGCAGCTTCCCTTTTACGGCCGGAAATATTTTGCACACATTATTGAATATCTTTCAAGAATTCTCTAAATGATAAGTCGCTGATGACAATATGTAGTATGACATTTCGCCCAAGATTCCAAGGTCTTGTCTGAGACCTTTGAGTCTGTATTTGAAAAATGGTGTCTTATGGAACAGTGAGAATTTAAGCTTTAATGCTGTCAAGATCTCACATCATTTTAGCCATGAAAATAAATCTCAAAAGAATACAGTATCACCATGCTGGATGAAAATGCTAGTGGTGTGGGTTGAGAAATCTAAACTAAGTGATCTCCCAAAATTTTGTTAGCAGCTCTTTCCTTAATTTATACATTTTGATGCTCCTAAAAATGTAGATTAGGAGGACTGCACTCCTCCTTGCTCATATTTTCCAAACTTATTTGATTGATGTCTCTGCACATGGCTCTCAAACACACTGTGATTAGTTGCCCTTTCTTTGTTAGAGCATTAAAAGGTACGTGGCTTTTATCAATATGTACTGCTTTGTGAAAATGTTTTCTTTCAGAATGTTGCCGCATAAAATATGGTTTCTGGTTTGCTACTTGTTAGGCAAAACTTTCTGCACAAATGTTGCTGCTACATAGGGAAAATATGTTTCAAAACTGATGACAAGTCAGCCTGAGAGATTTCTTTTGTGTTTGCATATGTAAATGCAGATATATTTTAAGTATCATGTTAGCACATTCCAAAATTAATCTACTTCAACTCTTAATAATGAAACACACATCTTCTTGTAAGTTACATATAAGGCATGCAATTCTCTTTATTATATATACAATCATGTACACCCTAAAAAAGAGATATCCTTCTGCTGGCCTAGGATGCAGAGGTGAAGAGTAGTGGACACGTTTCTTAGTTTCCATTAGATAGCTCATTACAGTATTCAAAACTTTGATATTTTACCATGAAAGGTTAGAAAATGCAATGAACAGGAAAACAATGTAACTAACTAACTTACCTCTTCACACTCTGCTGCAGACCGAAGCTGAAATGCAATCAAACCAAACTTAGTTGTCACGGCCCAAAATATTTTTGCACACATTGAATATCTTTCAAGAATTCTCTAAATCATAAGTCACTGATAACAATATGTAGTACAACATTTCGCTCAAGATTCCAAGGTCTTTCCTGAGACCTTGGAGTCTGTTTTCAAAAAACGGTGTCTTGTGGAACAGTGAGAATTTAAGATCTGTCATCATTTTCGCTACAAATTTCAAAAGAATACAGTAAGGCAACGCTGAATGAAACAGCTGGTGGTGCTTGTCGAGAAATCTAAACTAGGTGATATCCCAAAATTTCACAATTTTCTTACCTCCTTTTCGGATGATGAATCATCCTGTCGAGGACATTTAGGAGGACTGCACTCCTCCTCGCTCATATTTTCCGAACTCATCCGATTGATCTACCTTTTTACGTGGCTCTCAAACACATTTATTAGATGCCTTTTCTCGATTCTGCGGTTCAGCCGTCGGTTCACCCGAAGTTTGCAAATCTTTCTTACATTACAATTCCAGCCGCCGTCGAATCTGGTTTGCTTCGGCAAGCAATTTTCATGTACATGCGCAGCGTCTTCCAGCCTCGATCCCAGGCAAGTTAGGCTCCAAGCTTCCAAAAGTTTCACTGGGCCAAAGACCTTGTCAAAATTAGAACAGAATAGACTGGACTGGACTACATCACTGATCTAAAAAGCGGCGGTAAAAGAAGAAGAAAACGTGAAGCCATTGACAAAATGAATGAGATTAATTTGATCTCATTTTAATGACATTTAATGTGCTAAGACAAGCAAACAACCATATTAATACACAAACAAAGACAAAAATCCCAGGGAAACGAACCGTAAAAAAATACGATATGCTTTGACAGTCTTTTCGAGTCTTTGCTGTAACCCAGTCCTGCAGTGGACTGCACGAAGAACGTTTCCCCGCAAGGGATGCATGTAAGTAGCTCGCCTTCGAAACAACAAACATAAAATCAGAAATATTTTATTAAAAATTATAAGCTTCTTGCAAAATAAAGGTTTCTAGTGAAACACCATTTCTGCCATTTTAGGGGCCCCTGTCGTCTCATTCTGCTGAAATTTTTTGCTTTATCATTCACAGAAACTTTACATAAGGGAAGGTACGTTTTTCTTGGAGGGGAGGGCTGGGGAATTTTGATATTTTTTCTAAAAAAAGAGTGTTTGCCCTCTGTTGCGTTTTAATAAAAAAAAAAAACTCTCGACCCCCCCCCCCTTTAGGTGACTGACAAAAGTGCGACCCTCCCCTCACTACTACATGGTATGTTCCATGCCGTAGAAACCTCAGAACATTTCGCTTGTGAACGCAAAATGTTTGAATATAAATACATCTCGATACTGAATGTGTGCGAGCTGAAACAAGAAAATGCGAACAATCAGTGTGGGATATTTACGTTTTATAGCTGAAATTTGGATATGAAAGTATAAACTTTGAGACTTTGTAAGTCCTTCTCCAGTTACACCAACTCTTCGACCCTGTCCCGATTACAACAAACTTCCCGACTTTCACGACTTACCAAGTGCGAAAACTCCAACGAGTGGCAGCAAACCTGATGATTATCAGCCTCGAGCTCAAATAAAACAGATGTTTCAAGAGGGTAAGCTCAAAGCAGGGGATGAAAAGGCAATCAGAGTTTTCTGAAAAATACATTGTTTCAGAAAAGCTTGTTGCAGACTGTACGGCGCATCTAACTGACATTGGATAGCGGATAGTCAACAGGGGTAAGAAGTTGATGAAACGATACCTGAGTCTAGTACGTCTCGATACGGACGGAAAAGGACATAAGTCCTCCGAGAAAACTATGTGCCATGGCATAATATACATGTAGAAATGTAATCTAGAACCAATTAATAGTAAAACAACAAATTTAATCAAAGTAGGTGAAAAGAAAAACTTGATCTGTAAGAAAAATGTTTATAACAAAGGCTTCTCAACTGAACTGCTTTGTATAATATCAACTGAAATCGGTTACTAAAGGTCAATTCCTGGGTGGCATGATGAAAATTGCTATTGTCAGTCACGAATCATATCAGAAGACATCACTTGGTGCCGGCCACATGTCACGCGACATTGCCTCAACCGACGCTAAACGAAGATGGCGTCAGTCGAGACAATATCGGCTGCTGGAGACATTTCTCCTCGTTTCCAAACGTTTCTTCAAGGAGTGTCCGATGAACTCAGCCCCGAAGAACTAAGGCATGCCGTATCGTCCATAAAAACTAATTTTAGGGGCAAGTTTGAGGATCAAGGAGAACAAGATTTGTACTCATGCCTCCAATTATTCGCTAAGCATGGTCTTGTATCGGAGGACAATCTGACTTTGTCGGAAGGGTTTCTGAGCCCTAAAGCGTCCAATAAAGAGTCGCTAAAGGAAAAAAATCAACAATTTAAGGAAAACCGCCAACAAGAGGTCAGTCCCGGAAAGGAGGAATCAGGTTTGACCGACAGGGAACGTGACCTAGAGAAAGTTATGGCAGTGTTGATAACTGGAAGTTCGCGTGTTGTCAATTTGCATGGAATTAGTGGAGTAGGTAAGACGAAATTGGCAATAGAAACTGTTTCAAAGTGGTCAGGGAGGACCAGAAATGAAAGACGTTCATTTTCATGTTTTAAACGCTTAAGCACCAGACAAAACGATCATAAGTTTCGAAGCAAATCTAGTGGTTGAATTAATACAAAAGTTGAGGTAAGCAGAGCAACACCGTGACATATTGCTGCTCCTTGATAACGTCGATAAATTTGCAGGAGGAGACTATGAAGCTTCCATCTCCCTTAATGCCAATTTTGTGATGTTTCTGCAAGGAATTCTAGGTCTAAAGGATTATCCGGGGAAATCGAAACTGAAGATTTTGATGACATTGAGATCAACACTTCGTCGCACAAAGTTAGCCAACGTTGACAATTACGAAGTTATGGCCTTAGAGAAAATGTTTTTCTTCTTGCCAAGTAAACAGTTAAAAGATTCTACCATTTCGATGTCACTGTCCTGTCGCTCTTTCACTGTCGAAGCAGCAGCCGAAGTCCTTGAAGTGGACTCGTCAGAAGCTGCTATACAACTAGAAGGTCTCAGGAATAGTGAAGTGCTAACGGTAGACCCTGACGTGAAAGAACTTACCTATGATATCCACCCTTTGTGCGAACAGTTTCTGAGAAGCATTGGTAGTAACCAAAAGATGTTCGTCAAAGTTTACGAGAAGGCAAAAGGCAGGTTTCATACATATTTCATGTCCAAAATGTTACACATTTCAAGGCTTTTGGACAAAGACTACATGAATGCCTTCGATAATTTTGATCTTGACAGACCGAACTTTGAACTTGCTTTGGGTATTTCTTTCAAGTCAGACCATCTTCTTATCCCAAAAGAGCATCGTGAAAGTGTTGATCTTTCATCTCTTCGAGGCCATGCTTGACGAAAAAGCTAGAAAGACATTTTTAATTTCTGGGCCGATAAGGTCGAGGATGATGGAAAGGAAGGTAAAGTTTTATTACTTACCAGAAAAAAGTCTCAGTTTACGTAGGAAGTTTTTCTGGATACTTCGGTAGTGTAAGTAAGCTGTCGACGTAATGGATAAAACTGACTAAACTCGACTGACAACAACAATTTACTTGACTCTGGTGATGACCTAAGCTCAGGTTGTCGAAACTTCAGTCACCACTGCCGACAACAGTCCTTCTCAGGACTTCACCCACCAGGACGATTAGACCACACGATCAAAGCACCTCAGTGTAATGTGACCTTCTCGGTAAGGAGGTTATAGCCTTCTTATCTTGTTCTAATCTGTTTAAACTCCCAAAGAATCTTTCACGATGAAGGTATGACAAAGCTCTTTAATCTATCAATGGATGACATTAACTTGAACGGGTTTTAGTTTAGAGAAATATGTTTTTCGTCTTGTCACGAGCGTGGGACAAAGAAAGAATTTTGACGGTTCCAATGAGGAATCGGACCTCAGACCTTCGGATTCCGCGCTCCAATACTCTACCACTAAGCCACAGAGACTCTACCGTGAGCGTGGTCTATTTCGAAGTTCTTATGCGTTTTAGTTTAGTATGTATGATTGTACGATTTTTAACCAAGCAACCTCGCGAAATCTACCCAGCCAGTCTTCTTGAAGAACAAAAGTATCATTGACTTGCCAAAGGCGTTGTCCTTACATTGTCCAAGCATGCTACATTATTCTTGGAGGCTCAACATATTTTACGCTACTTATATTTTTGAGCACGGTTGATGTTTTGTAAGGTTCGTCATTCCACGGGGTGTGGGCGGACAATGATTTACTGTTATTTGTTATTTAAATGTAGTATTTGCTTTTCATATAATTATCCCCTAATTAATATTTTTCTTTATTCTCATCACTTGTCTGCTTGATATTGTAAGGAAAAATTCTGTCCTGGTCACTCATGGGAGTTAAAGGGTTAAAGAGTGTACTGAGGGAAATTTTTCCCAATTTTGCTGATTTAGATATACTGGACCTGAGCCTGGCAGTAAGTTTGCAATCCAGGAATTTTGACGGAAAAACTAAACCAAAGAGAAAGCGGTGTCGTTGACATTATAGATTACAATTCAAGCGAAAAATTCTCTTTTCTTTCTAGTTGATTCCATTCTCATTCTTGACATTGTGATTATTTTCAGAGGAACACTCACTAGCGAGGACGTGCATTGGAACATCCAGCTAGGGGCTGTACATCTAGCCTTCCCTCGTGATGCTGTATCTGAGCCCACCCTGATAACGGTCCATCGATGGAAACCCATGGTCCTGTCACCGCCTTTGCAGGAGCACGAGGCTCTCGTCAGCAACATGATTGAAATTTCTTCGAACAGTCGGGAAGCTTTCAAATTTGAAGCTGAAGTTAAGATGTCATTCACTTATGTTAAGACGTCATTCTCCCGGCCTAAACGGCTACGAGTTGGTGTTGTACAAAGGGCTTGACAACGAGACCGATGCATGGGAAGAAGTGACCGATTTGGAAGACTTCAAAACTATCTCAGGTTGGAGGAAAAGCCTTCAAATTTGTTAATGTTAAATTACAGATAAAGAAACTTGATGCATCGTTGAGTGTGTTGGTCGAACATGGATGGATCTGCGAGAAAATCTGCTTCCAGGAATATCTTCACGGATATTCACGGTCAGCCAGGTGTACACTAAAATGATCTCTGAGTTATCCTTGTCTATAAACTAAGGACCACTTATTTACACAAGGTCTAACCCAGATCACGGTTTTACGCAATCAGTGGGCCTCAGGTTTTGTCTATAAGAGGGTTGATTTACTTCAATAAATTTCCTTCCACTATTGGCTTTGGGCCCTCTTAACACTATTCACAAAAATGAATGCCCTGATAAAAGGTTCAGCTAAGTTAACGATCGCCTAGGACGCGATTTTGTTAACCTTTAGTATAGGTTGGGAAAGTATCGAAGTGAAGATGATTTATCAAGCGAGCACTCGGCTGTGGACGTAATAACTGATAGAGAATAGAAGTTTTAACATGTATTTGAAAGAGTTATTCCCTATGAATAAGGTATTGGAGCTTCGAACTGAACTAAGGGATCTGCACTTTTCCCCCTCGAATGTAAAGACTGGTAAACGATAGCCAAAGCTGGACAAAACTCTTAGCATCAGATCTTCTTTATAAAAGGAAACCCCATCTCGAGTATTACCATCGTGATACCGTCTTTTGCATCTTTCATATCATCCTCTAAACAAAGAAAGTCAATTTTCTTATCTGCTGTTTTTTGGGGAGACGTTTCTGAAATCTCAAACAACGGCTGGCAAGGAGAGGAATGTACTTGGAGATCCGGTCTGGCGCTAAGATTGCAGTTTACATACAGTTCTTTGACTTTTATTACAGGTATTCGTGTCTTATTGACTGGTGTGCAGATAGCTTCAGTTATCAAGGCGTTATCGGATATCTATCGAGCCTTATTTGGAACCAACCTCAGCTGGCAGTTTTCTTCGCCTACTTCCCTCATGAAGAACGCCCTGATTCTCAAGACATCTTGTACCTAATTTGCTGCCCGTCTCAACTTAAAGAAAAGGTGCGGGCTGAAATTACGAATCAAGCTAATGCGCCTACTTCAAGTGATTCAGACTCCCGCATCAGTATGATTCCTGGGCGTGATAGGGCTTACGTCTCCCTCATAGGAGGGATCAGAGCGATTGAGGAAGATGACATGGATGAATTTTATCTCCAGTAAGTTTTTAGATACGCTTCACTGAGAAAACCCTCAGTATGCTATTAACCTGAAGTTTTATTCCAGTAGGTTTTCTTTAAATAATTCCAAGAGGGCAATGCCAATTTGTTTAATCAAATTCAAAATAGCAATCAGCAGAGATTTAAAGTTGAGTTGTTATTGATAGAATTTAACTCAAACTTTGACTTCATAAATTCACTTTTTTTCTCATATAAATTGCAGGTGCTATAGAGCCCAGAGAAATGATTAAATTCTAATTCAGGTTATCGCGGTACACTCGCTCCCTGTTCCCCGTTTCGAGTTCCTCGTTCGACGTTTAGGTAACATCCGTCCCACTTCCTCTGTAGAAAAACGGCAAAGATTCTTGCTAATAAATACATCCTTTTTCGTGCTGATAAGAATTATTTTTAACAGGTTTATAAGCGATGACGTCCATAAAGTTCAAGTTCCAATCCGTGTTATTGATGACAAAGGACTTTCAGGGGTGAGGTTTTTTAAAACACCGAAGTTTGAAAAAGGCACTCTGCTATGTCGATTGAATTTTCGATCATCGCCTCTCAAGAGAATGCTGAAGGTAAGAGGTTTGATTGCTGTTCAGGTTTTGAACGTGTTTTTCATAAAATTCCTTTTTGTTCAACGATATTTAGGATGACATTAACAAAATTCCGATCAACAGTACGTAGAGTGTACATCCAAAGCTAACATTTTTCAGGGGACAGATTTGCGTGTTGATGAAATAGAGAAAAAAAAATGAAAAAAAGAGAACAGGAAAGGAAATGCAATACGATCACGTAACATTTCAAATGGAATTTATCAGACATGCATGTAGAATACAAGGCGGAATTCGTAGAAAATAAACACATCCGTCCTGAGAATTAAGCATGTACATTTTTATTAAGCTAAATAGTAATATGTTACTTTTTATGTATTTGTAGAAAACCCCAGTGGAGTTTTTTGGCATTCCTGTCAATGATGAAATCTTGTCAAATCCGCGTCCTGAGCATGTTCTGGGGATTGGAAAACAATTCGTTGGTTCAGAGGTGTATGACGATCTCCTTTTCCCGCTTCAGCAAAGGCAATATGAATCAGAAGCAGACAATACAAAACTTCTATGAGGCTCTTGCAGGATTGAAAATCGAGATCCAAGATAAGTGCCTTGAAGCCCTCGTCGAGGAACTAAGCGACTTTAATGTATACGGATTTGTGGCAGATCGACATAAGGAAGGTAAAGATATTAAAAGATCAGCAGTTTGCATTTGAGTGTAAAAAGTAATTCAAGAATAGTTTGGTTTTGTTTTACTTCCCTTTGTAATTGGTTGATAAAACTAGTGCCACTTTTTCTAATTCAACCGACCATATTTAAAATTAAGACCAATCGCGTTTCTCCGCGCTATGAGCAGTTTGCTTGTTCTAACTGTAATAAGCTTCTGGTAATATTTTCCTCTGATCGACGGTTGCGAATTAACACTCAATCAAATAACGACACTCAATCAAATTTAGCTTCAAAGAATAATAAGTTCACCTGTTCACAACGCTTGACCCACGACCTTTACTCTTAGAAGTTATTAACGCCTGTATTTTCCTCACTGTGTTCATATTTTGTCTGGAGTACAAGTGAAGAGATTTGACGAGCTCATCACAAATAAATTTGTTTCATATGTTTCTGGAAGTAGATATCTCCGGAGATATAATTATAAGGTTTAATTAACTATGACTGTTGCTGCAATATCCTGATGTCACGTATCCTGCGGAGCCCCCCCCCCCCCCCCCCTCCAAAATGAGTCATTCTTGTAAATGGGAGCACAAGGTTCTTCATTCAACGAAATTTCTCGCGCACTTGTCCTGTTCTGACAGCAGGGATGAGTCCCGACCTATTCCTAGGGAAGTTTATCTTGCCATGGTCTCCCTTGGTACCTTGCAGTCATGTCTAACTTTATTAGAGTCGAGATCGCCGAGGGGCTAAGTTTGGTTGATTTGCTCTCACAGAGGGGTTTATGATAAAAGAAGTTAGTCAGTTAGTGGTGTGTTTCTAGTAATAAAGGCAGCATTCACGCAGTCCATTTAGAACTTTTATCATATTCATTTTCGCCTTTTTAGGTAAAGATGCAAATCATTGAATAGGGACGTGAAGAAAATTGTATCAGAAAAAGCGGAGTATCATTGGGAAGACCTGGCAAGAGAGCTGGGGCTTACAGATAGAAAAATTGATACATGTGAGGAATGCTGTTATCAAGTCCTACAAAAATGGTGTGAAGAGAACGGCGAATCAGCCACGATCAGAAGAGTCATGGTGGCACTGACTAGAGTAGGATTAGTGGACATCAACAACGACATTGTAGATTGTCTTAATTTGAGACGTTTGGATCAAATGGAGTTGGACTCAGTAAACTGATAAAATCGGAGGAACTTAGCATGCAACTGGACTTCATTCAGTGCACAATGTACCTTGTTGCACATGCAACGAAACGAGCGATCGCGTGATGCTAAACACGTCACGGTTAGAAAAACCTTCATGCGAACACCCTTACAGACAATAACAAATTTGCATGATTTGACCATGTAACTTTGTTATACACACACATACGCGCGCATGTGGCTTTGGACCAAGATGGATTGCAAAAATTGAAAAAGCTTTGTAAACTTGGTAAAATTTTGAACTCTCTAAATGTAAGTTTGAGATCTTTGGACGGTTTTAAGTCTGGTAGTTTAGTTCAAAAGATTCTTACGCTGAAGGGAGAGACCGCAACTCACCTCCTTGCTTTTATCCTTGGGGGAAGGTTTATGGACTTACACGACAGCATAGCTGCTCGACACCATAACAAAGTGCTTACGGCCTTCTTCAAAGGAAGGCACAGTAGGCACACAAATAAACGATGTTTTGGAGATAGAATCTTCTAGATCTTCATTTTCTTTAATTTCGTAACTTTAGGCACGAGCAAATTAATTATCGTTGCCAATGGACCTAAAGGAAAAGTTGCAACATATATCTTTTGACTGCTAGATCGAGATCACAGAATGAGTTATAGGAGAGGGGGAGGGGTGGGGCGTGACAGCAAAGAGGGAGGGAGGGGGGCGTAGAAAAGACTAAGTTCTGATCTTTGACGGAGAGGGCAATATGCAAGTATTCCTTCTGGGAAGGCACGAAAAAGAAAAAAAAAAATCTTAATTGAACTGAAGAAGTAGCCTTAGCTTATTTTGGGAACTGTTTCAGGAAGGGTAAAGTTTAACCTTAACGTGGATCACAAGCTTTTTAATTACTTTTTAAGTTGGTGACTGTATTTAGGCTTTTTTATTTTTGTTGTTGTTTTTTTTTTGCAGGGCCCTTATTGATATTAGCATTTTATGCCGAAGAGGTCACCCTGGTTAAAAACCATTTATTATTATATTATTATGATGTTAATCTAAATGTTTACAACGTACTTCCGGCTTGCGTGCTGTGATCGCGTGACTTATATTTGTGCGTCCCTAGTATGGAGATCAGCGGTGTGTGTTAACACGCTCAAAAATGGCGGTTGTCGATACCGAAAATAAATCAGATTTAAGACAACTTTTCCAAAATATATCACCATACTTTACTCCAGAGGAATCAGAAGATGTTGTACTGTCATTTAAACAGAATTATGGGGGGAAATTCAACTCTCTAGACGATTGCGATCTGCTGAAGTGTTTTCATCTTCTTGAAGAGAATGGGTATGTATCTGAAAACAACCTCAAACTAATCGAAGACTTCGTTGCTTTGAAATCGAGAGGAGAAGAACTCATTAAGGACGCTATGAAAAATTTTAAGGCCTCTCGTCCAGTAAAAGCTGATCCAGAGAAGAAATTGCAGGGACGGAACGATGAAATCACGAAAATCAACCGAAAACTGGCATCAAAAGATTCTGCAGCTTTAAACTTGTTTGGATCGTCTGGTTTGGGAAAGACAAGACTTGCTAAGGAAGTTTGCTCACAATGGCGTGGAACATATTATGTCTTTGATCTTAGAGAAGCAAAGGATATGAGAGCGATTTATTACAACATTCTACATTCTCTCGATCTAGCTGTTCCAGTTGGTTACATTGAACTAAAGAATGTTGTGGCAAAAGTTCAAGAGAAAATAAGAGAGTTGCAGACGAAAAAAGAGGGACATGGTGTTCTGTTTATGCTGGATAATGTGGATCGATTTACCGCAGGACAAAGAAAGGAGGGAAAGAACTTGAAAACAGCTTTTATACAATTTTTAGAAAAGCTTCTAGAAACCAAAGAAAAAGGGTCTCCCTTGAAACTTTTACTTACATCAAGGGCTCAGTTAAAAGATTCCAAAAAGGTGGAAGATTTTGAAGTCAAGTCCCTGAAAAGATCTTTTTCGGAGAAAATCCTCTTTCCTAAGGGGATGAATGATGTCCAACCCCACCAGATGGATAAATTTTTAATACCACCAAAGGATCTCCCCTTTTTCTAGAATTACTGGATCCTATTTTGCGACAAGGACGGAAGTCTGTTGATGAACTCATCGCAAGACTTGCACTCACTCCAAAGAAATCCAAAGTGGAGGAAGATGCCTCGGAGAAACCATTCGATTTTGAGGAAGATGGAGTAGACATGGGTCAGATATCGGTGGTGAGAGAAACATTCAACACACTTCCCACTGAAAGTTTGAAGGTATCTGCAGTAGTAATCTCCTTGTTTCATGGGCCTTTCTCTGTGCCAACAGCTGCCAAAGTTCTTGGTATTGACCAGTCAGAAGCTATTGCTCAGTTAGAGGGTCTTGCAGCCAGTCGAATCATTTTTGTAGTTGATGAGGAAGCAAAAGAAAGGAAGTATGACATCCACACACTCTTACAGAAGTATGCTGACAGTATCAAGAGTCAGGAAAACTTTCTTGCTCTCTATCTGGAGGCAAAAGCACGCTTTTATGAACTCTTCATGTCCAGGATGAAGGAAATTGCCAAACTCATTGAGCCAGACTATGTCAGAGCATTCCATTTATTTGAGACAGACAGAGGAAACTATGAGTTCACTGTTGACATATCTTTGCAACCAAAATATTTCAGTGTTCTAGGTGAATTCCATGAAAATACTTTGATTGCTTCCCTTTTTGATGCAATGCTAAATGAGAAGAAAATAATCAAGGTGTTTCATAACTGGGCTGAGAAGTGCCAAGATGATGGAAAGACAGGTACAGTACTTTATAATTGAAGTTTTGGTCATGCAATTATCAATTCTTTTAAAAATTTTATGAACTGTGATTTGTAGTTTATTCTTTATACACATATATCTATATATCTGCATCTATATATATATCATTCTACATCTGCTTATCTGTATATCAGTATATATATCTCCATACTGGTCTCTGTATAATTCTTAAGGTTCTTAAAAAAAGAATTTGTTAAAAAATCAAGAGCTTCTTTAGTCGGGGATCATTTCCTTTATTCCTGTGACCTTGGTGTTTATTCATGGATAAAATTGTAGGGAGATATTTAGTAGAGTCTAGTCACTCATGGGGGGGGGGTAGGAGTGTTAAAAGAGTGTGCTTTTCAGAAAAATTTGTTTTTGGAGTTTAATGACAAAGCAATTAATTCTTTTCACAAAGGCCAGTCTTCCTGTTTATCTTTTATTACATCAATCACACCAACCCAAAGTTGACATGGAAAACTCAATTGAATAATATAGTTATGCCTGCAAGCCATAAATAATAGTTCTCATTAGTTTTCTCTATAAAGGAAATCCCACGAGCTTCAAATTCCATGAATGCTTTAAAAGACTAGCTAAAAAATTGCTCTCAATATCCTCTCACATATCAACCCTTCAACTCCTAAAAGTGATTAACATCTAATTTCTCCTTACAATGTCACTCCTGAATCAATCATGAAGGTCATGAGAATATATAAACTGATCACCAATTAAAGTAGCTCTTCATTGCTAACCAAATTCTCCTTGTCAGCACCTTAGGAAATGTATAGAGAACAGTATGGAGAATATGGATACTGATGTTAAGGTGTAAAGGGTTAATGACTTGAAGTCCTACAATTAAGTCTTTTGGAAAATTGTTCACTTTGGGAATCCACTTGCAACTGTTATTAAATGAAACATCCGATTGTTAATTCTTCTGCTCTTACAAAATTATAAGCTCCAATTAATATTTTTCATTTTTAAGTTGCAAAACTGTGGTAATAAGATTACATGATTGACTTGTTGTGTAACATTTTTAGGTTCTCTCATGCGAGCACATTTGAAATGCCGGGAAGTAAAGCAAGTTCTCGATGTCCATGGAACAGAGAGAGCATATGAGGTACTGATGACAGCTTTTGGTCCACTGGAGAAAGTCAAAGACAAATCCAGTGATTATTTTATGCTAACCAAAGGACTCTATCTGTATTGCGAAGGTGAGATCCTTTGGAGAAATGGGGACTTAAAGAAAGCACTTGAATGTTTGGAGTCATCCTTGGAATTCTTTAAGGCACTGCCAAAGGAGCACACTGATCTTGCGAGGTGCTACAATGCTATTGGAAACTGCTATTCGAGTCTAAAACTACTTGAGAAGGCACTTGAGTTTTATAACAAAGCATACATGACTCAAAAGAAAGTGGCAGGATCTGAGCATCACTTTGACATTCCAATTTACAAGAATCAAATTGGAACTGTTTATGTGGGTCTAGGAGATTACAGAAAGGCTACCAAGTGTTACAAAGATGCCTTGAGCCTTTTGAAGGAACTAAATCTTTTAGGGTCGTGGGATGAAGCTCACTTTCTGAGAAATCTTTCCAATGCTTACATTCACAGAAAGGAGTATAAAAAAGCAACTGAACCCGCAGATAGGGCTTATAACATAAGGATGAAGATTCTCGAAAATCACCCACTAACTGTGCAAAGCATATACCAGAGAGCAGTGATTCAGTCATACTTGAATGAAGATGAGAGATCCTTGCAGCTCCTTCTTGAGGCATGGAAGATGGAGAAAGCACTTGATGCAGGAAACCACAGTCCAGTTTGGCGAGATATTATTGTTGGTGTCGAGACCTCATATGATAATCTAGGGAAAAGAAACCAGAAGAGAGGATTTCGAAAAGAAGCATTGAAATTTTGTGAACATCTCTGGGAAGAACGAAAAGGCTCAAAATTGTTTTGCTTTGATGATTTAGACAAAGAAGTAATTGATACTATTTTGGAACTTCTCAGCAAGAAGAAAGGCAAATACATTGTTTACAAAGTGGAAAAGGAACAATTTCGGAAGATGTATAGTGCTAAGAAAGAAGAATTTCAAGAAAAGGCTGACCAGATCCAAAGAATTCTACATCACTCAGGTAAAAGCCATTGGCATTGCAAGTTATTCCTAAATTAGAATGTTGTAGGCATTTTGCTGTTAACCCTTTACACTCTAACATCAGTCTGTATATTCTCCATAGTGTTTTTTATACAAATCCTTAGGTGCTAACAAGGAGAATTTGTTTATCAATCAAGAAAATATTTTGTCAATGATCATTTCCTTCATTCTCATGACCTTATACTGTCTGAAGCAGGGTTTATATTGTTGGGAGAAATTAGATGTTGGTCACTCTCAGGGGTTAAAGGATAAACCCCTTAACCCCTAAGAGTGGTTAGGAACTATTCCTCCTATCAGTGTCACCCTTAAAACAATCATTGAGGTCATGAGAATAAGGGATATGATCACCAACTAAAGAAGTTCTTGATTGTTAAACAAATTCTCTTTGTCAATACCATAAGAAATGTATAGAGAACAGTGTGGAGAAAATTTATACCGATGTTAGGGTGTAAAGGGTAGATAGCATTTGGTGGGAGATGCATTGTCCTAATGGTTAGTGTGCTGGACTCCAGGTCAAGAGATCATGGTTCAAGACCTGGCTGATCAAGTTATTGTGTTGTGTTCTTGGACAAAATACTTTAGCCAATTAACTCCCAAGATCTCATCAATAATTCTCCTTACTATCTCCCATACAGTTCTTGTGATATTAGTTTGGAGAATTTGGTATTGGATCATCTTACAATCCCCTAACTGATATTTTTCATTATTCTCATCACTTGTCTGCTTGATATTGTTTTGATATTGTAAGGAGAAATTCTGTCTTGGTCACTCATGGGAGTTAAAGGGTTAAATTACTCTGTCAGTGCCTCTTGAGCCCCATTCAGGACTACAAATAGATACTGGCAAATTTTTAGGCAAGCCTGCTGAAATGCTGGGGTGGTAAACTTTCAATAGACTGGCATCCCATCCAGGGGGAAGTAGTAATACTCCCAATCACTTCATGCTCAGGAAACCAGGATAAGCTCCAGCTGGATGAGCCACTTTGACTCTTGGACTGAGTCCCACAAACCCAAACTGACACATATGTTAAGTTTACAAAGCATACAAAGTATAAAGTTGCATTTACACACTTGGAATTGTAGAGACACAGAGGTAAATTAAGGGAGATTAATACTGGTAATAGGACCAAGTGGAGTCCAATTTGTCTCTTCTCAGACTAGTGATTAACAAAATTGGACAACTATGAAGGGGGAGTCCGATTGATCAATCATGAGTATGATTACCAACAGAATTGGATGACACAAAGTCCAGTTACCAATTAATCATGACTGTTTGAATTTCCAAAAAAATTGACAATGTTTAAAGTAAAAAATTCTTCCATTTAGGAAGTTCCCCAGTTTCTTTTTTCAGGGTAAGTAGTTGTTTCTATGGTTATGGTGATCAATTTTGTGATTGGTGGATTTAGCTGAGGGAGTGGACTTTAGTTAGTATGATTGACTGCTTCAACTGTCTGCTAATGCACCAATCATGTTTGAGGCATGCAGTTTTGGTAAGAAATGCAATTTTTGCAATGCTTTTTAAGGAAAACAACTATTTTTAGCCTCTGAGAGGGAAAAGGTGACTGATGCCAAATCAGCAAAAGGAGATGATGCAGAGGAGGAGGAAGAAGTTGTGGTGGAGTTGTCCGATGAAGAAGATTCACAGCCAAACCCTAAAGATGGCAAAAAGATTGTGGTCAGGAGGTAATTCATTTTTCTGTCTATGATTTTTCTTGTCGTGCTGGGCTGTTACAGAACCTTCAAAGGGGTGAGTGTGGATTTGTGGGGTTGTAAAGCAAAGGCTAATGTTCTAAATATCTATTTGCTCCTCAGAGATGAGATAACAGACGAGGGAGACACATGGAATCTACCAGAGGCTGGTGCATTCATCACCTTTTCTCCAGGATTTGTGAAAGAACCCTTGTGGGTCTCTTGTTCCATGTGGAGTCCTAGATCCCTCTCTCCTTCCATAGGCAGTAATGAGCTCTTGGTGAGTAATTTGATTGAACTATCTTATGAAGGCCCACCAACTCTAGAGTCTGGAGAAGCTGCTACAGGATGCATAACCATGGGTTTGTTGCACAGCGCCTCTGATTTCAAGGGATATGAAGTAGTTATTAAGAAACTGGTTGACCAAGAAAACAATGAATGGGAAGATTTGGAAACAAGAATTGTATGGAATTCAGCAGGTATTTAAACTCAAGTTATTAAAATTATTTATCTACCAGACTGGATATTTGTTATTATTCTAGCTATAAATCCACAGGAAATCTTCTACTCATTGGTGCAATAATGATGATTATAATATGGCAAGGTAGTCCTGAGGCAAATCTGATCATTCTGATTGGTTTTTACTTGGTCAGTATTTTGCCATACAGAGTGTTTCCATGGAAACAGTTGTGATCCCTGTATTCTTTCTTGCATCAAAGTAGGCAAATTCAAAATGGAAAAGTTTGGTCTGAGTGCCATATAATAAACTACTACTATGAGAATATTTTTGGTTGGAGAAAAATACCTGTTCTCAAAATACTGGATTCATATAGAGCAAAACTTGTCTTTAGATATTGCAGACAAATTCATTTCCACAGTACAAGTGTAGATCCCTAATTGAGACTTATATTCCAGGTGGACAGTTATTTAAAGCCAATTCATTTCCTTGATTGAAAGGTTAAGAGTGAGAATGCACCTGACTGCAAAGCTACAGATCGTTTATTTTTTTAGAGAGCCGATGTAATACCCCTGTCTCTCTAGCAGGAGCTTCAGAGAGGACCTAGTTTTTAATATGGATTCCATCTAGGTACCCTTCATGCTGTAGGTTCAACTAAATTTACTAAATAAATGCATTTTTCATGTTCTTTCTTGAAGAAATTAATCCAGCTGTTATGGATTGCCCATATGCTGAAGCGACTTGCTCTGGAATCAGCTTTACCTCCTTTGCGGCTATTTGGCGCCTGAAGTCTTTTGTCTTTCGGAAGACAAAGAATTTGAGCTCCAAGTTTATTTGCACAGTGCCAGACTATCCAAATGTCTGTGTTTCAGTCCCATGGAATTCTGTTCCTGACAACGCAGACTTCTCCTTAACTCTGAAGGTACCTAAAATTAGTGTATATTTCAAACAAGTCAAACCATGGCCACTTAAACGCAACTCTGAGAACATCAAGGTTTACCAATCACGGTCCATTACCTGCCAAAACACATTATAACATAGCTAGCAGAGCCGCGCAATCAAATTCAGTATACGTAACCGTGCTCAAAATCCCGATAGTGCACGCGGATAGCGTGAGCAAATCGCTTCGCCTGAATTTTTTTTTTTGGCGCAAGCGGCCATTGTTAGCGCGGGGGGAAATAATATATTTTGCGACAATAATGGATACAAACAGAGACTCGGCCCACCAGTCCCAAAACGAGGCCAATTTTCCGACCTTTTCCCTTGGGCTAGAGTTCTTAAATGAGGCAGAAAAAGAGAAAAATAACGGAAAAGGAGACTCGTCACGATTCGCTTCACAATTCCACCGGCTATGTTCTAATACAATTGGTTCATGCTTTTAGCTTTGCACTATCGAGTTATGGAGCACGTGGGAAGTTTGGAGAGCACTCAAGAAGCTGGAGTTGCCCTCGGCTATTGCCTCGGGCAACTCTTACGCTTCTTTCGTGCTCTCCAAACTTTCCATGTGCTCCATAACTCGATAGTGCACGCTAAAGCGTTAAATAGATCATTACGGATAGCACAGATGATGTGATTTGGTAGATTTCATAGTTATTCTCTACGTAGTTGATTATTGGAAAAGCTGTCAAAGGATCGTTGATTGTGAATCGTTGATAGAAGATCGTTGATTTGAACTAATGATAAAATAACGTAAAAATATTTCTGAGAACATCCTCTTATATATTACAAGCGTAGAAGTGAATCCAAACCACGATTGATAATATCGGTTAAACGATATATTAATTTTATTAAAAAAAGTATTCAGTGATCTTACTTTGGTCAGGGAATATTTACGACCGCTCTAAGGAATAAAAAAATAGGTCAAACTCTCAATTCTCGGTCGTAAATATTCCCGTAGAAACTCTTGTAATTCTGCCATGACTCTTAATGCGAAAGATGATCATCTCACATCTGGAGCTTGGGCTGCCTGTGGTTCTAGTGGTAGAGTGGAATAGAGGAAGTGTAGGTTTTCCGTGTCAAAGGTCTAAGTATTTAACTAAAGCGTGGTCTATAATCTCCTTTTTGCACCCTCAAATTACAAAGGCCTGTCATTGATTTAGCGCATGAACTTGTGAGAATACGTGCCATTGAGTTGATGCTGAAGCCTCTATAATAATTAACTAATTTATGTTTGTGGTATAACCTAACACTTAGAGTGAAGGTTACCAATTTCTTAGGAAACTGTTCTTCTGTGGTGAAGATCGAGAGAGACTGTTTTGTTTGTAATGTATGAATTAATTTATTACATTCACTGAAGAGCGAAATTTATGCACTTACGATTGTACACAAGTTCTAAGAAACCTTTTCGTGGTTAAGTACATTTGGTATTTTGGTATATTATCAAAGGATATTCTGCGCTGGTTTCCCAAACGTTGAAGGTGGTTTCCACTTTGACTCTAACTATTGGAGGTCGGTGTCATAAATATTTGTTGTTCCTTCTGGATCACAGGTACAGGAGGCACCAAGCACCGATGGCAGAGTTGGAATCTTGTTGGGTCCGGTTCTTCACATTTCGTGCACACATGAAATAACACTCTTGGAGCCAGCAAAAATCAGCCTTCCTCTTTCCCTTTTTAAAGGTGATAGAGAATTGTTGGATATGCACTCAGGTCAGTGGCGGATATTTCACTTTCAGCAGGAATGGACAGATATCACAGATCGGTTGGAGATGTCAGTTGCTATTACAGATGGAATAGTGACATTCAAAGTGAAAACTTTCTGCAGGTAAGTAAAGGTTCTCATTGGTATAGATTTAAAAATGTTCGCTGATCACGGCAGTGTTCGTGATGTTGTCACTTATAGACCAAGTAATGGTCAACCTCATGCATACTGTACTACGACGACTATGTTGAGAAGGACGAAAATGATAGCGTTGACGACGACGACGTTAACAAGGTCGAGAATGAAGACCATGACATGGACGAGGGCATGGACGAAGGCAAGGACAAGGACAACATTGGGAACATGGACAAAGAGGAGGGACGAGGAAGAGGAGGATGAAGGGGACGAGGACGAGGACGAGGAGGAAGACGAGGAAGAGGAGGAGGGGAAGACGAGGAGGGGAAAAAGGAAAAGGTCGAGGAGAGGAGAACGAGGACGACGGTGAGAGGAGTAGGAGTAGGGGGAGGACGAGGAGAAGGACGAGAATGAGGACGACGGTGAGGGGAGTAAGAGTAGGGGGGAGGACGAGGACGAGGGCAAGGATGGGGAGAAGGAGGGGGACGAGGAGAAGATGACGAGGACGAGGAGGAGGACAAGGAAAGGGACGAGGAGAGGAGAGTGAGGATGGCGGTGAGGAGGAGTAGGAGTAGGGGGTAGGGGGAGGACGAGGAGGAGGACGAAGACAAGGATGCCGACGTAGAAAAGAACTCAGTCTAAGACGACATTTGTGACATTGGCAACGAACGTGACTATCACCTTGACAATGAAGATTCCTTTACAATAATAATGTCAGTGTCAATGACAGCGACACCTACAATCTTAGCGGCGATGACATTGATATTGGCACCGGTAATGGCCAAAGCAGTCTATTTTAAAGGCCACGCTTTCCCAACAATACCAAGTTAGTGATGAACAGCGTACTTTCCAAGCTATCTGTTATTCTAGAAAGTAACCACCTGTGAAGTGCTTCTCTTAAATGTTAGGAAAAGAAGATGTTTTTTCGATGATTTTTAAAATGCAGCCTTGTCTTTTTCTCTCAGATTTTTGCCTATGAGGGTGGCTGATAATCGTGCTGGTGTTAATGCTGGTGATGTCTCTAATCTGGACAGGAGATCGATGAAACCACGAGCTGGGTTTTTAGCTTGCATGTGTCGAGATGTTGTACCTGAAAGATACTTGCTGAAGCTATTTTGTTTCCCACTTCATTTGAAATCCAAAGTGACTGAGAATATGGTAAAGTTGAATTACGATGTGATCTTTCAAGGAGATGGAAACTCGAAGAAACCTCTATTCAACGAAGACGAAACGTCTGTTGCTCTTTCAAAAGGACTGAAGGTACACGAAGGAGGAGATACTGACAACCTCTCCTTAACGTAAGTGTTTGTTACTCATATCATGATTACTACCACTTGGTGCTGTTTTCTGTTTTCTATTTCATATTATATAGGGCCTCAAGCAGGAAACGTCTGCTGTAAAATGTTGTTCCAGACCCCCACAGCAAATCTGCACTCCAATGATTCCCTTAATCTTTGAATTTAACCTTAGACAAAATCGTTTTGGAGTACCACCGCCAAATGAAGTAAGATAAAGAGATGCTAGGCAATTAGGATATAGAGATTACGTTTAGAACACAGGTAGAAAGACCAGCAAAATATTCAGAATTTATCGGGAATCAATTATGACAACATCACTAATGGTCCGTCGGGTGGAAATCCCATCAAACAGCTGTTGGTGTCATTCTGTTAGAAGCAGCAACTTACCTGAGTAGACATACGGTAATGGATTTTAGTTAAAAATGCGCCACAAAGAGATACAAAAAGTGGGCATAAATTACCAGAGCAACTCGCAAGGCATAAGCTCAGTTTGTTTTTCTGCAGACAGATTTCCTAAGTAATTTTGCTCGCAAGAGTCTCCGTTGGATTGCTTTTACATTAACGGAGAATGTATTATTTTCTTTCTTGTGTCAGGTTTTATGATGATGGAGAAGACCAAAATGATGTGTTCGTCACTATTGAAGATAAAAGTAACATGTCAGTAGACTTCTTGAAACGGCTTAACGCCGAGGATAGGACAGACCATGAATTGTTATGTAAAGTTCACATTACTATTGGAGGATCTCCATCGCAGGTATTTCTTCTTGTTTTTTAGTTGCATTGATCTTTCTTAATTTGCAGTAGAAAGGCATAGCAACGAATGTAAACCATCCGGATTGACACAGTCGTCATCTTAATTAGCGGCAAACATGATTAGAAAAGCTATTTCTAAGAAGATGGGTTGTTTTCCTCACTCATCCCCTACTCGATGACAAGGGTCATCTGTACGTAATTCCTTTGGTACAGATTTGACGTTGCCAAAATGACACACCAAGGGCTTAAACTTCATCCTACTTTGACTCACTCTTCCCTTTATTGTGATAAAAATATCAACACCTTCATGGTCAGTTATAGTAGAATTCACTGAGAAACTGTTGACTGTTTATTTTTTAAACCATTATTCGACAAAAAAGGGGAAACAGTGGTTATTTACACGATTCACCTTCCCCCATCGGCTGATAAGCGTTGACTTTACATCCCTTTTTTGGAGCTTAGTTAGGCCAAGCAAGAGCAGATTTGTATAATACATACATACTGAAGGAAGTTGTTAGGTTGAGTTTTTAAGAAAAAGTTATTATTAGCTTTAATTCTAACGTTGATAACGTTTCAATTTTTTTCATTTAGTTGTAAGCAAATATTATTAGTGATTGCTGTTATTTGTTTTTAAAGGATTCATATCTATCCTCTCAGCCCTTTCCACGTACAACCTTACCCAAGAAACCAGAGATGATTGTGAGTTTGTGTTTCAGTGATTTTGCATGATCCCTATATTTTGAGCTTAGCTTCATGAAAACTGCTCTGTGATTGACATTTGGTGTGATTGACCACAAAGAAGACATGTAGATATACTGTGCAAACCGAAATTGCCAAGTAGCAGTCTAGTTAATTGAATCTTTGAGTATGTGCCGAATGTGGTCAATGGTTGTCATATGAGAACTGTTAACACCACAACTTCTGAGATTGTCTTGCAAAGCTACGGCAAAGAAAGCGTTACAAAGCGTCTTTCTTGTGTACATTTATCTACCTCCTTCTTCGTTCGGTAATTCGAATGATTTGGTTTCTCATTTGGAAGTCCGTTGTGATACTTTTTTCATTTAAAGAAATGGTTCTTTTGTTGCAGGCGTCTTCAAATATAACTGACATGTCACAAAGCGAACGAGGAACTCGAGTTAATTCAAGAGGGTCCGGCTCAAAATTGAAAGTCTCTCTTTTGGCAAGTGAGTGGAGCTCATCAATGGGAGGATTGTCCACCATTAACAGACACCTCGCCATTCAATTGGGCAGGCACGCCCAAGTGGAAGTCACTCTCATTGTCCCATCCTCCAGTTGCTCTGAAGAGGAGAAAAGTTTCGCACGAAGCTGCAATGTTACCATCAGGGAAGTACCGTATCGTGCAGGTTACGACCCTCCTGACTGGCTGATAACTCCGCCGGAAGACCTGGAAATTGATGTAGTAGTGGGTCATGGTCAGAAGTTTGGTAAACCAGCCCAGTTGATCACAGAATCACACGGTTGCAAGTGGATTCAGGTAGTTCATACTTCACCTGAGGATCTAGGAATGCACAAGAACTATTCCAAGGCCATTCCAAAGGGTGAGGAGAAGAAAAAAATCGAAGTAGAGTTATGTAAACAAGCAGATGCTGTTGTCGCAATTGGACCTAAGTTAAAGGAGACCTTCTCAGCTTATCTTCGCTCCTGTGGCAAACAGGAAGACATAATTGAATTGACTCCAGGCATCTTCAGTGAATTTTCGACCATAAAACATGCTGCAGTGGACAATAAAAACTTTAGGGTGTTAATCTTTGGTCGGAGTGATCGAGAGGACCTTGAAGTTAAGGGATACGATATAGCTTCCAAGGCAATAGCCGAACTGAGCGACACTACTTACCGCCTGATCTTTGTGGGTGCACCTGACGAAAAAGAAGAGGAGATTAAAGATTATTTGCTTCAGAATGGAATTCCTGATGATCAGCTAACTGTAAGAAAGTTTGTGCAAAGCAAAGAGGAATTGGAAGAATTGTTTTGTGAGGTGGATCTGTGCATCATGCCATCAAGAGTGGAAGGGTTTGGCTTAACGGCCCTGGAGGCTATGTCAGCTGGTCTTCCCATTCTTGTCAGTGGCTATTCTGGATTTGGAGAAGCACTGTGCGCTATGCCATCAGGCAAAAAAGTTGTTATTAAATCTAAGGATCCCAAGGTATGGGCAGAGGCAATCGCCGGTGTCCGCCAGAAGGAAAGATTACAGTGACTTCAAGAGATTAAAAAAATACGGTGTTCCTATGAAGAGAAGTATGACTGGGAAAAACAGTGTGAAATTCTCGTGAAGAAGATGTGGGACATAAGCTATGGTAAGAATAGTCTAACCTTTGTGAAAATACTATTTTCGGACTCTGTAAGAGTGTTTTTGTACCGCTGGAGGCCACATCAAACGTGTTTCACCACTACAAGTACATCAGCATCACATGATACGGAGAATACGAAAGATGCGAAAGTAATGGAATGGAACCTCAGACCTTTGGAATCCTTGCTCTGATTCTGTACTGACAGCTGAGCTCCGAGGAGCTTTACTGTGAGCTAGGCTGTTATCAAATTGATATGTGAAAACTCTCTCTATTTCACCACAAACACATAATTTGCCATCTCTCTGATCCTGGTTATCAATTGATTTCAATTTAGCTGAAGAATACGTGTATTATTTCTTCAAGCATGGCTGATCCTAGCAGTAGGCAGGTTGCCTGTCACGTAGAAACATTTAAGTAACGGCTAAACTCACAAGATTTGTTCCTTTACATGTAGCTCAGTAGTACACCATCGCAGCACGGAATCTGAAGGTCTGGGGTTTCACCGGATTCCTCGTGGGAGAATCAGATTTCTTTCCTTCGTTCCACGCTTGTGCGAAGACGAATACAGTCAAACCTGCATTAAGTGGCACCGTATTAATTGATTAACCTGTATTGAGCAGTCGGTTTTCAAAGTCCCGAAATTTTTATCCCTTTAATTACTGTAATTTTCACCCCTATTAAACGGTCACCTCTATTAAGCGGTTATGGTCACCCTTTACTGAGTCCAAACGGCCTGTTTGTATTGTTCCCCACCTGGACTGAACGGTATAAGTTAATCCATATTCATCTTCAGTAATCAATGTTGGTAAAAATTTTTGAGCGAGTCTTTGAACTTTGAGTGTTCAATGCTGGCATAAATTTGATATAAGGTCTGAAAGCTTGAAAAGAAAATATTCAGCTTAACTCTTTCTGTCCTCCATTTGAGGATTGCACGCTCCAAAAACAAATGGGGAAAAGTATCCTCAACCGGCCTTTGAACAGAGAAATGTAGAAACCTAGATTAAAATTTAACTCAGGGTTAGCGCTTATCGGCCTCCGAACAACTGGGCCCTGAAGTGTTGGCTAGCTTCGTGTCCGCACATGGGAATTTTCCTCACAGTCTTCCAAAGAAGACCGCCTCAAATGCTGGTCCATTCACTAACTGGAATTTTGTCTTGTCCTAGGTGCAGGAAATTGAGTCACTTGCAAATAGAAGAAATTGAGGAAAAAAAAAAATACGACAAAACATGCATCAAAAAATAACTTTGGAATTACGCGTGGACATTATCCTAGTGCCTTCACAATTTTAGCTAAGGAAATTGTCAGATATATTACGCCATTCACCCTTGATCAAGGTTCAGTGCCTTCATAGGTGAGTTTTAAGCGTGGGGCTCTCGCTTGCTCTCTTCCTTTCATTGTTTAGTTGTTCATTACATCAAATATCATGTCTATCAAATAAAAAATCATAATAGGAATTGGTTTTATTTCTTTTCTGTCGAACTTATTTTATTTTACCACGTTTAAAATAAAAAATTCGTCATACAATAAGAACAATTATTTCCGATTTCATGTGCAATCAGGATTTTGAGCTTATGTGTACATCACAAAAATCATAAAAATAAAAAAGGCAAAGATGCACTGTAAACATGCCTATTTTCGGATTTGGTCCGGTCATCTCATCAACTTGACCTGGGAGATAAAGCAGGTTCTTTTGCGGTAATATTCATTGCATACTAGGTGGAGGTAGGATAGAATATTTAATGTATCAATCTAAGTTGTGTGCATTTACCTTTTTGTCCTCTTATTTTCGCCATAGATCCTTACCATGACAGTAGAGCCGACCTTTTACGTGACAATAGACAACTCAGATCAAAGTGTTACCAGAAAAACCTTTGTGGCTCAAGATTCGTCAAGGCTTTGTGGTGCTGTTCGTTGTTTTGGATGACATTGCTCGATCTATGCATGGAAATACCTCTGAATAGCGAAGAAACAGCTTAGAAATTCCCTTTCACATCCAAACTCTTTAACCCTAGTTTATTTTTTTACCAGCGTGGATTTCTCGAAAATATTTTCAATCGTATTCCGGCTTTTTTTTTGGCCTGGATTAAGCCACAATTTAGTTTAAATGTCACTTCTGGAAACAAGAAAAATCAAGAACATAAAATCAGTTTTCTATGACGTGTGTGTTTCATTAATTTTGCTTCCGCAGTATGCCTTCTCTCTTTACCTTTTCTGATAACAAATGGCAATTTTGCCTAGTGCTTATTTCATGCCGTTCACCTGCCTAGTCCCATCATCAATTTTTCTCGATCTGTACGATCATGCGTCCAACATCATTGAGCCTGCTATTAGCTCATGTATCACCTGCGGTCAGCAGCTACAAACTCGTCTTACCTGTAATGAAGTTTCTCCCCTTTTCTCCAATCTTGATTACACTCCTAGCCTTAGTGGTCGCAAAGCCTAGTTTTCGTGCCGTCAGATAACTCTCTCGGGGATTATATCTCAGGAGCAGTAGAAGAGCGTTTTAAATTTGAGTCAGCTCTTTTGGTAAAAATAATAATCATAACAAGCATCTTGGGAACGCCTAGGTTCAATTCCTCCCTATAAGAGGAAGTGGAGTCAGGACAATGATTAAAAACAGGTTTTAACATCAATGTATCTTTCAAGTTGGTGGTTTAAAAGAGTAGAAAAAAGAATTAAAAAGGCAGTCGACGTTAGTTTTACACCCAGTTTGAGATGAATACGCCAGAGCAAGCTTAAAGTTTGTGCTAAGCCGCACGCGAACAGACCAGGGGAAGTTTTGATTACGGTGCGTCCCGTGTTATTCAGATCTTTCCTAAGTAAATGATGGCCTATTTATCGTAGCACAGAAGTGAAATGTATGATATAAATTTACAAAAAAGAAAAAAAAAGGAATAAATGGGTGAATAAATCAAGGTTTAAAACACCGAAAGAGATTGACCTACCGAGCCTGAATGGTTGTACTTACTTAAATTTTGGGGTATGCGTGATGAGATCGCGTGACTTGTCACTGTACACGCGTGGGGACATACGGAGCGGTCAGCAGTATCGTGGTTGAAAAAAAAGTTATCAAAGATGGCGGCAGTTGGTATCGAAAGTGCGCCAGGTTTACAACAACTTTTCAAAGACATTTCTCCAAAATTTAAAGCTGTAGAATCAGAAAGCATCGTGAAAACTTTAAAAAAGAATTATGGAGGGAAATTTGATCTGCTGGATAGTCACGATCTGATGAAATGTTTTCAACTTCTTGAAAAGCATGGCTATGTATCTGACAACAAACTCAATCTAATCGAAGACTTCGTTGCTACAAAATCTGACGAGGAGAAGCTCATTAAGAAAGATATAGATCGTTTCAAGGCCTCACGTTTGGGTAAAGGTGATCCAGAGAAGAAGTTACAAGGACGGAGTGAAGAAATCAAGATAATTAACAAAAAACTGGAATCGAAAGACACCGGAGTACTAAACTTGTTTGGGTCGTCTGGTGTAGGAAAGACAAAGCTTGCCATTGAAGTTTGCTCACAGTGGCGAGGGAAGTATCGTTTTTTTGATTTACGAGAAGCAAAGGATATGAAAGCGATCTATTACAGCATGCTGCATTCTCTCGAACTAGTAATCCCAGTTGGTCGTGTTGATCAAAATTATGTTGTTACCAAAGTTATAGAGAAGGTTGAAGAGTTTAAAGGTGAGAAAGATGCCGTTCTATTTATGCTGGACAATGTAGACCTCTTTACCGCAGGAAAAGGTAAAGAAGGGAAAAACTTGAAAACGGCTTTTATGGAATTTTTGGCAAAGCTCTCAGAAAGCAAAGGAGAAAGATCTCCTTTAAAGCTGCTTCTTACCTCTAAGACTGAGTTAAAAGGTCCCAAAAGGATGGATGATTTTGAAGTGGGTTCGCTAGAGAGGATTTCTTCAGAGAAACTGATTTTTCCTAAGGGAATGACTAATGTTAAACGAGAGCAGAAGGATAATTTAATGAGCATCACTAAAGGATTCCCTCTATTTCTAAAAGGACTAGGAGCTATTATGCGACAAGAACGAAAATCTCCAGAAGAACTTATTGCAGAAATTGTGCATGCTCTAAAAAAAATGAAAGTGGAGCTGGATGTGAGTGGAAAGCTTGCTGGTTTTGATGAAGAAGGAGTGGATATCAATCAGATGTCAGCAGTCAGTTTAATGTTTGAGACACTTTCCACAGAAAGGTTAAAGTTATCTGCAGTAGTGGTTTCCTTGTTTCATGGGCCTTTCTCTGTGGCAACAGCTGCGAAAGTTCTTGGTATTGACCTGTCAGAGGCCATTGTTCAGTTAGAGGGTCTTGTAGCCAGCGAAATAATTTCTGTTGTTGATGAAGAAGCAAAAGAAAGGAAGTATGATATTCACCCTCTCTTATGGAAGTATGCTGACAGTATCAAGAATCATGAAGATTTTCTTGCTCCTTACATGGAGGCAAAAGCACGCTTTTATGAACTTTTTATGTCCAGGATGGAGAAAATTGCCAAACTGATTGAGCCAGAATATGTCAGAGCATTCCACTTGTTTGAGAAAGACAGAGGAAACTATGAGTTTACTGTTGAAGTCTCCTTACAACCAGAGTATTTCATTGTTCGAGGTGAATTCCATGAGATTGCTTTGATTGCATCTCTTTTCACTGCAATGCTGAATCATAAAAAAATAATCAAGGTGTTTCATTCCTGGGCTGAGATGTGTGAAGATGATGGAAAAACAGGTGAGGGGCAGTGAAACTTTTCATGTGATATCGATATTGTCCAAATATCATATTTAGCTTAACCTTATTGTCTGGGGAGACATGGAAGATGTTTCTTTGAAACAGCTTAAATGGAGTCTTAACTTATTACAATAGTTACCTTATTTTATTATATGGTAAGATAGTCCTGAGGTAAATCTGAGTATTTTGATTGGATCTTAATTGGTTGAGATTTTGCCATATGGACCATTTCTTCAGAAACAGTTATAAGCCATGTATTTTTATTTGCAAAGGCATTAAACTCAAAATAAAAAAGTTTGGTCCAAGTTCTGTGTAATAAATTACCTACAGTACTGACCTTGCTTGCTTGCTTGAGCCATACTGGTCAACATTGTTCCCTGTCATTTAAGTACAGAAGGAGCTATGCTCGGTCCTCGCTTTCTGCCATCTATGATGGTTAATATAATGACACATGGCCGTTTAAACTGTTATTGCAGTTTGGCAATTGGAACAGTGGAGGAGGTCTATATGCAAGTAATTAAAATTTGACAGAGCCACTTTTGGATTACATAATGTGCACAATTATCCCACCAAAATGTCAGACTTGACCTATCTGGAATAGCTAACTAGATTTTGGTGCTAAAGCTACAAGTCGCTGAAATTTGAGTGACTACCTTATTTTATACCTTGCAAACCAAACTCAAGAAAAATCTTTAGTGAGGAGGCTATCCAGGTCCTGATGAGCTTTAAGCTGATATATTGATTAAGGTGGCTCTGTCATGGCACTTGCAAATATTTTATGTCTCAGTCTTTTGTTACTTGTACTTTGCTGTTGATACAGTCAATTGGAATTTTTGTGTTGTGCAGCTCTGGGGTAATTTTGCCACTAATTTTTAAGCCATCCTGCACTGTGCAATCAGTCAAGCTGAAATTATTCACCAATTTACTCCCAGAAGTCCTATTACCATCGCTTATGTAATTCCACAAGGGAACTGGGGAGAAGCTACTTAGGAGGGACTCTGAGGATGAGACAGATAACAAAAATAGTAAAAAAAGAAAGAAAAAAAGAAAGAAAGAAAGAAAAACGAAAAAAGTGAAATTTTTAAACCACTTCTTGGGGAACTGTTATTGAAAATAAAAAAAGATATGTCTTGTGATAATTAATTTACACTTTGTCATTTATAGATACTGAGCACACTTCATCAGCAGTGATATCTGTTTATTAGTTTGATTTTTCATTTTTGTATAGGTTCTCTTTGCCGAGCGCAGTTAAAGTCCTGGGAAGCCAGGGAAGTTTCAGATGTTGATGGAACAGAGAGAGGATTTGAAACATTGAGGGAAGCTCTGAATTCACTTGAGAAAGTTGAAGATCAAAGTAGTGAATCCTTTATGCTCACCAAGGGGCTTTACTTGCAAGCTGAAGGTGAAATCCTTTGGAGAAACAGAGACTATAAAAAAGCACTGGCAAGTCTGGAGTTGTCCTTAACTTTCTCTGAACCACTGCTAAAGGAGCATACTGATCTTGCAAGGTGCTACAATGCTATTGGAAACAGCTTTTTTCACCTGGACCAGCCCAGGAAAGCGCTTGAGTTCTATGAAAAAGCCTACAAAATGCAAGAGAAATTAGCATCTGAGAATCACTTTGACATGCCAATGTACAAGAATCAGATTGGAACTGCGTATGAAGGCCTTAAAGATTATGGAAAGGCGGTTCAATGGTACAGAGATGCACTAAGTCTTTTGGAGGATCTTAAACTTTTAGGTGATTTGGACGAGGCACTCTTCTCAAGAAATCTTGCTAATGCACTCATGTTTCAAGACAAATATAAAGAGGCAATTGAACCTTCAGAGAGGGCTTACAACATAAGGATGAAGCTTCTTGGAAATCACCCACAGACTGTGCGCAGCATTTTTCAACGAGGGGTCCTTCAGGCCAATCTTAAACACCCAAAAGAAGCTTTGAAGCTGTTTCTTGAAGCATGGGAGATGGAAAAGTCACTTGATGCAGGAAACCATAGTGAAGTGTGGCGAAAGATTATCACAGGTGTGGAAGATATGTGTGATTGGACACTCAGTTTTCTACGGAAGAGGTCATTTAGGAAAGAGGCTTTCAAGTTTTGTCAACGTTTCTGGGAAGAACAGAAAGCTTCTCAACAATTCACTTTCAATATGTTTAACAAAGGCATCATTGATGCTCTGAATGATCTTGCTCATGACAAGAAAGACAAAGCTGTAGTACAAAAGGAACAGTTTTGGTTCTACGAGGCGAGGTGCAATGCCAACGAGAAAGAGTTTCAAGAGGACTTTGATTTGGAAACTGATAATAATGCTCTCTGTGTCATGCTGAGTGAGAGGGAAAATCTCTTGGACGAGACAGTGGTGCTATCTTCTCGACTTAAGGAACGCGAGAAGGTGAGGAAATACAAAATGGACAAGGTGGCTTTGTACAAAATGTTTCTGGTGAGAGTGGGTTTCCTTGGAAACAAAGAGGACAGGTCGGACAAAGCGTCATTGAAGATTAAGGTAGAAGAACTTTACAAAGAGACAGGACAAAAAGGAATGATCGTGAAATTTCGAGAGACATTGTTGGATTCGTGGCAAAAGCAGTGGGAAGAAGGAAAAAGTATCGAAAAAATGGAGAAGATCGGCTTGGAAAGGGAGAGAACAATCGAGGGAATTCTCAATCTGTGCCTGGAACTCAAAAAAGTAAATATGTACAGACGGTATGGACAAGAAGCATTGAGCTTTTATGAGGAGATATGGGAGATAAAACATGCTAAGATGAAGGACGGTGAAATGAAGAAGTTTCTTCGTAAACTCAAAGAGTTGGCATCGTCCATTGAAGATTACACCAGCGAGAAGTTTTACAAAAATGTATTACAGGTAAGATCACGCTTATTTATCAACAAAAGTAAACATCGACCTTGTCTGTTGTGCGAGCAGCTTTTTGTATCAGCTGTTTTCTCTTCACTTTGCACACGACTTAACTCTTTTACTTCCAAGATCTAATTAGTGATTCTCCTTACTTTCTACCAAACAATTCTTATGATGTTATTTTGGATAATTTGGTTTTGGATCAACTTGTAATATCCTTATGGATATTTTTCTTTATTCTCACAACTTTTCTGCTTGTTATTGCATTGGTATTGTAAGGAGAACTTCTATCTTGGTCACTCTTGGGAGGAAAAGGGCTAATCCCATCATTTGATGTACCATGTGTTTGTTCTGTTTTGCTCTGTTTTCTGTTCTGATTTGATGTAGTTACCACTGGCGACAAATCCTCATTGTTGGACATTGATAATCTCTAAATTTCTGTCTTCAACTGTTGTTATTTGTTTCCAGGTGCTGAATGAAACTGGGAGACATCCAGGAGCCAAATTAAGGCCAAGAGGTACTTAAATGATATAGAATTTTGAATTTTTGTGAACTCGAACATCTGAGAAAGAAATATTATGACGGTTCATGCTGCCAAAGATCTAGACTTCCTTCTTGCCTGGTTTTCAATTTCCATAATTTTACTTATAGCATGTTGCCTTCCCCTGACCTTTCTATCTTCTCCTATAGCTGCACAGACTTCCCCTACACCGAAAGGAGAGGAGAAGGTTAGTGAAGAAGATGAATTGGAGATCGAAATTGGTTCAGAAGAAGAGAGTGAGGTTGGAGCAGAGGAGCAAGTAGACACAGATAAAGATGTTCAAACCGAAGACAGAACCATCATCCTCAAGTAAATAACAAAATTGCATTTTCCAATATTTCATCTTCGAATAGCTATATAGAGGATTGGGGAGACGTGCTCTCTGATTGGTTGAGAATTCTCCATATTTTGCTATACTCAACCCGCGAGAAATGATTATAATAGTGAAGAATTGAATTGAAAATAGCCACTGTTTATCTTTTTACTATGTTTCTGGGGAAGAAAACAAAAGAAAAATTCAGTTCCTCTAATACTTGCTCTAGGAACTTGACTTTAAGAATCATATTCCTCAGGCTTAGTGAGTAGTCCAAGTAGTTAGGCAGTTGTCCGGAACTTTACAACAAGACAGGCTCGTGTATGTTTTTATTTTATTTTGTTCCTAACCTCAAACTGTTAAGCATGTCATTTACTTTTCTCACTGTCCGTCATGGAATAAAAAGCGAGTAGTGTAGCCAATCAGGTTGCAGCATTTGTGATAGAATGAATGTATGCAAATATCAAAGAATTCTGCATTAATTTATTTCCCCCATTACCTTCACAAAGAATTGTTCTGATTGATTGTCAGTTCAGTTTTGATCAGAGGTAATTCTTAATTCTTCCACTGCATAATTTTTCTGAGGGATTTTTCTTGTTTTGTTGGGTTCTTACAGAACTTTCAAAGAGGTGAGTGTGGATTTGTGGGGTTGTAAAGCAAAGGCTAATGCTCTAAATGTCTATTTGCTCCCTAGATATGAGATAACAGACAAGGGAGACACATGGAATCTACCGGAGGCTGGTGCATTTATCACCTTTTCTCCAGGATTTGTGAAAGAACCCTTGTGGATCTTGTGTTCCATGCGGAGTCCTAGATCCCTCTCTCCTCCCATAGGCAGTAATGAGCTCTTGGTGAGTAATTTGATTGAACTATCTCATGAAGGCCCACCAACTCTAGAGTCTATGGAAGCTGCTACAGGAAGCATAACCATGGGTTTGTTGCACAGTGCCTCTGATTTCGAGGGATATGAAGTAGTTATTAAGAAACTTGTTGACCAAGAAAACAATGAATGGGAAGATTTGGAAACAAGAATGGTGTGGAATTCAGCAGGTATTTAAACTCAAGTTATTAAAATTATTTATCTACCAGACTGGATATTTGTTATTATTCTGGCTATAAATCCACAGGAAATTTTCTCCTCATACAGCTGTAGTTGCAATAATAGTGATTATAATATGGCAAGGTAGTCCTGAGGTAAATCTTAGTGTTCTGATTGGTTCTTACTCGGTCAGTATTTTGCCAAACAGAGTGTTTCCATGGAAACAGTTGTAAGCCCTGTGTTTTTTTTTTCATCAAAGTAAGCAAATTCAAAATGAAAAAGTTTGGTCTGATTGCCACATGATAAACTACTTACTATAGGAACATTTTTGGTTGGAGTAAAAAAAATTGTTTTCAAAATACTGGATTCACATAGAGCAAAACTTGTCTTTATATATTGTAGACAAATTCATTTCCACAGTACAAGTGTAGATACCCAGTTGAGACTTCTATTCCAGGTGGGCAGTTATCTAAAGCCAATTCATTTCTTTGATTGAAAGGTTAAGAGTGAGAATGCATCTGACAGCAAAGCTACAGATCGTTTATTTTTTTAGAGAGTCGATGTAATACCCCTGTCTCTCTTTCCAAAAGGTATAGGTGACTTTTCTGGCAGGAGCTCAGGGGAGGGCCTAGTTTTTAATATGGAATCCCGCTAGGTACCCTTCATGCTGAAGAGTCAACTAAATTTACTAAATAAATGCATTTTTCATATTCTTTCTTGAAGAAATGAATCCAGCTGTTATGGACTGCCCATATGCTGAAGCGACTTGCTCTGGAATCTGCTTTACCTCCTTTGCGGCTATTTGGCGCCTGAAGTCTTTTGTCTTTTGGAAGACAAAGAATTTGAGCCCCGAGTTTACTTGCACAGTGCCAGACTATCCAAATGTCTGTGTTTCAATCCCATGGAATTCTGTTCCTGACAACACAGACTTCTCTTTAACTCTAAAGGTAACTAAACTTAGTGTAGGTTTCAAATAAGTCAAACCATAGCCACTTAAACGCAACTCTGAGAATATCAAGGTTTACTAATCACGGTCCATAATCTGCTAAAATACAATAGATCAACAAGGCTAGCACAGATGATGTGATTTGGTAGATTTCATAGTTATTCTTTACGTAGTTGATTATTGGAAAAGCTGTCAAAGCATCGTAGATTGTGAATTGTTGATTGAAGATCGTTGATTTGAACTAATGATAAAATACCGTAAAAATATTTCTGAGAACTTGCTCTTATATGTTACAAGCTTGGGAGTGAATCCGAACCACGATTGATCATGTCGGCTAAACAATATATTAATTTTATAAAAAAGTATTCAGTGATCTTACTTTGGTCTGGGAATATTTGAGAACGCTCTAAGGAATAAAAAATTAGGTCAAATTCTCAATTCTCGGTCGTAAGTATTCCTGTACAAACTGTTATAATTCCGCCATGACTGTTACTGCGCAAGATGATCATCTCACAGCTGGCGCTTAGGTTGCCTGTGGTTCCAGTGGCAGACTGAAAAAGAGGAAGCGAAGGTTTTCCGTGTCAAAGGTCTAAGTATTCAAATAAAGCGTGGTCTGTAATCTCCTATTTGCACCCTCAAGTGACACAGGCCTATGATTGATTTAGCGCATGAACCGTAGGAATATGTGTCATCGAGTTGATGCTGAAGCCTCTATAAGGTCGGTGTCATAAATATTTGTTGTTCCTTCTGGATCACAGGTACAGGAAGCACCAAGCACCGATGGCAGAGTTGGAATCTTGTTGGGTCCGGTTCTTCACATTTCGTGCTCACATGGAATAACGCTCTTGGAGCCAGCAAAAATTAACCTTCCTCTTGCACTTTTTAAGGGTGATAGAGAATTGTTGGACATGCACTCAGGTCAGTGGCGGATATTTCACTTTCAGCAGGAATGGACAGATATCACAGATCGGTTGGAGATGTCAGTTGCTATTACAGATGGAATAGTGAGATTCAAAGTGAAAACTTTCTGCAGGTAAGTAAAGGTTCTCATTGGTATAGATTTTAAAATGTTCGCTGATCCCGGAAGTGTTCGTGATGTTGTCACTTATAGACCAAGTAATGGTCAACCTCATGCATACTGTACTACTACGACTATGCTGAGAAAGACGAAACGATAGCGTTAACGACCACGACGTCAACAAGGACGAGAATGACGACCATGACATGGACGAGGGCATGGACGAAGGCAAGGACAAAGAAAAATTGATAACATGGACAAGGAGGAGGGACGAGGAAGAGGAGGATGAAGGGGACGAGGACAAGGAGGGAGATGAGGAAGAGGAGGTGGAGGAGGAGGGGAGGAGGAGGAGGGGGACAAGGAAAGGGACGAGGAGAAGATGACGAGGACGAGGAGGGGGACAAGGAAAAGGGCCGAGGAGGAGTAGGAGTAGGGGGAGGACGAGGATGAGGACGAGGACAAGGATGCCGACGTAGACGAGGACTCAAACTGGGACGACAACTGTGACATTGGCAACGAAAGTGACTATCACCTTGACGGTGAAGATTCCTTAACAATAATAATAAAGTGTCAATGATAGCGACACATACAACAGCAGTAACGATGACTTTGGCATTGTCACCGATAGTGGCCATAGCAATCTATTTTTACAATTTTCCCTACGGTAGTAAGTTATTGACGAACAGATTACTTTCCAAGCTATCGGTTATTTGAGAAACTAACCACCTGTGGAGCGCTTGTCTTTAATGTTAGTAAAAGAAGATGTTTTTTCGATGATTTTTAAAATGATGCCTTATCGTTTTCTCTCAGATTTTTGCCTTTGTGGGTGGTTGCTAATCTTGCTGGTGTTGATGCTGGTGATGTCTCTGATCTGGCCAGGAGATCGATGAAACAACGAGCTGGGTTTTTAGCTTGCATGTGTCGGAATGTTGGACGTGAAAGATACTTGCTGAAGCTATTTTGTTTCCCACTTCATTTGAAATCCAAAGTGAATAAGAATACGGTAAAGAATTACGATGTGATCTTTCAAGGAGATGGAAACTCGAAGAAACCTCTATTCAACGAAGACGAAACGTCTGTTTCTCTTTCAAAAGGACTGAAGGTGCACGAAGGAGGAGATACTGACAACCTCTCCTTAACGTAAGTGTTTGTTACTCATATCTTGATTACTACCGCTTGGTGTTATTTTCTGTGATGTACATTTCATTTTGCATACTATATAGGGCCTTAAGCAGAAAACTGCAGTTGTAAAATCTTTTTTCAGACCCCCACAGCAAATCTGCACTCCAACGATTCCCTAAATCTTTAAATTTTATCTTAGACAAAATCGTTTTGGAGTACCACCGCCAAATGAAGTAAGATTAAGAGATGATAGGCAACTAGAATGTAGAGGTTACGTTTAGAACACAAGCAGAAAGGCCAGCAAAATATGCAGAATTTAATCGGGAATCAATTATGGTAGCTTTGCTACTGATCCGTCGGGTGGACATCCCACTAAAGAGCTGTTAGTGTCATTCTGTTAGAAGCAGCATCTTACATGATAGACATATGGTCATAGGGCGTGGTAATGAGTTTTCGTTAAAAATGCGCGACAGAGAGATACGAAAACTGGGCATAAATTACTAGAGCAACTCGCAAAGTATAAGCTCAGTTTGTTTTTCTGTAGACAAGAGTCTCCGTTGGATTGCTTTTACACCAACGGAGAATATGTTATTTTCTTTCTTGTGTCAGGTTTTATCATGATGGAGAGGACCAAGATTATGTGTTCGTTACTATTGAAGATGAAAGTAACATGTCAGTAGACTTCTTGAAACGGCTTAACGCCCAGGATAGGACAGACCCTGAATGGTTATGTACAGTTCCCATTATTATTCGAAGATCTCCATCGCAGGTATTTCTTCTTGTTTTTTAGTTGGATTGATCTTTCTCAATTTGCAGTAGAAAGGCACAACAACGAATGTAAACTATGCCGGATTGACACAATCGTCATCTTAATTAATTAGCGGCAAACATGATCAGAAAAGCTACTTCTAAGAAGTTAGGTTGTTTTCCTCACTCATCCCCTACTCGATTACAGGGGTCATCTGTACGTAATTCCTTTGGTACAGATTTGACGTTGTCAAAATGACATACAAAGGGCTTAAACTTCATCCTACTTTGACTCACTCTTACCTCTATTGTGATAAAAATATTAACACCTTCATGGTACAGTTATAGTAGAACTTATTGAGAAATTGTTGACTGTTTATTTTTAAACTATTATTCGACAAAAAAGAAGTAGACGTAGTGGTTATTTACACGATTCACAGCCGCCCCATCAGCGGATAAGCGTTGAATTTACATCCCTTTTTGGAGCTTAGTTAGGTCAACCTAGAGCAGATTTGTATTAAACGTACTAAAGGTGTTGGGTTGAGTTTAAGAAAAATGTTATCATTACCTTTAAATCTAACATTGATAACGTCTGAATGTTTTTCATTTAGTTGTAAGCAAATATTATTGGTGATTGTTGTTGTTTTTTTTTTTAAAGGATTCATATCTATCCTCTCAGTTCTTTCCACGTACAACCTTACCCAGGAAACGAGAAATGATTGTGAGTTTGTGTTGCTGTGATTTTGCATGAATCCTTATATTTTGAGCTTAGCTTCATGAAAACTGCTCTGTGATTGACATTTGGTGTGACTGACCACAAAGAAGTCATATAGATATACTATGCAAACTGAAATTGCCAAGTAGCAGTCTTGTTAATTGAATCTTTGAGTATGTGCCGAATGTGGTCCGTGGTTGTCTTTTTTCTTTTTTTTGTTTTATCAAGATAGTAGTCACTCGGGTATGGAGTCATGAGAAATGTTAACACGACAACTTCTGAGATTGTCTTGCAAAGCTACGGCAAAGAAAGCATTACACAGCATCTTTTTTATGTGTACATTTATCTACGTCCACCTTCTTCGTTCTACAATTCGAATGATTTGATTTGAAAGTCCGTTGTGATACTTTTTTCATTTAAAGAAATGGTGCTTTTCTTACAGGCGCCTTCAAATATAACGGACATGTCACAAAGCGAACGGGGAACTCGAGTTAATCCAAGAGGGTCCGACTCAAAATTGAAGGTCTCTCTCTTGGCAAGTGAGTGGAGTTCATTAAAGGGAGGATTGTCCACCATTAACAGATACCTCGCCATTCAATTGGGCGGGCACTCTAAAGTGGAAGTCACTCTCCTCGTCCCACCGTCTAGCTGCTCTGAAGAGGAGAAAATACTCGCACAAAGCCACAGTGTTGCCATCAGGGAAGTACAGAGTCGTACAGGTTACAGTGACCCCCTTGACTGGCTGATAACTCCACCGAAAGACCTGGAAATTGATGTAGTAGTGGGTCATGGTCAGAAGCTGGGTAAACAAGCCCAGTTTATCACAGAATCACACGGTTGCAAGTGGATTCAGGTAGTTCATACCTCACCTGAGGATCTAGGAATGCACAAAGATTATCCCGAGGCCATTTCAAAGGGCGAGGAGAAGAAAGAAACCGAAGTAGAGTTATGTAAACAAGCAGATGCTGTTGTCGCAATTGGACCTAAGTTAAAGGAGACCTTCTCAGCTTATCTTCGCCCCTGTGGCAAACAGCAAGACATAATTGAATTGACTCCGGGCATCTTCAGTGAATTTTCGACCATAAAACATGTTACAGTGGACAATAAAAACTTTAGGGTGTTAATCTTTGGTCGGAGTGATCGAGAGGACTTTGCAGTTAAAGGATACGATATAGCTTCCAAGGCAATAGCCGAACTGAGCGACCCTACTTACCGTCTGATCTTTGTGGGTGCACCTAACGGAAAAGAAGAGGAGATTAAAGAATATTTGCTTCAGAATGGAATTCCAGATGGCCAGCTAACTGTGAGAAAGTTTGTACAAAGCAAAGAGGAATTGGAAGAATTGTTCTGTGAGGTGGATCTGTGCATCATGCCATCAAGAGTGGAAGGGTTTGGCTTAACGGCCCTGGAGGCTATGTCAGCTGGTCTTCCCATTCTTGTCAGTGGCTGTTCTGGATTTGGAGAAGCACTTTGCACTGTGCTACTAAGCGAAGAAGTTGTTGTCAGTAAATCTGAGGATCCCAAGGAATGGGCAAAGGCAATCGCCGGTGTCCGCCAGAAGGAAAGATTACAGCGACTTCGAGAGATTCAACAGATACGGTGTTCCTATGAAGAGATGTATGGTTGGGAAAAACAGTGTGAAATTCTCGTGAAGAAGATGTGGGACATAAGTTATGGTAAGAATAGTCTAAGCTTTGTGAAAATATTAATTTCGAACTCTTTAAGAGTCTTTTTTTACCGCTTAAGGCCATGTCAAACGTGTTCCACTACTACGTTAGTATGACGTAATACGGAGAATGCGAAAGTTTGAGCTTTTTGTTGGAATAGGGAAAAATGGTAAATGTCTCATCACGAGCACGGAACAAAGAGTAAAACTGCGATTCCTCAACGAGGAATGGAACCTCAGACTTTGGAATCCTTGCTCCGATTCTGTACTGACAGCTGACCTCCAAGGAGCTTTGCTGTGAGTTAGGCTGTTATAAAAACACATAATTTGCCATCTTTCCAATCCTGGTTATCAATTGATATCAATTTAGTTGAGGAATACACTTATTATCTCCTGAAACATTGCTGATCCTAGCAGCACGCAGGGCGCCTGTCACGTAAAATGTAGTTCAGTAGTACAACATCGCAGCACAGAATCTAAAGGTCTGAGGTTTCGATTCCTCGTGGGAGAACCAGATTTCTCTCCTTTGTTCCACGCATGCGTGAAGACGAATACAGTCGAACCTGTATTAAGCGGTCGGTTGTCAAAGTCCCGAAATTTGTACTCCTTTAACTACTGTAATTTTACCTCTGTTAAACGGTCACCTCTATTAAGCGATCGTGGTCACCCTTTACTGATTCCCAACGGCCTGTTTGTATTGTACCCCGCCTGGATTGAACGGTCACTTAAAGTGGGACCACTCAGATAAACTGAACTAAGAATAATCTATCACGTATAAGTTTACCCATATTTATCTTACGAAATCAATGTTGGTAGAATTTTTGAGCGAGTTAGCATTTGAACTTTGAGTACTCAATGCTGGCATAAATTTGAGTTAAGGTCTGAAAGTTTGAAAAGAAAATATTCAGCTTAACTCTTTCTGTCTTCCATTTGATGATTGAACGCTCCAAAAACAAATCGGGAAAAAGTATCCTCAACCTGCTTTTGAACAGAGAAATGTAGAAACCTAGATTAAAATTTAACCCTGGGTTAGCGCTAATCGGCCCTCCAAGAACTGGTCCCTGAAGTGTTGGCCAGCTTCCTATCCGCACATGGGAATTTTTCTCACAGTCTTCAAAAGAAGACCGCCTCAAATGCTGGTCCATTCACTAACAGGAATTTTGTCTTGTCCTAGTTGCAGGAAATTGAGTCACTTGCAAATAGAAGAAATTGAGGAAAAAAGGCCAAAACACGCACAAAAATAACTTTGTAATTACGCGTGGACATTATCCTAGTCAAGTACAATAGCTAAGGAAATTGTCAGATATATCGCCATTCACCCTTGATCAAGCAGTGCCTTCATAGGTGAGTTTTAGCGTGGGGCTCTCGCTTGCTCTCCTCCTTTCATTGTTTAGTTGTTCATTACATAAATATCTTGTCTTAAATCTGGTACTTTTTAAACCACGTTTACGTCATACATAAGTATATCCGATTTCACAACTTACATCACACAAAAAATAAAAATAAAAAAGGCAAAGATGCACTGTAAACATGCCTATTTGGATTTCGTCCGGTCATCTCATCAACTTGACCTGGGGGATAAAGCAGGTTCTTTTGCGCTAATTTTCATTGCATAATAGGTAGAGGTAGGATAGAATGCTTAATGTGTCAATCTAACTTGTGTGCACTTACCTTTTTGTCTTTTTATTTTCGCCATAGATCCTTAACATGACAGTAGAGCCGACCTTTAACGTGACAATAAACAACTCAGATCAAATTGTTATCAAAGAAACCTCTGTGGCTCAAGATTCTTTAAGGCTTTGTGGTGCTGTTCACTGTTTTGGATGACAGTGCTCGACCCTATGAATGGAAATATTTCTGGAACAGCGATGAAACAGCTTAGAAATTCCCTTAAACTTGCAAACTCTTCAACCCTAGTTTATTTCACCTGCATAGATTTCTCGGAGATATTTTCCATCGTATTCCGGCTATTCTTTTTTTAGCCTCGATTAAGCTGCAATTTAGTTTAAATGTCACTTCTGAAAATAAGAAAAATCAAGAACATAAAATCATGTTTCTGTGACATGTGTGTTTCGTTAATTTTCCTTCCGCAGTATGCCTTCTCTCTTTGCCTTTTCTGATAGTAAATGGCGATTTTACCTAGTGCTTATTTCATGCCGTTCACCTGCCCAGTCCCACCATCAATTTTGCTCGATCTGTACGATCATGCGTCTAATATCATTGAGCCTGCTGTTACCTCATGTATCGCTTGCGGTCAGCAGCAACAAACTCGTCTTACCTATAATGAAGTTTCTCCCCTTTCCTCCAATCTTGACTGCACTCTAAGCTTCAGTGGTCGCAAAGCCTAGTTTTCGTGCCATCGGATATCTCTCTCGGGGATTATATCTCAGGAGCAACAGAAGAGCGTTTAAATTTGAGTCGGCTCTTTTGGTGTACACGACGAAAAATCAATCTACACTGAACGCAAGAAACCTGTAACTCACACAGCACAGAACAGTTGCAAGAACAGACAAAGAAACATAATTTGGTTTAATCCGCCCTACAGCATGAACGTACAAACAAACATCGGCAGAGAGTTTCTGAACCTCGTCAGTAAACATTTTCCGAAAAATCACCGATACAACAAGATTTTCAACAAAAACAGTTCATAAAAGTTAATTATAGCTGCACAGACAACCTACAAACCATAATTAAGAAACACAACAGAAAAATCCTCGAAACAAGCAAGACACCCTCCACGGAAAACAACTGTAACTGCAGGGAAAAAGAGACGACTACCCTCTGATAAACAACTGCCTCACTTCAAGCGTCGTCTACAACGCCAACGTAATAACAGAAAGTGACACAACCGGAAAGAATTACATTGGACTAACAGAAGGAACTTTTAAACAACGTTACACGCAACACAAACTTTCTTTTCGGAACAGAAACTATTCAAACAGCACGGAACTATCAAAACATATCTGGACACTCAAAGACAACGACAACAATTTTACAATTAACTGGAGTATTTTAGCAACCGCCCCGGCCTACAGCAACAAAAGCAAGGGGTGCCACTTGTGCCTCACAGAAAATCTTAACTTAGTTAGAGCTAAGAAGCCGTCTTTATTAAACAAAAGAACTCATTTCTAAATGCCGCCACGAGAATAAGTTTTACTAAGCAAATTTCACAAGCTGCCAACAATAGCTCCAGAGAATCTTTATTTCACACTTAGATCAGATCATCACACCAGTGAATTAATTAGCTGCTTATCTAATTTGTTTATAAGGAGGTATGTTCTTCATTGAATAAAGTTCTGTCTGAAAAGCGCTTATGTATACTTGGTTACCACAGCATTGAGCACTTTATGCCATGGTAGACTCTACCCCCACATTTTTATATATATATATTAATATATAAATATTATGAGAGGAAAAAACGATGCAACTACATATCCCGACAAGCCTGTTTCGTGAATCGCTTCACTCTTCAGGGGTTTTAATTAAACCCCTGAAGAGTGAAGCGATTCACGAAACAGGCTTGTCGGGATATGTAGTTGCGTCGTTTTTTCCTCTCATAATATTTATTCTGCTCTGCTTCAACGTATTGAGCACTGTTCCACGCGAAAATCGACTTGCAGACTTCCTATATATTTATATATATATATTTATATAGCTCTTTGGCATTACAAAGTTTTGCTTTCATGTCTGAATTGAGCACTCTATCAAGGAGGAGTCATGTCTTGCTATCGTGCATTCTCACTAGTTTATCTAGTTCGAGTCCTCTGGCATGGCTTGGATGATACCACAATTGTGGAATCATTCAGGTTAGTTAAATGCTTACACCTCCTTCCTCGGACAGAAGTCACAAAATACTCTGGGAAGATGCATGAGATATTTAAGGAGCAAAAATTTGTTTTTCACTGGTGTGCCTTTCCTAATTTGGGGAAGGAAAGTGCTCAATTTCCAGCACAGCATAGATAGAACAGCTGGAGAGAAAAGGAAACGAAAAGATGTAGAAGAAGTACTGTAGTACATAATATTTTCTTTTTGTCTGTGACCTTTGTGTTACTACTGTCACCTATGGCTTGCTAATCCGAAAGGTCAAATACACACATGAATGGGTCACATGAGATTGATCTCGGAATACTTTTATGACAAACATGATAACAGTTCAATCTTGGCTAAATTGAAGATGGTTTAGAAGTTAACAGTTATAAGAACTTTTCACTCACATATGCTGCTTTCAAAGGAGAAAATATATGCAATTTTGCGCATTTTTTGCTTTCTATCAAGCAATCATATGTTGGCTCCTTATCACGATATGACACTTCTGTTTCATCACATTCCAAAAAAAACTTGAGAAGTACACTATTGGTCATCTTACACTGCTATATATACCTATTACAGAAGGCTGGAAACAAAGATTTTGTTTTCAAGAAAAGAAGATTTCTTGTTCAAGACACAAGGAAGTTTGACGGAAAAACACAGATAAAAATGCAAGAAATTTTATTTTTTTCAGAGAACAAGGTAGTTCTACTCATGTATAAACAGAATGAATCTGGTTTAATAAATCAGATAATATGTGACATGATTCCTTTTCTTCTATCCCCACTCAAAACAAGCAAATGCACCTATGGAGGTTCCAGTCTGGTCTGCAAATGAAAAGGAGGAAGGTGATCACTGCAAAATTAAGCATTAGGGTTCTTATTTATAACATATTGATTATTGTATACTGATATCAAGAAATTAAGGTTACAAGTAGCAGCCAGCTGAGTTATAGTTTGAGTTTTATCAAGTCCATTACTTTGTTAAATTTGGAGTTGCCTTGTCTTGAGAGAGGGAAATTGAGGAGCTGTAATATACTTATGATCAATTAGGGACCACAAAGAAAAATTTGTTCATATAGACTTTTGGAGGAGAGGGGTAAGACTTGTGACAAGCTGGCAGACATATAGATGAACTTTACTGCTAAATGGGTTACAATATAAAGTGCTCAGTATTTGGATCAGCTATGGCTCAACTTAAACTTTGCTTTAGCTTCAAGTTTAATCCTTTGTGGTTTCCTTTCCCTCTGTTTATTTTTCAAGTTATGTTACACAAAAGAACACAAAAATGACAAGGAATGCTTTTGAATATTAAGAGGCTGGAATAAGCAAGAAACCAAAACTGTATTTTAAACAGTACAAATTTAATTTGATCTTCCAATGATATTTAATTTTAACCATTAATAGAATTTGCTATTTAGATTTATCCCCTCCATTGTTTTGGATATTGTGAGCAAAAACAAGCAAATAAACAAACAAACATTTAGTAACAACTGTAACCTATTGTGATCAATTATCACAAAAAACATGGTATACAATGGTTTGATTCACCAATGAGGCAAAGGCCTGCCACTGTCTATCCATAACAAGGGAAATAATTTGTAAAATGTAAGACATTCTGCATATTGAGTGTATACTTAAATTCATCCTCGTGAAATTAAAGGTTACTTGAAATAACTGTGAAAGATTTATAAGATTTTCAGACCCCTTGTAACAATTACTGATGTGCTGATTTGTAGTACTTAAAGGTTATGGTTTCAGCCGAAATAGTGGAAGAAATTTCTGGATCTAGAATTTTATTGCAAATATCTGTTTAAGTCAGTTAAAAACTCTCCTGTTTTAAGATTACATGATTGCCACACCAGAACCTTTTGTATTATACATTGTGCACCATGTTATGATTATGGTTTCAATAATAAAAGGCGCTGACTTAAGAACTTTGCAAAATATCTCATTCCTGACATCCACCAAAACTACCTAAAACCTGGGCACCTTTTAAATACGTGAAATACCTGCATAAAATTGCGTAAAATGTTTTATAATACTACAATCGAAAAATAAATTTAATAAACACTTACCATTTATTGAGTAAAAAGTTTTGACGCAATTTCCCAAACAAATAACACACTCAGGTCATCGGGATAAGTCGGTATAATGTCGTAGCTTCGTAATTTTCATTTAGTATTGTCACGAGTTGTCCAACATTCCATCTCAGTCCCTCTCGACTGAGGTGGTTTTTGTGGATGGAAATCTAATTCATAGCTCCGGTCTGTCAATCACATGGTTTCGCTGAACCAATCAGATACCGTTAAATTATGAATTAATTACAGCCGCCTAATTGTCCTACAAACAAAGTCTTTAGGGAAATTAAAGTAGTATTTATCCTCTGTAATATTGTGGTTTTTAAGATGTGCATGGGGCACATGCAATGCTGATGATAGGTACCCAGAAAGACTGAATGGAGTTGGACTAATTTTGTTTCCTAAACCGAAAACAAACCGCGAAAAATGTCTCAGATGGATAAATGCCTGCGGAAGACCTCACAGGCAACTCAATGTCGACCGAATAAACAAACACAAAGGCGTTTGCTCAAAGGCGTTTTTAAACTTAAATGCTGTACACATGTATTAATTCTTGTCGTATTTATTAGTCTGCAGAATTTTGTTGGAGGGAATGGACCAATTGAAGAACATCCAGACCCTATTCCAGCCGACGGATCAAAGCCAACGCTCGCAAGGAAACCACCAACGAAAAGAAAACGACAAACCGTCTTAACAGATTAAGTAGCGAAAAAGCAAAGACTGAATGAAGACACACTAAACATGTACGTACAAATTGACATTTATTTTCTTTCCATGTTCAATATTAAAGCTGATTTTTAACTCTTTACCACTAAGCCTTGTAAACGGTAACTCAAAACTTAACTTATTTACTTTGAATTCACAATAAATAATAATATCAACTTAAGCGTGAACGTAATCGTCATTTCTGGTTTTTACTAGAACTCATTTGATAATACAACTTAGCTTATACTTTTGTAAACTTTTATACTAATCTGAGTCTTCTTTTTGATCGATGCCTACAGAGTTCTTGACAATGACAAAGAAGACGAAGAAAACAATCACTGCGATAACTCAACTGCAACCCAGAAAAAAGAGCTTTGTAAGTAATCTTATTAAAATGACCTTTTCTTCTTTTGTTTATCCAAGAAAAGTTTTCCTTTTTTTTTTAAAAAGTCAGCAAGATTTGTTAACATTGATTCCATAAATGTAATATCAGGGAAAAGTCTATTTACATGAATATCTTTCTTAGTGTAAACAACAAAATCACAAAAGTCACAGACTGTTATCATTAGCTTACCCTGTACTTGAGCATAGTATTCATGGTCTTTCTTTAAGCAAAGTAATCTAGTTGTTGAATCCATTTGTAAACAAAAATTATCCAGCTTGTCTAGTGCTTCCTTAATAGTATAATCCCTAGCAGTGTAAGGGCATTTTATTTCTACTATACTACTCTTTCCATCGTCGCAGATTTTACCATCAGTTGTACCTCTAAGAAAAGAAAGTTCTTTGTTTATTACAAAACCACACTGATGAAAATTCCTAGAAGGGTATTTTTCTAGATATTTGGCCTTGGCATTTTTTTCATTTCTTTTTCTATAATCAAGAGATGGAGCAGATAGTGATTTATTTCCACAGAAAATACTGCTTAAGAATTTTTCAGATGGCATTGCTTTTCTTTTTAGCACACTACCAAAGTTAGATGCTGTATGCCTGCTTTTTCTGGCCTCAAACCATTGATCTGAATTAGCCTGCTCTCTTGTGCTTACTTCAGTGAGATGTGGATCAACATTACTATAATCATTATTTAATTCTTTATGCTCAGCTAGCAAGTGTACAGGAGAAGTATTGTGCACCGACATGTTTCCACAACCTTGAGAGTCTGGTGCTACTTGTATTACTTTTAGATTCTTGGTCTGAAACAATAACAATAAGAAATTAATAATCAAATATCATTTAAGTATAAATATCATTGTTGAATTTTGAATTAAATCTCTTTTTGTTTTTCTCAGGGATATCTCCACTAGATTTTTCATCTGCTACATGTGAAATCAAGCAACTGAAGTCAGAACTTGAAGAACAAAAAGAAACCATAAAAGACCTCAAACAGAGAGTAGAGATGAAAGATAAAAAAATACAGCAACTCAAAGACTAACTTGATAACATATCTTCATTTGGAACCAAAACAGTTTTAAAAAGGCAAATGAAAATAAAAAATGTTTTTAAGTACTATACTAGCATAACATATGCAAGATTCTTGCCATTGCTAGCATATCTTGTCCCTGGTAATTCAAGGTTGAAGTGTGTAAGTGGATTTTATGAACTGATCAAAACACTGAAATCGCATGGGTATGTACAGGATAAGGATGGCATGGCTGACAAAGGCTTTACCATAGGCAATGAGCTACAGAAATTGGGCCTCTCACTGAATATCCCTCCCTTTGCTCAAATAGGTTGCCAAATGTCAGCTTCTGACACTGCCTTAACTAGTAAAATTGCAAAGCAGAGTCCACATTGAAAGGGTAATCACCAAAGTAAAAACCTTCAAAATTCTCTCACATCGTATACCAACAACCCTTTTTAAAAATATAAATAAAATATAGACAGTTTGTTGCTACTTAAACTTGTTTCAAGACACTTATTAAAGATAAAGATAAGTCTTGGGGTACTGACAGTAAGGCAAAGTAATGTATTTTTTAATGATTTGGAATGCACATGCAAGTGTGCTCTTCTGTAAAAGTCCTTGGGTAGCCATACTCCAGGGAATAGCAGTCTTTATATAAGAGCAATATAGTAAGCTACATGTATTGTAGTCATCAAAGGTTAATCTCTGCTTCCCACATACATTGAAGGAGAAGAGTGTGCATGTTCTTGACCCATCAAGTTATCTAGTCTCGCACAACAAAATGATTGATTACATTTGTTTTTAAGTTTCTTTCTCAGGACTTACATATGGTACACCAGGATGATCACATTACAAAGATTGTTTCCTCAATAAATAGATAGATACCTGGTATGATAGAGCAGATCCCATGTAAACTTCACCAAGAGGAGTTGTAACTTTTGGAGCCTCTCTAGATAAGACATACTCTAATGGAGTTCCGTCTAGATCTTTCAAATGTTGAATTTCCTCAGGTGCTATTTTTTGTAACCTTAAAAAAAGGTAAAAGTTGTCAAAGTTGTATTGAAGCTATTGCAAAAGTATCATTACAAAGAAATAAAGTTGTTATCAAAGTAAATTTGTGGTGCTTGGTAATTCACAAATGTATATTTCTATTGATAAATAAATGATTAAACAAAAACAATAGAATTAGCATAAAATGGCAGTATTTAGTGCTATTTATGTTGCACACTTTAAGTGTTTGTACTCTACTGTGTTACCATCCTATTGTTTAGTCTATGTTTATGTTTTTACAGTATAGGTTTCCTTTTTCTGTTCTCCAAAGGTCTGGAAACAACAACATCCTTAACAGGTGCTGGTTTTATTTTTGTTCCCCTTGGTTTGTCCCACTGCTGTGGAAGGCTAGTAGAGCTTAACTGATCTGGGGCATGTGTAAGATTGTGTAGCTTGAACCCTTGGAAGGTTTCGATTAGTCCTAATATATGAGAACAATGGCCAGAAAGTCTGTGGACAGAAAATACAACATAAAGATAAAAAAACAAGTTTATACAGTTTGAATAAGACAGCTACGAATGTTAGGGGAATTGTTTTTCATTCAGAATATAGCCTTGTGTGTAATAGTTTAAGCCTCTTTCGAGGCAATTTTTCAAAAAGCTTGAACTTTTCGGAAGGAAACTTACCGAGATTTGATCAGAGATTTTCCTTAAATCATCTGAAGCGTGAAGATAATTGCTTTGTTTATTCAAAACACCCGCCATTTTCTTTTCGCGCTATGCTTTGTTTGTGGGACAATAGCAACGGTTGCTAGGGAGACAAAGCCTGCATATTAATGAGCGGAACCATAAATGCTGACTGAGGTAAAAGTTATCAAAGATGGCGGCAGTTGGTATCGAAACTGCGCCAGGTTTACAACAGCTTTTCAAAGACATTTCTCCAAAATTTAAACCTGTAGAATCAGAAAGTATTGTGAAAACTTTAAAAAAGATTTATGGAGGGAAATTTGATCTGCTGGATAGTCACGATTTGATGAAATGTTTTCAACTTCTTGAAAAGCACGGCTATGTATCTGACAACAAACTCAATCTAATCGAAGACTTCGTTGCTACAAAATCTGACGAGGAGAAGCTCATTAAGAAAGATATAGATCGTTTCAAGGCCTCACGTTTGGGTAGAGGTGATCCAGTGAAGGAGTTAGAAGGACGGAGCGAAGAAATCAAGATAATTAATAAAAAACTGGAATCGAAAGACACCGGAGTACTAAACTTGTTTGGATCGTCTGGTGTAGGAAAGACAAAGCTTGCCACTGAAGTTTGCTCACAGTGGCGTGGGAATTATCGTGTTTTTGATTTACGAGAAGCAAAGGATATGACAGCGATCTATTACAACATGTTGTATTCTCTCGAACTAGTAATCCCAGTTGGTCGTGTTGATCAAAATCATGTTGTTACCAAAGTTATTGAGAAGGTTGAAGAGTTTAAAGATAAGGAACATTCCGTTCTGTTTATGCTGGACAATGCAGACCTCTTTACCGCAGGAAAAGGTAACGAAGGGAAAAACTTGAAAGCGGATTTCATGGAATTTTTGGCAAAGCTCTCAGGAAGCAAAGGAAAACGATCTCCTTTAAAGCTGCTTCTCACCTCTAAGACTGAGTTAAGAGGTCCCAAGAGGATGGATGATTTTGAAGTGGGTTCGCTAGAGAAGACTTCTTCAGAGAAACTGATTTTTCCCAAGGGAATGACAGATGTTAAACCAGAGCAGAAGGATAATTTAATGAGCATCACAAAAGGATTCCCTCTATTTCTAAAAGGACTAGGAGCTATTATGCGACAAGAAAGGAAATCTCCAGAAGAACTTATTGCAGAAGTTGTGCATGCTCCAAAAAAAATGAAAGTGGAAGATGATGCAAGTGGAAAGCTTGCTGGTTTTGATGAAGAAGGAGTGGATGTCAATCAGATGTCTGCAGTCAGTTTAATGTTTGATACACTTTCCACAGAAAGGTTAAAGTTATCTGCAGTAGTGGTTTCCTTGTTTCATGGGCCTTTCTCTGTGGCAACAGCTGCGAAAGTTCTTGGTATTGACCTGTCAGAGGCCATTGTTCAGTTAGAGGGTCTTGTAGCCAGCGAAATAATTTCTGTTGTTGATGAAGAAGCAAAAGAAAGGAAGTATGTCATTCACCCTCTCTTATGGAAGTATGCAGACCGTATCAAGAATCATGAAGATTTTCTTGCTCCTTACATGGAGGCAAAAGCACGCTTTTACAAACTCTTTATGTCCAGGATGGAGAAAATTGCCAAACTGATTGAGCCAGAATATGTCAGAGCATTCCACTTGTTTGAGAAAGACAGAGGAAACTATGAGTTTACTATTGAGATTTCCTTTGAGATACAACCAGAGTATCTCATTTTTCAAAGTGAATTCCATGACAATGCATTGCTTGCATCTCTTTTCACTGCAATGCTGACTGATAAAAAAATCATCATTCAGGTGTTTCATTCCTGGGCTGAGATGTGTGAAGATGATGGAAAATCAGGTGAGGGGCAGTGAAACTTTTCATGTGATATTGATATTGTCCAAATCTCATATTTAGCTTTACCTAATTGTCTGGGGAAACATTTAAGATGTTTCTTTTAAACAGCTTACATGTAGTTTTAACTCATTACAAAAGTTACCTTATCTTATTATATGGCTAGATAGTCCTGAGGTAAACCTGAATATTCTGATTGGATCTTAATTGGTTGGGATTTTGCCATTTAGACAACCAATTTTCTTCAGAAATAGTTAAGCGCCATGTATTTTTGTGTGCAAAGGCATCAAATTCAAAATAAAAAAGTTTAGTCCAAGTTCTGTATAATAAATTACTTACAGTACTGACCTTGCTTGCCTGCTTGAGCCATACTGGTCAACATTGGTCCCTGTCATTTAAGTACAGAAGGAGCTATGCTCAGTCCATACCGTCAATACTGGCTAATATACCTCAGTTTGGCCCTTATGCTCAGTTAGTATGAAGTTATTATCTCTTTTGTAATTAGAGGCAGTATTATTCTCTCATGGGAATTCCTATTATATAAACACCTTCCTATATATTTTTACTTTTGTCTGAACCCCATTATCAGCACTCCTGTCCATCATTGAATCCCATGTTCTTAAGTTTAGACATAAGATTCAGGTTATCATGTAACCTTGTGGCTTTCTGCCATCTATGATGGTTAATGTAATGACACATGGCCATTTAAACTGTTATGGCAGTTTGGCAATTGGAACAGTGGAGGAGGTCTATATACAAGTAATTCAAATTGGACAGAACCACTTTCAGATTACACAATGTGCACAATCATCCCACCAAAATGTCAAACTTGACTTATCTGGAACAGCCAACTAGATTTTGGTGCAAAAGCTATGAGTCGCTGAAATTTGAGTGACTACCTTATTTTTTACCTTGCAAATCAAACTCAAGAAAAATCTTTAGTGAGCAGGCTATCCAGGTTCTGATGAGCTTTAGGCTGATATATTGAATTAAGGTCACACTGTCATGGCACCTGCAGTTATTTATGTCTCAGTTTTTTGCTACTTATTCTTTGCTGCTGATACAGTCAATTGGAATTTTTGTGTTGTGTAGCACAGGGGTAATTTTGCCAATAATTTTTAAGCCAGCCTGCACTGTGCAATCAGCCAAGCCGAAATTATTCACCCATTTACTCCCTGAAGTCCTTTACCATCACTTATTTGATTCCACAAGTTAACTGGGAAGAAGCTACTTTGGAGGGACTCTGGGAAGAAAACAGATAGAAAAAAAATAGTAAAAAAAGAAACAAACAAACAAACAAAAACAAAGAAGTGAAATTTTAAATCACTACCTGGTGACAGTTGTTGAAAACACAGAATGATATTTCTTGTGATAATTTACACTTTGTTATTTGTAGATACTAAGCACACTTCATCAGCAGTGATATCTGTTTATTAGTTTGATTTTTCATCTTTGTATAGGTTCCCTTCTCCGAGCGCAGTTGAAGTCCTGGGAAGCCAGGGAAGTTTCAGATGTTGATGGAACAGAGAGAGGATTTGAAACATTGAGAGAAGCTTTGAATTCACTTGAGAAAGTTGAAGATCAAAGTAGTGAATCCTTTATGCTCACCAAGGGGCTTTACTTGCGCACTGAAGGTGAAATCCTTTGGAGAAACAGAGACTATAAGAAAGCACTGGCAAGTCTGGAGTTGTCCTTAACTTTCTCTGAACCACTGCTAAAGGAGCATACTGATCTTGCAAGGTGCTACAATGCTATTGGAAACAGCTTTTTTCATCTAGACCAGCCCAGGAAAGCGCTTGAGTTCTATGAAAAAGCCTACAAAATGCAAGAGAAATTAGGATCAGAGAATCACTTTGACATGCCAATGTACAAGAATCAGATTGGAACTGCGTACGAAGGCCTTAAAGATTATGAAAAGGCGGTTCAATGGTACAGAGATGCACTAAGTCTTTTGGAGGATCTTAAACTTTTAGGTGATTTGGACGAGGCACTCTTCTTAAGAAATCTTGCCAATGCACTCATGTTTCAAGACAAATATAAAGAGGCAATTGAACCTTCAGAGAGGGCTTACAACATAAGGATGAAGCTTCTCGGAAATCACCCACAGACTGTGCGCAGCATTTTTCAACGAGGGGTCCTTCAGGCCAATCTTAAACACCCAGAAGAAGCTTTGAAGCTGTTTCTTGAAGCATGGGAGATGGAAAAGTCACTCGGTGTAGGAAACCATAGTGAAGTGTGGCGAAAGATTATCACAGGTGTGGAAGATATGTGTGATTGGACACTCAATTTTCTACGGATGAGGTCATTTAGGAAAGAGGCTTTCAAGTTTTGTCAACGTTTCTGGGAAGAACAGAAAGCTTCTCAACAATTCTCTTTCAATATGTTTAACAAAGGCATCGTTGATGCTCTGAATGATCTTGCTGATGACAAGAAAGACAAAGCTGTAGTACAAAAGGAACAGTTTTGGTTCTACGAGGTGAGGTGTTATGCCAATGAGAGAGAGTTTCAAGAGGACTTTGATTTGGAAACTGATAATAATGCTCTCTGTGTCATGCTGAGTGAGAGGGAAAATCTCTTGGATGACACAGTGGTGCTCTCTTCTCAGCTTGATGAAAACGAGAAGGCGTGGAAACACAAAATGGACAAGGTGGCTTTGTACAAAATGTGTCTGGTGAGAGTGGGTTTCCTTGGAAACAAAGAGGACAGGTTGGACAAAGCGTCATTGAAGATGAAGGTAGAAGAACTTTACAAAGAGACAGGACAAAAGGGAATGATCGTGAAATTTCGAGAGACATTGTTGGATTCGTGGCAAAAGCAGTGGGAAGAAGGAAAAGGTATCGAAAAAACGGAGAAGATCGGCTTGGAAAGGGAGAGAACAATCGAGGGAATTCTCAATCTGTGCCTGGAACTCAAAAAAGTAAATATGTACAGACGGTATGGACAAGAAGCATTGAGCTTTTATGAGGAGATATGGGAGATTAAACATGATGAGATGAAGGACGGTGAAATGAAGAAGTTTCTTCGTAAACTCAAAGAGTTGGCATCGTCCATTGAAGATTACATCAGCGAGAAGTTTTACAAAAATGTATTACAGGTAAGATCACGCTTATTTATCAACAAAAGTAAACATCGACCTTGTCTGTTGTGCGAGCAGCTTTTTGTATCAGCTGTTTTCTCTTCACTTTGCACACGACTTAACCCTTTTACCCTCCAAGATCTCATTAGTGATTCTCCTTACTGTCTACCAAACAATTCTTACGATGTTATTTCGGATAATTTGGTTTTGGATCAACTTGTAATATCCTTATGGATATTTTTCTTTATTCTCACAACTTTTCTGCTTGTTATTGCATTGGTATTGTAAGGAGAACTTCTGTCTTGGTCACTCTTGGAAGGAAAAGGGCTAATCTTCTCATTTCATGTATGTGTTTGTTCTGTTGCGCTCTGTTTTCTGTTCTGATTTGATGTAGTTACCACTGGCGACAAATCCTCATTGTTGGACACTGATATTACAAACATATGAGCTTGTACATTTATCGGGATATATTAGTAAACTTGAACTTTTTTGATTCATGATTTATCGCGGCAAACAGGTCCACGAATTCTCCTTAAAATTTCAGATACATGTAGTTTCTAAGCTTCTGTCTTCAACTGTTGTGTTTTGTTTCCAGGCGCTGAATGAAACTGGGAGACATCCAGGAGCCAAATTAAGGCCAAGAGGTACTAAAATTATGTAGAATTTTGAATTTTCGTGAACTCGAACATCTGAAAGAGAAATATTATGATGGTTCATGCTGTCAAAGATCTAGACTTCCTTCTTGCCTGGTTTTCAGTTTCCATAGTTTTACTGATAGCAAATTGCCTTCTCCTGACCTTCTATCTTCTCCTATAGTTGCACAGACTTCTCCTACACCGAAGGAAGAGGAAAAGGTTAGTGAAGAAGATGAATTGGAGATCGAAATTGGTTCAGAAGAAGAGAGTGAGGTTGGAGCTGAGGAGCAAGTAGACACAGACGAAGATGTTCAAACCGAAGACAGAACCAAGTAAATAACAAAATTACGTTTACCAATATCTCATCCTCGAATAGTTATATAGATGATTGGGGAGACGTGCTCTCTGATTGGTTGGGAATTCTCCGTATTTTGCTATACTCAACCTGCGAGAATTGATTATAATAGCGAAGAACTGAATTGAAAATAGCCACTGTGTATTTTTTTACTATGTTTCTGGGGAAGAAAACAAAAGAAAAATTCAGTTCCTCTGATACTTACTCTAGAGAGAAGAACAAGAAGAAACATATACCTTAGGCTTAGGGAGTGGTCTAAGTAGTTGGGCAGTCGTCCAAAACTTTACAACAAGACAGGCTCGTTTATGTTTTTATTTTATCTGTTCCTAACCTCAAACTGTTAAGCATCTTATTTACTTTTCTCACTGTCTGTCACGGAATAAAAAGCGAGGAGCGTAGCCAATAAGGTTGCATCATTTTCATAGAATTAATGTAGATTTTTGCGAATATCAAAGAATTCTGCATTATTTTCTCCGTCACCGTCACGAAGAATTGTTCTACGATTGATTGTCAGTTCCGTTTTGATCAGAGGTAATTCTTAACAATAATGATGAAAGTGTCAATGACAGCGACACATACAATAGCAGTGGTGATGACATTGGCATCGGTACCGCCACGCTTTCCCTACGGTAGTAAGTTAGTGACGAACAGATTACTTTCTAAGCTATCGGTGATTTGGGAAACTAACTACCTGTGAAGCGCTTCTTTTAAATGCAAAAGAAGATGTTTTTTCGATGATTTTTAAAATGATGCCTTATCGTTTTCTCTCAGATTTTTGCCTTTGAGGGTGGCTGCTAATCTTGCTGGTGTTGATGCTGGTGATGTCTCTGATCTGGCCAGGAGATCGATGAAACAACGAGCTGGGTTTTTAGCTTGCATGTGTCGGGATGTTCTACCCGAAAGATACTTGCTGAAGCTATTTTGTTTGGTGATTGTTGTTATTTTTTTTTTAAAGGATTCATATCTATCCTCTCAGTTCTTTCCACGTACAACCTTACCCAGGAAACCAGAGATGATTGTGAGTTTGTGTTTCAGTGATTTTGCATGATCCCTATATTTTGAGCTTAGCTTCATGAAAACTGCTCTGTGATTGACATTTGGAGTGATTGACCACAAAGAAGACATGTAGATATACTGTGCAAACGGAAATTGCCAAGTAGCAGTCTAGTTAATTGAATCTTTGAGTATGTGCCGAATGTGGTCCATGGTTGTCATATGAGAACTGTTAACACCACAACTTCTGAGATTGTCTTGCAAAGCTACGGCAAAGAAAGCGTTACAAAGCATCTTTCTTGTGTACATTTATCAACCTCCTTCTTCGTTCGGTAATTCGAATGATTTGGTTTCTCATTTGGAAGTCCGTTTTGATACTTTTTTCATTTAAAGAAATGGTTCTTTTGTTGCAGGCGTCTTCAAATATAACTGACACGTCACAAAGCGAACGAGGAACTCGAGTTAATTCAAGAGGGTCCGGCTCAAAATTGAAAGTCTCTCTTTTGGCAAGTGAGTGGAGCTCATCAATGGGAGGATTGTCCACCATTAACAGACACCTCGCCATTCAATTGGGCAGGCACGCCCAAGTGGAAGTCACTCTCATTGTCCCATCCTCCAGTTGCTCTGAAGAGGAGAAAAGTTTCGCACGAAGCTGCAATGTTACCATCAGGGAAGTACCGTATCGTATAGGTTACGACCCTCTTGACTGGCTGATAACTCCGCCGGAAGACCTGGAAATTGATGTAGTAGTGGGTCATGGTCAAAAGCTTGGTAAACAAGCCCAGTTTATCACAGAATCACACTGTTGCAAGTGGATTCAGGTAGTTCATACTTCACCTGAGGATCTAGGAATGCACAAGAACTATTCCAAGGCCATTCCAAAGGGTGAGGAGAGGAAAAAAATCGAAGTAGAGTTATGTAAACAAGCAGATGCTGTTGTCGCAATTGGACCTACTTTAAAGGAGACCTTCTCAGCTTATCTTCGCTCCTGTGGCAAACAGGAAGACATAATTGAATTGACTCCAGGCATCTTCAGTGAATTTTCGACCATAAAACATGCTGCAGTGGACAATAAAAACTTTAGGGTGTTAATCTTTGGTCGGAGTGATCGAGAGGACCTTGAAGTTAAGGGATACGATATAGCTTCCAAGGCAATAGCCGAACTGAGCGACCCTACTTACCGCCTGATCTTTGTGGGTGCACCTGACGGAAAAGAAGAGGAGATTAAAGATTATTTGCTTCAGAATGGAATTCCTGATGATCAGCTAACTGTAAGAAAGTTTGTGCAAAGCAAAGAGGAATTGGAAGAATTGTTTTGTGAGGTGGATCTGTGCATCATGCCATCAAGAGTGGAAGGGTTTGGCTTAACGGCCCTGGAGGCTATGTCAGCTGGTCTTCCCATTCTTGTCAGTGGCTATTCTGGATTTGGAGAAGCACTGTGCGCTATGCCATCAGGCAAAAAAGTTGTTGTTAAATCTAAGGATCCAAAAGTATGGGCAGAGGCAATCGCCGGTGTTCGCCAGAAGGAAAGATCACAGCGACTTCAAGAGATTAAACAGATACGGCGTTCCTATGAAGAGAAGTATGACTGGGAAAAACAGTGTGAAATTCTCGTGAAGAAGATGTGGGATATAAGTTCTGGTAAGAATATTCTAAACGTTGTGAAAATACTAATTTCGGACTATGAAAGAGTGTTTTTGTACCGCTGGAGGCCACATCAAACGTGTTCCACCACTACAAGTACATTAACATCACATGATACGGAGAATACGAAAGATGCGGATGTTTGAGCTTTTTGTTGGAGTAAGGAAAAATTGGTAACTGTCTCATCACGTTCATGGGGCAAAGAACAGTTCTGAGTCCTCAACGAGGAATAAAACCTCAGACTTTGGAATCCTTGCTCCGATTCTGTACTGACAGCTGAGCTCCGAGGAGCTTTACTGTGAGTTAGGCTTTTATCAAATTGATATGTGACAACTCTCTCTATTCCACCACCAAACACATAATTTGTCATCTTTCTGATCCTGGTTATCGATTGATATCAATTTAGTTGAGGAATACGCTTATTATCTCTTCAAGCATTGCTGATCTTAGCAGTACGCAGGTTGCCTGTCACGTAAAAACATTTAAGTAACGGCTTAACTCACAAGATTCGTTCCTTAAAATGTAGCTCAGTAGTAGTACAACATCGCAGCACGGAATCTAAAGGTCTGGGGTTTCAATTCCTCGTGGGAGAACCAGATTTCTCTCCTTTGTTCCACGCTTGTGTGAAGACGAATACAGTCGAACCTGTATTAAGCGGTCGGTTGTCAAAGTCCCGAAATTTGTACTCCACCTCTGTAAAACGTTCACCTGTATTAAGCGGTTGTGGTCACCCTTTATTGAGTCCCAACGGCCTGTTTGTATTGTACCTAACCTGGACTGAACGGTCACTTAAAGTGAGACCACTCAGATAAAATTAGGAATAATCTATCACGTATAAGTTTATCTTTATTTATCTTCCGAAATCAATGTTGGTAGAATTTTTGAGCGAGTCTTTGAACTTTGAGTGCTCAATGCTGGCATAAATTTGAGTTAAGATCTGAAAGCTTCTGTCTTCAATGATGATTGATGATTGAATGCTCCAAAGACAAATGGGGAAAAGTATCCTCAACCGGCTTTTGAACAGAGAAGTGTAGAAACCTAGATTAAAATTTAGCCCTTGGTTAGCGCTAATCGGCCTTCGAACAACTGGGCCCTGAAGTGTTAGCCAGCTTCCTGTCCGTTCATAAGAATTTTTCTCACAGTCTTCAAAAGAAGACCGCCTCAAATGCTGGTCCATTCACTAACAGGAATTTTGTCTTGTCCTAGTTGCAGGAAATTGAGTCACTTGCAAATAGAAGAAACTGAGGAAAAAAGGTCAAAACACGCACAAAAATAACTTTGGAATTACGCGTGGACGTTATCCTAGCAGAGTACAATAGCTAAGGAAATTACCAGATATATTGCCGTTTACCCTCGTTCCCGCAGTACCTTCATAGGTGAGTTTTAACGTAAGGCTCTCGCTTGCTCTCTTCCTTTGATTGTATAGTTGTCCATTACATCAATATCATGTCTTAAATCTAGTACTTATTAACCACGTCTGCGTCATACATAAGTATTTCCGATTTCACGGCTTTTATCTCTCAAAAAATAGAAATAAAAAAAGGCAAAGATTAGCTGTAAACGTGCCTATTCGGATTTGTTCCGGTCATCTCATCAACTTGACCTGGGAGATAAAGCAGGTGCTTTTTCGGTGATATTCACTGCATAATTGGTAGAGGTAGGATATAATGCTTAATGTGTCAATCTAAGTTGTGTGCACTTACCTTTTTGTCCTCTTATTTTCGCTATAGATCCTTACCATGACAGTAGAGCCGACCTTTAACGTGACAATAAACAACTCAGATCAAAGTGTTATCAAAGAAACCTCTGTGGCTCAAAATTCGTCAAGGCTTTTTGGATGACAGTGCTCGACCCTATGAATGGAAATATTTCTGGAACAGCGATGAAACAGCTTAGAAATTCCCTTAAACTTGCAAACTCTTCAACCCTAGTTTATTTCATCTGCATAGATTTCTCGGAGATATTTTCCATCGTATTCCGGCTATTTTTTTTTGGCCTCGATCAAGCTGAAATTTAGTTTAAATGTCACTTCTGAAAATAAGAAAAATCAAGAACATAAAATCATGTTTCTATGACATGTTGTGTTTCGTTAATTTTTCTCTCTTTACCTTTTCTGATAGCAAATGGCGATTTTACCTAGTGCTTATTTCATGCCGTTCACCTGCCTAGTCCCATCATCAATTTTGCTCGATCTGTACGATCATGTGTCCAACATCATTGAGCCTGCTATTAGCTCATGTATCGCTTGCGGTCAGCAGCTACAAACTCGTCTCACCTGTAATGAAGTTTCTCCCCTTTTCTCCAATCTTGACTACCCTCCTAGCCTTAGTGGTCGCAAAGCCTAGTTTTCGTGCCGTCAGATAACTCTCTCGGGGATTATATCTCAGGAGCAGCAGAAGAGCGTTTTAAATTTGAGTCGGCTCTTTTGTTAAAAATAATAATCATAACAAGCATCTTGGGAACGCCTAGGTTCAATTCCTCCCTACAAGAGGAAGTGGAGTCAGGACAATGATTAAAAACAGGTTTTAACATCAATGTATCTTTCAAGTTGGTGGTTTAAAAGAGTAGAAAAAAGAATTAAAAAGGCAGTCGACGTTAGTTTTACACCCGGTACGCCAGAGCAAGCTTAAAGTTTGTGTTAAGCCGCACGCGAACAGACCAGGGGAAGTTTTGATTACGGTGCGTCCCGTGTTATTCAGATCTTTCCTAAGTAAATGATGGCCTAGTTATCGTAGCACAAAAGTGAAATGTATGATATAGATTTACAAAAAAGAAAAAAAAAGGAATAAATGGGTGAATAAATCAAGGTTTAAAAGACCAAAAGAGATTGATCTACCGAGCCTGAATGGTTGTACTTACTTTGGGGTATGCGTGATGAGATCGCGTGACTTGTCACTGTACACGCGTGGGGACAAACGGAGCGGTCAGCAGTATCGTGGTTGAAGTACAAGTTATCAAAGATGGCGGCAGTTGGTATTGAAACTGCGACAGGTTTACAACAACTTTTCAAAGACATTTCTCCAAAATTTAAACCTGTAGAGTCAGAAAGTATTGTGAAAACTTTAAAAAAGAATTATGGAGGGAAATTTGATCTGCTGGATAATCACGATCTGATGGAATGTTTTCAACTTCTTGAAAAGCATGGCTATGTATCTGACAACAAACTTAACCTAATCGAAGACTTCGTTGCTACAAAATCTGACGAGGAGAAGCTCATTAAGAAAGATATAGATCGTTTCAAGGCCTCACGTTTGGGTAAAGGTGATCCAGAGAAGAAGTTACAAGGACGGAGCGAAGAAATCAAGATAATTAATAAAAAACTGGAATCGAAAGACACCGGAGTACTAAACTTGTTTGGATCGTCTGGTGTAGGAAAGACAAAGCTTGCCATTGAAGTTTGCTCACAGTGGCGAGGGAGTTATCGTGTTTTTGATTTACGAGAAGCAAAGGATATGAAAGCGATCTATTACAACATGCTGCATTCTCTCGAACTAGTAGTGCCAGTTGGTCGTGTTGATCAAAATTATGTTGTTACCAAAATTCTAGAGAAGGTTGAAGAGTTTATAGGTAAGGAACATGCCGTTCTGTTTCTGCTGGACAATGTAGACCTCTTTACCGCAGGAAAAGGTAAAGAAGGGAAAAACTTGAAAACAGCTTTCATGGAATTTTTGGCAAAGCTCTCAGAAAGCAAAGGAGAACGATCTCCTTTAAAGCTGCTTCTTACCTCTAGGACTGAGTTAAGAGGTCCCAAAAGGATGGATGATTTTGAAGTGGGTTCGCTAGAGAGGAATTCTTCAGAGAGACTAATTTTTCCTAAGGGAATGACTGATGTTAAACCAGAGCTGAAGGATAATTTAATGAGCATTGCAAAAGGATTCCCTCTATTTCTAAAAGGACTAGGAGGTATTATGCGACAAGAACGAAAATCTCCAGAAGAACTTATTGCAGAAGTTGTGCATGCTCTGAAAAAAATGAAAGTGGAGGAGGATGCAAGTGGAAAGCTTGCTAGTTTTGATGAAGAAGGAGTGGATGTCAATCAGATGTCTGCAGTCAGTTTAATGTTTGAGACACTTTCCACAGAAAGGTTAAAGTTATCTGCAGTAGTGGTTTCCTTGTTTCACGGGCCTTTCTCCGTGGCAACAGCTGCCAAAGTTCTTGGTATTGACCCCTCAGAGGCCATTGTTCAGTTAGAGGGTCTTGTAGCCAGCCAAATAATTTCTGTTGTTGATGAAGAAGCAAAAGAAAGGAAGTATGACATTCACCCTCTCTTATGGAAGTATGCTGACAGTATCAAGAATCATGAAGATTTTCTTGCTCCTTACATGGAGGCAAAAGCACGCTTTTATGAACTTTTTATGTCCAGGATGGAGAAAATTGCCAAACTGATTGAGCCACAATGTGTCAGAGCATTCGATTTGTTTGAGAAAGACAGAGGAAACTATGAGTTTACTGTTGAGATCTCCTTACAACCAGAGTATTTCATTGTTCCAGGTGAATTCCATGAGATTGCTTTGATTGCATCTCTTTTCACTGCAATGCTAACTGATAATAAAATCATCATTCAGGTGTTTCATTCTTGGGCTGAGATGTGTGAAGACGATGGAAAAACAGGTGAGGGGCGGTGAAACTTTTCATGTTATATTGAAATTTTTCAAATCTCATATTTAGCTTTACTTTATTGTCTGGGGAGACATTGAAGATGTTTCTTTGAAACAGCTTACATGTAGTTTTAACTCATTACAAAAGTTACCTTATTTTGTTATATGGGAAGATACAGTACCGCTCACGTATACGTTAACCGAAAAACGCGAATTAAACGCGCCAAAAATCGCATGCAATTGCGAATCAAAAAAAAATCGTGCGCGTCAAAAAATCGCACGTGTGCGCACGACTTTGAGAAATGAACCTCATCAGTATGTATGAGGTAGTCCATTTGTTTTTCTATTGTTGGCGGTTTATTGTCTTAAAGAATAGTTTACAATGTACTAGCAATAAAATACCACACAGCTGCCAACGACAAGCAAACTTGTTCGTTGCAATCGCCGTTCGAACCGACCTTCCCAAAATGCTATTACCAATGCGACTTCGGAATCGGAATGTATGAATGATTTATCATTTTCCAACGGAATTCATTTATCAGAATAGCTATTTCTCACTTCATATATAGAAACATCCGTCGCAACGGCTTGGGAATTTGTTCAAAATAAATCTATTCTCAGTGTATTGTAATTCGGTAGAATCAGCTAAGGCGCCCGATTGTAACAAGTTGTGGCGTTCTGAATGCAAACCCACGCACGAATGTTTACTTCATAGCTTTTGTCATCGGTGAACATGCTGTTCTCAAAAACTGGTTAATTCATCTCGCCATTTATACAAAAACTACTAAGTGCTACTCGCTTATTTTAATGGTGTTGTGTTACAGTATGATTACCTGTCACGACTACGTCTTGCTCTGACTCGTATGCAAATTTTTTATGAGGAACCGGATTCGCTTTTTGTTTCGATATTTGGCGAATCATCGATCAATGTTCACCAAATTACTCGAAAAAATGGAACGGAAAAATTAACGGCAGAATACATGTAGCACAAGTTTGTTTGAGACTCGCCGGCGCGTGCAATGAAACTGTTTACATTACGGTGCGTCAACACCGAAGCGGGCGCCGATTGCAATTAATTAAAACAGAACACCATTCACATTCTTTAAAAAGTATATTTTCTTCCTGATCCTCACCGAAGATGATCGAGGTAGGTTTGAAGTTTCGAAGAAATCATCACCTGCGATGCAAACACCAAATTGTTTACATTCCGCTACATAAACATCTTAAGGAGCGCTGATTGCAGTAAATAAATTTAGAAGCATATTAGTGAGTATTTGTTTCGTTACTCGCTTAATGAAACTCGTGTTTCGATGCCTTGACTAGCTGACATTTTCCTTCCCAGCTGATTCATCAACAACTCAAATCAAGCAAATCTACTGCTTATGCTCGTTATCCAAAAAATTCGCGAAGCGACGCGACATGCGTGAGTGTAACGTGATAGCTTTTTTCATTATGTAAATTTTCCGTTGTTTACTCGCCGCTTTTTCAAACCTAGAAGTCCTTTGTTTCATACAACAATGAAATACAGAAGAAACTTCTAGCACTGAATAACAAAGGCACATTAATCACACATTTTTTTCGACCGTGCGCGCAAAAAAAATCGTATATAGGCGTCTGACTACCCAGAGAGAAGTCAAGATAAAAAAGTTTGATCCAAGTTCTGTATAATAAATTAATTGCTTGCTTGCTTGAGCCATACCAGTCAACATTAGTCCCTGTCATTTAAGTACAGAAGGAGCTATGTTCAGTCGCTACTGTCAATATTGGCCAATATACCTCAGTATGGCCCTTATGCTCAGTTAGTATGAAGTTATTATCTCTTTTGTAATATGAGGCAGTATCTCATGGGAATTCCTATCACTATTAAACACCTTCCTATACATTTTTACTTTTGTTTGAACCCCATCATCAGCACTCCTCAGTCCATCATTGAATCCCATGTTCTTAAGTTTAAACATAAGATTCAGTTTATTATATAACCTTGTGGCTTTCTGCCATCTATGGCAGTTAATGTAATGACACATGACCATTTTAACTGTTATTGCAGTTTGGCAATTGGAACAGTGGAGGAGGACTATATGCAAGTAATTAAAATTTGACAGAGCCACTTTCAGATTACATAATGTGCACAATCATCCCACCAAAATTTCAGACTTGACCTGTCTGGAACAGCCAACTAGATTTGGTGCTAAAGCTATGAGTCACTGAAATTTGAGTGACTACATTATTTTATACCTTGCAAATCAAACTTAAGAAAAAAAATCTTTAGTAAGCAGGCTGTCCAGGTTCTGATGAGCTTTAGGCTGATATATTGAATAAGGTGGCTCTGTCATGGCACTTGCAGATATTTTGTGTCTCAGTTTTTTGTTACTTATACTTTGCTGTTGATACAGTCAATTGGAATTTTTGTGTTGTGCAAGACTGGGGTAATTTTGCCAATAATTCTTAAGCCAGCTTGCACTGTGCAATCAGCCAAGCTGAAATTATTCACCAATTTACTCCCTGAAGTCATATTGCCATCTCTTATTTGATTCCACAAGGGAACTGGGGAGAAGCTACTTAGGAGAGACTCTGAGGATAAGACAGATAACAAAAATAGTAAAAAAAGAAAGAAAGAAAGAAAGAAAAAAAAAGTGAAATTTGTAAACCACTACTTAGGGAACTGTTATTGAAAACAAAAAACAATATGTCTTCTGATAATAAATTTACACTTTGTCATTTATATATACTGAGCACACTTCATCAGCAGTGATATCTGTTTATTAGTTTGATTCTTCATCTTTGTACAGGTTCTCTTTCCCGAGCACAGCTAAAGTCCTGGGAAGCCAGGGAAGTTTCAGATGTTGATGGAACAGAGAGAGGATTTGAAACATTGAGGGAAGCTCTGAATTCACTGGAGAAAGTTGAGGATCAAGGTAGCGAATCCTTTATGCTCACCAAGGGGCTTTACTTGCAAACTAAAGGTGAAATCCTCTGGAGAAACAGAGACTATAAAAAGGCACTGGCAAGTCTGGAGTTGTCCTTAACTTTCTCTGAACCACTGCTAAAGGAGGATACTAATCTTGCCAGGTGCTACAATGCTATTGGAAACAGCTTTTTTCATCTGGACCAGCCCAGGAAAGCGCTTGAGTTCTATGAAAAAGCCTACAAAATGCAAGAGAAATTAGCATCTGAGAATCACTTTGACATGCCAATGTACAAGAATCAGATTGGAACTGCGTATGAAGGCCTTAAAGATTATGAAAAGGCGGTTCAATGGTACAGAGATGCACTAAGTCTTCTGGAGGACCTTAAACTTATAGGTAATTTGGATGAGGCACTCTTCTCAAGAAATCTTGCTAATGCACTCATGTTTCAAGAGAAATATAGAGAGGCAATTGAACCTTCAGAGAGGGCTTACAACATAAGGATGAAGCTTCTTGGAAATCACCCACAGACTGTGCGCAGCATTTTTCAACGAGGGATCCTTCAGGCCAATCTTAAACATCGAAAAAAAGCTTTGAAGCTGTTTCTTGAAGCATGGAAGATGGAAAAGTCACTTGGTGTAGGAAACCATAGTGAAGTGTGGCGAAAGATTATCAAACGTGTGGAAAATATGTGTGATCTGACATTGAATATTCTACGGAAGAAGTCATTTAGGAAAGAGGCTTTCAAGTTTTGTCAACGTTTCTGGGAAGAACAGAAAGCTTCTCAACAATTCACTTTCAATATGTTTAACAAAGGCATCGTTGATGCTCTGAATGATCTTGCTCATGGCAAGAAAGACAAAGCTGTAGTGCAAAAGGAACAGTTTTGGTTCTACGAGGCGAGGTGCAATGCTAACGAGAAAGAGTTTCAAGAGGACTTTGATTTGGAAACTGATAATGATGCTCTCTGTGTCATGCTGAGTGACAGGGAAAATCTCTTGGATGACACAGTGGTGCTCTGTTCTCGACTTAAGGAACACGAGAAGGTGAGGAAATACAAAATGGACAAGGTGGCTTTGTACAAAATGTTTCTGGTGAGAGTGGGTTTCCTAGGAAACAAAGAGGATGGGTCGGACAAAGCGTCATTGAAGATGAAGGTAGAAGAACTTTACAAAGAGACAGGACAAAAAGGAATGATCGTGAAATTTCAAGAGACATTGTTGGATTCGTGGCAAACGCAATGGGAAGAAGGAAAAAGTAACGAAAAAACAGAGAAGATCGGCTTGAAGAGGGAGAGAACAATCGAGGGAATTCTGAATCTGTGCCTGGAACTAAAAAAAGTAAACATGTACAGACGGTATGGACAAGAAGCATTGAGCTTTTATGAGGAAATATGGGAGATAAAACATGCTGAGATGAAGGACCGTGAAATGAAGAAGTTTCTTCTTAAACTCAAAGAGTTGGCATCGTCCATTGAAGATTACACTAGCGAGAAGTTTTACAAAATTGCATTGCAGGTAAGATCACGCTTATTTATCAACAAAAGTAAACATCGACCTTGTCTGTTGTGCAAGCAGTTTTTGTATCAGCTGTTTTCTCTTCACTTTGCCCACATGACTGAACTCTTTTACTTCCAAGATCTAATTAGTGATTCTCCTTACTGTCTACCAAACAATTCTTATAATGTTATTTTGGATAATTTGGTTTTGGATCAACTTGTAATATCCTTATGGATATTTTTCTTTATTCTCACAACTTTTCTGCTTGTTATTGCATTGGTATTGTAAGGAGAACTTCTGTCTTGGTCACTCTTGGGAGGAAAAGGGCTAATCCCATCATTTAATGTATGTTTTTGTTCTGTTTTGCTCTGTTTTCTGTTCTGATTTGATGTAGTTACCACTGGCGATAAATCCTCATTGCTGGACACTGATATTGCAAGCAGATGAGCTTGTACATTTATCAGGATATATTAGTAAACATGAACTTTTTTGATTCATGATCTATCGCGGCAAACAGGTCCAGGAATTCTCATTAAAATTTCAGATACTTGTAGTTTCTAAGCTTCTGTCTTCAACTGTTGTGTTTTGTTTCCAGGCGCTGAATGAAACCGGGAAACATCCAGGAGCCAAATTAAGGCCAAGAGGTACTACAATTATAGAGAATTTTGAATTTTTGTGAACTCGAACATCTGAAAGAGAAATATTATGACGGTTCATGCTGTCAAAGATCCAGACTTCCTTCTTGCCTGGTTTTTAGTTTCCATGGCTTTACCTATAGCATGTTGCCTTCTCCTGACCTTTCTATCTTCTCCTATAGCTGCACATACTTCTCCTACACCGAAGGAAGAGGAGAAGGTTAGTGAAGAAGATGAATTGGAGATCGAAATTGGTTCAGAAGAAGAGAGTGAGGTTGGAGCTGAGGAGCAAGGAGACACAGATGAAGATGTTCAAACTGAGGACAGAACCATCATCTTCAAGTAAGTAACAAAATTTCGTTTTTCAATATCTTATCTTCGAATAATTACACAGATGATCGTGGAGACGTGCTCTTTGGTTGGTCGAGAATTCTACGTATTTTTATCTATAATGAACCCGCTAGTAATTATTACAATAGCGAAGAGCTGAATTGAAAATAGCCGCTGTCTATCTTTTTACTATGTTTCTGGGGAAGAAAACAAACAAAAAAAAAACAATTCAGTTCCTCTGATACTTTCTCTAGGAACTTGACTTTAAGAATCATATTCCTTGTCTTCACGAGTAGTCTAAGTAGTCAAGTAGTCGTCCGAAACTTAACAACAAGACAGGCTCGTGTATGTTTTTATTTATTTTGTTCGCAACCGCAAAATGTCATGCATCTCACTTTTCTCACTGCCTATCACGGAATAAATAGCGAGTAGCGTAGCCAATCAGATTTCAGTATTTGTGATAGAACAAATGTAGATTCATGTTAATGTCGAAGAATTCGACATTTTCCCGTCACCCTTCGCGAAGAACTGTTTAACGATTGATCGTCAGTTCAGTTTTGATTACTTGACGTCATTTTTGATTCTCCCACTGCATGATGAAAAGAATTTTTTTAACGGAAGTCTCATCATCTATTCTATCAAGATGATGTTGATCAAACTCAGTCACAAGATTACTATAAATTACTTATTTATTATCTTGAATCTCACAGAGACACTGTAACAGTACAAGGTGGCCACTGGGACGCGAGGAAGGCAGCAACTCACTTGGTATTTCCACCTGGTTTTGTTGCTGAAGACACTGCGCTGACTCTTTTCAGATGGAAACCCTCCCTGTGTTCACCTCCTCTTCAGCCAAATGAAGCCGTAGTTAGTAATGTTCTTGAACTATCGGCAGAAGGCGCTGAAGGTCTTCAGTTCAAAAAAGAAGTCACTGTGGGAATTTCGCACAGCGGACCGGACCTTAGAGGATATGAAGTGGTGATAAAGAACTTGACAGACGCAGAAAGAAATGAATGGGAAGAGGCTGAAGAAACAGTCGACTTTCGATCTGTATCAGGTAGAGGCTGGCTTTTATCGTCAATTTATTACACATTAGGTCTTATTTGAAAATGTCTGCTTATTGATTTCTTAACTGGTCTTTTCCAAGGATTTATCGTTCATGTTTTGATGCTTCTGCATTGTCGAAAACCCTCTTCACTCAAACAGTATAAAAATTGGCTCTTTCAAAATGGTCCGTATGGCGTTGAAATGAACAACAACATTAAACCAAGGTTTTTCCTTATGTTTGTTTGGTTTTTTTTTGTTTCGTGTTGTTTTGTTTAGTTTTTATTTTAATTGAATTTGATATGGCACGATCCACTTAACAGATAACTTGCGTAACAAACATTTCTGAGTTTGATGACTTATCATTCTAACATTACTTACACAGTACAAAGCTTCCAACAATAACACCATAACATACATACTAGAGAAGAATGTCGACCCACCAAGTCACAAATGAAAATAAACGAGCCGAAAGCGAGGAAGTTTCAACGCGTTATCAAGTGCAGTGACCCTCATTTAAACTGGTAACTTTTTCTAAATTTTCATCCTCGGCTTATTTTCAGATCTGCAGATGGCTTATCGCGATGATTTTCCTGATTATTGCCTTCCTGTTGCTGAGACTAAAATCACCCAGTGTTCCAAATTTGCAGTGGTTTGCCGTCTCAAGGCCCACAAGTTCACCATAACCTCGCAACCGTCCACCCTTTCGTTACCAGGCTTCCCATTGGTCAAAGTGCACTTTCCCTCAAACGCAGTCTCCGCCCCAGAAGAATTGCACGTGACTGTCACAGTAAGTGTCTGATTGCGTCAAACAATTACGGCTAGTTACATGGTTCTTTGAGTCAAGCAAAAAAATTTTTGTTAGTTCGTTTTCTTTTTCCAGTTATTAAATTAGTTAAGCCCAAAATTGTTCTTTTTGTCGCTATATATAAACAATAGCCTCCATTTGGCGCGAAAACATGCACGGATATTTGTCCGCGGACATTATCTGTTCCGAGATGCGACCAAGAGCGAAGCTCGAGGAAAACTGTGAGGAAAACTGTGAGCTTAGAGCTTCTCTTACCACTCAACGCATGGCAACGTGAAGTCTTAAATAAATGAATATTTCATATAATTAATATTAGTTCTGAAGAGGGGCTAACGCTCGAAAAGTCAGCTTAAGATCTCTTTATAGTGGGCAATTTACATCAGCAACTCAGTTGATAAAAACAAATTATCTGTTTTAGAATTGGATTTTACGCTGGCCACAATTTATTGTTGGCTCGCTGTCTCGTCCAACTGACTGAATTTTGTTTCTCCATTGCTTGTAGATCCAAGAATTTCGCAGCAGAGAGTTAAGAAATAAGGAGATGTTGGCTGGCCCGATACTCAGTATTCTGTGCAGTAGGGAGGTGGAGTTCCAGGAACCAGTCACTGTACAGCTGCCGTTATCCTTAAGAGACACGGATCAGGCTGCTGAGTTATTGGGTATTCCTGATCTGTCATTAGTCCGTGCCCGAGTCTTGTTGCAACCATCTGATGGAACAGAACGAGAATGGAACGAAATTACAGATGTTCTTGATTCCCCCCCTCGGCTGGAGGGGACTGTCATCAAATTCAGCGTGAAGCACTTCTCGAGGTATGCCAAAGTAACCATCTGCTTTCAAATTGTTAGATGTTTTATGAGCGCTTTGCGTCTCTATTGGAGCAATATTTGAAAAACCTCAACTCGGAACAAAAAGAACTGAAAGCAAAATAAAACGTAGGGAATCAAGGAAGATCGGGTTGAAATTAGCACGACAATATCAGGGAACTTACAGCTGATGTTTATTTAGAGCGTGAATTATTTTCTTGCGATTCATCCCAATCTTATTCGATTTACTTGTAAGTAGATTAAAGGCATCTCTCGAATCAATATCAGATTTTAAACATCATCTTACTTATGTAAATTCGCCTCACTCGTCAATCAGGGGTCGAAATTTTGTTCGCACCGTCTACAAATGATTCACATCTTGCGCTTTGTAAAACCACGAGCTCTGCTTTTGCTTCTATTGTATTTTGCTTGATTTTGTTATTGGTAATATTATTATTATTATTACTATTATCATTATCAGTATCGTTATATATTTTTTGAAAGGCAAGGGGATTATTTTATGTTTTAAGCTCAAGTTAGTTGCAGGAGGGAGGTAATGCTGGTGTTGCTTTTGTTTGGTTGCAGACTTTGGGGCTGGATAGATTGGTGCGTTAAACCAGTCTTGTCTCAAATGGTCGAATTAGCACGTAGCTTTAACACACAAAACGTGCCCCAAGTGGCAGTTTTTACAGCTTGTCTTCCAGCAAATACCAGCTTAGGTTCTACAAAAATGCTGCGTGTGATTTGCAGTTCAAGTAACGCGACACGGAAGCACATTAAAGATGAGGAGGAATTCTTGTTGGAAGAAGAAAATGCATGGGATTACATGGCACCTCACGACGTGGCTTATGTGTTTTTTTCAGGGAGCGTGGTTCAGCCGGCCGAGGTCGCGGATTTAGAAGACTTTTTTGTCAGGTAACACTTCAGTAGGCAGTTGTCGATACCTGGAACATCAAGTTTGATCTGAAATAACAAAATATTGATTAACAAAAAATGTGAAATTTTTGTGACCATGGTGGTGAGTGAGTCACCTTCTCTAGAGGTAATTTGAACTTAGTCGGTACTCGCAAATTCATCTGGTCGAGTGGCTGTTTGTCCATCAGATGTTAGAGATTTAAGATGCATTTACAATGCTAGTCGAGGACCACATGAAAAAATATTTTCAGACCAAGTCTTAGAATGATTGCAAAGTGTTTGGATATTTTTGCGTGAAGTTCTAAAAAGTGTTTGTACTTTCGGAGAAGTTTCATTAATTAAATGTGGTTGATCATTACTTTTTTCTTATAATAATATGCATGAACAAATTAAGCGCTCATGATTGGCTGAAAACGAGTGCATTCTCATGTAACACGAATGAAGATTGCAAATAGCGCGAATGTTTGAAACTAGAACCGCTACTATAGTTGAAGTACACAATAGCGAGCACGAATGTAACACTTGGAAAGTAAATCTATGTGGACACAAAATTACAGTTATGTTACATCTGAACATCCAGCTGTGGTTGCAAGCGGCCAATGTACTATGCCTCCTTGTGAATCTGAAATTTATTTTAGTGATACTATCATTATGACGAAGTTGCGCGGAGAAGTGTTAGTTACTTGTAAGAACTTGATAATCAAATGATTTTTCGCAGCTGCGATTTGGCAGAGCAATATCAATGCCCGAATCATGACGGTCATGTAACGAAGGTACCGCCTTAGCTATTGCTCAGCTTTTAGCCGATATTTTTCGATCACAGCTTCAAATGGCCCAACATTTCATGGCCCACTTCCTTTAGGAGACGATTATCCCTAATCTTCCTTATACGTCAAGACTTTTTCCTCCATGCCTTGCAGATTTGAAAAAGACGATTCCTTTAAGAGGAGTTTGAGGGTACGGGTTGTCGACAAAGGATGGCTGAAAATTGAGTTCTACAACAGCAGAGAAAAGAAGCCAGAAAATAAACTGTGCAAACTAGAAATGGACCTTCCCCCTCGAAAAAGAGACATTGAGGTAAGGGTATTATCAGATAAAAAGCAATACTGCAAAGACGTGGTTTTGACTTCTGTCTCGAAGCAAAATAAACTGGACTAAACCAAACGCCGTTTTACTGACTTTGTCCTGATGGGCGGGCAGGCTGGGAGCATAGAACATCGTTGAAAGCCAACAGCAATCGTCTGCACATATCCAGGCTCTTGCCGGAAAATATATAATGCATGGCAACCAAAGTCCATTGAAAATGATCGTGAATGACTCGAAAAAGTGTTTACGACCCTAGTAAGGAACTGGAATCTGTCAGCTTGTCAGCATTTATCACGAGGGGAAGGGAGGGGTCACATCATTTTCAGGGGTAACGGAGGGGAGATCAGTCGTCTCCAACAGAGCACAAAGGGGCACTATATAAAGAAAAGTGTATTTAGGTTAACTGCCAATCACGGGGGAAGGGTGGGGTCATATGAATATTACAGAGCCTCATGGGGAACCAGGTAAATTTTGTGTTGTGAAACTGCCAAAAGCGCCTGTATACCCCCTCCTCCCCCTCCCCTCCCCCTCCCCGTGATAAATCGTGCCTAGTCCATTGAAAAGTACATGTGTATTTGGAGTAGAAAAGTTATTTCCTTCACGCACTGTTGGCGTTTCCCTGCCAGATAAGGGCGTTCTACTGGATAATTAAACCCAATTTTTCTCGCAGAAGACTCCCGTGGAGTTTTTTGGAGTTCCTTTGGATGACAACAGCATCCTTCACGATGCTCCGTTTTCGGAAATCCTAGCAGAATGTCGAGGAGTGTTAGAAGAAATGAACAAGGGGAGTACATGGCGAAGTCATGTTGATAGGAACGTCGACGGACAAAATCGATGTAGTTTTTACAAAGCCCTGGCGAGCCTACCACCAGATGACCAACAAAAATGCTTTGAAAAGATTGTTGAGTGTTTGCAGAGGAGTGAGAGAACCAAACACATCGGAGATCACCTCTTAAAAGGTAGATTCAGTTTTGTGAGGTGCTTACCACCTCACGTTTCTCATAACAACATCAGTTCGCTCTTTCCGTTCCTTCCAACATGTTACACTCTTGCAATTTTCAGTTACTTAGCAGAAACACCAAATGGCTAGAAGAATCCCGAAGAAGGCTTTTATCCGAAAAAGGGAAAACATTTTCTAATTACTTCGGCCTCCTACTGGGGATGGGTACTTTTGATTTACAATAAGATCATACGACGTAAAGTTAAAAGTTTTTGTTTGTTGCGAAATTTCAAAGTACTGACTTCACAGTGAGACTAGTTCATGCAACATTATTTTGGAAGAGCATGTGTTGTTTTTGAACGAAAATGTGTGATCTTTTAGCCGAGGTTTGACTTAAACTGTCAACCGGCCCTGGAAATTGGTCATTATCCCTGAATATAATGGACAGAGTTCCAGGTGAGATCTTGTCGATGCAAAGAAAAACATCAGCAATACATAATAAATAATTTCACGGTGACAAAGACGCTGCCTTAATCTCGAGTGATCTAGCAAAACGACACGATCAGCGTACGACGTAAGGTTACCAGACATTATTAACAGAGTAAAAGGGGGACCCTAGAAAACTGACTGACAATTACCTTCCAATGACGGAAGATCATAAAAATATTGGAGAGCATTAGAAGGTATCAGGTGAATTGTGTTGTGAGACTCGACTAATTTATACTTTTTTTTTTTCAGCTAAAGCTTTGATTAAGAAACCGCCCACTGAAGGTGTGCTTGATGTGATAGCTGAGAAATTGAGGACAGGTTCATTGTGGAAGAAACTTGCTAGTAAATTGAAGATTAAGCGATGCGTTATTGCCAATATTCAAGAGGAAGAGGAGGATGGGCAAGAGCGCTGCAGGGCAGCACTAGAAACCTGGCGTCAGAACAAAGGATCTAGTGCGACAAGTAGAGAGTTAATGTTGTGCTTAACGAACATGGGATATGGTAATGTGAACTGGCATATAATGATCGAACTCAACCTTGTTACCAGAGATAATATACCACCGGAAGAGAGGGAATGATCGGTGTTCAAAAAAAAAAAAACACGATGTTGGTAAAGACCTGGTTAAATATGAGTGCTCTTTTCCTACATCACTGTGCGAAAGAATTTGCCCCATGAAGGCGTTGTATCATTACTGAATTAGGGTTTTTTCGCATGAAGGCCGGGAAACACTTTTAACAAGTTCCTTCCTTGCTAAGGGTAACTGGAGGAATTATAATTGTCTTTTTATCTTCCACAGAACTGTTTGTCTGCAACAAGTCGCACTAGTTTAGCATGATTTAAATAATACAATAATCGTAGCCATAAAATGAGTTGCCCGAGTCATTGCCTCTTTTCTAGTGGGCTTCAAGTAAATAGACATAGCTAAAATACTCTACAATTTCCTGTTCGATAAGAATGTACATATTAGGAACTTTTAACTTAGTATCCTTACATTCGATGCAACGTTTTACGTACCTCTTACTAGCCTCGTTTTCTCGGTCCGTACTGTATTTTTGCGTTCGGTTTTAAATACGGAAAAATGAGTTTTAAACCCGTTCAAACAGTCATGATAGTTTATGATAGTTTTTAACTATCACGCGCCTATAAACAAGAACTTTCATGCTTTATCATTGACTATCATCAACTATCATGACCGTTTGAACAGAGCTTTAGGCTTTTGAACTACACATCTTAATCAATGTATTGTGTAGAGTGTTCAAAGGAAAAATATCTTATGAAAGAAAACTCAGAATGAAGGTTATTGAATATAGGCATAGTTTTTATCTAATAGAAAGTTAAGATAAATTTTTATGTTTAGGAATTGTGCTTCACGATACAAGCTGTTCGTTTATACTCACAACGAACATATACAAATATACAAATAATTTTTTCTTCTAGAAAGTTTATATAATTATTTATACTTAGGACTTTTGCTTCAAGATGCATGCAAACTGTGCGTTTATTTTACTAGAGTGCACCGAGGAAAAAATCTGTTTTACGAAAGAAAACTCACAATCATCTCCTCAAATTATCTCCTCAAACATTGCTGATCCTAGCAGTACGCAGTTTGCCTGTCATGTAGAAACATTAAAGTAACGGCTTAACTCACAAGATTCCTTTCTTTTCATGTAGCTCAGTAGTACACCATTGCAGCACGGAATCTAAAGGTCTGGGGTTTCGATTCCTTGTGAGAGAGTCATATTTCTTTCCTTTGTTTTACGCTTGTGTTAAGACGAATACAGTCGAACCTGTATTAAGGGGTCGGTTGTCGAAGTCCCGAAATTTGTACCCCTATAATTACTATAGTTTCCACCTCTGTTAAACTGTCACCTCTATTTAGCGGTCGTGGTTGCCCTTTACGAGTCCCAATAGCCTGTTTGTCTTGTTAACTACCTGGACTGAACGGTCACTTAAAATAGGACCACTCAGATAAAACTAAGAATAATCTATCACGTAAAAGTTTATTCATACTCATCTTCCGAAATCAATGTTGGTAGAATTTTTGAGTGAGTCTTTGAACTTTAAGCGCTCAACTATGGCATAAAATGACTTTTTCATCGCGGTCACCACGTGATTCACAGTGGGTGACCGCTTAATACAAGTTTGATTGTAACAACTTTTCTAATTGAATCCTCTTACAGTTGCCATTGCTAGAACCAGAACGTAAGATCTGATGATGAATGCCGACGACGAAACATGGTTAATCTTACGAAAACATCACTAGAAATGTCACCAAGTTTAATGAGTTTTTCTTTTCAACACCTCGAATGTTTTTAGTATTTAAGTTCTGGATCGTGGTGTTCATCTTAGGTTTATGTTGGTCTTTCTTTAATATATTCGTTTTGCTCTAAATTTTTGTCACGATGGTATTGTTTACAGACTTTTGTACTAAAGTTCAGACCATAGTGCTGTATGATTTCCTTCACTGAGATATCTAATTGGTAAGAAAAATAGATGGCATGGGTGTATCCAGCGGAGAAAGTAGCTTGAACTGTGCCTCATATTTTATTGCTTAGCCAGCCATTCGAACGGTTATATGTAAGAGAAAGTCGATTTTCTGACTTGCATACACCCGTAGGCAACATCCTGGTCACTTTTTCCCTGGGAAATATCCGTTTCTGTTTGATTGGCGTAACAAGTGGACATTCGTGACATAAATAGTCTGGCGGAGTACAATAACTAAGGAAATTATCAGATATATTGCCATCCACCCTCGTTCCAGGAGTGCCTTCATAAGCGAGTTTTAACGTGGGGCTCTCGCTTGCTCTCATCCTTTGAGTGTATAGTTGTCCATTACATGAATATCATGTCTTAAATCTAGTATTTATAAAACCACGTCTGCGTCATACAAGTACTCAGCATCACTCAAAAAAGAGAAATTGACTCAAGTTGACTCATCTAGTCAACTTAAGCTCGAAAATAAAGCAACTAGGTTTTTTTGCGCTAATTTTCATTACAAAACTCTTGAGGTAAAATAGAGTGCTATGAAGTAAAGTCTTAAGAATAACTTTTTATTAGATAAAATTAGGTGTATATTTACCTACGTTCATTGTGAGTTTTCTTTCGTAAAACATAGATTTTTTTCTTAGTCACTCTTGTAAAATAAACGCACAGTTTGCATGCATCTTGAAGCAAGTCCTAAGTATAAATAATTATATAAACTTTCTAATAGAAAAAATTATTTATATATTTGTATACGTTCCTTGTGAGTTTTCTTTCGTAAAATGAATAAACGAACAGCTTGTATCGTGAAGCACAATTTCTAAGCATAAAAATTTATCTTAACTTTCTATTAGATGTCTACATTCAATAACCTTCATCGTGAGTTTTCTTTCATAAGATATTTTTCCTTTGAACACTCTTCATTATGCATTGATGTGTAGTTCAAAAGCCTAAAGCTCTGTTCAAACGGTCATGATAGTTGATGATAGTCAATGATAAAACGTGGAAGTTCTTGTTCAGACGCGCGTGATAGTTGAAACTATCATAAACTATCATGACTGTTTGAACGGGTTTAAAGGATGAATGAAAATTGTACATAAAAGAAAACTGTGAAAACAAACAAACAAACAAAAAAAAACGAAGAAAAGAGAAGGGTGGCGCAGAGTGGGGAACGATGGAAAAAAGGTTTGGTCTTGTTAGAATATAAGTGTGATGCAGTTTAGCAGGCCGTATTTCATCGTAGACCCGCTAAATTCCCCATCTATTTGCACCAATAAACAAAAAAAATATCTTACTAGCTGCGTTTTCTCGGTCCCTTCTGTTAGTTACGGAAAATCGTTTTTGATTTAAAACCGAACGCAAAAATACAGTACGGACCGTGAAAACGAGGGTAGTAAGAGGTAAGTAAAACGTTACATCAAATGTAAGGATACTAAGTTAAAAGTTCCTGATATGTATATTCTTATCGAACAGGAAACTATATAATCTTTTAGCTATGTCTATTTACTTGAAGCCCACTAGAAAAGAGGCAACGACTCGGGCAACTCATTTTATGGCTACGATTATTGTAATATTTAAATTAGTCTAAACTTGTGCAGAAAACAGTTTCGCGACACAAATTTACCTAGTCCCACCCAATAAGTCTCGGTAAGATTCATATGACCCACCTTCCCCCCTTTATTGGCAGTTAACTTAAATTCAATTTTCTTTGTATAGTCCCCTTTATGCTCTGTTGAGGACTACTGATCTCCCTTCCGTTCCCCCCTGAAAATGATGTGATTACCCCAAAATCCTCCGCCTTTTCGGCGAAAATGATAAAGAAAAAAATCATATAATCATAGGTATACTGGATTGAAGGGTTAATTTAGGTAAGTAACAAATAATTCTTCAGTCTGCACGGTCTGTACAGTCTGCAGTCTGCGTTTTAGCATTCTCGCCACCTGTCTGCCCCTCCATCGGGATAAATTCAGTTAGAAAGCGTTTGGTTTAGTCAAGTTTATTTGGTTTGAGACAGATGTCAAAACTACGTCTTTGTAATGTTGCTTTTCACCTAATGATACCTTTACCTCAATGTCTCTTTTTCGAGGGGGAGGTCCATTTCTAGTTTGCACAGTTTATTTTCTGCTCTCTGTTCTCTACTGTTGTAAAACTCAATATTTAGCCATCCTTTGTCGATAGCATGTCAAACTTCTTATTATGGAATCATCTTTTTCAAATCTGCAAGGCATGGTGAAAAAAGTCTTGATGTATAAGGAAGATTTAGGGATAGGGTTAACTGACATAAAAGTCCTCCAAATCCGCGACCTCGGCCGGCTGAACCACGCTTCCTGAAAAAAACACATAAGCCCTTTCGTGAGGTACCATGTTATCCCACGCATTTTCTTCCTCTAACAAGAATTCCTCCTCATTTCTGATGTGCTACCGTGTCGCGTTACTTGAACTGCATATCACACGCAGCTTTTTTGTAGAACCTAAGCTTGTATTTGCTGGAAGACAAGCTGTAAAAACTGCCACTTGGGGTACATCTTCTGTGTTAAAGCTACGCGCGTATTCGATTATTGGTGACACAACTGGTTTAACGCACCAATCTATCCAGCCCCAAAGTCTGCAACCAAACAAAAGCAACACCAGAATTACCTCCCTCCTGCAACTAGCTTGAGCTTAAAACATAAAATAATCCCCTTGCCTTTCAAAAAATATATAGCGATACTGATAATAATAATAATAATAATAATAATAATAATAATAATAATATTACCAATAACAAAATCAAGCAAAATACAATAGAAGCAAAAGCAGAGCTCGTGTTTTTATAAAGCGGAAGAGATGAATCACTTGTAGACAGTGCACGAACAAGATTTCGATTGACGAGTAAGGCGAATTTACACAGGTAAGATGATGTTTGAAATCTGATTTTGTTTCGAGAGATGCCTTTGATCTACTAACAAGTAAATCAAATAAGATTAGGATGCAGGCGTATCGCGAGAAAATAATTCACGCTCTAAATAAACTTAGTTGTATGTTCCCTGATATTGTCGTGCTAATTTCAAACTTGTGGCAAAAGCAGTGGGAAGAAGCAAAAAAGTAGCGAAAAAACAGAGAAGATCGGCTTGGAGAGGGAGAGAACAATCGAGGGAATTCTCAATCTGTGCCTGGAACTCAAAAGGGTAAACATGTACAGACGGTATGGACAAGAAGCATTGAGTTTTTACTAGGAAATATGGGAGATAAAACATGCTGAGATGAAGGACCGTGAAATGAAGAAGTTTCTTCGTAAACTCAAACAGTTGGCATCGTCCATTGAAGATTACACCACCGAGAAGTTTTACAAAAATGTATTAGAGGTAAGATCACGCTTATTTATCAACAAAAGTAAACAACGACCTTGTCTGTTGTGCGAGCAGCTTTTTGTATCAGCTGTTTTCTCTTCACTTTGCACACGACTTAACTCTTTTACCCTCCAAGATCTTATTAGTGATTCTCCTTACTTTCTACCAAACAATTCTTACGATGTTATTTCGGATAATTTGGTTTTGGATCAACTTGTAATATCCTTATGGATATTTTTCTTTATTCTCACAACTTTTCTGTTTGTTATTGCATTGGTATTGTAAGGAGAACTTCTGTCTTGGTCACTCTTGGGAGGAAAAGGGCTAATCTTCTCATTTCATGTATGTGTTTGTTCTGTTGCGCTCTGTTTTCTGTTCTGATTTGATGTAGTTACCACTGGCGACAAATCCTCATTGTTGGACACTGATATTACAAACAGATGAGCTTGTACATTTATCGGGATATTTTAGTAAACATGAACTTTTTGATTGATGATTTATCGCGGCAAACAGGTCCACGAATTCTCATTAAAATTTCAGATACATGTAGTTTCTAAGCTTCTGTCTTCAACTGTTGTGTTTTGTTTCCAGGCGCTGAATGAAACTGGGAGACATCCAGGAGCCAAATTAAGGCCAAGAGGTACTAAAATTATGTAGAATTTTGAATTTTCGTCAACACGAACATCTGAAAGAGAAATATTATGATGGTTCATGCTGTCAAAGATCTAGACTTCCTTCTTGCCTAGTTTTCAGTTTCCATAGTTTTACTGATAGCAAATTGCCTTCTCCTGACATTCTATCTTCTCCTATAGTTGCACAGACTTCTCCTACACCGAAGGAAGAGGAGAAGGTTAGTGAAGAAGAAGAAGAATTGGTAATCGAAATTGGTTCAGAAGAAGAGAGTGAGGTTGGAGCTGAGGAGCGAGTAGGCACAGATAAAGATGTTCAAACCGAAGACAGAACCATCACCTTCAAGTAAATAACAAAATTACGTTTACCAATATCTCATCCTTGAATAGTTATATAGATGATTGGGGAGACGTGCTCTCTGATTGGTTGGGAATTCTCCGTATTTTGCTATACTCAACCTGCGAGAATTGATTATAATAGCGAAGAACTGAATTGAAAATAGCCACTGTGTATCTTTTTACTATGTTTCTGGGGAAGAAAACAAAAGAAAAATTCAGTTCCTCTGATACTTACTCTAGAGAGAAGAACAAGAAGAAACATATACCTTAGGCTTAGGGAGTGGTCTAAGTAGTTGGGCAGTCGTCCAAAACTTTACAAAAAGACAGGCTCGTGTATGTTTTTATTTTATCTTGTTCCTAACCTCAAACTGTTAAGCATCTTATTTACTTTTCTCACTTTCTGTCACGGAATAAAAAACGAGAAGCGTAGCCAATAAGGTTGCATCATTTTCATAGAATCAATGTAGATTTATGCGAATATCAAAGAATTCTGCATTATTTTCTCCGTCACCGTCACGAAGAATTGTTCTACGATTGATTGTCAGTTCCGTTTTGATCAGAGGTAATTCAATGATGAATAATGATGAAAGTGTCAATGACAGCGACACATACAATAGCAGTGGTGATGACATTGGCATCGGTACCGCCACGCTTTCCCTACGGTAGTAAGTTAGTGACGAACAGATTACTTTCTAAGCTATCGGTGATTTGGGAAACTAACTACCTGTGAAGCGCTTCTCTTAAATGTGAGCAAAAGAAGATTTTTTTTCGATGATTTTTAAAATGATGCCTTATCGTTTTCTCTCAGATTTTTGCCTTTGAGGGTGGCTGCTAATCTTGCTGGTGTTGATGCTGGTGATGTCTCTGATCTGGCCAGGAGATCGATGAAACAACGAGCTGGGTTTTTAGCTTGCATGTGTCGGGATGTTCTACCCGAAAGATACTTGCTGAAGCTATTTTGTTTCCCACTTCGTTTGAAATCCAAAGTGAATAAGGATATTGCAGAGTTGAATTACGATGTGATCTTTCAAGGAGATGGAAACTCGAAGAAACCTCTATTCAACGAAGACGAAATGTCTGTTTCTCTTTCAAAAGGACTGAAGGTACACGAAGGAGGAGATACTGGCAACCTCTCCTTAACGTAAGTGTTTGTTACTCATATCATGATTACTACCTCTTGGTGTTATTTTCTGTGACGTATATTTCATTTTGCATATTATATAGGGCCTCAAGCAGAAAACTTCAGCTGTAAAATATTGTTCCAGACCCCCACAGCAAATCTGCACTCCAATGATTCCCTTAATCTTTGAATTTTATCTTAAACAAAATCGTTTTGGAGTATCACCGCCAAATGAAGTAAGATAAAGAGATGATAAGCAACTAGAATATAGAGGTTACGTTTAGAAAACAGGTAGAAAAGCCAGAAAAATATGCAGAATTTAATCAGGAATCAATTATGGCAGCTTCGCTACTGGTCCGTCGGGTGGACATCCCACCAAAGAGCTGTTAGTGTCATTCTGTTAGAAGCAGCATTTTACCTGATAGACATACGATCATAGGGCGTGGTGATGAGTTTTCGTTAAAAATGCGCCACAGAGAGATACAAAAACTGGGCGAAAATTACCAGAGCAGCTCGCAAAGCATAAGCTTAGTTTGTTTTTCTGCAGACAGATTCCCTAATTAATTTTGGTCGCAAGAGTCTCCGTTGGATTGCTTTTACACTAACGGAGAATGTATTATTTTCTTTCTTGTGTCAGGTTATATGATGATGGAGAAGACCAAAATCATGTGTACGTTACTATTAAAGATAGAAGTAACATGTCAGTAGACTTCTTGAAACGGCTTAACGCCAAGGATAGGACAGACCCTGAATGGTTATGTACAGTTCCCATTATTATTCGAAGATCTCCGTCGCAGGTATTTCTTCTTGTTTTTTAGTTGCATTGATCTTTCTTAATTTGCAGTAGAAAGGCATAGGAACGAAAGTACAAAAAATGCCGGATTGACACAGTCGTCATCTTAATTAATCAGAGGCAAACATGATTAGAAAAGCTATTTCTAAGAAGTTAGGTTGTTTTCCTCACTCATCCCCTACTCGATTACAAGGGTCATCTGTACGTAATTCATTTTGGTACAGATTTGACGTTGTCAAAATGACATACCAAGGGCTTAAACTTCATCCTACTTTGACTCACTCTTCCCTTTATTGTGATAAAAATATGAACACCTTCATGGTACAGTTATAGTAGAATTCACTGAGAAACTGTTGACTGTTAATTTTTTAAACCATTATTCGACAAAAAAGGGGAAGCAGTGGTTATTTACACGATTCACCTTCCCCCATCGGCTGATAAGCGTTGACTTTACATCCCTTTTTTGGAGCTTAGTTAGGCCAGCCAAGAGCAGATTTGCAGGTTGAGTTTTAAGAAAAAGTTATCATTAACTTTAATTCTAACGTTGATAACGTTTCAATTTTTTTCATTTAGTTGTAAGCAAATATTGTTGGTGATTGTTGTTATTTTTTTTTAAAGGATTCATATCTATCCTCTCAATTCTATCCACGTACAACCTTACCCAGGAAACCAGAGATGATTGTGAGTTTGTGTTTCAGTGATTTTGCATGATCCCTATATTTTGAGCTTAGCTTCATGAAAACTGCTCTGTGATTGACATTTGGAGTGATTGACCACAAAGAAGACATGTAGATATACTGTGCAAACAGAAATTGCCAAGTAGCAGTCTAGTTAATTGAATCTTTGAGTATGTGCCGAATGTGGTCCATGGTTGTCATATGAGAACTGTTAACACCACAACTTCTGAGATTGTCTTGCAAAGCTACGGCAAAGAAAGCGTTACAAAGCATCTTTCTTGTGTACATTTATCAACCTCCTTCTTCGTTCGGTAATTCGAATGATTTGGTTTCTCATTTGGTTTTGTCCGTTTTGATACTTTTTTTTTTGCATTTAAAGAAATGGTTCTTTTGTTGCAGGCGTCTTCAAATATAACTGACATGTCACAAAGCGAACGAGGAACTCGAGTTAATTCAAGAGGGTCCGGCTCAATATTGAAAGTCTCTCTTTTGGCAAGTGAGTGGAGCTCATCAATGGGAGGATTGTCCACCATTAACAGACACCTCGCCATTCAATTGGGCAGGCACGCCCAAGTGGAAGTCACTCTCATTGTCCCATCCTCCAGTTGCTCTAAAGAGGAGAAAAGTTTCGCACGAAGCTGCAATGTTACCATCAGGGAAGTACCGTATCGTGCAGGTTATGACCCTCCTGACTGGCTGATAACTCCGCCGGAAGACCTCGAAATTGATGTAGTAGTGGGTCATGGTCAGAAGCTTGGTAAACAAGCCCAGTTGATCACAGAATCACACGGTTGCAAGTGGATTCAGGTAGTTCATACTTCACCTGAGGATCTAGGAATGCAGAAAAATTATTCCAAGGCCATTCAAAAGGGTGAGGAGAAGAAAACAATCGAAGTAGAGTTATGTAAACAAGCAGATGCTGTTGTCGCAATTGGACCTACTTTAAAGGAGACCTTCTCAGCTTATCTTCGCTCCTGTGGCAAACAGGAAGACATAATTGAATTGACTCCAGGCATCTTCAGTGAATTTTCGACCATAAAACATGCTGCAGTGGACAATAAAAACTTTAGGGTGTTAATCTTTGGTCGGAGTGATCGAGAGGACCTTGAAGTTAAGGGATACGATATAGCTTCCAAGGCAATAGCCGAACTGAGCGACACTACTTACCGCCTGATCTTTGTGGGTGCACCTGACGGAAAAGAAGAGGAGATTAAAGATTATTTGCTTCAGAATGGAATTCCTGATGATCAGCTAACTGTAAGAAAGTTTGTGCAAAGCAAAGAGGAATTGGAAGAATTGTTTTGTGAGGTGGATCTGTGCATCATGCCATCAAGAGTGGAAGGGTTTGGCTTAACGGCCCTGGAGGCTATGTCAGCTGGTCTTCCCATTCTTGTCAGTGGCTATTCTGGATTTGGAGAAGCACTGTGCGCTATGCCATCAGGCAAAAAAGTTGTTGTTAAATCTAGGGATCCCAAAGTATGGGCAGAGGCAATCGCCGGTGTTCGCGAGAAGGAAAGATCACAGCGACTTCAAGAGATTAAACAGATACGGCGTTCCTATGAAGAGAAGTATGACTGGGAAAAACAGTGTGAAATTCTCGTGAAGAAGATGTGGGATATAAGTTCTGGTAAGAATATTCTAAACGTTGTGAAAATACTAATTTCGGACTATGAAAGAGTGTTTTTGTACCGCTGGAGGCCACATCAAACGTGTTCCACCACTACAAGTACATTAACATCACATGATACGGAGAATACGAAAGATGCGGAAGTTTGAGCTTTTTGTTGGAGTAAGGAAAAATTGGTAACTGTCTCATCACGTTCATGGGGCAAAGAACAGTTCTGAGTCCTCAACGAGGAATAAAACCTCAGACTTTGGAATCCTTGCTCCGATTCTGTACTGACAGCTGAGCTCCGAGGAGCTTTACTGTGAGTTAGGCTTTTATCAAATTGATATGTGACAACTCTCTCTATTCCACCACCAAACACATAATTTGTCATCTTTCTGATCCTGGTTATCGATTGATATCAATTTAGTTGAGGAATACGCTTATTATCTCTTCAAGCATTGCTGATCTTAACAGTACGCAGGTTGCCTGTCACGTAAAAACATTTAAGTAACGGCTTAACTCACAATATTCGTTCCTTAAAATGTAGCTCAGTAGTAGTACAACATCACAGCACGGAATCTAAAGGTCTGGGGTTTCAATTCCTCGTGGGAGTACCAGATTTCTCTCCTTTGTTCCACGCTTGTGTGAAGACGAATCCAGTCGAACCTGTATTAAGCGGTCGGTTAACAAAGTCCCGAAATTTGTACTCCACCTCTGTAAAACGTTCACCTGTATTAAGCGGTTGTGGTCACCCTTTATTGAGTCCCAACGGCCTGTTTGTATTGTACCTAACCTGGACTGAACGGTCACTTAAAGTGAGACCACTCAGATAAAATTAGGAATAATCTATCACGTATAAGTTTATCCTTATTTATCTTCCGAAATCAATGTTGGTAGAATTTTTGAGCGAGTCAGCATTTGAACTTTGAGTGCTCAATGCTGGCATAAATTTGAGTTAAGATCTGAAAGCTTCTGTCTTCAATGATGATTGATGATTGAATGCTCCAAAGACAAATGGGGAAAAGTATCCTCGACCGGCTTTTGAACAGAGAAATGTAGAAACCTAGATTAAAATTTAGCCCCTGGTTAGCGCTAATCGGCCTTCGAACAACTGGGCCCTGAAGTGTTAGCCAGCTTCCTGTCCGTACATAGGGGTTTTCCTCACAGTCTTCAAAAGAAGACCGCCTCAAATGCTGGTCCATTCACTATCAGGAAATTTGTCTTGTCCTATAGTTGCAGGAAATTGAGTCACTTGCAAATAGAAGAAACTGAGGAAAAAAGGCCAAAACACGCACAAAAATAACTTTGGAATTACGCGTGGACGTTATCCTAGCAGAGTACAATAGCTAAGGAAATTACCAGATATATTGCCGTTTACCCTCGTTCCCGCAGTACCTTCATAGGTGAGTTTTAACTTAGGGCTCTCGTTTGCTCTCTTCCTTTGATTGTATAGTTGTCCATTACATCAATATCATGTCTTAAATCTAGTACTTATTAACCAAGTCTGCGTCATACATGAGTATATCCGATTTCACAGCTTGTATCACTCAAAAAATAGAAATAAAAAAGGCAAAGATTAGCTGTAAACGTGCCTATTCGGATTTGTTCCGGTCATCTCATCAACTTGACCTGGGAGATAAAGCAGGTGCTTTTTCGGTGATATTCACTGCATAATTGGTAGAGGTAGGATATAATGCTTAATTTGTCAATCTAAGTTGTGTGCACTTAGCTTTTTGTCCTCTTATTTTCGCTATAGATCCTTACCATGACAGTAGAGCCAACCTTTAACGTGACAATAAACAACTCAGATCAAAGTGTTATCAAAGAAACCTCTGTGGCTCAAAATTCGTCAAGGCTTTTTGGATGACAGTGCTCGACCCTATGAATGGAAATATTTCTGGAACAGCGATGAAACAGCTTAGAAATTCCCTTAAACTTGCAAACTCTTCAACCCTAGTTTATTTCATCTGCATAGATTTCTCGGAGATATTTTCCATCATATTCCGGCTATTTTTTTTTGGCCTCGATTAAGCTGAAATTTAGTTTAAATGTCACTTCTGAAAATAAGAAAAATCAAGAACATAAAATTATGTTTCTATGACATGTTGTGTTTCGTTAATTTTTCTCTCTTTACCTTTTCTGATAGCAAATGGCGATTTTACCTAGTGCTTATTTCATGCCGTTCACCTGCCTAGTTCCATCATCAATTTTGCTCGATCTGTACGATCATGCCTCCAATATCATTGAGCCTGCTATTAGCTCATGTATCGCTTGCGGTCAGCAGCTACAAACTCGTCTTACCTGTAATGAAGTTTCTCCCCTTTCCTCAAATCTTGACTACACTCTAAGCTTCAGTGGTCGCAAAGCCTAGTTTTCGTGCCATCGGATAACTCTCTCGGGGATTATATCCCTGGAGCAACAGAAGAGCGTTTTAAATTTGAGTCGGCTCTTTTGGTAAAAATAATAATCATTACAAGCATCTTGGGAACGCCTCGGTTCAATTCCTCCCTATAAGAGGAAGTGGAGTCAGGACAATGATTAAAAACAGATTTTAACATCAATGTATCTTTCAAGTTGGTGGTTTAAAAGAGTAGAAAAAAGAATTAAAAAGGCAGTCGACGTTAGTTTTACACCCAGTTTGAGATGAATACGCCAGAGCAAGCTTAAAGTTTGTGCTAAGCCGCACGCGAACAGACCAGGGGCAGTTTTGATTACGGTGCGTCCCGTGTTATTCAGATCTTTCCTAAGTAAATGATGGCCTAGTTATCGTAGCACAAAAGTGAAATGTATGATATAAATTTACAAAAAAGAAAAAAAAAGGAATAAATGGGTGAATAAATCAAGGTTTAAAAGACCAAAAGAGATTGACCTACCGAGCCTGAATGGTTGTACTTACTTAAATTTTGGGGTATGCGTAATGAGATCGCGTGACTTGTCACTGTACACGCGTGGGGACATACGGAGCGGTCAGCAGTATCGTGGTTGAAAAAAAAGTTATCAAAGATGGCGGCAGTTGGTATCGAAAGTGCGCCAGGTTTACAACAGCTTTTCAAAGACATTTCTCCAAAATTTAAAGCTGTAGAATCAGAAAGCATCGTAAAAACTTTAAAAGAGAATTATGGAGGGAAATTTGATCTGCTGGATAGTCACGATCTGATGAAATGTTTTCAACTTCTTGAAAAGCATGGCTATGTGTCTAACAACAAACTTAACCTAATCGAAGACTTCGTTGCTACAAAATCTGACGCGGAGAAGCTCATTAAGAAAGATATAGATCGTTTCAAGGCCTCACGTTTGGATAAAGGTGATCCAGAGAAGGAGTTACAAGGACGGAGTGAAGAAATCAAGATAATTAACAAAAAACTGGAATCGAAAGATACCGGAGTACTAAACTTGTTTGGATCGTCTGGTGTAGGAAAGACAAAGCTTGCCACTGAAGTTTGCTCACAGTGGCGAGGGAATTATCGTGTTTTTGATTTACGAGAAGCAAAGGATATGAAAGCGATCTATTACAACATGCTGCATTCTCTCGAACTAGTAATCCCAGTTGGTCGTGTTGATCAAAATTATGTTGTTACCAAAGTTCTAGAGAAGGTTGAAGAGTTTAAAGGTGAGAAAGATGCCGTTCTATTTATGCTGGACAATGTAGACCTCTTTACCGCAGGAAAAGGTAAAGAAGGGAAAAACTTGAAAACGGCTTTTATGGAATTTTTGGCAAAGCTCTCAGAAAGCAAAGGAGAACAATCTCCTTTAAAGCTGCTTCTTACCTCTAAGACTGAGTTAAGAGGTCCCAAAAGGATGGATGATTTTGAAGTGGGTTCGCTAGAGAGGATTTCTTCAGAGCAACTAATTTTTCCTAAGGGAATGACTAATGTTAAACGAGAGCAGAAGGATAATTTAATGAGCATCACTAAAGGATTCCCTCTATTTCTAAAAGGACTAGGAGCTATTATGCGACAAGAACGAAAATCTCCAGAAGAACTTATTGCAGAAATTGTGCATGCTCTAAAAAAAATGAAAGTGGAGCTGGATGTGAGTGGAAAGCTTGCTGGTTTTGATGAAGAAGGAGTGGATATCAATCAGATGTCAGCAGTCAGTTTAATGTTTGAGACACTTTCCACAGAAAGGTTAAAGTTATCTGCAGTAGTGGTTTCCTTGTTTCATGGGCCTTTCTCTGTGGCAACAGCTGCCAAAGTTCTTGATGTTGACCCCTCAGAGGCCACTGTTCAACTAGAGGGTCTTGTAGCCAGCCAAATAATTTCTGTTGTTGATGAAGAAGCAAAAGAAAGGAAGTATGACATTCACCCTCTCTTATGGAAGTATGCTGACAGTATCAAGAATCATGAAGATTTTCTTGCTCCTTACATGGAGGCAAAGGCACGCTTTTATGAACTTTTTATGTCCAGGATGGAGGAAATTGCCAAACTGATTGAGCCACAATATGTTAGAGCATTCCATTTGTTTGAGAAAGACAGAGGAAACTATGAGTTTACTGTTGAGATCTCCTTACAACCAGAGTATTTCATTGTTCGAGGTGAATTCCATGAGATTGCTTTGATTGCATCTCTTTTCACTGCAATGCTGAATCATAAAAAAATAATCAAGGTGTTTCATTCCTGGGCTGAGATGTGTGAAGATGATGGAAAAACAGGTGAGGGGCAGTGAAACTTTTCATGTGATATCGATATTGTCCAAATCTCATATTTAGCTTAACCTCATTGTCTGGGGAGACATGGAAGATGTTTCTTTGAAACAGCTTACATGTAGTTTTAACTTATTGCAATAGTTACCTTATTTTATTATATGGCAAGATAGTCCTGAGGTAAATCTGAGTATTCTGATTGGATCTTAATTGGTTGAGATTTTGCCATATGGACCATTTCTTCAAAACAGTTATAAGCCATGTATTTTTATTTGCAAAGGCATTAAACTCAAAATAAAAAAGTTTGGTCCAAGTTCTGTATAATAAATTACCTACAGTACTGACCTTGCTTGCTTGCTTGAGCCATACTGGTCAACATTGTTCCCTGTCATTTAAGTACAGAAGGAGCTATGCTCGGTCCATACCGTCAATACTGGCCAATATACCTCAGTATGGCCCTTATGCTCAGTTAGTATGAAGTTATTATCTCTTTTGTAATTAGAGGCAGTATTATTCTCTCATGGGAATTCCTGTTATATAAACACCTTTCTACATATTTTTGCTTTTGTCTGAACCCCATCATCAGCTCTCCTGTCCATCATTAAATCCCATGTTCTTAAGTTTAGACATTTAGTTTATCATGTAACCTTGTGGCTTTCTGCCATCTATGATGGTTAATGTAATGACACATGGCCGTTTAAACTGTTATTGCAGTTTGGCAATTGGAACAGTGGAGGAGGTCTATATGCAAGTAATTAAAATTTGACAGAGCCACTTTTGGATTACATAATGTGCACAATTATCCCACCAAAATGTCAGACTTGACCTATCTGGAATAGCTAACTAGATTTTGGTGCTAAAGCTACGAGTCGCTGAAATTTGAGTGACTACCTTATTTTATACCTTGCAAACCAAACTCAAGAAAAATCTTTAGTGAGGAGGCTATCCAGGTTCTGATGAGCTTTAAGCTGATATATTGAATAAGGTGGCTCTGTTATGGCACTTGCAGATATTTTATGTCTCAGTCTTTTGTTACTTGTACTTTGCTGTTGATACAGTCAATTGGAATTTTTGTGTTGTGCAGCTCTGGGGTAATTTTGCCTCTAATTTTTAAGCCAGCCTGCACTGTGCAATCAGTCAAGCTGAAATTATTCACCAATTTACTCCCAGAAGTCCTATCACCATCGCTTATGTAATTCCACAAGGGAACTGGGGAGAAGCTACTTAGGAGGGACTCTGAGGATGAGACAGATAACAAAAATAGTAAAAAAAGAAAGAAAGAAAGAAAGAAAACCAAAAAAAGTGAAATTTTGTAAACCACTTCTTGGGGAACTGTCATTGAAAGCAAAAAACAATATGTCTTGGGATAATAAATTTACACTTTGTCATTTATAGATACTGAGCACACTTCGTCAGCAGTGATATCTGTTTATTAGTTTGATTCTTCATCTTTGTACAGGTTCTCTTTGCCGAGCGCAGTTAAAGTCCTGGGAAGCCAGGGAAGTTTCAGATGTTGATGGAACAGAGAGAGGATTTGAAACATTGAGGGAAGCTCTGAATTCACTTGAGAAAGTTGAAGATCAAAGTAGTGAATCCTTTATGCTCACCAAGGGGCTTTACTTGCAAGCTGAAGGTGAAATCCTTTGGAGAAACAGAGACTATAAAAAGGCACTGGCAAGTCTGGAGTTGTCCTTAACTTTCTCTGAACCACTGCTAAAGGAGCATACTGATCTTGCAAGGTGCTACAATGCTATTGGAAACAGCTTTTTTCACCTGGACCAGCCCAGTAAAGCGCTTGAGTTCTATGAAAAAGCCTACAAAATGCAAGAGAAATTAGGATCGGAGAATCACTTTGACATGCCAATGTACAAGAATCAGATTGGAACTGCGTATGAAGGCCTTGAAGATTATGGAAAGGCGGTTCAATGGTACAGAGATGCACTAATTCTTTTGGAGGATCTTAAACTTTTAGGTGATTTGGACGAGGCACTCTTCTCAAGAAATCTTGCTAATGCACTCATGTTTCAAGACAAATATAAAGAGGCAATTGAACCTTCAGAGAGGGCTTACAACATAAGGATGAAGCTTCTCGGAAATCACCCACAGACTGTGCGCAGCATTTTTCAACGAGGGGTCCTTCAGGCCAATCTTAAACACCGAAACGAAGCTTTGAAGCTGTTTCTTGAAGCATGGGAGATGGAAAAGTCACTTGATGCAGGAAACCATAGTGAAGTGTGGCGAAAGATTATCACAGGTGTGGAAGATATGTGTGATTGGACACTCAGTTTTCTACAGAAGAGGTCATTTAGGATTGAGGCTTTCAAGTTTTGTCAACGTTTCTGGGAAGAACAGAAAGCTTCTCAACAATTCACTTTCAATATGTTTAACAAAGGCATCGTTGATGCTCTGAATGATCTTGCTCATGACAAGAAAGACAAAGCTGTAGTACAAAAGGAACAGTTTTGGTTCTACGAGGCGAGTTGCAATGCTAACGAGAGAGAGTTTCAAGAGGACTTTGATTTGGAAACTGATAATAATGCTCTCTGTGTCATGCTGAGAAAGAGGGAAAATCTCTTGGACGAGACAGTGGTGCTCTGTTCTCGACTTAAGGAACGCGAGAAGGTGAGGAAATACAAAATGGACAAGGTGGCTTTGTACAAAATGTGTCTGGTGAGAGCGGATTTCCTTGGAAACAAAGAGGACAGGTCGGACAAAGCGTCATTGAAAATGAAGGTAGAAAATCTTTACAAAGAGACAGGACAAAAAGGAATGATCGTGAAATTTCGAGAGACATTGTTGGATTTGTGGCAAAAGCAGTGGGAAGAAGGAAAAAGTAACGAAAAAACAGAGAAGATCGGCTTGGAAAGGGAGAGAACAATTGAGGGAATTCTCAATCTGTGCCTGGAACTCAAAAAAGTAAACATGTACAGACGGTATGGACAAGAAGCATTGAGCTTTTATGAGGAGATATGGGAGATAAAACATGCTGAGATGAAGGACCGTGAAATGAAGAAGTTTCTTCGTAAACTCAAGGAGTTAGCATCGTCCATTGAAGATTACACGAGCGAGAAGTTCTACAAAATTGCATTACAGGTAAGATCACGCTTATTTATCAACAAAAGTAAACGTCGAGCCTGTCTGTTATGCAAGCAGCTTTTTGTATCAGCTGTTCTCTCTTCACTTTACACACATGACTTAACTCTTTTACTTCCAAGATCTAATTAGTGATTCTCCTTACTTTCTACCAAACAATTCTTATGATGTTATTTTGGATAATTTGGTTTTGGATCAACTTGTAATATCCTTATGGATATTTTTCTTAATTCTCACAACTTTTTTGCTTGGTATTGCATTGGTATTGTAAGGAGAACTTCTGTCTTGGTCACTCTTGGGAGGAAAAGGGCTAAGCCCATCATTTAATGTATGTTTTTGTTCTTTTTTTCTCTGTTTTCTGTTCTGATTTGATGCAGTTACACTGGCGACAAATCCTCATTGTTGGACACTGATATTACAAACAGATGAGCTTGTACATTTATCGGGATATTTTAGTAAACATGAACTTTTTTGATTGATGATTTATCGCGGCAAACAGGTCCACGAATTCTCCTTAAAATTTCAGATACTTGTAGTTTCTAAGCTTCTGTCTTCAACTGTTGTGTTTTGTTTCCAGGCGCTGAATGAAACTGGGAAACATCCAGGAGCCAAATTAAGGTCAAGAGGTACTAAAATTATAGAGAATTTTGAATTTTCGTGAACTCGAACATCCGAAAGAGAAATATTATGACGGTTCATGCTGTCAAAGATCCAGACTTCCTTCTTGCCTGGTTTTTAGTTTCCATGGCTTTACTTATAGCATGTTGCCTTCTCCTGACCTTTCTATCTTCTCCTTAGCCGCACAGACTTTTCCTACACCGAAGGAAGAGGAGAAGGTTAGTGAAGAAGAAGAATTGGAAATCGAAATTGGTTCAGAAGAAGAGAGTGAGGTGGGAGGTGAGGAGCGAGTAGGCACAGATGAAGATGTTCAAACTGAGGACAGAACCATCATCTTCAAGTAAGTAACAAAATTTCGTTTTTCAATATCTCATCTTCGAATAATTACAGAGATGATCGCGGACACGTGCTCTCTGATTGGTCGAGAATTCTCCGTATTTTGCTATAATGAACCCGCTGGAAATTATTACAATAGCGAAGAACTGAATTGAAAATAGCCGCTTTCTATCTTTTACTATGTTTCTGGGGAAGAAAACAAACAAAAAAACCAATTCAGTTCCTTTGATACTTGCTCTAGGAACTTGACTCTAAGAATCATATTCCTTAGGCTTCGCGAGTAGTCTAAGTAGTCAAGTAGTCGTCCGAAACTCAACAAAAAGACAGGCTCGTGTATGTTTTTATTTTATTTTGTTCCCAACCGCAAAACGTCATGCATCTCACTTTTCTCACTGCCTATCACGGAATAAATAGCGAGTAGCGTAGCCAATCAGATTTCAGTATTTGTGATAGAACAAATGTAGATTCATGTTAATGTCGAAGAATTCGACATTTTCCCGTCACCCTTCGCGAAGAATTGTTTAATGACTGAGCGTCAGTTCAGTTTTGATTACTTGAAGTCATTCTTGATTCTCCCACTGCATGATGAAAAGTATTTTTTTAACGGAAGTCTCATCATCTATTCTATCAATCACACTCAGTCACAAGATTACCAAAAATTAATTATTTATTATCTTGAATCTCACAGAGACACTGTAACAGTACAAGGTGGCCACTGGGACGCGAGGAAGGCAGCAACTCACTTGGTATTTCCACCTGGTTTTGTTGCTAAAGACACTGCGCTGACTCTTTTCAGATGGAAACCCTCCCAGCGTTCACCTCCTCTTCAGCCAAATGAAGCCGTGGTTAGTAATGTTCTTGAACTATCGGCAGAAGGCGCTGAAGGTCTTCAGTTCAAAAAACAAGTCACTGTGGGAATTTCGCACAGCGGACCGGACCTTAGAGGATATGAAGTGGTGATAAAGAACTTGACAGACGCAGAAAGAAATGAATGGGAAGAGGCTGAAGAAACAGTCGACTTTCGATCTGTATCAGGTAGAGGCTGGCTTTTATCGTCAATTTACTACACATTAGGTCTTATTTGAAAATGTCTGCTTGTTGATTTCTTAACTGGTCTTTTCCAAGGATTTATAGTTCATGTTTTGATGCTTCTGCATTGTCAAAAAGCCCTTCACTCAAACAGTATAAAAATTGGCTCTCTTAAAATGGTCCGTATGGCATTGAAATGAACAACAACACTAAACTAAGGTTTTTCCTTTTTTGTTCCGTGTTGTTTTGTTTATTTTTTATTTTACTTGAATTTGATATGGACACGATCCACTTAACAGATAACTTGCGCAACAAACATTTCTGAGTTTGATGACTTATCATTCTAACATTACTTACACAGTACAAAAAGCTTCCAACAATAACACCATAATATACATACTAGAGAAGAGTGTCGACCTACCAAGTCACAAATGAAAATAAACGAGCCGAAAACGACGAAGTTTCAAGGCGTTATCAAGTGCAGTGACCCTCATTTAAACTGGTAGCTTGTTCTAAATTTTCATCCTTGACTTATTTTCAGATCTGCAGATGGCTTATCGCGATGATTTTCCTGATTATTGCCTTCCTGTTGCTGAGACTAAAATTACCCAGTGTTCCACATTTGCAGTGGTTTTCCGTCTCAAGGCCCACAAGTTCACCATAACCTCGCAACCGTCCACCCTTTCATTACCAGGCTTCCCATTGGTCAAAGTGCACTTTCCCTCAAACGCAGTCTCCGCCGCAGAAGAATTGCACGTGACTGTCACAGTAAGTATCTGATTGCGCTAAACAATTACGGCTAGTTACATGGTTCTTTGAGTTGGGCAAAAAATATTTTTTGTGGTTCTTTGAGTCAAGCAAAAAAATGTTTTTTAGTTCGTTTTCTTTTTCCAGTTATTAAATTGGTTAAGCCCAAAATTGTTCTTTTTTTCTGTCGCTATATATAAACAGTAGCCTTCATTTGGCGCGAAAACGTGCACGGATATTTGTCCGCGGACATTATCTGTTCCGAGATGCGACCAAGGGCGAAGTTCGAGGAAAACAGTGTGGAAAACTTCTCTTACCACTCAACGCATGGCAACGTGAAGTCTTAAATAAATGAATATTTCATATGATTAATATTAGTTCTGAAGAGGGGCTAACGCTCGAAAAGTCAGCTCAAGATCTCTTTATAGTGGGCAATTTACATCAGAAACTCAGTTGATAAAAACAAATTATCTTGTTTTAGAAATGGATTTTACGCTGGCCACAATTTATTGTTGGCTCGCTTTCTCGTCCAACTGACTGAATTTTGTTTCTCCATTGCTTGTAGATACAAGAATTTCGCAGCAGAGAGTTAAGAAACAAGGAGATGTTGGCTGGCCCGATACTCAGTATTCTGTGCAGTAGGGAGGTGGAGTTCCAGGAACCAGTCACTGTACAGCTGCCGTTATCCTTAAGAGACACGCATCAGGCTGCTGAGTTATTGGGTATTCCTGATCCGTCATTCGTCCGTGCCCGAGTCTTGCTGCAACCATCTGATGGAACAGAACGAGAATGGACCGAAATTACAGATGTTCTTGATTCCCCCCCTTGGCTGGAGGGGACTGTCATCAAATTCAGTGTGAAGCACTTCTCGAGGTATGCCAAAGTAACTGCTTTCAAATTTTTAGATGTTTTATGAGTGCTTTGCGTCTCTATTGGAGCAATATTTGAAAAACCTCAACTCGGAACAAAAATAACTGGAAGCAAAACAAAGCGTAGGGAATCAAGGTAGATCGGGTTGAAATTAGCGCGACAATATCGGGGAACATACTGCTGATGTTTATTTAAAGCGTGAATTATTTTCTTGCGATACACCCGCATCCCAATCTTATTTGATTTGCTTTTAAGTAGATTAAAAGCATCTTTAGAAAGAATATTAGATTTCAAACATCATCTTACCTATGTAAATTCGCCTCACTCGTCAATCGGGGGTCGAAATTTTGTTCGCACCGTCTACAAATGATTCACATCTTGCGCTTTGTAAAACCACGAGCTCTGCTTTTGCTTCTGTTGTATTTTGCTTGATTTTGTCATCGATAATTTTAATATTATTATTACTATTATCATTATCAGTATCGTTATATAGTTTTTGAATGGCAAGGGGATTATTTTATGTTTTAAGCTCAAGCTAGTTGCAGGAGGGAGGTAATTCTGGTGTTGCTTTTGTTTGGTTGCAGACTTTGGGGCTGGATAGATTGGTGCGTTAAACCAGTCTTGTCACAAATGGTCGAATTAGCACGTAGCTTTGACACACACAATGTGCCCCAAGTGGCAGTTTTTACAGCTTGTCTTCCAGCAAATACCAGCTTAGGTTCTACAAAAATGCTGCGTGTGATTTGCAGTTCAAGTAACGCGACACGGAAGCACATTAAAGACGAGGAGGAATACTTGTTGGAAGAAGAAAATGCATGGGATTACATGGCACCTCACGACGTGGCTTATGTGTTTTTTTCAGGGAGCGTGGTTCAGCCGGCCGAGGTCGCGGATTTAGAAGACTTTTTTGTCAGGTAACACTTCGGTAGGCATTTGTCGATACCTGGAACATCTAGTTTGATCTGAAATAACAAAATATTGATTAACAAGAAATGTGAAATTTTTGTGACCATGATGGTGGGTGAGTCACCTTCTCTTGAGGTAATTTGAACTTAGTCGGTACTCGCAAATTCATCTGGTCGAGTGGCTGTTTGTCCATCAGATGTTAGAAATTAAAGATGCAGCATACAATGCTAGTCGAGGACCATATCAAAAAATATTTTCAGACCAAGTCTTAGAATGATTGCAGAGTGTTTGGATATTTTTGCGTGAAGTTCCAAAAAGTGTTTGTACTTTCGGAGAAGTTTCATGGATTAAATGTGGTTGATCATTACTTTTTTATTATAATAATATGCATGAAAAAATTAAGCGCTCCTGATTGGCTGAAAACGAGTGCATCATCATGTAACACGAATGAAGATTGCAACTAGCGCGTGCACGGTTTCAAATTTCGTTTGTCGTGTCTCTGTGATGTTTTTTCATGTACATTATTATCAAGTAATAACATGTTTTATCTTGTAATTTGGTGTAATAGGCACTTGTACATTTTTCAAAGACTGCAAATTGCAATTGCTTTACGGGCTCGTGCAATTTTGTTGTCTGTACAAAATTTAATCGTGGTTATTAACACCAAATTGCACTCGAAATAATTTTATTACCCATACTTAAAATAGATTTCAGTTTCACGAGAGAACTTTTCAAAGCCATGTTTCGGTGTGACTCATGCCATCAGCGTTGTAATGTTTTGACACGTTACATGCAAATACGTTATAATTTTAAATCAAATGGAATGTTTGAAACTAGAACCGTTACAATAGTTGAAGTACACAATAGCAAGCACGAATGTAATACTTGAAAAGTAAATCTATGTGGACGAAAAATTACAATTGCATCTGAACATTCAGCTGTGGTTGCAAGCGGCCAATGTTCTATGCCTCCTTGTGAATCTGAAATTTTTTTCAGTTATACTACCATTATGACGAAGTTGCGCGGAGAAGTGTTAGTTGTAAGAACTGGATAATCAAATGATTTTTCGCAGCTGCGATTTGGCAGAGCAATATCAATGCTCGAATCATGACGGTCATGTAACGAAGGTACCGCACTAGCTATTGCACAGCTTTTAGCCTTTATTTTTCAATCATTGCTCCAAATGGCCCACAATTTCATGACCTACTTCCTTTAGCGAACTTCACTCTAACAAGAACTTAGGAAAAATTTTGATAACTTTAGAAGACGATTATCCTTAATCTTCTTTATACGTTAAGACTTTTTCCTCCATGCCTTGCAGATTTGAAAAAGATGATTCCTTTAAGAGGAGTTTGAGGGTACGCGTTGTCGACAAAGGATGGCTAAAAATTGAGTTCTACAACAGCAGAGAAAAGAAGCCAGAAAATAAACTGTGCAATCTAGAAATGGACCTTCCCCCTCGAAAAAGAGACATTAAGGTAAAGGTATCATTAGGTAAAAAGCAATACTGCAAAGACGTGGTTTTGACTTCTGTCTCGAAGCAAAATAAACTGGACTAAGCCAAACGCCGTTTTTCTGACTTTGTTCTGATGGGCGGGCAGGCTGGGAGCATAGAACATCGTTGAAAGCCAACAGCAATCGTCTGCACATACCCAGGCTCTTCCCGGAAAATATATAATGCATAGCAACCAAAGTCCATTGAAAATGATCGCGAATGACTTGAAAAAGTGTTTACGACCCTAGTAAGGAACTGGAATCTGTCAGCTTGTCAGCATTTATCACGAGGGGGAAGGGGGGTCACATCATTTTCAGGGGTAACGGTGGGGAGATCAGTCGTCTCCAACAGAGCACAAAGGGGCACTATGTAAAGGAAATTGAATTTAGGTTAACTGCCAATCACTGGGGAAGGGTGGAGTCATATGAATATTACAGAGCCTCATGGGGGGACTAGGTTAATTTTGTGTTGTGAAACTGCCAAAAGCGTCTGTATACCCCCTCCTCTCCCTCCCCCTCCCCATGATAAATCGTGCCTAGTCCATTGAAAAGTACATGTGTATTTGGAGTAGAAAAGTTATTTCCTTCACGCACTGTTGGCGTTTCCCTGCCAGATAAGGGCGTTCTACGGGATAATTACACTCAATTTTTCTCGCAGAAGACTCCCGTGGAGTTTTTTGGAGTTCCTTTGGATGAAAACAGCATCCTTCACGATGCTCCGTTTCCGGAAATCCTAGCAGAATGTCGAGGAGTGTTGGAAGAAATGAACCTGGGGAAGATATGGGGAAGTCATGTTGATAAGAACGTCGACGGACAAAATCGATATAGTTTTTACAAAGCCCTGGCGAGCCTACCACCAGATGACCAACAAAAATGCTTTGAAAAGATCGTTGAGTGTTTGCAAAGAAGTGAGGGAACCAAACACATCGGAGATCACCTCTTAAAAGGTAGATTCAGTTTCATGAGGTGCTTACCACTTCACGTTCCTCATAACAACATCACTGAGTTCGCTCTTTTCGTTCCTTCCAACATGTTACATTCTTGCAGTTTTCAGTTACTTCGCAGAAATGCCAAATGGCAAGAAGAACCCGAGGCAGGCTTTAACTGGAAAAGGGAAAACATTTACTAATTACTTCGGCCTCCTACTGGGGATGGGTACTTTTGATTTACAATCAGATCATACGACGTAAAGTTAAAAGTTTTTGTTTGTTGCGAAATTTCAAAGTAATGACTACACACAGACTATTTCATGCAACATTATTTTGGAAGAGCATGTGTTGTTTTTGAACGAAAATGTGTGAGGTTTGACTAAAACTGTCAACCGGCCCTGGAAATCGGTCATAATCCCTGAATATAATGGACAGATTTTCAGGTGAGATCTTGTCGATGCAAAGGAAAACATCAGTAATACATAATATATAATTTCACGTTGACAAAGACGCTGCCTTAACCTCGAGTGGGCCAGCAAAACGACACGGTCAGCGTACGACATAAGGTACCAGACACTATTAATCGCCGGGGGAGGGTGGAGGATTTTTTTGTGGAGGATCATATGGTTTTCCGGGGGAACAGTCGTCGCCAACAGGGTAAAAGGGGGGACTATAGACAATTGACTGACAATTACCTGCCAATGACGGAAGATCGTAAAAATATTGGAGAGCCTTAGAAGGTATCAGGTGAATTGTGTTGTGAAATTTATAATTTTTTTTTCCAGCTAAAGCTTTGATTCAGAAACCGCCCACTGAAGGTGTGCTTGATGTGATAGCTGAGAAATTGAGGACAGGTCCATTGTGGAAGAAACTCGCCAGAGAATTGGAGATTAAGCAATGTGTTATTGCCAATATTCAAGAGGAAGAGGAGGATGGACAGGAGCGCTGCAGGGCAGCACTAGAAACTTGGCTTCAAAACAAAGGATCTGGTGCTACAAATAGAGAGTTAATGTTGTGCTTAACGAACATGGGGTATGGTAATGTGAACTGGCATATAATGATCGAACTCAACCTTGTTAAAAGAGATAATATACCACCGGAAGAGCGAGAATGATCGGTGTTAAAAAAAATAATTACGTTAGTAAAGACCTGGTTGAATATGAGTGCTCTTTTCCCACATCACTGTGCGAAAGAATTTGCCCCATGAAGGCGTGATATCATTACTGAATTAAAAGGGATTTTTCGCATGAAGGCCGGAAAACACTTTTAAAAAGTTCCTTCAACACCTCGTGGACGTAAGGTTCGCCCGGAAAAATTTGCTCAGGGCAACTGGAAGAATTATTATCTTTCTATCTTCCACAGAGTTGTTTCTCTGCAACAAGTCGCACAAGTTTAGAACAATTTAGATGTTACAATAATCGTAGCCATAAATTGAGTTGCCCGAGTCGTTGCCTCTTTTTAGCGGGTTTCAAGTGAACAGACCTAGCTAAAAGATTAAACAGTTTCTTGTTCGATAAGAATGTACATATCAGGAATTTTTAACTTAATATCCTTACATTTGAGGTAACGTTTTACTTACCTCTTAGTAGCCTCGTTTTCTCGGTCTGTACTGTATTTTTTCGTTCGGTTTTAAATCCGTGCGGACAAAACGAGGTTCCGTAAATTACATTACGGACTGTTAAAACGCGGTTAGCAAGATATTTATTTCATCTATTGGTGCAAATAGATGGGGAATTTAGCGGCTCTTACGTAGAAATACGGCCTGCTAAATTGACCAATCATAGTGATGCAGTAATTTGCGTCACCCTTTTATTCGAGCAATACTAAACCTTTTTTTTCTATCCTTTTCCTTCTGGCTCCCCCCCCCCGCTCTATTTTTCTTTTTTTTTTTTCACAGTTTTCTATTATCTACAATTTTCATTCATCCTTTAAACCCATTCAAACGGTCATGATAGTTTATGATAGTTTTTAACTATCACGCGCGTCTGAACAAGAACTTCCATGCTTTATCATTAACTATCATCAACTATCATGACCGTTTGAACAGGGCTTTAGGCTTTTGAACTACACATCTTAATCAATGTATTGTGTAGAGTGTTCAAAGAAAGAAATTGCCTATGTAAGAAAGCTCACAATGAAGGTTATTTAATGTAATGTATATTTAATGTAATGGTTATTTAATGTAATGTATTGAAAGTTAAGAAAAATTTTTATGTTTAGAAATTGTGCTTCACGATGCAAACTGTTCGTTTATTCATTTTACGAAAGAAAACTCACAAAGAACATATACAAATATACACAAATACACAAATATTTTTTTCTACTAGAAAGTTTATATAATTATTTATACTTAGGACTTTTGCTTCAAGATGCAAACTGTGTGTTTATTTTACTAGAGTGCACCGAGAAAAAACATCTGTTTTACGAAAGAAAACTCACAATCATCTCCTCAAATCATCTCGTCAAACATTGTTATAACAGGGCTAGTAAATTTGTCTCATCAAATTAAATTGCGCGAGCGTGCTTCATATTCCTATTGAGCACGCTCATGACGTCAGCAAACGTATCCCTCGAGAAAAAAATTTTCCATCGGGTTGAAAATGTTATAAAACAATTGGTTCATACGTTAGCTGTGCGTTCATCGAGATATGAAGCACGCGAGAAGTTTGGATGAATAAAATTGTTAACTGATCCTTGCAGTACGAAGTTTGCCTGTCGTGTAGAAACATTTAAGTAACGGCTTAAGTCATAAGATTCATTTCTTTTCATGTAGCTCAGTAGTACACCATCGCAACACGGAATCTAAAGGTCTGGGGTTCGACTCCTTGTGAAAGAATCATATTTCTTTCCTTTGTTCTACGCTTGTGTTAAGACGAATACAGTCGAACCTGTATTAAGCGGTCGGTTGTCGAGGTCCCGAAATTTGTACCCCTTTAATTACTGTAGATTCCACCTCTATTAAGCGGTCGTGGTTGCCTTTACTGAGTCCTAACGGCCTGTTGGTATTTTACCCCACCTGGACTGAACGGTCACTTAAAGTGGGACCACTCAGATAAAACTAAGAATAATCTATCACGTAAAAGTTTATCCATATTTATCTTCCGAAATCAATGTTGGTAGAATTTTTGAGTGAGTCCTTTAACTTTAAGCGCTCAACTATGGCATAAAATGACTTTTTTATCGGGGTCACCACGTGATTCACAGTGGGTGACCGCTTAATACAAGTTTGATTGTAACAACTTTTCTGATTCAATCCTTTTAAACTTGCCATCACTATCTCCAGAACGTAAGATCTGATGATGAATGCCGACGAAGAAACATGGTTAGTCGTACGGAAACATCACGAGAAATGCCACCAAGTTTCATGAGTTTTTCTTTTCAACACCTCAAATGTTTTTAGTATTTAAGTTCTGGATCGTGGTGTTCATCTTAGGTTTATGTTGGTCTTTTATTAATATACTAGTTTTGCTCTAAATTTTTGTCACGATGGTATTGTTTACAGACTTTTGTACTAAAGTTTAGACCATAGTGCTGTATGATTTCCTTCTCTGAGATATCTAATTGGTAAGAAAAATAGATGGTATGGGTGTATCCTGCGGACAAAGTAGCTCGAACTGTGCCTCATATTTTATTTTGCCACCAACATACCCATATCTAGCCATTCGAACGGTTTTATGTAAGATAAAGTCGATTTTCTGACTTGCATACACCCGTAGACAACATCCTGGTCACTTTTTTCCTGGGAAATATCCGTTTCTGTTCGATTGGTGTAACAAGTGGGACATTCGTGACATAAATAGTCTAGTGAAGTACAATAACTAAGGAAATTATCAGACATATTGCCATCCACCCTCGCTCCAGCAGTGCCTTCATAGGTGAGTTTTGACGTGGGGCTCTCGCTCGCTCTCCTCCTTTGATCGTATAGTTAGTCATTACATAAATATCATGTTTTAAATCTAGTATTTACTAAACCACGTCTGCGTCATACATATGTATTTCCGTATGTATTTCCGATTTCACGACTTGCATCACTCAAAAAAGAAAAAATTGACTCAAGTTGACTCGTCTATTCAACTTAACCTGGGAAATAAAGCAGCTAGGTTCTTTTGCGCTAATTTTCTTTACATAACTCTAAAGGTAAAATGGAGTGCCATGAAGTAAAGTCTTGAGAATAACTTTTTATTAAATAAAAATTAGGTGTATATTTATCTACGTTCATTGTAAGTTTTCTTTCGTAAAACATATATTTTTTTCTCGGTGCACTCTAGTAAAATAAATTTACAGTTTGTATCTTGAAGTAAAAGTCCTAAGTATAAATAATTTTATAAACTTTCTAGTAGAAAAAATTATTTATATATTTGTACACGATCCTTGTGAGTTTTCTTTCGTAAAATGAAGATACGAACAGCTTGTATCATGAAGCACAATTTCTACGCATAAAAATTTATCCTAACTTTCTATTAGATAAAAACTATGTCTATATTCAATAACCGTCATTGTGAGTTTTCTTTCATAAGATATTTTTTCTTTGAACGCTCTGCATTACGCATTGATTAAGATGTGTAGTTCTAAAGCCTAAAGCCCTGTTCAAACGGTCATGATAGTTGATGATAGTCAATGATAAAGCGTGGAAGTTCTTGTTCAGACGCGCGTGATAGCTGAAACTATCATAAACTATCATGACTGTTTGAATGGGTTTAAAGGATGAATGAAAATTGTAGATAATAGAAAACTGTGAAAACAAACAAACAAACAAAACACGAAGAAAAGAGAGGGGTGGCGCAGAGTGAAAAACGATAGAAAAGAGGTTTGGTCTTGTTAGAATATAAGTGTGATGAAATTTACTGCATCTTACGACGTGAGCTATGATTGGTCAATTTAGCAGGCCGTGTTTCATCGTAAGACCCGCTAAATTCTCCATCTATTTACACCAATAAATAAAAGAAATATCTTACTAGCCGCGTTTTCTCGGTCTCTTCTAATACAGTAGAGACCGAGAAAACGAGGCTAGTAAGAGGTACGTAAAACGTTACATCAAATGTAAGGGAATTAAGTTAAAAGTTCTTGATCAGGGTTTTCAACTTAACATACTTCTTAAAAGGCTACTCGCGAGCGCCGAAGTTCTTGATATGTTCATTCTTATCGAAAACTCAGAAACGCCATTTACAGTATAATCTTTTGATCTCAGCTAATGTTTATTTATTTGTATAAAGCTATGTTTATTTACTTGAAGCCCGCTAGAAAAGAGGCTACGACTCGGGCAACTCATTTTATGGCTACGATTATTGTATTATTTAAATTATTCTAAACTAGTGGGACTTGTTGCAGAGAAACAATTCTGTGGAAAACAGAAGGATTTTGACAATAATTCCCAGGACCAATTTTACAGGCGACCCAACATCTATGAGGTGTTCAAGGAAGTTCTTGTCCTTTTAATTCAGTAATGATATCACGCCTTCATGGGGCAAATTCTGTTACACAGTGATATGAGAAAAGAGTACTCATATTTAACCAGGTCTTTACTAACGTAGTGTTTTTTTTTTTTTTTTTTAACACAGATCATTCCCTCTCTTCCGGTGGTATATTATCTCTGTTAACAAGGTCGAGTTCGATCATTATATGCCAGTTCACATTACCATACCCCATGTTCGTTAAGCACGACATTAACTCTCTACTTGTAGCACTAGATCCTTTGTCCTGACGCCAAGTTTCTAGTGCTTCCCTGCAGCGCTCCTGTCCATCCTCCTCGTCCTCTTGAATATTGGCAATAACACATTGCTTAATCTTCAATTTACTTGCGAGTTTCTTCCACAATGAACCTGTCCTCAATTTCTCAGCTATCACATCGAGCACACCTTCAGTGGGCGGTTTCTTAATCAAAGCTTCAGCTGAAGAAAAAAAAAATACAAATTAGTCGAGTTTCACGACACAATTCACCTGATGCCTTCTAAGGCTCTCCAGTATTTGGTAATATTTGGCAGGTAATTGTCAATCAACTTTGTATAGTCCCCCTTTTTTACTCTGTTGGCGACGGCTGTTCTCCCGGAAAACCTGGAATTCTGTCCATTTTATGACCGATTTACAGGGCTGGTTGACAGTTTCAGTCAAACCTCGGCTAAAAGATCACACATTTTCGTTCAACATCATGTTTATCGCAAACAGCACATGCTCTTCCAAAATAATGTTGCATGAAATGGTCTCACCGTTTAGTCATTATTTTGAAATTTCGCAACAAACAAAAACTTTTGACTTTATGTCGTATAGTCTGATTGTAAATCAAAAGTACCCATCTCCAGTATCCCCAGTAAGAGGCCAAAGGCATTTCTGCGAAGTAACTGAAAATTGCAAGAGTGTAACATGTTAGAAGGTACGGAAAGAGCGAACTGATGTTGTTATGAGAAACGTGGAAGTGGTGGGTACCTCACGAAACTGAATCTACCTTTTAAGAGGTGATCTGCGATGTGTTTGGTTCCCTCACTTTTTTGCAAACACTCAACGATCTTCTCAAAGCATTTTTGTTGGTCATCTGGTGGTAGGCTCGCCAGAGCTTTGTAAAAACAACATCGATTTTGTCCGTCGACGTTCCTATCAACATGACTTCGCCATATACTCCCCTTGTTCATTTCTTCCAACACTCCTCGACATTCTGCGAGGATTTCCGGAAACGGAGCATCGTGAAGGATACTGTTGTCATCCAAAGGAACTCCAAAAAACTCCACGGGAGTCTTCTGCGAGAAAAATTGGGTGTAATTATCCAGTAAACCGCCTTTACCTGGCACGGAAACGCCAACAGTGCGCGAAGGAAATAATTTTTATACTCCAAATGCATTTGTACTTTTACTGGACCAGTCATAATTTATCACGGGGAGTGGGGGGAGGGGGGGTGTACACAGTTTTTGGCAGTTTCGCGATACAAAATTTATTGATTGGCAGTAAACTTAAATTCAATTTTCTTTATATAGTCCCCTTTACACTCTGTTGAGGACTACTGATCTCCCTTCCGTTCCCCCTTGAAAATGATGTGATTACCCCAAAATCCTCCGCCTTTTTGGAGAAAATGATAAATAAAAAAAATGATATAATCATAGGTATACCGGATTGAAGGGTTAATTTAGGTAAATAACTATTCATTCTCCAGTCTGCACGGTCTGTACGGTCTGCAGTCTGCGTTTTAGCATTCTCGCCACCTGTCTGCCCACCCATCGGGTCAAAACTAAGTCTTTGAAATGCTGCTTTTCACCTAATGATACCTTTACCTCATTGTCTCTTTTTCGAGGGGGAAGGTCCATTTCTAGTTTGCACAGTTTATTTTCTGGCTTCTTTTCTCTGCTGTTGAAGAACTCAATTTTTAGCCATCCTTTGTCGACAACATGTACCCTCAACTTTCTTATTATGGAATCATCTTTTTCAAATCTGCAAGACATGGTGAATAAAGTCTTGACGTATAAGGAAGATTTAGGGATAATCGTCTCTTAGAATTATTATTATTTTCCTAAGTTTTTGTTAGGATGAAGTTCACTTAAGTAGGTGGGCCATGAAATTGTCGGTCATTTTGAGCAGTAATTCACAAATAACGGCTAAAAGCTGTGCAATAGCTTAAGTCGTAACCGTCGTTACACGACCGTCATGATTCGGGAATCGATGTTGCTATGCCAAATCGCAAGTGTTACCTGACATAAAAGTCCTCCAAATCCGCGACCTCGGCCGGCTGAACCACGCTCCCTGAAAAAAACACATAAGCCCTTTGGCGAGGTACCATGTTATCCCACGCATTTTCTTCCTCTAACAAGAATTCCTCCTCATGTCTGATGTGCTTCCGTGTCGCGTTACTTGAACTGCATATCACACGCAACTGTTTTGTAGAACCTAAGCTTGTATTTGCTGGAAGACAAGCTGTAAAAACTGCCACTTGGGGCACATCTTCTGTGTTTAAGCTACGCGCGTATTCGATTATTGGTGACACAACTGGTTTAACGCACCAATCTATCCAGCCCCAAAGTCTGCAACGAAACAAAAGCCACACCAGAATTACCTCCCTCCTGCAACTAACTTGAGCTTAAAACACAAAATAATCCCCTTGCCTTTCAAAAAATATATAACGATATTGATAATAATAATAATAATAATAATAATATTACCAATAACAAAATCAAGCAAAATACAACAGAAGCAAAAGCAGAGCTCGTGTTTTTACAAAGCGCAAGAGGTGAATCACCTGTAGACGGTGCGCGAACAAGATGTCGATTGACGAGTGAGGCGAATTTTCACAGGTAAGATGATGTTTGAAATCTGATTTTGTTTCGAGAGATGCCTTTGATCTACTAACAAGTAAATCAAATAAGATTAGGATACAGGCGTATCGCGAGAAAATAATTCACGCTCTAAATAAGCATCAGTTGTATGTTCCCTGATATTGTCGTCCTAATTTCAACCCGATCTACCTTGATTCCCTACGCTTTTTTTCGCTTTGAGTTCTTTTTGTTCCGAATTAAGATTTTTCAGATATTGCTCCCCTTGAGACTTAAAGCGCTCATTAAACATCTTACAATTTGAAAGCAGAAGGTTACTTTGGCATACCTGGAGAAGTGCTTCACGTTGAATTTGATGACAGTTCCCTCTAACCAAGGGGGGAAATCAAGAACATCTGTAATTTCGGTCCATTCTCGTTCTGTTCCATCAGATGGTTGCAACAAGACTCGGGCACGGACGAACGACACATCAGGAATACCCAATGATTCAGCAGCCTGTTCCGTGTCTCTCAAGGATAACGGCAGCTGTACAGTGACTGGTTCCTGGAACTCCACCTCCTTATTGCACAGAATACTGAGTATCGGGCCGGCCAACACCTCCTTGTTTCTTAACTCTCTGCTGCGAAATTCTTGTATCTAGAGGCGATGGAGAAACAAAATTCAGTCAGTTGGGCGAGAAAGCGAGCCAACAATAAATTGTGGCCAGCGTAAAATCCATTTCTAAAACAGGATAATTTGTTTTTATCAATTGAGTTGCTGATGTAAATTTCCCACTATAAAGAGATCTTGAGCTAACGTTTCGAGCGTTAGCCCCTCTTCAGAACTAATATTTGAAATGTTCATAACGTGCGTATAATCATTTACATACTCTCGGTACGCGCATTTTTTTTTCTTTTCATACGAAATAAAAAGACTTCGAGTTGCCGCGCGTTGGGTGGTAAAAGAAGCTCTAAGCCCACAGTTTTTCTCACATTTTCCTCGGACTTCGCCCTTGGTCGCATCTTTGGCGCCAAATGAAGGCTATTGTTTATATATAGCGACAGACTAACAAAAAAGAACAACAATTTTGTGCTTAACAAATTTAATGACTGGAAAAAGAAAACTAACTAACAAAATATATTTTGCTTAACTCAAAGAACCATGTAACTAGCCGTAATTGTTTAGCGTAATCAGATACTTACTGTGACAGTCACGTGCAATTCTTCTGCGGCGGAGACTGCGTTTGAGGGAAAGTGCACTTTGACCAATGGGAAGCCTGGTAATGAAAGGGTGGACGGTTGCGAGGTTATGGTGAACTTGTGGGCCTTGAGACGGCAAACCACTGCAAATGTGGAACACTGGGTAATTTTAGTCTCAGCAACAGGAAGGCAATAATCAGGAAAATCATCGCGATAAGCCATCTGCAGATCTGAAAATAAGCCAAGGATGAAAATTCAGAACAAGTTACCAGTTTAAATGAGGGTCACTGCACTTGATAATGCCTTGAAACTTCCTCATCTTCTCATCCTTTTCTCTAGTATCTATGTTATGGTGTTATTCTTAGAAGCTTTGTACTGTGTAAGTAATGTTAGAATGATAAGTCATCAAACTAAGAAATGTTTGTTGCGCAAGTTATCTATTAGGCGGATCGTGTCCATATCAAATTCAAGTAAAAAAACACTAAACACAACAACACGAAAGCGAAAAAAACAAACAAACAAAGGAAAAGCCTTGGTAGGGTATCGTTGTTCATTTTAACGCCATACGGACTATTTTCAAAGAGCCAATTTCATACTGTTTGAGTGAAGGGGCTTTTTGGTATTGCAGAAGCATTAAAACATGAACTATAATTCCTTGGAAAAGACAAGTTAAGAAATCAACAAGCAGACATTTTCAAATGAGACCTAATGTGTCATAAATTGACGATAAAAGCCAGCCTCTACCTGATACAGATCGAAAGTCGACTGTTTCTTCAGCCTCTTCCCATTCATTTCTTTCTGCGTCTGTCAAGTTCTTTATCACCACTTCATATCCTCTAAGGTCCGGTCCGCTGTGCGAAATTCCCACAGTGACTTGTTTTTTGAATTGAAGACCTTCAGCGCCTTCTGCCGATAGTTCAAGAACATTGCTAACCACGGCTTCATTTGGCTGAAGAGGAGGTGAACGCTGGGAGGGTTTCCATCTGAAAAGAGTCAGCGCAGCGTCTTTAGCAACAAAACCAGGTGGAAATACCAAGTGAGTTACTGCCTTCCTCGCGTCCCAGTGGCCACCTTGTACTGTTACAGTGTCTCTGTGAGATGCAAGATAGTAAATAAGTAATTTGAGGTAATCTTGTGACTGAGATTTTTTAACACCATCTTGATAGAATAGATGATCAGACTTTCGTTAACAAAAAAAAAACAACAACACTTTTTATCATACAGTGGGAGAATTAAGAATGACTTCAGATAATCAAAATTGAACTGACGATCAATCGTAGAACAACTCTTCGTAAAGGGTGACGGGAAATGCCGAATTCTTCGATATTAGCATAAATCTACATTTGTTCTATCACAAATGCTGCAATCTGAATGGCTACGCTACTCGCTATTTCTTCCTTGATAGACAATGAGAAAAGTAAGTAAGATGCTTAACATTTTTCGGTTAGGAACAAAATAGAATAAAATCATACACGAGTCTGCCTTGTTGTTAAGTTTCGGACGACTGCCCGACAACTTAGACTACTCGCGAAACCTAAGGAATGTGATTCTTAAAGTCAAGTTTCTAGAGTAAGTATCAGAGGAACTGAATTTTTTCTTTTGTTTTCTTCCCCAGAAACATAGTAAAAAGATACACAGTGGCTATTTCCAATTCAGTTATTCGCTATTATAATCATTTCTGGCAGGTTCATTGTAGCAAAATACGGAGAATTCTCGACCAATCAGAGAGCACTTCTTCACGATCATATGTATAAGTATTCGAAGAACGTAATTTTGTTATTTACTCGAAGATGATGGTTCTGTCCTCAGTTTGAACATCTTCATCTGTGTCTACTTGCTCCTCAGCTCCAACCTCACTCTCTTCTTCTGAACCAATTTCGATTTCCAATTCTTCTTCTTCTTCACTACTCCTCTCCTCTTCCTTCGGTGTAGGAAAAGTCTGTGCGGCTATAAGAGAAGAAAGGAAGGTCAAGAGAAGGCAAGATACTATAAGCCATGGAAACTAAAAAACCAGGCATCTGTACAAGAAGAAAGTCTAGCTCTTGGACAGCACGGACCGTCATAAGATTTTTCTCTCAGATGTTCGAGCTCTATACAATTTTAGTACCTCTTGGCCTTAATTTGGCTCCTGGATGTTTCCCAGTTTCATTCAGCGCCTGGAAACAAAACACAATAGTTGAAGAGAGAAACTTAGAAAATACATGTATCTGAACTTTTAGGAGAATTCGTGGATCTGTTTGCCGCGATAAATCATGAATCATAAAAAGTCTATGTTTACTAATATATCCCGATAAAATGTACAAGCTTATCTGTTGGCATTATCAGTGTCCAACAATGAGGATTTGTCGCTAGTGGTAACTAGACCAAATCAGAGTAGAAAACAGAGCAAAACAGAACAAAAACATACATCAAATGATGGGATTAACCCTTTAGCTCCCATGAGTGACCAAGACAGAAGTTCTCCTTACAATATCAGTACAATATCAAGCAGACAAGTGGTGAGATCAAAGAAAATATCCAAAAGTAAATTATAAGTTGATCCAAAACCAAATTATCCGAAATAACATCATAAGAATTGTTTGGTAGAAAGTAAGGAGAATCACTGATGAAATCTTGGAAGTAAAAGAGTGGGCAAAGTGAAGAGAAAACAGCTGATACAAAAAGCTGCTTGCATAAAAGACATGGTCGACGTTTACTTTTGTTGATAAATAAGCTTGATCTTACCTGTAATGCATTTTTGTAAAATTTCTCGCTCGTGTAATCTTCAATGGACGATGCCAACTCTATGAGTTTACGAAGAAACTTCTTCATTTTACGGTCCTTCATCTCAGCATGTTTTATCTCCCATATTTCCTCATAAAAGCTCAATGCTTCTTGTCCATACCGCCTGTACATGTTTACTTTTTTGAGCTCCCGGCACAAACTGAGAATTCCCTCGATTGTTCTCTCCCTCTCCAAGCCGATCTTCTCCGTTTCTTCGTTACTTTTTCCTTCTTCCCACTGCTTTTGCCACGAATCCAACAATGTCTCTCGAAATTTCTGGATCATTCCTTCTTGCCCTGTCTCTTTGTAAAGTTCTTCTACCTTCATTTTCAATGACGCTTTGTCCGACCCGTCCTCTTTGTTTCCAAGGAAACCCACTCTCACCAGACACATTTTGTACAAAGCCACCTTGTCCAGTTTGTGTTTCCTCTCCTTCTCGTGTTCATCAAGCTGAGAAGAGAACTCCACTATCTCGTCCAAGAGATTTTCCCTCTCACTCAGCATGTCACAGAGAGCATCATTATCAGTTTCCGAATAAAACTTCTCTTGAAACTCTTTCTCGTTGGCATTGCACCTCGCCTCGTAGAACCAAAACTGTTCCTTTTGCACTACAGCTTTGTCTTTCTTGTCATCAGCGAGGTCATTCAGAGCATCAACGATGCCTTTGTTAAATGTATTGAAAGTGAATTGTTGAGAAGCTTTTTGTTCTTCCCAGAAACGTTGACAAAACTTGAAAGCCTCTTTTCTAAATGACCTCTTCCGTTTTCTATTGTTTGTCCAATCACACATATCTTCCACACCTGTAATAATCTTTCGCCACACTTCACTATGGTTTCCTACACCAAGTGACTTTTCCATCTCCCACGCTTCAAGAAACAGCTTCAAAGCTTCTTTTGGATGTTCAAGATTTGCCTGGAGGACCCCTCGTTGAAAAATGCTGCGCACAGTCTGTGGGTGATTTCCGAGAAGCTTCATCCTTATGTTGTAAGCCCTCTCTGAAGGTTCAATTGCCTCTTTATATTTCTCTTGAAACATGAGTGCATTAGCAAGATTTCTTAAGAAGTGTGCCTCATCCCAGTAACCTGAAAGTTTAAGGTCCTCCAGGAGACTGAGTGCACCTCTGTAGCATTGAACTGCCTTTTCATAATCTTCAAGGCCTTCATATGCAGTTCCAATCTGATTCTTGTACATTGGCATGTCAAAGTGGTTCTCAGATGCTAATTTCTCTTGCATCTTGTAGGCTTTTTCATAGAACTCAAGTGCTTTTCTAGGCTGGTCGAGAGCAAAAAAGCTGTTTCCAATAGCATTGTAGCACCTTGCAAGATCAGTATGCTCCTCAAGCAGTGGTTCAGAGAAAGTTAAGGACAACTCCAGACTTGCCAGTGCCTTTTTATAGTCTCTGTTTCTCCAAAGAATTTCACCTTCAGTGTGCAAGTAAAGCCCCTTGGTGAGCATAAAGGATTTTCCAGTTTGATCTTCAACTTTCTCCAATGAATTCAGGGCTTCCCTCAATGTTTCAAATCCTTTCTCTGTTCCATCAATATCTGAAACTTGCCTGGCTTCCCAGGACTTCAACTGCGCTCGGCAAAGGGAACCTATACGAAGATGGAGAATCAAAACTTATAAACAAATATCACTGCTGATGAAATGTACTTAGTATCTACAAATAACAAAGTGTAAATTATCACAAGTCATATCGTTTTGTGTTTTCAATAACAGTTCACCAAATAGTGATTTAAAGAGTTCATGTTTTAAGTTTTTGCAAGTTTGTTTGTTTGTTTTTCTTTTTTATTATTTTTTTTAAAAGTCCCTCCTGAGTAATTTCTCTCCAGTTTACCTGTGGAATCAAATAAGTGATGGTAATAGGACTTCAGGGAGAAAGTGGGTCAACAATTTCAGCTTGGCTGATTGCACAGTGCAGGGCTGGCTTAAAAATTATTGGCAAGATTGCCCCTGCACTACACATCAAAAAATTCTAATTGACTGTATCAACAGCAAAGTACATGTACCAAAAAACTCAGAGACATGAAATATTGACAGATGCAATGACAGAGCCACCTTTTTCAATTTATCAGCCTTAAGCTCATCAGTGGTCCAATAGGCTAATTTAAAAACAGAACCTGCTCACTAAAGATTTTCCTTAGGTTTGATTGGCAAGTTATAAGTAAGGTAGACACTCAAATTTCATTGACTGGTAGCATTAAGCACCAAATTTGAGTTGGTTGTTCCAGATAGGTCAAGTCTGGTGGCATGTTTGTGCACAGTAAGTAATCCAAAAGTGGCTCTGTCAAATTGTAATTACATGCATGTAAGCCTCTTCCACTGTTCCAATCACCAAACTGCAATAACAGTTTAAATGGCCATTAATCTCATTATATCAACTGCCATGGATGGCAGAAAAGCCAAGAGGTTAATATCTAACAAACTAAATGCTATGTCTAAACTTAAGAGAGTGGGATTTAATGATGGACAGGAGTGCTGATGATGGGATTCAGACAAAAGCAAATAATTGTATATGGGAAGGTGTCTATATAACAGGGATGCCCAGGAAAGGATAACACTTGTACTCTCTCAAGTTACAAAAGAGATAATAACTTCATACTAACTGAGCGTAAGGGCCATAGTGGGATATATTGGCCAGCATTGGCACTACAGACTGAGCACAGCTCCTTCCATACCAAAATGACAGGGACCAATGTCCACCAGTATGGCTCAAGCAAGCAAGGTCAGTAAGAAGTTTATTATAGAGAACTTGAACCAAAATTTTTTATTTTGAATTTGATGCCTTTGCAATCAAAAAGACATGGCTCATAACTGTAACTGTAAAAATGATCCATATGGCAAAATCCTGACCAATTAAGATGCAATCAGAATGCTCAAATTTACCTCAGGACTATCTTGCCATATAATAAACTAACTCTTCTAATGAGTTTAAACTACATGTAAGCTACTTCAGAGAAAGATCTTAAATGCCTGCTCAGACAAAGGTAACTGACTAAATATGAGTTTTGAACAATTTTGATGTAACATGAAAAATTTAAGTGCCTCTCACCTGTTTTTCCATCATCTTCACACATCTCAGCCCAGGAATGAAACACCTTGATAAGTTGATTATCAGTCAGCATTGCAATGAAAAGAGATGCAATTAAAGCATTCTCATGGAATTCACCTGGAACAATGAAATACTCTGGTTGTAAGGAGATCTCAACTGTGAACTCATAGTTTCCTCTGTCTGTCTCAAACAAATTGAATGCATTGACATAATTTGGCTCAATGAGTTCTGCAATTTTCTTCATCCTGGACATGAAGAATTTATAGAAGCGTGCTTTTGCCTCCAGGTAAGGAGCAAGAAAATCTTCATTATTCTTGATACTGTCTGCATACTTCCGTAAGAGAGGATGAATGTCATACTTCCTTTCTTTTGCTTCTTCATTGACAACAGAAATTATTTCGCTGGCTACAAGACCCTCTAACTGAACAATGGCCTCTGAAGGGTCAATATCAAGAACTTTGGCAGCTGTTGCCACAGAGAAAGGCCCATGAAACAAGGAAACCACTACTGCGGATAACTTTAACCTTTCTGTGGAAAGTGTCTCAAACATTAAACTGACTGCTAACATCTGATTGACATCCACTCCTTCTTCTTCAAAACCAGCAAGCTTTCCTTCAGCATCCTGCTCCAATTTCAATTTTTTTAGAGCATGCACAACTTCTGCAATAAGTTCTTCTGGAGATTTTCGTTCTTGTCGTAAAATAGCTCCTAGTCCTTTTAGAAATAGAGGGAATCCTTTAGTGATACTCATTAAGTTATCCTTCTGCTGTGGTTTAACATCAGTTATTCCCTTTGGAAAAATTAGTTTCTCTGAATAAGTCCTCTCTAAAGATCTCACTTCAAAGTCATCCATCCTTTTGAAACCTCTTAACTCGGTCTTAGAGGTGAGCAGCAGCTTTAAAGGAGATCGCTCTTCTTTGCTTCTTTTCTCTGAGAGCTTTGCTAAAAATTCCATGAAAGCCGTTTTCAAGTTTTTTCCTTCTTTACCTTTTCCTGCGGTAAAGTGGTCTGCATTGTCCAGCATAAACAGAACGGCATGTTCCTTACATGTATCTTTAAACTCTTCAACCTTCTCTAGAACTTTGGTAACAACATAATTTTGATCAACATGACCAACTGGTACTACTAGTTCGAGAGAATGCAGCATTTTGTAATAGATCGCTGTCAAATTCTTTGCTTCTCGTAAATCAAAAACACGATAAGTCCCTCGCCACTGTGAGCAAACTTCGGTGGCAAGCTTTGTCTTTCCTACACCAGACGACCCAAACAAGTTTAGTACTACGGTATCTTTCGATTCCAGTTTTTTGTTAATTTTCTTGATTTCTTCACTCCGTCCTTGTAACTCCTTTTCTGGATCACCTTTACCCAAAAGACAGTCCTTGAAACGATCTATATCTTTCTTAATGAGCTTCTCCTCGTCAGATTTTGTGGCAACGAAGTCTTCGATTAGGTTGAGTTTGTTGTCAGATACATAGCCATGCTTTTCAAGAAGTTGAAAACATTTCATCAGATCGTGACTATCCAGCAGATCAAATTTCCCTCCATAATTCTTTTTTAAAGTTTTCACAATACTTTCTGACTCTACAGGTTTAAATTTTGGAGAAATGTCTTTGAAAAGTTGTTGTAAACCTGGCGCAGTTTCGATACCAACTGCCGCCATCTTTAATCACGTTTATTACAATCAAGATACTGCTGACCGCTCTGCATGTACCCCCACGCGCGCACTGACAAGTCACGCGATCTCATCACGTATACCCCAAAGTAACTACAACCATTCAGGCTCGATGGGTCAATCTCTTTTGGTCTTTTAAACCTTTATTTATTCCCCCATTTATTCATTTTATTGTTTTTTTAATTTCCATCTTTTATTTCCCTCTTGTGTTACAATAATTAGGCCATCATTTACTTAGGAAAGAGCTCAATAACAGAGGACGCACGGTAAACAAAACTTCCCCCGGGCTGTTCTAGTGAGGCTTAGCACAAACTTTAAGCTTGTTCTGGCGTATTCATCTCAAACTGGATGTAAAACTAACATCAACTCCCTTTTTAACGCTTTTTTCTTTTCTTCTGGGTCATCTACTTGAAAGATACAGTGATATTAAAACCTGTTTTTAATCATTGTCTCGACTCCACTTGCTTTTGTAGGGAGGAATTGGACTTAGGCGTTCCCAAGATGCTTGTTATGATTATTTCTTTTACCAAAAGAGCCGACTCAAATTTAAAACGCTCTTCACTTTAATCACTTTAATCACGGCGAGGGAATAAATATAAGGTTTACAAAACTTCATGTCCTGCAAATAGCTACAATGCTAATCTAGGCAGGACAAGACTTTAACTAAAGGCGTTATTAAATTACATAAGAAAAAAGAAAAGAAGAAATACAAAAACATACAGAAAGAAACACCTTACATATAAATTCAAGTACAAGGGATTTTGTCATTTGAAAAAGACAGAGACAGAGCTCTTCTGTTGCTCCTGAGATATAATCCCCGAGAGAGTTATCCGATGGCACGAAAACTAGGCTTTGCGACCCCTAAGGTTAGGAGTGTAGTCAAGATTGGAGGAAAGGGGAGAAACTTCATTACAGGTAAGACGAGGTTTTAGCTGCTGACCGCAAGCGCTAATAGCAGGCTAATAGGGGCTAATAGCAGGCTAAATGATATTGGACGCAGGATCGTACAGATCGAGCACAAGTGATGATGGGGCTAGGCAGGCGAACGGCAAGAAATAAGCACTAAGCAAAATTGCCAATTTGCTACCAGAAAAGGTAAAGAGAGAAGGCATACTGCGGAAGCAAAATTAATGAAACACACACGTCACAGAAACATGATATTACTTACTTCATATATATCTTTTTATTTCATTATTATTATTATTTTTAGCAGGACTTTTAGGACGCTAGATTTTTATTTAGAGAAAAGATATTGAATATTGCATTTTATTTATTACTACTATTTAATGTTTTTATCGTTGTTGGTTCATGTTGAAACCGTGGCAGATTTTAAAGAGGTTTTTTTTTTTTTTTTTTTTTTTTTATTATGTGCTTGATTTTTATTATTTTCAGAAGTGACATTTAAACTAAATTGCATCTTAATCAAGGCCAGAGAAATAGCCGCATTACGATTGAAAATATCTCTGAGAAATGCATGCAGGTAAAAGAAACTAGGGTTGGAGAGTTTACAAGTTTAAGGGAATTTCTATGTTGTTTCATCGCTATTCACAAGGTATCTCACTTCATAGGTCGAGCAATGTCATCCAAAGCGACGAACAACACCATAAAGCCTTGACGAATCTTGAGCCACAAAAGTTCTTTTGATAACACTTTGATCTGAGTTGTTTATTGTCACGTTGAAGGTCGGCTCTACTGTCATGGTAAGGATCTATGGCGAAAATAAGAGGACAAAAAGGTAACTGCGCAGAACTTAGATTGATACATTAAGCATTCTATCCTACCTCTACCTATTATGCAATGAGAATTAGCGTAAAAGAACCTGCTTTATTTCCCAGGTAAAGTTGATGAGATGACTGGACTAAATCCAAATAGGCATGTTTACAGTGCATCTTTGCCTTTTTTATTTCTATTTTTTGAGTGATGCAAGCTGTGAAATCGGAAATACTTATGTGTGACGCAGACGTGGTTTAATAAGTATTAAATTTACGACATGATATTCATGTAATGAACAACTAAGCAATGAAAGGAGGAGAGCAAGCGAGAGCCCCACGCTAAAACTCACGTATGGAGGCACTGCTGGAACGAGGGTGGATGTCAATATATTTGATAATTTTCTTAGCTATTGTACTCCGCTAGGATAACGTCTACGCGTGTATCCAGACTTATTTTTGTGCGTGTTTTGGCCTTTTTTTCCTCAATATCTTCTATTTGCAAGTGACTAAATTCCCTGCAACTAGAACAAGGCAAAATTCCTGTTTGAAAATAGACCAGCATTTGAGGCGGACTTCTTTCGAGGACTGTGAGGAAAATTCCCACTGCGGACAGGAAGCTAGCCAACGCCTCAGGGCCCAGTAGTTCGAAGGTCGATGAGCGTTAACCCAGGGTTAAATTTTATTCTAGACATCTATATTTCTCTGTTCAAAAGTCGTTTTAGGATAATTTTCCCCATTTTTTTTTAAAGTGTTCAATCATCAAATTGAAGAAAAAAAGAGTTATGCTGAATTTTTTTTCAAGCTTTCAGATCTTAAATCAAATTAATCAGATTTTACACTAAACCTTTAAAACGCTTTTCGGTGGCCAATTTACGTTATCAACTCAGTTGATAAAACTAAATTACCATGTTATACTCTCTCAGCGACGCAGCCCACAGTTTCTTTAGAAACTTACCCCCTTTATCTAAAAGTAGACTGTCGCGGATAAACCGAAAATCGTGTCTTTTAATGTATCCCAATATGTTTTTTCTAAAAAACTACCGAGACAAAGAGAAAAATATATCTGATATAAAAAAAGTTGTATTAATAGGAGACTGTCTTATTACTTCCATTTGCGTGATGGGACGCGTAACTTTTCACTATGCAAACGTACGCCCATAGTATAATGGTCAGCAGTAACCTGATGTAATGTAAATCAAACATGGCGGCAGTTGAAACTGCACAGCTACAACAATTCTTCGAAAACATTTCTCTTAAGATTACCCCGGCAGAAACGGAAAATGTTGTGCATTCTTTAAAACGGATATATGGGGGGAAGTTTAAGTCGTTGGAAAGCCACGATCTGTTGAAATGTTTGCAACTTCTTGCTAAGCAAAGGTATGTAACTGAAAACAACCTGAAACTCGTAGAAGACTTCGTTGCTCCGAAATGCAGCCAACAAAAGGACATTGAGGAGGCGCTGAAAAGTTTCAAGGCCTCTCGTCTGATGAAAGCTGATCCAAAAAAGGAATTAAAAGGACGGAGCGATGAAATCACGAAAATCAATAGAAAACTTGAATCAAAAGATATTGCACTTCTAAACTTGTTTGGGTCGTCCGGGATAGGAAAGACAGAGCTTGCAAAAGAAGTTTGTTCAAAATGGAAAGGGATTTCTCGTATTTTTGACCTGAGGAAGGCACAGGATATGACAGCGATCTATCACAACATGCTTCATTCTCTCGAACTAGCTGTTCCAGCCGGTCGTGTTGAGCAATTGCAAGAGTATGTTGTAGCAAAGGTTCAAGAGAAAGTGAAAGAGCTGAAAGATGGGGAACAGCCTGTTCTTTTTATGCTGGATAATGTGGACCAATTTACCGCAGGGAAAAAAGAAGAGGGGAAAAGGTTAAAAAAAGCATTCCTATGCTTTTTAGAAGAAATTTTAGAAAGTGAAGAAAAAAGACTTCCTTTAAAACTGCTTCTTACTTCAAGCACTAAGTTAGAGGAGCTCAAAAAGATGGATAATTTTGAAGTTAAGTCTCTTGAGAGATCTTTTTCAGAGAAAATCCTCATCCCTGAGGGAATGACTGATGTAAAAACCCATCAGAAGGATCATTTAATAAGCATTGCCAAAGGAATCCCTCTTATTTTGAAAGGACTGGCTGCTATCTTGAGACAGGAACGAAAATCTGTTGATGATCTCATTGCAAGCGTCACTGCCTCTTCACAGCAATCTGAAGCAGAGGGAGATGCGAGAAGTAGTGTACCCACTTTTGAGCAAGAAGGAGTAGACATGGGTCAGATGTCAGTGATTCAAGAAATGTTTGATACACTTCCCACTGAAAGTTTAAGGGTATCTGCAGTAGTAATTTCCTTGTTTCATGGACCTTTCTCTGTGAAAATGGCTGCCAAAGTTCTTGGTTTTGATGAGGTGGAAGCCATTGCTCAGTTAGAGGGACTCTTTGCCGGTGAAATAATTTTTGTTGTTGATGAAGAAGCAAAAGAGAGGAAGTACGACATTCATCCACTCTTACAAAAGTATGCTGATAGTATCAAGAGTCTTGAAGACTTTAATACTTCTTTCCTTGAGGCAAAGGAACGCTTCTATGAACTCTTCATGTACAGGATGAAGAAAATTGCAGAACTCATTGAGCCAGATTATGTCAGAGCATTCCATTTGTTTGAGAGTGACAAAGCCAACTATGAGTTCACTGTTGAGATCTCCTTGCAACCAGAATATTTCAGTGTTCCAGCTGAATTCCGTGAAAATGCCTTGATGGCATCCCTTTTCATTGCAATGCTGCATGAGAAACTGATCCCGGTCTTTGGTTCCTGGGCTGAGAAATGTGAAGATGATGGAAAATCAGGTACTTTTTCAATAAAAAATTCTAATTTATTTAGTAATTTTCCCTACTGTCTGCCATACTATTTTTATGATGTTAATATGGTGAATTTGATTTTAGATCAACTAATAATTCCCCAATTGATATTTTCTTTATTCTCATCACCTGTGTGCTTGATATGGTATTAATATTGTAGGGAGAAATTCTGTCTTGGTCACTCAAAGGATTGAGTGCTTGAAAATTTTAAATTTCAATTAAAATTACACAATGCATATTGATCTTTATAAGGTAGAAAGTTCTCTTATTTTCTCAAATGTGATTGATGCATTAGCTGCTTTATTTTTCCAATGATTATTATCTAATCTGAGTGTAATTGACAGACAGTTGACTGTAATCTGACAGTTAACCTTTAACTCCAAGATCAAATTTGTAATTCTCCTAAATGTCAACCATACAATTTTTATAGTGTTAGTTCAGAGAAGTTAGTATTGGATCAACTTATTATCCCCAAATTGATATTTTTCTTTATTCTTATCACTTATCTGGTTGACATTGTGTTGATGTTGTAATGAGAAATTCTGTCTTGGTCACTCATGGGAGTTAAAGGGTTAAAGCTACCAATCATACTAAGTCCACTCAGCTAAATTCATCAATCACAGAATGTATTAAAATAACTATGATAGCAACAACCACTTCCCTACAAATCTGGGAAAATGCCTAAATGAAGGAATTTTTTACTTTAGACAAATTGTCTCTTTGTGATATATTTTTCTCACTGTCAATTTTGACTTACTTCCACTGTAATTTTTTTTTGGGAAATTACAATGGTTATGATATATTGGTAACAGGACTTTGTGTTGTCCAATTCTGTCTGTAATCATACTGGTAAAAATAATTAACAAATCAGACTGTGCAGATGTTGGATTTTGTCAATACCTTGTATGATTACAGACTCAATAAAAACTATAACAAAATTCTTGAACTTGATTGGTTATAACCAGCTCAATCTGAGTACAAATAGGATAGTGTACATGTCATGCTTTTAATTGGACAGTGTAATAGGACAGTTAAGGGGTCAGTTAACACATCATGCCTGTCTAATTGGACAGTGTAATAGGACAGTTAAGGGGTCAGTTAACACATCATGCCTGTCTAAGTGGACAGTGTAATAGGACTGTTAAGGGGTCAGTTAACACATCATGCCTGTCTAATTGGACAGTGTAACAGGACTGTTAAGGGGTCAGTTAACACATCATGCCTGTCTAATTGGACAGTGTAACAGGGCTGTTAAGGGGTCAGTTAACACATCATGCCTGTCTAATTGGACAGTGTAATAGGACTGTTAAGGGGTCAGTTAACACATCATGCCTGTCTAATTGGACAGTGTAAATAGGACTGTTAAATGGAGAATAATTGGACAGTGTAACAGGACTGTTAAGGGGTCAGTTAACACATCATGCCTGTCTAATTGGACAGTGTAACAGGACTGTTAAGGGGTCAGTTAACACATCATGCCTGTCTAATTGGACAGTGTAACAGGACTGTTAAGGGGTCAGTTAACACATCATGCCTGTCTAAGTGGACAGAATGTGTCATGTGCACACGCTGTTGTTAATCGTTTAACTTCCATGAGTGACCAACACAGAATTTCTCCTTACAATATCAATACAATATTGACCAGATAAATGATGAGAATAAAGGAAAATATCAATTTGGGGATAATTAGTTGATCCAATACTAAATTCTCAGAACTAACATTATGAGAATTGTATAGTTGATAGTAAGGGGAATTACAAATTTGATCTGGCAGTTAAAGGGTTAATCACTAGTGTGATAATAGAACAAATTGGACTCCACTTGGCCCTATCACCATCATGAATTGGAATCCACTCGGTCCTGTTATCATTTTTTATTGGTGTTTTACCTATTTCCATACCCCTATTTTTATACTTTCTGCTTCTATCAAAGTTTAATGCCCCATGAGTAGGTTAACCATGGCTTTCCTCTAGATTGAGATGTTGGCAATTATGTTTAGTGTCAGAGTAAGGAATTGGCATGGCCCCCATCTTGAAAGGGTTAGAGAGCATTATACGGGGGACACTAAAGCAAAGGACTTCTAAGTTTTTCTGCTAAGAATCCAGAACCTCTTTTCTGGCATCTTTATTTGTGAGTTTGTAAAAGCCTCATAAGTCACGCCCTATTGAATTGCGTAGCCAAAGGGGCAGGAATAGGGCTAGTTATGTTTGTTTTTTTATTTCTAATTTGTTTGCTTAATCATCTTTACATAGGTTCCCTTGCTCGAGCACAGTTGAAGTCTTGGGAAGCCAGACAAGTTGCAGATGTTGTTGGGACTGAGAAAGCATTCAAAGTATTGAAAGAAGCTCTATTTTCAATGGAGGGAGTTGAAGACAAATCTAGCGAGTCCTTTAAGCTCACCAAAGGCCTTTACTTGCACACTGAAGGAGAAATTCTCTGGAGAAACAGAGACTATAAAAAAGCACTTGCAAGCTTGACGTTGTCCTTAACTTTCTCTGAGCCGCTACTAAAAGAACATACCGATCTTGCAAGGTGCTACAATGCAATTGGAAACTGTCATCTAAGTCTGAAACAGCCCACAAAAGCGCTTGAGTTCTTTGAAAAAGCCTACATGATGCAAGAGAAATTAGCAGCCTCTAAGAACCACTTCGACTTGCCAATGTACAAGCAACAGATTGGAGCGGCGTATGATCATGATGGCCTGAAAGATTATGAAAAAGCAGTTGAATGTTACAAAGATGCACTGGGACTGCTGGAAGATCTCAAACTCCTAGGTTGTTTGGATGAAGCACACTTCTGTAGAAATCTTGCAAATGTGCTCATGTTTCAAAAGAAATATTCAGAGGCAGTCAAACCTGCAGAAAGGGCTCTCAAGATTAGGATGGATCTCCTCAAAAATCATCCACTGACTGTGCGTAGCATTTTTCAGCGAGCGGTTCTTGAAGTTAATCTTGAACATCCAAAAGAAGCCTTGAAGTTCTTCCTTGCAGCATGGGAGATGGAAAAGTCACTCGGGGCAGGAAACCACAGTGAAGTATGGCGAAAGATTATTGAAGGTGTTAACGCTATGTGTTACCGCCTGAAAGAAAAACGACAATGGGAAAGATTTAGGAAAGATGCCTTCAGGTTTTGTCAGCGATTCTGGGGAGAACAGAAAGTATCTGCACAATTCACCTTCAATAAGTACAACAGAGAAATCATTGATGCGCTAAAAGAGTATGCTATTGATAAGAAAGACAAACATGCAGTGCGTAAGGAACAACTTTGGTTCTACGAAGGGATGTGCAATGTCGACGAGAGGGAGTTTCAAGAGACGTTTGAACTGGAAAACGATAACAATATCCTCCTTGATCTGTTGAAAGAACGAGATAGGCTCTTAACCGAGGTTATAGGCCTTTGTTCTGAACTTCACGAGCGTGAGAAGCTTGCAAAACACAAAGAACACAAGGTGGCTTTGTACAAAATGTGTCTTGTTAAAGCGGGTTTTCTTGGTGACAAGGCAGATGGCTTGGACAAAGCGTCATTGAAGAGGAAGGTAGAGGAACTGTACAAAGAGATAGGAAAAGAACGAATTATCCTGGAATTTAGAGAGACATTGTTGGCTTCTTGGCAAATGCAGTGGGAAGAAGGAAAAATCAAAGAAAAGGCGGAGAAGATCGGCGTTGAAAGAGAAACGACAATCGATGGCATTCTCCAGTTGAGCAAAGAGCTGATGAAAGATACTGTGTACAAACAGTATGGACAAGAAGCGTTGAGTTTTTATGATGAATTATGGGAAGTAAAGCACGCTTCCTTGAAGAATCCCGAAATGAAGAGGTTCCTTCTTAAAGTAAAGGATTTGGCGTCGTCCATCGGTGATTACAGGAGTAAAAAACTTTATGAAGATGCATTAAAGGTAGGAGTTTACTCATGTGTCAAACAACCTTAAACGTTAATGCTGCACGATTTCTTGTACGCTTTTCTCAAAGACAGCGAAGGAGCTGTTCGTACTAGCTGGTTCTTTGCAGGTATCATTTACAATCTACTATCTATTGTAATTTGTTTTGTTTTGACCCTTTTTTCGGTCCTGTTTTGGTTTTTGGAGAAATTCCACCTGGTACAAGTACCTTCGGCATCAAATTTACCTTACAGAGTGCGACACCAATAATTTTTCAGCAAATATTTTTGCATCTATGTTTTTTTTAGTGACTTACAACTTTTAAATCAATGATTTGAAGAGGCAATTAAGGATACTTATATTTAGAAAAACTCAGTTGAGTTTGAAATATTGTTCCTTTCTTCATGAGTCTTTGTACTTTTTTTCCAGGCGCTGAATGAAACTGGAAAACATCCAGGGGCCATATTGAGACCAAAAGGTAACACACTTAGTTTAGATAATAACATGATTTCAAGCGCAATTTGCTGTTAGTAGCAAGAGTAAATTTTTCAAAGACAACAAAACTGTAAGAGCCCGTAGGGCAAGTGCAAAAAGTCTTTGAAAAATTTGCAGGTGCTTATTACACCAAACTGCGAGAGAAATCATGTTATTATATGTGAATAATGTACATGAAGAAACATTACAAGATGTCAAGACAAACGAAATTTTGAGAGCGTGCGCGCGCTATTTGTAATTTGCACTCGTGTCACGTGAGAATGCACCCGTTTTCAACCAATCAGAAGCGCATAATTATTATTCCGAATGTACATTATATTCTGTTATCTGAGTGCTTTCTTTACCCATAAGTAACTTCTGTTTTCAGTATTGTATCTCAATTGGTTTTATACATTTAGATACCTTGAATGTTGTAGTATGAAATTCTGAAACAACATCGTGCTTATTTTTACTGAGCTTTATATCGACTTCTGCGAATGTTATGACTTCGTTTGGAAATTGATAACAAAAGTACCTTGAGTCTTAAGTTTATCAGAATTTCAAGTCTTGTAAAAAATATTTCCTGATCTCTTTAAACAACAAAAAATTAAGAGAACAATAGTGGAGAACAATTTGAATGTGTTGAATTCAGAGACATAGGGGTTCTTGCTCTATTCCAGAAATTTTGGCTTTTGTCTTTCAAAGATGCATTACCATTGGTTCCAGTTGGAAATGAAGCTGTATTTAGAACCTGTCCCTCTGTTTTTACTTTTATTTATTTTGTTTTCCATTAGCTGCAAGTTCCACTTCTAAATCGAAGAGAGAAGAGAAGGATGATGAAGAGGAAAAAGAGGAAATTGAGATTGAACAGAAAGAGGAAGAGCTCGAAATTGGCTTAGAAGAAGAAACTGAGGTTGGAGCAGAGATGGAACCCTCTTCTGAAGGTGTTCAAACTGATGAGAGAAGCATCATTTTCAAGTAAAGCCATGTTACATGTATTATTTCAATAGACATTAGTATTTAGTTAAACAGCGGAAAGCGTTCAAAGTGCGCTCTGATTGGCTACTCAAACTCAGAATATCCTTTGCTATTCATCTCCAAGCAACTCGGATTAATTATATGGATGTGCGTGCTCTGATTGGTCGTCGTCTCTCGCTATACTTAGCCATTGGGAGAAACTTTATTGTCAGGGAAAAACTAAATGAGAAAGCGGGATGTTTGTAGCTTTTATCATTGTTTCAAGAGCTCATAGTGCACATAGCACCCCTTCAGTTCAGCGGCTGCTTTTCTCTATAACCTGAAGTTTAGAAAATTGTAAATATAAATGTTTCAATACCCTTACAACAAGAACACTGATGTAATATCATATTATGTATATGGTATAGTCAACACCAAATGGTATACAAGGTGTGCAATTCACTAGATATTTTTTCTTTCAATTCACAGAGACACTGTAACAAAACAAGGTGGCCGCTGGGACTTGAGGAAGGCGGCAACTCACTTGGTATTTCCTCGTGGTTTTGTTGCTGAGGACACTATATTCACTCTTTTTCGATTGAAATCCTCACTGTGTTCTCCTCCTCTTCAGCCAAATGAAGCCATAGTCAGCAATGTTCTTGAATTATCGGCAGACACTACTGAAAGTCTTCTATTCAATAAAGAAGTCACGATTGGAATTTCGCACAGTGCGCTGGACCTTAAAGGATATGAAGTGGTGATTAAGACCTTGGTAGACAGAGAGAGAAATGAATGGAAGGATGTCGAACAAACAGTTGATTATAGATCTCTGTCAGGTAAGCATTGGAAGTCATCGTGAATTAACCATGGTAACTTGTGTTCAAGCAATAAAGTGGCCTCTCTCAAAAATTGTTCAAAAGTCAACTTGTCAAAGCGTGTCGATCTTTAACAGTTTTGTCAATGTTCTCCGTTTATGCCGGTGGTTTTTTTTACTTTTCTTTGCTCCCCATTATTTCAGATAGTTTGATCAGTACACTTATCCACACTGTGTACAAGTGCTTATTACTGTTTGAAAGGGAACCTTGCACTGCAATTTTTTGTTCCTGTAGGGAACGAACTGACTGTAAAACACAAACAGCAAACAAACAAACGTAAGAATATGTACCTTGATTCTCCCAGTGCGATTCTTATGTAAATGTTGGTGATAGAGGACATCTGCCTGTAAACGACATTTTCAGGAAGAAGAACACACAATATACCGTCAATCTATTAGATCTTGTGGTTGTTGGTTTGCCAAACAGGTTCTTGTGGCGAAAGGTGGCTACTTATGAAAGTGTTTGGGGGTCCCATTGGAAGAAGGAAGCTGGTTAGAGAACGAAGTAAGCGGTTTTTAATATACATGTAACAAAAGGATATCCCGTATTCACGATTTGTCAATTAATTGCCTAAAAATTATTTTTTGCAGATCTTCAGAGAGTATATCACGATAATTTTCCTGACTATCTTCTTCCTGTTGCTGAAACGAAGATTATCCAGTGTTCTACCTTCGTTGTGGTTTGCCGTCTCAAGTCCTACATTTTTACGATAACATCAGAACCGTCTACCATCTCTTTGCCTGATTTCCCTTTGGTGAAGATTCATTTTCCACCAAATTCGGTCTCGTCCACTGAAGAATTCAGTGTCAGAGTAAGTTTTCTTATGTAGGAAAGAAACAAATTCGACGATGCAGTTTCATTGGCTCAATATGTTCATCGTGTGAGTGGTCTTTTATCTGTGGTGAATCATCTCGTCAGTAATTATTGTTACAGTTGTGTTTAATAAATGTAATGTTATTAATATTTATCATCGACTGAGTGATTAACTGTTTAGTTCATGACTCTTAGGTACAAGAATATATTCCCAAGGAATTGAAAGGCGAGGAAACGGTGGCTGGCCCCATCATAAGAATATCTTGCAACAAGGAAATTAAGTTTCAAGAAGCTGTCACCGTCCAGCTGCCGTTGTCCTTGAGAGACACTGAGCAGGACGCTGAATCATTGGGTATTTCTAATTTGTCCTTAGTCCGTGCTCGAGTCCTGTTTCAACCATCTAATGGTACACAGCGAGAGTGGACTGAAATCACAGATCTTCTCGATTCCCCTCCGTGGCTGGATGGGTTTGTTATCAAATTCAACGTGAGACACTTCTCAGGGTACGTCGGTGCATCTCTTTACTTCTTTACTTTTTGCTTACCACATCTGTCCCACTCTAAGTGGTACCTTTTCACATTTTTAGTTTATAAGCATTTTTGTGGAAAACCTGTTTGGTAGCCAAGGCTGTTAGATGTGAATCAACTGCAAAACATTTGAATGAACAGATTGAATATTGTATTAAGTCATTTTAGCAGTGTTGAGATTCTCGTCCTCTTTTAAGTCCTTACTGTTTTTCAATTTTGTTTCGTTTTCCTGTTGTGTATGCTTTCGTTTTTGGTTTGCGTTTTCGTTTATTTGGTAGAATGTCATAAGAAATCTTGATTGTACAATTTTGAGGAACGTGTATTGACATTGGAGTGTGTTCCTTTCTCCTTTTTTCTCCAAAGATTTTGGACCTGGCTCGCATCACCATTAACCCAAATTGCCCGTGCATGGAATACGGAGAGTGTACGGCATTCAGTCGTTTTCACAGCTACTGTTCCAGTGCATACTAGACTTAACACCGATGTAGATCTGCTTTTGTACTGCAGTCCAAATGACAAGAAAAGAGAACACATCGATGATGAGAAGATGGTTTGGTTGATAGAAGAAAGTGCATGGTACAGCATGGTCACTGATGATCAAGCTTACGTCTTCCTTTCAGGGGATGCAGCGCAAGTAGTCAATAAGGAACGACTCAAGAATTTTTTTCTCAGGTAAATTTAAAATAGGTTTGCTGAGTGTCTGTTAAGTCCTTATATAGAAAGAGACAGACACTACGCCATGGAACGAATGGCTTTCCAAGAAATCTCCGCCTTGTTAAGTCCTTACTACAAAATAGGTTGTAAACGACTATGAATGTATGAAAGTCATAGACTTGAACTGCGGATAAAGACGTGAATTTGAACCCATGATCTCTGCGGTGCAGCGCTCTACCGTCTGAGCTTACAAGCCAACTGGGAGCTGGTCGTTCAACATAATGACCAGCTCCCAGTTGGCTTGTTAGCTCAGTTGGTAGAGCGCTGCACCGGTATCACAGAGGTCATGGGTTCAAATCCCATACAGGCCTGAATTTTGTTCAGGCCTTATATCCACTACTGCTCAAGTAGTGTTCATTACTGCGAAAATCGCTAATATATTCAAAACAGATTGTCTTCATTCACATGATCTCTCTCTAAAATGAAGATAATTTTCTATTGGTATCATTTTCTAGCACGTATATTTTTATTATATTCCACTCAAGTAAACACTGCTTTTCACGCTCCCTAATTGACCAGCTCCAAGTTGACTAAATAAATAAATGACTTGGGAAAAAGTTTGGGTTGGCGACACAAATCAAATGAAGTTGTTTAATCTTCCCAGCCTAATATTGTGGAGCAAATGTCCAAGTTACCGATTGCTGTCGAGAATTATGAAAGTGTCGTTTTAGGACGAAGAATAACTTAAGTTGAAGGAACAACGCCCTCGTAGTTAAGCTAGTTTAGTTCTGTTAATATACCAAAAAACTGGTTGGAAATATAACTCCTGACTCGAGATGTTGTCTTTTCAGCTGCTCAGAGGTGAATGGTACTTGCTGATCACCTCCGAACCAGCCAATCAGCGCGTGCGAAAAGCATTATTTATCTGTGTGGTTATACTTATTGTTAATTATCTAATTAGAATCCAATGAAGGAATTTCTTTAGTGAAAAACTGATGGAGAAATGAAGCGAAAATCTTCGACTATTTCCAGTTATCCCTGTTTTTGAATGCTGCTATTTCCACAGGTTTGATAGAGAGGCTTCTAATTTTAGACGTCTGGCGGTACACGTGGTAAACAAAGGCGTCCTAACAATAGAGTTCTACAAAAGTAAAGATCGGAGTGATGGAAATATGATTGGTGTACTGGATATGAAACTGCCTCCCGCGCTTGACCTTGCGGTGAGTATCTTTAGTCAGCGCCGTACAATATCATTTGTTGGTAATAGCTGTCCCTATCTCCTCCCCTTGCCACTTTCTGGAACAAACTAGGACCTCACACAAATATCTCTACAAAGAGTACAAACAGTTCAGAGCCACTTTAATTTTCAAATATATGGGTGGATCAGAACCATTGGTACATACTTTTTTATTCAACTTAACAGAAAGGTGATTGTTGATATGTTGGTTGCAATTCGTTTTTGACTTTTAAAGCACATAAAGGGCTGTGACTAACATGCTGAGTAATAACTGGACATTCTTTTCACACAATTCTCTGGGGAACACATGGAAAAATATGTTAGTTTTGATTTGTTGCAAAAAGTGTTTCAATAATAAAGAAAACATTCTGAGCTACTATTGGGTAAGGTGACTGTTGAAGTGTGAAATGCTTAACTTGCAGAGTACTCCTGTGAAGTTTCTAGGCATTCCCGTAGATGACAGAATGCTTCACGAAGCTCCTTTGGCCGAAATCCTGGCAGCATGTAACGGGGTGTTAGAGAAAATAGGCCGGTGGGATATTCATGAAAGTCATTTGCGAAGCAACCTCGATGAATTTCACAAAAAATGTAGTTTCTACGGAGCTCTTGCGAGCTTACCCGTAGAGCATCAACGAAAGTGCTGTGATGCAATCATTAACTTTCTGAGGATGCACAGACGAACCGGTTTCGAAGGCTTTAAACACATCGAAGAATATCTTATTCATGGTAAGTATGTAAAGCAATTAACTTTTTTTTTTTTTTCTCATTTATATATCAATAATTTACCTTCTATAATACTTCCGAAGCTTCGTTAGAAAGTTAAAACTCACGGGAAACTTTTTAAAGACATGATTCGACATGACTCATGCCATTCCAGTTTATTGTGTTGTATCCGTTGACTATGTTTTTGCACGCTACAGTCGACATATCTGCAAAAGACAAACGACAATCACTTTTAAAATGAACCTCGTTTATTCTTTCATTTGTTGCTGAATCCATCTGCGTTTGCTCTAGACTCACACACACGTAGCTTTTGACCTCACTAGCGCACTCTTTTTCTTTACTGTTTTATGTGTTTTCCGGTTTGTGTTATATCCAGATGAGGGCCTTTTTTTCCCGGCCTTTCCACGGTACTCCATTCTGTAAATTGTAGCATTCGGGTTTTTAATTAAGAAATGTCACGGCAAATTTGCTAACACCCATCTGCTTACTCCTTAGAAGTGATCCCAGCTTGCTATTACATAACCAACATTTTTTTTTTAATTCCCTTAGCAAAAGATGCCTAATAACTATCAATAAAAGCTTACGTCGCGAATTTTTTGAGAAGCTTTGAGAATGGTCTTTATAAATTAAAAATCAAGAAACGTATAATCGATGCCATAAGAAAAGAAGTGGATGATGACGAGGTTTGCTGCAGAGCAGCGCTCAGAAAATTGTACGAGAAAAGTGGATCCTGAGCTACGAAAGTGAGGAAAGGAGGGTTTATGTTGTGACTTACGAGTAGGAGTTTTAGTTATGTGAACGAGAACTTAATCTTGTTTACCGGCCAAATGTTCCACTAAATGAGAGAAGTTTAGTTTCTTAATATAATTAAAGCGACTGTAAAAGTTAGAAGGCCTCAGTTGAAAGGGTAAGCAATCTTCTCACAATAGGATACAGAGATTAAAATATTTGCACAACCAAAGAGGGTTAGACATTTGGTGAAGAAGAACTTGCTTCATCAAAAGTAAAAAGACACTTGCCGGTTAAAATTACACGACTTTCTCTGCGTGCGTCGCTAAAATGCAGAGGGAAGAAGAGTAGAAAGTCAAATTGAAGTGCAAAGGACGAAGAAGTTGCGAAAAGAAAAATAAGTTGAAAGGGAGAAAAAAGAGTGACGAACGACTCCTGAGATTTGGCATTTCCTCTCCCTCCCCCTCACGCCAGATCCTATCGACACTTTGTTTTCCTTATCACCTTCTCCTTTGCGCGTCTGCTACGCAGGCCAGAATAGGCATCCTTCAGTTGAGACAAAAGAACTTTACTATACAAGGTAAAAAAACGTATTATAAATGAATTCGAAAATAATCCTTCATTCTGTTACCTAAACGTTGCTTTAAATATTGTGCTGCTATAGTATAGCCTTTTCTTTTCAATCCTTACTTTCAGTTTTTATAAATTCTCATTTTTTATCTCTATTGTTGTCAATATAAGTTCATATATTCGGCTTTGAGTCGGTTATTTAAATTATTTATATCATTTTATAGTTGAAAATGTATTTAGGGATACTTTATTTTTAAATGGAAAAAAGTTCAAATGAACCTTTGTAAATAGTAGTTTACAAATTATTTTACATAGAAGAAAGAGAAGAGTAAAGACAATTTTTATGATGAAATCTACATTGTATCTTTTTGGTCAATTTTCATCGATACGCACACTTCCAAGAAACATTGGGCTCAGTATTTTACGATGACGGGAAAAAGGCCCAGTATCGCGCAGGTTATTTATTTTCTTTTTAGCACGAACTGCACACGGAGTGTTTCAACTTCTGGACAGCATTAATTTTCACGTAAAAAACCTAATGATAACACTACCCACAAATTTAGGGGGCTAATTTCGCTATATCCAGAATGCATTTTTTTCTGAGGAGATGTACTTCTAGTTCAGGAAAGTTTGCAAATCTGTCATATCGCGCGTTTTCAGGCACAGAATCAAACAAAGAGCGTTAATCATTGGTTGCCATGAAACTGCAGTTTCGCATTTGTATGAGGTGAGTGACAAGCCAAATAATGGACGTGGCTCGTTTTTGTTCCTCCTTTTGTTCTGGGTGATCGTACAAATGCGAATGTTTGGGAAGAAACATTAGCTTTTTGGAGACACTTTTCTAGTTTTCTTCATTACAAGGGGTGAATTTTGGTCGACTTTGTTTGAAAAAGAGTTACTTAACGGACACAATAAAACAAATAGGAAAAGAGAAAAACAAAACAAACGCACGAGAAAAACGAAGGTTGGACTCCCCAACAACGATCTTCATCATCACGAGAAAAGCGTTTCCTCGCAATGATGAACTCTGCTGCGGTGATTTCACTTTTTGTTGCCGGAGTTATGATTAAAAAGAACGAACGTATGGCCATAAGAATAGAGAAAGAAAATATCGACAGTACCGAGATGGGCGCGAACATATTCCGAGGAAAGGAACTGATCATACCTTTCATATAACTTTTCACCAGCCTTATCTCGAATAACATCTCAAGGAGTGTTTTGCCTGAATGAAGCACGATTCGATATTCTTTTCTTAAAACATAAAGCCAAAAGTTACCTAGACTGGCACTGCACTGTACTACAATCCGTCGAATAAATTGGCGCCGTAAATGAGCAAAGAAAGTAAATAATACTTATAAAACCGTATTGTTGAACACGATCTACATAACTCAAGTTGTCCAAACGCGATAATCAGCCGGATAGAATTATGCTCCCTTTGTCACCAGGTGCCACACATTGCACGAATTTAAGCTAAACAGAGACTGATTTTAAGCTAAGCAAAGACTATTGTGGCTTCTGAAAGACGAACAATAAAGACCAGAATATTTGATATTTTAAAGGAGAAATTTGTTTCCCCCACATTAGCAATTTTCCGTTCATGATTTAACCACCATTTTAAGGATCAAAGGACAACAAAGGTTTTTAAAGATGCTTTCCAAAGTAGGATTTTGAAAATACCCGCATATTCAACGGCTAAGGAGTATTTCTTCTCCAGCTCGAAGCTTTTGATTCTCGTTCTTTTGATAGCACTCATAGATGTATATGGGAGAAAGACAAAAACGATTCAGCCACATGTAAAAGTTATTTTTTTATAAACATTATTATTGTTATCATTAATTTTTTTAACAGAAAAATGGACGAAAATGGGAAAACAATAAATGGATGTACAAAGACATCATTCGTCCAAGCAAAATCTGGCGCCTAATAGATAGTTTTGTGCGTCTCTATCATTGATATTACATCTCACAAAAGTTTTACATTTTATTAAAAGTTGCAGTGTCAGTGATGGTGGATTCGCACATTCAATCATGAAAATGAAAAACTGTAAAAAGATTAATTGTCAAGTCGTTATAATGCACCAGCTTTGAACACATACAATCAAAAGAAAATTACCGGCCATTTTCGTTAATTTTCGATTAGAACTACACACGGAACAAATGCTACATTCACTTCTCTTGTTTATCTATCAATTTCTTATTAACGACAACGTGATTAGTTAAACTATTTAAAAGCTAAAATACAACGAAAAATAGTTTTCCCTTTTATTCTTGTTCGTCATATTCACCGAACAAATGTATTCACCAAGAGGGTGAAAAAATGACAGCTTCTGCGAAAATAAATTAGAAGAGAACAAAGCTGTTTTATTCATTCTTTTATCACTTTCATCCCTATGCAAAAATGGTGGAAATATGAGAATGCACCTGTTCTTACCGCACGTGGAGGTAACGACCTAGAAAATTGGCTCAGAGATGATGAGATAAAGTGACAGTTAAATTAATATAAATCCCGTTCAAACCAAACAGTAAAAAAAATCATTGTATGAAGATAAAGACCTGGAAATTAGCCGAGAAGTGATGAAAAGCGCGCAATAATGAGCCTATCAGTTGTGTAAAATGAAAGTTGAATTAATATAAGCACGTTCAAACCAAACAGACAAAATCATTATTAAATAGTTATCGGTTAGATATTAATTGAAGGTTAAAAGAAGCACCTGTTTGTTTCTTAATGCGCTTGGAGTTCAGTTTTTCTGAAAACAAAATAGACATACTGCGTATTATATTACTTGAGCAATCAATTCTTGAACTGGGCCTTTCCTCAACACACTATGCGATCGTACCCAGTAGGGTTGATTACTGCTAAGTGTCGTGACTAATTAATTTTTTTCATCTCCTATCAGGTACTTATTCACTGGCGGTGCATGTTTGAAAGTAGTCATTTTTTAAAAAAATAAGTATTGATTAAAAAAAAAAAAGAAAAGATTTGTGATCTGAGTTCAGAGTAAGAAGAAAGTCATTTCGAAATGATGGAACTGTGATAGAACTGACCTGTTTCGACAAGGCTGTGATGACCTTTTGTATGAACACAATTTCGTCGAATGAGCGTCGCATCAAGGTATCAAAATGCGGCCTTATTCCGAGGCACCTCATGTTTTTTTAATTGCTCATCTCAGTCGAATCACTTTAAGGGGGCGGCGCTTAATAGGGTATAAACGCTTGAACAACAAAGAGATACCAGTTTAACGATCCAGCGAGTGACGCAAGATGCATTACCTTACGATAATTATTGCTCTTCTTGTCTTTGGAGAATGCCAAGTTCTGGTGCAAGGTAGGAGTACAAGAAATAACTCAGTTCATCGCGGTTTTTTTATGGCTTTATTTTGAATTAATATCAGCTGATAATTTCTTTAATACGTTACCTGTCTTAAATGTGGATCCTTTTTAGTTGATTGGGCCGGAAGTATGTTCCCTAAGTCACTACAATTGTTTGTCGGTTTTCGGATAAGTGTTGGGGGAGAGACCAACGGATGGAATTAGATCTTAATAACTTTTCCTAACAAAGAACGAATGTGGCGTGCATAGTAGATACTTTTTTTTGTCTACTTTTTCTAATCTAGCATCTCTAACGGAGACAACGGCAGCGTTTTCGCACTGGGTGCGTGCTTGGTCTGACTGTCGCAAAAGTCATGATCAGCGTGGGGCCTGGGGAAAGCTAAAGCAATACTCCATACCTTATTTACCTATGATGAATAACAATATCCAGGGCAGAATATTCTACTATTTTGTCAAATTTGTTTACTCAGTCTCCTCGTTTCATATTTTATTCTTTTCTAAGTATCACTTACAGATGCTAAAGATAGCCAAGAGTTTAGTTTAGCTGCAAGAAAAACGAGGACGAAAGAAACAAATTGTGTTTTGATTAGGGATCAACGATATCATGTGTACAGTTAGAGTATTATAATTGTTTTCATTAGTCTCGAGTGGTCCAAAAAAATCTATGAAAGAAGAAAATTCGCGCGAAAATTTCAAAGGAGTTCCGCTCAGGAATTACATCATAGCCTTGATATGCTAAGGAAAATCAAGAAAATGAAAATTCTAAATTCTTCATACTGAGAAATAACATGCAAGAAGTTATAAACTACAGTTTATAATATCTTTTAGCATGCTATCTTGTCGTTGCAAGAATTTCTAAAAGGGACAGTTCTTTTAGGTTGCTTGAAATCGCGAATTTTTAAGGTACACTTCCGAGTGTAACACACTGATCATATATAACGAAACTTCCCTGGAAAAAAAAGTCGCCTCAGTGCTAAAACCAATTTTTTAGACCCTCACTTGCTTCAAACATTTTTATTTGCAAATAAAACAGTTATTTGCAATGTGTTTAAATATTCTCTTATTGTTTTCTTTTTAATGGCGAAAATAGCACAATGTAAAATAATCATAAATCACGCATTAAACACGAAAAACTTGTGACGCCCAATGAACCAAATTAATCAGTTCGAACTGAACATATCAATTTTGAAGGTTCGTAAATACAGTACATAGAAGCGGGAATTTGTTTCGTACAGTAATAGCGTGCGTAAGAGAGAAAAACTGAAGATTTTGCTAACTAACTTGTATCAAGCAAGTACAAATTATCTTTGAACAACATCTAATTTTTATTTATCTTGTCTTGACATGTGTAGGTTCTTCAATCAGGGGAAGAGATAGCCCTTGTTTTTCAAAACCATGCCTGAATGGAGGTGAATGCCGAGTGTCTCGGGAGGGCTTAGATTATATCTGCCTGTGCCCTGAAGGTTTTCACGGAAAAAATTGCCAAGAAGGTAAACGCTATCGAGTCATACATGTCTCTTGCTAAGGAGAAACGAAACGAGTGGAGACAAGTCAGGAATAAAGGGTTCTTCGGTCATTTAATTGAACTCCTTTCCTCTCTGTGATATCTACTGTTTTCCTTTGATTTATTAATGCAGAAACAGGAGTAGAAACTTGCAAAGACACCAACGAGGTCCAATGTCCTATTTGGGCTGATAGAGGCGATTGCGAAACAAACCCGCTCTGGATGAAAGTAAAGTGTCAGAAAAGCTGCAACACTTGTGGTAATAACCATTTGCTTTAAGGCGTGATTACGAGTTGTAATATGCTCCAAATCCTAGAGAAAAGCAATACGGTAGTAATTTGATGACCTCCGAAACATTGGTGGCTGCAGGATCACGGTGTCAAGTCAAAAGAGCCCAAGAAAACCTAAAAGAACGTAAAAAATCTAAATTATAGGTTGTAAAATTTCCTTTTATTTCGAATTCAAAATATTGCGAGAGCAGAAAACCAGCTCTCGGCTCCGTTTTTAGGATTACTTTTGAAAGGAAAAAATACTGATGCACAAGGGCAACGCGATGTCTTTTAATTTCTTTTTATACATTACAAAGCAAAACAATTTAGAAAGAGTGTAAATGCAAACAAACAAATTAAAGCAAGTAATCAAATGACTGAACAAGAAAATTTGCATGAAAGTGCTGAGGGCTATGGAAATGAACTTGTGACAATATCAAGGGGAGTTTTCTTTAATTTCGTAATTTTTTTTTTCGTCGTTAACGTTGTTTTTTATTTGTTGTTGTTGTTGTGATACGCGTAACCCGTTTTTTCTTGCCAGGGTGCGCAGACTCGAACGTCCAATGTCCCGAATGGGCTAAACGTGATAAATGCTTTAATAACCCGCAATGGATGAAGCTTAACTGTAGGTTGAGCTGTGAGCAGTGCCAAGAGCCGCAGACAGAGGTAAGACTTTGATGACCCTTTTTTTCATTGCTTAGCCCGGTAGCTGGATATGATGAAAATTCCTGACAGCCAGTAGTCTTGATTATCCATTTAATCTATTTGAAAGACTTGGGTACAAAATGACCAACAAAAAGTATCATCTTTACCTGAACTCATTAGGCTTTCATCAGAAATAGATATCTTTCAATCTAGAAATTAGGTCAGGGTTTTAAACATTTCTACTAAATAGATGGCTTAACAAAGCCGTTTAGTTCTGAAATAGTTTTACAGGATGATACTTAAAATATCCCCTATAGGCAGACACTAAAATGTGTTATTTAGTTTCGCAAGCATGTGAAAATGTTCCGAGAGGCGCCATGGAATTTGATCCTCCTATACGAACTGTTGGTGTTTGTTGCGGTTTAACGCATCAAAATAAAAGCGGACTGAAACCACGTTTAGAATTCGTTAGTTGGCTCCAGGAAAAGCGCTTGTTTTCACAAAAGCCTAAAAAAAATTTGAAAAGCTGAAACATGGCTCACCCCCCTACAAGATGAATAATAACTTTAGAACCGATGAAAAAAGATGTGGGTAGATTCTCGAGGGTTTAGAAAGTTTCATTGAAGAATTACCTGGGTCGCCATTCTATTGAATGTTGATTAAATACACAAGTTGGAACTAAGGAAATTTCGAGAATTCAATATCAGCTAGCCAAACGTCAATTAACAAAAAACATGACTTTTTTGGTGTCGTTGTTTATTCTAATAGAATGCCAGTTCAGCTATATCTTTAGCTCTAATGATGATAATAATAACAATAATAATAATAATAATGTTTTGCATATCAAACTCAGCACATCACTTCCATTTTGTCTCTTTATTGATAGGCTTGAGTAACAAAGGAAAGAAAGACTTCACAGGAAAACTTTTTCGCAGTACAGAGGCCGAGCTAAAAAGTATATTTGTAGAATCATCAATAAAATTGATTATTCTCATGCATCTTAGTGTGCGTCCGCTGTTATCTATTCATCTATGCTTATTTTTTTGAACGCAAATGTCCGTTTTAATCCCAGTGTGCTGCTGGAAGTGCAAAGGGGTTTCATAACCCGGGTAACCCATAATTTTCGTCAGCAATCTAATGAAAACCGAGCTTTTAACATAATATTCATTGGCCTTGAGCGAGCACAATTTATCAAATACGATTTTCATCTTCGAGTGTTGGTGTATTCATATTGACATGCGGAAACGTGAAGAGCCGTTTATGATGTCGATAGAAATAGTTCAAAGTCAAGAGAGAGAGAGAGAAAGCGACAGAGAGGGAGAGATATATAAAAAGAGTTGAATTCAACCTTGGTAATTTCGTGGATTATAAAGAAAAATACATATATAATGAAATCCTCATGAAAAGTAAAACTGTTTTAAGAATTGCGATTATTTTGTTTATGCATTGGTGACGCTCCCTGATAATATCCTAGCAATAACTATACAATGCAAATGAAATTAATGGTTATCAAACTGTGAAGTTTTTTTTTTCATTGAGACTAACTGAGACATAATTTGGCCTACACTAATAAATCATTATTACTCGTCCTGATGGCGCCATGTGTATTAAAAAGCGTGAGCTGTCTTTGGAGGGTCAGTCACCCATAATTATTGCGGCTTGAAGTAACCTATTGCCAATATCTGAAGGTAAAAAACGAACAAAAGGATGTATGACGTTGTAATAGTCTTTGCTCTCGTTTGCTCAGGAGGATTTCAAGCTGTGGTGAAAGGTGCGAGCGCGATTAAATGTTCTCTTTACAAAATGAATGACGCAGTTTACATTTTTAGAGATACAACTGACCAGTGCTTCGATGTTTCCTCAAAGTACACGCCTTTTTGCTTGTTCTACTACTTTGTTTGTTTTGTTTGTTTTTCTATTCCCATCATAAACACTTTGTTGTGCATTTTGCCACCTAAAATGGAGATTTTGGTGGCTTATATGTATTTTAGGTAATTTAGTGTTAACAACTGAGTTGAAAACGTAAATTAGCCATCGTAAAGGGCAAAAAGCTGACGTTTCGAGCGTTAGCCCTTCTTCAGAGCGATTGCACAACACGTGCGGTTTTTGTAACTTTGTAAATTTCTTTGCCGTCCTTTGCGAAACAACAACGTTTAATCACCAAAATTGGTGTGGTCTGAGAAAAGAACCCCCCACCTCAAATTGTTTGAGTTTCCATTTGGAATTCAACGCTGCTTCCATAAGTTATGTTTAAGTTGGGGTGTGGCACCATCAGAGAAGGTTAACACATTTAGCCACTCGCAAAATTTATAACTGATGAAAATTAATTTTTATAATCAACGTCTCCCCAGGTGTTGCCTTCCTGGCTGCTTCAGGTACTTTAGAATGCCCACTAACAAAACTCCATTGGTTTTCCTCCTTTCTAATCCATCCCTCAGTTATTTCAAAGATTTGACGTTCATAGTCATTACTTTGTGCGTGCCGAAGCTTTACCACATTTGTCTCCTATGTCCATCTTAATCTCTTAAGCCGGCGACACACTTGGCGATTTTATACGCCAATGGCGGCGATCGGCGGAAGTTGCCAGGTGTGCGCGGTGCGGCCATTGCGATATTCGCCGATAGCGGCGATCAAATTTCCCTCTATCAGCGAATAAAATCACCAAGTGTGTCGCCGGCTTTACTGATTTTTGTTTGTGTTTCTCTTTACACTTGCGAATTCGAACTGATAGTTTTATCAATGTGTCACATGAGAGGTAATTTTGGCTCTAGAAATTTGCAAATGACCGGAATGATAAAGAATTTAAATTGTTTGTATTTTTATGAATAGCCTATCAGCTTCTCGGTGAAGCTTTTGAATAAAATGGTAAGACGACCCTAGCAAACTTTTAAAGATGAAAAAAATCGATAACTCTACCTGGTGAAATATTCAGTTGCAATGTACTGAACCCATTTTGTTTTAGCCTCAAAACAGTTCATGGATCAATTCATGGACGCTGGAAACACCCTTTGTGATAGAAATATGAGTTTAGGGCCATTGTACTTCTCCCTGTGTAGGTTCTTCGATCAGGAAACAAGACAACCCTTGTTATCCAGGACTGTGTAAGAACGGTGGCGTATGTCGTGCTAAAGCACCTGATGAAGGCTATGGTTATTACTGTTTGTGTATTGAAGGTTTCGGAGGAGATAATTGTGAAATACGTACAGGTAAATGGACGGGGGAAATATTATGTACTTATTGACTGAGTGGGAGGGTCGGACAGGAAAATATTTGGCTCCGTGCGTCATGAACGAGTACCAAATATTTTCCCGTGCGACCCGACCTAATCCAGTCAACAGGCATTTTTCATTTGGCAACTGACTCAGTTTTGACAAGTTTATCACATCTTTGGTATTGAACATTTTGAAAAGTTTGATTTAACTCACTTAGGACGGGAATAAGTGCGCGAGAAAACCACTAAAATGATTCTACAACAAAAATTTTTCCTGTTTTCAAGTCAGAACAAGAAAAAAATTCATCGAAAAACCTGACTCATTTTTTTCATTTGTGTTTACTACTGTCACCCACTTGCAACAACAGCGAACAAGGAATTTTTTTGAAATTTTACAACAACGCCATGCAAGTGCGTTAGGCCGGACGGCGTTTTACGGACCGGTTCACGTTAACCCGTTCGGCCTTACACATGTTTGCTTTCACTATGGTTTTCTATGGGATTTCGCGGGCTTGGCCGAACGGGTATATGATAATTATGATGATCTTCCATCTTAAGGCAAGTAAATCACACAAACATCATAACTCGATTTATCGTTATATAAATTAGTGTCATGATAAATTTTACCTGATTCCTTTATAGGGCTCTGTGATATGCCCTCGTTTGCAGTTAACTGGTAGTCAATTTTCTAAAGTTCCCCTTTAACACTCTGCTGGCGAAGACTGATCACCACCCCGTTCTCTCTTAGACCCCTCCCCCCCAGTAGGAGATGACTGGTCCCTAATGAATCGCAGCTCTGTGTAGGGAAACGAGCCAACGATCTTACCATCTCTCCTTGTGCAGGTACACCCATCGTAAAGAGAAACAGCCCTTGTTTCTCAAGACCATGCATGAATGGAGGCGTTTGTCGAGCTAAAACGCCTGATGAGGGCTTTGGATATTACTGTCTGTGCCCTGAGGGCTTCAGAGGGAAGAATTGCCAAGAAGGTAAACTTAGCGTGCAGCAAATGTGATAAAAACATCCAAAGAATCATCGCTTTTCTCGAACGACAGATAGCTGTACTCTATTACAACTTATGGAGGCACGTTACGTTTCACGTATAAAAGCATGCGTGTCAGCTCTATTCGCATTTTTCACGAAGGTCCAAAGTTAGCTTATCAGCGATTTCTGGAAAATCATATGAAAATTTTTCCCACATACACTTCTTCACAGACTTTACCACCTAAAATCCATCTTACGTGAAATAGCTGAGACGATTGATCTCATGTCGAGAAGTATTATAGCCTGCGAGCATGCAGGCGCTCATTATTAACGCATAGGCACAAGCGTTTCATTTCCTGCGGGGGAGTATAAAACCTTGAACAAAGCCAGCCAGCGAGAATTCTAGAGGGCGTCTAACACTCTTTATTGTTACCACTCGTCTCATATCTTCCTGCGGGCGGAGAAACACGCGTACTTAAGGGACTTTTATTCATTTTTTCACATCAATCTAATTCAGTATTGATTTAATTCCTTGTGACATTATGCGTCAGGTTTACCGATCTTTTTATTAATTGACAGGTGGAAAGTAAAGAATATGGACACATCTTGAGAAGCAAATTAAAGAAATCTTTGCTCCTAAATAAAATTTGTCTTGGAAATGAGCGTTCTTTCTTTAGTTTATCATAAAAAGTGGTAATAAAATATTTCTTTAAATTTTAAATGCCAAATATTTCAAATTACAGTAATAAATAACTCCCACACAATGCCTCGAGTAGCAAATTCAAGAATAACTGTGACACTAGCCCTACGAATTTTCAAATCGAAGCATTTTGTATTCTGAATATGACATATGAAAAAAAATATGTGAACTGCGAATCAATTAATGAATGAAAGTGATCATTGCAGTAATGAAAAATAAGACCTGAAAAAAAATTCAGGTCTGTAAAGAATTTGAACCCATGACATCTGCGATACCAGTGCAGCGCTTCACCAACTGAACTAACAAGTCAACTGGGGTTGATCATTATTTTGGTCGGTAATAAACCCGTGAAGCGATGAATCAATGACAGCGAACATATGAAAACCACATATGTGAACCGTAGATTAAGAAATGAATGAAAGCGGTCATTTTGTATTCTCCTCATAATAATTTTTTTATTTCCCTGACACCTTGTGCAAAGTTTGGAACCAATTTCTGGGTTAGTTGCATTGGGAGTGCAAGCGAAGATAACATCCATATGGGTGAGTGGCAATTAAATAAATTGCAGGAACTGCGAAGCCTGAAAAAAGTTCAGACTTCAACAGGATTGGAACCTGCGCCTCTTAGATACTAGGTGGGGGTGGGTGGGGGTAATTACCTATTGAGCCACAAAGCCACATGTTGGGAGTGCTTGCCTCAAAATCTGTCTTCATGTTAAACTCTGCAACGCCGATCATATTCAGTTGATACTGAGCTTTCCAGAGAAGTCACGGACGAAACAATGGAACAAAACCAATGGGGAAAAGTGACGTCTTCATCAATTAGCCTACCTCTACTTCCGTCTAGAAATAAAGAGCTTTGGTAAACTCTACTTAGAGTATTTATCTCTTAAAACATGAAATGATAAAGAAAAACAAATAATGACCAAGGTGATGAGTGCTTCTAAGAACGTGTACGTGTCTACGGTCTTGAAGTTTAAGCACAACATATGTCGTTTTCAAAGAGAACCTGCAAACGTACAGGAACCTCTACTTAAGTCAAATATCATCATTATATTTCAAGTCACGTTCTCGTTACGTGGATTTTCCTTTCGGCATCTAGCCTGCCCACACAAGATCTGTCAAACTTGATGTTCTATAGAATAGAAACATGTTTTGCTAATTTTCTATTCATTTATGCGACAATGTGCCGCCAAGCATTTTCCCTCACCATCGCAAAGGTAAACACGGAGGCTGCTTACAGTTTCCAAAAGCAAACAAAACTAGACAGGTTTATTCTATGAGATCCTTTTAAAGGCGGCAAAGCTTTTCTCTTCATCAATCAAGATTATTAATTTTGATCTTGCTATACTCAATAAAACCAAATCAACTGCCCCCTCTCGCCGATAGACCCAGTAGAAATGTTTGGGAGGAAAATCTGAAGAGACGATTCTAATACTCCATATTTTCTTCAGTGAAAATCCTCTTTCAACTCATTGTCTGCAATGTAAATGGAGAACCTTTAAGATTTTAACAGCTGTCAACAAGGCAATAGATCGTACAAAGATCACCCATGTCATAAAGACGTACCGCGAGTCGATTCCCATGAAATAGGAGAGCTTAAACTGCTTCAGTATTACGTAGTTGCATGCTGTGACAGAGATTGACCTCTGTCTTAAGGACTTAAAGAAGTATGGCATACTCAGTGCTGCGTTTATTTCTCATTTTTGGCCTTCACTTTTCTCTGTGCTACTCAAAGCCTGTCAATGACGGGAATACAAGAGACACAAGTAAGTAAGGAACTTGTTGTTCATGTTATTGGAAAATGTAAAAGAAAGGTTCATAAACTTTTCTTGGTTTTCATGGCAAGCCAAAGCCAGATTGGTATATTTTGAATAACTGCTTACATACCTTATCATTTTATCAAATTCCCATCCAGCTAATGTCGTTCTTGATGCCATTATGTTTTGCTTGTGTTTCCTCAGTAAAGGTCGGCAGTGGGGTTATAAGGTTGGACGACCGCTATTGCTCAGTATGGACAAAATTGTCAAATGTTTTCGTGTGGTCCTTGCATGTCGCTGCCCATAATAATCGATCGTGGAGCTATCTTCTTAAGCTAGATCCTATTAACACAATCCACCGACTGTTGTCATCAGATCATTAATAGTATTTAATGTCTGCTCTTCATGTCACGCTAAACGTTCAAAACCACCAGGTTTAATCTTAATGATTGCGCAATATCCTAGAAATAACGATCTGTTATTGCTGATTTTGCCGTGCTAAATTTAAGATAGCTCACTAAACAAAAGATCAGTATTATTCCAATACTGACCGAGGCCATTCTAAGCTGTTTCAATACGAAATAAAAGTAAATATCGGGGCCATGTTGGGAAATTTCCGGATGGGACATAAATTATAGTTAGGCATTCTTTACAAATTTCATTGTAACTATAACACGTTGAGCAAAAATTCCTTTTCAGACGGACAGGAGAGAGATTCGCCATACGCGATGAGAACTAAATTGGATGAAATTGCTAACAGAGTTGGGTTGGAAGCACGCAAAGGAATTGATTTTGTGCTAAAAGACACCTTCGAAAATGGACCGTGCTATGGACAAAATGTAAAACAGTCAGTTCAAGGATTTCACTTATCTGAGCGGTCGAAAGATTACAATTGGAAGCAAAAGAGATAAGAAAACAAAATTCAAAACAACTTATCAAAGTCTATGATTAAGAGAAATTAAAAACATACTGTAGTGAATCGGTGTTTCAAATAGCTCAAACACGCAATGAAACCGATTGCTATGTACACGGATGTGTTAATTTTTCGAGAGTTATTCCCTGTTATTGTTCTCCCTTTTACAAGTATCCATAATCTTTGGCAACTCTGACTAACCCTTAAAGTCGTACCAAGCAAACGACAATCATGGCAAAAAGTCCTTCGAACCATTTTGAAACTACGCTCGACGATCATGTAATTTATATGTCTTATTAAAAAAATTTTTTAAAAAAATCACCTCATTTAACCTTGACATTGTCAGTTGAGTAAAGAAAACCTTTCTCTCCTTCAAGGGAGAGGGAGGAAAGACTGTTGCCCGAGACCGCGATTCTAACTTGTATGCATGCACACTGAGGGAAACACGAACATCATGATCAGAATCTAAAAAGCTCTTCACAAACTATTGGCCATCCTGAAACGACTAAATCTTGGGTTTTTGATTTCAGATTATGAAACAGTACATGGTCGCATCTTAGCAGTCAACATGGCGCATCTCAGGAAAAAAAGACAAACAGCGAACATAGAAACTCAGTCAGGAGGAACGGTGTTTGACAGAATAGAGGAAGCGAACAATGGTACCACCCAAGTCCAGTCTTAAATATCTCTTCAAAGTTTGTTTCATATCCGCAGAAACTTCGCGGAATTTTCAGGCACAACAAATCTTAGAGATTTAGCATTAACAAGAAACTAGCCGGGGATTTTTGAACTGATTCGCACGTTAACTTTGGAACACAAGGATGTTGGCGATCCCTTGACCTTTCTGTGAAGGAGAAGATTCCTTTACCAATCCCAAGTGTTTTAAAGTGCATTTACCCCATGCACATTACTAACTTACTAACTTTGTTTTTTGTTTTTTTTGTTTTTTTTGCTTCGTTCTACATTTATTTTAATTCCTATTTGTTTGATGGTTTATTTTTTCACACAATACCCCTGAAGACCGCAAATTGAATTTCAAACTAATATCATTGTACATTTGGATCAACATCAGTATCAGGGCAACTGCCCGCCTACCCCTCCCCTAGCCCAACATTAACCTTAACTTGTTATCAATTGACTGTTGTTGAGTTAGGGGAGGGGTAGGTGGGCAGTTGCCCTTATACTGATATTTATCTGTACATTTTTGTGTGATGTCTCGGCCTACATTTCAATGCGTAACAAACCGCCTTTCATACCTCTACAGGAAACATTTCACAATTCTACCAAGGCGACATTGTGCTGGATCCTGAGCTGAAGGAGTACATAAAAACTGGTGGCAACTCGCGAAATGCAGTAAGAGGTCGTAAAAGACTGTGGACCAGTCGCATCATACCCTATCGGATCCCTTCGCACATGAGTATGTTTATATTCAAGGATATTTGGCTTATGGACCACTCATTACTTATCAGGGAGGAGGGGGAAGGGGTGAGGGCGGAGGATTTTGGGAAGGATCCTATGGTTTCTTTCTTTCTTTTTTCCTTTTTTTTTTTATTGTACAACATTTGAAAAGAGGGAATACAAAAGCCAACCCTCATGGGTGATCTTTCACAATTATTTGGCCCTTTTTTGCGTGAGAACACAACAAAGCTTCCCGTCCCCAACAAACGAGTTAGTCATCAGTTCAACATGTAGACAATGAACTGAACAGAACAACCATAATTTTTCCGGCGAACGGTAGAACTGACAAGCTGAACTTCTTAGGGGGCTTAGAAAAGCCTATTTGATTTGCGTGTAATCCTTCAAATCGATCACGGAAGTTTGCATGACATTTCTGACGCAAATGCAAGCTTACTGAATTTGATAATAGGATTGATGACATTTCCAATCTGCTGCCAATTAATTGTTGATCAACGAGCTAATTGAAACCATGAACTGATACATATATTTCCAACTTCTGATCTCGTGTTACCTAAAAGAGTGTCGCGCAATATGAGTAGAAAGTTCCCAACTGATTGAATATTTACTTATTTCAGCTGGGAAACCTTGAAGATAGATGCAACTTTTTTTTTTTCTTTTGCCTTGTATCGTTTTGTTTTTTTAAAGATATAACGAACAAATAAACGGAAAAAAAAACAAGAAATAGCAACTTGCTCAAATAAGGCAATTAGGTTTATTGATGGCGGCATCCTTGATACATTTTTCAGGCAAATGTTTTTGAAAACTATCCAATAACAAAATATTAGTCTTCAAGAATTTCACCGCTTTCTCTTCACTTCTCTTTTTAGGTCATATAACTTCAAATGTCCGTGTGGCCATTAACGAGTTTCACAGAACGACATGTTTACGATTTGTAAATTACTACAGTGGCTATCATAAAAACTACATTGAATTTAGCAATAAAGATGGGTAGGTAACGCTCATTTTGAAGGGCCTGCAGCAATTATTTCAACAGAGCTGTCGCATTATTTGGAACCACTCATAGGCTAATTAACTAGGTGAAATTATCAACTGAGGCTTTCTTAACTTGATTGATTAAACCATACCAGAATATTAGCTGGGGCTATCCTGAAGTTCCCCTGACCCCACCCCCCTCTCCCTCTCTTTTTTTCTTTTGTTTTTCGTTTTGTTTTTCAATCATGCAAACTATATAATTTATGGTTGGTCAGGAGTACGAGGATGTTAGAAAGAACGTCCCTTTTTTATTGTCTTTTTCTTTTATTTAGATGCTCATCCAGGGTAGGAAAGAGATATCATTCCCCTGGTAAACAAATCATCTCCATTGGACCCGGATGTAATAACGTAGGAACCATAATTCACGAGATAATGCATGCCATAGGTGAGTTGTTTGCAGCAGCTTACACCACAGGGCTATTATGGGACGAATTTTGGAAAACCGTAATAGTTTTTTTTAAAACCCCTTTCCCCTCTATCCCACTGGTGACTGACATCTTTCCAAGCACTTATGAGAGGGGTGGGTGGGGTAGGAATTTGTTTGTTAAGGTGTCTTTAGGTTTAAGCTGAAGAGAAAGTGGAGATGAAGCTTTTCATATAGGGTGAAAAAAAAAACTCAGCTCTATTACAAACACATGAACCATCGAAAGGAAAATTTATACCTTGCTATTTTTGCTTTACCATAAACAATTATCTTTTTACACAAAGTGTGCGACTTAATGGAAACAGTGAGGCTTGATTAGAGAGGATTTTAATAGTCTTTGGTTTCACCTTAGATTCATTTGTAGTCATATAAAATCGCCATTAATTGCCAATTACTGTGAACTTTTGCCCTTAAAATAAAACGTCAGCTTTGTAACGCGTTACAGTGGCCAATTTACGTTATCAACTCAGTTGATAATACTTAATTACTCCATCGGACAAAAAACATATTATGGGCCAAACACCACATCCCAATACTTATAAGAGAGTTTTTCTTAAAAATCTCGTCTTGCGATAGGTTTCTTCCACGAGCAATCACGGATGGACAGAGATAAATACGTGAGAATAAACTGGGAGAACATTCTAACTGGTAAGAATCTTTCCTTTTCCGCCACTGTCCGCAAAATTGTTATTTTCTTTTCTTATTTTTCTTTTTAAAAGTTTTGTAAAAGAGGAATCAGCTGACGAAACCTGTTCATATTTGTTTCTTGATGGCAGCAAAGAAAACAACATTTAATGCAACTCTTCGTTCGAGTGTGGTTCCTAGCTCACTCCATCATCTTTCTTATTCTGAATCCCCTAAGGACGATACGCGCTGTACGCAAGACACCTTTCAAATAGTATTTCGTCTTGATTGCCAACTAGAATTCCCTTAGTTGAGAGCTAGAGTACCCTTTCCTACACCAGTATCACCACGCTTTCTCAGGTTTTTCTTTGTCCCAGACTCTTAGAAAACGATTTTGTTATCATTATGATCTTTTTTTAATTTTAAGGATTCTCAGACCAGTTTGATAGATACAGCTGGAGGACGATCGATCATTTGGGTGTATCGTACGACTATCAGTCTATCATGCACTACGATCGTCTTGCGTTTACAAAAAACGGAGAGCCAACCATCGTTGCTGTTGGGAATGAAAATATGGAATTTGGTTCACCATCCAGGAGGCTCAGCTCAAGAGATATTTTGGAAATAAACGCTCTGTACGATTGCAAAGCAAGTGAGTAAGCATTATCTAATACAGTAAGCAGTTTTTGAAAGTATCGGTTCTGGGACCCCTCATTGATTTCGCCTGTTTGCGGTAGAGGTGGGGGGAATTTACCTGACTTCCCCTCCCTTCCTTCGGCTCTGTAGTATTCTAGTGATCCCGCTCATTGGTAGTCAGTTTTCTGCGGTTCCCCCGCTCTATGCTCTGTTAGCGATGACTGATCCCCACCACGTTCCCCTTGACAACAAAGAAATCTACCTGATCCTTCCATAGGGCTCTGTAATAATTGTAAGATCCCCCCAATCATTGGCAGTCAATTTTTTACAACTTTCTATAATCCTTTACATAATCTGTTGACAACCAAGGATGCCCTCTCTGTCCCACCTGAAAACTGAATGATTGCCCCAAAAATCCTCCCCCCCACTCCCCCTCTCCCAGACGATAAATATGACTGGTCCCACAGAGACTAAAGTCGGTTTTGAAGGCGTACTTTGGCCAGTAAGGGCTCCAATTATAGGCTTCAAATGCTGCTGCAGATTCTGTCCTTTCCTCTCAGTTTGGTAAGCTTTAAATTTCCTTTTGTCAGCTACATCGTATGGATGGGCCACTTGGTCTGGATGGACTCCATGTGATGAAAAATGTTATCGAACTCGCGAGAGGTACTGCTATCACTCTGGCAACATCAAGTCTTGTGGGGGAAATGTGAATGGGTACGGAGTGGAAATTCAAAGAGTAAAATGTTCGTCGTCTATATGTCCAGGTAAGCAAAGGACAAATAAACTTTTTCATTGTGTGTGGGTTGGATAATAGTTTATCCAGACAGAGAAACGACGACAGATTCTTATACAATACCTTTTGTTTCTATGAAACAAATCTTTTTATCATAAATTCTAGTTGCTTTCCATATTTTCCCCGACCCGTTGGAGTCAAAGCTGTTTGGATTGTAAGAAAGCTCCACGGGGGCAAATTAGAGTAGGTGATGATACACGAATGGTGTTTCTCGACGTCTTCCATAACATTTTGAAGTTGTAACAAAGTGAAATGAAAATATGAACCTGTCTTCTTTTTAAGTTTTGAAAGTTTGATAGCTTTTGTATTAAAACAATCAGATTATTCTGGCGCTCTCGATTTCTATGAGTGAAGTGAGAGTTGATTCGAGAATCGTGCTCATAAGTTGTCACGCTGCACAAATCTCGAGCTTAAGTCTCATTGTTACTTAGTGCATGAGGGTGCAGCTCAATAAAAAAAATTCACGCATAGAAATCGAGATAAAGTAATCTTACTGTTTTTGTACACATCTACAAGTCGCCAAACCAAACAACAAGACAAGTTCATATTTCTATAACCGCAACACGTTAGGGTATTCACTTTATATACTGTCTATCACGGAATAAACAGCGAGTAGCATAGCCAATTGCATTGCAGCATTTTTCATAGAACGTCCGTAGCTTTCTGCTTAAGCAGAACATTACTGAGGCCTGTCATTTATATAAGGTCTACTACATAACATTTTGATCGAGTGGAAAAGGTTAAGTTAGATGATGTTCATTTTTCATTGCAATGACTGAAGATTTAAAATGTTTTCAAATCTCGAATACTCTCTATTTCCGTATAGCTATTTTTTTGTATTTTTTCCAAACGCCTTTGTAGTATGTACACAAATCAGTGTTTCTCGGAAACTGAACAGAAGCACTTGATCTATCTGGAGTTTAGCCTGCAGTCAGGCTCTCGTGTGGGCTAAAGAAAGTGCAGTGCAAAGCGGTCCTACGCATAACTCTCTCTGCCCCGCTTCTCTCCTGCAACTCAACGCCAACGAAACCCCTACGTTGCTCTTTATGAAAGTTCAGATACGATGTCTGATCGTACGAAATATTTACAGCTCCTATTGATGGACACTGGGGTCGCTGGTCAGATTGGGGAAGTTGCAGCAAAACGTGCAATGATGGTATCAGGAAACGCTTTCGAAGGTGTGACAATCCCTCTCCCGCTCATGGGGGGAAAAATTGCCAAGGTTATGAGAGGGGGCAAGAAATGTGTATTTTGAAGAGATGTCATCTGGGTAAGTGAGAAATGCTTGATATTGAATTCATTACATAATTAGCTTTGAAAATTTTGGCGAGATTCTCATAACTTTGTATGTTTTAATGCATTATGTACAGTGTAAAGGTTTCATTTTGCATAAGCCAAATAGATGATTATTTAGGTCTTAAAATCTTAAAATTTGTAGCTTGATGTCGATTCTGAAGTCGAAACAGGTAATGTAGCGAGTTCGGTGTCTCGGACGTACACCATGTCACGTTTCCACCGCAGCCCTAGTATTTTAGTCAAGTTTTGACTTTGTGGACAGTAACTTCGTCATTAATATACGTGAGGCACCATGGCACACAATCATCAAAGAAGTGTATTTTGTACCACGTGGTACAAGTGGACCAATCACACGGCCGGATTGACATCCAAAACAACGATTTGATGTAACGCAATCTCTTAGTCGCGCTGAAGTATGATGCTTTCACCCGATTGGTACACAACCATCCCCAATTGCGCAAATTTAATCTATTTGTCTGCTGACGTCATCTTTTCCGAAAAGCCAATAGATTTATGGGAAGAAAAGTTTGTGGAGAACTGTGGTGTACTTTTCATTTTCGATTTTCTCTTGACATGGGTTTTTTTTTTTTTTTTAATGGCTTGGGTCTTCCCTCTGCGATCCAGCAACAAAAGCAATTCAGTTCCCACTTTCCGCGCCAACAATTGAGAACAAAAGTCAACCAATCTTGCACGGCAAACCCGCGTGTATATCCAGAATGGCTCATGATGGCCGCATAATAAGATTACTCAGTGGACTTGGCATTTTATCTCTAACTACTGAAAAATAGGAAGATAGAATTTTAAGTTGCGTGACATTTTTCCCAAGGATCAGGAACTGGTATATACATTAGTTGACACTTAGATATGACATTGCGCTACATTTCATTTTCACAAAAGAGACAAACAAAGAAGTACAATCAAGCAAAACGTGAAACAAAACAGAAAACCAATAACAACAAAAATACATCACAAAGAAAGAAATTTATTTATTTCATTTTTTTTTAAAATCAGGATTATGCTGTTTTTTGTATTTTTCTTTCCAGAAAAAGATGATGTAGATTTTGAAAATTCTCGTCTTGGGATGTGGGGGAATTCTAATACTGACAACCTCAACTGGAATTTTAATCGCGGCTTCACATCAACGATCCACACGGGCCCTGACAAGGATCATACAAACGGTCAAGGTTAGCTTTATGTATACTTACGCCATCTCTATAAAGTTAAAGTTAAAGTTAAAGTTATAAAGTTAATAAGGAGCAAAAAGATTTCTTGTTTGGTAGCGTTCCTATAATGTTAAACAAATTGACCAAAAGAACTATCATCAATCCCAAGTGTGAAGGAAATATCAAAAGATCGTACAAGATCAGAAAGCGGTCAATATAAGCTGCACAACCGTTTTCTCTGATTTGCTTTGATTTTCCAAAGATTTTCCCGGCCGTCATGATCAGCATCCTGTACTTTGTTAAGTGGTACCCCGGGCAGAACTCAAACTACAATTCACCGTGATTCTTTTCGTTTTTAAGGTGAATTAAGACTTATTCTCCTTCTTTTCTCTGACCCTTTTTTCTTCTGAAGGGAGAGCCTCAGGAGGAAAGATTCTGAAAGGCGACAGAGAGTTTCTGAGACTCTGCAAGAATATTCAACTTCTTTCCAATTCCAATACCTCGGTGTGAGAATTTCATACTGATTAGAACAAATCGCTATATTCACTTCGATTACGAACCGGTCGTTACTCATCGTCTGGAGGAAGGGGGGGGGAGATCACATGGTTTTCAGGGGGAACAGAGGGGTATCAGTCGTCACTAACAGAGCATATGGGAATACAAAAATTGACTGCCAATGAGGAGGGATCCTAAGAATACTACAGGGCCTTAGGGGGGACCTGGTAAACAAAATCCTCTCACCCCCTCCCCCCCTCTGGCGATAAATACATAACCGGTCACCTAGCCAATCATTGTTACTTTTAATTGCTTATATTTCTTTCTAAATTTTGGTTATCTTTTAATTCATTCAGTAATTTATTTTCTATACTTGCTTATGATTTTGTTGTCATGGTAGGCTTTTACTTGTACGTTGAATCTTCATTAACCCGCCCTGGACAAAGAGCAGAACTTGTGAGCCCCTGGACCCCGGCGAGGAGAGGCGGACAATGCCTAAAATTTTACTACACCATGTACGGTAGTACAATGGGAAGTCTGGCCATCAAGCTACAATTATCAAACGGCAAAAACTGGCTTATTTTCTACAAGCATGGTAACCAAGGGAAAGGCTGGAAGAAAGGGATAGGAAACATCAATGTTCCCCTGGGATTGTCGTATAAGGTAAGGACCGTCGTCGCAATGAGGTCGGAAAATCCCCTTTCATCGTTTTTGGGAATAACTCACAAAAAAGTCTCACTAAGATTTCGCTTGATGATTCATCGTATGGCTAGTTGAACTAAAGGTTACCGACATATTTGATGACCAATTTTGACGGTCCATTTTTTTTGTACACTAATACGTTTACGATGAATGCATTGAGTGACTTCAAATTACGCCACGCTCACCACATCGGCGAAGCTTCTAGCAATTGTGCGATACTTTCAGGTCGTACGCACTGATTGGTAGAAGTCTACAGCATAATGCGTTGTCGGTGCCTTTAATGTATAAATAGACTTAACTTTGCTCTGTGATTGGTCCAGAAAACCTGCGCCATCCTCTCATCCAATCAGATTCAAAACTAAAAACAACCGCCACTTGGTCACTCGTATCTTGCCGCGCTTCAAACAGGTTTCTCGTTTCACTTTGAGTTTTCATTGGCTAAGGAAAATGTAAACCTTTGTTGTGATTGGCTTGAATTACTTTGGTTTTGGTTTTTATGACACTCATTCAAAAGCTGCTTTATTTACTTCATTTTTTGATTATCTCAGCTAACTATTCAAGGCACAATAGGTCAGGCTGGATACTCAGATATTGCCATTGATGATGTGTACATCGATCCCGGACTATGCAGTGAGTAATGCTGTTAAGATGTTTCATGTTTTCTCTTAAAACTGAACAAAAAATAGATTTTTTTCAGTAGTGGTGTCACTATTACGACTCCGGCTGGCTACAAGCGGTCAGCTCCGCTGCAATTCTCCACTACGGAGTTACAGAGAAGGCAGTGCTGAGCTAGCGTCTAATTTCTCTATAACATACCACAACTGAATCGAACATTAAGGTTATGAGAATACGGGAAATGACCAACCACCTAAGAAGCTCTTGATTGTTTAAGAAATTCTCCTCGGCAGCACCTTAGGAAATGTATAGAGAAAAGTAGGGAGAATGTGCATATTAATGTTAGGATGTAAAAGGTTAATGTAACTCAATCGTTTACTGTCTACCAGAGTGTCAAGATGATTATTACACCTGTCATATCTGGGCGACCAAAGGTGAATGTTCAGCCAACAAAAAATGGATGAAAGAAAACTGCAAGAGGAGTTGCAACGTTTGCGGAGGTAATTAGGAAAACATCGATCTATCATGTGCAGTCCTCAGAAACTTGAAGAGCTTTTCCGGACAAAGCTAACTACCATGGGATAAATATGATATAGCTCTTTCAAGTCTCAAAAATAATTGAACTTTATATGAAATCAAAACTGAAAAAATGGGTCTCACCATTGTTCTTTATAAGAAACAAAACATTAAGACTTTTCTGCTTTTTGTATTTTGTTTGTTCCTGTCGTTGTTTTGCTTTTGTTATAAGGTCAAAGAGAATTGTGATTTTTTAGTTCATAAACCGCAAAGATTACTTTTGGAAAACTTCAGTTCCTATAAAAAGACGTTATTATACTTTGCTTGTTTTCTAAAACTTTTTTTCTTATTGTTTTTTTAATGTTAACGTTTTGATTTTTTTTGCTTTTTCACAAACCTTTGTATTTGTTTAATTTCATTAGTATTGATTTATTTATTTACCTCCATTTCAGCTATCAGTGCTACAACACCACCTCCCGCTAACTGTGAGGATGACAGTCAGTACAAAGGTCAGTGCCCTGGTTGGGCTAAAATCGGTGAATGTCAGAAGAATCCAGCCTGGATGAAGCTTCACTGTCGAAAAAGCTGCAAGATCTGCGGTAAGCGTTTATTTAACATCATCACGAGGTTATAAAAGAAGTTTCGCAAAGTTCAATGAACGTTTTCAGTGGCTAAGAATTATCTTAGAGATTATGAGATTAAGTCAACCTGTGTCGAAGTTTGCTAGATATTTAGATAAATTCCTAGTAACGCAGAATAATGATAAGCCTTTCTTAGAGACCCAGTATCGGCCATTAGCATTGCGCGCCTCTGTTTTTGGTATGAATTCACGAGAGCGAGGCTTGTAGCGTGTCTTCAAAGCTTGTGAAATAATCGAATTAATGGCCGCCGATGGCCAACGCCGCGTGCACTGCAAACTGCGTGCACAAAACTGGGTCTTACAGAAGAGTGGGGAAAAAATGATGGCAGTAGAAATAAATCTCATGTGATAAAACTTATAGGTTAATACTACACTCAAGAGACTTTACTTTACTTGATTCAAAGTTAACAGTAAAAGCCCCCAACGAGTCACACGTTACATAAACTAAACGCAAAGTAATAACTTGTTATTTTTTCAATTGCACACTTTTCGATTGAGTGACGTAAAACCAAAACCAAAGTAAACACGACGGCCAATGAGAACTCAAAGTGAAAAAAAACAAACTGCCTGAAACGCGGGAAAAAACGCGGGCGACCGAGTCACGATTGGAGTTCATTTGCATCTAATTGGCTAAAGAAACTCAACTGGCGCGAGTTTTCTGGATCAATCACAGAGCGAAGTAAAGCAAAACCAAAGCAATCCCGGGTTACTTTAGACAGTCAATTGACAATTTCTCTACCAAGTTATATGTCTACGATTACTTCAGAAGACGTGACAAATTTCCTCGCTTATGCCCGGTGCTTCGAATATTTTTGCGCAGTCATTTTATGTTCTTTAAGATTCCCACATGCATTGGTAACTCTCCAATAATGTCACTTTTATGCACCTTTTAATCGTAGAAGCAATAGCAAAAAAAAAAACTTATTTTCTTTTTGCAGCACCTGGTGTAACTGCATGTAGAGATTCGGACAAACGCTGTTCTGCGTGGGCCAAAATCGGTGAATGTACCAAGAATCCACTGTGGATGAAGCCAAACTGCAAGCTGAGTTGCAAGCAGTGCTAAAAAAATTCTGGTTCAGCTTTAAATAACTTTTCATTTTAATACTTCTGCGGACGAACTATCTTCTGCTGGAACTGAAAATTCTGGGTGGGAATCACGGTGCGGATATCTATCTTACTTTTAGCGAGAATTATTAAAATGTCTCATAACTTCGAGACTGAACCCTGTGATTCACTTTATTAAAAACTGACATTAAATTGCACGTCATCAAAATAATAATAAAAAAATATATTGGGTCAAAATGAAGTGGGAGAAGAAATGCTCTGAACAGGTGAAAACCCTCGATATGGTAGGGAAGGTCGTGGTTACTCATTGTGTCGAATATTCTGATATCAAGGTGTTATCTTTTGTTTCACAATGTATTTTGCTGGTCTTCTCTAGGTAAGCCTCTGATGTATTACTGTAGTTCATGAAGTTCACACTTCCTTTTGATTAGCAGGTATTCAGTACCTTTAAAGGCACACTTCTTAGATTTTTGCTCTCTTCGAACCCCCTTTATATGGCTTTCCGGTCATGCCAATCATAAAAATCTAAGTAGTCTATAGACCCTGTAACCTTTTGACATGACCAGCATCTAACTTCTCCCTTTAAGGTATCACTGCTGAGTCAAACATTAAGGTCACGAGACTATAAAAATGATCACAAACTGAAGAACCTCGTTTGACACACAAATTCTCGCTATCAGGACTACAGGAAATTCATATGGAACAGTATTGAAATTATTCTCATTGATGCAAAGGTTAAAAAGGTGAAACTGCCACCCAAGGTAAAATTTCCGTATATACCCTAGATTTCTTAATACATAAAGTTATTTAAAAAAAGAAAGCAATGGCAGTGCTTATGAAAAGGACTCAAAAGTACTGTTTTAGAATAGAATAGGGTTACATGGAAATCTTTTCTCACTGCACAAAAAATTTCATGGAAAATCATAGAAATGCTGTATTCAAAGTGTAAATGCGCACATAACAGAAGGGGGGGGGCAGGGTTAATGCCACGCCCTATTCATGGTCGACCCATTTTGAGATCAGTACTGATCTCGCAAAGTTGCATTTGAGTTCTTTTACCTATCTTCTTCTGTCCAATTGCCAGATTTCCCTCTATAATCCCCGATACCAGCAGATGTGGAAATCCCGGCACCAGTGAATGCCAGATAGTGCTTCGCGTTCCCAATCAAATCGGCAATTCTTGAAGCTTCGTTGATGACAGCATCGAGGGAGTCGTGGTTCCTCAGCAGATTTCAACGCTTCTTTCACCAGCCTCTTCTATCCGCCCTAAATACAAGCGGTAAACTCTTTTTGCTGCTCATTCGACTGGTATTTATCAACAAATTCCAGCAATCTTGATGAAAAACTCCATTTGTTTAGCGAAGCTACCATGAGGTACCAAAGTGCGAACTTCGACTATTCCTTCCGAATATAAAACACGAGGAGATTAGCACTCATTAAAACAGCATTAGGCATAAGATCCGTCTTGTTCTTCCATTTAAAAAGTCTCCTAAAGTTAACCGTAATTTACCGCGCTACACGCTCTGCAGCTGTCGTCAAACTTTTACACATCATACACAGATCAGATATTGGTTTTGCTGGGGGTGGGGTTAAATTGACAAAACGCAAGTCATTAATCGGTGATAGAGGTGAAAATCAAGGATTCAATTGTGCCTTTTTTCGACATTACTTCTCCTGGCCACTGAAAGACCAAATTAGAAGCTGCTGATAATTTCTTCCGAAAGATGCAAGTCATCTTTTTAAGGCTCTCAACCAGCAAAGAGGAGTGAAAGAGCAGGTAAGTGAAGGCCCTTAAGTGCCTGCCACCCTTTATTTCACATTTTCCTAGCTTTCACTGACTGCACCCCTTGCCTAAGCTCTAGCAAGCAATTGGTTGGTTACTAAAAAAACTGCAATGTTGTTCCAAAGATTAGCCTGCAGTGTGTTGCCACATTACAAGAGACTAGCCTCTGAACTTCAGTGTATCTCATAGAAACACAATTCCAGACACTTCACTTAAGAATTGCAATAAATGACAATTCACTTTCATGACAGTGTATTAACTTAGGGTTCAAAATTTTTCTACATGCCATGGTATGGGTAAAATTTGACAAAAAGCCCAACACTCAATCATTATAGATTGAACAGCAATCTGTTGTCAAGGTACTTCTTCATGAATATGCATTTGCTGAATGTTATTATTTAATAACTCATACTATTTATTACTTATATTAAAAAGAATTACAGGAATATATCATTTTACCCTTATTGCCAAGACAAGGAGGCTCTCAATAAAATGACACTTGGCTGAGAGAGTGATACAGAAGAACAAGATCTTTCTTGCTTTCATCATCTAATACAGCAGTCTATAATATTTTTTTCTATAAGTGACTGCCAATGGTGGAATTGGTGGTTATGACTACAAAAGGGACCATGCAAACCATAACAATGAATCCCTGCAGCATTGTGTCCACTGAGTTACGAAATCATCACAATATCAGCTTTAGGTCTTGTAGTAATGTGTTCTCCACTTTCTTATGGGAGTAAAACAACAAACATTGCATCCTCTGATATCACTGGGCAACTCTCCACCTCTCCTGTGACTTACAAGGTACACGACAGAAGTTGTTATCCAAAACTATACCACTGTCCCTTTCATTGGCTGTTCTGACTGGCTGTCATCTAATAAAGATGATTCTATTATTTCCTTCGGAGTCTCTTCACAAAAGTAACCTCATCTTTATTTTGAATGCCATAGCTGCAACGAGAAAAAAATATGATAACATTAAAAACTAATAAAATAGCATACTCAGTCAAGATAAAAAAAGTATGAAAATTGCAATAGAAATGACATTAATTCCTATTATTTCAATCTTAAGGATTTTTGGCCTATTGAGGCACCTTAAGTGAAATTCTCAAAAAAATGTTAAAAAAATTTTAAGTAAGTCAAGTTCTAGAAGAATTGTCTGCTAACTTCAACTACACGTATGCTCTAAAATAACAGTTCCATTTCTCAATCACAGCAAGGAAAAAGAAAAGATGAAAATTTCTCAGTTTACAGGTGATGAGCTTAGTAATGGAACTGAACTTCTCAAATACTTTAAAACATTCCTTTTTTTACAGATGACATAAGCTAAATAAAATGTGGAAGCACTAATTCTGTAATAATATATATCTAGCAAAGAAATTAAAACCACTAGTTTACATTCATGGCATTGGTTCATATTTCTTGACTGGAATATTTTTTGATGCTGTGATTAAACATTTTGATCTCTATGGTTTTGGTTTTACTGGTAACTTTTTTTGCCTGATCATCAGTGTACATGTACATATTCTCTGTACTGTTCTTTACACATTTCCTGAGGTGTGGACCAGGAGAATTTTTGAAAAATCAACATTTTCTTTAGTTGGTGATCATTTCCTATATTCTCATGACCTTAATGTTTGATTCAAGAGTGAAACTGTAAGGAGAAATAAGATGTGAGTCACTCTATGGAGTAAAAGAGTCAAAGCATTCTATCAAAATACTGTTTAATACTACATCACTACTTCTTCTGTTAACTTACTATGTAAGAGGTTGATGATCCTCTGTTAGCTTCTGTCCTTCAAATGACAACCAATAGGTTTTCCAAATGTACTTCCTATTAATTTTAATTTACAAAATTTTATTGCAATATGATTTGTGTACAGGTAAATGAACATTTAATTGTTTCTCTCATGATGTAAGAGTCAGGCTAATCAATCGCGTATTGCCAGTCTTCACTGGGTGTTGAGGTTGAAAGATGATATCACTATTTGTAGCAACTTGGTTTGTTGTTATTAGTGGGTTATGGCCTACTGTCATTGGTGTATTTCGATCCTCATTATTGTTTTGAGCACTAGATGTTTTTCTCTTATTAAAGGTCTGCTTTGTTACTGATCAGCTGTTATGCTGTTTTATAGTAAGCATTTCAATTCCATAATCTCTATTGATGTATTAGATTTGTGAATAAGTTGAACAGTTCAAGTGTAATATATTTAACCCCCCCTACCTTGAGTGTAGTACAAAGAATATTGACAAGTTTTCAAGCAGAAAGCTTACATTTGTAGAACAGGACATATTTAAAAGCTATGTCAATGCTATGTCATTGAGCTATGTAAATGGCATTGTCACGTCGCAGTACAAAGAACGCTTTAGAACATTATATGACCTTTTGTTTTCTTAAAATGATTATAAAATATCCTTTTGGCTAGCCACACAAAGAGTTATTTCAGTTTAGTTTCCTTTATGTCATAGAAGTATGTTAGGCCTTTTTTCACGCGAACATTTTAGTTTTAAGGAGTTTTCCCTGGAGCAAAGAGGAGTTTTATAAGAGTCTTTCAGAGTTTTTTTTTACAACTTGGAGTTCATCCCCAGAGCCAAGATCAGACGTAAGTCACGATCGTTAGTTGTGTTTTTCTGTTGTCAGATTTGTAGTTTAGCTCGTTTCCTTAGCTTAGACAGATCATGCATTCCTTTTAGTTTTCACCGCAAGTGTTGTAACAAGTTGGCTAGCCTGATTACATGATTTAGTCCAATAAACGTGTGTAAGAGTCTGCTGTCCGTCCTGTACTCCACTGTGGTTGACCTGGCGGACCCAATTATGCTACACCCCGTGTCTGCCGTGCTGGGAATGCGACAGGTATGTATGGAGTATTTAACAACTATGTGCAATTTGTCTTACAGAGGCCTTATTTAAATCATATGATATTTCTATATCTTTTGCTACTTTTTTTGATAAAAAATCCTATATTTTTACTACTCAAATGAAACCTTTACATGGTCTATTTAACAGTTATGTATGTATCGTGTAGATTAGTAAAGAGAGAATTGAATAGCCTTAAAATAGGTTTTACATACCGATTCACATAGTATTTACATAGAATCTCACAGAGCTGAAATGAGTTTTACTAGGTATTAAATAGCTTAATAAGAAGAAAGTCCTTAACCCTTTCACTCCCACATGTGACCAAGAGAGAATTTCTCCTTACAATATCAATACAGTATCAAGCAGGCAGGTGATGAGAATAGAGATGAATATCAATTATGGGATTATTAGTTGATCCAATACCAAATTCTCTGAACTAACATCATAAGAATTGTATGGCAGATAGTAAGGAGAATTACTAATTAGACCTTGGGAGTGAAAGGGTTAAAGGTCTGCTTTCTTAGGAATCAGCTGTTATACTTTTTGATAGTAGGCATCCAACACTTCAGGAATTTCAATTCCATTAACTCTGTTGATGTTTTAGATTTAACCCTCCACCACCATGAGTGTTCTATCATTAATATCAACAAATTTCCAATCAGGAAGCTAATGTCAGAAGAAAAGAATATTTGGTGATATTGTTCGACTCAATACCAAATTTCAAGGCTTCAAACATGAATATATATCAAGTACACAATGTAGTGAACTGATGTTTTGATCTTGCGACACCATAGTATGTAAAATTAACAGCATTTGATTTGTTATCCACTTACCAAGAGACAATATTGGGACCTCCTTCCCTGGAGAGTTTAAGTGAGATGTGTCTTTGTATTGCCTTCTTTAAGTCATGCACTGTTGCATTTTGGATGACAACTACAGCTGAAAGTTTGTTAAAAGACATATAAAATTATTGCAAAAGTCAAATTCAATATTTGTTTTGTTAAACACTTTTAAATTAATCTGCAAAAGAATGCTCTTCTCTTTGAGTTAACAAAAGTTTAAGAACAACTACATGGACGAGGGGCTTGGAAACTAGGCAGACTTTGACACATCATGACAAATACAATATCTGGTGCAGAGATTGGGTTATCATATCAACATCATATGCCATTTTGTATTGATTGGATGCTCTCGACCAAACAGATTTTTATAGTAAGTCTAATGTTTATAATATTTAATAATGTGATTGTAATTTATTTTTATGTTCCTATCATTTCATTTCTCTATCGATAATTTATCATGTATGTAGCTATATTCGCTTCACGGTTAAAAAAAACTACGCAGAATACATCTGAGTTTCTTCTTACGTAGCAAAGTGCCTTGTTCATCTTGCTGACGAACGTTCACAACAATAGCGCGGCCATGTTCCAGTGCAATCTGCGAGTTCATCTCATCGAGAGTTGGCTCATTTGGCAATCCAATGAGGAGTGGATCTTCCATTATCTTCCCCAGTTTTTCGCTAAAGAGAGCCATCACTTCTGGATGCGATAAAGAGTCAATCTTTATCTTCAATTCTTCTAGGCTCTCTTCGTCCGCCATATTGAGTGATGTTCATTCCCAGGCTTTCTCGAGCTGCAAGAAAAGTGCGCCTGCCTCTACTTGCCACGATTAGATTACGGCCAACATTTATTTACACTCAAAGATAGCGTAAATTGGATAATGATCTCAAATGGAGAATAACTTAAGAGTGCTGTTGTGTGGTGTTTTTCTTTTGTTTTCATGTGAGTATGCTGCTGGAGCCAAAAAGAAGAAGGAGCTAGAAACAATCGTTGAGGTATGTGAGGAGATTGAAATGTCAGACAAGCTTCATGTGCTTAAATTACTGGTAATATTTCTTTGCGATCGATCGGGTGCTTATTTCTGCAATTTTGAATTTGAATTTTATCTTTCTTCGAAAAAAGAAAAAAAATATTATCTCTTGGGTCTTTGAAATTGGTATTATTTGAGGGAAAATTCACGAAATCTGTCGCGATAACCTGCCAACGCGGATTTTGTTATGCAGTCGGGAAAATTAGAAGCTTAGTAAGTTTTTAACCTTTGCATACGTACGGGAGGACTCTGGGTGACCTTTATGGCAAATATGTTCAACCGAAAAGGAATCGATATTCGTTTGTTAGCCAAAAGTGGTCAAAGCTAAAGGTTATTGTGGAAATATCGATAAGACTATTGTAATGTTTGAGTATGCAAGTTGACATAACGCTTCTGCGGTAAATGTGAACGAGACGGATTAGTCATTCGCGGGCGAAAGATACTAAAATATCACGCGATATATTTTTTTGTCTTTTTATCGCGGTATTTGTTTCATCGTCATTCAAAATAACATTTTTCCGAGCGTTCCTCATGGAGAAAAAGTGGAAGATTAAATCACTAGGAACATTTTTGCTGTTTTTGTTCAAATACAACACATATACAGTTTTAGTCTAGGCTATTTGTGAAGGAGTGTCACGACAGGTGGTCTAAAGTGATGCTGGAAATGAATAATTTACCACAAATCTCGTCTCTGGGAAGCAGTGATTTTAGGTTAATTTTTTTGGCTTTGATATTCTTAAGTTTGCATTAAATATAATTTGCAAGGACTTAAAAGCATAGATCCTATTATAAATCTATATACTGTTCTTCAATAGGTGGGCACAATTGGTTCACATGTGATTCATACTATGTAACTCATACAATGTAACAATGAATTATATTCATGCATGTATCAGTTAAATAAACATTATTAATATCTTAAGAGAACATGTATGATTTGTGCATTGCTGAAGAGTAGTTCAATTACCTGACTGTGTATATATTGTGGAATTAACCCTTTGATCCCTAAGAGTGACCAGCATCTAATTTCTCCTTACAGTATCACCCTAAAATCAAACATGAAGGTCATGAGAATGGCGGAAATGATCACCAACTAAAGCAGCGATTGATTAGTAAACAAATTCTCTTTATCAGGACCTTGGAAAAATGTATAGTGAATAGTATGGAGAATATGGATACTGATGTTAGGGGGGTAAAGCCGGTTGAGACATAGTCAAAATGGAGTTAAGAGGGGGAAATCATTATAATTAAAACATTCATTAGACATTTTATTCAAAGTACATATGGTGTTGAAACTCAGTAGAATATGAGTAACATACGTAACATGTTAAGAATATTCTCAAAATAGTTGTAAAAAAAAAGTACAGGCCACTATAATCTTAGGAAGAAAAGATGGTCTGCACAGTAATCTGAATATCCTCTGATCTCTGATGGCTTTTGGTGTTCTTTCCAATGAACTATTTTATTGCCAAATTTGGAAACTGGTGGGCAATGGATGTAATCAAATAAATTGTGTTAAATTAGATGAGTATTGTAAATATAATTAAGTGAGGGGTCAAAATCAAATTCAAGGGATTAAAGACATTACTTAAATTCCCTCTAGGGTTTGCACAGAATGCAGTTATTTAATTTCTTAAATTATAGAAATTTTCACACTGATCAGGAAAGAATGCAAAAATGAAGACTTATAAGTATAGATGAAATTTGGAGTTTTCAATTCTTTTTTTAGTTTAGAAGGTTCTAGTAGAGCTAGTAAATATGTGATCATTATCTGTCTGCACTTGCTGGTTTTATGTCAGAAATCTCTCTCCTTGAATATTTAATACTGCCAACTTGTGCATAATTACCATAAGGACAGACTTTCCATGAAGTATTCTATATAAAATTATGTGATCTTTCTATTTCAGTACAAGCCTGCTAACTGTGAGGACAAAGCAGATAATGGCGATATTGTGTCTGTTCACTATACAGTATGTACATATATGACTTTGCTTGTTACTTGAAAGCATTACAGTGAATTCCTAAGGAAAGGATGTTCTCACATCCTTACATTTTTCAAGCCAGAAATTTGAACCAAAATTGTTTTAATCACTTGGGTGCCAAGCTGTTATTAATAAATAGAATTTGGCATCCTCTCCCTTTAGCTTTCTATTATCATTTTAAATTAGACTGCCTAAACAAAAAGGCAAAAATAAACTGCCAAAATAAAAAATAAAAAAAAAACAACAACAGCACAAAGTAAACAACAACAGAAAGTAAAAACCTGTTCTCAATTCTTATTAAAGATGTAGCTATTGCAAATGTTTGAATTTCCTTAATTTGTCAATGAACTCTTTTAGGGTACACTGGAAAATGGACAAATGTTCGATTCATCCCTGGCAAAAGGAAGGGAGCCACTTGAGTTCCAGTTGGGAAAAGGGAAGGTTATAAAAGGTAACTCGCTCCAGGCCTTGTTGATTATTTTGCAATACTATCAGGGTGATTTAGTTTTGGATTCATAAAGCCATTAAGCCAAAGTTATCAGTCAACTGCTCTCTATAGCAAAAAAAATAAAAAATTTAAAATCATGAGCTGATGAGAACACAGTTTAGCAACAATATATAAAGCATGAGAACACTCAAGTGAGCATTTGACTGGCAATTGGTTTTTTTTTAAAATCTGATTTGTTGAGAGTATGAAGCAAGTGTTCTTGCATGGCCAATCACATAGAAACTTGAAGTGAAACCATAAAATTAAACTTACTTACTGTCAATACTTATACTTAGTCAAATGAAAATTGTTTTAATTACAATATTTTGACTTCTTTTACTATCTGGTTTCTGATTCTTTTTTAAAAGCTCTTAGTTAAAACCATTTTAGAGATGCGAAGATATCCCAATTCTTCATTTCATGTAAATGAATAATTCTCTTGACTCACAATATGTGAATTATTTAGCTACTAAAGTTTTACTTACAACTATGTGACATTTTGTTGGTCATGTATACATACATAGTGAGGTATAAAAATTATAAGGAGGAAACATTAAAAGCTAAACTAGAAAGGAACCACTGTCCTCAGTCAAGTGTTCTGGTGAATTTGATTATATGAGGTTACCTTTTGTGATATCTAATGTAGACTGAGCATCATTGAAAATAAAAACCAAAGTATAATTACTGTATAGTGATTTTAGATATATGAAATTCATATATTTGCACTGCGATGAAGGAACGAATTTAGGAGATCCTTGCAGCTAAGAACACTACTGAACTAGTGGTTGAAAATGGGACCTGAGAAAAGTTCAGGCCTGTATGGGATTTGAACCCATGACCTCTGCGGTACCAGTGCAGCGCTCTACCAACTGAGCTAACAAGCCAACTGGGAGCTGGGCAATATGTTGGGTCCAAATAAACCATCCAGGTGATGAAAATAATGACTTCCATAATATGGTAATACTTTTTTTAAAAGCTCTAAGTTAAAGCCCTTTAAGAGATATTAAGATTTCCCAAATTGTGATTTTATGTGAACTTCAATGACAGAAAGTTCACCAGTTTACAAGTAATTGCCACTTTAACTTTTTCACTTATTTCTGTATTTTTTTTTTACAGGTTGGGAGATGGGTATAAAAGGAATGTGCATAGGGTAAGATTTAGAAATATTACAGTATGCGTATAATGATTTTAGATATATGAAATTCATATATTTGCACTGCAGCGAAGAGATGAAATTAAAGGATCCTCGCAGCTAAGAACTCTACTGAAATGACTAGTTGAAAATAGGACCTGAAATAAATTTCAGGCTCATACTGGATTTGAACCCATGACCTCTGTGATACCGGTGCAGTGCTCTACCAACTGAGAGCTGGTCAATATGTTGGGTCCAAATATACCATCCAAGTGCTATACATACCACAGTATTTGATAAAAAACAACAATAAGGTCAAATATTTTCATCATGAGCAGATTTATGTAATTAGCAATTAGTGCCATTGAGCAGAGGACTTCTTCTAAAGTGGGGCTTAGCTTAGCAGAATTTCCTCAAGTGAAAAAAAAATACCTGCTTACTTCTAAGCGACAAGTTGGGGTGCAAAAAATTGTGCCCATGGATGGATACTATTTTCCAAGTTCTATTCATTTGAAATAAGCTATTTGCAAACATAACTGACAACAAGATTGGCATGGCAACTTTTAAGTAAAACTCCCTTTGGGCTTCATAGCCCCTTACTGTCTTAACTGCCTTTCTTATTCTTCTTTTCACATTGTTTATTCTCTACAAATAAATTCAAAAACCCCTTTTGGTTGATCATTTTTGTAGCTCCCTCAAATGAGTTTAAAGAAGCAGTGTTCAGGCTGATATTTTTCAACAGTCCTCGATTCTACTTTTTCTCTTTTCAGTGAAAAAAGAAAATTGATCATCCCTCCTCACCTAGGGTACGGAGCTCGTGGAATTCAGAATGTTATTCCTCGTAAGTAAATGTTGATTGTAAAAATGACCATGGAGGAACTAAGGGGGCCTATAAGTACAGAAAATGGGCTGAGCGCAAGTGCAAGTCTAGATTTATGACACAAGTAATATTTGGGAAGTTTACTTAACCCTTTAACTCCCAAGATCTGATCGTTAATTCTCCCCTGTAGCTGCTACACATTTCCTTATAAATTAGTTATGAGAACTTGATGCTAGATCAAGATAGCAGCTTCTACCTGATAAGTTTGAATATTCTCATTACCTGTTTGCTGAAGAATGTATGGATATTGTAGGGAGAAGTTTTGTGTTGATCCCTTCTGGTAGTTAAAGGGTTAATTGAACTTGGATGACCAAAACATTTCAGAACGTCACAAGAAGCCATTAATCATTAAATGCAAAAGCAGTTTGTATGATTTTTGATTTTTAAGTCATTTTTCAAATCTCTTTGTATGTCCTCAGTCACACGTTACTTAGAATAAGAAATTTCCAACGAGTTGGAAAATGCTAATATTTTCTTTGTAATGGCAATTTGATAAAATAATTATGACATTTCAACCAAGTTTAAAGTTTTTTGAAATGTTTAGAACTTAGCATTTTTTGTTTGTCTTTAATTCTGAGCACATGCAATGTGTAAATCCTGTGTTGCAAGCTAGAACTTATTTTATTGAGCATGAGTCATTGACCAATCATGAACAAGATATCTATTGGATATGTGGTAATAGCCAAATAGGGAAAAATTTTCTTTTAAATTTCTTGTTATAACACAGAATGGGAATGGTTAAGAAGCCTTTCCTTTTCGCTCTCCTGGCAAGATTTCTGTGCAGCCCCATTCTTCATTATGCAGATAGTTTATGGATAAAAAAAAATAATGGCAGAAACAATATTTTGCCTTTAGGACTACAACTTTTATTTGTTTTAGAATAGTATGGGGTTATGAAGAAATATTTCTGCTAATCATGATATTAATATCATTCTACGTTACTGAATAAAAAGCAAATCCTAACATTTTCTTATTTTTGCTTTATTCACACATAGCCGACTCTGTACTTATTTTTACCACCGAGCTCATGTCCATTAAGAGGAAGTCGCTGTTCGATCCAAAGTTACTGCTGCAAATAGGATTTTGGCCGCTCCTGGCTGGAGTGATTTTGTACTATCTGTATAGAAAGGCATCTAGGAAATCTGGCAAGCCTGAAACAAAGTCGAGCAAGAAAAATAAAAGGAAGTAATAAAACTGTGAACCTTTTTATTTATGAGGTTATTCGTAAATGATATCACAGTATTCCTCTTACTCGGCATCAGTTGACTATGACACGATTTTGTACCCTAATTTGGGAAACTTTCCATGCGCAACGCTTGAAGTTCGTTGACCACTCTGGAGCAATCAGCGTAGAAACCAGAACTCGGTTAGTGATTGAGAAAGGTGACAATTAACCCTTTAACTCCCAAGATCTGATTGTCGATTCTCCCCTCTAGCTACTACACATTTCCTTGTTAATTGATTACGAGAATTAGGTGTTCAATCAAGGAAATAAATTGTACCTGATGAGTCTGAGTGTTCTCATTACCTGTTTGCTGTATAATATATGAATACTAGAGGGAGAAGTTACTTGGTAATCACTTCAGGGAGTTAAAGGGTTAAAGTACATTGCCTGAAGCGCGGGCAAACGCGACTGACCAATTAGCGACTAGCTTTTAATTTAGATTTGATTGGTTGGCAGGATGGTGCGAGTTTTCTGGACCAATCACAGAGTGCAGTAAAGCAAACCCAAAACGAACTTGGCTTGCTTTTGACACTTCACACTTACTTTAGACACCGAAAGATTACTTTACATCGATATTTTCTTAAGAACCAGTCAAATAATCTATCGGAAAGTATTATCCGCCTCTATTAACGATTTAAAATAAAGTTCGGATATAACGAGCGCTGTCATTGGTTGAAAGAGCGTGCTCTATGAGAGTATAGAGCATAGAGCTGAGCTAAAGCTGTCACGCCATCTGCCAACTGTACTATGTTCGACCTTTTCCGGGACTTCTTTTTAGCTTTTTTCCGATAATTGAAAGTGAAATTTCGGAACTGAGGCGAGCCGGCAAGTAGCGACAGAAGAACCAAACAAAGGTTTGTTAACATACCAGGCGCCGTAATTTACGTTATCAAAACGTGAGCAGATACGAAAATCCTCAAAGGAAAAACAAAATAGACATTCCGAGTTTTAAAAATTTTCACGCTCAGTTAGATTGCAAGCTTACGTACAGTAATAAAAATCAAACACAGCTAACACTCGTATAAAATATGAAGTTCAGTGTTCAAAAACAAAACAGAAAAAAACAGAATTGATGAAAAATATAACCAAACTGGCATGATTGTTAAAATTCATACTAATCATGACGATTTCTGAGCGAATATGATCATGCTGAAGTTCATCGCGGCTCGCTCATCATGACGATCTCCGGTCATCACAGTAAAGCAAGCCTCAGAAACTACATCGGCCGCCCTTCGAGTGAAAAAATAAGAGCTTGCTCTGATATCCTTTCCGATACGTTGAGTGGAAAGTCAATTCAGTCACTGCAGCCGAGTTTTGCGGCGCTGTCATCCCGAGCGATCTTCATGTTCCGGTGAATTCGGCTGTCGTTCATTCAACAAACATTCGCCTTGAACAGTTTGTTTTCTACCTTGTCATGTGAAAAAACTCGCGTGTTTTTATGAGCCGTAATTCGGCTGAAGTTCACTGAACATTTCACTTCAAGATTCTGTATTAGAGACTTAAAAACTTCGAGCAAAGTGTTAAATTCGACTTGCCGAACAATTTTAGTTTGTAAACTATCGTAGAATGTGAACTTTGATGGTTTGACACTTGACAGCTTTAGTCTTGTACAGTAAATCAGATTATTTGAACCATTCTAACAGGGATTCTGATTGGCTTATTGTAGCGTGCTCTATGAGAGTAGAGAGCATGCTGACGACACTGTTGTTCGCTTTGGAAATAAAGTTTTTTTGAAAATTGAAAGTAATGCATGGGGAATTTAACGGATTCTTTACTATAAAACAAATAGAGAAGCCTTGACTGTGCTCTGTTCTGTTATAAAGCACTTAGGAAGCGGCAAGAGCACTCAAGAAGTGGGGAGAAACACGAGACGTAGTCGAGTGTTTCTTCCTACACTTCTTTCGTGCTCTAGCCGCTTCCTGCGTGCTTTATAACAGAACTGTGCTCTGTAGACAAAGTAGAAAACAAACTGTTCAAGGCGAGTGTTTTTTAAATGAAAGACAGCCGAATTCATTGGAACAAGAAGATCGCTCGGGATGACATCTATACTCTCATAGAGCACGCTCTTTCAACCAATGACAGCGCGCGTTATATCCGAACTTTATTATAATATGCAATGGTAATGCTACTCACTAAATGACATGGAAAGTCACGGTTAGTAGAATTTATTCGTTTGCTCGTAATGGCGCTTCTACATCTTATTTCCTTCCCATGGTTAACTAAAGAGATAACTTTACAAGAAACGAGGGGATTTAATTCAGCTTTCGCTCACTGAATTCTTTCGGTTTCTGATGTGGAAGCCCCAATTGAAAGAACTTACCGAAAGTTTAGTTTAGAAGAACTCATAACTATGCTTAAATTTTGTTCACCGAAAAAATTAGGAGAATCCAGGCATTAAATGACTGAACGTGAGGATTATTAATTAAAATGCCAATAAATACCTCTCCAAGTCATTTTGCAAAGGAGTGAAAAATACCTATGGTGTTTAGACGGCGTGTCAAGTGTTATAACCCAATCAATGATACATTTGCGATGACAAATTTGTTTGGAAACCAATTTTACGCAAACAACGAAAATGATTTGAGGAGTGAAAATTTACATAAGTCATTTGTAGGTCGGCCCCAGTAGTAGTGATCTATGAGAAAGGCTTTAAACACGCTGTCCCCCGCTGGCAAAAAATGGATATCTACATATAACACAACTCATCACCCGACGGATACCGCTGTGAGCGTGTGTGGGTGTGTGGGAGGAGGGGGGGGGTTGTTGGGCGGTAAGGGAAGAAGCGGGATTGTCCGCTTCTATAACCGATCAGATCACAAAATTGTAAAATACCGCCCGTTCACGAGCTGAGAAAAAAAGAGAAAGTGATGGTAAACTATCAACCGGCTGAGGAAGGTCCTTGTGGTGAAAACTTGAAAATTCTGCCCTCTAGCGGAGATTTAAACTCTAAGGATCTCCCAGTCGGTAAATAACATATTTATCTTTCCACTGACAGGTCATTTTCAATCCAGGGACATTATATCGCGGAAATAAGTTTTCGTTTTCGAGAAGTTGATAAAAGAAGAAAATGAAAATGCTTTTGAGATGAGATCCGTAGTTTTGGATTCTCGGCCCAAAAAAGTAAGTCTGTGTTCATGAAAATAAAAAAAAATTTATTTAGGGTAAAAAAATTTAGCATAATTTGGATTTGAAAGTCAAATACTGTTATGAAAGAATAAAAGCGTTTTTTGCCGATGAATAGTCACGTTAGTCATATAATTTAGTCACTTTATCCAGTTCATTGCAATATTATATAAATTATTTCTTAAAACTGCTCAAAGAGAAAAGGGAGAAGAAAGAAAAAACAAAAAGAAATGAAACCTTATTTCAGTCCCTGTTTTGAGGTAGACGTGGACTTAGGAAATTACGTGATGGAAATTTTTGTCTATCAAAAACTCTCAATTTGTTAAAAACAACAGTTAAAACAGCTGTAAAACCCTTTACCCCTGTGTGAATTAATTGTCTTCTGCTTATGCGGATAAATGCGATCAGATTCTTACAGAGTAAAGGGACAATCAACATTCAGGTACTAAACATAAGAGCTTCGTTTCTTTCTGTTCTTATTTCATAATAGTTTAATTCATCTCTCTCGCTCACTATACGGTACAAAAGTTAGATTTGAAAGTAGAGAGAATTTTTTTGTTGATAGGAAATAAGCTTCCTAGATGTTGACAGATGGCGATCCTTTCGATGACATCATTTTTGTTATGTTTGTTACCACAATATTTATCCTAAACTATTCTAGCTTCTGAAGTTCTGTAATTCGATCATTTTAGTTTGTTTTCTCTATTTTTGTGATTTTTATATTATCGTTAGGTGCATTGAAGGACACGAAAAAAAGTTAAATAAATTAATCGAGTAGTTGATCGACATAGAAAAGAGTCTAAATTCTTCGAAAAACACAAATAGTAGTATTATCCTCGAAATAATAAACAAGAGTGTATGTTTTGTAATGGTATTTTACAATGGAGATTCGAATTTTGCTGAAAGGGAAACATATTCCTTGTAAGTTGTTCAAACGTTAATTTGAAAGTCAAATGGCACCTGAGGAAAAAGACACGAAGAAGTCAGTTTGTGAACGATAAACAGTTATATTCACAGAGTATCGGACATAATCTTTAGAAAAAAAACTTTAAAACTCTTCGATTTTGTGGAATTTTTCCAGAAACCTTGTTCAAAAATCTGTCCTGATGAGAGATTGAAAAAATTGCTGAATTAATTATTCTTTTACGTGATATAGAAAGCGCGCAACGCATACAGATCTTTTTTTCTTGTCAGTTCTTTGATGATGTGCTGTCTAGCAATTTTTGCAGTAGAGTGATAAAAGCGCAATTTCTCCTTCTATCGTCAATATATGTTGATATTGAACAGATTTACTTTGATAAGAACGAGACCGTTAAACCATAAAATCGAAAACCTAACATTTCTGTGGCTTTTCTTCATCTAAAGATTAAAAAACACTTTTGAATAGTTTCTCGCGACATTCGCACCATAAATTATGCAAAATATAACTAGTATATTTATATAGATATTGAAACATCTGTTGCTTAAAGGCAATAGCCGTTCTCTTGCCAAAAAGAACGAATAGTAACGGTTTTAGAATTTAAGGTAAGTTTTAGAACAATGAAGAACCTAGTTATTCTATTACGAGCTCTTTTTATCTAAAGGTGGCGAGCCTTCCTTTTTATTGCGAGATAACTACATGTACACAGTCAGTACAGATGTCGATCCTGTTGATGAATATGCTACGTGCTTTACCACAATATAGTTTCTAATATGTCTGAAATATTTTTCCACTACAAAATCAACTCGATTCCTTTCAGTTTATAACCATAGTATCTGTGAGTTATGCTCTAGATGTGCATTTGACGCCCTGTCAAAACCAGTACACGACAAAATGAGTAAAACTTTAATCAATTCATGATAACACTTCATTCAATTCATCGAAATCTCATTTCCCTCTGCCAACATCGTTATATTGTCAAGAAAATTAGTGTTGAGAATTTTGGAAAACGATCAACTCGATCAAATGAAAAAATTCAAATGACATCAGAGCACAAACAAAAAGCATGCAACTTGTAAAATTATCAGCTGAGTGATGGATAAAAGGATAACTATTCCCAGCGCGAGGATTTCAATTTATTTCCTCCAAAAGGGAAGGAAAATCCAAAAAAATTGTACATTCTTTCTTCCTTACATTAAAATTGCATGAACATAATATTTACTTTGCGCAACGGTCGGGATTTTGTTCAGCTTTTCCAAAGGAATAAAAATCACCTTTATATTTCATGTTTAGAGGATGAAAAGCACCAAATATAGTGTAGAATATTTTTTATCGGTCGCCATGAATTAGTAATAAGTTTATCAATGATTCATCTCGTAACTGAATTCTAACTAAGCTCAGTGATCACATTGGAATTCCTATTTTTTATTTTATTGGGTTGTTAAGTAGTCTGTAAGCGAGAATTGAGAGACTGATTCATTTCGGGTGCATGTTGATGGAGTGCGTAATTTAAACCTGATAATATGAACTTATCGAGATACTTTGAATGACCTCTTTTCCAAGATATTTTGGCTAAGGAAGGATATTTATTTGACATTTTCATGTATTTTTCGATTTTTAAGGATTTTATCATTATTTTGTAAATATTTTTAGTAATTACAGTGAAAAAAGGAGTATCATTACTACCTGTCTATGATCAAAATAAAAGGGAAACAGCAATTTTTTTTCGAAAATTTCCGCCTCTATGTAGATGAAGTTAATATAAAAATTGCTTTCTTATAAGGTGAATACATATGGCTTCTGTAGTATCAGACGAAGAAGAAAGGAGACTTCGAGTAAACACAAGCTAGCACGAGGTTTATTCAAGATGGCCGACCTTTAACCCAGCATGCAATGCAAAGCCTAATCCAACAGCTTCCTTAGATACATATATCACTCCACGCGTTAAAACAAGACAAAAACTTATATTCACAAAGCTGCTCTTTCAATTATTTTTCCTTTTTATTTCGTGTTCCTATTTTGGAATTCTTAGTCCAACAAAAGATTTTACAACCGGTTTATTAATCTTTCTTGTTGGCTTTTGCTGACCATAGACAGGGACTTTTTTCTCCTTTACCATAAAATATTTAAAGCTTAAAAAAAGAAAGCATTCGAATTCAATTTATATTTAGATTCTGAATGCAGAAAAAGTCATCCATCAGTCATAAGGGTTCCAAGAATTAATATTTTTTTATGCTGATATTAGATGACATCAGCCTCGGTAATTAAAGTACATTATCCCAATTTCAGATTTAAAAAAGACTTAACTCTCTCAACATATCAACATTTTTTTTTCAGGAAATAGGTGTTGAGAAAAACGAGATTCATCATTTATAGACTATCGAGAATAAACCGTATAATAAATGATCTTGTTGTTTTCAATTTTGGTCCCAAACTATGTAATGGACCGAACAAGAGATTCGGCTTCTTTTCAATACACTTTTTCTAGAGTTGGTTCTCAAACTAGCAATGATTTCCAAAACTCAGGTGAAATAATGGTTCATAGAAAAAAAGAATCACTTTCGTCGAAGATAAAAGCATGCATAAACATAATTTTCTATTTGAAAACAATAATTGCATTTCACTGTGTCTACATGGATTTTGTTTACAAATCTCTGTGGGCTTGATGTAAGCTTATAGTGAATAAGGAAAAATTAAGCATATGAACTTTACTTCTAGAGCATACAACATTGTGATGGTATCTTCAATGGCCAAGTGGAGTTTCATCCTTGTTTTCTGTAAGCGCCTTGGTTGTTTACAACCATTATCTAAAAATATTAAGCTTTCTCATTTTTTTTTCTATGATGAAGGAGGGGAGGCTCCATGGTGGGGTGGGCGCCACTGGGAAGGGAACAGAGATAATGAGTGGGATATTCGACGAAGGAGGGTACTGAAGAGTTAGAGGATGAACGAAGACGGCATCTGCTGAAAGAATGTATCATGCAACTTTTAGGGTTAAAAACTATACATGTAAAATGGGCGCTTTTTTGTTACAAATTGTCCAAGGCGTCAAGATTGTCTCATCTGTGGTTGAAATAAGGATCTCTGGCATATTTTGCTGGTGCACTAATTTTTATGAGATTTCAATCTCTTTCAAGTTCAACAAAATTAACTCAAATTAAAATTCAATAAAATAGTTCCAATGAAATTTATTTGAAAACCAGTGATAAACCAACTTTTCTCTATCCTCGATACACTTTTTTTCACAAGGAAACTAGATTTACGGTCTTAATTCTAAATCGCTGGCACTTTTTCCATTTGGAATCGGAGACTCTTTGGTGCAGTGGCTATACTCCAAGCTTGGTGAGCCCTAGCCCTGACCGACAATTTATGTTGTGTTATTGAGCTAGTTACTTCACACAATGTCTGTGCTTATTTCTTCATTTAGCTTTTGTTTGTTTCGTTTCTGTCAAGCTAGGATAACCTCTGCGGGGCAATAAATGGATTTTTTTAAGATTTAATTTAACTCGAATGTTTGAAATCGTCATTCGTTTTGTCCCAGCTGGAGCAGAAGTCGATTTGTGGTATTACTTCACTCTCTCCTGCGCGGAGTATAAAATAAAGTAAAGTATATTTTTATTTAGGATTTGTTTAATTGTCTAAAATTCAATAAATGGAGTAATTGTGCTCGCAAGACAGAGCTCAGCTTTTTTGCAAGCCACTGTCTTTTTTCTTGGTGCTAATGTATCATTTATAATTTCTTCATAATAACTATCAACTGTTTTTGTTGCAACCAGACTAATTGACTCGTTGCAGTTATTGCAGGTTTGATTGAGTATGATAAGCAAGCACGTGCACAAGATTGGAAACGAGTCCAGGAGTTTGACGGGAAAAAATTTCTCTCAGTTTCACGGGGAAATTATGTGGAACTAAACTTTACAATACGCAGCGACTTTCCACGACTATGTCCATGGGGATATAATCTTGAAATTCGTGATGGCAGTAGTCAGTCAACCAATCTTCTTGGTGAATTCTGTGGAGATTACGGAACTGGAGTAGTGAGATCCAGTGGACGGTACATGTGGTTGAAATTTATCCGGACAGATCTCTATAACTTCGACGTATTCTATACCGCCAGATCCATCAATGAAACAGGCATGATGTTTCTTTCAATTAATCATTATATACCTATATATATGCATATAGATATATATCTATTACTAATTTTAAATTCTAGAAACAAGTAGACTTTTAGTTAATAGAGTAAGAGAAGTGGTAGGTTTTGAGCTTGGTAAAGAAGTAGAAAAAGATGTTTTTCGTCTGGTCTCGAGCGTAGGACGAAGAAATGAAAATTTCCAAAACTACAAGGTTTTATCCACTTTGTGAGATTATTTTGCCATTCCGCGACGAATTTCTTTACTTCTTTTGCTGAAAGCCAGGCTTCTTTTTACTTTCACCTATGGACTCTTTTCCTTTTTATTTTTCTCCATTCACATGCTAGTTTTAAACGCAGACGGATAACAGAGATTTTCGCCCGCATTTCAATATCTCACCAAAATGTTCTTGAAAATTATAGTGAAATCAATAATGCTTAGTTTGACACGAAAAAAAAATTAAAACATAAAAAAATAAAAAGTTGGCACTCGAAGGTCTACCGTATCCTTAAATCCACAGACAGACAGGCGGAGACAAAGAAAGGGGAAGGATACAAATAGAATCCGTATGTTACTTTGGCCTGAACACTGAATTGTGTCAGAGTTAGAATATTTTTTGATGTGCATGTATACGAATTATCCTCCCGAACTGTTTCTAAGGTTTTTTGCATACATAGACCATAATAACTCCAACAATTGCTTTCCTTTTTTCTTTGAAATCTAATATAGTCAATCCCACGTTGGATCAAGCTACAAATACGCAGTATGTATTTTTGAACAGAACCTCCAAACTGTGGTGCCCAGTGAAAGGTGCGCCAGCTCCATACATTGTATGGAGAAAAGATGGTGTCACTGTTCAAAATAGTACCAGCATAACATTTCAGCTTCAAGTAACTTCAGAAGACAACGTGAATTACAGCTGCGAGGTAAGAAGAGATGGAGAGGTATTAAGAAGAAACATCAGCCTCAGAATTGAAGGTGAGGTATTATTGTTTTGTTGAAGTATATCAGTACTTTACATAATTGGATTATCTAAACCTGTACTTTTTCATTTGCTCAAAATTCTAACCACCCAAAAAAACGTTTAAGCTACTTTGGTAGTTGGATCTTATTTAACCTTTCAAAAGTGATCTTTCTATATCCCTTTAATTTAATTTGTATGTTGTTTTTAGGTTTGAATGTTAATTATTGGTATGATAGTTATCTGGTGAAGGGGAAGGCGTATATGATGATAACCAAAGGAAATTCACATTTGTACGCTTAAACTTGTTTCTATTCCAAGTGAAGTTACTATGCCACAGTTTGTCGATTTTGGCGCCTGCATACAGTGTACCTGAAGTTCGTGTTTTCAATACAGTTTTCATCTTTGATTCATGATCAGTTAATTTACATCGTAACTCTGAAGTGTTCATGTAATCTTGGTAATTGTGATTTTACAGTAATGTTCTATCAAAGTGAAATATTCTTCGTTGCCCAAACAACTGACTTACGTCTTTCAAATTTAAAGCCTTTGTTGACGAATTTTAACGGCCAATCATTTCTTGCCTCATTTTAGAGTGCCCAGGCCCTTGCGAATGTGACGTCTTCCACCAAACTATCGTTAGTGTGAATTGTGATGGAAAAAGCTTTAATTCAATTGCATGGAAATTTCCGCCTGCTATGTCAAAATTGTGAGTGTAATTAAACAGTTGTAAACACAGCGTGTAGTTTAATAACAAAGTGGGAAATGAAGGATTTGCTTTATCGGGTTGATCAAAGAGTGTAATTAGCTGTCAAGCCACGTTAACGAAGAATCTAAACTCATTTTAAGTCTTAACTCTCGATTTCAACAACGGTTGCAGCACACAGAGCTGAAAACGTTCTATAATACGTCACTGAAATAAAAGTGAAAACAATAAACTTATCAGTTCAGTTTGGTTTATCTGTTGACGTTGTGACAACATTTAGTTTGCGCTACTTTTTCACTTTAACTGTTGTAATAGCTGACCAGAAATCAATTTAACTATCTTGATGCCTGGGATACAAAACATTATTTATATCAAGGCTAAAGATAAGGAATAAACTATTCGATCAATGAAATTTGAACCATAAAACAGTTGCTTAATACCAAAGGAAGTAAAAGAACGCCAATAATAAGAAGCACCGCATGGGCCAATTGCTAGCGCTGCTCTTAACACTGCAAAGTCCAGTGCCCAACTGGTGAGAGTGTTTGACTCCATATTGACAGGTTCGGATTTAAGTCCTAGCCAGATCAATGTATTGTGTTTTGGGGAAAGACATTCTCTCTTACCAGAGATCAAAAATAGATACAGTGAAACTAAGAATAATATCCCTACTTTTCAGAAAGTGGCAAAATATCAGGCGGTGATGGATCATTAGATTACGTTACATATGATTCAAGATACGATATTAGTCATTTATTAGTTGTTTTCTTTATAAATTTGCTTATAGTTTTGACGATGAAGAGATTAGACGTTCAGGTGTCTTTCTTATCGTAATGGTTGTACTCAGCATGTACTTTACACGTTCTAACGTTATCTTGATAGGCACTTAAGAAACAACAAGCTGAGGGACTTGCCCCAAGGAATCTTCAGTAATTATACCCAGCTGGAGTGGCTGTGAGCCAAGACTATTTGTTATTTGCGTCAGACACGTTTGTAATGATTCTTGATAGGAATTTGAGTAACAGTGAACTAAAGGACTCCTCCTCGAGTAATCTGCGGTTGTAATGTTGAGTCTTTCTAGCTCCCAAAAATCATGACTAGCTTCGCCCAACCTTTACATGAACACCTGAAGTGTACCTGAACTCATTATTTCAGTCACTGTGTCAGTGACACGGACTGACGTGTGATCTTGTGGCCTGATCGTCCGGATGGGGGTAGTCCTGCGAAGGATAGTGGTCGATATTTCTTTACTCGACCCTTAGGATAACCTCGCTGGACTTATCGAAACGTTGGAATTGGTTCCGAACACAATCCTTCGAAGCACCACTTTCACCCGGACAATAATAATTACCCGATAAATTCTTCTTAATTTGAGGAGCCTCCCCGCTAGAGATTGGGAAATCCCCCCCCCCTGCTTTTTTAGTGTTAATGGGTATTTAACCAATACCCCCTCCTCCTCCTTCAGGCTCTGGGTTTACATAGAGCTCCCAAATCTAAGAATTAAGACACAGTCTCCAAAAATAAAGAAAAAATACTTAACGTGAAAATGGAACGAGCTCACTTACAGTTCTGGTTAAGCACAAAATAGGCTATATTCATAGCTGATAGAAAAGAAATGATTACATAGATTTGTTTGGGCCCCCCTATCAAAGCTCACACGAAAGTACAGCATTACCGGATACACCATTTGATTTAATGTAATTATCGAATACATGGTAATGAACACCACCCTCTATCAATTCTTGGCAGGGATATTAGAGACAACCAGTTGAAGGAATTACCATCAGGCATATTCAGTAACAATACCAAGCTGTCCGCCCTGTAAGTTGGGACCCCTTCTTCTTTTTGTAAAAAGATCCATCTCGCACAGGGCAAGATAGATATCATAACAAAGCATGCAAGGAAATACAGCGTTACTGGATACACCCTTCAATTCAACGTAATTGTTGAATATATCGTAATACCACCCTCTATCAATTCTTGGCAGGAGTATAGGCAACAACCAGTTGAAGGAATTACCATCAAGCATATTCAGTAACAATACCAAGCTGTACTACCTGTAAGTTCGGACTCTTTCTTCTGTTTGTAAAGAATGCCTTCAGAGGAGAAAGTTTCTTCTTGTTGCGCTTGATTTTAAATCTGCTATAAAGTATACGTTTGTTAGGTAAAGAAAAATAAACAATAGACCATCAATGAAGCAACACAAAATAAGACAACTGGTCAGGTCGAATTTAACTTATGCAAGTCACAAATTTATTCTAACATTCAAGTTGAACCTTCTTGCGAAGAGATGTTATCTCACTTTTCCAGCTTTACAATGTGTAAAGCACTTAGTTGTTCTCAGTGCTTAAAAATTAAAAAAACCAACAAGTTTCAATTAGTTTTGAGCCATATTATAATTCGTAATGCTACCTTAGGTTTCTATATGTAAAAAAACGGAAAAGAAGACATCGGTTCTTGCTAAAAATGTCTTTGTTAGGGGATTAGAACATTAAAAAATAAGAAATTTCTAGCATGCACAGTTCCTGCACTTAACTTCCATAAGTGGAGGCACATAGTTTGTCTTCTGACTTTTTATAGACCTGTTTCATACGTCCCCAATATTAAACTAAAATATATGTAAAGTAAAAAGTAAGGACTATTCTTCTTAGTTTTAATCCTGCTGACATTTTAAAAGGAAGACAATAGGACGTAAACAGATAATTTCAGGGACAATTAGTGGCATTCAAGGCTTTATAATAATTAGACTGTGTCGCTAAAGTCACAGATTTGTATTATTGCTTGATGCATTAGTCTTGATAGACCCGTCAGCCCCCGCTATAAAAAGCTGAGCTCGGAATCCATCTTACATGCAGGGAGGATGTAGTTTTTAATTACTTGGTGATTATTCACCCCAATAAAATCAAATTAATCTTTAATAATTTATACAGTCATCCATTCAAGCATTTCTCAGCCTTATTTTCTTTGGAGCGTTGAGTTGGGAAAAGAGGGAAGTGGGCGAATAGCCCTTAGAGGCCTATTTTTACTACCCAAAGGGAAGTGCGTCTCGTTCTGTCGTTCAATCGTCCTTGATTTCGATGGATGGAAAGAAAACTCAGGCACTATATCATTTATTCGAGTCTCTCATTAAGGCTCTCTAAGAGTCTTATTCATTGTGCATTAATTTTGGTCCAGAGGATGTGACCATCACTTCTGAATGCGGGTTGCAAGTTTCAATTCTGCGATAAAAAGACAATCTGTATAATCTATATACAAGGTAAACTTTATTTATGCTGGAATGCTGATTATGCGACGCTGTCGAGGGATGTACCCATTAGTCGCATCTTCTTCACTTTCAATACATCTGCTTGTAATCAAGTGTAGATACTGGTTGCAAGTTTCGATTTCTCAGTTAAAGAAAATCCGAATAGGATTTTTATAATATGCTATAATCGAAAAACATCCCATGTATGAACCTCAACTTGCATAAAATTATGCATGTTTTGCTGTTTTTCCTCCCAAATTGTAGGAGGGTCTTGTAATGATAGGACTGTGGTGGAAGATATCGTGACCTTGTAGAACCATGTGTTTTTAGGCTGATAGGCCATCAAACCTTTCAAACATGGAATTTACCCTCGATTTACACTCGAAACTGGACATCTATCAAGTAGTGTCTCCCATCACATACATCGCGTCACAAGCCCTCGATATATACACTCTGGTTTAACCTTTACCTCCAAGGAAGAGAAAGGTAGGATCGATACAGTCTTCGAGATGTGGAATAATTACTACTTGGCAAGACGAACACAATTTTCGAGCGCTAAACAAATTTCAGTCTTATTAGAGCGGACTGACATGTAAGAATGTAAGTGGATCTGGACTCATGACCAGAGAGATGCCTTCGAAGAGATCAAAGACGCTGCTAAAAAAGCGGCAGAACTCAAGTACTTCAGAAGGGGTGACCCAACAGAGGGCCAAGGAGATACGTCCAAGAATAGACTTGACTTTTTACTAATGCGGCATGGTGAACCAGTGACACTCCCGTTGGCAAAGAGGAAGTACTCTAAGATCGACAAGTAATTTTTGTTCCCGGCCTTGGCACGGAGCATAACCACCAATATGTGTTCGTTAAGAAAGTCATCCTGCGGACTGATCAAAAAGCCCTGGTCTTTATTATGCAGAAGCCCTTAGCATCAGCACCCAAGAAGCTAGAGTGCCTTGTTACCACTTCAGCAGTATGACTACGAGATAAGCTACAAACGTAGGAAAAGGATGCTGCCGGCCGGCTATCTATCGAGAGCTTTCATGAAGGACTGGGAGCTTACCCGCGCAGAACAAGTGGTCGATCGCATTCATACCAACCATTTCCTTTCCGTTCCGGATCACCAACTCAATGAAACTCAGAGAGAGAAATTTGTGAGCTAACTCCACAGAGGCTAAAAAACACAACCTTGGATGGCTTCCCTGATACAAAAGATGATCTTCCAGCAGTCATCCATCCGAGCCGCTCTAGACGAGCCTCAAGCACCTCCGTTACCAGACGCTACAATATGACCTAACAACTAGACAAAGCCACAGCGGCAAAACCAAGAACTGGCCAGTCACTTTCTGTAACAACTGACAAGCACCAAGCAATGCAGACCAGACCATTAGATCTGGACGGTTGTCAAAGCCGTCAAGTTACTTGCAGGACTATGCTGACTATAGACCACCAACCCCACCCATCTACCGCTTGAGAGTTCATAGCCACAGAGTACATATCACTGACTGTAAGGCATGCAAATTTTGCTTCACGAAGCCTAATCAGGAGACGAACATGCCGGTTTTCTTTTAATCATCTCTTTTTAAGTCCGAAGCAAATTATTTTAAACGTAGTTTTCATTTTAAATCATGACTATACCTGGCATTATAAACCTGGACATAGCGTTCTAGTTCGCACCTGCTCAATTTAACACGCTGTTTATAATTTTTGATATAACTATTGAGACGTTTTGTGTCATTTTTTTAAAATTTTCTACTCTTGTCCTTTATCGGTAACCATCTACAGAACTTCAAGAGGTCAGGGTTGACAAGACCACTCGAAATCAATGGGAAAACTACTTTAAAGGAATGCTAACTCAGCTTTTATATGCACGTTGTTGATGCTCAAAGGAACGATTACAAAATCATAAAAACAGAGGTAAACATTGTAAGTACTTTCGTGACTAAGACATAGAGACAATTATTAACTTATCATTAGCGGTAAAGAGATCCTGTCATTGAGCAGAAAGTACCACACAGGGAGATCGGATCGCTATGGCTTTTTGTGCTTTAAGCATCCAACCTCTTATCACGAGTCTACAGGTAACGTCCACAGCAAAGCAGTGCTCGTTCGCCGATGATGCAGGTGGGACAGGCTCTACTACAGAGATGAAGAGATAGTGAGACATGTTGAGTACCCTGGGTCCAGACTCTGGCTACTTCTCAAACGGCAAAGAGCGCTGGATTATCGCAAAGCCGAACAAGAAAGAGAGTGTGAAAGAAGTATTTAAGGAAACGGTCATTAACATAAGAGTGAAAGCGAAGATACATCTGGTCGCGGCGATAAGCTCACGCGAGTATCAGGAGGATTACATCAGTGAGAAGGTGTCTGATTGGGTGAGCGAGGTAGTTTAATTGGCAAAGTTCGCTCAGAAAAGAGGCACAGTCATGCTATGCTGCTTTCACCTTCGGCTTAAAATATCCGTCGACTTACCTCCTCAGAATCAGGATCTACTAAAGCCACTGGAGAATGCAATATCTCTACTACTTATTGTTGCAATAACGGAACGCAATTGTAATCAGCCAGATTAAACGGGAGTTCCGTAATGCTATCAAACTACAATATGACTGGCCAGGTCATGATATTCCCTCCTCATGTCCACGTGTGTATGCGGGAAAGTCTTTACGTTAGACCACGCCATGATTTCGTACAACGACATAATGAGCTGAGAGACCTGGACCCTGAACTCTTAAGTGCGGTATGCAACGATGTTGAAGGCGAACTCGTCCTTCAAGACATCAGCTGAGAACAACTGAACAGAGGAGCTAACAAAGCACAAGGCTGGTCATTCTTGCACATGGATTCTGCGAGCACCAACGATGGGCATTCTTTGACGTCAGGGTTTTTCAACCAAATACCATGTCCTGGAAGAGCCTAGAGCCACAAAATATCTATGGTAAGTATGAGAATGAGAGGAAGCGACAGTAGTCAAGGACAGTTCTCGACACTGAACATGGAACATTTACACCCCTAATATTTACCACAACCGGCGGAATTGGCCAAGAATGCTTGACTTCAGATAACACAGTCGTCTCGCGAAAATGGCAGTTTTATCGAAAAGCAATATGCAAAGTAGGGCAAAAACCTGTTTTTTCCTAATAAGATTCGCCTTCATCTACTCGAGGGGTCAAGATTAACGAGAAGAGTCGCTTGCGATGCAAAGAAAGCTGATTTTGACGTCCAGACAACAGAGAGAAGGGAGTCGACTCCGAAATTTTAGATTTCATCAGCTTTTAATCGATTTTTTAAGCGTAGTTATTTTAAACATGGATTCAATTTCTAGCCAAATATTGCTTTATTTTATTAATTTTTTTAAAATAAAGATCAGTATTAAATCACAGTACATACCTGCTGGATATATAGAGCTTGGAATGACCTTTGAGTTTGAGTTGAGTTTGTTAGTTACGCCGAAGATAAACACTGAAAAGACTATCAATGAGGCAACATCACAAAGTTTTTAGCCACTGCGAGACAAATCAAAGCAACGTTCGGTCACATTTTAAGTACGCAGGTTACTAATTTATCCCAGCATCAAAAATAAGTCG